ACCTAACCTAACCTAACCTAACCTAACCTAACCTAACCTAACCTAACCTAACCTAACCAATCCATAACCATAACCTATGATACCACGTCTTGTTGGCTCATTAGATTTGTAGTCGTAAAAGCCCCATTTTCTTAGAACCCAGTCTTTCATTAGATTAGCCATATTATGGATAGCCTCTGAGTTAACAACTGAAAGGACCGCTCCTACGTATAAAATTTCCCTTCCTATGCAAGCTGGAGCTGTCATACTGGGAAAACAAAACACGGGGACGCTGCCAGCAGGGCACGTTGGCTCACGTACAATTAAACCTTTATCGCTTTGTCTGCTTGGATGGTTGTTGACTTCCTTCTGAACTGGCTGTATCGCTAAATCTGAAGGGCCAGCTGACAATGGGGATGATAACCCTTCGGTTAGAAATGCGGATATCCCAAGAAGCTTGAAGTATATTCGACTTAAATACATCACTCTGTTCTATGAAAACTTTATGATTTTTAGTACCAGCCAGGAAAATTAGAAAGGAAAAGAGTACAACTATTGCAAGCTGAATTGTGAAGGTCATTGTAATACTTCAAGGGATGTTCAGCGCTTAAATTCTTCGGAATAAGATCGGAGAAAACTCTAATTTTTAGGGTACATCGACTAAGACCCTTAAAATTTATTAAATTAAAGATATATTGAACTAAATTGATTCACTTTGTGACCTTTCTGTGTCCTCCCGAATATCGTTGTAACCTCCGTCCCCTGTTTAACTCTCAATCACGGACTGCTTCCGTGCCGAATATTATGCCAGCGACCCTATAACAAGGTCAGTACTTACAATGTTGCAAACAAATATAGTAAAAGTTATTCGAATAAATTAACCTAGTAATCGCAACCGAGTCAGGGTTGAACAGGATATTCAATGTAACCGTAAAGAGGATGTAGACAATTTGACGTTAGTAAACGCTTGAAAAAATTAGGTAAAATTTACTAAATTCTGAGACTTTGACGGAAATGTGATATTAAAGAATCATACAGGTGTAGAAGCACAACACAGTTGACTCTTACTTTATTATTACCAGCGGTACAGCTTGAAAAATCTCTGTTTTTACGCAAGCACGGCCCTTTCGGTGACTAACAATTACGCGGACGCCTCCCTTATTACGCGGACGCCTTCCTTATTACGCGGACGCCTTCCTTAAAAAAGTGGTTAGTGCTTACATTGAGTACCCTTTTCACCCTGACTCGGTTGCAATTACTGGCACACTCATTTTTGGAAAGCATATTTCGATGAATGACATAAAATAAATAGAAGAAATTATTTGCTTGATTTTGATTCAGATTGCTTTCATTCAGGAATATTCAGCAAACAATCATACTCGGCATATGGCTTCTTGTACAGCTTGCCTGTAGGTACTATGAAGCTGAGATTTAAGTGGTTGGGGCGCTGTTCAAGAACATCGAAGTTAAGAAAGTTCCATAAGGTGATTGGAAGTGTAAGCCAAAAGCAGTATGGATTCTGTCCATGTGAATTCACGCTGGCACTTTAAGTACCAGCGAATTTGCACTTTTTTATTAGGATCATAGAAATATTTTGGGGACCAATCTATATGTTGGTAGAATATGCCCTTGAGTGTAAAGACCATTTGACCAGGTTCTGATGTGCGTGCAAGGTGATAGGTAACCTGGTATATTCAAATTACCTAGCTAGGATGAGAAATTCAAAAATAACAAAAACATAAATAAAACTTCTTGCTTTGATATACATCTTCTAGTACTTCTTTGTTATCAAATATTTTAACTAGCCCAATTTGAGTTATCTTGTTTACGTCATCATTCGAAAGTGAGAAACCTTCATTTGATCATCCTGCACCTCGAGTTAAGAAATGTAATTGCTAGAGTTTGTGTAGCAAGGTCATTATGCTTAGGTGATACCAATTCGTTAGGGATGTACTTGTATCAATGCTAAACAATGATCTCACTCGAACTGAGATGCCAAAAATTAAGGCAATATCTTACCACGTGGTAACCCAAAATTTACACTATCCTGGATGCAAGAAACGTATGTCCGTAGATTACCTCTAAATTGATAGCCAGAATGATTCATCTATTGGCTTGATAGTGGCCCATTTCTTCCTGAGGTTAGATTGACTATCTAGTACAACTTTCTGCTCATCTCTTGAAATTGTGTTGAAACGCTTAAGCGTCCCTCATAGTACTGCCCGCCGTTTCCGTAACGCCATACTGAATCCTGCTCTAGCTTTGGGGCGTAAACCAACTTTTAAAAAGAGCTTGAAGGGGTAGTTGTTATATTCAGTCACACATAAATTTTTAAATTTTTAGATCACTCTAACTGTACTACACAGACATCATCATGTTGTCATTATAGTTTACATACTTTCTTTTCTCACAAAAGACTTACAATGCTTAGTTACAAACAAAAAATTACTTAAGGATCTATGATCGTTCATTTTTTAAGGTATCCAGGCTTTCATGTACGAATCTATCAACAAACTCGAGAATATCTTCAGGCACATCTGGCGTTACTGTGAATTGGCCATATACGCCAGTTGAGTGACAGGAGGAAGCACGTGATGGTGGACGAGAGTTGAGAATTGAGAGGTGGTCATCATCGCTGAGCAAACCTGGAGACGATATTTTTGGTGTATCGAATGCGCTTATGTGTCTATACGTGAAAGAGTGCTTTCTACGCCATTGCAAATGTTCGTGATTTGTTGGTAATTCAAATGGTAGCATGTACCTATGTGCAGATCATTAATGGGCTACTTATGATTGATACTAAATTAACTCACCTGCTATCGACTTGCTCATTAAAATTTTCAGGTAATGGTGGAGGAACGTAGACATCTTTCAAGACGTTACTATTGGAAGGCAACGGTTGCAGTCCTAAGCCAAGTCCTATCGAAGTGTCATAGGCACTGCTCGAGGATTGATTTTCAGGGTATATGTTATCAATATGATTTTGAGTCTTTTGAGGTACTTCTGAACTATCTTCCCTCGTTTCACTTGTTTTCTTGCGCGAATCCCATGCATTGACGAACTGTTCCAGATACTCTACACATTCACTACTCATACGACTCTCAATTGTTGGACCAGCCTCATGGCGGTATTCCTTTTGTAATTTAAAAAGCTGCTTTGGATTGAGCTGCCTGAGTGTTTGTAAAGTAGAAATCAATGCTGAAAAATCGGACATTGCAGACAAACATCCTAACCATCTAAGCATTTGGCTAACTGTCGCAAAATGATATGTAAATATACTTGAAGGTAACTTGTTGATGTTTACCCAATCTTCTATAGCACTTAAATTCAATCTGATCATTGATGCCCGACTTCTACTATAATACTTCTTGTTCGTTATCATTCTGTTGAAAATTTCACAAGCTGTCCAATAAAATATTTGCGAGAAAATTTGGATAATTAGAGCTTCATTGACATTGTATAACTCCAGAACAATCAGTGTTGAATTCAAAAGCTGAGTGACCTTTTTTGGTGAATTATTGTTGACATCATCTATGTTTACTTTGCTGAACTTTTCACTAATTATATCTTCTCCATCGTTGGTATTGGAAAGTGATGCAAGCGAAGCTGAAGGAGCGATACCACCATCTGAAGCAAGCGGTCGATTTCTCATTTCATCATCAAATGAGTTCATAGAAGGCGACTTCAGAGTTTCGATATTATTGTCTGCATTACTACTACTAAATATATCTGAAAATGAACTTGTTGAACCACCGGTTTTACCAAAAATACTACTAGATAAGCTTCCTCCGCCATTGCGTCTATGTCCTGGAGGCTTCTTGTTCGGACTTCTGACGCTTCCTTTTCGCTTTGTGAGAGCCCTCATAATTCTCCATTCACCGTCAAATCTTATATCATCGAATTCGGGCATACTGTTAAAATCTAAAATAAACGGTTCTATAACTCTATCCATTTTCCTTTCAACTAATCTAACGATGAAAACGTAAATCTCATTTGTGAAATCAGAAAGTATATCTTGCATGTCCTTGCATTCTTCTGACATTGACGCATCTGAATTGATGAAGTACAACCAGAGCGTCACGTTATGTAACCAGAAGGCCAGAAGAGGAAGGTTCTCGGGATTGTTAAATAAAGTTTGTTCAATATTTTCGACCGCATGGTCGAAGATGATTGAAGAAAGTTCGCCAGATGGGTCACCCACGTAGAATGCATATCTTTGCCATAAGAAAAGGGCACTAGCGGGTGAACTTTCGTAAGACAATGGCTTAGGATGCGGTGATAAAGACAAGAGAGCATCTATTGATTGTTTAACCTGATCTGAATTGATGATAAGCATCTGGTGTGGTAAACAAGTATTCCAGTCAAAAGTTTTTGATAAGCTGTCAGTAAGTTCTTCACCGTCTTCTTCTGCGGCCTCATCTAATTCACCTTCTTTGAGAATTAAGGAGCACTCAAAGTCTAATTCTTTGGCTGCATTCCGTAACACTGAATTTTCGTAAGCTGCTTTCTTATCTTTAGCTCGTTGTTTGCTTCTACCAGACTGTGAAGGTGTAGCAGATGCTTGTGAGAGGGAAAAGAGGTCAGAGTTCGATTGAGTAATGAAAGCTTGCTCTTGTGCTACCTCTAGTAGTTCAACTATGTCATTTGAAGCTGGTGCAATATCTTTCGCAGTTCGACCTTTGTTAGATTTAACTAAAGGGGAAGCACCGTTTTGAAGAAGAAGGCCAATGATCTGTGAACTAATGTCTGGCTGACTTTGAGAATTTATCGTGGCCCAGTGCAAGGCAGTCCAAGACTCTGTGGTAAATCCTCAGTATTTGATGGTTAACGTAATGATAAACTTACGGCTGTCAGATGCATTTACATCTGCACCTGTCTTGATGAGTAAAGACACGCCATCCAACCAAACCGAAGCAGCCGCAAGTACTATCATTGGGGAACCTTCGTTATCATTCAAGTCCACGTCAACCCAGCGTCTTCCTAGTGGACCCAGTACGCATTCTAACATCTCACGATTCTTTGATGATATAGCCTCATTGAGTGCTCGATTAGCTAATCTGTTACTATCGTTTTTCGAAAGGGTATTTTCAGGTGACAATAGCTTCTCTACGTCGTCAACTGAGAGTATAGGTGGTAGCAGAGCGATTGGATCGCTCAGAAGTTTCGTAGCTGTATGTGGACTGGGTAATTTTTTGCTTGTATCTTCAATATCTACTGACAACTTAAGTTCTGGTTTAACTGTCATTACGTTAGGGGTATATCTTGAGTGTAGAGATCAGAGGGATTGAATGCGTAATCAGGGTAAGAACTAAAAGATATAGCAAATGTGCAATCAATTTGTAGTAATTTGGATACCTTTTTACATTTCTCATAGCATACACACAAGAGTCGAAACTTAACAATATACAAATGCATCTGGTTTTCTATTGACTAATAGGTTCAATTTGTGACGAACGCAAGACGTTCTGAAACTTGGATGTCTACGCAGCACGTGCATTGACGTTAATACAGGCCTGAGGAGAGTTAATTAGTTGAAGAATGTAACAATATACTAAAACACACCTGATGAATAATGTTCATGGCCTTAATCGCATCTACTTCCTGTACAACGCAGGAAATATTTATTTCGGAGGCACCTTGTGAGATCATTTCAATGTTGACATTTCCAGCTGCAAGCACACTGAACATTTTTCCAGCGATACCGACGGCATGCTTCATAGCACGTCCAACTAGCGACAAGATAGCCATATCATGATGTACGTCCACAGTACCAATTGATTCAAGCTCTTTGACTAATCTCTCGAATGACTTTGTACTTGAATTTGAGCCGTGGATTGCCATACTGACGTGGACCTCTGATGTACTAATGAGATCCACACAAACACCAAATTTATCAAGGGTTGTAAATATCTTGGCCAAGAAACCGTGTGACATTGTCTTTCTATTTGAGTGTACGTTGAGTACAAGAATGTTGTCTTTTACAGTAACAGCTGTTGGAAGCTTACTTGAGACATGACCAGCGTGTTTCGCATTCACAGCTTCTGTTGCGTCTTCACCCGGATTATTTACGCTTGTGTTAAAAGTATCTGGGAAGATAACAGTACCAGGACCGAGCGGATTGAGAACGTTTTTAATACGGATTGGGATAGAAGCTCTAATAACTTGATCCATGGTAAATGGGTGTATAACTTCACTACCATAATAGGTCAATTCCGCTGCCTCATCTGGTGTGATGATCGGAACCAATCTAGCGGTAACGACTTTACGTGGATCAGCTGTAAAAATACCATCAACTTCTTTCCAGATTTGCAACTCTCCACCGTTTAATCCAACGGCGCACAAGGCAGCACATAAATCAGTATATCCTCTACCAACTTGTTGTAAGAGTGATCCAGGAACAGGACCGAAGAAACCAGTAACTACCGGAACCTTACCTTCACACTTACGCAAACGCTCTCCCAGCCTTTGCGCCAATCTAGTATAGAAACCTTGATCAAGTGAGATGTTGTCATTGTTTGAGCATCCGCCGTCGACGAAAGCATCAACGACGCCTTCTAAACTGACTAATTCATTTGGAATACCTCTATCCGATAATGCAGCGCATACCAATCTGCAAGCCAAACGCTCACCTAAACCAACAATAGCATCCTTTGAACGAGGACTAATCTCGTCGATGATTTGAGCAGCGTTGAGGAACTCGCAGAGGCTGTCGATGTCAGCTGAGATATCAGCCTCTACTCTTTTTCTAATTTCGTCATTCTTGATTATGACTCTGGCTGCATTGAAGTGTTCCTCACGGAGTATGTTCGTGGTGAGAACAAAATCAGGTTCATCTAAGCTACCTCTTGATAATGAAAGTTTTCTAAGGCTGTCATCTAAATGGCTGTGATTAACGCCTGGTGGTGATGCACTTCTAGATGGTTGTGGGCTACCAAATCGAGGTCTAGTGAGAGCGGAAAAACCAGGAGTACCAGGTTGTGAGGGTGTGCCATTAGAGCGGGAACTAAGAGCTTCAGTAGCAGCTTTCAATAGCAAATTAGTGGTACCAGTCGACTTAGAAGTACCAGATCTCGCACTACAAACCAAAACGACATTTGAAGTAGGGAAATACTGTGGTATAATCTGATCTACTATGCTATCTAAGGCTCTTCCTACGGATGTACCGCCAAACTTCTGTACAATCCAATTCCGCGATGTTTGATTAGTATGACTCATGGCAGTTGCTGATCAAAAGGCTTTCTATAGGACAGTCATGGCAGAAAGTGCAGAAGGATTACGTAGACTACAAGATTGTAAGCCTGTTAAGGGTACACTTATATTAGACAGAGCAGATGCGCGTATAATAGAATCACAAGGCAATATATTCGAAGGCGATCAAGGGAAGAAATACGCCAGGGCCTGTAGGAATATTATAACCGCCATTACAGACAATCTGAACGACATTGACCAAAGTGAGAGTGTGGGTGTTTAGTATAGCAATTTTACCGTATGAGTTGATATGCGACACAGGAAGATATAAAGCTGATTAGAGTGAGAAATAAGAAGCATGAGATTATTTTAACTAGTAGTGAGTATCTAATATCGTAATATAACAATTCTCATAGTACACCCAGACGGTAACTATCTTTTGATTTGTGTACAAGACCCATCAGCAGCGTAACTTTTATTTATTCCTATGCATATACCCTATAGAATATATATATATTGCTACATTCGTATATTATGCACACCCTCAGATATCCGTTCTAAGCTGACACAGACTCTGCGGTTTCTCTATAGAGCCTACCTGCAGATAATCTACAGACCCTGTTTATATCATCATAGGGTGCGTTCTGCCCTGATGGGCGTAGTAATTAAAGTTGAAGAGATACGATCATTATCTTAGGAATAATAATGTGGGACTGAAGAAATAAATAATCGAAAATCTAACAAACTGAAGGGCATCCCCAGCAGCTAGGAAACGCCTGATGAAGGAGAACTTAGGGATGCAGCAGCAGCCACCACCGTTTGGATTCGCAAGACCAGACGAAAAGGATATTCTGAAGTGGCATTATGTACTACGCGGACCACCAGACAGTCCATATATGGGTGGTGAATACCATGGTAGCTGTGTTAGATGTACTTTGTATTGGGCTCACACTCCGCAGGCACACTGGCATTTCCAGCGCAATACCCGTTCAAACCACCGGAGATTAGAATGATAGTAGGTATATATACCCTGACATAGAGTATTTCTAATAGTTTAGACACCATCGGGGAGATTTCAGCCGAATACGAGCATCTGCACGACATTCTCGTCATTCCATCCGGCATCGTGGAATCCAGCCTGGAGCGTAGCTAGTATATTGACTGGTGGGTTAAATAACTAGGATATATCATTCTGACGTTATAAAAGGTCTTCTGTCATTCTTTCTGGATGACGAGATTGGTACAGGTGGAATTAGGGCTACGAGATCTGAGAGATTGTTATTGGCATCTAAATCACGGACATTCAATAGACAGAATAAGCAATTTGTAGAGGTGTGTATTCTTATCGAATTTACAGTGATACTCACAGCAGACAGATATTCTCAGATTTGCTTGAAGCGGATGCTGAGCCAAATTTGGATCAGATACTAGACAAAGCAGCGCCACACCCTCTATTACCTCCCGCACCCCCATCTCAGCCACATCTCCTCCAGACGTCAGCCTCAAAACCGGAGCGCAGTACATGGGAGAGATGGCGCTGGGCAATATTATTACTGCTTGCCGTTCTGATATCTAGGATATCGCATCATTAATTATTGTACTTTTGTAATTTTTCTTTATAAATGCTTTTTGAGTATCGACTACTATGTTCGCAAGAAGAGCGTTGAGATTACCAGTTCAAGCACAGCGTAGACACGCATCCAGCAGCGCATCCAGAGGTGCAGACGGTATCGTCGTACCAATGGAAGGTCAATCTGAGTTCATCACTAAGAGAGCTGCTACTACCGAGCACGCACACGGTGAATATATATCACTAATCTGTATTCATTTACTAACAAAACACCCAGAATCAAGTGAATTATGGAGAAAGATTTCCCTCTACGTCGCCCTTCCAGGTTGTGAGTGATATGATGCGGATATAGTAATATATCACTAACAACTCAGGTTTACTCGGTGGTCTCTGGACCAAAAACCTTGAAGAGGCACACGAAGCTCACCACCACCACATCGTCGAACAAAACGGCGGCGAGGAACCAGAAAAGATTCCTTACCCATACCTCCGCAAACTCGAGAAGAAGTTCCCATGGGGTGACGGTGAGAAGCCACTGTTCAACACCCTCCTTGGACAGGATTAAATCGGTATTAATGCATAAAATTATAATCTACAACACATTGCTATGCTCAACGTAAGCTGACTTGGATTTACATAACGATATCAGCTCCTTCCATAGCTGTGTTTCTTTACTCATATTGACGACGCCCTTTTCAAGAGTACGCGCATTTCCAACCACCATGAGACAACGCTTCGCACGTGTTAGCCCGACATTTGCTCGACGTGGATCATCTAAGAATCCAATTGAGCCCATTTCATTAGATCTAGTGAGTGATAGTATAATAACTTGCTTTTCTCTTCCTTCGAAACCATCGACTGTTTTAACTTCAATTTGGCGTAACTCGTGAACGCGTTGAGGACCTAATATATCGGCGAATCTTCTCCTCCAATAATAATCTCTGTTTATTAAACGTAATAGTTCTATCGTTTGGGCTATATAAGGACTAACAATACCTATATCGGTTCCTTTTAGATCTTCGTTCTTCTCAAACAGATCCGCAATAATTGTCATAATCACTTGTGCCTCGCCTTCGTTCATCGTTGACTCTCCATCTTTAGTTTCTGAATGATCGTGATTTACAAAAGCCAATGCTGAGTCCTTCCGCGTGAAAGAAGAATGTGGTGGTGTATACCCACTCAATAGGGTACCATTACTACTTCTACAGCCATCAATCAACTGACTATTATAGAAAATATTGTTAGGGATCTCACTGAGATCAGGATGCATACGATATTGTACGTCTAACATAACTGAAGGTACGTCACTAGTCTCAATGAGTCTTTCGAACAATGACATCGATAGACCCTGTCGTGAAGCCTCCTCAGAAGTAATAATTGGTGCGAGTTGTTTGTGATCTCCAATTATTGACATATGAGAACAACCTTTCATTAACGGTATAAGAGTTGTTGGTTCAGTCGCTTGACTTCCTTCATCAATGAAAACAATCGGGAAATCAATACCCGTAAGGTCGCGTGGATTTCCGCCTAAACAAGTTGCACAAACGACATCGGCTGACTTTATTATCTTGTCTTGTATTTCTTTAGTTATTCTGGTCGCCTCCCTACGTTGCTTGCGAGCTTCCTCGTTGAGTTGCTCTAATATGCTGATTAGTGTAATTGTCTATTTAAAAGCAAAAGACTCACCTCTTAGCAATCCAGTCATGCTGTAGGCCTTCTTAAACAACCCTTCGCTTTTGATACGTGCGTGCTTTACCTCTCGATATTGAGGATGAGCCTCCACTTGAGCCACCAAGGTATCCTTATGTAATTCAGGTGCAATTCTACTGATATGTCCGAGTCTGGTAATCTTCAGGTCTGTTTTGGAAAGGATAGATGCAATATTATCGGTAGCTACGTTAGTGTGTGCAGCAATTAATATAGGATGTGGTATTTTGAAGTATTTCTATGACATGTAAGTTTTCTCTCTAAACTCATTCAGTTCTCACCTTCATTAAGTTAATGCTATTGGATATTGTTGCAGTTTTACCGGTACCTGGCGGTCCTTGTATAAGGCTAGCTCGATTGCCAATCATCAATGCTACAGCTTGCACTTGTCTTGGATTTAAGTTTAATATAGGATCACCTTCGACTCTGATTGGATTGGGTTTTGAATACCTAGATGCCCAGCTTCTGATCCAACAGTCGTTTGCAAAAATGCCATCGTAGTTGGTAGAACCCTCTATCAAAAGGTCACGCAAATGCGTTCCCTTGAGTGCATTATCAGACGAGCTGGCTTGTTCAACTGGGTCCAAGTGCAAGCATTCTAAGGCATCCAGTGATCGTCTATAAGAAACATCGTTCAGAGTATAGTCAATTCTAAATCTATCTTCAGTATTGATTGGCACCTTTCTTTCAAATAGCAGTTGTAGTTGCGTAGAGCTTGACGATTCTATTGTTGCAGACCACTTTTCCGTCTCATTGTTCATCAAACTAAGTTTAACGATATCACCCTTTCTAAATCGATGAGATGGTAGTTGTTCACCTGGTTGTAATTGGAATATTGCGCTATGCTTGCCAAACATTCTCTTTGTATAGTAACCACTTAAATCTGTGATGCAATATCCTTCCTGTTTGAGTCTCTCGATTGGCCATTCTAGTAGCCTTGTATTCCATTTGATCTCACTCGCTTGCTGCTCTAATTTTACAAGATCTGTGAATTTCTTGACATAATCGTTCACTGGTTTGTATAACGCCTGTCCTGGTTTGATAAACTTCTTACGGGGATTTCTCCTAGATGTAGATGCAATAGTTTGCTTATTATCTACGGTCGATTCCTGGTGAACGCTATCTCTACTGCCTAACTTCAATGTTTGTATGGCGTGCAAATTACTACTAGATTTTGGCTTCGCTAGGAATGGCCAGGAATATCGAGCTGAGTGTAGGGTATCTGTGCTCACCCATCTTCTTAACGCTTTATCTGTTGGTGGCTTGAGTGTCGCCATAGATGGTGGTAGAAGCGAAAGATATGATAGGGAAAAGAATGTGAGATGCATTGACGGTATCAGAAATAAATAAATACATATTCTACCATCTTAATAGCTTATCTTCTTCTGCCTTCTGTCTTCCTATCCACGTTGTACGTTATCAGAGTTGTTTCTACTGTAAAGTTATGAATCAATTAGAACGGCGACATATCTCGTTTACATTTTTTACCCTTTTATAATACCCAGGCGTACCTCTATATGAAAGAATGGTATCAGTGCACGCTGTTTATAATGAGCAGATAAATAAAATATTCTACAGAATAATTGCCCTAGGTGTAAGCTATATTATCTCATCCATTTCCCCCCACTATATCACTGTCAGTCACATTCCCATCCCCCATAAAATAGTCCGTATATAGCTATAAAGACGCGTGAATTGTATTAACTAAATAAAATAATTTAAATATTAATAACTTGCGGATTTATAAAATTTATTTTTTACACGCGTTTTGATGATTTCACTTTCTGCGTTCTGCGTTGCGACCTCACTTGCATTTCATCAAACACCCTCACCATCCTCATGGACATTTTCCAGAGTGGTGAAGCGAGCCATCCCGCAGAATTCTCACTCAATCCGGTACCACCTGAGCAAGATAGCGAACAAGATCTGCGCACTCAACTTGACCAGTTACTCTCCCAAAAGGATGCACAATTGGCAAATACAGGTAGATTAGGTGAAAATTTATTACAACAGCGGCAAGAATTAGCCGCTTTAATTCAATCTGTAGATAATGGCGATGAGAAAGTCGAAGAACTCAAGGCGACGATGAACAGATTGGAAGGCTTGAATCATGATATAAGTTCACCTGGCAATATTTCAGATTCTACTATTATGCCTACCTTGAATTCTACATCCTCATTCGCACTCAGCACTGCTGCCAACTCACCCCAGCCGTTTGCAGTCCCTAGCGCGCCTGCACAAAAGAATCAATCGAATAGAAGATCCAGGAATGCTGCTCATAGATCAGATGATGTTGAATTTGCAGCTGAAATTGGTCAACATTTACTCATTGAAGTTAGACGTTTACAGTCTTTGGTTGCGGAACGTGATGATACCATCAAAAAGTTACAAATCGATAATGAGAACAATCGTGCTAATCAAGATGACACTCTTCTTCGTATGAGTACACTTGAACAAGCTGTTGATAGATTTAAGGAAGATAATTGGAACCTTGAAATGCAAAATCAAGATTTACAAGCGTCCAACACTCAACATCAAGATCAACTTACTAGGTTAGAAGCTGAGCGTAACAAGCTAACTAAGACATTGTCAATTACTAAAGATTCTCTTGATGAACGTCGCCAAGATACAGAGAAGTTAAATCAGTCACTCGATCAACTGAAACAGAAATATGAGACAGAAACAGCATTAGCGAGAAAGGATCGCGCTACGGCTGGCCGTGAAAAGAGTGACTTGACAAGTGCATTAGAGAATTCCAAGAAAGAAATTGAGAGACTTGAAAAAGAGAACAAAGCGAAGAATAAATTTAGAAATCAATCTAGTGATGCTAACATTACTGGTACCTTCAATGATGGTGATATCAGTCGTAAGAATCTTCTTGAAGGTGACTTCGATCCAGATCGCAGTGACTTTGGTCATCCTGGAGAGTACCACCCAACTCAAGGTTTACTTGATGAAATGTTCGAGGAGGGTGATATGACAACGAGACGTAGAACAACTGGTAACTTCCACTTACCGATGTTAGACTCACCAAGATCTGTTCGTGTTAATACCAATGAAGGTAACATGACTCCAGGCGGTGCACGTACAGCATCAGCATTAGCTTCAGAGAATGAAACTTTACGTGTTGCAAATAGTAACAAAGAGAGAGTCATCACAGGTCTTCAAAGACAACTCCGTAATGAGAAGTCACAAATCGTCGAATTCAAACGTAAACTTGCTTTATCGCAAAGAGGAACAGATGAAGGTGTCGAAGAAAGTTCTGAGGATGAGATTATCGAAGAGGTAGTCAGTGAGAGTAGCCCATCTAAACTTCCAAGTAGATTAAGAGGAAGAAAACCACGTAGCTCCAAGCTCCGTAAGACTGTTTCTATTGAAAACAGCGATGTTAGCGAGGTGAGGGTTTATATGATCTTTTTATAATGAGACTAACTCAAATTCAAGTTCGATGATACCAGTCAATCATCCATTCAACCACCAGAATTTGAAGCACCTGGCTCACCAGATCAAAAAGATGATGGCCTTGATCCATTATTTGCTTCACATTCACCGGTTAAAAAACCAGTACAAAAGCAAGACACCAGTTCCTCCGACGAAGAACAGGAAGAGATTAATACGTCTATGTCGTCAATTGGTAGAAGACGTGGTAGGGCTGTCAAAGGTAAACTCTCAAGCTCAGGCTTACGCGAATCTTTCACCGCCTCATCTCTCCCAACTTCACGCAAGGCTAGTTTGGCTGATACTTCCGAATTAGGTGGTATCCACGAAAACACTATAGAGAAAGTAGTTGAAAAAGAGGTTCCAACTGAAAAGATTGTCGAAAAGGAAGTTGAAAAGATCGTCGAAAAAGAGGTACCAGTTGAGAAGGTAGTCGAGAAAGAAGTCCCCGTTGAAAAGATTGTCGAAAAAGAAGTTCCAGTTGAAAAGATCGTCGAGAAAGAAGTCCCAGTTGAGAAGATCGTTGAAAAGATTATTGAAGTACCTGTCGAAAAAGTTGTCGAGAAGATCGTAGAGGTACCCGTAGAGAAGATTGTGGAAGTACCAGTTGAGAGGATAGTAGAAAAGATCGTCGAAGTTCCAATCGAAAAAATCGTTGAGGTACCTGTCGAAAAGATTAAGGAAGTACCGGTGGAGAAGATAGTAGAGATACCAGTTGATAAAATTATCGAAATACCCAAGGAGATTGAGGTTGAGAAGATTGTCGAGCGCGTTGTAGAGAAGCCGATTGAAGTTGTTGTTGAAAAGCAACTCAAGCCAGATGAACGTGTTGTTGAGAAGGAAGTACCTGTCGAGAAGATCGTTGAGAAGATTGTTGAAAAGAAGGTCGAAGTGCCTGTCGAAATACCTGTTGAGGTGAGTAATAAGTGATCTGCCTTTACATCTAACGCATGATAGAAAATTGTTGAGAAAGTTGTCGAGAAGAGAATTGAAGTACCAATCGAAATACCAGTCGAGGTTCGTAATAGCTCTTTCAATCAGTTTTACTAATAAAAACTAGAAAATTGTCGAAAAGATCGTCGAAAAGAAAGTCGAAGTTCCTGTTGAGGTTAGTAGCACGTTCGGCAAATATTTTATTAACATTGTACAGCGCATCAAGTATGTTCCTACAGCTCATCCAAAAACTACATCAGTTGGTTCTCAAACCCTCAACGAGCAATCCAACTTGGGTGTTCAAACTGATGATGCCACGAATGACAATACTCCTCGTGTCAAGACAGTACACGTATACCATGAACAAGAGAAGTTAACCTCACCAACAAGCAAAGCCAAAAAGGTTCTTCCAACGTCAGAACAAGCGTCAGAACACAATGTTGAACATGTCAGCACAGTCTTGTCAGATAAACACAACACTATATCAAGAAGAGAATCCAAGGATATGCCAAGAAGAGCTTCCGCAAGTTCAGCCAAGGGTGGCCACATCGACATTATCTCACGTACAAATTCAACAGGAATACCATATGGCGGTATGCCACCACCTAGACCAACCTCACCACCGCCACCAGAGTTTATTCAGAGAGCTACTAACAGAGGCTCTCAAACCATTTCTACTGGCTCTAAGAATAGACCTACGTTGAAAAAGCATATGTCAACAATTTCATTCCAGAGTGCTGCTGGCAGTCAACACAATAGTAGGGCAGGTACACCACTTTCATCTTTCGGTAGCTCTTACAGGTCAGCTACACCTGGTACTGCATCTACACACTCTCGCACTCAAATGAAAAAGAAACACGAATCGTTCGGAACAGTCTCAAACATCGAGCGTCGCTCTTACAGTTTGAGTTCATCCTCTGCTCAATTTAGTGAGCCAAGAAGTACCAGTGAGAATGTTGAAGAGGATGATGAAAGCGACGAAGACAGCGTCAGTGTACCAGACAGTCATGTAGTGACAAACACTCAGCCGGACCCAATAATACAAGCAATTACACAAACTATGATTGGTAAGTGCGATCTTTCTATTACTAATTTCGCTAACTATTGTTTAGGTGAATTCCTCTTTAAATATACTCGTAAATCACTTGGAAAAGGTAATTCGGCAAAGCGTCACAGAAGATATTTCTGGCTTCATCCATACAACAAATCTCTCTTCTGGAGTGAAGACGAACAAGGCGCTCATGGCGTATTTGAAAGTAGCTCAAAGAGTGTCTATATCGAACGCGTGGAGAGTATAGATGATCCAAACCCATCACCACCTGGTTTGCATCACGAAAGTATACTCGTCTACACTGCTCAAGATCGTGAAATTAAGCTTACTGCATCTAACCGTGAAAGACACGAATTATGGTTGAATGCACTTTCATATCTCCTTCAGCGTAATTCGATGAACCCTATACCATATGCAACCTCACAATCAAGCTCACGTCCATCATTCAGTACCGTTGCAGAGATGGATTTTGGTACGAAACCACGCAGTTCAGTTGGAAGCAGCATAGGTAGGGGTGGTAACAATGGTTATGCCGATTGGTCATTCTCAACAGCAAGATCTAAGACAAGGTCGGCTTTGTCAAATATTGGTATGGGAATGGGAACTACGCCACGGGCTAAGAAGTATTTCTCAAGCTATAGCTCATCAACCGGCAAGAGAGCTGGTACCCCTGCATCTGAATACCTTAGAGCTAATAACGCCAGCTTAATGGATAGTCCTTCCAGACCGAAATCAAACGCAACTCAACGCTACAATGATGAAAACTACCGCGATCTTTCGAATGAGGATCTAGATGGATTAGATGATCCAAGAGTCTGTTGCGGTGGGAGACATACTGTAGCTGGCTTACAACATGACTGGAATCACGCAAACCATGCTAATCACAGAAATTCAGCATACAGAGCTGGGGCTGGTTCACCATTTTCATTGCGTTCACGCATGTCTGGTACTAGCACCTTCAGTCGCAAACATCGCTCACAGAACTCTATATCAGGTGTGTAGTTGATGTTTATGTTAATGATTACTAATGTAAACATATAGGACAGTTGTCGAACCCAAAATACCTTGCTATCGGTTCGCAATCAGCTAGCGTAAGACAAAGTCATCGCTGAGAATTTCATTTTTTTCATTTTTTTCACTTGTAACAAAAATGTGAATATTCTTACTACTGCTATAATTACAACATTAATCCGAGTCTAGGCCTATAGAAGCTTTCCTTCCAAATCCATCATTTTGGAAAAGGGAATCTAGAAGTGCGTTTTGAGATCTATGCTCTTCTTTAATCTTCTCGGCGGCAGGATCATGTGAAGGTTGAACTTGAACCTGCTTGTTATCTGGTTCTGGTGCGCTACTCAACCAATCAAACGATTTTGCTTGTGCACCTTCAAACAAAGGTGATTCGCTTCTTTCTTCTCTCAATCGTTGACTTTCAAGCATAGCAAAAATCTCATCTTCATCATCATCACTGAGTGCATCATCGTCATAACGCTTCTCATTTTCTTCCAATTTTCTAACTTGATATTCGATTTCATCAATTGTGTCAGTCTTCTGTTTCGGCTTTGATGGTACTACTTTATCGTCCAAATGATTGTAGAAGTCTACATTATCAGCATACACCTTTAATGGATCTCTGAAGGAGAAGTCGTAAATTTCATTCTCTGCGCCTTCCTTGTACCATATAACACGGCCCTGATCGTCTTCTTCGCATAGCCATGGCCTACTGTCAATAGGAACATTCTCATTGCCTAGCATGTTTTCTCCGTAATGAATCGACCCATATCTACGTGGATCTATAATGATATGTTTAGATCTTTTGGGTGCCTTTGCTTCTTTCGTTACTTTAGGAGCCGATTTCGATGTAGAAGGTATTGGGAGTGGGTGATCTGGACGAATATGTATTGGATGTATGAGATGCTTGGCTGGAGTAATATACCAACCCTATCAATGGGGTCAATTGAGTAAGGTTAACATGCAAACGACTCACACTTCTCCATTTAGCATTGTATGGTGTAGTCAATCGCATATCCTTTGCATATGTCTTTAAAGCGCCTCTCAATCTCTTCTGAAGAAGTTTTCTCGCTTGCTTAAACTCTCTCTTACGCTCCTTCTCTATTGCTTTCTCTTTATCAATTTCTAATCTAGCGGTGTAATTTGGTTTAGCTTCACTAATTCTAAGTTTTGCGTCTTTCCAACGTGAGTTTGAAAATGTTTGCATCACTTTATAGAAACGTGAGTATATAAGGGCTAGTAAATAATGAACGTACATTTATTCAACTGTGCTTGACTTGATTTAAAGTTCATAAAGCAATATTTACGTGGATCGCCATTACCATCTCTACCGCATTCTTCTACACTTAAGACGCTGCCAAATCTGCTAAATCTATTCTCTAAATCTTTTAGCGTAATAGACGGCGTTAAACCTGCTATATGTAACCGCTTAGTGATTTCACCCTCCTGCATAATCTTGATAGTCTCAACGAAAGCTAGTATTCTTCGTTTTATACGTCGATGGCTACAATAGAAAATTCTCCGATAAATAGACAATCAACAGCCTTCGAGAATACAGAATTGAGTTATTATAGATCTGAAAAAGAGATAAAAGAAGAGGAATTAGCTCAAAAGATACGCAATAACTACAACGATGAGAATGACCACGACGAGACAAACGAAGCTGTATACGGTAATTTAGATAGGTGAGATAGTATAGAATTCACGCATTTCTCTCTAAATATACATCAGATATGGTTTCTTCCTTCACAATTATGACAACAAGCAGAGACTAACTATTTTATATAAAACAAAGCGTGTACCGTCAATCAAACGTCCGTCAAAATCTCACAAGCGTAGACCGGAAACTGATCAAGATAAGGCCAGAGTTGTCAGCAAGTATTTGAAAGGCGCGGACATGCTCTCTCTTAAAGAAATGGATAGAATTGAAAAGTGGAGGGACATGTTACAACCTAAACACCGTGATATTGGTAGTAATGTACGCTTATGGCGTTTGAAAGCCAAGCTCAATGAAACTACTCTAGCTAAACGGCTAGTTAAGGGAGTTCCAGATCGTTGGAGAGCAGCTGCTTGGGAGTCTATACTTCTAAGAAATATCGAAAAAGAAGGCGAATTTCCAAGACCACTTTACAGTCAAAATGTCTCAGGCTCTAGTGATAAGATGAGTATGAAATCTGGTTTTAGACCAGCATCAACGCGATCGATATCTACAATAGGCGAGGAGACCAATGAGAGTCTCAGTAGCTCAGAGCAGATCAACAAGTCAACTATGGATAGGCTCACAAAAGAATACTTTGATAAGCAGTCTGAACCGTCTAGCTATGACATACAGATAGATTTAGATGTACCTAGAACAATTAGTGGTCACTTCCTTTTCCACAATAGATATGGACTCGGACAACGTAACTTATTTCATGTTTTGCACGCATTTTCACTCCAAGATAATGGTTACTGTCAAGGAATGGGCCCAATAGCCGCTACTTTGCTTTGCTACTATGAACCCGAAAAGGCGTATGCTATGATAACCCTACTGGATAGGCATTATGGTATGCATGAAGTCTTCAAGCATGGTTTCCCTGGTTTATTAGAACATCTACACGTTCAAGATGAGATTGTGAAATTGACCATGCCAAAGGTGTACGAGAAGCTCGATCAGGAAAATGTACCGCCAACTTCATATGCAACTAAATGGTATATCACTTTATTTGCAAATACTGTACCATTTAAAACCCAGTTGAGGTTCTGGGATATGTTAATGTTTTATGGTCCGGATGCAATCGTTGCGTTCTCAATATCGATCCTTTGGTCATTGAGACATAACATCATTGAAAAGAATTCCAATTTTGAAACAATTTTAACTAGTTTATCAAATTTCTTCATACCAGAAGATGAGGATACATTAATGAGCGTTTGCTCATCAATACTCAATGATGCTCAGATCAGAACTGAGATGGATCGCTCGAGAGAGAATTATAGAAGTGAACAATAGAAGTAAAGGGCATTTTCTAAAGTATACCCATATTGCAATACGCTACTCGTTCAATTTGTTATTTAAATTATTCATGCGATTGAACTTGACAGTTGTCAAGTGACTTAAATTATCCTTTTCTTCTGTCGCCATATAGACAATCGTGATGGCGTCCGCTTTTATTACGCTGGCTTAGAACAAAACAGATGCTCTTTGTAGATTATTTGGAGATTTCACATGAGTTGGAAGACATTGAGTGGATCAGAAAGTCAAATAAATTCAGATCATTAATCTAAGACATTCTAAAGGTTGTATGTAGTACGACGTCGATAGCGTTTATTACGCGAAATTGTGTATTCATAGTAACGAACTATATAGTCGCTGTATTTGAGTTGTCAGATACTTTTCAAGCCATAGGATTGTCCATCAGGGTCCAAAGTTCAATGAACGTCATGTCCTTTCCTATTTAGGAATCTCTCCTGAATGTTTGGAAATGTAAACTATTTCCTAGCGCTATATAGGGAATGTTCACTGTATTTTTTTCTTCTCAAACGCTCGATAATTGTAACGCATATAAAATTCATCTTGTCCATTCCAAACTACTGTTTGTCATTCCAACTACCAGAGGTTTCTCAGCTGTGTTACTAAGGAATATTTCTAGTTCAATTCCAAATTCCCATAACATCAAAAAAATCGTAATTATGTGCTCTAACATCCCCTCCTTGGATCAGCTAAAGCTTGACTTAGAAATCCTATAAATAATATCATAAAGCTAATGAGAGGAGTTTCCTTCAAAACTTTGCTCCAACCGAAACCCTCCTTGTTGAAATTAACAACGAGAAAGAGGATATACGTTGAGACAACACAGGACGGCCATATTACTACTAACCAATCAGCGTTAATAAGATTTTCCAGTAACATTTTGATAGAGCAAAGGAGGGATTAGCTCTATAAAACAAAATAAAATAACGAAGTAGAAAAAAATTTCTAGATCTATGGTAATGCGGGTGTCGGTTGGTTTTAGGACAAACAGGGTATGCTTTGATTGTTACTAGTTAACTTGAAATATGTTCACTTAGACACTTGACGTCACCTCTATATCAACCGAATGTTTGTGACTCTTTTACATTAGTGTAAATAAAATAAGGCGCTGGGGTAGTGTCACTTTGGCGTAAAGTACGTAAATCTATTGGTTACAATGCTATGATGAACATAAATGAAGGTTAATCAACTGTATTAAATCAACCCGGCGTAAGCATTAGGAAAAGACATAATCTGCTCCAAAGTTTGAGTTCCTCGATTTGCACTCATCGTATACGGAGATTTTTTCATGCATCATGACATTTAATCATTCAGAAAATGTATCAGACATTTAATGTCTACTCGTTACAGACTAACAGCATGTTTGTTATATAATATACGTATAGATTTATTAACTAAAGTTAATCGGTTTTGTGTAATTTTATCTTACGAAAACTTCAATGTCCGCTTTTTCCTTAACGTCCTCTTATTACTATGAATAAGTTCGAATTTAACACTAATTGACTGTATCTTCAGCATATATACTTGTATTCCAGTACAACCACAGTTAAAGCTAGCTTACCAAGACATATAATGACATATAATAACGCATAAAAAGTGACATCGGCATCAATCCCAGGAACGGTTTAGTCAACTTGCATAAACGGCTATTATCACTTGTTGCGCAAATCCAAAGGAGGACGCCATTTCAAAAGACACAAATGCGACTCAGCCTGCATCTATACCTATGTGATTTAAACCTACGCTTGATGGAGGAGGATATCATACCACTAAATAGTTTGAGGACGAAGATCCTTTTCTCAGTGGATACAGCTCGCTCAAATATCGCACAAATGGATATTGAAAGTAATGAGAACGAGTTTAAAGCAGATATCTTGCAACTTGCACCAGAAGAATCAGAAAGCAATGTTAAGAACTATACTGATTTCTCAAGACCAGCATTACTAGAAAAGCTCAAAGGAAGTACATATTTCGTGGTCTTTAGTAACAAGGAAGGACTCGGTATTACCTGCTCAATTCAAACAGAGTTTGCGATTATGGTTTTGGTCATTTGGTTTATATTGATACTAATCTTAAACCCAAAAAGTATCCTTAATGTTATTTTGTCTTTGGGAAAGTAATTCTTTGCTATAAATTGTAATACATTTCGTATGTCTGTATCTAACGAATTTTGAACACGGTCTTTTATGTGGTATGGGACGTGTCGACCAATTCAATCACAGCATTTATCTCGTTCCTCTTTACGAGCTTTAAAACACGTACGAAACACAAAACAGCTCCTTCATCATATCGCTGACGCGTACAGTTAATGCGATTCAAGATACCGCTCTACTTCATAGACCTCATCCTAATTTTGCTTGAATTAAATGATGACAAGCCATTGTCTATGACTATATTCTCATTACTATATTCTTATTAGGAACTATAGAAAATAATAGTGATTTATAAGACGTTAATCGCTACCACTTTATTACTGATCGTAACTCCTCATAAATATGTATGACTGACTATTTATATTTAATCTCGTCTGACACTTTGGAAGACCTTTTAGATTTCAAACATGTCGACTGGTCATTCTGCAATTTTGCTCTTATCAATTACACATTTCATCGTCTGGTTGGTAACCTGATTTGTCGGAATTGTTAAAATGTCACATCACAAAAGATCTGTTATACTAACTAAATTATTTGGAACATTTTCATTCCGATGACATCATTTGCATCAATCAGAAGTTGGTAACTCTCTTCTGACAATCGCAGGCGAAATAAAACGCAGTTAATGATTAAGATTGAATTGATTCTGTATCGTTTTTTGATTGATTCACAGCACAGGTACTAAGAGCGCCTTCTCTCACTAAGGAAGGTAGGAAGAAACATCACCGGAACGACGACTTGATAGTTAAACACCTTCTTGTGGGTTCTATAATCTAGTGCGACAATAAGAATTTGCTGAAGTCCACTTTTCTTCTGTCAGTCTTAAGCAAATTACTGACTAGAGACAACCAGACTGATCAGTGATATCGTGATAATAAACAGGCACGATCCATGTAATTCTTACCTGAGCTTACTACTTGTATCTACAAATCCACCTTGAGTCGTGCAACGCTTAAGAATCTTAACATGTAGCTTTTGATTGCGTAGTGTGTCTTTGTCTTCAACTGAATCTGATCATGCCATACATCATTTTGAATATATACATTCAGTTGAACACATAGAAATAGACGAGCTGCACGAGGACAAAGTGTACGGATATGAAGGAGCCCCTTGGATTCTACATTAGTAACGTGCAAACGTGATTCAAATGGCAACGAAGTCAAGAGTTTACGATACTGTATGATCCAAATTTAGTCCCCAGGAGGTCTTAACTAGTCTTCTTTGTTATTGGTGGGGTTACACCTGAATCTACCATCACAGAAGAGTGTTCATAGCTTTTGTTAACAATCAATACATACGTCGGAAACCCAAATATTAGATACGAATACTTTCCTCCTAGTAGTTATTGTAAGTAAGCTTATCCGGTTCATTATTTATTGCATGCTTTCCATTATTGCAGATACGAAGCTGGTTCTTTTTGAAGTACGTTAACACCAGTCATAAGAAATACTGCAATATATCTTTAAAAGTGATACTAAACAAACGATATTGTTTTCCAAATTTCAAAAAAGCCACTCGTGGATTGTGACGTCGATGACCTCACGAACTTCTTCGTACTTGAGCGACAGACTAAATAGTCTTAGTATAGAACTAGACTCATTCCCTATATCGGATAAAGCTTTAAAAAATGGTGGTAATATCTCCAAATCACTCTCTTTATTAGTTAAAGATCACTCACTTCAAACTGCTACAAAAGCATTGAATAATATCAACGTAGAGAAAGGCGAGAGTGAATTAGAATGGTTACTACTCGCTAGAGTCACACTTGTGCTCTACGATAATATCGTCGCAAGTCTCCTCAATCATGCCGTTGAATTGAATAGTTTAAGCAATTTCTGGGAGAGAACGCTTGAATCTAGATTTAAATCTTATAATTATTTATTACAAAGTGAGTAATATGTACGTCGTTATAATCTATCTCAACAACCTCGTAAAGCACTCCCAAATCGCGCATTCAATTATGCTAAGAACTCACATCCGTCTATACACTCACTGTTTCCTTATAGTCAAGTAGGACTATCCTTAAATCTCCGGACCCTTACTTTCGAGCCTCTTAATCTCTTAAAGTTTGAATTACAGTCGCATATTGACGAGATAGGTATCTTAAAGGATGATATCGCCAATTCTGTCGGTTTACTAGCATCTTTTAATGGACTAAAAGATGGATTCGGCCCTGATAATAAAGGTAATACCGGAAGAAGTCTCGGAGGCGATCTTAACAATTGGATCAAACACATTAAAAGCGTGTTGAATACACTCACCAAAGATGATCAAGTGAAAGTAAACGAAGCAACTTCATTTAGAGCTATTCTAGATAATTTAAAGACGTTAGTCGAGAATGTTATCCCATCGCACACAGCAAGTATCACGAGACGCGTAGAAGTACATAAAAGACCATCAACGCTTACTCGTTGCTGGCCAAAGCTTTTAATTGGACCTCCAGTCTTACTTGTAATTGCTAGGTTGGTGTTAAGATCGCAAGATGCAGTCAAAGCCTATTTGAGAGATATTGGTGAGACGGCAAGAGGATTCGTACAGAGCTGGATTGTCGAGCCAGCAACACACATCATCAATACAATTAGATTTGGTGGACGTGGTTTAGGTGTCACTGAAGCAGGCCTTGAAAGTGATATCGCCAGTCTTGAGAGAATGGTAAAAGATCTAGGCAAAGAAAATCTCAAGCTTTCTGATGCACAGTTGTTGGAATTGGGAAACAATGTCCGTAAAGGTGATTTATCAACTGTTTTACAAGTGTATGAGAATGAAATGAAGACGCCTTTTAAATCAGCACTCTTTGGTCAACTTGTTAGAGCGCTACTTATACAAATCCAAAAAGTTAAATGCGACGTTGACACAACTATGACAAAACTGGATGCTTTACTTAAATCGCAAGAACTGACATTCGGATTTGTGGGTGTGGCTCCATCATTAGCGATCGTATACTTCGTTGGTAGTTGGTTCTCCCGCTTTTTGGGCTTAATAGTTGGTAAAAAAGAGATATCACTCAAACGTCGTGTGGAGTTATTTGAGTGTATTAGACGTATAGATTTCCTATTAGTCCCATCTTTGGGGTCACCACTACCAGAGAAAACATTGGGCCATCTTTTACTTTCAACTTCCATAATGCGCAGATGTTCATTAGAGATTTATAACAAACGCTTAAGAAGAGGCCTAGTTGATGACTTGAACGCATTGGAAGTCCCACAAGGTGACGTTATGGATAAAAGAGCAATTGTTGAGCGTATGTGGAGATCCTGGGGTGGTGCACTTGATTGGAACAAGGCAGTTTCTAATGCTCGTTGATAAAAGTTTTGTACTGTTGCCGATTGCATATGGAATCATTCATGCATTGTTTATTCATGTCTACATTGCATAATGTAATGACTATCACTGAGTAGACCCTTTGAAGGTACTTTTCAAGATTAAAAGTTCCGTTACTTATGATAGGGTACAATGTTTGATATCTGCCGAATATCGGCTAAGAAAGACCCCAAATTTCGGAGAACTAATCGTGATTGTGGAGGTATATTTGTATGACTGTATTGCTGCGTATGAAGTAGTTTGATGAAACAATGATTTCATTCGTAATCTAAGTCATACACTACGATTATCTCACTTGTCTTAGACCAACGTGCAGATAAGGATCGGTATTGTAGAAAAAACCACAAAGGATATTCCCGAGAGCTGCTACTGGGAATCTATCTTAAACCCATGTTATATACTTCATTTTTCTCAATACTGCTGTCAGTCGATCTGAACCAGTTTAATAACGCACGGACTGGTAACTTGATTAATTAAGGGCTGAAAATCACTGAGAAGCAGTTTTATGATAAGTTTAAAATAGTTTTGTAACAAATTATTGTGATATCGGGTGAAATATGTAGCTATCCGCAGTTATATGTATTTAAGTTTAGATCAAAGGAAAAATTTCCGCCTTAAAGGAAGTTTAAATGATTATAAGTTGTATAAACACAAAGAGAACACCTCAGTATAATATTTGAATTTATTTTTGTAAATGAAACTTCATCCATTCACGTGTTCCTGAATCGCAAAAAAATGTGGTTGATAGAATTCCCATCGCTCTCTTGTTCCACAACAATACAATTTCGATAATAATTCCAGCAAAATGCCCAGCAAGTTTGCCGAACGTCTCTCTAACTGGAATGAGACTGTTAACGACAGAATCGCTGACAGTTGGTTCGGTCGTTACTTTAGATTAGATGGCTCAGGTGAGTTGAATACGCAGCATAAGATTTCCAATTCACTAATCACTTTATAGGACATAAGAAAGCCCGTGCAGGTGCTAAGTTTACACAAGAAATTCGTGCTGGTATCACGACCTTCGGTAGGCGGCAGAACGTTTTTCAATCTATCCTTTCTCACAGATATTCTATAGTTGCTATGGCATATATTATTTCAGTCAATTCCAACGTACTTCAAAGTTGCGGTGGTACGTGCAGATGTGACCATTATGAAGGCGGTTGTGAAGATCCTGATTACCTGGATTGCACAAGAGAATTTCGCAGGGATATTATTACAGCAACTTCAGCTATTTCTTGCATTGGTTCATTTTTAATGGGTGTTATGGCTAACTTACCTGTTGCTATTGGTCCTGCTTTGGGTCCGAACGCATACTTCGCAAACACTGTCGTTGGTATAAACAATAGTGGTAGAACAAACTATGAGACTGCACTCGGTGCTGTATTCTTGGAAGGTGTTATTTTCGTTGTTTTGGCTATGTTCGGTGTACGTGCATGGCTTGCCCGTTTGGTTCCACGCTCAGTCGCTTTGGCCGCTGGTGCTGGTATTGGTTTCTTCGTCGCATTCACTGGTTTATCACCTTCAGGTTTGAATGTACTTGGCAAACATCCATCAAACATAATCGGATTGAGTGGTTGCCCAGATGGTGCAATGGAATGTCCTGATGCACAAATAATGAGATCGCCTACAATGTGGCTTGGTATTTTCTGCGGTGGTGTCATTACAGTCTATCTGATGCTTTATCGCGTTAAGGGTGCTATATTCTTCGGTATCATTTTAGTTTCAATCATTTCCTGGCCAAGACCAACACCTGTCACTACCTTCCCTTACACGGATGAAGGCAATCAAGATTTCGACTTCTTCAAAAAAGTTGTCACATTCAGACCTATTAAGCAATCTGCCGGTGTTCTTAACTTTGATTACAGTGATGGTCACACCTGGATTGCGCTCATTTCATTCCTTTACGTTGATTTATTGGATGCTACTGGAACCCTTTATTCCATGGCAAGATTCTCTGGTGTTATGAATGAACGTACACTCGATTTCGAAAACTCAACGATGGCTTACACTGCTGATGGTCTTTCTATCTTAATTGGTTCTACTATGGGTAGTTCACCAGCCGTCACTTTCATTGAATCAGCTGCTGGTATTGCTGAAGGTGGTAGAACAGGTATTACCGCAATCACATGCTCATTCTTATTCTTCATTTCTATTTTCTTTGGTCCAATTTTCGCATCTTTCCCAGCTTGGGCTACTGGAAGTACCTTGGTCATTGTCGGATCATTGATGGCGAAGAACATTGTTGATATTAACTGGGGATACCTCGGAGATGCTATTCCTGCATTCTTAACAGTCATTATGATGCCACTCTCATACAACATTGCGTACGGTCTTATTGCTGGTATCCTCTCATACGTTGTAATCAACACAATTCCAGCAATTATCAGAAAGCTTACTAAGAATAAGATTTCACCACCAGATTATGACCGTAAGGATGTATACTGGGACACTCAAAGAGCATACTTCGTTCCACCATGGATGAGACGTCTCGCCAAAGGTGACAAGAAATTCTGGAAGGGTGATGAACATGATGATGAAAGCTATTATGATGACGAATATGAACACGAAATGGAAGCTGAATCTATCACTTCTTCGATGAGAAGAGAAAGATTAAGATCCTCAGCTGGTACATCCAGATTTGATGAAAAATCATTTGTAGATGATGATGACAGTGAAGACAACCACAAACCACATCAAAATGTTCACAGTATTCCATTGGAATCCCCAAACATCCAAACGATAGAAAATGAAGTGCATTACAAGCATTAAATTGCCCCACAATTTCAGGATATAGTGTAAATTTTTCTCGCGGAGTTTTCTTATCTTTTTCTTACTGGTTATCTTAAAGCACTTTTAATGGGAATTATTTCGGATAATTTGTATACTCTCTTTTAATTTTTGTTATTTTAAACATTCCTTTATATCCAAATAATAACGGAGAGCCGAGTCTCTAAGCGGGCTCATTGTGTCAAATGATTTTGATAAGCGACGACGATGACAAGCGTAGTAATTATAGGTGGTGGTATAATTGGAGTTTGTACTGCATACTTTCTAAGTAAAGAAGATGGTGTTGATGTCACAATCATTGAGAATACTGATATCGCATGCGGAGCATCCGGTAAGGCAGGTGGATTTTTAGCAAAAGATTGGCATGGAAGTGCTACAGAGAGTTTAGGAGATCTCTCATACGATTTACATAAAAAACTGTCCAATAAATACAATGGTGAACAACGCTGGCAATATCGTAACATTCAATCGTCGAATGTTCTCCTTAAAGCGATCAAATCAACTAACGACAACAAGCCAAAACTGAACGTAGTACATGATAATGATGAGGTTGGTAGATTTTTCGACTAAAAGTAATCACTGATTATTCTTTAGCCATTTAGACCGCGTCCTCCAGCAAAAAGTGAATCAAACATAGACTGGATCTCTAAACCACTTGAAGACGCCCGAGGAATTATATCACATGAAATGGTTTCAGATGAGGATACTACATCACAAGTAGATCCCTATTTGTTCACTACTAGCATCTTTGAAGAAGCTACGAAAAATGGCACAAAATTTGTCAAAGGTATAGCAAAGACATACAAGAACAACGTTATAACTTTAGAAAGCGGCGAAGAGTTACCTGCTGATAAGTTAGTTTTAGCAGCTGGACCGTGGACTCCAAGCGTTTTCAAAATGCTTTTCCCTCAATCTGAATTTGACCTTCCAATTGATGCTTTACCTGGATATTCCTTGATTTTGCAACCAAATAACTTACCAGCGCCTCATGCTGCTTTTACTACTATACTCGGATCTGACAGTATCTGTATGAGTGGTACACCTGAACTATTCAGTAGACCAGATGGGTCTGTATACGTTGCAGGTGAAAATGAAGGTCCCGAATTGCCATCGACAGCAGGTGATGTGAACGATGTTGCATTGACACAAAAAGAAAGATGGGATATGCTTTTGTCAGCTGTTCATGAACTTGGTCCTTCATTAGCGAATGCTAACGTGTTGAAGAAGCAGGTACGTCGAGCTTTGAATGCACTGTACATTACTCAGCGTCCTCTTAGCTCTGTTATAGACCAATTACGCATCGCAAACGCCCAATTGTCTCTTCGTTGAAGAGCGTCGTTGGTGATAATGTCTTTGTTTCGTCAGGACATGGACCATGGTATGTATTATATATCTTTTGACATAAGTTGACACACGTTTAGGGGTATCTCCCTTGCACCTGGCACTGGACTTGTTCTTTCTCAATTAGTGTTGCATGGCAAAGCAACAAGCGCGGATATCTCACAACTCACAATAGAAAATTTTTAAATATAACCCGAACATGTCTATAAATTGATGATCTGAATCATACAACAAAAGCGTTTTACTCGGAATAATGAAGTTTTGCCGGATTAACAGAACTGTCTAATCTGACTGCAAACATTTCGGTTTCTGCCAAAACGATAACCAATCCATCTCCAACGATGACGAAATTAGCTGAAGTAGTTCCTACATTGATTAAACCTAATAGATCACCGCGCTTGTCCCAAACTGAAACACCATCACCCACACCTGACCACACGTTACCTTGATCATCGCAGTGTATGCCATCGGGAACGCCAGTGAGAGCATGTGCGAACAAACGACGATTTCTGAAAGTAAGGAAACCGTCATCGTTTATAATATCATATGCATAGATACTTGCTGGAAGGTGAGTATTTACTGTACCATTCATAGCACCTGTATCCGTGCTAAATGAGTTATTTAATGAGTACCCACGTCGTTATTTTACACTTACACATAAGCGACTGATTCATCAGGACTCAAGGCAATTCCATTTGGATGAACAAAGTCGGATGCCAATGGTCTCACTTTACCTGTGTTAATATCAAATGTATAGACCATTTCAGGAAGTTGAGGGAATGGGGAGAAATCTTGCAAAAATCCGTACAAGCTGTCGACGAAGATGATTTGGTTGCTTGAATGTATCTATCGCTTTTAGATAAACAAAACTTGCTTTATTAAAACCTACCTTTAAATCATTAAGAGAGTTGAATGTCTAATAAACACAACGTGAGCTTTTGTTCTACTTGAAAAAAATTCTCACCCACCCTTCCATAGAAACTCGTCAAAAGTGGTGTAGTAGTGTTGGTTTCAGGTTCATAACGGAAAAGACCTGGTGCAACACCTGCATTCTCGCGTCCTTCGGTAGCAATAATGATTGAATTGTCTAAATAAGGTTGCATTCCATTTATCATCTGTATTTGATCGCTAGGATTGACATAAGTAACAGTAATATTCGTATCAACGCCATTATTCTCTATGTCTTTGAGATTTATGTAAAATAATCTATTGTTAAGATCTGGTCCGGATCCGCCATCACCAGCATTGGAAGAGAAATAAACGCGATCACCTCTCACTAGTGGTGCCTCATGAAATGCGTTAAAATCTGGATCATATGATTTAGCAATTGATTGTATAGATGGGTTATTACCTAATATATTCTTGAATGCCTCATCAAATACTTGGAATTTAGGTGAATGATCATCATTAATGTAAAAAGGAGTATCAAATCCACGATCAGCTACTAATTGACTAATTGCATGTGGTCCTGAGAGGTCTTCCACTTGTGAAGAAGCCTGAGCGGTATGAACACCCAATCCAAGTGATAGAGCAGCTTTAGTTATTAACTTATTGAACATTTTTATTCAACACTCTTGGTGTGTCAGGTGAGAGATTCTCGGTAGATTATTCAATCAAGGTTTCGTCATATCTTCCCTACTTTTTGACAATAAAAGGAGTGGATGTTAACAAGAAAGGCTAATTGAATAAGACTAAAGTGATATTGTTGAATTACAAACCAATACAACCAAAGTAGCCAATGCTATAGATGTATTTTACCAAAGAGACAGCAAATGGCTTACAACGTTAATGATATATTTAATTTAATCAATACAGTTCTTTAAAATCTAGCAGTATATCTATTCAGATAAATGCTTGGACCCTTCAGCTCAGAAGGAAACTTGGAAGAACTACAAAAAGAGCAAATTATGTAGGAACACAAGAGACCTTTATGCGAAATTGGAAATCAAATTCAACAATCATAAGAGTTATACAGTGTCTTAGGCGAACAAGATCCCTAAAGTAAGGCACTACAAGCCTCATCTGATGAATTGACGATGATAAAAAAAGTTTTACATCTGAAATCAAATCTAAAAAGGTAGCTCCGGCGATCTCGTAGAGAGTATCTACATTAGCGCCTCTTCGGATGGATGTTAGTCATATATTAGTGTAGCTGCATCATGTCAAAATGATCGATTGCTTCAAATAAAATGGAATAGAATAGAGGTGATCTCATGTTACTCGCACTGGTGTTTATAATATATACTCGAATCTATTTTAAGAACGTCGACGAAAATTTGCATCGATAAACATACGCTTACACTAGAGTATTTCACTTTACTTTATTAAGAAAAATTGGCTCTTTTACTTTCCACTGCGATTGTATGCAAGCGGGTGTCTTAAGTAAACTCTAAAAGCAATTCTAGTGTGCTCAATCTTGGTACCATCATCAACCAGCAAAAGCACTTCAAGCATATCGATCAACCCTGAGCGCTACCCTACTCAAACTATGCAAAATCTATAATTTTATAAGTTGACAAATAATTTACAAATGCTTTCTATTTGATAAAAATCTACTACGTGAATAGCGAGATAGTGGTAAACTACGTCTGTAACCAGAAGATTTCCTCGAATTGTTCCATACTTTTGACCACTCAATTATAAGTCTTTTGAGTTGCTGAGGTGTGTATGTTTTATGAGCACCTGGAAATAGGTGTACCTTCGTCCAATTGCTTCTACTGTAATCCTTATATACATTCTTCTTCTCTCTTCTCTTCTTCATCAAGCGGATCGTGTCTCTTAGTATTTTATTAGGTGTACGAATGTGTTTGACGATCTCATCTGATTCTTTGTACATTCCATTATGATCATAGAGACGATATAATGTAGCTAAAATGTTGTCATCAAGTAATTGTGGAGGTTTATCCAACCATCTACTGATCTTTAACGCTTTACGTGGTTTTTGTGCATCCAAATGAGCCTTAACAAGCAGATGAATCGTTTCATCGTTGACTTTCATCTTTTTAGTTAACATCCAATCAAACATTTCACCAGCTTCAACTAATTTACCAGCTTTTGCATATCCAGCAGAGATAATTGAATACATAATTGAATTAGATTCAACACCTGCTTTACCTGCTTGTTGAATAATTGATTTGGCAAGTGAAAAATTACCATTTTGTGTTGCACCTTCAATTAAAGCACCAAAATGATATTTCGTTGGTTTATAACCCATGCCAACAATCTCCTTTAAAACTGCTTTTGCTTCTTCAAACTCCCCAGATATTGCTAGTAATCGCATCTTAATTGTAATTGACATACCATCATCATTTTGACCTTTCCTTTCTAAATAATCTTGTATTTTTGATATAGATTCGTAAGAGGGTATATAAGTTGGATGCTTTTTACCAACGCCTGGCGTGCGCACTTGAATAGATTTTGAAGGCTGGCTTATAAATGCTTTTACGTGATCAGACGTAGATAATCTGATGATATTAAATAAACGCATATTCAATGATATTCTATGTGATGATATTGCTATTAACTTGTTGAGTATGCGTAGAAGTTTTGATGGTGGCATGTGTAAATTATGTAAGTGCTGTATAATTAATTCTAATGTTTTGTGATCCGGTTTAGATTTTGATCTCTTGAATAGGCGTAATGCAGTGTAGATACCCTTCATTTCACTAGCATCTGATAATCCACCTTTAAATAAAGCGTTTATAGACCTCGCTGATGTACGAATATGACCATTACGTAGTAGATTCAATGCGGCAGGTAATTCGCCAGCGCTTACATGGGCTTTGATAAAAGCAGATTCTACGTGACTGTTTGGCTTGTTGATGTATTTCTTATAATCCTCATAGTAGAACTTTGCCATTTCAAGATTACCATTCCGAGCAAAGACTTGTATAACGATTGCGTAGGTTGCAGCATCAGGATGTGGTTTCTTGAATGCAGTATTCCTTGACTCCAGTGTTTCCTTCACTAGACTTTCTAATGATGTGTCATTCGTTGTCTTTGAATGGTTAAAGAATTTTTCAAATATCCGCAACGCTAATCTGTCATCTTCTGCATCTATACGTAACATCATGAGCGCATTGAGTACCCTAGCATCAGCATTTAGTCCCAATTTAGCAGTATCATTAAGTGCGTGATGTTCGAGTGTTGGATCTATACCTAAACTTCTATATGCCCGTAAAATCGCCAAATGAGTAGCAACGTTATCTGTAAAGCCACTATTACGCATCTGAAAAAGATATGATTTCGATTGTTCCAAATTTCCATTTAAAAGTTCACCAAATATCAATGCATGGTAGGTATCCTGATTTGGAGTAATGTCGAAGTGTTCAAACTCTACTAGATTAACTCTTTTGTAGTCTTCGCAAGCGATTGACGAACGTAAGCGCAAATTGAGGATGTTTATTGTTGGTTTTTCATCATATGGAATCATTGAGAGTGTGTCTAAAGACATTGCGTATTCCTTTACATCTTCCATACTTTTGGCTACGCTCTCTATAACGTCTACCCCAACAAATTTATTTAAACGCCTAAATGTACGTAGAAGTTTAAATGCCCGCTCGTGTTGGCCAAGATGACAAAAGACTTTTGCGAATAATTCAACGGTGCTAGTGTCATAAGGTACCGCGTCTATCTTGCGAGCATACTTGAATAGTAAAGTTGCGCCATCAAGCATTGAATCATCGGGTATAGGATCTTGAAGCATCAAATCGAGTGTATAAGAGATAGCATAAGCAGGAAAAGAGACTGCAGTAGTGAGATGATAAGACCGCCGTAGAGAATTAACAATGTTATTGTAATTTGCAGATCCTAAAGCATGATTGAGTGTTGCATGCGAATCTTGTAAGGATTTTGAAAGCGTCTGACCTGGTGGTAAAGCTACAGATTGGCTTGTGGAAGGGACGATAGTTGGCGTAGTACTATTCAATTGTTAGCATATCGCGTTGATTGCATTTGCCATTATTTACCTGGACTGAGTATAGCCTAGAGATGGATTAACATGCGTGCAAATAAGATGATAAAACACTCACCATAACTAGATACGAATGCGTTAAAGCTTCTCAATTGAGATTCTAGTAGAGATAGCCTCGTACGCCCTCTGAGCATATGAGCGTAAGTTGTTAAGAGATGGTAACGAGAGGAAGAGACTAAATGAAGGGGATATGTATTTACATTAGTTGCTTAGTATATATAACCTATTTATATTAAAATAACTCTCTATTTCACATAATATCTCAAACGAGAAGGCAAAAGTGAAGACACAAAAAACACATCAAAACACTTAGAAGAACACAGAAATCGTAAGCTTTTTATGTAGCGAATTCATGCAAACTTGCTGTACATTCAGTTTAAGCCTTTGCGCCACCTGCAACCAATGGTGCTGGAGCGTTAGCAACGTTACCTGCAATAGTAAATTAATAAAAACGTCGAATAGTCTATCACTTTACTTACCACCAGCTCTTGAGTCCATTTGTGATGCAACAGCAGGGTTTACCTTCTTGCCATCTCTGAAACGAGGTCTTGCTGGTGGTGCTCTCTTGCGGCGGTCTTCACGAGATCTGACACGGACGACACGTGAGTGGATAGCACATGAGACACAGTATGCGACCTTCAAGTAGAGCTTTGGAACGACGTACTCTGCGTAGACAGAGGCGTCACTGATATCTCTGACAGCGGCAGCTTCGACCATGTTTCTGACGGTGAATCTCTTGATGGCCTTGTCCTTTGGTACCATACGGCGACAGTTGCTGCAGCGAACTGACTTAACGTGTCCTCTGGAAGCACCTGGCTTGTTACGACCGTGAGCACGTCTTTTGAATGGCACTATTAGTTTGTTAGTATTTACTTTTTTTATTCTATTTCTTATATCAAATTTACTCACTACTACGTAAAGCTAAAGAAGCCAATCTCACAAAATCTGCCTTCCTCAGCTTCGAAAAATAAGATAAAAATTTATTGTAATTTTATTAAATAATATCATGGTATAGTTATCATATTTCAGATTTCTGTAATTCATCTCTCTGCATCTCCCCTTTCAAGCTCGTTTTATTACCAGGACTGTGACGGTCGATCTTCTCACGGGGTTCGTTATGTAGACTTGCCACCGTCGTATTTGTATATGATACCATCAGTCATCTCTTATTCACGTTTCTATCTGGCTATTTATCGAGTTTCTTATATGACGATACCATGATATAGTCACCCATTAGTGGCGAAATATGCAAACATCCTAAAACATCTTATATCAACAACATATATATATTACACATGTAATGTCTAAAGCTCCTCTCACAGAACAATCTCTCGTGCGACAAGATTAGAAGTCTCGACAATTAGAGATCCAAAAGCGTCGGATTGCGTGCTTATATATTAATACTTACCATATATGGATAATAGTGTACCTATTTACTCTCGCATTTTGAAATTGCGAATTTTCGCTATTGCGTGCTAACTATTGTTCCTCGACATCTAAATCGGTTACCCAGGGTTTATTGCTTAGTGATTGCTAGGACGGCAAAATAATAATATATATATTTGGTTGTCAGTCTATTTGTCAAACCAATACTGCTTCCTAATACGCCACTAGATGTTTAAAAAACCAACTTTCTTCCAATCTGTAACATATGCAGGATTAATAGCCAACATACTCACTTTATGTGAACCTGGTAGGTGTATTATACTAATGTTATCACTCCCACTCACTCTTCCCAGGAATGTTCGATTGTGGGTTATCGATTTGGCTTCCTCGATAGCAGATTCTAACTTTTTTAAAGGCATCGGTAATTTAGGTGCTGGTGGTTTTGGTAGTGTAAAGGCTATAGCTACAGCCAATGCTCTCGTATGTAAAGTCGTCTCGCTCCGAAAGTTCCTAACAATTCCTAGGTTTATGCACTCATGACTGTCGGTATATTGCTATCTGCCCCTATTATCTCCTATGTCGGACTCAAGCCTGTCCTTATTCTCGGATGCGCTTTCTTCTGTGTCTGTAAGTGTAATCGTTGTCGAGTAGACCTTCCCATTGACTCGTGTCAGATGGTGCAGCACTTTATTACAATTCTATTGCTCACAATGATGGCTTCCTTATCGGTGGTAGCGTACTCTGTGGTATCAGGTAAGTGAAATTTTTTAGCGTATCTTTATTTAACAATAATCCACAGTGCTGCTGCATTTTGGGCTACAGAGGGTACCATTTTCTCTTCACTTCCATCAAACGACGATAGAGGTAGATACCTTGCTTTGTGGGGTATCGCAAAGAACCTTGCACCTTTAGCATTAGGTGGTTCAATCAGTTTGGGTTTCAACGTTCACTCATATGAATCTGGAAACATCTCACCAGACGTCTACATCGTTTTCTTCAGTTTGATGGCTGCTGGTTTCGCTATTTCCTTCCTTTTCCCAAATCCAAACAATATTTACAGACGTGATGGTTCAAAAGTTGAAGTCAGAAAGACAGATGGTTTCTTTACTGAAATGACACGTACATTGAAGGCATTCAGAGAACCAAGAGTATTCATGTTGCTCCCACTTTTCTTCATGAGTTACTTCTACTATGCTTATCAATCAAACTTTACGAGTTTATACTTCAACGTTAGGACTAGAGCTCTGTCTAGTTTTGTTAGTCCATTTGGTGCCATTATAAGTTCAACCATGATGGGATTCTTTTTGGATAGCAAACGTTGGAGCGAGAAGACAAAGGGTATGACTATGCTCGGTATTCTCTTCGTTCTCGAAATGGGACTATGGACCTGGATAGCAATCTTGCGTTCTATTTATGGTGACAATGACAGTATTGGATTAGATTTCGACGGTGCATCATCCGTATTCAATAGAGCATTCCCAGTTGTCTTTTTCATGAACTTTATTGGTCAAGTGAGTAATTACCCTTATTGAAGTACTTTTCTAACTAATTTTTTAGGGTTCACAAAATTACCTATACTGGGTTGTAGGTCACTACGCTTGCGGTGTCAATAATCTGTCGACATACGTATGTATTTTACGTAGTTTCGAAGCACTTGGTCAGACAGTCGCTTGGGCAATTTCACAAACTACTTCAACGACATCACCAGTGCACATTTACATCAATTTCATTGGTTTATTCGTTAGTATTTTGATATCCATTCCAGTTATCTCAAAACTTCAATATTATGAGAAGGATGAGAATGAATTTATTAACTACAACTTATCAGATCAAGAATCACCGAAGCTCTCTCTGGATGAGAAAGCTGATAAACCAGCCAAGTAGATTTTAACTTATACATCACGCAACATCATTTTAATATAGGATTATCACCATTTTCACTTTTCATCTCCACGTTGGACATAGACTTTTCACTCACTTATTACTTGCATTGTTATACTATTGAATAATACATGTTTACTCTACAAAATCTAATGTGTAATGTGTTCAATTTCCTCTAGCAGCTAATGTTTGATCGTTAAGTGAGAGATTGTTGACTATTAAACTACGGGTTTGACGTAATAGCCAGCAAATTTTGCCTATGAGTGTCTTCTTGGAGAACCTCAAGGTACAAGATAACTCGGTAAGCGTGAAATAGACAGCTCCGAATACCATACCTATGACAAACCCGACAATTATTTGAGTGGTAGTGTGGTAACTTAAGTGATGTCTACTATAGGCTATCATTATAGCCACCAGAAATGCCAATTTTGACTCCATACCAGGGTAACCATTCCGTTGAATCTGGTGAAATGTGATGAAAATCGCAGTATAGGCAACGAATTGAGCATGTGAAGAAGGCATTCCATAACCTGTACCTATAACTATATGTATATTGATTAATTGATTAACTATTTAATATACTGTTACCCACAGGGACGAGGCTGCTTGAATATACGTTTAAGCAACCAATTGAGAGCTTCATTAGCGAGTTGACCAGCGAATGCGTTTAATATGACAGCGTCTCTATTGAAATAAACAAGTGTGACATATCCTGATAAGATTCTGTATCGAATTGATTAGAGCGACGTACTGATAAGTTTATCAACTTACGCAAATGGCAGTAAAGTAACTAAAGCTAACAAAAAGCTCAAGTGACTATCACCTGTATATAATACATATGTTAAATCTAAATGCGTCAGACTCGTCATGGCTGAGCGCCTTGAAGGAGTTTTCCGATAGAACGATCATCTTCTATGGGAATTTATCAACGTCGTAAAAAGAAGACTGATGACGATAGCCGAGCGACTGAATTAGATGTTAAATTGAGACATGATCCTAGCCGTAAATCATATTCTGTCGTATGTTGGATATCTTATCAAACTGTACTTCCTTACATAGATATAGGTAGCACCTGGAACGCCATTACATGAGAGTGAGTGCTATATTCATGTAAACATACACACCTAACGGCAACAGTCGATCTCTCCGAGGTGAGAAGAACAGGCACGATTATTAGATTATCTAACAATTTAGATTCCATTCTTACAACACGCTGAGGAAAGCACAAAAGGTGCATTGAAACGTACAAAAAGGGTTGTTAAAACACGTAGATTCCTTCTACCACTTTTCTTAACTATCGGTTTCGCATTAGCATCAATCATTCTAGCACCATTGCCGAATGGGCTGGCGGATTTACCTGATTTTGATTTATCTGGATTAGGTGCCCAATGGGAATACTTATTCGAGGATTTAACTACGCGTATATCTGACGCTAAATTATGGTTCAGTTCGAGAGGTTTCAAAACCGGTTTGGCAGCTGCAGAAGAGGGACTTACAGCTGATTCACCGGTGTGTTATTTTGATATTTGAAGTTATAAAACATTAAACATACCTCAGTTGATGCTCTTCCCAGGTGTTATCACTACAGGTCTTGAATCTTGGTCGACCGATGCTGATAGTTTGAGTTTCTTCCGTCAGAGGATTTGGGGAACCCATACGTGAGTGTGCTGTTCTTGTTTAAGGACGTAACTTACTCAATTCAAGCATGTTTAAATCTATTTTTGCTGATAAGAATGAATGGATACGTCAAATATCTTTAGATAGGTGGGTAATATCTTTTTACAAATGAATTATACTGACATATTCAGTGAAACTGGATTGGATCCACCAGGTGTACGCGTAAGACCTGCACAGGGTTTGGATGCGGCGAGTATGTTCATGCAGGGGTGAGTTACAATTATATATTTAGTAAAACACGCTCTAATCCAGGTTAAGATACTGGGTCTGGAGACCTATTATAGAGAATCTCGCTTGCATAAATTGTGAGTCCTGAGTTGCTTTATAGTACTTTCGTTGAGAAATTTAGATGACACAAATAGTGAGTGGAACTTAAATAAAACACATATATCTTAACTAAGTACCATTCAAGACCTCGAAATGGCCGCTTATGAGTGAGTACAATTAACATCTCTCACAGTACTTTCATCTCATGCCTATCAGCTGGCGATTAGCGTATAGCAACCTAGAAAACAGAGATCACTACTTCACACGCGTCAAGAGTAGGATTGAGATGAACAAGAAGATTCATGGAAAGAAGACAACCCTCGTGTCACACTCAATGGGTGGAACTGTTTTAATGTACTTCATGAAATGGGTAGAGGCTGAAGGATACGGTGGAGGTGGAAACACTTGGGTAGAAGACCACATTGAAAACCTTATAAATATTTCTGGAACACTCCTGGGCGTACCCAAAGGTGATGAACTTGCTATTGCTCGATTACAAACTAACGACCTTATAGCAATGACTGCACTATTATCAGGTGAAATGAAAGATACAGTAGAGCTTAATCCTGCAGGTGCTTATGCTTTAGAGAAATTCTTCTCAAAAGAAGAACGTGCAGATTTATTCAGATCTTGGTTTGGTATTGCAGGAATGTGGATGAAAGGTGGTGATGCAGTTTGGGGTAATTCTACATATGCACCAGATGATCCCGAGAATACAACTGATACCTATGGTCGCTTCCTTTCTATACGTGACAACTATGTAATGGATCCAAATCAGAATAAAACGCTATCACGTCATAACTACACAATAACGGATGCCAATAATTACGTACTCACTAATACACCGAAAGTATGGCAAAAAATGATGCACAATAACTACTCATATGGTATTGAGATCGACGAGAAAAAGTTAGATGAAAATAACTACGATCCGACTAAATGGTCAAATCCATTAGAATCTAGATTACCAAATGCACCTTCAATGTCAATCTATTGTATCTACGGTGTTGGAAAACCAACGGAAAGATCATATTATTACACTGAAGGACCAAAAACACATCAAGGATTACAATCAGATATGGAAGTTGGTAAATGCGAGGCAGATGATTGCGATAAGACGGAAGAAAGTAATGATGATTTACCACTTACTGCGCAAAATGCAATTGATAATGATCTTAATTTACCGGAAGAAAACCCACAAGTTAGCAACGGTGTTAAATTTGGACAAGGTGATGGTACAGTTTCACTTATGTCTCTAGGATCAATGTGTTCGAATGGATGGCGGAGACCAGATAGAAGATATAATCCAGGTAACTCAAGAATAGTTAGTTATGAAATTGACCATAAACCTGATTCAATGGATTTACGTGGTGGTGATCATACTGGTGATCATGTTGATATTTTAGGCTCAACACCATTAAACGAGTTGATATTAAAAATTGCAGCTGGAAAAGGTAATGAAATTCAAGATCACTTTGTTAGTAATATAAGGGAAATTAGTGATAGGATCGACTGGGATTTAGTCAATCACGCTTCTGACAAAGAAATTATTTAAATCTATTTTGTTTGTAGAAATTGTTCATCTATTATTAAAAAAAAAAGTCAAACTACAATAAGAAAAAGGATGTTATTCCTCCCTGTGGAATAAATATGTTAAAGAGTGTGAATCCTATGTTACTCTGATATGCATTTCATTCAATTCGTTCGTGCTCGTTTTGTCGATCGGGGTGATTGAATTGGTTCTTTACTATTGGGTACTTCTAAAGTCGTACCACTATTAGCAGATAATTCACCTTCAGATCCAGCTGCAGTGGTTGAATTATTCTGATTCGTTGCTTCTTTCGGCGGAATGGGCCATTGGAAACCTGATTGACCATCAGAAGGACTTGTAGAGAGTCCATCAAGTGGGAATTGAAATGGATCCATCAACATTGATGCTGATAATCCAGGCGCGGGTGTCGGCCATGCTATTGGTGGCATACTATTATACCAAGGCATAGAGCCCATATTGGGTACACTTGAAACGTTGGGAGTCTGTAGCATAGATTGGCTGGCTTGTGGTGAATGTGATTGTACTACTGGTGTATTAGATGGGGACAAGAATTGATTTGTGGATTGTTGTGGTCGTGTTTGCTGTTGTTGATGTTGAGATACCGCGTGTGCGTGCATCTGTGCATACTGCCAATTCATCATTTGGTCATGCTGTGCTTGTGTATTCGGAGAATGTGGATATCCAGGCAAAAACGACAAAGGAGGGTAAGGTGAATATTTCGAGGGGTCAAATGGACTGACTGGTTTCGGTGACCGAGGTGGAGGTGGAAGCGATGAAGACGATGGCCCTGCGTGAGTGCTAGGCATTGAGGATGGCTTATCATCCAAATCGCCAATCTCTATTCGTGGTTTGATGTCCTCTTTAATGATGTCTTCTTTTACAGGTTCAGATTTCACAGGTGTGGGCGTCTCCGTCGTCGCTTTCACCTGTACCTCTGGTTCCTCCTTCACGCGTTCTTCCTCGAACTCGTTAAAGTCCTGCTCACTCTCGTTGTCGTCGTTGAAATCACGTGGACACCTCCTCTCAGATTCTCCCTCATGCTCTGTATACTTCATCAATATCTTCTCTATATTTCCACTGGAAAATTCATAGAGTTTTCCATTGTGTCCGAAGACAATAACTGCAACCTGATAAGGGGTTAGTAATGCTTGTACTATGGGTATATAGTACTAACATCAGCTGAACATAGAACGCCTAGTTCGTGAGCTTTCTTGAATAACCCCGTTTTACGCTTGAGAAAGGTTACTGAGCGATTGCGGTCGTCCTATCGGATAAGAAGGTGAGTGGGTAGGGTATTAACTAGTAAAATGACGTACTTTTAAAGGTTTAATTTGTATCTTACGTCTTCCCATGTCTTCTTTGTTGATTGATGTCTATTCTATGATGATATTCTATCGCTGCCTACAATAGAGCTAGTTTCTATAAGATTGATATTCAAACGGACAAATTTACAGTTTATTGAAATGCCCTTGCTTGTTATGATCCACGAAGAAGCCGTCCCGAAATAACCAAAATCTGTTCTATAATTAGAACAACGGTGTATTTTTATGTTTACCGTAAAATAAGTATTATTAAGTAATAAATATTAATTATTATTGTTATATTACAATATATATATATTATAGAAGTACATTTATCCATCTGTTCTACATCTGTCAACTGATAGTACACTCCCATTCAATCGAAATGTCCGTGCGTACACATTGATCATAAGTGTATTTGTAATTTAATCAGATAGTTACTCTAATTCAACTACTAAAACGACTGCGTAGGTACGATAGGTACGCTACTTAATAGCGGCGGCACAACATTGTCAATCGGGAATTTATTTAACTGCTAAAACCAAAAATAGCTTTCTCAAGAGTCTGTTATTTATTTAGTACGTACATTATTCTCCGATCTGCTTAATACATAATCTGCCGCCTATACTTTTATGACGTAGATGAATTGCATCCGCTAACGTTTGATATAGCCATTTCATTTATTGGATATTCAAAGCCATTTCTTTGGTTTTGCTATCAGAGGAAAGTAAATCAAATTAGTTTGAGTGATGGTATTCAATTTATAGTGATATACAACAATTACTAATGTATAGAAGCTGTTAAGTTATTAAACAGTTCGGTATACCGATATGCGTTAATCGTTGCTCACTATAATTATGCTTCTACTTGAGCCTCTGTTGGAACATACAATGGCTAAGATCACCTTGCACTGCTTATCTGGAACATCTAATTTCTCACTGATGTTCATTACCATCAACATCTGAAACCTTGTAGTAGATATTAATATAATAGCAACGGGTATGGTCAACAACCTCGAGCGTTGTTTCAATTGTTTCCACTTTAAGGTATTATGGAAACCTTTATCGTATTGGAAGTCTCAATCCGACAGCTTTATGTTATTATACCAGTTTTAACGGAGTCGATATCAGGATAGGAAAAGAAGCTCTATGTGAGCTTGCTAGGCAGAGGGGGTAAAACACTGAGCTCATTGAGCGCGACGTTGGCTAAATGCTAGTAATTATATGCTACACCTCAAATGCTCGATATTAAAGCCATAACTATCTATGAAAGCAAGCTTCAATTTGTCTATGTCTTTCTGGATATTCCCAAAATAAATTTTCGCTCTGTGAGAAGGTTATGCAGCTACATCTGAATCACATACATTAGTTATGTTAGCTAGGCTATCATGGATGTCTATTTTGCTCATCACTCGAGTTGCACATCGAGGTGAACTACCTGCACAAAATACGCATGATAAGACATGTCAATAATGCACATTCACCATTCTTTAAACAGAGAATATAATGTACACCCTTGATTTCTTGAATTCAGAATGAAAAAACATGTCTAGAACAGTAGATCCACAAGGTGACTTGCTTTTTCAATTATTACGGGGTCCCTCGAGGTGCTAACAGAGCAGTTTCTCCACAAGTTCTGACTTTACGAACAAATAAACGACGAACAAACCTGTTGTATAAATATTATGAGCTACCTTTTTTCAGATCTATTGGCTTATCATCTGGAGACAAATTCAGAAGTATCAATTGCATGTTTATAGGGAGGACCACAAACCACACGAGTTCACTCTATGGTTCTCTAATGCAAGAGTTGATGAGCTAGTATGACCACGAAACTTAATACTTTAATAGGATCATAGAATAATACGAACAAGTAGCATTAGAATTACTAAATTATCCTTGTTTTCATAATTGCTGAAAAATCGTTCCTCCTTACTCCTCAATATACAATATATAATAGATGAGGTTTCACACTACTCACGATCTATATCACGCTCACGCCATAAGCCAGGTAAAAATTTCATATTCATTTTGTGTAAGTAAAAAGAAAGAGCTGTAATTTGTGTTATTATCAATTCAATTTCATTCTAAGCTTAATTTGATAAGAATGACTCGACGTGTTCCTTGACGCTCTTTTCGATAGCTTGCTTGGTTTCGTCTGAAGGAAGACCAGTGCCGAGGAGTTTCAACAACTCAGTTTGTGACTTAAGTGCATTCAAGTAGTCAGCTTCCCAACGAGTAATATCTTCAACTGGGATCTTGTCCAAGAGACCAGAGATACCTGCGTAGATCAATGGGACTTGGAATGCAACATCCATAGGAGCGAATTGACCTTGCTTAAGGAGTTCAGTAAGACGTTGACCTCTGTTAAGCAAGAACTTGGTTGAAGCATCCAAATCTGAACCGAAGGCAGCGAAAGATGCAATTTCTCTGTATTGGGCAAGGTACAACTTGAGGGAACCAGCGATAGACTTCATGAGCTTGGTTTGGGCAGATGAACCGACACGTGAGACGGAAAGACCGACGTTAATGGCTGGACGGATACCCTTGAAGAAGAGTTCAGCTTCCAAGAAGATTTGACCGTCAGTGATAGAAATGACGTTAGTTGGAATGTAAGCTGAGACATCACCACCTTGGGTTTCAATAACTGGGAGAGCAGTCATGGAACCACCACCGTTGGCTTCTGACATCTTAGCTGAACGTTCGAGAAGACGTGAGTGAAGGTAGAAAACATCACCTGGGTATGCTTCACGACCTGGTGGACGACGGAGCAAGAGTGACATTTGACGGTAAGCAACGGCTTGCTTTGAAAGATCGTCAAAGACGACAAGTGAGTGACGACCGTTGTCACGGAACCATTCACCGACAGCGGCACCAGTGAATGGAGCCAAGTATTGAAGTGGAGCAGCTTCAGCAGCGGTAGCAGCGACGACAACTGAGTACTTCATGGCGTCGTTTTCTTCGAGGGTTTGGACGAATTGAGCGACGGTTGAACGCTTTTGACCGACAGCGACGTAAACACAGTAGAGCTTCTTCTTTTCGTCGTTACCGTTGTTCCATCTCTTTTGGTTAAGGATAGTGTCGACAGCGACAGCGGTCTTACCGGTTTGACGGTCACCAATGATCAATTCTCTTTGACCTCTACCGATTGGAACCATGGAGTCAACTGGCTTAATACTGTAATAAGATTATGAGTAAAAATCTTCGGATTTTTAGAAAATTACGCACCCAGTTTGCATTGGCTCAGAGACGGAGGTACGTGGGAGAATACCTGGAGCCTTAACTGAGGCCTTACGACGCTCAGCAGCTTCAATTGGACCCTTACCATCAATTGGGTTACCAAGAGCGTCAATGACACGGCCGAGAAGGGCAGGACCGACTGGGACATCGACGATTTGACCGGTACGCTTGACGGTGTCACCTTCACGGATACCACGGTCAGAACCGAAGATAGAAATACCGACGTTGTCAGCTTCCAAGTTAAGAGCCATACCGCGGACACCTGAGGCGAACTCAACCATCTCTTCGGCTTGGATGTTACGGAGACCATAAACACGGGCAATACCGTCACCAATGGCTGTGAAAGGTTAGAAAAGATATTTAGAGCTTAAAAAAACTCACTCAATACACGTCCAGTTTCTTGAACATCACCAGCAGCACCGGCGCCTGAGATACGTTGCTCAAGGATGTTTGAAACTTCTGAAGCAGCTAAAAAGTGTGAGCAGAATATTTTTTCCACGATATTTATTCACCTGGCTTAGCTGTAGCGTAAGTACGAGCGAGAGCTGGGCGTGACTGTCCGAACGTTAGCTAGGAAGAATAGAGAGTATAAAAACTAACGAGCTTAGCAAAGTTAGCCCCACGAAGAGCACATGCTTGTCTGAGGAATGAGCGCTGCATTTTCTGCGTAAGGGTGGTTTTCGAGGTGAAAGATCCAACAACCCACGCTTAGAAGGCGGGATGATTTTAAAAAATTTGAAATTGTTAAATTCGGTTTAAAAAGAGAAATGTAAATAAATTATACATTTATTTATTCTTTATTCTTTATTTATTTATTATCATCTTTTATAGTCTTCCTGAGTTTGATCTCGTTGACTTTCTAAGATCCGAAGGCTTAGAAATGGGAGATGCACGTTTATTTAAACAATATGGACAATAGTTTGGGTTCTGTAATACTCAAGTGGCGTTTATCTCATCATATCTCGACTCCGACGATCTCCATCTCCCGATATGGAAGATATTAAAATGTTATAATACTCTTTTCATCATACACAATTACTTCGAAACATAACACTCTCATTGTACACGTTATGTCCTCATTACTCAAGGTGACTTTACTTTGGCGATAGTCGCATTACGAAATGGGAAGCCTTTAGTATTTATATCTCCCTACCAACTTTAACAGTCTGAATAGAATCATATTTGCCGCTCTTATGTAAAATACGCCAGACTAGGGACCATCAATTAAATGCACTGACATTAAATTCGCGATCAACGTAGCTTCAAATAACGCGTTTGTACTTTCAACCAGGAGAATCTAACATCGACAATGTCCTAATATTTCAAGATATAGTTGTTGCCATCATATTATCACAGTCCCTCACTGGTATAGCCGATCGCAGAACTGAAATACAATCTGAATACAGTTGGTTGTATGTGGAATCTGATATCAATCAGTACCCTTTTGGTTAATTAGGGGAAGGAACTAAGCACCAAATGAAATATTGTCCCTAGTAGCGGTCAGATTGGTTGTTAATTCAGCGTAATCTGATCACCACGCTATAGTATATGAACCGACAATTATCGACCATGCTCAAATCACTATTTATAGAAAGAAAGCTATTATAAAAACCATCCTAGTTCGCGTCGTGACTTTCAGCATGTCGTTGAGTACAGCCAATACTCAGCAAAAGCCTTTTCGATCAATTTCGCAAAATTATAAGCAGCCAATCGTCTAGATATATGGTATCATGGAGTATGCTTTTCATCAGTAATTTGCCAGCAGTTGAAATATCATCTTCTCAGCACCCAAGCCGGTCAGTTACAACAACAACATCACTCGGTAATTCTTCACTGATGTACTTTTTCAACTTAAGCTTTTAAACTTTATCTAAACTATATTAGAAGACCAAAGCATTTGGAAAGACATCTATGCAATGAGGTAAGTGAAAAATACAAGTATAATTGAATCCGTAGTGTTTAATTAAGAAGTTTAGTTTAAATTTCAATTTCCTTCGATTTTTCTGAGGATGTTTCCGACATTTCTGATATGAAGTAATCGTCATACTCTTTCGCTTTGTGGTGATTTAGGCGAAGGAAAATCGGTGATGCAATGCCAAGTGATACGACAATACCGACGAGATTCACTATAATAAGACCGCTGCCGCTGGCATCCACGCCTGCAGCATTGCTAGTCAAAATCCAACTCAATGATTGACCTATAGGTAATTATCAGTACGCGTTTCTCCAAAAATTAGAATGGTCTATACATACCCATTGACTCTATTGATCTTATAATTGAGACATAACGTGTCAACTCGTTGAGTTCAGTTGAGAAATTAGAGACAGTCCAGTAAAAAAGTGATTGTCCGGTATAAGAATTGAAGAAGAAAAGGATATTTGGGATATAAAATATAGCAAACTTGTTATGACTCCAATCGAGATGGCTGTACTCATTGTTGTATACATAGTGTATAACTAACAACCACACCCATAACCCAATTTGAAGGAATAGCAAGACGAAGAAAAGGAATGTCGATTTCGTGCGCACTTTGAGTCTCTTTGAGTCTAAAACTAAAGATGCGAGATAGGACGACAAAACACCGCCCATCGGTGATACTAAACTTGAGAAAGCTCTGCTACGAACGTTGAAAGTCCGTGTGAGATATGCGCTCATGTACGCGTAGTAGAAGAACGAGAAGAAAAACAGTGGGAGTAGTAGAAGTATCTAGAGATCTCTATTAGTAGACATAAAAATGAAAACCTTACGCTTACTCTCTTTTCGGTGAGTGATCTCCAGTATGCCTTGATAGCATCCCAGACAGGCACTGGAGGTGCAACTTTGACTTTTGATCCGTCTTTTCTTTCGACTTTCTCCGGTGACGGCAGCAAGAATGCTATACCACAACCGACACACATCAATACCGCAAATACAATATCTTTATTTTGTCAGCCGTGGTATTATTATCATCCTGAATACTTACAGGTATTTGAATCGACTGATCCACCTTGTATACGTTTGGCATTGATACCCAAATTAATAGCACCACCAAGGGCTGGACCTGAAAAACTATCAGTTATGATCGATAATCGTTATAAATCATCTACCTAAGTTTTTACCTACCGCCCATGCGGATAAGTATTTTCCTCTTTCTTCGGGTGCCGGGTATATAACAAAAACACTACCTTCACTACTCCAAAAGAGACCTGCTGAAATACCACAGAATGCGGCTCCAAATAGAAGTAACCAACTAGTTGAAAATTTTTAGAAAATGAAATTTTTCATGCGTACGAAAACTTACACGTAGTTCTCCTTAATTGAATTCATATAAAGACCCCAACCATATGGTATATACCTGGAGTTCCATTAAAAATGTTCACATCACCCTCGCTATAAATCTTACCCAAATGTACCAAGGACGAATGTCCACTTCAATCCGACACTGCATAGAATGTTAAAGTTTTGCGCAAAAAGACCTCAGCTATCCTACTTGTTTGTTATGATACTTCCTAACGCGCACGTTAAGATCATAATACCTGTAATTTGTTATCAGTGCTATATAAATAAGAAAAACTGACACTTACCGAAAGTAATTGCACTGGCGACATTAAAGTCCTGGCCTGATGCCATACCACTGTTGCATGTAAGAATTTATACCATAGGTTTTTTGCTTGTACTTTCCCAGCACCAAGCTAGATACTGTTAGTATGGGTTTCACCGTCAGACAAAACTCACGTTGGAGAGCGCATCCCAAGAACCAGGCTCACATACTGTTACAAGTATGGCAATTATTGTCTACTTGCACATTCAGTCACCCGTTTCATCAAAATTTACTGCTACTTACAGCATACCAAACGCTTCTATACCAATGCACTTTGTAAGACATTCTTAACTGAGATAGAGGCAGTAAAGAATATTCAGATTGATCTCAAAACTATGTATGCAAAATCACATCATCCATGATGCAATAGTATAATTGCAACCTGACAATTAGTCAGGAACACAACATAATCACTCATTCGCTATCTCGTATTCATTAACAAATTAGATAAATTAGATAAGTATACAACAGCTATCTATATAAACAACAATTAATCCATATCATTATCAGAAAATTCTGCACCATATTCAAGTGCTGTTTGGTCTTCGCCCTCTTCTTCTTCATCCTCTTTCGCATCTTCTTTATCATCATCCTTATCATCTACTTCTCCAGGTGCAAGACTATTAATTTCGGGTGTGCCTGTGTCCTTCTTAAAGAGTCCATCGAGCGCATTGTAATTAATTTTCTTGGAAATCTTACGCTGCTTGAGTACTTGTGATGCCGCTTCAGCTGCATTCTCTGGTTTTGCTGATTGGTCTTTAGCTTTACGTTTCTTACGACGAGGTTTCTTCTGCTGATCTTGACCAGTAGCCTGGTGAAGGGCAATCTTTTCTAGATAATCCTTGTTAAATTCCATCCATATTCTCTCTTTAACTCGAACCTCATCTTCTCCTAGAATCATATCATCTAATTCAGATTCATCTAGACCTTGTAATTCATCGACGTTTGCGTTCCTCCTTTCAAGCTCGATTCTACGTCTCTCATCAACATTATCGAGTGTGTTTGCAAGCGAGCGAATGTTTGGATCACCAAGTGCTTGTGTTATCTCTTGCGTTATTCCTTCATCATCTTCATTTGGAGCTGAAGATTTAACATCCGGGTCACCTGGTTCTTCGACTACTTCTTCACCTTCTTTGTCATCATATTTTTCATTCTCATCCTTCTCGTTAGAATCATCTTCTCCGGGTTGTTGCTCGGATAATGGGGCGGCGGATGGTGAACCTGCTTCTTCTACAGTTCCGTCATCAGGTTGGTTGGGTGTATTATGAGCTTTTTCCATATCGATATTTTCATCATTGATGACCTCCGCACCGTTTTCATCCTCCTTGGTGTCAAGAACTTCCTCTTCATTGTCTTCATCATCTTTTTCATTGTGATCTATATCAAGTTCCTCCTCAAGTTCAACATCCTTCCTTTCTTCTTCTTCTCCTTCTTCCTCTTCTTCCTGTTCTCCTCGCTCTCCTCGTTCTTCTTCTTCTTCCTCATCTCTAGAAGGAGTCTCGGGATCATTGTTTATCGGAGTAGTAACCACATGATTGATACTGATATCTCTGAGCTTTGCTGGTTGATTGCTGATACCTTGTTCGTAAGCCTGTTCATCATTTACTTCATCCTCACCCGGATATACATAACTTGGTTCTTCTGAATTACGCAGAAGTCTATCGGATTTTCTGATAGAAGTCCTACTATATGTATTGCCATCATCACCATCTTCTGACTCCAATTCAAATATTTCAGAGCCTGAATAATCATCGTCGTCTTGCCGTGATTTCTGCTGCTTATAACGAGCTCTATCCTCACGAGCCTTCTCTATTCCTTTGCTTATTTTCTGTGGTGTAAAATCCTCTAACACGCCACTGACACCACATATAGTTTCATAATAGTCTTCAAATTGTTTATGAATTGGATCATTTCTTTTTCTCTTTGGACGTGTTGAGGCTTCAAGATTACGCTTCTTCTCCTTAGCTCTTTGAAGCTTTTGGGCTAATTCGCTCTCAGGTTTCGCAGCAGCTTCCTCTTCAATCTTCTCTTTACGTCTAGCTTTGTAGAATGTTGGTGGTAACGCTTCCTCGTTAGCTCTGTTATTATGCCAGTGTTGATCATCACGGAAATCCTCGATGGTAAGATCACCTGCTGTACTTCTACTAAACTCGTCAAGACGCTTTTGAACAGTGACGTCAGCAATTTTTACAACTTGTACGATCTCTTCAACAGATCTTCTAAAATTGTTCATACGAGCTGCTAGGAGTAGTGCAGCACCACAGATACCTGCTGGACGACGACCATGACTGATAAAATCTTCATCAAAACGTCGACAAAGTCTTGTAGCATCACTCGCTACCCTTTGAGTTTCTTGACCGAATTCTAACAAAGATGCGAACCTTTGAATGTAAATAGATGGATCCATTTCAGGTAATTTCAAGTCAAGCCTTTCAACCAGACGTAGGTAGGTAGTACCGAGTGCGAATACGTTAATCTAACGATTTGTTAGATAACTAAATAATGGAAGATTGTGCAACTCACTTGTAAGAAATCACTGAAGTCAATCAGCATGTGTGAATCCTTCTGTAAACGACAGGCAGCATATAGACAAGCTGATACTATGTAGACCGCTTTACGACCTCTTATGAAATTATTTTGTACTGCTAGCGTGTATATTCGCTCTCCAGATTCCGCTACAGCTTCTGATATTCTAAGAGCGGCCGCGAGTTGTCTGACGCGACGTTTACCTGTAAATAAAGTGTGAGACTATGTATATAATTTGAAATAATTCACTTACCTTCTTGTATTGTCTTATCTCTCGATTCTCTGCTTGTTCCGGCTATAAAGATAATTGAATTAGAAGATAAGGAAGAGAAATCTATGTAGCTTACTAGCATCATGAGCAACTAGTGTACCCGTTACATGCGCTTGTCCAGAAGATGACTCTGTAAATCCAACATCTGCGACGATATTGGATTCCTCAAAGACGATACCACAGTTTGCACAATATGAGCTACCGGATGAACTATCGTGATCGATATTCAAGCTACCACAATCTCTGCACGGTTGTTGTGGCATTATTATTTATCTTCAATTTCAGTCAGGTGATTTTTTTTGCTATAATTCCTTTTCTCGCTTGATGGTATAGCGGTAAGATACGATCGACGAAAAAAAATCGTCATAATCCGAGTTCGATGCGTGATGAGTGTAATATTATTTTTTGTTAATTACATCGATGATTGCAAGGAGTGTTAGAGGTCTCTACAGCGTTGGCGGCGCAAGATCTGCAATAGCGTCTAGGCGTTTAACTAGCATAAAAAACCACAGAACTATATTTAGTGAAAGTAAGAAGGCAGAAGAGTTAGCTACATCTTCACTCCCTGTAAAAGCTGTAAATGATCCACCAGCTGCATCAACAGCCACATCTACAGCTGTAGAATCAACTACTGAAACCCCTGCTCATTTACAAAATATTGTAGAAAGCACAACGGAACCATTGAAATATGGTGATCTCGCAGAATTGGGATTGTGTAACAAATGGTATGGCTTCGTACAACAAGCATTAGAAGCTGTTCATGTATCAACTGGTTTACCTTGGTGGGCCACTATTGCAGTCACTACAGTATCACTCAGATTAGCATTGTTCCCATTACTTAGAAACTCATTAATACACACATCAAGAATGGCAGTACATCAACCAGAAATGCAAGCCAAGATCAACGCTATGACTGCAGCAAAGAAGCAAGGTAAAGATCAAGAAGCTGCTGTACTCGGTCAAGAAATGAGAATGTTCATGAAAGAGAAGAACTTGAAACCACTCAGAGGTTTAGTTTTACCACTCATTCAAATGCCATTATTTATTGCGTTCTACTTTGGTTTGGACGATATGGCCAGATTACCCCTCAAGCAAATGGCCGAAGGTGGCTTTGGTTGGGTACAAAACCTCACAGTACCAGACTACACCTGTATACTACCAATTATATCATCTTCACTCATGTTCAAGAGTATCAGTATGGGTCCAGATGGTAGTGGAAGTGTTCAATCACCACAAGCACAGAAGATGAAACCGTTCTTCCAAATTGGTTCCTTCATAATCGTACCAATGGCATGGTGGTTACAAATGCCAAGTGTGAGTGTCTTTTTCTCCGTTGAAATGTACTCATAATATTAAAAAGGCTGTTTTCATCTACTGGTGCACCACCAATGCATTCTCACTTGCACAATCTTACTTACTCAGCTCAACCGCTGTCAGAAAAAGCATGGGTTTGCCTTCATTGGATACAATCGCTGAAAACAACAAGAAAAACTTTCCCCAACAGTATGCAAGCGAAAACCAAAAGCAACCAGGATTTATGGAAAGCGTAAAATCATCTTACAACACTTTCAGAGAAGAATTCGAGGAAAAGAAGAAGCCAATGTTAGAAGAAGCAAGACAGAGAGAAAAGGCCAACAGAGAGAAGCTTATCCGTCAATCCTATGAATCAGAAAGAAGCGATAAAGGTCTCTATGAAAGTGCCGAGGCTGCTGAGAGCAAAGGTAAGGATGACGAAGTCTCTCACAAAAACCCAACACTCTTGGCAATGGATGATGAAAAACGTGCCAGAGCACTTAAGAATGAACAGCAAAGACTTGCGAGATTTCAAAGAAATAGTAAAAGACAATCTAGATACTAGACTATTGTAATATCATAGATTTATTTCAAACCTTGTTACATCACAACCAACAGGCTGATAGATGACAGACGCGGTATTCAAGAGAAAGTACACGTCTACGAATAGTTATAAGGATAGAAAGAGAAAATTGGACTGTGTAGATAAACCGGAGGATGTGAATGATAGTAACATATCAGCTGAGGGGTCGTTATCTAAAACCACATCACAATCAAAAATAAGGAGAAATATGCAGCCGAGGTCAGCGTCCATAGTAGAGATGGACAAGGACGTTGTTCAACATTCTTCAGAGCATCAAGACGATAACAACGCGACTGATAAGTCGATAAACAACGATGATATACCAGCAGCAACAAAAACACAATCAGCAAATTCCAAGCGCACCTACGCTAAAGTGAGAAGCTATCGTAATGACGCGCCTTCTTCAAACTGGATAGATGAACCCTTGAGGGAAGATTACAGCGAGTTGAGAAAGAAATGGGGTGTGGATGAAAGGTGAGACTAGTATGATATTAAGACTACTACTAATAAAGTATCTCAGTGACGAAGAAGAAGTATATGCGCCAACACACAAATCATTCTCACAGTTGCGGTCTATGGGTGTAAATAGGAGGTTTGACGAAGAGCTTGATTATATCTGTGATGGTTTTCTTGGAACTTCATCAAATATTCGTCGTTCATCCGCTTTGAGTGTCTCACAGAAGCTCATAAACCAAGATTGGAAGAAATGGCTGTTAGATAGCGAAGAATGTCTTGATAAACTATGGAAAGGCTTGACCCAGTATTCATCAACAGGTGACGCAATATTTGACGCAGTCGCTTCAATTATAATCGCACATTTATCACAAACGACAAGTATATCACCGATCAATTCACTGTCACCTTCATTTTGCAGTACAATCGGGAAGCTCTATCAAAGCAATAACTCAAGCGATGCTTTTAGAATGAATGAGAAGTTCTTATCACGATCGGAACGCCCTTTGTTGCGTGAGGTGAGGAAAGTGGCTCAAGAGGTCTTGCATAATAGTGAGATTACGATACCAAACTTTCTTGTTTTTGCGTTAGGCGGCATAGGTGGTTATACCTCTTTGATAGACTATAGTGATGTCGTTGATGTCGCGATCGACGCGTTCAATCGTACTCAAGTTGTTGATAAGGTAGGTGATGCAAACGACAAACATTTCAAGTTTTCACACTAGTAATCAGCAATTAGAACATATTATGAACCTCATGAGAGTAATTGAGACGTCTTCAGACGTTGCGGACAGAGGAGTGTTTAAGAAGTTAACAATGGTTTTTGGTTTGTTGGCTGACCAGGAACATTGCAAAGAGGGTAAGATTACATCTTATCATATATAACCAGACTAAAAGTCTTTAAAGAACACCTTAAAACTACGACAAAAGCAATGGTGGCACTTAGTGTTACCAGAAAAAATACCATCAGGGAGACGTTTGTGACTAAACGAGTTGTGATTGATGCTCTAACACATCTCTCACAGTGCCAAGGTGACAATAACTCAGATTTAGTATGCTTGTTACTTGGTCTTGTGATGAATTTGTTAGAGTTGGGTGGGGATAATGTTAAAGATGTATACCAGGCTATCTCAGAGGGTATGTTAGATATTTATGTATATAACAGGCCTAAAAAGAATCTCAGATAGCACGATTAGTGTAATTTTCAATGTAAATTACACCGGGTTAAACACTAGTGATACAACAGAACTGAATGAAATGTCGTCGAAAGTAGTATCGTGTACGCTGTCAGCGTGCATATTATCACATTGTATCGTTGGTATACCTTCCTTCGCTGATAAACTGAAGGATCAAATCAAGTTAGATGATATGATAAAACTTCTCAAGTTGAATTTAATAGTAGAAGACGAAAGCGAAAAAGCTACAAATTTAATTGAAACTGTAGAGAGTATTGTAAATAATAATAAATAGACACTGTCTTCTCTCTTATAAGCTCACTATCATCATGCTACCACACAACACTTGCTCAATTATACAAAACGCTTCGCGAGCAGCGATACCAAAAGTACCGTTGCAATACACCAACCAAAATTTCCACTTATCGAGGCTATTGCTCGACCAGGGCTTCATTACAAACGTTACACTCGGTAGTCCTTCTTCTAATAATCCTAGTACATTCCTGCCGACAGATGAGCAGCACAGACGCATCTGGATAGAGCTGAAATATAGATCTAATAGACCTGTTTTGAACAATATGTCAGTAATTTCTAAACCATCAAAAAGAGTTTGGATGGAGAAGGATGAAGTGAAGAGATGGGTGAATGGTGCGAGAATAAAGGGTGTTAGTGGATTGAAACTTGGTATGTTGTAGTTGTATACTATCTTCTCACAATCTAACGATAACAGGCGAAGTAGGCTATCTCAAGACCCATGGATACGGATGGCTGGAAGCCAGAGACGCAGCTAGGAGAAACCTCAGCGGGCAAGCTATGGTACGCTGCTCATAAATATTATTTTATACAAAACAACTTTGCATAATATATTCTATCTTTGATTGCTGATGCGTGTTTATAAGAACTTAGGATTATAAATTCTTTAGTCATTGATGTTTGTCATGAATATTCGTCATGAATGTCCTTCATATCTAATGAGACATTCATATGCTGAGCATCCATTTCTAAGGGAAAATAGGAGTCAAGACTATAGGAAATATACATAGATACGCGAATATTAGACATACAAAAGCTAAAATACTTTAATAATCTAATTAGTCATTTTAAAAATCTTGCTGACATTAGATTTCATAATCTTACCTTTTTTAAGCGCGCACTGACAACTTGAGAAAAACACTCATCAAAAAATAACAATGGTCGCTAGAATCGCTCAATTAGAATACAGCACTTACGGACACATCCACACCGTCGGTGACAAGGTCTTCGAAGGTCTCAATGAAGCTGGCGTCCAAGTCGACAGATTCAGAATCGAAGAGACACTCCCAAAGGAAGTTTTGGCTAAGATGGGTGCTCCAGAGAACCTCAGAGCTGATCTCCCAGTCTTTGAGGCCTCAAAGTTACCAGAATACGACGGTATCATCTTCGGTTTCCCAACCAGGTACGTGATGATCGCGACTAGAATCTTCCATCTAACAATCTCCTCTAGATACGGTAGAACCCCAGCACAAGTAAATACATACCTCGTCTCGTCCCGCGACAAAGCTAATTTCACATAGGTCAGCGCTTTGTTCGACCGTACCGGTGGCATGTGAGTTCTTTTATACTTTATGGCGCGTTTTACTAACATGTCTCAGCTGGGCCAAGGGTGAACTCGTTGGAAAGTGAGTTTGCTAGCAAACCACTTGTCTTTTAGCTAATCAGCCCTTAGGTTCGCTAGTGTCTTTGTTAGCACTGCTTCACAACACGGTGGTCAAGAAACTACCGTGAGTTATAATGTTATATATCGCATCCATCTGTCTGACAACATCTCAGGCTTTGACCACCTACCCATTCTTCGCCCACCACGGTATGAACATCGTCAACTTCGGTTACCAACACCCAGCTATGTTCGGTCTTGACGAAGTTGTTGGCTCAAGCGCATACGGTGCTGGTACCCTCGCTGCTGGTGACGGTAGCCGTCAACCATCAGAAGCTGAGCTCTCAATTGCCCACGCTCACGGAAAGCACTTCGGTATGGTACTAAAAGATTGTGAATTCCAATTTAACATGTTTGACAGGTTCCGTTGTCGCAACTCACAAGCTCGGTAGCGAAAAGTAAGTTTCGATATAAAAAATAGGACACTTCAGACGCTTAAAGAATCGAAATGAATGAAATTGACTTTTATGTGCGACTGCCAGTTTCTAACCCATTGAGACAGCTTTCATTCGTACCTTTTCGTGTCATTGAAGTTGTCGTTATCGTGAATGAAAAATTTCTAACAATTGTTTCAGATTAGCTGCCAAATTAGCTGCCGAAAAGAACGGTGAACCAGCTGCAGCAGCTGGTACCGAGGGTGCTACCAAGTCAGCTGAGGAGACTCAAGAAGCTCCAAAGGAAGAATCTGCTGACAAGCAAGCTGAGCAAGACAAGCCAGCTGAAGAGACCCCAGCTGAGAAAAAGGAAGACGCCAAGGATGGTGCTCCAGCTGAGGAAAACGTCAAGCAAAAGAAAGGTACTTTCAAGAAGATCAAGAACCGTATTTCAAAGATTCTCTAAGCTCATAATGCTTACAACTAGATATACTTAATTGATAATACTTAATATTTCCCCTTAAATAATCAGTATTTGGAATCTATATACATATATACCTTTCTTTTGTTTTAACTATCATCATATATGAGAGTAATTCGGCCAGGTTGGGCGGTACACGAGGGTAAGAACGTGTAAGATGGTAAATAACGCTTAATAACCTATTGTATAGTCGGTGATCACGATAGAAAGAAGCGTCAAGCGATATTCACGCTAGACGTGCATCCAGACGGTAGTAGACTCGCAACTGGTGGTATAGACGCAATAATTAGAGTATGGACTACAGCACCTATAAGAAATGAAAAGCTAGAGTCTAATGAGCGCGTTCCAAAGCAGCTATCAACTTTAGATCAACATTCAGGTGCGTTATCTCATACGACCTGAGAAGATTACTCAATGATCATAGGGCCTGTACTTTCTGTGCGGTGGAGTAATTCAGGCAGATACCTAGCATCTTCATCTGATGATCGTGCCATAATTATCTGGGCTATCGACCCAAATGGCGGTGGAAAAGTATTCGGTAGCACCGAAGTTAATATCGAAGGCTGGAAAGCAGAGAGAGTTCTTAGTGGACATGACAGTGGTGTGTATTTCTCAAAAGCTATGGTTTTCTCTCATATACCTTTCAGATGTGACTGAGATAGCTTGGTCAAAAGATGATAGATATTTAGCAAGCGTAGCTATGGACGGCTGCTTTATGGTACACGATACACAAACATTCGAGCGAATTATAAAGATTTCAGGTCACGACAGCTCTATTAAAGGTCTTGGATTCGATCCATCAGGACACTTCTTAGCAACAGCTTCTGACGATAGAAGTTTGAAAATATGGAGAACTTCTGATTGGGGTTTACAAGCAAGCATTACTGACCCTTTTGAGGACTCTCCGAGAGCATTTGTTAGGCGGTTATCGTGAGTGTGTTTGTTTACTAGATAAAAATTACTGATGAACATTCATACAGTTGGTCTCCAGATGGTGCTAACGTTATATGCGCAAATGCTATTACCGACAGTGTCTTTGTTGCAGCTGTAGTAAAACGAAGCGACTGGTCATCGCAAATGAAACTAGTTGGTCATGAAAATAGCGTTTTATGTACAGCATTTAACCCACGAATGTATAAAGATGGTGAGAATGGAATGTACAACATCTGTGCAACAGGCTCAACAGATTCTGTCATATCAATATGGAAAATGAACACATCAAAACCACTTATTGTCATCAAGGACATATTTGAGCGTCAAGTTTTGGACCTGAGTTGGTCTAGAGATGGTAACACACTCTATTCATGTTCTGCTGATGGTAGCATTATTGCGCTTTCATTTTCGCAAGAGGAGCTTGGCCAGCCGGTAGCTGATCAAGAAATTAGCAATATCCTCATTAATTATGAGAAGCCAGTTGCACCTGCCTTCCCTATCATGCCAATACAACAGGTTCGCCCTACACTTCAAAAGGAGCCTTCGCAGCTGGAGAAACTAATGGAAAATAAGAGAGCTGCTCCAACTGCTAATGAGCCATCAAAAAAGAAGAGAATTGCACCAACGCTCGTCGAGAAACTACCTGGTATTCCTGATACGCCAAGCAACCCATTTAACCCACCTGTTCCAGGGCCAAGCACTTCTGCATACCCACCACAACCAGTTTATTACCCAAGTGCTAACATACCTTCACAAACATTCAATCCACCACAGCTACCTTCAAATATGTTGATGCCAATGACACTTCCGCATCCTCAAAATCCAAATGTCGTCGGATATTGGTTACCATATATCAAAAATCCAGACGAAGAAGAAGAAGGTGGTGATGATGAAGATACACCTATGGAAATCGAGGAGATGGATCCAAGTCGTGTGAAGATATCAAATATACCTTCTGGATTGTTATACAAGAACGTCAAAGCTCGTACATTAGGTCATGGCGTAAAGAGAGAGGAAGTTGAGGTCAAAGATATAGGTGAAGTGAGACGTATCACTAAGGATGTAACTATTGGTGTTCCAACTATTAAGTCAGTCCTTTTCCATCAGTTTATGGGTGCGGCAACAGTTGGAAACAAAGAACTTGATCGAGTTGAGGTCAGAAATGCTATTACTGATGATAAAAATGACGTTGAAATGAACAACGGAAGTGAAGATATTCCGAGGAAATACCCTGATTTACATAACGAAATACTTATGCTTAGCAAACGCAGTGATACTAATGTCAGTAACCATGGAAAAGTAATATGGGTTGATTATGCCTCATCTAGAGTGGTGAATGTCTCAGTTGGAGACAATTTCGTTGGTGTTAGTCTTGAAGATGGTACTTTGAGAATATACAGCTTTTCTGGAAGAAGGTAAGGAAATCGATAATAGGGAAATATAGTACTAAATATACATTAGAATTTTTCCGGATATTACACTCGATTCAACTTGTTCATTCTTGGAGGCTGAAGCAACAAAGCTACTCGCTATCACCTGCTCTGGAAGCGTTTACGTGTATTGCACTAAAACGCGAAAGATATTGTTTGAGAAGACATCACTCAAGCCACTCTTGAATGCATCAGATATTACTATCAATTCTGTGAGGCTCCGTTCAAATGGCGTACCTGTTGTCATTCTTTCCAATGGAACTGCACACGCATACGACTTTAATCAATTTAGGAGTTGGACTCTTATCAGTAGTACAAGGTTTGTTAAGTCAGATGCATGGGATAGAAGAGGGAGACAACGGCAATCATCATCATCGGCTGCCCAAAGTACACAATCACAACATCATTATCAACAACAACAATCAAACCCAATTTCTAGTATTGAGATTAAACTGAATGAGTTGCTAGTTGACGAAAAAATAAGTGAGCCAATAAATACAGATAAGGACAGTATGGAAGAGGAGGAAGCTGTATACACTCTGAGCCACTTAGAAACTCGTTTACACGGCGCAATACTTCTTGATTCACCAACCGAATTCAGGAACTCAATGATAGCATATGCGCGCAGATTGGGAGACGAAGGTTTCAGAGGAAAAGCAGAAGAATTCATGAAGGAGTACATGGGTCCAATATTCTAGTGAGTAGAGTATAATATTATAAATAGCATAAATTAATGTTCCTTAGCAATCACAACCGAGGAGAAGAATTCACACCGACGGTTCTCGGCTACAAGAAGAGGGATCTCGTTAAGGAGTTCGCAAATACACTAGCAAAGAGCAAACCGCTAGCAAAACTTGGCCAGGAGTATTTAGATTTATTAAAGCAAATTAATTCAGAGATTGTATAATTTATTTATTATTCAAAAGTGTGGGGTTGATAAATCATCACAATTACGTCCATGAACAATGAATACGGTCTACCCGCAGAACTTGCCAGTGCAGCTTCTGTGGCAGGACTGAGTGATAGAAACTGGGATGCTGATGATGTGAGAGCTTTCCAAGAGTTTCTCGATATGAGAGGGTGAGTTGCTAGATAGTCGTCTGACATAGCTAATATCTCTATCTAGGAGAGCTATGCAGCAATCTATCCCACCTGTAGCAGCAGCACCTGCCGTCACAACTGTACAGCCGTTCAACGAGTACATCAGTCTAGGTTTGGAGGGGTCGACGACGACGGAGAGCACACCACAGATACATAGTTCACCTCCTATGGGATCCACTTCTACAATGTCACGCGATGATCTACAAACACAGTCTAAAGAACAAGAGTCAGCTGACAAGAAGAAGTTCAGGAGGAGTAGAAAAGGTTGCTACACCTGTAGAGCTAGAAAAATTAAGGTTTGTTCAGATCAAATGTTAGAATTAGCCAATAACAATCTATAGTGTGATGAAGGCAGACCTGTATGTCATCGATGCCAAGTAGCAAAGCGAGAGTGTAAATTTCCGCCTTCAATCGATTACAACAACGATAACAACAGACGGGGTACCGGAAATTTAGATGACGAGGATTCAAATGGTGACCGACCCGGTTGGCTCAAGTATACGACAGATCCCCCAGATTTCTTAGCCCCGTTCTTGCCCGATAGTAGTAGTAACCCGACAGCACCACGAATCACCAATGATTCAGAAGCTTCACAAGTATCACAGATTGGTCCGAGATTTCCTGCTCCAACTTTCTTAGACGTAGACGGAAATATTGGTCCAGCTCTAAGCAACGCATTCCCACCACCACAACCAGATGTTAGTTTATCACAGAATATGGCCAGCTTTACAAGGGATTTTGAGATGTTGTCTCAGGGTTCTGAAACACCTGCTCATAAAAGACAAAGGAAGAGTGAAGATAAAAGCGTAGACAATGACGATACATCTATGCAGCCGTCAACACCTTCACCTTTTGACGCATTATATCCACCATCACCATTCGCGATCCCATTCGAAACTAAATTTCCAACATCATCAAATCCACCAGATATTAGCAAATTGAGAGAAGATGAGCGCGCGGATCCACCACGTACAACGGCATTCCAAATAGATGAAGGAGAAGGAGAAGATGACGATACACTTCATAAGCAATTAACAAAAAATATGGAGAGTTCAACATCCAAAACGTCATCTGTTGAAACTAGTTCACCTTTATTGTCGAATCCAGATTATCTTTTTCCTTTCTTTCCCGCTCCTCAGGATAGAATGTTGGTACATCATTATCTTACTCAATCTGTTAGATTCATTATCGCACTCAATCTACCCCATTCAGTTAATCCGTGGATACGTATACATGCGCCATTAGCGTTTGGTATGATTGCAGACAAGAATCCGAATGAAGCCTATGCCCAAGCACAAGTTACTGGACAGGGGATTAGTGTAGAAGCACTCCGCACGGGGTTGTTGAGTGTCTCGGCTGTACATCTTGCTTATCTCCGTGGAAAAGATCCGGCAAGTAGAGATCTAGCAGCTAGCCTGAGAAGAACTGCTGTTAGGTATCTCCAAAAAGCAGTCAGCGCAGGTGAAGTTGAGACAGACACTTTCTTGGCCGGTGTACTTAGTGTCGCAATGCGTGATATTCTAGCTGGTGATCCTGGATGGAAAGGTGATTATTGTGTTATTACTATAAGCATATCGTTAACAATTCTATTAGGTATTTTAGAGCTTGCGAAATCTGTTATACAAAAACGTGGTGGACCTATAAAAATGCTTGAGACGGGCAAACCATCAAAGAAGAAAGAGGTTTCAGTTCCTAGATTTTTATTAGAACAATTAGCAACACGTGATGTATTTGGTTCCCTCACAACGGGCGAAGAGCCTGCTATTATCAAAGGCTGGTCACCGTGGTTCCTAGAATTAGGTGAAACTGGTAGTTGTGATTGGGAATGGGAAAGTGTAGAGCGTATGTTTGGTTTGAGTAGGGGTATGGTTGATCTTATAGCACGTATCTCTTCACTTGTTGCAAGAAAACGTAAATTAGGATTACCATTGTATGAAAATGATGCTCAGAAAGCTGAACGATGCGGTTGCAATAGCGGTGATTCAACACCTGAAATGAGAGGTAGATCAGAATTACGTAGTAATCGTAAAGTTAGATCATCAGGTAGTGATTCACGTTCACGTACTAGAGTTTCACGTCAAAGTCGTTCATCAAATTCACGTACTCGTTCACGCTCAGCGAGAAGGAATACAGATAATAATGACGTTATTAAAGAAATGCGTAGACAGGCATTACAGGAAGAAGCTAGAGAGACTCTTGCCGAGCTTGAAAATTTCTCTAATCAGATGAACTTCATACAGTTACATCCTAGAGTTAGCGTTGGTAATCATGCCCATAGGTACGCAATGCAAATTCATATTCTTCGTAATTTATTTGAAGTTTCGACGAATGATGAGAGGGTCGTAAGGGCAACGGAAAGTATACTTGAAGTATGCTTTGAAGGATCGTCTACTGGGATGGTAGTCTGGTTGACCTGGCCAGTATTGATTGCAGGTATGCACTCCACATCATACGAACAGAGAGCATCTGTACTTGCACTTTTACAATCGTTTAAAACGCAAGCTTGTTGGGATGTTGAATCAGCTGAGGCTATTTTGAAGGAATATTGGAGAAGATACGACCTTGGTCATAACACACTCTCCTGGATGGATGTTATGAGGGTAGGTATTGATCTTCTTTTGAGGTGCTTTTCTAAAATTTTCTTAGGATATGAATTTGGACGTCTTGTTGGTTTAAAGTTTTTATTAGAGCGTATCGTTATAGAAGAGATCTGCGTAAGAAAAAAAGAATTTGTGTACTTTTATTCATTGAAATATGTCATGACAAGAAATTTTAGAAGATAAAGCGGGTATTACTATCCTTTTTGTATATTTTACTGTTCTTTTGGTATGCATGTTGTTGATATAGTTAAGAAGATGGTTGTGTTTCACCAACGAATGACAAACTGTATACACTATCTTTTTTGTTAATACTGCACGACACCGTATACTTTCACTTACGTTCCATCTGCACAGCCGAATACAGCCTGCTGGTGATCAATGCAAATTGATAATGGACCTCTATTACTATTCGCGAGCGACTCTTTCGCTTCCTCGCTAGTGACTTCCTCAGGACGTGGAGAGAGTTCCTCCCAAACACCAGTAATAGGTACGGTTTCACCTAACGTTGAACAGAATAACTAGAGAGTTGTTAGTCATATTAGATCAGTAAAATCTACTCACTCTTCTATCTGCACCTGAACGAGATGAGAAACGAGTTGAAGTGACGACTCTATGTTTAGAAACATCAGTTGCACCAACTGGTGCCATATTTTGGGTGTGAGTAATTTGTACAACTTTTGGCGCTTTAATCAATATTGGCGCACTTCTCTTCTTAATTTGAGTTTGACCCGATTGGACTGAAGAATGCGCACTTGGGTTGGAAGTCGACTGTGTACTGTTAACATCTGAGGCCGTCTCATCAGAGCTATTCTTGCGTATTGGTGGTGGCAGTATTCCTGATTTACGTGGACCACTTCTGCCGTTCTTGGCGAGTGGCGCACCAATTGAGGCCCTGGATGTGCGCGGCTTAAGTGTGGAAGTAGGTGCAGGTGCCGCTGGAGCTGGAGCACTGAGCACTACTTCCTCTTCACCTTCATCCCATTGGAGATGAATAAGGTGATTCTTCGTTGCGCATGTCATGCTGAGACCTTCAGCACCGAACCATGTTAGCATTGTGTCAGCAGTGTAACCAATTCCACTTAGTTCTGGTGATAACGATGATAATCTATATTGCGATGTCATTTCACGTTTTGTTATTGAAAAACAACGTATGATGGAGTCTACGGTGACAGCTATGAATTTATCCGCATCTATAAGTTGAACACCAATTGAAACGTTAGTTTGTTGACCGAAGCGAGCTATTCTATCGCCTGTTCTCCAATTCCAAACGACGAGTGCTTTATCTTGACCAGCAGAGACAAGGAACTCGTCATTACAAGCGACTGCGCGAATACCCCTATTATGACCCTGTAACATCTGCAATGGCTGGTTTGTCAATGTCGAGTAGACGACTACCCGACCAACGTCAAAATAACCAGCTGCTAAGATTTTATGATTTGGGAGGTAATCTAAACAACTAATAGCTTTGGCTTGTAAAATGCTCTTACATTCGCCTCCATTCTTGAGATCCCATATGCGCAATGTTTGGTCGTAGGATCCAGTAACGAGAATGCCACCTTTGAGCTGCATAGATGTGACGTAATTTGTATGTCCCGGTAAGAACTTTATCGATTGGGCTATACCTTTCGACCAGTTTCGTTCTCTAAAGTGAAGCGCTCTATAGAGGGACTCCCAATTTTCTTCGTTTTCAGGTGGTACGACTGGATCAGGATCTGAAGCTGTCAAGCGCAAGACAAAAGCGCGCCATAGTTGAGGAAGTTTCATTAATTCGTACCAACGTTTTGAGATGAGTTTACAGTTCAGAGCTTCTTTTACATCCAGATATGACAGAATTTCTGTTGAAATTCCTTCAGGGAGCGTACCCAAAACATCGAAAGCGCTAGCTGCGTATTTCTCAAGCATCCTTATTGTTGTTGAGATATCATGTGGTAATGCGCTCTCTAGTACTACTCTTAGGAGTCTTAATCGTTCATCTTGGTGCAATTGTTTAACTGCTCTTTTCACAGCAATTTCATCAAAATTTGGTCGAAGTATGTTTGAAAGATCAGTACGCGATGAGAAATTCTGCATTGTAACTGGTCTATTTATTTTTAAATCATGATTCTCTTTCTCTAAACGACTCAATTCATATTTCATATCACGTATTTCAGCTTGTAAAGCATATAATTGCGCCGCTGAGCTACCTTGCGAGCTTTCCAAGAGACGCTTATAGCTGATAATAGTTGATGAATGTTGTGAAGAGAGTAGTTGTAAAGTTTCAAGGAACTATTATGGTTGTTAGTAAGACAACAGTATATGAGCACAAATCATACATCTTCGTCTAGTGCAGCTGGATCATTGTCTGCTGTTTCTAAATCCCATTTCGTGTCTGCTATACTTAGTCCAGCTATTGTGCGTCCTTGTGTGATATCTGCAAGGTAATCATTTGATGGTGAAATAGACGACTGTAATGGTGAACGTGTTGTACGTTCTGACGGAGGCATGGGTGAATATATAGGCGTATGTCCTAAATGACTACCAGTTGGTGTACTTTCTTGATGTCTTTGTGGTGTATGAGAAGGTGTATGTGTTGGTGTTAGAGATACCATTTCTGGAGTTTTCTGTTGTTTATTTGGTGTATTATTTGGCTTATTATTAGAAGCTTGATTCTCTTTATTATCCTTGCTGTTAGATGTACTGTTCATGGTGATAGAACTCCTCAATGGCTCAGATTTCCGTGGTTTGAAGGCCCTTCTAGCTGCGTTTGCAGATCTGTCATTAGCGTTGTTTGTAGATACAGTTCTAGTGCGTAATGGTGTATTCGCTGGCCGGCCTGTAGTAGGAGTGGACATGGACGTGCGTATGTAAGCGAAGGGAAGTTGTATTAAGTGAATGTATATGTATATGAATCACGTATACTCAAGCTTATATATCTCTAGTGTACAAGTGTAAGAAGATAGCGTATCTCAAGCAAATAGTCAAATAGTGCAGAGATATATAGCATGATAGGAGAGATATATTGGTAAAGAAGACTATAGAACGTATGAAGCTGTAGATCTCTTCTCACCTCTATCACCGACATCAGAGATCTGCTATATCGAAAAAGAAAGAGAGATGATAAATAAAATAAATAACTATTAACAATAGATGCAGTATATCTCTTATATATTTCCCCTCTCGGCTTCTTGAATTTTAATTTTTAAATTTCGTGGACTGAATTCGATGAAATCCTTCTCTGGTCGTTTCTTGCTTGTGAGCTGCCAACCGCTGGAAGGTAAAATAAGAAAATAAAGAGAGGAATAAATAATCTGACATCTTTGTAGAATGTCTACAGTCCCTACCCTTCAGAAAATCGAGCAGCCAGAGACGATCTTGAAGAAGCGTAAGCAGGACAACAAGGCTAGAGAGGAGAAGCTCGCCAAGGCTGCTGAAGCTAAGAAGGTATGTTATTCGATTTATTTGCAAAAATTTCGACTGATCATTCAATTTTTAGGCTCAAAAGGCTAAGCGTGCAGTCATCTTCAAGCGTGCTGAGCAATACGTTAAGGAGTACAGAGTCAGAGAAGCTGAGGAAGTACGTCTTAAGCGTGTTGCACGTGCAAACGGTGACTTCTACGTTCCACCACAATCAAAGGTCTACTTTGCCATTCGTTTACGTGGTGTTTCCAACATTGCACCAAAGCCACGTAAGATCATGCAGCTCTTGCGTCTCTTAAAGATCAACTCCGGTGTCTTCATCAAGGTCAACAAGGCTACCGAGCAAATGCTCAAGATGGTCGAGCCATACGTCGCCTACGGTGAGCCAAACTTGAAGTCAATCCGTGAGCTCGTCTACAAGCGCGGTTACGGTAAGGTAAACAAGCAACGCGTTCCTTTACAAGACAACGCTATCATTGAGAAGGAACTCGGCCAATACGACATCCTCTCAATTGAAGATTGCATCCACGAAATTGCAACTGCTGGCCCACACTTCAAGCAAGTTACTAACTTCCTCTGGCCATTCCACCTCAGCTCTGCCAACGGTGGTTACAGACAACGCAAGCTTCTCCACTTCGTCGAGGGTGGTGATGTCGGTAACAGAGAGAAGTTCGTCAACGACCTCATCCGCAAGATGAACTAAGCGTGCACTTTTTGTACACCTTAAATATAAAATTTTACTTTAACTTTTTTGTCTGTTAGGTGTGTTTCAATAGTATATGCGAACTTCCATCTGTCAACTTATGAGGGATGTTATTAGTATAAACAATTTAAAGCTAACTACTAGCGTCGGTAGTGACAGATTTAGAAACATCGCTGTCGAGCCAATAAAATTAGACATAAACTGTAGAACGAATATACAGAAGGACTTGGATAAGAGTATAAATTATGCGGACCTTACCGATTCTTTAAATAGAGTATCTCAGCGTAAATACGATAGTCTCCCTGCGCTTTCTAGCGCTATATCATCAGCTGCATTCTCTTATCAAGGCGTAGAAGCACTCAATTTGAGGTTATCGAAATCCAAAGGACTCCTCAAAGGAGAATTATCATATGAGGAAAACTACGATAACGGGGAATGCGTTTCTATTACGAAAATATCAAATATCGATGTGGATATCATCATCGGTATACATCCGTGGGAACGTCAGTTCAAGCAGAAGGTATTACTCGATTTGACTATCAAAGGCAATCATGATTATAATTTGTTAATTCAGCGATTAGTTGAGGTACGCTCCCCGTTTTATCTTCTACATAACTCATTATAATCAGTTTCTTGAGCAGTCTGACTACCATGTTCTCGAGAATCTCGCGTTAGACGCAGCTCGCTTGGCTATCGTAGACCTCAAACTCCCAGAAGTTACTATCAAAGCTGCAAAACCAAGTGCTTTAACATTCGCGGACTCTGCCAGCGTGCAAGTTACTAGGACATCAAAGGATTTTAACATCATTGAGAATGTTACTGCTTCTCAAGCAACACCAGTTGTTCTCTCATTCGGTAGCAATCTTGGTAACCAGAAACTCAACATACAAAAAGCACTTAACCTTCTTGAAAGCCGCGGAGTAGCGAAGGTAGTTGACACTTCATTCCTTTATCAAACCAAACCCATGTATGTTATCGATCAACCTACGTTCCTCAACGGTGTTTGCAAAATTTCAACATCACTCACACCTCATGGGCTCTTAAAATCAATTAAAGAAATCGAAGAAGATTTAGGCCGTGATCTAGGTGGTCCAGTTAAAGGGCCACGTCCAATAGATTTAGATATTTTAGTATTTGGTGATCAAAAGGTTAATGACGACGTTCTAAATATCCCACATATTGGTATATCTGAACGTTCATTCGTTTTAAAACCTTTCTGTGATGTACTACCAGATTTCATTCCGCCTGGTCATCTTCTCACATCCACCGAGGCGCTACAGCGTCTTAACGATGATTCAATAAAGATGGCTTTAGCAGTCGGTCAAAAGCTCATATCGCTTCGTGATAAGCGTTGGGTTATGGGTATTTTGAATTGTACACCGGATAGTTTCTCAGACGGAGGTTTAAATTACACACTAGAAGATTCTTACAAGAATGCGGTGAAAATGATAGAAGATGGCGTAGATTTCATTGATGTTGGTGGGATGTCGACACGTCCAAACGCACCAGATGTAGAACCGGAAGTCGAAATTGACAGAGTCGTTCCAATTATTGCAAAATTACGCAAAGAATACCCAGAAGTAATCATTTCAGTTGATACGTTCAGAGCGGCAGTTGCAAAGGCAGCAGTAGAAGCAGGCGCAGATATTATAAATGACGTTAGTGGTGGTCTTGCGGATGAAGATATGTTCAAAACCGTAGCCGAATTGGGAGTACCTTATATATTAATGCATATGCGCGGAGACTCACGCACAATGACGTCTTTAACTCATTACTCAGAGGGTGTAGTTGAGGGTGTCAAACATGAAATGCAAGAAAGGCTCAAGATGGCTCTAGAAAGCGGAATTAGACGCTGGAATATAATCATTGATCCTGGTTTGGGATTCGCGAAAGACGTTGATGGAAATTTGGATATACTTCGTAACCTTGATGCCTTTGGTGGTAGATCAACAAAACAAGACAACAAGTCTAACGGTTTCCTCACTCAGGAGGCCCATCTCGAGCTAGCCAATATGCCACTCCTGATCGGACACTCTAGGAAGAAATTTATTGGAACTATCACAGATGTGGGTACAGCTAAAGATCGTGTTGCTGGCACGGCAGCCACAACTATGGCTGCACTCTCCGGTGGGGCTGATATAGTACGCGTGCATGATGTCAAGGAGACAATCGACGTTACGAAAATGGCTCAAGCTATGTGAGTACTAATTGATTTCAAAAACGAAAACATCTAATGGCCGTAGATATCATAAATAAATGTATAGCAGATTATACACCTTTCAAATGAAAACCCCAGAATCTTTTAGTTTTCTCTGTTTCTTTCCACCTTGCTACGTTTGTATTCATACCTAGTCCTAATTGCAATTCAACATTGTTCATTATGCGCTCCTTTTCTACATCCGGTATACGTTTATGCGCTGAACTATTAGCGAAAACAACTGAAACTTTTCCCTTTTGTGAGAGTACCTCATGTGCTTTTTTGAGTTTGTGCGTCAAATCGTGGGGACTAGTCATCCATGTGAGTTGTATTTCCTTCTCAAGTTTAGATTTAGCAGACTTGGCAGCTTTCGCTTCCTTCTCTTTGTTAGATTTCTCTTTAGCTTTACGATATTCTTCACTCTTGTCTATTATTTTGACGAGTGGGATATCGCCACTCTCTGAAACGACTTCTAATCTATATTTACTCCTTTCTATACTACGAAGTACTGCTCTGCTATCTTCACCTAATTGAGGTTTACCCGTTACAGAATCTACTACTGAGATTTTGTCAAATGCCTTGACTATATCTGGAGATATTTTAATAGATGTATCTGAATGTGAGTTATCTCACCTTCATCTCGTAGTCTCCCAGCTGCTTTATGGAGTACAGATGTCGTCGATATTGCACGGAAGGTATTGTAACTAGCACCAGCTTTTGGTAAATTACTAATTAATCTTTGCATCTAGCTCGGTATTTTCTTTTGACGTCAGTTGATGGTCGCAAGAGAAGAGAGGAAGTTGAAATTGCTGTTTGATAATAATTTGAATTGATTGCTGATAGCTTTCAATGTATATATACACTTCATAATCCATCGTTTATCGCCATCTATATAAATGATGCCATCAACTTAACATCATGTGGGTATTTTAGAAAACATTATATTAACCATTCATTTTTATCACAAAAACAATCACAGATAATCCACAATAACAAAAATTAAAAAATTTATATTCTTCACGTGGAGATGCGGGGAATCGAACCCCGTTTTCTGTCTTGCGAAGACAGCGTAATAGCCATTATACCACATCCCCTGAACTTGTTTCAGATTTTAAGCACATGTGTTTAGATTGATTCACGTTTCGACTCAATCTAAATTAGCCATCTGAATCCAGAAGTGATTTTATACCATTTGACGTTTTTATGTGGTGTTTTACCGTCATAATATGTTATGATGGTCGAACATTGGCGAAATGCGCTACAGAAATAGTATTAGTCGATGTGCGAATGATTGAGAATTGTAATCTGGACATAGTTCTTTTAATATTCACTTAATAGTATCGCAGTTACTACAGGATAGTAAACATTCATGAATCTGAGTGTCAACTCATTAAACACACATAAAAGGATATAAGGACAAATTCAGACGATTCAAATTGTTTACAAGGTCTATCATATAAAAGGTTATCTCAAACCCCAGAATATCTCTCTAATACACTCAAACATGCGTATTTTTGTTTAAAAGTTATGTATGTACATCAATTCCTCATCTATATTTATCAATGAAATATTATGAACGCCTAGGCAAAATATCTGTTCATAACTGTCAGTTTAATCTGATTGATAAAACACACACCTACCTATCACCAAAGTCACCCAAACCTGGAACGATGTAATTACGTTCGTCGAGCTTTCTGTCGACCCATCCAGTAACGATCTAGAACATGTGAGAGATATACATATAAAGTACCAATCGCTCACCTTCATCTTAGGGTATTTTTCATACATAACTTTGAGTCCTTCAGGTGCACTCAAGACATTCAAAAAGACGATCTTGTCTTGCTTTACGCCTTTGCTGAGAAGTACTTCTATCGCGCGTATGGCTGATCCGCCAGTGGCTAACATAGGATCCAAAAGTAAAACGAATCTTTCGTGTATGTCTTCTGGTAATTTGGCATAATAGAGACGAGCTTCACCTGTTTCCTCATTACGCTGAACTAGAACTTTACCAATTCTTACGGATCTAAGGCATTCTCTCAGTGCACTTTCCATAGCCTCACCGGCTCTAAGGATGGAAACACCACAGACCTTTCCCTCAAATCCAACGCCATCATAATCTTCTCCTGTCTCAGTAGTAATTTGCTTAGGTAAAGTTGGTAAGTGATTTAAACCTTCTTCTACGAGAAGTCTTATGATACGATCTGAGTAGCTAGATTGGTATTAGATAGTGAATAAAAGACTCTGCGTGCCACTTTACAAAATAAATTCTCCTCTTGATGTGTTCTTATCCCTAATGATCGTCATCAATCCTGTTAGGACATTAATATGAGAGACGTTGTGTGATATATTCACTAACCCTCTAATTGGTTAGAACGAGGTAATCTGTAAGCATTTGGAGGTAAGTTTTCTGATGTGGACATGACAGCCAACTGATAAGATATGCGGGAAGTGGATGAAAGCTTATAATGCAAAAGATACAAGAATAGTTAATTTTGGTATAGCAAACAGATTACATCTGCATTGGTTCAGTTTGTTCTGTGTTCAATCGTGAAACAGTATCAGCAGATGCACGTAACTTGTCATGATTATGTGTGCAACCACTTCTGTTGAAAAGTGCGTCTTTGGCCATCTGTGAGATTAAACCGAGTTGACCTTCAACTGCTATACGGTTGCTCAAACGTACTGCCTTTACCAATCCGGAGTCATCATCTGATTTTTCGGCATTTCCTCTGCCATACAAGCCCATCTCAGCTTCTTTGAGCTTGTCTTGAAGGTCGCTAATCTGGTCTGTCAAATAAGCGCGGTTCTGTGGCTTATTTTAGAAATGACAAGGTGTATTAAGGAAGGTACTCACTGTAATCAGTTTGCTTTGTGAGAGCGTATTTACCCAATACTTATTCCAAAGCAGGTCAAGCAATTTCTTATCAAGACTACTCTTGAAAATTGAAACCTCAAGTTGGTAATAAGCATTAGCGTGTACACCGAAGTCTTCAATTTTCGACTGTGGGATATTTTGATCAATAGAAGTACTCTTTGGTGGCATATATCCTTGAGGATACGTTCTGAAAGCGCCGATATCGACACGTCCAGCTGAAATCGTCCTGTTAGGGTCGATAACAACCGCAACCCAAGGATCTTGGAATTGTTGATTAGTTGATTGGGTCGTTACGTCTATACCACTCAGCCAACAGCCATAGCCTGGATGAGAGTGATACCAGCCAAGTGCATTCTCAGGTTTGTTCACTGATTTACTACCATTTAACCAATTAACCATGAACTCATTGGCTTCACTTGATGCGTTAACGCGTGTTTCGGTACCCTAGAGTAGCTATTTAATCGATTTGTTTATGTTTGTTTGTTTATCTACTCACCTGTACTGGTAAAGCGAAGGCATCCATAATAATCATAGTATCACCTTCCAGCTTTCCTTGCATGAGACCCATTACTTCATATGGTACGCCTGATCTAGCGTGTAAAACCATCTTTATGAGTGCTACAGTGCTTATCTTGACACGCTTAAAGTAATGTGGGCTGAAAGTGTATTAGATAGAGTAGTATATCTTAATAGCTACTTACTCTTGCTTCCAAGGGCGTTTATTGTTTATATCCCTCTGAGCATCCTCGTCATAGGTGTATATTAGGTCGACCTGTATGACAATTAAAAGAATATAATAAAACTAATGCAAACTAACTTCTTCTACGTCGTTCTCCAAGTCAAATGTCTTCATAGCCACCGAGGAATCCATCTTGGTGGTTTGTGAATAACAGCCATCATTGCGTATACTTTTGATAAGAAAGAGTGAAATGAGTGAGAAACAAATGAATAATTTGTGTTTAACTAATAGTATACAGTTTCCAACTTGAATACTTCGCTCCTACGAGCTACTGGGAAGTCGACACTTACGCTAACCAAGTCATTCACTCGTACACCAACGAACACACAATGGAAATCACTTTCACCATCTTCTGAACCAGATTTCAGTTTATTTGAACCGACGGATTATGAACCTGTATCGAGTAATCCTGCTGTAGATAATAAAGCTCCATGTACAGTTCTTCGTGATATGACACGCAAACAACAATTCATTGCAGCAAGGGAAATACTCAGCGATTTGCGCCAAATGAATGTACCTATTCGTCAATCACAAGTATACACAATAGCTGCAATAGAACGTCTTCTTGATAACGATATCGAAGGGGCAACTGCATGGTTACCACTTATTCCTCAAAGAGCATTTCACGCATCACATATATTACACATATTCTTCGCTAATGATCCAACCAATTTAGATGCACTAGTTCTATTGGCTCGAAAATTACCACTTAGTGCAAATCAAGCAACACATGTTCTTGCTCATCTTGTCAGATTCTCTCAGGATACACTCAAAGTTGTGAAATTCCTTGAAGACCAGGAGACAAAATCGCAAGTATGGAATAACCAGCGTGACGTATTCTTAAATCAGCTAGCTTTGACGAAAAGGTTCGATGACTTAGATAATGTTCTCAAGAGGTGGTGCACCAAATATAGCTCTCCAAGTCAGACGCAGGAAACTCGCAAAATGTACATCCCGAGCGCCTTTACTAGCATTCTCATACTACAAGAGAGTATAAAGAATAATGCAAATGAAAGACTAGTACGACAAGCACAATGGATATTGTCAAATTATCACTCCGAAGAAGCGAAAAGAATGGCGCATGCACCATCACTCGGACCAAAATCGGCATCTAGAGAAATCGAGGAAAATCTTTTGGAGGAAATTTCACAAACACGACCAAATGATAAGGTTGTAAAGCGTTTATTACAGGAGTTATTCGCTGATTCGTCTTTCCCTTCGGCTAAGGTGATATCATCTTTGGTGACATACTATCAGACGAAGATACACACAATAAAGATAGCTCCTAGATTAGCTGAGCTGCGAGACTATCTTCTAAATCGACAACATCTCAGACAACGCGCAAAATCACTGTGGACATTCTCAAGGATGATAATGCAGTTACATAATTCAATATATGCACCAGATCATAAGAGAGATATGAAAGCTAAGAGAGTATTGGAGATATTTTCTGACGTTTATCTTCCAATTGGTATACCTGATAATTTAATATCGAAACCATCAAATGGATTTGACAACATACTTAACACGTATAAAAGCAAATCTCATCCATTATTACTGTGGCCGGATCCATTTGTTTTGGGTGTAGCATACACTTCTCTTCTTATTATTCATAAAAATGATAAAGTTCTACACAATAGACTTTGGAGGAACCTTATTTCACCTGCTACAACTACATCAAATGATTTTATATTCACAATACCACCTTCAATGCGTCCGGACTCTCTGACATGTTTGCCATTTTTACATATCTTCTCAACGAAACACAACCCAGATAGAGTAAGAGAGGCATTAGAGGATATGGCAAACTGTGGCATTCCATTCGCAATGGAGGGCATTCTCACATTATTGCGCGCTTACGCTTCTAGAAATCGCCTTAACAGTGTACGACAAATACTGAATTGGCTGCAGCATCAAGAAAGCGAATTTAATATACCCCGTTGGGACCCACCTGAAAACGTCTCTGTTGAAGCTCTCATTCCTCATTTGGTTGATGTTTCTCCCCTGAATTCTCAAACGAGGGCATTTCTCGAAAGGCTATTACAAAAGGACGTTGAAAGTGAGAGTGGAGGTGATTTCAATTGATATGCAGTTAGAAGTGTAATATTTGCCTTGTATTATAAAGAAACATATAGATAGCATTCTAAAATAGAAAAATAGCTTATATATAAATAGGTAGTGAATATAATTACATAATTGATTTTTAAGTAGTGAAGGTATTTTCAATTTGAATAGGTGATATTCAAGCAGTTACAGATTCGACTGACATATTCTCGTCATTTTCTTCATCTTCATCTTCATCTTCATCTTCATCAGAGTCATGTATACGCTTGCCATTCGGACGAGCTTTTCTCGTTGGGCCTCTCCTCTTTTCCTTGGTGTCATCATCAGTCAAGGCTATATCACTTCCACTCTCGTTGGAATCCTTTTCACTGTCTTCATCCTCCCAGTTATGCTTCCTTCTTGCGCGTTTCGCTGGTTTCTTCGTGGTATTTCCACTTTCTGCAAGTTTCTTTTTTCTTTGTATTGGCTTGTTCTTTACACTATTAAGACTGCTCATCATCTCTTCTGTGAGATAAACTTTCTGACTTATCTCACGCTGAACTTCGCTGCTTGGGAGTGGTTTGAATATATCAGTTGCAAGCTTTACTTTGCCTTCATAAGATGCAAGTGTCCACTTTCTCTGGTTTGCCAATGTGCTAGTAAGATGCTGACCGAGTTCACTGAGGATGTAAAGATTTATGCTGTTATCCTTGGTTGTTATATCTCTGACCGTTTTAAGTCTACCAGCTAGATAATACAACAAGCTGATATTCTCGATCGTTGCAACCATCTCAAGGTAAAAATTAATATATCTATTTAGAGAATCAGTCTAGCCCTTTCTGCTTTATTTATTCACCTACTTTGATGTTGCTTCTATGTCAGCTGGATGAGAAGAGAAGTCAGGATGGTGAGCCAAGGTGTGAAGCAAACGGTAGAAAATCATTTCAAACGCGTTAAGTCGTACTTCTTTGGAGTTTGAGTTAGCGAAAGTGTACACAGATATTCCTAACTCACTTGGCGGTTGACGACGTAGCATGGATTGCACGTAGATTTGACTGCTTGTCGTAATATCTGGTACTGGTTCATGTGCAGTAAGGAACACGTAGACGTTATAATGGTAAGGAATCTTGAAACGTGCTAGGTATTTGACAAGTTTATCAAGATAAATCCTGCGAACAGAGTAGGCGACATCTTGTACAGCAACCGACATCAATAAGAACTTCGATCTAACGATCTCTTTCTCTAATCTCTCATCTTGTGCCATTTTGAGCAAACTAAGGAGTGTCCTAAGACGTAATCTAGAGCGTACAAAAGCACTGTTAGGAGTGTCAGCTGGTACCCCAAATAAAGTAAAACACATACGGTAGTTGGTATTTCTCTTCATCATCGTTTTTAACATCTGAATCCATCTCCTCTTCTTCAACTAATGTCAAGACATCACCTTTTTTACGCAAAATCTTGGAGAAAAGCTGTCCTACTGTTTTTGCCATCTCTACTTCCTGATCTGGGTTGTCGCTCTTCATCTTAGTGATGTATGTGCAAAGACGAAGTGCATCCACTTTCGCGAAAGTGAGTGCATCGATCCTGTCTTCATCGTCAACCCATTCCATATCAATATCGACATCTGGCTTTCTTGGGGTCAACATGGTAATCTAAAATAATTGCACTCACATCGACAGAATTATGCGGACGTTGCATGAGATCATTGCTGATGAACTCATACATCGCTTCTACTTGGTCTTGGACAATGTCGGGCGAAGATTTGGCCACTTCAGCCAAGAACGACATACGCTTCATCAAGCCTTCTTCGTTGGTTAAACTCAAATCATTTATAGTAGCTTGTGTAATATTCTTAAGTGTTTCCTGTGCACTATCAACGTATGAAAGAATACGCGTTGCAAATTTGATTTCTTCATGTGACCCTTGATTCGCAAAGCGTATGAGACGATCAGTGAAGCGTTTCTCTGTTGGAATGGAACTCCTATCAGCTTTCGCGATAGCAGCTAGTGAACGTAAAGCCACCAAGGCTGAACGCTCGTCATTTATTTGTTTCACAAGTTCACTTATGTGGTTTTTGAACATGAGTGGTGTAAATTTAGCGATTGCTAAGAGTACACTGTGTGCTGACATGCTACCATTAACGTACTTCTTGAGTAGATGTGGAATAGAAGATTTGTTGACGAACTGATAAGTTGATTTGAGAAGGAGGGCATCAAATGTACTTGGTAGTGTCTTGTTGTTACCAGATATCTGTTCAAGACGACGGTGAAGCTCAGCCTGGCGTTTCATGAGTTTAAAGTTATCAGTTGTCATGTAAATAAACTTACTTGGCACTTCTGCAAGGTTTTGAAATCACATTGCTGAGGATCCATGGCAATTTTCAGAGTCTTGTATAAACGAGTTTCATTCAGTTTGACAAATTCTTGCAAATCAGTTGAAGCTTTTGAATCCTCTGGGAATAAAGAACTGACAAGTTTGATATATGATAAGATACGCTCCTTTTTCTCCTTGTCATCTCTATCATTGTTGAACTCCTCACAACATTCAACATAACGAATTGTGTAAAGTCGTTGCGCGCTATTACAAACACCTGTCAAAGTTAAAAGCGCTTTCTTCTCATCGTCACTTAAAACTTCGTAAACTTTCAGGAAGCGATCAACCCAAGCGACTTCAGATTCAGCATTGAGTGGTAAGATATACTTGACGAGCGTCCTCTCCACTTGTAATTTGATACTAGCTGCTTGAGCCGGGAAACTAATATGTAGTGGGGCAAGAATAGCTCTAGGAATCCATCCAAATTTCTCTGAAGCATTCACGTTGCCGAGATTAATATCAGCGTAAGCTAAACTATACATTCTAGCTAAACTTTCAAATGCTTCTTGTCTGACTACAGCTTTCTTATCTTTACATCTCAATGCCAGCTCATCTAGCGTGCTTCTCGACGTGTAGGTTAATGCAATCTCGTAGGTGATCTTTTGGAAAAATTGACAAGCTGTTGCTCTCACTTTATCATCGAAATCACGGAGCTTGTCTGAGACTGTGGTAATTATCTCATTACTAAGTTGTGGATGTGTAAGAATAATTGATGGTGCGTGCTCAACGATAACTGCTCTTATTGATGGTGACATATCTCTTCTTCTATCAATCCACGCCCTGAAAGTATTTGGATGCTCCTTTGCTAGTGATGAATACGCATTATCTGACGTTGGTTCTCCTAACATCCTACCTAATGTACGTGTAGCAACATCGCGTAGATCGTTATTTTCAGATAACAGTTCAGCTTCTATTTGGGGAATTGTACTAAGTAATATTCTTGGTGAATGTCTATGTATTGATCTTATTATTTTGTGAGCACCGATAACTTCATCAAATGTCTGTTCACTGTACTCTTCGTCGAGAACCTTGAGAAGAATCTCATTGAAGTATTGACATACGCTCTTTTGCAATCTCTCCGAAGTTCTATTACAAACTTCAACTACAAGTTTGTGTTTCGCTGGGTTGATTTTTGCAGTTTTGTCAGAAAATGCAATCAACATAGCTTCAATGATATCGGTTGGGATTGAATTTGATTCGTCAATCAATTGAGACAATATGTCTGCCATGAAGCCCTGTAAACGGGGTGATGTATCTGGACGTATACCAGAGAGGAAGTCTTTAAATACGTCATTTATAATGTCATCAGCGTTTGGTAAATCGCAGACGAGAACGACGCAACTGACGTCTGCCATTGTTCTGAGGATATAGTAATATCTAAGTTGTTATCTTAAAAACGCGTGAATGATCTAATATGACTTACTCTTGATAACACTGTACATCATTTTGTCTCTTATCCTTCGGTGGTTTCCAAAGGTGTGCTACTTGTCTAAAAATGAACGCAAATATGTCCTATAATAACGTGAATGATTGTCTAGGATGCTGAACTATTCGCACCTTGAGCTCTGGGAGAGTGTATGGCGCGTCAGGTGCGCATATACGCAAGATATCGACGAAAGAAGCCGCTACTAAAGCTTTAATGTGTTTATCTTTGTGTAAAAGTAGCGATTTGTCCAGTAACTGCTTAGCGACGCCGTGGACGGAAGTCGGTTCAATTTGATCCTGATCCCATTCGGATAACTCTTTCTGTAAGGCCTAGAGTATAAAATATAAATAGTCATTCGTTTGTCATCTATCGAACACACTTGTAATCTCTTCAATTGCTCATTCGTCTGTATTCCTTGGAGATGTTAGGTTTGCTAGTAAATATACGACTCCACGCGTACCCTTTTGTATTAGTTTATCCTTAAATTTTAGTTTTGAGAGTGTCATCGTTCACTTTCAAGTGAGAACTCACGCGCGTTCTGACTTTGATAACGACCGCGATGGCTAACATAACGAGATATATACAGCGTATAGTATCTGGACCAAAGCAGAGGTTCAAGGATCCTGAGACTGATACTGATTTGGATCTCTCCTACATCTCTGATAACATCATTATAATGGGATATCCAACGCCAGCGAGTGAGAAGTTCGTTTATAATCCATACAATATCTCAACTACTTTCTAGACAACTACCAAGCTGTTTATCGTAATAATCAAGTGCACGTACGCAAATTGTTAGAGTGTGTCACTTACCGCTTGGACATATCACATTCAGCTAACAAGACTGAAGGAGCAGACATGGTCGCAACTGGCGTATATACAATCTCTGCCCATGTCACGAGAATAGCTACGATCCTTCTTACTTCTATAATCAAGGTTCGTCTTCTTTTCATCTGTTTTACTTCCTCATAGGCCAATAGTCTCCAGATATCCTTTCCCTGATCACCACGCTCCTCCATTACCACTCATAAAAGTCGCTGTAAGAGACATGAAGAGCTATCTCAGTGAGAACAAAGATAATGTCGTCGTCATACATTGTAAAGCAGGGAAAGGCAGGAGCGGTACGATGGCATGCTGTCTTTTACTTCTATTAGGCGAGCTACCACCGCCTAGTCGACATGTATCCAAGAAATCACGTTCAGATGTACCGCAGCCGGAGATAACACCACCAAATTTGGATCATTTAGACCCAAAACGTGAAGCTAGTACAGTTCAAAGGTTGGTAGCACCACATGTGGTACCATCACCAGCTTCCAGTACATCACATTTAACAACAACAGAAGATCTGCCACCAGCACTACAGAGAGCTCAAGATGTAATTCAGTTGCATACACATCGTCGTATGAAAACCAAACAAGATAGCGAAGTATCAAAATGGCGCACAGGTGTTAGTATACCTTCACAACGTCGCTTCATTGAATACTACGCGAGAGTTTTAGCAAGGGAAATCCCTCAGAATAACCATACTGTTAATGTTACTAAAATTACTGTACGTCTAACCGAGAACTTTGGAATGATAGGGAAAACAATGTGAGTTCGTTATCACTATTTACTTTTATATTGACAGATCACAAGCTTTGGTCTTGCTAATACGCGTATGGGTCTACATTTCGCCAAATATAACGACGATTATGTGAAAGCATTAGAAGATGGTGCAAAAGATAACTCGTTCAAGGTTGTCGATGATAAGTGGGATAAACAAAAGATGGTCACTAGATTCGCAGAGACTGATGAGTATACAGTTGAGGAATGTAATGATGTGAGTACACAATGTAATGTTTACACTAACTAACACTTTCCTAGGGCATAAAAATCCTAACTTTCAATCCAAATGTTACACTAACATCAAGCAGGGAATGCAGATTGCGATTAGTTTTCGGTCAATTTTCAGTCGGATGGATTTGGTTTATTCCTGGATTTCATATCTTCCCTCTAGTCCTAACAAACGAACAAATAGACTTTACAAAAGGTTCGGTAGTTGGAATTTCTCTTGTTGATGTCAAATTGGAACTAACTTGAGGATAAAAAGACTAGTACAGTACACACTAATCAAAACTATCTTTAATACAATGTATGAAATAGAATAAGCTATGATATGATGATGACTTTTTAAATTAAAAAGAAAAGCTTTGAATTTTGAATGTTTATTTTGATTCCTTGTTGGCGTCATTTGAGCCATTGTCTATTGTATGTGATGATGCACTTTGCTGAGAAGGTTGAGTTGATTGATTAGATTGACCTGAGTGACCTGATTTAGCTGCGATTTCTTCGTTGTACTTTGATGCTTCAACTGGAGTGGCATTCTCATCAAATTGAGGATCTTCTGCAGGTGGTAAAGAGTCTATATCAATAGTTGACTTTGGTGCATCTGGTAAAACCCATTTCTTCCATACGCCATGAGCGAGTCTAACTTTACCAACAGGATTTGTGTTACTAGCAATGATATCGATCTCCTTTTGTACTTGAGACATATCGAGGGATTCCTTTTGTAAAACACCCTCTTCCTTTTGGCTTGGCTCGGCATTTTCAGCAAAGAAGTAGACTTCAACGAGATGGGACATTGAGAAAACATCTCTCAACAAGTAAAGGTCGACTGACAAGGCTTTGACCCTGTTGAAAGTGGTGAATACAGGGATGTCTACCCAACCATCGCTGTCCATTTGTTGACGTAAGAAGAAATCTCTAACTAAATTTTGTGTTGTGAAGTAGTATTCTAATTGACCTAATAAATAAAACCTGAGTGGATCTAATGGGTAGTTTGTAGTGGTGATAGGTGTTGGCATAGGCATTGGTGCGTAAGTGTGGCCTGCTTGAGTGTTTGGTGCGCCGAACATCTGGAAGGAGGAAGGCATAGCAGGTACGACAGGTGCGAAATTCTTCTGGTTCTTGTCGCTAGTCTTGCTTGGCTTTCTGTTCGACGACTTTCTTTGCTGCTGTTGTGGGTTTTTTGACTTTGTGGACTTGTTGTTTGCACGCTGGCTAGACTTGTTGGCATCACTACGCTTAGCCTTATTTGACTTTTTGTTTTGGCTTCTGCGAGATTGTACAGGTAATACTTCCTCAACTGGGACGGTAACCCAGTTCTTCTTCCCTAAAAAATATTAATATATAAGAGTATATAATGGTAGTTACACACCCCTCCGCGTACTATTAGAGTCAGTTGGTGTACTGCTTTGTGATTTTTCCTTGTTCGTCTTCTCTGCCTCACGGTCCCTATCCTTAGCGTCTGAAGCAGAAGGCCAGGATTTCTCATCTTTAACAGGCAATTCCTGTGGTGCGGCGACAGCTTGTCTGCTTTGCCAGACGTTCGTTGTCATGTTGATTGACTGATGAAGTTGCGAGTTGAAGCTTTGAAAACTCTATACAGGACATATTCCTCACTTCAAAAAATCAAAAATTTCTATTTATTCATTTATAGTTATATATCATTTTACAAACGATTTTTATCACTTTTAAAGCTTTTATTTCTTATATTTTATACTTTGTCGTCTAGAACGTATTTTGTATGTCATAGTGCATATACAACTACCATAGCCTAGTATTTCAATATAAGTTACTTATATACACCTCTATATCTTACAATATTCGCATCTTTTGTGAGATCTGCAAGGAAAATTTTCCGTAATCCTGAATCAATCAACGTAGTCATTATTTTATGCTATAGGTATTAAACTAGCTCACACTAATTGTATAGAGTACTCACCGTGCTCAATCTAACCCGTTATAATCACAAGATATGCAAAGACGTTACTCCGCGGCCAATTCAAGATGCAAATCAATGGATGATGAAACCACAGAGCCAGGAAATTGCCTAACATCCATTGCAGGTTACATTCCAAACTAGCTTATCCCCACTCGCATTGTAAGCTGGTAGAGTACTCCTTCATAGGCAGACTACTTAAGATATAACTATTGGAACTAGTCACAGTAGCATCTTTCAGAGAAGGTATCTCTACCTTTCAGATCCTTTCGTTAGAAAAAAAGACGATATATGGCTGTATAATCAAATTACCAGAGAGATGGACTATTACTATAATGATTATTGCAACATATAATACTAATATACACCATTTTCTGAATTCTATACCGTCCAAGCTTATTACATCTTGGTTTTTGACGACGACGAATGAGTAGCCAACAAGAGCGTATACAGAATGCCTTGGCTCAGATGTCATCAAAGCCAGTGCCAGATATTGATTTCACGGTACACACGTGAGTAGATCTCTATATAATATCTTCATTTCTGAGATGTACACCTAGCAACGAAGATGGCACACAAGTCTCGACACAGGAGAGAGTTATAAAGGATGTACAAGCTCCTGCCATGCAGCCACCTACGGATGAACAATTTTGGTCTAAAGTTGACCCTACAAAGCCAGATATCGCTTTCCTCAAAAACCACTTTTATAGGGAGGGTCGTCTGCACGAGCACCAAGCGTTATATATTCTACACCAGGCTACAGAGATATTAAAAAATGAGCCAAATCTACTCAACGTAGACGCTCCAATCACTGTGTGCGGTGATATCCATGGTCAATACGTGAGTATGCTCGTATAATTAGGTTTATAATCTCAAGCCTATCCAGTTCGATTTAATGAAGTTGTTTGAAGTTGGAGGAAATCCTGTTGATACTCGCTACCTCTTCCTTGGTGACTACGTAGACCGTGGTTACTTCTCTATTGAAGTGGGTGATATATTCAACATATGAACGAACGTCTTAACAGATACAGTGTGTTCTCTACTTATGGGCTCTTAAGATTTGGTACCCTAATACCCTGTTCTTGCTTCGCGGTAACCACGAGTGCCGTCACTTGACTGATTATTTCACTTACAAACTCGAATGCAAGCACAAATACTCTGAAACGATTTACGACGCCTGCATGGAGAGTTTCTGTGCTCTTCCTCTTGCAGCAATTATGAACAAGCAATTCTTATGTATACACGGTGGTTTAAGTCCAGAGCTCAATACCCTTGATGATTTGAGAAGAGTGAGTAGGATTCTACGTTCGAAATTACCTCTAATGAATTGCAGATCGATAGGTTCCGTGAACCACCAACACACGGTCTCATGTGTGATATTCTATGGGCGGACCCACTTGAAGACTTTGGAAATGAAAAGTCTAGTGATGCCTTCATGCATAATCACGTTCGTGGTTGTTCGTACTTTTTCACGTAGGTTTGTTGCTCTCTAACTTACGTTCACTAAACAAGAATTTAAGATACACGGCTGCTTGTCAGTTCTTAGAACGCAACGGGTTGTTGTCAATTATCAGAGCTCATGAAGCTCAAGACGCAGGATATAGAATGTATCGCAAAACCAAGACAACTGGCTTCCCTTCTGTTATGACAATATTCAGTGCACCAAATTACCTCGACGTATATAACAACAAAGCTGCTGTTTTGAAGTACGAAAACAACGTTATGAATATAAGACAATTCAACTGCACGCCGCATCCATATTGGTTACCAAACTTCATGGACGTATTCACATGGTCCTTGCCGTTCGTTGGTGAGAAGATAACCGACATGTTGATAGCAATTTTGAATATCTGCTCAAAGGAGGAATTAGAAGAAGAGGAAGAGGAAGAAGCAGCTATTGAAGCAGCAGCTATTGCAGCAGCTAATGAAAAGGTCGTACCAGAGCCTGAAATACCGTCGGTGCAAGTACAAGAAGCCGAAACTGAAATCAAGGCACCACCAAAGATTGTCACATCTAATGAAGCTAGTCAAGATGAAATGGCAGCTGCCACATCCGACCTCCGTCGCCAGATTGTCAAGAACAAAATCATGGCAGTTGGTAAGATGGCACGGGTGTTTGCCTTATTGAGAGAAGAGAGTGAAAAGGTATCAGAATTGAAGGCATTGCACAACACGAACAAGCTACCATCCGGTCAATTAGCCTTAGGTGCAGAAGGTATAAAAGAAGCTATTGAGAACTTCGACGATGCCAAGAAGTCTGATATTGAGAATGAAAGATTACCACCAGATTTGGTTGACGCAGATATAGATGCGCCAGCTTCACCTGCATTCTCACAGCCGGGTACGCCTACGAATATCGACGAACCATTATCATATTCAGCTGCAAATGGCGTAGGATCACCAATGTCCCCGCAATCGGGTCCAAGTTCACCAGCTTCAATTGGAAGTTCACCATCCATTGGACCAACAATCGGTCATGGACATTCACAGTCATACGCTTACACACCTTCAACGCCGTTTAGAAGGGGACATCACGCTAGACAACAATCACTCGGTACAACTTCAACATCACCTTCTAATAGACGACGCTCACTCGATCAAACGATTTCACTTATTAGGGAAGCGATGGATCACGATTAATGCGATATTCAACGGTGGAATTATGTTTTTTTTCTCTAAACAAACAATTGTAATGATTTTCTACTCAAAAAAGCTAGTTATTATGTTTTATAATGGCACATGAATATACCTTGATATATTTTTTTAATCACCCGGTTATTGTATCGTACCGTCATTGTGGATTATTGGGAAAACAATCTAAAAGGAAATGTCGGGAGAAGTAAAAGAATTGGAAACTATCGTAAATGAGAAATTAAACGTCGTAGAGAGTAGAGATCAGGAAGTTCCATTGTCTAAAAGAGGTATGGACAATTACAATAGAGTAGCAGGCAGGATGGGAGCTTTCGAGAAATTAATGGCGGATATGTGGGTATTTTACTGATAGTTGTATTATACCTAAAGGCTATCCAGCTACGACGCAGATAAAAATCCCGAGGGTATCATAAACCTCGGTGTAGCAGAATCAGGTTTGATGGCAGATGAGTGAGTTTTTCTTATCGAGAAGCGTGTAATCTAACACAGAGATAGGTTAATTGAAGTGAGTATTCCTTAAATGTCTACAAATTATATAGTTTATGGCCATTTAGTATTATAATACACACTTCAAACTACGCGGCTTCGATTTAACATACGGAAACAGTTTGGGTACATCGATCGAACTCGGTAATGCTATGGCAGATTTCTTCAACCGTATACTCTCTCCAGTGAAACCAATAAGACGTGGGGATATCGTAGTCGGCGTCGGTATGTCAGCTGTAATTTCACAACTTAGTTGGTATATCTGTGAACGTGGTGAAGGAATGTTAATTGGAGCACCATATTACAATGGTTTCGATGCTGATCTTACTGCACAATCCCAGGTTGTACCAGTTGAAGTACAATTCAGAGACTCTGTCGACCCACTATCGGTAACTGCATTGGAGGATTTCGAGAGAGTACTTCTCGAATCTGAGAAAAAAGGCACAAAAATAAGGGCTTTACTTGTAAGTTCACCACAGAATCCTCTAGGTTGGATTATATCACGCGAGACATTGATTGCATACGGTAAATTCGCCCAGAAGTATAACATTCACTTCATTTGCGATGAGATATATGCTTTGTCGACATTTAAGAGCAAAGATGTACCATCTCCACCAGAGTTCATCAGTGCTGCTTCAATAAATTGGGAAGAACATGGCGTTGACCCCTCAAGAGTGCATATTTTAGTAGGTGCTAGCAAGGATTTCGCTAGTAATGGTTTACGAGTCGGTGGACTTATTTCGCAATATAATAGGGATCTCATTAGTGCTCTCGCTACTAGTGCTATTCTAATGAAACTTTCTAGTCCGTCAGATATACTCTGGAGGACACTCCTCGCTGATGAAAAGTTCATGGATTGGTATATTCCTGAAAATCAAAGACGATTGTCTGATTCCTATAATTTCGCCACGGATTGGTGTAAACGTTTAGGAATCCCCTACGAGAAAGCATGCGCTGGATTCTTCTTCCTTATCGATCTCAGGGGATACTTCCCAACGCGTAATGCAGCTGGTGATATCCTCGATAGTGATGAGAAACGCCTTCAAGAACTCTCTTCACGTTTAGTTGCCAACAAAGTGCTTCTCAACCCTGGTACGAGCTATCACCATAGGGTTCTTGGGATGTTCCGTCTCACTCACACACTCTACCCATCCGTGCAGGAAACCGGATTGGCGAGAGTAGAAAAAACACTTAAAGAAATACGTAGTGGAAATGTATAAGCTTTAGTTAAACTTTCCTTTTGTGCAACTTTATTTATGTAATACAATATTTTTACAAAGCTTGGAAATTAATATGATGACTTTCTTTTCGACGCTCTGCCTCGTCTTCCTTTTTCTCATGTATGTGTAATCCAAACACGACAGCGCCGAAGAGGACGCAAAGGACTGCTACGACGACAGTAACGAAGGGGATCCATTTGTTAGTTTTCAAGTACATCTCTATATGCCAATCGTGGTTGTAGTAGGCTGGTGTGATGATTACTTGTGAATTTGGTATAATACCTTCAAAATTCATATGCTGCGAGCTTCCATTTTTGGACGTACTTCCCACATGAAGGTTCTCGATGTAATTGTTAGTCCTTCCTAGTCCTATGACACTGTAAGGGGTTAAAAGCGCATCGAATGCTGTACTAGGTAGTTGTGGTATTGAGGCAGCCATTCGTTTTCCATTCGTATCGAGTATTGTGAATTTGTATGTACCACCTATTGCATTGACACCGAATGGTTTGTATCTCCCAGCTGTTGGACTGTCGCACCAATTTTCACATGCGCCATTCAACATTAATGTCTTGATGAAAAACGCGTCATTCGCTATATTATTCTTGATAAATGTTACAGAGTTCAAGCGTTGGAGCATAATGTCTAAGCTACCATCTTCATCTATATCAATCCAACTAGCTGCTCTTACATCCTTGATGTCCTTCAATATGGTTGTTTTGGAATCATCACGTAATGTTAAACTACGTGTTTTGTTGACAAGTACATTATCGAGGATGGCACCACGTGTGGTGGATCCATCTGAAAGTAAGCAAAGTATATCTGGAAAACCATCTAAATTGTAGTCACCGATTTTGAGACTGAGTGGTAAACCAGGTTGGAGTGAATGGTCTACCATCTTAAGTCGCAAATTGGAATTTTGAGTGAGCTGTTCAATTGGAATTTTGAGCCTCTTTTCCTGGTTATATTCAAATTTATCGTCTGCTACACAAAGTTCAGAAGGCGATCTACATTCACCTCCACCGCCTGAGATTAGTGAAGGATGTAGCAATGCTTCAAAGCTACGTGAATCTACGCAAAGTGGTATTTGTTTATTGAAAACGACATTAATTGAGCAACTTTTACCTAAGCCATCCCGTGTAGTTGACTCACAGGTGGGAAAAATCATATCAATTGTACCATCTCTATCGAAATCTGCAAATGAAATCATACCAGTTCCTTTTGGAAGTGAGTTTTGAGAATGTAAGACAAAGTTGTCATTAGCTGGGTTATTAAGCCATATTTGATAGCTTGGTTCATGTCCAGAACAAACGAGGAAGAGATCGGCGAGACAGTCTCCATTGAGGTCTATGAAAGCATTGCTGTGTGTCTGGCTCATCTTACAAGGTGTGCCAGTGGATGTGTCGAAATTGGGTTCTATAATGTCGTACGGCTGGTCGCGATCATCGAGAGTATTGGAGTATAAAGACAATTGATCATCTTTGGTACCCGCATCGTAACGATAAGCGAGGAAATCGTTCGATAGTCTACCTTGTGCATCGAAGAATGTCGGTTGGGTGTATGATATGTTAGGAAGTTGTACTGGTGATTCAAAACCGCCATTGCCATCACCGTGGAATAAATAAAGTTGTATCTCTGTCGTTGTACGCCCCTCACCGACAGCCATTACATCGAGTTTACCATCGTGGTCGATATCTGTAGCGACTAAAGTTGATATTTTAAAAGGAACGCTAACTGTTGAATTACTCTCAAAGGTGTATTTGTCATGATTCCATAGATGCGACCGTATTGTCTTCTGGTCAGCATCGACAGAGAGGATATCTAAACTGAGGGTTGTTAATTAGGGAATAAATAATAGAATATACTAACTATTGATCACCGTTGAGATCTCCTAATGCAGATACGCGACCTGATATTCCGTCTAAACCTAGTTCTCCAGCGTCAATTAAACCATCCTGTGTGAATCGCTGCTTAGTGGAAATATCCCAGCCATAAGCCAAAGTTGTTAAACTAGTTGTAGCTAAAAGTATTCTATTATCTATTATTCTCATTTCGTAGTCCTTGATTAAGAACAGCGATGAGTGTGCTGGATCATCCGATAGAATTTCTACCAACGAGTACGCAATGGAGTGAAGATAACAATCCTGGTAAGCCACCTACCAGAAGATTAAAGAGGCTTTCTCTACTCAACGGAAAAGATAACGATAGACGGCGATCTGAGAGTACGGAAGCGGGTTCATCGATAAGCTCATTAAGTAGCGTGAGGAGGAGCAGTACTCTAAGTACGATTGCTACACCAAGAAAATACAAGCCAAGTACAGAATACATCCCTTATCGTGCACACAATAGACATTCATCCAGTTTGGATAGCTACTCTAGCGAGAGCAGCACACCTTTACAACATACACCGCCGATGACGCTATTTGATCAGTATGTCATCCAATTTATGATGTACTTTAACTTACAACTATCAGACACGCTCCTTTATTAGCCAATATAGCTCACAAAGAGTCTGTTGTCAACGATCTTAGATATGAGCTCGACTTACACGAGAAAGAGCTCAGGAAATTACGGATGGATTGGCGGAGGATCACGGCTGCTGCTAACGCTAACAGCAATAGGAGAAATAGCAAGGATAACAATAGTGATGACCAACAGACGCTGGTGCAGGCACCTACAGCGCACAATAGAACTCCCTCACCATTAAATGCTAATATGCAGCCCCGTAGAATGTCACATACGGAAAATACACCAAATGCGATCATACAACAAGGTGTTGATATGTTGGTAGAGGGTGTCGGTGCATTCTGGGATGGATTCAAGAATGGACCAGGTCAAGGACCACCAAGACGAGCATAACTTTAATGTAACATATACATAATTCTTACATACAATATCGTTGATTATTCGGTTATCTCAACAATGAGTTACCAAATTGAGGTGCCCTCCTATTGCTTTTCTTGGCTGAGGCTAGTAAGTCTGTGTGTGTTGGATTCAATAATTTATGAGGACGTGGTGTGACTGGTGGTTGCTGACTTGTTGCAGAGCGTTTCTTTGACGTCACAGTCTCTGTATCATCCAATTGATATTCTTCAAGTTCATCATCATTTTCTGGTTGTTCAATCATAGATTTACGCTTCTCTTTCGCTGCTTTCTCATCTGCGGCCTGCGCCTTCGCTTGTGATTCACGGTGAGCATCCGCAAATAGAAGTTTAGGTTTCGGATTTGGCGTTGGTAAGAAATCAACATGTGAAGGATCTAATTTAGATAAGCGTTTAACTGATGGTGGGATGTCCTTGTATGGATTTGGGAAAGCGCATTTTGCGCCACGGCTGATAACGTTAGATCGGCATAATGAATTAAAGCGACTACTCACAAACTATATGTTAAATGTTCAGGTTCAGGTGAAGAAGATTGTAGCCTCCTGAGACCTCTCTTTGGTCTGTGGGTTGAACGAGCATTGAAAATATTATCGGAGTCATCTTCTTGAGGAATGCTATTAGCGTACTTGGAAGTAGATGTTGATGGTTGGTTGATTGAGTGATCGTAATCATGCTTATCTTCTGAGATGTCCTCATCGTCGAATAAGCCATATCCGACGCGTTTTTTACCCTTATGAAAGTAGGCAGAAGCTGGTAAATCATCATCTGATGAAGCTAAATTGAAACTACGCGTGTCTTCTTGTTCTAACTCGTCATGTAGCGATAAACGTGATTTCTTGTTTAAACGGAATAACTTTGGTGAAGATAACGGTCTCTTTGGTAAGGATTGCTTAGGTTTAGGTGATAATCTATTCGGTGGTATCATGATGGTCGTGCGCTAATAACTTTCGAATTTCGTAAATGGCACGTTAGGATAGAAAATCCATGAACGAAAAAGGTTAAAAATAAAAAATGGATAATTTTGAAAAATATACGCGTGAATTCGTAGACGCACAGATTAGATATATAAAAAGACCATATACAGTTAGAGATAAGCCACCTGCGGGGTCTGTACTCTCGACGAATGTGGTTAAAGCGATAAATAGATCAGTAAATCTAAATAGACAGAAGTTGATAGAGTTACACTTCAATGAGCAATCAAAATCAGCAGTCGTCGAGCAATTAGTCGAGTTGGAGAGGATGAAATTGAGGAGAGAGAAGGAAAGAGAAGACGAACTGAGAGGACATACGATATCAGTAGACTTTAGGAAGTTTAACTTCACGAACCAGCTACCAAATGAATGGCCAGACGATAATGCAGATCCAGATAAGGTAGAAGAGTACGCGACATTGATATCGCAAGTAAAATCAATGGAAATGGTATTGTATAGGTTAGTCAGTAGGTTAGAACACTACGATAACCTCTTAGACCGCTTGGAAGATATACAAAATACCGGTATCAAAGACGACAATTATAAGGAATTTCTAACTAATATGAACAATATACCGAAAGACTTAAAAATAAAAAAATATACACAACCAGACCACTTATCTCTCTTTTGATTGTAAACTATGATGTACTTTGCTGTTCTATTATCTTTATTCAGTTATACACTAGCAAAATCAAAACTATTAATTGTACACGATGGTTTAGATAGTTTTAATAACTTGGTAGATGTATTAGATTACGATATCGATGTTAGCCATGTCAGAGATACTCAACTTATATCCACGTATGAAAATATACTCTTACTATCAAACACACTAGCTAATATTCCCCCATTTGAGCTAGTCGACCATTTAGAAGACGGAGGTAACTTACTAGTAGCCAGTGACAGCGTGGACGACAACCAACTCAGTATATTAGCAAAACAATTCAGTATCGGGATAGATAAAACACCAGTAACCACCTTTGACGGTGATAAGACACTCTCAATAAATACTCCAGAGTGCGGCAGCAAACCAGTCTTACTCTCTAGCAACTCACATAGCTTTACATCCAAGAACCCACTCAGCTGGACACTTTTGCAGTCACCACCAGGTACACTTAACCGTAATATCATATCTGCATTACAAACAACGAAAAACTCCAGAATCGTCTGGTCTTCCTCCTTAGATCTATTTAGTAATGACTACATCAATGATGAAGATGTTTGCAATCGTCAATTCGTTAAAAACCTTATTGACTGGACATTCAATAAATTAAACAATGTACAGGTCACTGATATTACACATTATAGAACCGGTGAAAATGAAACAGCGGAGTATTACTACAATGATGAGGCGAATTTCGAAGTCGCGTTGTCTGTAGATGATAAACCATTTATCACGGATGACTTACAGCTCGAATTCACAATGCTTGATCCATACATTAGGGCAACACTTAAGCCTTCTTACACAACTAAAGATGGTCGTTCAATGGTTTATAAATACACTTTCCGTGTACCAGATAAGCACGGTATCTTCAAATTCGTTATCGACTACAAGAAGAAAGGGTGAGTAGTTGATTCACTCGTGTACACTTCTCTAACATCACTATTATAGATTTTCATATATACACAAAGAAATGCGTACAACTGTTGCACCTATTCAACACGACAGACATCCACGCTTCCTCTCACATGCTTGGCCATATTACACTGGTGTGTTCAGCACTATTGCAGGCTTCCTTATCTTCTCCGTTCTCTGGTTGAATTTGAACGATAAGAACGATAAGAAATCTAACAAGAAGGAGTAATTCGCAATTGTGTTAAAAATATATATCTAAAATTATGCATTTAGTTCCTCTGTTTCCATGAACCCCTCGACCAATTACATTCACGTAATTAATGTCTTCACGGGTTGTCGACAGAATACAGAAGTATTCCGGTATTGCATTCGGTGGTTTTGTAGTTCTTCATTTATGCGCACCCCATGCAGGTGCTCTGTTAGGCCCAAACGTCGTAGATGATGTAGTAGTGAGTAAATAAGCAAGCTGATAGAGTATTTACCGATAGACGCGGTAGATGATAGGTCGCACGCTTTATCACCAACCTTACATAGAGTACGCATGTATTGGAGGTTCATTATCTGTCCACATCATTTCTAGTATTTACAAACGTATGAAAAGGGGAACAAGCAAACGCGTTAGTGCGCAAAACAAAACTGGATGGGTGCTCATACCCCTCTTATTTGGACATACACTCATACATCGCGTCATACCCGCTATGGATGTGAAACCGATACGGTCATTGTCACCTTCTGAGCTATCCTACGCTCATTATGTAGGCCATGCTCTCACAACGCGTCCTTTATTCAGCATCATCGGATACACTTCACTTACTGCTTTAGTTATATACCACGGATTGGTTGGCTTGATGGTCAAACGCAAGAAGGTCAAACATGCAGTAACTGTCAATATCGCAGTCATAGGAATAGGTTTGGCACGTATTGCTAACGGCTACACACCCGACTTCATGACAGGTCGTTATGAAGCAGTATATAATCAGTTACGAATATAATTATCTATGTTTTACAATCAGAAGACAAGCGTGATATTTTTACAGAGGAACTTTAAATAGGTGGGGCGCTAAACCGATCTAGTACGTCAAGTGCATCACGAACTGCACCCATTTCGACGAGCAATCTGCGGCGTTTACTGTTACTGACGAGCTGTTCTTGAGGAACGAGCTGAGGTAACTGCAAGGACGTGCTATTACGTCTAGCCTGTCCAGATGGTCTTTGAAGCGATGATGGTTGTGGATTTGACTCCTGTTGTTGCAGCCTTGCGAGATCGACTTTGACTTCGGCTTCTGGAGGAACATTCTCGAGAACCTTTTCAACCTGCTGATGCAATTCTGCACCAGTGCAACTCGTCCTACTAGCCACGAGGTCTGCGAGCAAGGCGAGATCAGCCAATCCGATATTTGGATGAGATTTAAGCCTGCGCCAGGCATCTGAAGCCGGTATGCTTTGACCATTCTCATCAACTTCCATTCCAGCGCCCGGTGGTGTATGTGTTGGACATCCCTGACATTTCTGGGATGGGCTACCCTCAGTACAGACGCTCCCTTGGAGTGCCTCAAAGAAGGCTCGTCCAGGCTTGTCATCCCGACATGCCAGACTGTCATCTTGCTGACAGGCCATACAGTTATCGGGGTCGCCACTGCATTCCGTCTGAACTTGGAAAAGCTTCTTGCCGGATGTGCGCTTCTTCCTGAGTGGCTGTGCAGGTTGATATGCTGGAGGATTGTCCAATATACTTGCGGCCGGCGGCGCGCTCTCTTGGGTAGTCACTTGCCGACAAACACAAGGCGTCTCTTCAGAACAGAAACCACAGCTGAAAAAGCGATCAAGCTCATCATCAACCTTGAGTTGGTCAACTTGGAGTATATTCTGCAGTTTTATTGGTGATGGTGCGATTTCTGGCTGTGGAATCTCATTTGGAGATTCGTACATATCCCGATATTTACGCTTTATAGCCCGCTGGGTCGCGCTCGTGTCGTGTGAACTACCACTGGCTATACTGCTACCATCTTCATAACGCTGTAGGCGTTTCTTAAGTACAACATTCTCATCCTTAAGCGCGTCATTCTCCTGCTTAAGTTTCTGTGATACTTGCTGAAGAGCCACGTTACGTTCTATCGCGTTAGCCTCATAGGCTGCTAAACGTTGTTCTAACTCCTGGACGTATTCCTGCTTGCGCTCTCGGAAGGCTCTCTGTGCGACCCTATTCTGACTCTTGCGCTGATGTTTATGTTAGAAAGCGTCTAGATCATAACTTAAACGCTCACATTCGGTGGATCCTGCTCTATCGGTTTTCTACCCGGTTTAGGCCGGGCAGGAATCTCCCAATTCTTGGATGGCTGGACATATATCTTTCCTGATAAAAATGTTAATAGGAGTATGTAGAATGACATAAACTTACCAGTTATCTCCTTCTTTGGAGCTGCTTTGATCGCTGACATTCTTTTTATCGCCCCGTTGAGCGTTTTATCGACTGATCAGATAAAGATCGCGAGCGCTAGTCAGAACTCCGAAATCAAAAATCGAATTTTTTTTAAAATATTTCATAGATAGTAGAATATTATATTTCGAATATTTTATCAGGACATTTTGCGATCGTTGAGATACCCTTTTTGTTTATATTCTTAGCATATGTGAAAATCTTTTCCTGAGGGTATACAAAGGAAGATATTGTAGATTTTGAAACATTATACATGGTCTGCGTAATGCAAACTATCCATCTTTGTCTTGCCTCATATATCTCTGAAGCCTCCCTTTCGAGATTACGTCGATAAACAAAAACGTTGTATACACTAAGATAGATAATATATATGTTTGATAATTATGATTAAATATTATAGAAAAACACTCTAACCACCTACCGTCATCATATAATGAGTAGGATCTGCATACGCAGGCAGTCTACATTAGAAACTATCATTAATAGAGCCTCACATTATGCACAACCAACAATAGAAGATTTAGAAGTTCTCAAACCTCAACAAATTCCTATCGAGGATGCTGACAAAACTCAACTTTATCACAGTCTATACAAAAGAGTCGATGGCGCATTCACGAAGGCGCAATTACGGCATTTGATACGTGAGTTATCCATGCGTAGTCCGTCCAAAACAACGAAACACAATCTGGTCGATTCATTACTAGCACGCTGGGGTGTACATTCAGAAAGCTACATAAAGAAGCAAAGGATGGTTGATCTTGCAAGGAAGAAAGAATCAAGTGCTATATTGTCATTACCTGATCACGCTCTATTTCTCCTTTTAGGCCAGGATGGCCAAGGACACCAGCAGCTTCTCTCACCCAAGTTCGGTGTGAAAGTTGGTATAAGGCGGGCTCCAAAATTGGCATTATCTATCACTGGTACACATGAAGGTGTTGACGGTGCCAAGGCCTTCTTGCAGCGTTTCATAGAAGATGTGAAAGTTGTTGATATTCAAGCACAAAATGCGGCACAGATCCCACGCGCGGTCTTACTAGGTGTATCCAGGATAAGTAATGCCTATGTTGATCCTCAAGGACGTGACAAAGGCTTTGTTAAGGTTTATGCACAAACGGAACATGATATTGAGGTTGCTAGACGTCTTCTTAGTCTTCATTTGAGTCATACTGCTGGTAATTCTCCAGTTGTGGTTGCCCCAGATGCTCCCCTTACAATCTTGCCTTACGATTTTCGTGACGAACGTCCCTGGGATTTCTTTTCTACGCCTTATCGCCTAGGTGCCCTCAAAGACTTTGCAGATGGTCACGAGCGCATTGATATACCGCAAGAGCGCCTCTTTGAGGCTACTAATTTGTTGAGTAATTCCAGTGACGATGTTGTTGAAATCGAGTGAGTGCTCATTTAATAAGATCTACAGTTACTTATTTTTGTTAGATTGGGTCATTATCTATACCAACAGGAAGAAAATTACGTGGCAAAGACCGAAATTGACACATCTGCATTGCCCACTCCACGGTTTATCCCATCCGTTAACCCAGCAGCACTCAAGATCGCAAACAAAGGCGAGAGCCCTGAGTTGCGTCTCGTATATTCGTTAATAGGAGAAAACGGAGAAAAGCTGTCATTTATCAGCCTCCTCAGTCAGACAATGGACGGTCATGCCAGGTTAACGCAATCACTTCACAGTGTGACTCAAGAGGGTCTTGTTTTACCTGGATGTCCAACCGACGCTCGTATAAGTAAACATCACAAGCTTGACACCTATCACGGTCTTGATCACTCATTGGGAAGCTGGCTAAAAGATGTAGAGGCTACCAATAGGATGCCACCTCTAAGTCTGATGGATGAAAGAGGCCTAGAGTGGCATCTCGAACAGCATCTTATCATTCATTCTGCCGAGGTCGAGATAACGCCAGGTTTATCATTGCGCAGGGAGAGTGTAGTGAATAATGAAAGCAATCAGTCTCATGAAGCTGCTAGTATTGTCATAGAAGAAGGAAGCACCATAGATAAAGAAAGTATCTATGAGATTTTAACTCAAAAATGGGCATTTGTCTACGACCAAATCAAATGGAGTAGACCACCACGTGAATATCAACCAGAAGAAAGTCTGTAAGAACTCATAATGCATTAAATTATTATTACTTAAGTATAGGCCATCCATGGCTATACAATCGTTTCCATATGCTTCCTCTATCGATGTTAATATGTTTTTTCATATAATTGCTGTCTGGGGATTTCATACCGAGCTTTATCCGTCTGATCCTGGCCAAACGTCTTAAACAAGCGAAGGTGACACCTGCTGAGAGAATAGCTGTGAATGCAGAAACGCTATAGAACGCGTAAGGGTTTTCTTCGAGGTGTGATTGCAAATTCATGCCGAACAATCCCGCAAAAAGAGTACCTGCGCCAATTCCAAGTGTCGCTATTGAAACTTTTAAATCTAGTGCGAGAAGCGCATTTCTGTTACTGTCTAGAATCAACTCGACAATTTCCTGAGTGCTTGTCACATTAGCGTCCAGGGCGTCTGCTTCAGTGACAATCTCCTCAATCTGCTTGGAGGCACTTTCGAGAAGCATCTCAAGCTCGTCATGATCATGCTCTTGTCGTGGTTGGCCGGCTTTCTTGTCCGTTAAATACATCGATGCGAGATCTTCGTCATTTTTCAGAACTTCTTCTATAGCCTCATGTACGAGCGTTGCTCTATTGCGCAAACCGGATAATTTGCGTGAGTAGTGAAGTAAATTTTTCAACTTCTCGCGCTCTATGTCGTCTTCTAAGTCAAGTAGTAAATCAGATACCAAGCGAGTTGTTATGTCCATTTCTGATTCGAGAGCAGCTGATATACTCAATAGAATGCTCTCCAATGCGCGAAATTCGTAAGGCATTGCTGAACGTACATCCCGGAGATTGTGTTCAAGGTTGTATAGAAAAACACTCTGTAAACGCGTATCAACGCTGCCTATTGGATCGAATAATAGTACTGCATCACTCTTAACCAAAGCCCGAACATGGAGAATGTTTATCTGATCGCGTTAGGTAGCCACCTAAAGAGTGACTGTGTACTCACAAGGAATGCTTCCTTACGTGCTAGGATCGTTGGAACTATATTGGGTATACGTGAATCAACTTTGCGTAAATCTCTAGGCTATGATTTCGTCAGCTCCTGTGGCTGCATTAAAGAAGGTACGGACGTTAAGCGAGTGTTCAGCGCATAAATCGCTCTTCCTAAATTTGCCAGAGACAGTCTTGACGTTCCCTTTGGCGTCTATCACCGTACCTAAGGGAATCAGATAGCGTTCGATATAGAGTGTCTATACTAACACCTCAGGTATATTTCATTGTTTGTTCGTCCCCACATACCCCTCTCTAGGAGAGTAGACGACGTTCTTTCATAACTTTGTGGCCATAAAGGCGCATTCTTTACGCTGACATCCTCGTTATCTGCCGAACGCCAACGCCATCTGAATCTAGACATATATCTTATACTAGTCGTACTATTTATTCCTAGTTTACATCTTCTGAGCATTTATCCACAGTTCGACCTAAACGTTCGAGAGAATGGTGTCGAGTGAAGCTGGTAGCGCGAGTGCGTTGAGGGATATAGCATTTGGTAGTGTCCGTGATCTATATTTTATATTTTTATATTCATTCTCTCATAGACAGCCGGTATGATCGCCAAAGTATTCGAGCATCCATTCGATCTGATAAAAGTACGTTTGCAATCGCAGCCGCTGGACAGGCCGGCAAGGTTCCTAGGACCGATAGATTGCTTCAAGCAGACGCTCGCAGGTGAAGGATTCCTTGGTTTATACAGAGTGGGTGCATTCGGAGAAGATTGTAGCAACAAACCTGACGCTACCTAAAGGGTCTCTCTATGCCTGTAATAGGTTCGATGGTGGAGAATGCTACACTTTTTGTTGTATATAATCAAGCTCAGGACGTTATTAGGAGTATGTCCGCTATCAAGTCTGGCGAAAGTCTCAGCCTCGGTCAGCTCGGTATAGCGGGCGGTGTAGCTGGCGGTGTGACATCTTTTGTCCTTACGCCTATCGAATTCATCAAATGTAGAATGCAAGTGCAAATGTTGTCACATATGGCTTCGGCTCAGTCACCTCATCCGGCTAAGACAAAAGTACCAGGTGCAGTTAGTCTCTTCCTCGACACCCTTAAGACACGTGGTGCCTCTGGTTTATGGTTAGGCCAGACCGGTACCTTTATCAGAGAAGCTGGTGGCAGTGTCGCCTGGTTCGGAGCCTACGAGTTCCTTAGCAGGTCTTTCCTTCCTAATGGCTCGACTGATAAATCACAACTTAAAACGTGGCAGCTTGTCACTTCCGGTGCCATCGCGGGTGTCTCTTACAACGTCATTTGCTTCCCAGCTGATAGCGTTAAGTCAGCTTTGCAGACATCGGACGAACTCGGTGGTCAGGTAGTAAAGAAAAGGTTCTTCCAGACTGGTATGGAGATCTACAGGAGCAGGGGTCTCGCTGGTTTGTATGCAGGTATGGGTGTCACTATCGCCAGGAGTGCTCCATCGTCAGCGATGATTTTCACCATCTATGAATTCCTCAACCAGACGTTTTAACAATGCTGATTATTAATAAATAGAAGAATATAGATGTACATAAACATGCAGGGTTTCTAGGTTTTTAAATGCTTCAGTTTTTCTTTGTGCTCTCAATAATTGGCTTTTGGGAACCACTGTAGGTATTTACGGTCGGTCTGAGGGTCTGACCTTGTTGTTCCTCCCTCTGTGGTTGTTGTCGGCGCTTGGTTTCACTTTCTGCGACAGCTTCTCCCTCTTCCTTCCACAGTTGGTTTTCAAACTCGTCATAATCTTCTCTAGCATCTAGCCATCTTTCTTGAACATCCATGTCGAGTTCTGAAGGAAGGTTCCCCATTACAGACGTAAACAAAGACAATGCACTATCTTGTTCTGCCATTTCACCTTGGAATACATAACCACAAGCTCTGTCTGTCAGTCTGACAAGTTTTGACATGCTGAGTTTGTCCTTTTGTATTGTTAGCATTGTTTTTATTCAGTTAATTACAGACCTCAACCGCCAATGTCTCGAAGGAAACCAGGCCAAAATCCTCTATCATTTCACAGATAGCCCTATTAAGCCCCTCTAACCGAGAAGTATGCCGCTGGGTGTTCAAATAGTCACAAATGTAATCCAAATCTTGTACTTCAGTGTAATAATCCAGATTGAAGGCTGTTAAATAGTATAAGAATAACTCCAATTTATTTAAGGATACTCACGCAGGTCGCCAAAGCGTGGGAGAGTGTCTATTTTAGACAACACGTTGATCTGCGGCTGCTCCAAAGCCAACATTGTTCTCAGAGAGAGTAAACATACTGCAATGTACCGACTTGGATCAGCGACACTCTGGGCGTCAGTGAGATGTACGACAGTAAGCTATTGTATGAATTAACACCATTATCCACGCGTTTAAAAGCCGCCTTACCCTACAATCCAACTTCTTCTTCAACTTCTCGAGAATATTGATAAGGGAAGAGTGACCGGTGGTAAGCTCAACTTGCCCTGGCATATCAAATACCAAATATTCATTCTCAGACTCCTCGATCTTCTCCTCAAGCCAATCAAAGTTGATATCAATGTATTCGAATGCGAACAGCATCGCACCATTTGGACCAAGATGATGTTCTTCCATAATATCTGTAACACTGACTAGATCTCGTATATCGATATCTGGTTTGTATGGTGGCTCATCAGCTGCTGGATCCAAGTTTATAGACGTAATAGGACGTTGTATAGCTGGCAAGAACTGCGATAAACCATCAACGTATGTAGTTTTACCTGCACCGGGTGGACCTATAACCAACTGACCGAATTTTGTCATATCCTTCTTCGTTGTTGACGATCAAGAAGATGGCCCAAATGAATCCATTTACGGTGGCAGAAGAGGGTGTGTGTATATGATATAAGACAGCATAGTCTGAAATTTATCTCTCTATAGATAATATAATACAAGCTAGATTATCTAATGACGAGAAGGGGCTACGACAACTATCAAAGCGTCTATTCAACTCTAAGAGCCAGCAAGATTATCAATCTACATTGATAGAATTGCAGAGATTTAAGTTGCAAATGAATAGATCACACCTCTTTGAGTCAGCGATACGGGTACAGTCTATAGAAGCAGAAGCTGAGAGGGAGAGGATGGAAGAGGAATGTAACTCTATCGTAGAGCAAAATAAGCAGCTCTTATTTGAACTTGAGCAGGCGCAATTAGATAGACAGCGTAAAATGGAATATGATGCCCTCGCCTCTGAGATACTCGGATACCCATCCAGAGACGATAGTTCACAGTGAGTATCATAGTTTATATACAATGCTCTTCTTACACTTTATTTAGAGCTATAGACGCGCTAGAAAACTCAATCAGACAACTCCATGAAACAAAGGAACTCCAGAGAAACACATTTTCAAAGCGTGCTGTCACTTTTGCAGAGATATTGGACGCCTGTGAGCGACTGAGAGGCGATGTCGGTGCTGAAGCTGAAGAAGGAAGACGGAGAGCACTCCTCGAAATGGAACTCGAAGGTGAAGCTGAACAACAACCCCAGAAATCTAAACTAGATCCAAGCGCTGCCGTATTCGAGCCTACTCAATCAAAGAAAGCTGACCTAGAGGAAGGCGAAGAGGACGAAGAGCAGTAGGAATAAGTTATTTATGTATTATTATAGTAATCTATGCATTTGTCTCATTCATCAATGTCTTTGCTATCAGCGTGTGGATATTTCGTGAAGCACTTTCTGTAATCTGCAACGCCTGCTTATATTGATTAATATCAAGTGTACCAGCTTGCCAAATGTGGGCTATTTGAGTAAGGGCGGGAAGTGTACAGACAGTCATGACAGCTTTTGCGTATTTAACTTCTGAAGGTGATGGATCAAGTAGCATCTCGTCCTCCTTAAACGCCTATTGTTAGTGTTAGAATCTGCCTTAGACGTGATTATACGCAATAACGTACAACTGTTGCGCCAACTACCAAACCGTTCATTTCTAATCCAGAGCTGGCGAGTGCCGTACCTGCAGCTGTTGTTATATTAGCAAGTAAACCGAAATCAAGAGAATCATCCTGTATGATCGTAACGAATAGGTCTATTTGCATCTTCTCGTAATTTTCCAGTCTCAAGCTTGGTAAGAGTGCTTGAGTAACCTGACTGCTGAGGTGTGTTGCTTCTAATTCCTTGTTTGTATGTTAGAATGTGATCATTCAGTATCATAGAAGACAAACCTTAACAGGATCACGTCGTATACTTGAACTGAAGGGTGCATGTTTTATCTCTACGTTTAATTTTCCAGTCGATGAGTATGGTGCGTTCTTTATCTGTTTAGGACCGTAAACTGCACAGGCGATCTTCGTATTTCCGCACTCGATATAAGTCGATCCTGAAGCTGAAGAGATCAAGCCCGGTTTTATAACTATGGCGTATTAGAGTATCTCCCAAATAGATTGTGAAACCCACAAACTGGTCTCAATTCGTCATTCTTGCGAGTTGAACGCTCATTCAGGTGCTTAACATGACTGCTATTCTCATATATAAGTTCATGTGTCGCTTCTGGACCGTTTATCCTCCTCCTATCGAAATTCATTGTTTAGCTTATCTGAGATGATGATGGTAGAGAAGAAAGAGGAAACGATAGAGATATGAGAGATGGATGGTAGGAATAACACAATAATATACGATAAATTCGTCTATGGACGCCATCTCTCGTCTTCCCTCTTTGTGGGATAACAACGAGAGAATAAAATGTATTAAGGAAATAAAGTATAAAATAAAGAAATATATTAATGAATACTCTAAAAATTTTTATTATCTCTTGATTTATTGAGTTGAACAATTTTTAATTCATTGCTCTCATCGTAGTATTTTTTGAAGGCCTCTCTTCGAGTGACAACGACGTGAAAAGAGTGGGTTATTAGAGAATAATAGGAAATTTCTAATAAATCTCCAGTGGTCAACATCCCAAAGACACGCCGCACCTACTGCAAGGGCAAGCAATGCCGTAAGCACACTCCACACAAGGTCACCCAATACAAGAAGGGTAAGGACTCTATCTACGCCCAAGGTAAACGTCGTTACGACAGAAAGCAATCCGGTTTTGGTGGTCAAACTAAGCCAGTTTTCCACAAGAAGGCTAAGACTACCAAGAAGGTTGTTCTCCGTCTTGAATGCTCAGTTTGCAAGTACAAGATGCAACTCTCCCTCAAGAGATGTAAGAACTTCGAACTTGGTGGTGAGAAGAAGCAAAAGGGTATGTTTTATCAGCCATCTTTGTATACAACACTCACGAATCCCCCTAGGTGCTGCTTTGAACTTCTAGATTGGTGTTCTTTGTCGATTTTTGAACCACTTTTGGTACGTTTTTGTTCATTAAATGAATGTCTTTCATTCTTATCCTTCTTTAGTGTTTTCAGGAACTTTCAGACTTGTACACCTTGATGAAATTTTTTAAGGCATTGGTACGGCTATTTTCTCGTTTGCTACTATTGTGTTGAAGGTTTTTGTGTATTCTACAACACTCGTTAAACTCCCGTGACTTTATCAAGCAACAAAATTTTTACTACTAACAAATAAGCAGGTATTATTATTATTATTATCGTTATCATATAAGATACAACTTTCAATATGTGATTACAGCTCTGACTAATTGCTACCTTAGTCAGTTGCATTGTTTTTCACCTTAGCTCTGAACCTAGACATCGCACTTCCTTTCTTTGCTGGGGGTTTGACTCCTGTCGCTGGTGTATCACTAGTAGCTAATTTATTGCTTGAGTCTATGTTGCTGCTGCTCTCTTTCGTTTTTGGATCCGCGTTGTCCTTTATCGTCAGATTATTTAGAGATTTTTCCACCCCTTTAGTATCTGGATTGGACTTGCTAGATGGCTCAGTTTTAGTTTTAGTATTGTCATCATCTGTTGGCTTCTTTGGTATTACTACTTTCTGCTTTATTGAGTCAGCCAGTACCTCATCCAAGCTCTTCTGACCGTCAGTAGGATGTAGGAGCTCATCGAACACTTTGCTGAACTTGACATTTCTACTTCTATCTCTATTGAATGCCTTGCTTTCCCTTGCTAATCGTCTTCTCTCTTCATCGGAAGTCGTCATACCACCAGTTCCTACTGCATCCTCATTAAAGAAGGACAACAAACCTTTACGATTTAGAATATAAAGTTAGTTTAGTAACACCCACTTGTCAGTATAGTTGAGACTGATAACATTGGGTTCCATGTATCCTTGTGGAAATCACTAAACGATGTACATATACTTGTATTTGGTTTGAATCGTCCGCTTGGGGTGTCTAAACATCGTCAGTATTGTGTCTAAATCTTGAGTAGATATTTACGGAATTTGATATGCGGAGGCGAGAATGGGTAGTCCTTTGGAAACTAAAGCTAGCTTGAGTTGTTGTAATTTATTAAAAGCAACTACTCACCTCCAAAACACCGTGATACTCACCACCTTGATAAGGTGTATCCTCATTACCCAAAAATACAAAGTGCCAAATGAGAATATTAGACCTTACAATTAGTTTACCATATAATACACTCTACAAACTCACTCCTCTGGCCTGGCGTAAGTGTAAGGTGGACAACCTTCTAGCTGCATCGTTGCCAGCTCCTTCATGAGACGTTTTCTAGCAGCTGGACTGGCCTTATCAACGTTAACTATAGTTGTGAATATACTCTCTAGCTGACGTACCATATTTATTCTTCTACTTTGATGGTCTTCTCTCTTCAACGAACACCATTATACTCTCGAAAGGCCCCTTAAGTGGGCAACTTAAACTGTTCAGATTCACACATAGTCTAGCACCAAAGATGAAGTATCAATTAAATGTTATATCTACTCCTGCGAGCGATACAGAACAATCACTCTGTTTATTCTTCCCAAATGCTAGATATTTATTCGGTATTCCAGAAGCAACAACAAGAATGTGCATACAGAGGAAACAAGCGCTTAAAAAGCTTAGAGCAGCTTTTCTTTCACGCTCAACAGATGGCGGTTTGGCTGGACTGACGATGTCCTACGCTGATAGCACTGGACAGGGCACACTTAACGTTGGTGGACCAGAGGGTACATTACATAGAGTATCCGGTATGCGTTATTACAATAAGAGGTGAGAATTTATTATATATTATCTCAAAACTGATGAAATATGAAGAGATCATCTTAAAGTTAACGTATTGGAGAGTTTAATTGGCGATAGAAATGAAGATGCACTCTATTCTGATGAATTTGTAGATGTATACGCTGTCACTACGAATGAAGCCCGTGAAGCTCGCTCACGTACGCCAAGTTCATCAGGAAGTGATTCACCTTCAACAAGCCCGAGACGGAATAGTTTATCTTTTGAGGAGAGCTTAAAGTATAAGACGAGTATCATAAATGAAATATTCCCAGGTCTACCACTCAATCCAGATCAAGATGCTATGAAATTGGGTGGGGATGCCATTGAAGATATTCCATCAGGAAATGACGCCAAGTTGTCCCGGCGTTTGGCTAGATTGCCAGCACCTAGATATACGCGTCTAGATACTGCTGCCAGTTATGTCGTCATGGGTAAACCAATGAGAGGCAAATTTAACAATGAAATAGCAAATCAATTACAGGTCCCTGGTCCGCTTAGATCTAAACTGACCAAGAAGGAGAGTGTTAGTTACAAAACGAAGGATGGTACAGATGTGACTGTTTCACCTGAGCAGGTTATGGCACCTGATACAGATCCAACTGTGAGTAAAGCTTGTCAACTATATAGATTGTTAACAGGCTATTAAGGTATTCTTTGTACTCAACGTGCCTAATCTGAATCATGTCGATAGTCTTGTCAATTCACAAACATGGAAGAGGCATATGCAAACTAACAAACCTCACATTATCGTTCATAATATCGGATGGGGTGTCCTTGAAAATGAGAAGTACGTGGATTGGTTAAAATCATGGGGAACCGCAACGCATCATCTTATATCATCCCCTGAATACACTCCAAACAATATCTCTTTACCTTCATCATTCTTGTCAGTGAAAAGAGCTAGTCACTTGTCTGAAGTATTCAAGACGCCGCTTTATTCTCTCGACGCGCCACGAAAATTGCCTGAATCGCTCACTTCTGAAGTTAACATAGAAATATTAGACAAACATCACTTGGCGGAGCTCAACCCACCGCAAGCTCCAGCAATTGAACCAACGTTAATGAGTGGCTTACCACCAGGCTTCGATATACATGAAGATACCAGCGAAGAAGATCTTTTAAAACAAGGTTTGACTGACAAATCATGGGAAAACTACTCGAAAGCTTGCGAAGCAATTAAGAAAGAGGTAGCCGGCTTGACACCACCAGAAGAACAACCTGGTGATGATGTCGTTGTTACTACTTTAGGTACCGGTAGTGCTTTGCCTTCTAAGTATCGTAACGTATCTTCAACTTTGTTGCAAACTCCATATGGTCATATCCTACTTGACGCTGGTGAAGGCACCTGGGGTCAGCTTAGTAGAAGATTCGGTGATCGTTCAAGACAAACACTACCAAGAGATGGCGAGGAAGATGCATGGGATGTGCTTAGAAACACCAAAGTCATTTACTTGAGTCATGTCCATGCCGATCATCACATAGGGTTAGCTAAGTTGCTTTTACTCAGAGCCAAAGCAGTAAAACAAGACAATCCAGTGACAATCATCTGTAATCATCTCATACGTACATACCTTCTCGAGCAAAACGAATTAGAGTATTTAGGTATTGGAAAGAAGGTTAAATTTGTCGATACAGAAGCTTTACTTTATAATAAAGATACTAATGTTGATTTAACGGGATGGAAAAAATTGCAAATGGAGGAAGCAACGACGAATTTGAATTCACTCCGTCAAACTCTCAATCTTAAAGACGTTAAAACGGCTTTGGTAAAGCATAGATGTAAATGTCATGGTGGTATCTTCGAAAGTAATGATGGATGGAAGGTAGTATACTCAGGGGATACGATGCCATGTGATAGTCTCGTGGAAGCTGGTAAAGATGCCACATTGCTGATACATGAAGCAACAATGGAGGATGGATTAGAAGAGACTGCAAAAGCTAAGGGACATTCAACAATTGGACAAGCAATTGATATTGGGAAATCTATGAGTGCAAAGAAGATCCTTCTCACGCATTTCTCTCAACGTTACTCGAAATTGGCGCATTCTTCTGAATCTGAGAAAGGAACACATATTATTGCACACGCATTCGACTTACTCAGTTTACGAGTTGGTGACATGTGGAAGATGTCACATTACAATTCACCATTGTCATTCCTACTAGCTCAGGAAGCTGCTGGAGATGAAAGCGAAGATGCTACAGAAGAGCAAGCTGAAGATAATAACTCTGGCAAGAAAGCCAATAAGAAATCCAATAAGAAACAGAATAAGGAGAAACGTAAGCTCGATTCACCTAATAGTAAAGAGAGTAACAAAATCAATCAGCAAAGACAAAAGAAAAATAAAGTTGAACAGTAGAATAATATTTATACAACATGTATTTACTTTATTACAATAAAACTTTACGCAATTGCGTAACTTTAACTGGCTTGAGTGTGACCGGGCAACGATTATGTTTTTCAACATAGTCGAATAAGCTTTTGAAACTGTATACATACCCAGTTGGTGTTAGAGTAGCGTTCTCAAGTGGTTCACCGGTGAGTGGATCTATGCCATATCTAATATGTGCATCCTTGACCGCAGATTCTGGATGTTTGGTCAACTTCGCAGGCGGTGGCGTGCGAGAATCATTTGCTTTCTTGGCTTCTTCGTGCTGTAAACGAGGTGATTGGCTTGAATACCACCACTGAAGGAACTTCAAGATGAATAACGTCACTGGTAAGGCTGTCTTAAGAGATGATAGTAGGTAACTTGGTATTTTGCGTAGAAGTGACTTGTTATTAGATGATTTACTTGCTTGCATCTGAGATATATGTAAGTGTGTCAACTAACAAACATATGAGACACACCAAATCAGCTAGCGTCGCTCGACGGATATCTATATTCATCCATTGTAACCATGGTCGGTAGAATGGCGTAGAATTGAACATATAACGTAAGTTGTAGCTCAGAAGAATACTCTCGAGGGCTAGATTGGCGTAAGGATAGACCTTTTTAAACGTACGCTTGTATGTGCTCTAGAGACGTGTAAGATTGTATTGTGTACTATCATTCAAACCCATACCTCTTGTTGAGAATGCTCGCTATCTCTGAAAAGTTCTCCGGAAGTGTTACCGCCCCATATATCGTACAATTCCTTACTCTTTGTACGTAAATATGGTACACCAACCTAATAATAATGAGAAACGGTATATCACATAGTAACTGCATACCAAAAACACCAAAGAGCCGTATATTTGGCCTTTTGTGAGCTTATCGAATGCTTGATGATGCTTATCTAAATATGGAGAAGAATGCGTAGGCTCAAAAGCCGGTCTGTTACGCCTCTTGAGACCATAAAAAGACTCGGTGAATGATGCGTCTGTTAGATCTCATTAGGTGTACTTATACTGCATGTGATGCACCCACTCTGCGTCCGAAGATAGTGCGATTCAACGATCAGCATAATTAGTGCATAGAATTCCTCATGCTTATTCACTAATCTGAGTAAGTACCGTGGATATCTTGTAGCTAGAATCTGTCGGTAATTGAGCCGGTATATTCACGTTGTAGGTGAATAAACTCACAGATAGAACATATTTCACAGCAGGCTGTAGCAAATCTGTAAGCTCATCTTGAGCAAACAGTTCAAATAGCGATGGTCTCTCTGTGTATGACGATTGCAGTTGATAGTCCATATCAAAGAAGGTGAGGTAAATGATACTATACATTTTGTTACAAATAAGTAGTTGAAAACAATGCATAAGTGAAAATATCCGAGTATTCCTTGCTTACTTTGATTCTCTAATTACAGACTGATTTCCAATCTCTTCCTCTATAGGGCTTCCTAGTGGTGAACTGTCTGTTGAAGACGCTTTTGAGTGGTTACTTTCTGGTCCTTTGATTTCGTACATCAGGATAGGTACGTTCGTATCTTTCAATCCAGATGCAGTTGGGTCCTTTTTAGCGAGTATTTTCCAGACAAAGCAGCCGACAATTGAGGCAAATGCATATGCTGCTGCTGCTTTGTATCCGATTCTATAATTTGGCGCCTCAGATGCTGGATATATGAAAATATTCTGGAATGAGTCTATAGCATTAACAACGCATACACCTAATCCAATGTAAATCGTGCGCATCTCTGTATTTTGCTTCCCGATTGTATCACTCATCCATGCTACAATCAACGGTCCTGCTGAATTGGAGAGGTATAAGAAGTAATATGCAAACATTTTCAAACCGAAGCTTTTTGGCCAGGTTGATAGAATGATGGTTCCCACAAGGATAGTGATTTGTTGAGCAACAATGTAGCGGCATCTACGTTGATGTATATCCGATAGATATGCCCATATAAGCATAAACACTATCTGGACTACGTATCCTCCGATTGGTATAGCAGTAACTTGATTGTTTGAAAATCTCTTACTTCCATCCTCATTCGTGAGCGACTTAAGGAAAAGAGAGAGCCAAGTATTAGAATCCTGAGAGAAACTCCATACAGCGTACGTCAGTGTAAATGCATATGTTATCCAGCTCGTAAGTGCTTTCCTTATCAGGATATAGAATTGCCTGAATGTCAATTTTACCGGCTTTCTAAAGCCTGTCCTAAGGAAACGTTCTTCAGCTATTTCTCGCATATTGCTCGTCATCCAGAGAGCGTGCGATTCTTGTAAAGCATCAGGTATCTATTTACGTCAGCGATATTAATATCAGTGATAATGTCTTACCATAAAATAACCTGAGATTGCAATTATGACTGTGATAATTCCATTCCAAATGAAGCTTTTTCGTTGTCAGGCCAGTTGGTTTACTCATAGATATATATACTTACAGCCATCGCCATCCCGCGAGACCCTGTACACCATCCATACCCTCATTAATTGCAATCTGAAGACTGCTCGTGAAGATATTGGCTAGCGGATAACTCGTTCCAAAAATACTCAGTCTCTTGGCCAACTCGGAGGATCTATACCAGTAGACAATGAGCGTCATTAAACCCGCATAGCTGCTAGCTTCACATATTCCTATTATAAAGCGAAGACCATAAACTACTTTAGCGCTGTCAGCTACGGCGATGACTGCCGTTGCTATACCCCAGATCAGTTCCAGAGTGGGCAACCAATAAGAGACACGAATTATATTAGACGCTAAGATTGCTTCTGATATTGGAATAAACACACCATATCCAATTCTGTAAAACGTATTGAAATAGTTGAGCTCGTCACCATATAGACTGACAGGTTAGATATGATTACACCATAAGGCGATACTCACTTAAGATCTTCCTGCATTCCATTGACATACGCAGTTTTATAATTGGAGGAATCGATCTGTTTGGTTAGATAGCTTAGATATGCCCATGTCAAGAAATAGACGTCTAAACGAGTAACAAACGCTCTATTGCACTTGCACCAAGCCTTGTCGCTCTCGCTTGAATTAAAACTTGGTTTTTTGCTAACTTGCATGTCGATCAAAAAGAGAAGGTTTGGTTATCAGTGAATTTGTAACTGACTGCTATGGTAATCCGAGCTCAGAGATGAGAAGTCCGAGTATATATATAGAAATGCATGCAGAAATACATATGGGGAAACAATAGCGAAGTTGAAATATATTGTCAATGCCAATATAATCATACATTCATTTTTAGTACATGTGTAACAACATTAAAAATTTCGCGGTAATAAATGTATTCATTAATTACATCGTTCGACGCGCATAAATTTACTGATTATTTCTATATCACGATTGTACATTTTTGAGCGTATTTGATGTATTTTTTGGAATATTCAAATAGCTGCCCTCCTCATGTCGATTCGCCTCTACAATAAATAATTCGACTACGAAACGCGCATTTTGTGGATCAAATCACAAAATAGTTCATGCGCATCTCATCTGATCTTTCGATTTTGAATTTTTCTCAAATAATCGTCTCATTCCGTTTCCTCTCTTCATCTTCTACCCCCATCATCTAAATGTGAGTCTGAAATGCAAATTTTATGTGGCAAAATATTAATTAAAAATTTATAGGGCAAGAACAAAGCAAACAGCACGTAAATCAACTGGTGGTAAAGCCCCACGTAAGCAACTCGCCACTAAGGCAGCAAGAAAGACAGCCGCACCAACCCAAGCTGCCGGTGGTGTCAAGAAGCCACACCGTTATAAGCCAGGTACCGTCGCTCTCAGAGAAATCAGACGTTACCAAAAGTCTACCGAATTGCTCATTCGTAAACTTCCTTTCCAACGTTTGGTAAGAGAAATTGCACAAGACTACAAGACAGACTTGCGTTTCCAATCTTCTGCTATCGGTGCACTCCAAGAAGCAAGTGAAGCATACCTCGTCTCACTCTTCGAAGACACCAACTTGGCTGCTATTCACGCTAAGAGAGTCACCATCCAACCAAAGGATGTTCAACTCGCCCGCAGACTCCGCGGTGAACGCTCATAAGTAGCAAATTAGCTGTCGATTTCTATTGTTTCAGTAATTGTAATCTATTGAATGTATTTAAGTTGGTTTATTTCTTTTATTTTGACATTGACATCGTTCTGCCGATAAAGTTGTAAGACACGCATAATACAGTAATACTATGAAAAAGAATTGTAACGTTATCATATATATACAATCATTATATTAAGATATACATCATAAATTGAGACTTGATCATCGTCATCTCGAACATCCACCATGAGTTCCTTTGGTAAAGAAAACAATTCAGAAATAGATGTGAACGGGAGAAATATGAGGGTAAGTACTTCGTCGAATATTAGTAATAAGGTTTCTTACTTCAAATAGTCCCATTATAAACCCCGTGTATCATACTATTATAGCAAAGGAGTTGGTATGTAGAACAACCTAGCAATTTGTGTACAATTTTAACAATATATAGGTGACTATCACTACGGAGTTAGTGCACACTATTTAATTATACATTTACTTAACTGTTCCCCAGGAGAAGCATCCTATGAAACCACATAGACTTGCGCTAACAAATAGTCTCGTTTTGGGATACGGTATGCACAAATATATGGAAATTTATGAACCGCAAAGGGCTACAAGAGAAGAAATCTGTGAATTCCATGACGAAGATTACATTGACTTCCTATCAAGGTAAATTTTTCAACAGTACACTGATAGAGCTATTTTAACGAATTTTAAGGCTCTCATCACCTCCAACGCCAACTATGATAAACCTAATGAAGCAATTTAATATGACGGACGACTGTCCTGCTTTTCCGAATTTATACGATTTCTGTCAACAATACGCAGGGGCGAGTTTATTAGGTGCTCGACATATTACTTCTCAGCGCTCTGATATTGCCATCAATTGGACTGGTGGTTTGCACCGTAAGATATCGTCATTATGAAGTCCGATTCTGATATAATCCTTAGACGCCCACAAAGCTGAAGCTAGTGGATTCTGTTATGTTAATGACATCGTATTGGCAATTTTGGAATTATTGAGGTGCGTTCTATAGCATCGTCGAGGTGACTGCTAAAATCCTTAAGATTCCATCCACGCGTATTATATATTGATATTGATATTCACCACGGTGATGGTGTACAAGAAGCTTTCTATAATTCAAACAGAGTTATGACCGTCTCGTTCCACAAGTACACAGGTGATTTCTTCCCTGGTACAGGTGCCTTATCAGAAACAGGCCAAGGTGCTGGCAAACATTTCTCATTGAATGTTCCTTTACAAGATGGTATTGATGATTACTCATACGTCGCATTATTCAAGAATGTTATGTCATCGACGATAGAAAGTTATAGACCTTCAGCCATTTTGTTACAATGTGGAGCAGATAGTTTAGGGTGTGACAGACTAGGTGCATTTAATTTATCTATCAAAGCACACGGTGAGTGTGTTCAATACATAAAGAGTTGGGGTATTCCACTTATGGTAGTTGGTGGAGGTGGATATACGATTAGGAATGTTTCTCGATGCTGGGCATACGAGACATCTGTTCTTCTTAATATGGGTGTTAATGATACATTACCACAAACAAGCTATGATGAATACTTCGCACCTGATTATGTCTTACATCCACCAATAGTAACTAAAGTAGAGAATCAGAATTCGAAAGCAAGTCTAGAAAGATTAGTCATAAATTGTAGAGAACATCTGCGGTATTTAAATGGTGCCCCAAGTGTACAGATGCAGGAAATACCACCGGATATTGCGAAATCGATGGATACTGCTGAATTAAGCCTGGACGAGAGGAATGAATTGAACTATGGACAGACGAATGGAAGTGAAGTAAGACATCCAGATAGTCACACGTCGAATAATGAGTATTACGATGATGAAGTAGATCAAGACGCCTTGAATGTCGAACAAGTTGAACTATCTAGATTAGCTGAGGAGGTGGAAGAAGATAACGAGATTAGAGAAAACGGTGAAGCTATGGAAGGGGTTGAACGTGTAGAAGCTGCTCAACCTCTTACTCAAACTGACGATGCAGATATTCCTCAAGGGTATGAAACTGACTCTGTCCCCCAAACTTCTGAGAATGTGTCACAAGCTGCCGAAGAAGGCGCCATCCCACAACCTATGCAAGCTGAATTTGTTCCACAACCTATAGAACCTCCTCCAGCTCCTCAAGTGGTCGGAACTACCCCAGCTTCAGTCGATAACGAAGTACCACAGACAGTTCAAGTCAAAACGGAAGTAATGTGGCCAGAAAACACATCTACGGCAGTAAAATCTGAACCAGACAGTACTAGTTAGGTTTATATTTGTAAATTATTGTATAAATGCTCCTTTAATCGCTACAATGACAAGACCAGTTGTATTCTTTGACGTTGCCCTTGGGGAATCAGCGTTGGGTAGAATTAAGATTGAATTGTTTAATGATATAACGCCAAAGTAAATTGTCTTATCAACTTCGCGTTCTTCTAACGTCATTGCAGAACTGCTGAGAACTTCAGACAGCTTTGTACAGGTGAACAAAGGTGTGATAAATTAAAGACGTAATGAACAGTCCTATTAAAGCTTTATTAGAGTAGGAAATGTACCACAAGGTTACAAGAATTCGACATTTCACAGGTGCGTTAGATTTAGATGCATAGAGAAATACTAATCTCGTGTAGAGTGTAGGTGTATATGAATAGAGAATTATAGTCTGAAGGTTTCTAGTATTAAGGACTTTATGGTTCAATAAGTAACCTCTCTAGAGGGTCAACGGAATCTAATAGCTCGTACAGGTGGAGATTTCCTGAATGGAGATGGTACAGGTAGTTACAGTATATACGGTGGTGCTAAGTTTCAGGTTGGTAGACTGTATTCATATGGACATACCTCATATTACTCCCAAGGATGAAAATTTCACAGTGAAGCATGATCAGCCTGGATTATTATCGATGGCTAACTCAGGACCTAATACGAATGGATGTCAGGTATGTACATAGCCATATAAGCCTCAGACAGTGCTCAATCAGTACGAAAGTTCTTCATAACATGCAAAGAGACACCATTCTTAGATGGAAAACACACCGTTTTTGGTAAAGTGACAGAGGGAATGCTCACACTCCGCAAGATAGAGAACGTACAGACAGGTGCTAACAACAAGCCAAAATTGCCAGTTAGAATAACGCGTATGTATAACAAGAGTAGTAATAACTAACTAATAATAATACAGAATGCGGTGAAATGTAAAATTAATTTATCAAATTATCGTTATCCTTCTCTACGTAGTAGTTCCCTTGACTGTCCGTTTTGACTTTCGCTGTAACTTCAACTGCGGGTGTATTTGTACAGCTGTTTGTGCATTAGTGAGGCTATAGAAGTTATAGTGATACCAACATCATAAAGAACCTCCGTAAAGGGTAGCATTGGAATTCATCGTGTTTTTGTAGACAATTGTATTGTAATATTTGCTTTAAAGTACATTCATTTTTATCTTCCTTAATATAGTCCCCTTTCTTCGCCCAGTTGGGTATATCAATAGTTGGCATCTACACCTGACGTGGCTCCAGCTTCTTGAACTCACGACATCAAGAAAGAATAAAATATAAAATAAACGAGAGATGCCACATACGAGCATCATAAGAACTTCAACTTTCGCTTGGTCCCCGTTTTCTAATGGCTGCACTATCGCTACTGGTACTGTAGCAGGTGCATTGGACGAGAACTTCTCGAATGACGCTCAATTGGAATTATGGGACGCTTTCAGCTCTGAGACTCCTATCGTAAAGGGTTCCGTAACCACGAACTCACGGTATGTTTTATCTCGTTTCTAGTCACATCTACTCACTTTCACTCAGTTTCAACAGACTTGGCTGGGGACACGTAAATTCCAGCAGACCTAATGGTGTCATAGCCGCTGGTTTAGAATCTGGTGAAATTGCTATATGGGATCCTCAACTTATCGTCAATGACCCTACAAATTCATTATTGCACTCAAATAGCTCTCACACAGGTTCAGTTAAGGGCTTAGACTTCAATCAGCTACAATCTAATTTATTCGCTACTGGTGCTTCCCAGGGTGAGGTCTTCATTTGGGATTTGAATAACCCTTCAAAGCCATACCACCCTGGACCTAAATCACAAAAGTTAGAAGACATCACATCTACTGCTTGGAATGCTCAAGTCCCACATGTATTAGCAAGCTCATCTGATTCCGGCTATACCGTTGTATGGGATTTGAGACACAAGAAGGAGGTTGTCGGCATCAGTTACGGCGGTGGCGCTGGAACTATGGGTGGTCCTTTCGGAAACTCCTCTGCTATTACTCAACAAGGTAGACGTGGTATTAGTGCCGTTGCTTGGCATCCTGATAATGTGAGCATTTGTGACTATCTAATAGCAGACATAATCTAACAATTTTTAAGGCTACTCGACTTGTCACAGCTTCAGAAGATGATACCAGCCCTGTTATTATGTTATGGGATCTCAGAAATGCTAGAGCTCCAGAAAAGGTAAGACAAATGCAAATCAGGGAAATGTTTTACTCATCCATCTTAGATCCTTACCGGTCATGACAAGGGTGTACTCTCACTTTCCTGGTGCAGACAAGATCCTGATCTCCTTCTCTCCTCAGGTAAAGATAACAAAACATTAGCATGGAATCCAAACACCGGTGAAAACATCGGCGAGCTTCCAACTTCAAACAACTGGTCATTTGAGGTTGAATGGAATCACCGTAATCCAGATATCTTCGCGACTGCCTCATTTGATGGTACAATTGGTATTCACTCAATTCAGTCACAAACACCATCACCGGAATCAATCGCAGCAAATGTTCAACAAGCTATTGATCCAAATGATATCTTTGGAGCTGTCTCAGCTCAACAGGAAGCTGAACAAAATGCATTGAGAGCTCAACAATCATTTTCACTCAAGCAAGCACCAAAATGGTTACGTAGACCAACTTCTGTCGGATTCGGTTATGGTGGAAAGCTAGTAACTCTCAAGAATAATCTCGTGCAAATTCACCAATTATCCACTGAACCATCAATCCTTGAGCGTGCTAAGATCCTCAGTGAAGCTATCGATAGCCCAGATGGCGAATCTAAATTGATCAATCTTTGCCAATCACAAGTTGACAAGAATGGTGGTGACTGTGATACTTGGAAGGCACTTCACTCACTCTTTGAAGCTAACTCAAGGGATCAACTTGTTCAATTGCTCGGATTTAGCAAGGAAGAAGTTGCTAAACAGGTTCAAGCTGCAATTGATGCCTTCCCAAAACCAGCCGAACCAACAGTCGAGTCAACACAGATATCATCAATCACCAGTGACGCACCTGAAAAGGAATCAACAGTTTCTTTTGTTGAACCAGAATCTAAAGCTGAAGATGAAACCGCCGAAGAACCTAAAGAAGAAGAAAATAAGCCAGAAGAAACCAAACCAGAGGAATCTAAACCAGAGGAATCTACACCACAAGGGGAACCACAAGAATCTGCACCTGGTGATAGTCTTTTTGGTGATAGTAAACCAGATGGTGATGATTTCTTCAGATCAGTCGCAGTTGCATCAGAGTCAACACCACAAGCCGAAAATGTCGTTGTACCACACACAACTGCTGATGAATCTGTTGCTGCTACAGTCGGGTCACCAGGACCATCAAGTATCGCATCTGAAGCTATGAAAGCAAACACTTTCAAGATATATCCTTCCGAAGAATCTGAATCTGATCGTTTAATTACAAAAGCTTTAGTATTGGGAGATTTCGAATCGGCTGTTGAATTATGCTTGTCAACTGAAAGGTACGCGGATGCTATCTTATTAGCTGTCAAAGGTGGTTCAGAGCTGTTGGCAAAAACTCAAAAGAGTTACTTCCAACGTCAAACTGCTCATTTACCATACTTACGTTTATTCCAATCTATCGTATCAGATGATCTATCTGATATTGTTCAAAATGCTGATTTGAACGAATGGCAAGAAATCTTTGTTGTACTTTGCACTTTCGCAAAATCTGAAGAATTTGGCCAATTGGCAGAACAATTAGGTCAGCGTCTTGACTTCCAATACAGGGTTGCAGATGAAGCTGATAAACTGGGTGCTAAGAAGTATCGTACAAATGCTATTCTTTGTTACTTAGCCGCTGGTAAATTGGAAAGAGTTGTTAACATCTGGTCAGATGAAATGTTAGAGGAAGAATCAAGTGGTGTTGGCGAGCATACATCAAAGCAATCACAACATGCTCTAGCACTTCAAAGCTTTATCGAGAAGGTTACAATTTTCCAAAAAGCTACTGGATATGTTGACCAAGATTTGAATCAACCAACAGAATCACCAACTGTTGCAGCATCTGGTGTGAGAGTGTACAAACTCAGCACATTGTATGATCGTTACCACGAGTATGCCGAATTATTAGCATCACAAGGATTGGTTAAGGATGCTGTTAAGTATATCAACTTGACACCAGTGGATTACAAGGGTGCTGCAGGTGCATCAAGTGATGCCCAAACTGCTCGTGAAAGATTACTTATCGCTGCTTCAGATGAGTCGCAGAAGGAAGCTAGAAAAGCTGCTGCTGCAGAACAAGAAGCTCAACAAGAAGCTCAACAGCAAGCTCAAGCTGCTGCACAAGAGCAAATGAAAGCACAACAACCAGTGCAATCTACTAGTGCTTATGCTCCTGCATCTGTTGCTCAAGCTCCTTTGCAACAAGCTGCACCATCATACTCTTCACCATACGCACCTCAAACCAACAGCAATCCTTATGCACCACCAGCTCAAACACAAGCGTACAACCCATCAGCGCAACAGCAGACAGTACAACAACCACAAGCACCAACGTATGGAGGTTATGCGCCACCACCACAGCCTACTATGCATGCACCACCAGTAGCAACTAATCCATATGCTCCTGTTGTGCCTGCACCTACCACGGCTGCTGCAACTGCCGCTGACACTTATAATCCATACAATGCACCAGCGGGAGTTGCACCACCAGTTTCAGTACCAGAGCCAGCTACATCACAAACATTGCCACCACCACCACCACAACGTACTGCAGTGCCTGCATCTCAAAGAAGAGACCTTTCTGGATGGAATGACGCACCACCACCACCACCACCAAAGCGTGGTACAACACCATCAAATACTGGTAGCAGAGCTTCTCCAATAGTGCAACCGTTGACTAGCCCATTCCCTAACTCGTCACCAGTGCCGACTCCAGGTATCGGTGGACCACCGCAAGCGGGATCACTGGTACCACCTCCACCAAAAGCCGGTAAGTAGGGAAAGTATAAATGAAAATGAATACTAATAGATGGTTTTAGGTACTAAGAGCATGCCACCACCACCTCCAGCAGCATCTTCAATACCACCACCACCACCAAAAGCTCCACCAGCAGCAGGTCCACCAATGACATCTCCTATGGTATCTGCACCAGCAATGGCACCACCACCTGCTACAGGTCCACCAATGACCGCACCACCAGCGGCTGTTCCACCACCACCACCAGCAGGACCACCAGCGGGTAGGATGATGAGTCCATCATTTGGTCAGCAAGCTCAAACACCTCAACCACCAGCGGGACCACCACAGGTGCAATCATTTGGTGCAATGGCAAATGGTATACAAAGACCAGGTTCAGTGAATGCAGGCGGCTATAGGCAGACACCACCACCACCACCACCCCACCTTGTGCAACAAGCAATGCAACAACAACAACAACAAAGAAGTGTGATTAGTCCACCACCAGTTTCTAGTCCACCGGTTTCAAATGTTGCAGCATACACAGTTTCAAGACCAGGTAGTGTTGCTAGTACGAGAGTGAGCGAAGCACCAGCTCAACCATCATTCCCACCAGGTGACCGCAGTCATATACCACCAGCTGACAGAATAATATTTGAAAGTCTGTCACGAGAGATAGAGAAGGCAAAATCAAGGTCAATGGCGCAGGTGAGTGAAGTGTTTTATATGATATTTTGTTTACTAATGTTGATATAGCCACAAACTAAGAGGATGGTAGATGATACACAAAATCGTCTGAATGCCTTGTTTGACAGTTTAAATGCTCAGACAGTAGAATCGCAAGCTGTTTTGAATAACTTGCGTAACGTCAGTCAAGCACTATCAGCTCAAGATTACAATACTGCAATGAAGATTACATTGGAAATTATGGGATCTGGCGAAGCAGATATGAGATGGGCATTAGGTTTGAAACAATTGATTAGATTGACTGGTCAAGCTTAATTTTCTTGAATTTCAATATTTGTATACGAAAATAACTATTTTTCTATTTTTTATTTTTGAGATATAAATTTCCTAGAATAGAGGTGAGGCTTCTTTACTCATTTCGTTGAAGATTATTGTGTTGGTTTGTTAGCATCAACTACTTACCAACCTATCATTCTTCATAGAGTAATTGGAGATTCACTGAAAGTGTCTGCTATTGTTTTATAGATGTTCGATCACTTCAAAAACTCTCCGTATATTCTTTCATTGTTGGTTGTTAGATAGATAGATATATTATGCTTTATATTACATTCACGTGTGCATTTCTGTAGCTATTTCATACCTTTTCACTTTCGGAGTTGTACGCACAGTCATCTAGACTAAAGATGAGAGATGCGATGTAAGATTAAATCTATTCATTCAAATAAAAACCTATGAGTTAGAGTTTGACAATAAATCCACATTTTGTACTCCATCTCATATATCATTTCGTTCATTCAAACTATCATCTCTAAAATGTCATAGTAAGTTAATATTAGCGGGATAAATAAATATCAAAAATATATTTAAACTATCCCGTAACCTTTGAAGCAGATACTAACAATATATAGCCAAATATTTGGACAAAAAGTTTTGAATGAATACCTAGCACTGTGAGTGAAGCTCTATATAATATAGACCAATCTAATTAATCATAGCGGTACTATCGGTCTCACTGGTGGAATTGCATACTTAGCATCTTCCGGTGAAAGCAAGCCAAAGCCAGCTCCAGTTGCAGCTGCAGGTAGCGCCGAACCATCGTAAGTGCGACAATATCTCTACAAGATTATATACTAAATAAACAACAGAAAGGAAGAAAACGAATTCATCCAAAACTTCGTAGCTGAGTTTGAGAAATCGGAGAAGGAGGGCAAGTAAAAAGTGATGAATGTAGTTTAATGATATTAGATTACAATGCAATTATTCGATCATCTATGCAACATAATGTGGTATTTCTAGCTTTGCAGTTTGATTAGTTCTTCCATTGGTAGATCTCCCTGTTGTGTTTTTTAACGAGATGGTAACTAACAGTAGTTCTACTCACCTTCCATACTTCACCCAATGCGGCATCGTATATATCAACCGTGTATACACCTCTAGCTATCTGATAATAAGCCAGAATGTGGGCGTCTGGACCTACAACTATGTGAGTTTCTAAAGAAAAGATAAGGGAGTTTGAATACACACCCAAATATTGATCTTTACGCGGTTTACCTATGCCATCATCTGATACGTAATTCTATGTCTCTTTAACGGTCTATGTCTTGTTTGTTATCGTAAAACTTACTCGCAATGCGTAATCCCATGAACAATGTTGAGAGTAATGTAAATATATAAACTTATGTAGATTTGTACCTTGCTTCACGTTAACTATATCACAGCTTCTATCATCGTAACTCCTTGGAAGGTAAATCTTTATCTTATGAGGAGTTGTATAAGTAATATCACTAGAAGGTGTATTACCTAATGACCAAGCTTTAGATTTATTTCCACCCCAAACAAGTTTGAATTCTAATTCCATTTTTGATTTTTATTGCACTTCAAGGAAGAAGAAATTCAAGTGCTTCTTTACGAAGTTTATCAATTAACAAAATGGTAAATAAATAATAATAAATATAGTGCTTTTAATAACATCCCACCAGCCAAAAGCTGCCGCCGCTAAGCCACAACACAAGTTCGTTCTCGACTACTCAAAGCCAGCCGAAGATAAGGTTTTCGACGGTCAAGCTTTCGAGCAATACTTGGTTGAGAGAATCAAGGTTGAAGGCAAGACTGGTCAACTCGGTGACAACGTCAAGGTTCAACGCTCAGGCGACAAATTGATCGTCACCTCACAAATCCCATTCTCAAAGCGTTACCTCAAGTACTTGACAAAGAAGTACCTCAGAAAGCAACAACTTAAGGAATGGTTAAGAGTTGTCGCTACCGCTAAGGACACCTACGCACTCAAGTTCTACTCAGTTGACTTCCCAGGTGCAGAGGAAGACGAAGCTTCTGATGAAGAGTAAACGTCTTTATATGCCATAGCGGGATAAACTTCGTCTTTGGGTTTTTGCGAGCGTCCCAAATTTTGTTAAGCTTGTAATTATTTCCTGGGCGACATTCCCAGAATATACATAAATTTACAAAAAAACAATATATTATACAATGATTGGTTTCTCATTTCCGAATTCCCATTTAAAACAGTCGATGCAATCTTCTGGAGGGTTTGTTAGAATGCCGTTATGATTTAACTGCCCACAAACCTTCAGCTTCCGGTTTGGGTACATAGACAACTCCATCGTCATCTTTCCATTCATGTTCAAGTATTTCATTTATGACGGTCGCGATACGATGATGACGTAGATCAACTGCCCATCCAAACTTACTAACGGTATCATATACAATAGACAATCCGGTATGACATCTAGTTTCCATTGCGAAACCTGCAGCATTACATGGTGATAACATACCATTACATGTACCCTCTGCAACCGGATCTGCTGTGTGGTATACGTGATAGACACCTGATAATTCAGCTGGTGGTTGTGGTAAATGTAAACGTTGTGATGGTAATCTATCACCTGGTGCTTCGAATGTCACCGATGGTACACCGAATGTCAAACCAAGCATACTAGCTAATGCACCACCTAAACTATGTCCAGTTATCCAGATATTAGAATCTGGGAACATATAAGAAACGTTATTGTAAAGGTTCGTAGCTACTGGGTAATAAACTGATTCCTTTTCTATACTCGTTTCGAGACATTCTTCATGGCATTGCCAACCACCGTTATAGCAATCGCAAACTGGTGTCCATGTCCAGCTAACTCTTGCGCAACAACAACTGAATAGTAGGTTATCCTTATAGAGAGGGTTAGTTATATAACGCGTGAAGGATAAAACCATACGTTGAATTTGTCATTTTTTGAAGATGGTCCACCACCACCAATTAATCCTGCTGATGTACCCTTTATCGCAATAACAACAGTTTTCTTATCAGGAGTACTAAATATATGACCTCGTAATCCATCATCATCCTTTTTCCAGCCAAATGATATTACTTCACCACTGAAATGCTTTGAAGGTTCTATCCACTCATCGCTACCTTGTTTAATGTATGCGTTTGAAGTCATCTGAGCGAGTTGTAAAAGTGTATGCCTGTCAGTGACGTCGGGCATTTCAACAGGGATATCATCAAATATACCCATTGTTGATAAATCTAATGGATTCCTTGGTCTCCGTATCTTTCTTATATGTGTTTTGAAGGGTATATCACGATACCTATGATCAGAATTACTCCAGCCCCTTAAAAGATAGCTTTCAATTGAAGAATGTGTTGATTTTATATATAAAACAATAGTAAGTATTACTATCAAACCGCTAATTAAAATCCTCATCATCGATGTACGTAATGAAAGAACAAAAGATAAGGAATTTATAATCTAGAATACATTCTCTTTATTTTCTTCATCATTTTATAAAACCAATTAAGATTTAGGATATTGAGTGTAATATTACCAGCTACGTATACAGCTGCAAGACTTTTAGGAAAGCTATTTTGATGTTCAACGATAGTTTTGTAGAATATGTATGACATATAACCCCCGAATGCAATTCTAGCTGTAAAAAATGATAAAGTCAGTGCTATTCCATTCACGATCTGCGACCGTGAATTCTTATAACCTTCAATTCTATCCATAAACCTGGAATATATTAGAATCGAGGATGATATAGAAGCGCACATACCAATTTATGTTAACGAAAGGTGTTGATGCTTCCCATAACAAAAATGCTGGTCCAATATTCATAAAAACTGGCCTAAATGTCCATAGGTATGCTGAGAAGCTGACTAATGCGTGTACGAGATAAACAGGTTGCCTCGTTCTTACGTCGTGTAAGGCATCCCATAGGAAATATCCCAGAGAAAATGCGTGTATATTCCCAATTAGACTGTCATAGCCGTAAAGTGTATCCGTGAGAGCTATGGGTGATTTATAGAGAGCGTATCCAGCAGCTGGAGCTATCAAAAGTGAGTGTACGAGTGAGACAGTATGTGCGTTCCAATCTAATTTTTGATTTTTATCTAATTTCTCATACGTTGCACTCAAATAACGTTCTGAAATTAAGTGACTGATTGCTGAGACACCAAAGCAACCAATAAAGCAAACAGTGAATGGTGCTTATATTACGTTATAAGTAATTTTAATAAACTTTCTAATAACCTACGCAAATGTCCGGAGAAATGCCTCGGGAGGAGTCCCACAAAAGACATCATCATAGTAGAGATAAGAAAACGTCATTAAGATGTGATGTATAACTTAAAAGAAAATATTACATGGTGAGTTGGTATAAATGTCAATAGACCAGTTAATTAAGTTATGCTATGTAAGTTATGCGATTATACGTGATTACTTTAGTATCGTGTTGTTTGATATTTTTGATATTGATCATCTCCGTGTATGCTAATGCTTGAATGCTTTTATATCACATTGTGATTATGCCAATCCTTTTAAATTGTTTAATCAAAACACTGACATTCAGGACTGCCAGCCTCGGCTTTACCACCACATTTCTCTGGATCGCTGAAATCCGGGCGGTTACCTAAGAGTTATGGTTAGCTTATAATTATAAGTATGCAAATACTGCAACATACAGTCAAAGATAATTGGCCAAGAACGCTCTAATGAGTGACCAATGAATGGGTTAGATGGGTCATTCTTAGACATAAACCACCAGGGCGTCTCAGAGTGGATTGGATCATCAGCTGGTGCTTCAAGCATGCTTAGGATATCTGCATATTTACTATATGGATTGTTCAGAATTCTGTCTTGCGATACCATAAATTGACCGGCCCAAGTAACTAATTGAGTTTCATCTTCTGGACATTCAGTATTTGTAAATAATTGCCAAATAGTTTTCATTTGTGGTAAAGTATGTCCCTCTGATACGCCGCAGCTACCAGGTACGTAAGGTCCCAAACTAATATAACCTGTATCCACATTAATGTGATCCAATCTATCATACATAATCCAATGCCATGCAGGATGTGGTTGTAAGAACAAAGTTTTATCTGCCAAGATTTCATCGGTTTGGTTGTTGAGATCGTCCGGAAATATTGTCGCTTTGTATCTTTGTGTAATGTGATGCAAATAAGTTGCGCCTTCTCTACCGATGTTAGGAAGGTAAGCAACGTTATCGACGATTTTGTTTAGTTGCTTGTGTAAAATTGGAGAGTGTGCCTCGTTTTTAACGTAGACTGTATCAGTAATTCTAAACTTCCAGTGTAATTTCTGTCTAACTAGATTTGAAAATCTACTAAACTCGTCTAAATCCTCATCGTAGTAGCTGTAAACAATCTCGAGAGTTGGTCTAGATATCAGAACTAACGATATCTTATAGGCAATAATGGATAAAAGGGTGAGTATTAATCCGATAAAGAACTTCTTAAAGTAGGATTTGCTGTTGTAGGTTTTAGATTTTGAAGGTGGAGTGTTCTTTTTATCTACATAATCATAATCGGTTAAAGGTGGTGTTAATGGGGGTGAGTGTATATACTTTGGTGAGAAAGTATATTGAGTTTTGTACATCACCCTTGATTGTCACCGTTGATGAGAATGTAAATGCGCAGACAGCCTCGAATGGCGACTTCCATTTATAGATAAGTGTCAAAATAAAAAATAAACTGTCAATTAAATTCCTTAATTTATTTATATTCTGTCTCTTGACATAATAATTGTAGATTTAATATACCAGTATCGATCGCTCGAACTGGAATGATATCTTGGCTGTCTTTAGTGTGATTATTATTTCTAGTAATCCATTCGGAGCTATTATTCATTTCGCTAGACTGCCGCAATTCTAATTGTACACTAAATGTTAAATCTTCTTCCTCTTTCAGCGGTTCTAACATAGCATCTAAAGTTGATAGTCTCACCAAGATCGACCTAGCGTAGACGCCTACTTGATCATGCGCAAGTGCATCTTGGAAACTGTATATTATCAACTAAGATACGTCCTTGTTATTCTACTCACCTCGTATCTTTCAGATGATCTTCTATATCGTCTATTCGTTTGTCTATTCTGAAGATGAACTTCTCAAATGGAATATCGTATTTGTTCTTTATGATAACAATTATGTTCTCCACTTTATCTTGCTTTATTTGTTCAATGACGCTTTCAACTAATGACGTAATATAACTTTGTACTGCCGGTACTCTAGACTTGTAAACTATAGCGCCCCATTTTTGCTTTCGCTCGAAGGTGAATTGTGGGTAGACCTGTCTAATGTTCAGTATTGTGTGTATGGATATCTCAACTGAAGTTATAATTAGAGGTGATAGAGTAGAGAACTGGACATACGAATATCAGAAATAAGTTTAATGTTATCTATAAAAGTACATTAGTTGCTTTACTTCTCTTATTACGTTAGATTCACCGTTATAGCTTAATCTTCTTTCTGAAGTCATCAAAGACCCGTATAAAGCGAATAAAGCGGTAAAACTGAGGAATAAATTTTTAAATTTTTTAATAGTGTTCTTCCGTATACCTTGAATTATCTAGTAGTTTCTATATCATAGCCCCTTCCATTGCCGTAATTCATCCGCGGTTCCTCAGAAATTTACTCCCAACAGTGAATATGACCGACTCAGCGCCAACTTCACCATCAAAGCAAATTCCAAACCCAATGGACGTTAGTATAATCCACATTAATTCCGATCACTTTCGCTAACTATCATATCCCAGTCTGTACAGACTCACCTCGATAAAGAGGAAGTACACTCCGTTATTGGTACACCAGCTCAACCAAATGACAACAAAGTCCTCAGTACGTTTAATTTTTCCCTCACTTATTCTTCCCCTGACTGTCTACTCTTCTAGTCGGTTGGAAAAACTCCCCAGACGGTAACAAGGCTTTAGAACACTACCTTAACAAGCTCGCTAAGCCACAAGACCACGTCATTCTTTTGGTCGTTCTCCCTACAACTCTCTTCAAATCTTCCGGATTTGGTACCGATGACAAAAAAATGGAGAGAAAAGCTCTCAGAGACTTAAGAGAACATGCTCAACAGTTAGCATCCGAAAAGATCAAGCTTATTGAAGCAAAAGGTGCTACTGCTTCCTTGGAGATCGTTCACGGTGAACGTAGATACGTCATCGAGTGGCTCGCGCTCAGACGTAAAGTTGACCTCATCATTCTCGGACGTAAAAAGGCACATGCTCCAGCTAAGGGTCTCTCAAAGGTCTTCCTTGGTCACCCAATTGGTTCAACTGTCCAACACGTCCTTCACAAGGTTAGCGTTCCTGTTTTAGTCGTCAACTAAACAAAAGTCACGGATTTCTTTAATGAATAAAGTCTTATTATCTTCTCATTTTACACTTTTAATTACTTCTTATATGTAAATACATGCCTTCTTTGTCTTAATTTCGACTACAAGAAAGTATACAGCTTATTTTTACAATCATCATCATAGCAATTTAGAGTTTGGAATGGCGTGGTTTGCGTAGCTTGGCGTAACCTTTACCAAGTACTGTCTTCCCATTCTGTGTTTCGTTCTTCATCTCGAATACACATTCTTCGTCGCTTACTTTCCAAATATGCGTGCTGAGTTTATCACCTGGAATGACTGGTGATGTGAATCTACAGCCGATAGCTTCGATTGAAAGTTGGTCACCATCGCCAACTGCACCGACTAATGCTCGAGCAGCTATACCGAAGGTGGCTAAACCATGTAAAATCGGCTTCTTAAATCCAGCCATTTTAGCCATAGATGGGTCGACGTGTAAAGGATTATAATCACCTGATAACCTGTAAACAATTGCTTGTTCTTCTGTTGTTAAATCGCTAACGACATGATCTGCTGCACGCTCTGGTTTTGGTTTGGCTTGCGGTGAAACAGCGATTGCTTTCGAGAATTGTTTACCGGTTGCTTTGGCACCGACGTTGAAAGTTGATGACTATGGTGTGTTATTAATTTGTTTAAACAAAAATACTAATACCCACAAACATTCTAGCATATGCTTCGCCTTTTCCATCAACCAAGACAGATTCTGTGTCGACGACGATTCCTTTCGCTTGAAATGAAATTCAGATATGCTTCTAAGAAACAATCCACCCACGATTTTCATTCACGCCAACGATGCGCTTCTTTATGTGGAAATTTCTGTCTGTACTGTTAACCGGGAGTGGTTTGATAAGTTCACAATATTGTGCGCCATCTGAATTTATATAAGATTTAGGCTTTCCATCAATATAGACTCACGTAATATTCTTGTTGGATCCATATCAGGTAATCCAGGTACACTCCCACCGGATTTTGAAGCGAATTCAACAAAATCTACGACGTCGTTACTGTCACCTTTGAAGTTGAGAACTACGGGGTATGTAGGGAATGCATTGAAATTTTCATCGTTCTCATATATTTGTCCTATATCGCCAGCTTTGGCGCCAATTCCAACGGCATATACTGCATATTGTGAGATATATCATTAAGGAATAAGATATAGACAAACACAATAAATCTCTTGTATTCCAGTTGACTGGTTGATCTTCAAATTTGTAATTTAATGCTTTCTCCATTCTTATCATATGATGACAGTACCGGGAAAGGTGTCTACTCTATTGATAACCGGTGAAAACTATAAAATCTAATGTAAAATCTAATACGAACTGTACAAGCGGGTTTATAATATGTAAAGCGAAATAACTTATGATAATGTATAAATAAAATGCAAATTAGCGTGTGTCGAAGGCCTTAACGAGACCATAGGCAGATCCAGCAGCGAGTGCACCAACAACAAGCATGGAAATACCACCATAGAGGTATCCACCGAAACCACCTGTACCACCGGTGTAATATTGTTTCAGAATACCGAATGTGAACAAGACAAAGCTTGTAACAAGGATTGAAATTTTGAATGCTTCATGCGCTTCGCTGATGAAAAAGAATGGGAGCAATGGCCACATACCACCAATTGCATATCCCATTCCAACTGTTATAGCTGACTTAATAAGCTTAGATGTTGGGACTTCTTCAACTCCTTCGCCATATTTGAGCAAAAATGCTGTCAAACCAAATTCATCTGACCATCTCAAGTCTCCTTCTTCAGGTGTATGCAATTGTGTTGGTTTTTTGGCAAATTTTTCTATTAAACTTCTCAAGAATGAAGATGGCGCTTGTGCTGGTGCTGGTGGTTCTAGCTTGGTGAGACTTGTAGTGACTTCATTTGAGATTTCTTCTGATAAACCGACTGAACCGAGCACGTCATGAACTTCTCTTTCCATTTCACCGGCGCACGAGCGAGCAACTCTCTGTCTAGTGACTCTACGGAGATATTTGAAGTGGTTCATTTCAGCTTCTGCAGCGAGATAACCACCCAAACCCATACTAATTGCACCTGCAACTATTTCACTGAGACCACCGAGAATAACGAGCTTAGAATCACCCAATCCAGCTCTAGTGGGATGTTAGGCTTACTATTTAGGAGGTTATAATACTCACAATCCAGCCACGAGTGCAGGTGGTACTGCCAAACCGTCACTCAAACCAATAATAGCATCCTTGACGAAATCTGGATCAATCAGGTTGCGCTCATCATCACCCTTGAGTTCTCTGCAGCAGACTCCACGTGCATGCTTATCACATTTACCTGGAGAGCTACTCTCAGCATAGGTTTCCTCATCTGAGCTCGTTGCTCTTGTTTGCCATACAGGGTTTGATTCATTTCTTTCGCGTACTTGTTGACTACGCTTTGGTAGTTTGTTACTAAGGCATGAGCCACCGCAGCAGTTTTCTGGATTTTGACAGACCATCTTCTTCGTAGTTCTTTGATAAGAAGAAGCGCGTCGAATAATATTACCGAAATTAGTAAAGAATGAATTAGTGAATCTGTGAACGTGATTATCGTGATTATTTAGTTATTTGTATATTTAATACTGAAAGCTCTATATCATGTGTCTGATTTAGTTTGTAAGCATTTCTTATATCAATAAGTCGATCAAGTCAGTTAAGTAATCTGATATGGCGTTATACTCTCATATATAAGTAATGTACTATATGCACCAACAAGTTATCTACTTTATACACTTATATATAATGACACCCTTTGATCACTATCTATGAACTTATTCACATCAGGTGCATTTTCAAATAAGCACAATGAGCTCATAAAGCAGCTAGAAGAGAGTGACCTGGATAGCTCAGAGCCAAAGCAAATAAAGAGAGATATACAAACGCAGCTATCCCGACAGAATCTGTCATCTGTGCGTACGTCATTACTTTCTGGCGACACTAACAACAAATGAAGAGCAAATTAGCAGAATACTTAGTAATGCTAATGAATGCGGATTTATACGACTCTTATATTGATTCTCAGGGGGTCTACAATATGGAAAATGCATTATACAGCGCTATATCCTTAATTGAACGCTGTACGACAATAGAAGAGAGTAGAATTGGTACGTTTTTACCACAAATATTATTTCTCCTTTTGATAGACAACGGAAGGATACCTCTACCTTACTTTACACGCACCGCGAGTTGGAGAATGGAATGTCATGTTGGTCAACACTCTAAAGAAAGACCTCGAAAGCGAAAGCGATGCGAGAATCCTACTCGCTGTGACATTTCTCATCCACAAGCCTTTCATGGAGGTCATTCCGGCTGTTAACTTGACTTTGCTTCAGCTCTTATCACATAATAGGTGGGTACTAGATTGATTCTGTACTTTCGATTAAGCTTTATGCAAGGAGGTTTGTTCGGCTACGTGTCGCAAATGCTATATCACAACTTATTGCTATATCGGATGACGGTGGGCTGTTTGACAGTGACGCGCTGATGAAGTTTGTCAAGGAAGACACAAGTGAATGCCTGCAGAATATTAAATTAGACTTGATGGATAAGGTGAATGTCGGTGTCGCAATACGTTAATTGTTTCTTATCTAATCGACACATAGAAATATCAGAATAATGATAGTACATTTCATGATGTAGACATACAACAGCTAGAGACACTCATTGAAGGGAGCGAAGATGTCATATTGCGTCGTCCTGTATATGTCCTCAAAATATTAAGAAACATCAGTGTAAATGCCACTACACTAGGCAATACCAGGTGGGCATAATGTTTATACTCCTAATTTTGAGCTAATGTGATACTGAAGTATATCTAATATTCTGGTGAAATTATTACGGCAAGTCAGAGAAACTTCTTCTCCATACAAACATGCTATCGGACTCGAAATACTAAAACACGCCCGAGAAATTCCTACCGAAGTGCGCTCATATATTGAAAATCTAATCAACAACAAAACGGCGAATACTCCAAACTACAGATATGCAATTTTGGCCCAATTATTGGTCATACCTGGCGACGTCGCCAATAAGATTCTTGGTGAGAAGGAAAGCTTGTATGTTATGGATACGCTCGAAAATCAAGACGTGACTTTAAGAAAAAAGGTGAGTAGAATATCCTGACTTGGGTTAAACTCATATAAGTTCGCAGGCATTGCAACTCCTTGGACATATTGACATGAACACACTTAAACAGTATCATCAGATGTTATTACAAGTAGGTTCGCAATTAGCAAGCGAATGTGAAGAATATTTACGCTGAAAATTTTGTACATTATGTAAAGTAGATTGTCTTTTATAATAAGACTATTGTTTATGTCCTCACCTTTTATCTCTGTGTTTGTCATAACGTAGAATTCTAGTACAAATTGTATCATTAGAGTATAATTAAATGATAGCTATCTTGAAAGTTCGGTATGTATGCTTATTAACAAGACAAGATAGTGATAGTGCCAAGTGAGCGTTTCCCATACATGTTAGAGAATGGCACACCGCTGCAATCCTATCTTAATGATATTTTTCATATTTGTAAGTAGAAAATGTTGTATATTATGTAATAGAGTTATTGATTTTGGTATAATTTTATAACAAAAAGAAATTAAAAGATTGAATAATAAAGATTTAAATTAATGAATGTTAAAAGTTCTCTAGATCGATTGGTTCGAATTTCAATGGCTCAAATGCGTATCCTTCTGCTTTGTAATGCTTTCCATTAGCTTCGACCCTGGAGTAGTAATGTTAGACAAAACCTTGTATAAAGAAGTTACTCACCAATGGAGACGTAAGGCGTGAAGGAAAGCTGACATTCCTTCCATCATACATAAGATAGCCACTGTCAAGATGAACCAGAATGTACCAGACAATGCTAATGCTATTATACCCGTCAATCCGCTGCTATCTAATGCAGGTTCGAGGATCATGTTCCATAAAACTTCACTCAATTGAGCATGTGCTAATGACAGAGCCCAAAGACGAAGATAAGAAGCCTGTTTAGTTACTTAAATTAAATCACGAAGATTACTATGAAACTCACTGTATTTGAGATACAACCCAATACGAATTCAATCGTATGAATAATTTGATGAATTGCGACATCTCCAAGTTCAAATTCATGCTCATCATGTCCGTCAACATCACCAGATTCACTTGCAGCGGACGAACGAAGATCGTGACCAGCATCTTCATCAAGCGAAAGCCTATGATCGTCGTTAACGACAGTTCCATAACCTGCGCCCTTCGTTCTTTGATGTTCCTTCCACTCCAAGTATGGTTTCGCTACGAGCATCCAAGGAACACAAACAAAAGCAACTAGAAGAAGTACTAATTGGATGAAACCTTGACCCTTAAACAATTGATCTTTTGGATCGAGTTTTCCTGGACTGAGGAACATATAGATTAACATATTCAATAATCCTGGTGGACCATTGCTTGAATTGTTCCAATCAGTGCACCACTTGATTATAATACAGAGAACGAGATAACCGAAAATTGAATTCAAGAATAGAATTTGCGGTAACCATTCAGCTAATATATATTGCGGCTTCTTTTCACGTAGATAGTTTGGAATGTTTAAACAGATCGCGAATGACATATGAATGACACCAATCACGATTGACATTTTCATTTTCATTGAATTCGTAAAGACTAAACTATTCTCACTACCATGCCATGCTGGATCCAAACCAAAGATGTATGGATCCCTAACTTTTTCTGCGATGACTGAACCTTGATCCGGTGATGGTGCTGGGAATTCGAATGAAGATGTGAATATATGAAGACTGCGACTGAACATATCATTATAGAGTAGTCCAGTATAGATTGAAAATGCACCCATTAGTAAAATAATGTAACGACCACCGAAAATAGTTTCTGTCATTTCGTCTAATTTCTTTTTCATGAGTTTCTTTTCAAAGTAGACCATGCCTAAAGCTGTAAGGAAAACTAAAATACCATGTCCGATGTCACCAAACATAACAGCGAACAAGAATGGAAAGGTAATGATTGTGTATAAACCTGGATTTACTTCTTGATATGTAGCGATACCGTAGGCGTCAACAATATTTTGGAATCCTTGTGTGAACTTGTTTGTACGGTGATATGTTGGTGGCATACGTTTGGCCTTGATTTCATCAACGATCGGTGGAACGTTCGAACCAACATTAGATGATGCTCTCCTTAAAGCTTGCTGAACGGCTATAATTTCATGTGATGGTACCCAGCCTTCAGCTAGCAATGTACGATGTCTGTCATCGTAGTGGAACAAGTTGAGAGTTGCGTATACAGTCTTCTCTTTTCTGACAATTGATGACCAGGTTGCCACATCAGTCGCAATAGCTGCTAACTCTGAACGACGTGATTGAGCAGTGTGGTATAAAACTGTATGTATATCCTCTATTTGTTGATTTAGACCACTCAAAGCTTCAGTGCGGCGTTCTGAATTTGAGGAAACTGGGAAGGTTGCGGCACCCATACCTTCACCAACCTTTCTTATCTTGTTGAGTAATTCCTGGCCATCTGCGAAAATGATGAATACCGATTTTTTAGGATTTTCTTCCGAACTTGCACCATAAGGTAAAGTGATTTCCTGCATGTCAGTGTGGTTCATGTAGAGGTTACCCCTTAAAACTCTCCATAAAATGCGTTCGAAAGTGGCTAACTTTGATCTGTCGATCGTACCAACGACGAAATCCAATTCGAAGTTGGCAAAGTGACTAGTTTCAGATTGATTGTCGTTATCAAGTAATGGTCTGCTATCGTCGTGCATACTAACGTCGTCGAATGAGGATCTAATCTCATCACGGTAGCCATTTACGTTGTTGAAAAAGCTGGCTGTCTCTTTGAGGGCTTGTCTAGCTTCCTCTAGTTTGTAGCAATCGACAGAGAGCTTCTCGAAAGATTTGTTTAGTTGTGTGAGTCTGCCCTCGTGGTCAATAAGCTTATCGTCTATATCATCGATAAGCTGCGGACCATGATGTGGCCTGTCAAGTTCAATTGATTGATCGAGATCGAAATCGAGCTGAGATTCTATTTCCCTTATTTTTACGTTATCTCTGTAGATCTGTCCTATAAAGAAACGCAGTCTACGCTCCATCTCGTCAATCCTTCTGATCTCATTTGTGAAGCTACGTTGGAAGGGATTTAAATCTGGATTGAGATCTCTGAACTGTACCAATCCTAGATCTCCTAGATGGAGTACGCTGTCGTGAGCTATCTCAGTTGGGACGTAGAACTGAACGAGGCTCATGTCCTCAGATCCTGTAATATAATGTTAGCCTATATAATAAAATAAAAAATATAGACCGACTGAACAACGCCGGTGGCATCTCCATATGGTAATAATATATTGACCGCTCAAGAGGGCTATATACTCGATTCACAACAGCCAAGTGCTTAAAAATAAAAAATATAAATGGATGAATTTAAGATATTCATAAAAGATAATAATTTAGAACTAGCACAAGATGATATTGACGACAAGACTTTTATGGCAATTTGCGGTATTTTAGTAATAAACAACAATAAAGCTTTAAGCCCTTTGGAAATTGCCCATGAGCTACAGTCTAGGAATTGGAACGGTTTTAGGTACGTTCTTTTGCCACTCAAAAATATGCATCCTTTACTCACCTTTCTTTAGTGGCACAGCACCAGCGACAACGATCGCTAACCACATACGCAACCACTCGAGGAGGAGAAATGAATCGGCAAATTTAATCAGAAAGCATAAATTAACTGGTACAAAGTTAGATGAGAAGATTTTGCCTTACATCGGAAACAGAGCAAACAAAGGCGTCGTTTATTTCTTAAATGGCGCTCTTACTGGCTATAAGAGCCCTTGGGAGGCTGCAGGTGTTAACGACCCATATGCGCCTGCAACTAGTTCATCTACACCTTCTTCAGCTTCAGACTCTAAATCCTCTTCATCAAATAAGAGAAGAAGTTCAGAGAGGATAAATCAACCGAGAAAGTCGCGTAGATCAGAAGTATTTCCTCTATCTCCCGCTCAAAGTGACAATGAAGAGAAGCCACCGACACGTAGACTCAGATCAAATCATGTGGTCAACGATGATGATGTCAAGGATGTCAGCAATGTGGAAAACGTTAGAAGTTCCAAACACGATGATGGCCTAGAAGATGTCAAGAATATTAAATTGGAACAGACCGTTGTCAAACCAGAGCCATTCGAACCGTCAGAGATTTCCATTGAGGAAGTCGTAGATAAGCAAGAAGTTGAAAAGTCTCTACTTCAAGCACCAGCTGAATTTCCGACACGACCACCATCACCTGCACAATCTGAACGTGAGGATGAGGATGATTTTCACATCTCAATGATGAGTCCATCAGCAGAGACATTACCAGCTGTTGAGAAAGATGAAATCGAATCAAAAAATGATAACTCAAATCAAACTAATAAAACAAACGATATAGCTAACTTATCATCACTCGAGAAAGAATTGGATGAGCTATCACCAATTTCTAATGAAATGGATTGCGTTGAATCCAAAGATAATGACTTTATATGCAATTTAGCAACACCACCACTTTCACCTAAATTATCAATTAATGAAGATTTACCAGTAGATGCACTTGATGAAATTGATACAATCTGGACTGAACAGGTTGATTATCGTCAAAGAAGACAAAGTGCAATTAATAAAACTTTACTCAATAGCTTGGACTATGTTGAATCAATCAGAGCTGCTGCAAGGCAGTAAGATTGATGTAATTTTACGACCTCAATTTGCTCAATATTTATTATACTAATGTATTCGAAAATCACCGCTCAATAACACCCAAATTCTTGTATTTGGCAAACCACAAGATTGTATAACAGGAAAAATCACAAATCAAATCAATTTCACAGTCATTTGATTTCATGTATAACAGTTAAACAGACAATCAATAATGCTTAATTATTTCAAGTTGTTAAGACTGTGTTGGTTTTTAGTTGTGTGAAGTCTGTATAGATATACTTACGCGTGAGTACGACATCGCCATGAAGTTTAGCCTGTATTGTTGAGTTAGATGTGTATACATACGATTATGTCTACTTATTAATGTAGATTTCGAGATCCTAATTGGATAAACAATATATAACTAGCGACATTTTTACCTACCAGATTGAGATCCAGTCGGAGACCCAAAGCATCGTCTTTATCTTTATCTTCATCTTCAGATTCTCTGCGTTGCTCGATGGGTCCACCGTGTTTGTCAGCAGTTAAATCTGTATGAGTCGATCCTATTGCTTGTCTACCAAGCTCGGCGTAGCTGGGGAGCGTAAATGAGCGCCATCAATATAACAGCTATGGATACCTTTCCATGAGACCACGATCGACTCTACTGACATCGATATTCTCAACCTCTTTGCCTTTTTCTTTTGCCATTACCGTTAATAACGACACTTGAAACCCCAAAATGCAGTCTGACTTTGCATGTGACATGAAGGTAGTGCAAATTTTAGAACGAACGAATTCGTAAAAAGGGTCAACATCATAAGAATATCAGTACAATCTCGTCGTAATTTAACTAAATAATGTTATGCTAAAAGTTTAAGGCAAACATCGCCGTGTAATTTCGCCTGTGTTTGATGTTAGTGCGAATTTGCAAAATGAACAAGCAACCTATTAATAAATATCTCCAATTCGAGATTGAGATCTGGTATTTATATGTTAAGACTATTTTTAAATATCCATCACTCACCTAATCTGAGCGAAATCGGGTTGTTCTTGTTAGATCCATCTGCCTTTTTGCCAGTCTGGACGACAGATTTGAGGCCTTCTTCGATAATAGGCTGTACAACCTTTGTTGGTTGAGCTTCTTGAATGACCTCCGATGGTTCTTGTGGATCCTTGATGGTCTTTGTTGCTGTGTCGATAACCTGTCCAGCGGTGTTGAGAACCTTTGTGAGGTCTGCAACATCTGTGACGCCGGTAGGAGCTGACTTCTTGCGTTGCTTACGTGTTACATTCTTTTTCGAAGGCTCTACTGGCTGCACAACTTCGACAGTCTGGTTAGGTGAGACAACAGCTTCTGTGGCAGCTTGTTCAACTTCAGACACCTCTTCAGAAACTTCTTCAGATCCAGAAGAATATTGAATGTCCTCGTCAGTCGTTTCTTTCTTCAGCGTATCTGCTGCACTCATCGTCGTCAAACTATGTGAGGTATTTTCAAAAATGATATCAATATATTTCAACTAGTTGTACAACAATGCAGGTGGGGTTGAGTGAGTATATATACGTGTCTATATTGGTATATCATTAGTAAATGAAGTTGAAACAATCTCCAAACAACAAAGAGTACGCCAAAGTTCAGACGGAAGGCAACAGTTTACGGGAGGTCCACATGGGGTTAAGCGCTCTTGGTTTTACATCCGTGTATTAACATCCTGTAAGGCGTACTCTCTGTCTTGGATGTTAGATGAGACTCACAATAATGCAATAACTAGAATCTAGAATCCGGCTGGGTTGGTGCGTTGTGTGATCTTTGTCCACTTAGGAACCTTGTGGACACCCTTACGGTATGTTGGGCTGTTTTTGTTGAAAGTGAAGTACTTGTCACGTGGAGGCATAGCAGATTCACTTGGAAGTGCACTGGCTACATCCAGACGCTTGAATTGAACACCAGAGTCCTTTATTGCTTGGATATTCTGGTCGACGTCTCTCAGTCTCTCTCTGACTCTGAATTTACGAGTAGAAGACAGCCTCCAAGGTACTTTCCTACGAGATGTTAGTAAAATCAAGCCATAAAAACTATTGCTTACCTAACTAATCCACCTAAATTTACACTGCTGCTGAACATCGCGGTTCAAGTGAAAGAAGCGAAAGCGTCAAAACTTCTTATTAGTGACCATCATTAGGGTTAAAATAAAAATGTACAGAAATATTATTCAAAGGCGGCTGTTATCAACTACTAGAGTTTCTTGTGAGTTTGCTTATCATTGTATAGCACTATCAACTAATAATCTTAGTCGACGCACCAAAATCAAGCTGTATCGCAGGTACACCATTACCTGGATTACAGATACTGAAAGATGATCCAGAGAAGGTTGCCAGAGAGGATGAAGCTTATCCAGACTGGCTCTGGACCATTTTAGAGCCAAGGGATCTATCAACTCAAGGTGATCAAACATTTAACGCTGCACAAGAACGTAAAAATATTAACAAGCAACATAAAATTGACATTAAAGCAAAAAATTTCCTGAAATCGACATAGAATTGTACATTAAACTCTCTTATTACTTCCACGATGTCATTGTCTTCGCGTGCATTTAAATCGCCGATTGGGAAGAGTTTACAAACACGTACTATATCCTCTACTACCCAATTGTTAAAGAAGAAAGCACCAAAATCTACTCCATCAAAGTCAACAAAGAGTGATGCTGCTTTGGCTGATACTACTGTAGTACTTCCAACAAAAGGGAAGAAAGTAGGTAAATCTAGGGATTGGGATGAGGCCCAGGTAGAGACTACACATCAGGAGGATGAAGCTGAAGGGTCATTTGATTTGAGTTTCAATGACTTCACCAACAAGCAAAAGGAAATAGTAAATAAAACTAAAGAGGATCTAGAGACTTTAGTAAATAGAGTTGGTAGAGTTACTCCAGATTTACTTGACTCTGTTAGCGTCGAAATTGACAAAGAGTTGTTCAATTTGCAATCTGTAGCTTCAGTATCAGTAAAAGATGGAAGCAGCCTGATCATCTCAGTATTTGATGCTTCAGTGGGTCTATATATATATCTACTTAATGTTACTGACGACTCAATTAGATGATTAGAGACGTCGAGAAAGCTATCTTCGCAGCTAACCTTGGATTAACACCACAAAAGATATCTGAGAATGTTCTCAAATGCTTAGTACCAAGGTACGTATCGTTGATTATATTCTCGTATATCACTAACCCTCTATTCTTAGACCAGCTGCAGACACAAAGAGCAAGCTAGCGAAAGATGCAGCTGGGATAGCGGAAAACGCTAGAATAGCGTTAAGGTTGCGCAGACAAGCGTTACAGAAGATCGTCAATAAGCAGAAAACAGGTAAATCTACGAACGACTTGCGTACAATCGATAAAATGATGGATGAAGCAACTATTACCCATTCAAAGTCAATAGATGACCTTTTGCATAAAGCACAAGCCGCTTTGCGCTAGTTTCATAACTTTAAATGCATAATAAAGTACTCTTGAGCTGACTTCATAGGTTTCATAGACCGAATATTGAAACGAAAATGACTGCTATCTAAATGGATCGTATACTCATATATAAAATTCATTTACACGCTTTCCATATGGCACTAAAACCCTGTTTGAAAAAACCGCGCATTAGTTTTCGAGGTCGCTCTCACGAGATTCGCCCTCCTCAAATGTAGTCAATTGATAGAAAAAGCATTTAATAAGGAATTATAATGATTTTAATATGAATTACAAAATAGCTCAATCCCGGGTCTTTTTTAGTATATAATTTGCTACATGAAGCCAACGCTGAGAAAGATTGGCGAAATCTCATATCACTTAGCAGGAGTACATGAGGATGCAGTTATTAAGGGATATTACACCACCCACGTTGTAGCACGCACACCACTGCGGTCATACAGCACGAAAACAGCAACCAACTACGTGAAAGATATTTGAATATACAATCGTCATAGCTACGATAAGCGACCATTGAAATATGAAGACAATAATAGGATGCATATGAATTTTTCACGTCCCTTAATTAATAAATTTTGAGCGTCTCGCCTTTCATTCTAACGATCATCACGACAAGTCAAATATGGCAGTCTGCGTTAAGGAATTCGTATCTCACTGCCCCAGCAGTAGTGAGAGGAAGACTCTAACTGCCAACACAGACAGTTGGTACAAAGCTGTAAGTCTAGTCTTTTTCTGAGGGTCAACATCGCTAATTCCAAATGCAGCCAAAGTGGGCATTAGGCGTCGCGATGTGCTTTACAGCTATACTGATAGTAGTTATGATTATACAAGCTATAAAGTACATATCGCTCTCATCAAGACGACTCATGAAAGGTGGTTCACTCTCAATTTTCAATAGGACAGCAGCGATCTCGCGCGCTTTACACTACCACCGTTTCAGAGTTAGAAGCTACCTTTTACCTTATACCTTTCCCCTCATCCTCGTTACCTTTATGTTCGTTTGGACGACAATATGGTGTTTTGCTACTCTGCCATATTACCGTGCCGGCACCGAGTGGGGGTCACCACCCCTGGGTGTTCGCGCGGGTTATATTGGAACTGCTTTAGTACCCCTGGTGTTCGCTTTAGGTGCTCGTAACAATCCCATTACATTTTTCACTGGTATCCCTAGTGAGAAACTTCAAATATACCACCAATACGGTGCACGTATTATTCTGTTTTTCTCAATCGTTCACACTATACCATTCATTGTACAGCCTTATCAACAGGGTTTGCAATTAGGTGGTTCAAGAGAAGTCGCTAGATACTTTTTGAAATACTATTACGATCAAACTGAACAATTCTGGAATGGTATCCCTCCATTTGTCGCCTTGATTTGGATCGTCCTTTCAAGTATGGGATACTTTAGGAGATTTTCATATGAATTTTTCGTCATTCAACACGTTCTGAGCATTTTATTCTTCTTAGCTTGGATGTTCGTTCATTGTCAAGTATCTTTGATGGATGCTTGGTACTATCTCTTTGTTTCCGTAGGTGTACTCATTTGGTCCTGGTTTGGCAGAGTCCTTTGGAGCTTCTGGGCAAATGATTTCAATATCAATCAAGCAACTTTGGTTCCACTTTCAGAGGATGTCACGCGAATTCGTATTATTACACCACTCAGATGGAAGCCTGCTCAACATGTTTACATTCGATTCCCAACTATGTTCGTATTCCAATCACACCCATTCACTATCACATCTATACCATCTTTGGATGTTCATAACAATTCGAACATCATGCAGCTGCTGATAAGAGGCAAAGGTGGTATTACTAAACGCTTACATGAGAAAGCAAGAAATGGTATTACATCTATACCTTGTTTCATTGATGGTCCATATGGAGGAATGTTAGCACCACTTGACAATTACACAAATGTGTTACTATTATCTGGAGGTACTGGTGTCAATGCTGTTTCCGGTATTTTGCTTGACCTTATGCGTAAAATGGAGCGTGGAGAAACGTTGATTCAGCATATTGACTTTATTTGGACAATTAGATCTATTTGTGAGTAGATTTCTTTTAACGTAAGCTAATTAATTGACAATACTCAGCTTCTATTGAATGGTTTAACGAAACATTCAAAGCTCTTTCAATGTATAGTTGCTTTAGCAATGTGAACATTGTTGTTCATGTCACAGGTAGTGATCCTCAGGAATCCATCACATTAGAGAAAGACGAATCACGACACTCAAGCGAGTCTGGAATGTACGACGAGAAGCTGTATAATTTCACGAAAGGCAGACCAAACTTGCAAGATATTGTTAGGAAATCTGCAAATGCATCACAAGGACGAGACCTTGGAGTTGTTGTCTGTGGTCCTCCTCAATCGATGTTCAACTATGAGGTTATGAACGAGTGTGCAGCTATCGAACTCAAGATAGCTGCGGGTGATGAAACGCTCCCAAGAAGATTATTTGCACATTCAGAAGCTTTCGAATGGTAGTTATATATGTATTTTTTTGGAATTCTTTGTATCTTTCTTATATCGCATTACATCACTACTTTCTACTTAGCCAAGAGGAATTAACTTCTAGAATTGAATAAGTCAATGAAATAACTTTAAATACTCGCTTCTCAGTTGAGAAATGCTACCGGATTGTTACATTCCATACCGCATAGCTAACTCAACTCAATAGAATGAGAATGGAAATTTGGCCAAATGAGCTCTTAGATATTCTCTTATATCATTTCAATGGCTATAAATAAACGTGGAGAAGTTTGTATAGTCAATTATTGTTGCACGGGATGGAAGTGTAACAACAAGGACTTGTCACATCAGGATGCCGCGGTAAGTAGAATAGTGTATTTTTAGCATTTCTAATTAAAGTTATAGCCTATCTATGGATTAGTTATAGGGTTAGCTTTACTGGGACTAATACTTAGCGTAATTGCTTTGCAGCAGACGAAGTTTTATCTGGCAAAACATCCGTAAGTGAATACGTGGATATTTGTCTGTCAGTCCACTAATAGAGTTTACACAGACAAAAGAAAAAACAATTACCGTCTTTTATACGGAAGATATCAGCTTTGAGTAGAGCAAGTAAATACCATTCGTTTAAAATACGTAACTGGTATTTACCGCATACTATCGCACTTATTGGCATCTTTGTTTTATTCCTTTGGTTGACAGTCTGGGCATTCGCGACACTACCTTATTACAGTCACGATTTCGAAACTGAAAAACCACCATTAGCAACGCGAGCAGGATCATTAGCTGTAGCTTTAATACCGTTCATATTTACACTCGGCAGCAGAGTCAATCCAATCTCGCTTGCGACTGGTATCTCGCACGAGAAATTGCAGACCTACCATCAATATGGTTCAAGGATACTGCTTTTTATCAGTTTAGTACATGGTATACCAATGCTTTTGCAACCTTATTATGAAGGATATAAAACAGGTGGTTACGCAGCTGGTAGAACAAGGTTACAGGAAGCTTGGGAAAGCAACGCGCATTTTGAATCAGGCACTGTTCTCATCGTCTTCTTGGTATGGATCAACGTTAGCTCGATGAGAGTGTTTAGAAGAATAAGTTATGAGTTCTTTGTTTTCCAACACGTCATCACGACTGTCGCTTTCCTTGCTAATCTTTTTCCGCACGTCAATGTCACTTATATGGACGCATGGAACTACCTCTTCGCAGCGGTTGCTCTCGTGCTATACAGTTGGTTTGGTAGATTGGCAATTACTATTTATTCAAACAAGCTGTCCACATCTCACGCACAGCTTGAAAATTTGACCGAAGGTATGACAAGGCTGTCAATTAAAACTAAAATAAAATGGAAACCTGGTCAACATATTTATATAAGATTTCCATTCTTAAAGCCGTTACAATCGCATCCGTTCACAATAACAAGTATCCCGTCAACAGATTCCGAGCACTCGGTCATACAGCTTCTCGCACGTGCTAAAAATGGAATGACCAAAGTCTTACACGATAGAGCCCAAGAGGGTAACACTTACCTTCCTTGTTTTATTGACGGCGCGTATGGTGGCTCGATTCCACTCGATGGCTACACGAATGTCTTGCTCTTATCCGGAGGAACGGGCATAACATGCAATATGCCGCTTTTGTTAGACTTGATACAGAAAATGGAAGCTGGAAAAAGTGCTTGTCAACATATTGACTTCATCTGGAGTATAAGAAGTAAAAGTAAGTCGTACGAACTATCAGGCACGAGCGTAGATCTAATAACATCATTACCCCAGAATCATTAGAATGGTTTGATGCTACTTTTAGATCATTATCGCGTCTAGCAAGCTATCAGAATGTTAGAGTGAGAGTTTTCTTAACTGGTGATAAAAGTGCACCGCCGACATCGTCGTCTATCGCAACATCTATTTCTAGTGACAGCTCGTCTTCTATCACAGAAAAGAAACTCTATGAAATCATAACAAGCAGACCAGATCTTGAAGGATTGTTAAATGAATCCGCGAGACAATCAGCAGGTACATCGCTTGGCCTGAGTGGTGAGTAACTGATTATGAATAAACCGACATTAGCTAATCTCAAATATAGTATGCGGGCCTAAGTTGTTCAATTGGAAAGTAATGAATAAAGTAGCGGATATTGAACTAGGGATAGCGATGGAGGATAGCTGCCTTCCGACTACCTTATACGCACATAGCGAGAACTTCGCAAGCTGATTGTAGTACCATAACTATTTTAATGTTTCTGTATAAATATTTAAATTTTATTTTATTATTTTGCAAATATTTATAATATTGGGGCACATTCGGCCACTTTAATACGCACCCCGAGGATCAGAAACATTAGTTACTAAGCCAAACTAATTGGATACCAAATTCATCCTTTATTCATAACAATCATTTTATAAAGAAATGAGATCACTTACTATGCTGCAAGATACACCTTCGCTTACGTCCGTAAGCGCTGACGATACCACAGACGACGATCTTAAAGTGAGTGGCTAATCTATCACCTTACTGTTTACTAATTGATATGTAGAACAATCAATCAGGATATTCTACACCATCCAGATTCAAGTTTGATAAGCCAAGTCACCACCACTCAGACCGACACAAATCAAGACTGGCTCCGATCCACGATTTGAAGAAATTGTTGCACTCACACCACAATTCACCTTGCACTTCCTCATCCTCCTCATCATCATTGCATAGACGTACGAGCTCGCACGAGAGTAGTACAGATTTGGGTGAAGACCATGCACACTTAACCAGGAAGTATGGTAAATGGGTAAAGACGTTAGGTACCGGTGCAGGAGGTACTGTCAGATTAATAGCGAAGAAAAAGCACTCTTTATCACGCTCTTCTAGCAGTTTGAGTAGTCTTAGTAATACACCAACGATCCATGCAGTCAAAGAATTTAGAGCTCGCAAACAAGGAGAAACTCAGAAAGAATATGTAAAGAAAGTTACAGCTGAATTCTGCGTTGGTATTACACTCAAACATAGAAATATAATTCAAACAGTAGATATAATTTCAGAGAAAGGTCACTATTACGAGATAATGGAGTATGCTCCATATGATTTATTCAGCGTTGTCATGTCTGGTAAGATGTCCAGGGGCGAAATTTATTGTGTTTTCAGGCAAATTGTCGATGGCGTCGATTATTTGCACAATATGGGATTAGCTCACAGGGATCTCAAACTTGATAATTGTGTTTTAACTAGTGATTCAACTGTCAAATTGATTGACTTTGGTACAGCAACTGTATTTCAATACCCAGGAAAGAAATCAACAAAAGCGACAGGTGTGGTTGGATCCGATCCATATCTCGCACCGGAAGTACTCTATTCTGCTACCGAATCTGCCCAAAGGGAGGGACTGAAAGAGTATGATCCGAGATTAGCTGATATTTGGTCAATCGGTATAATTTTCATCTGTATGTTATTGAGAAGATTTCCATGGAAGATACCTGAAGAAAAATCTGACCAATCATACGCATTATTCGTCAAAGCTCACCCTGAATTATGCGAACCTGTGATTGAAGATGACAATAGTTGTGTCAAGTCAACCAGCAACACTCAAACTCAATGGACAGAAATCCAAACCAATTTCGATGAGTTTGACTTGAACAATTGCCATGCAAACGACGAACGTTGTAACAAGGATTTAAGTGATAGGATGTTCCCTATCCCTTGCCAAGAACCAACGAGTCTTCCTGCATCACCAAGAGAGAGTAAACTCGAAGATCCAAGATCAACAACCCAAGTGAGATCAATGACAATGTCAAACGTCGCTGTTGCCGTTGAGAACGTGCCTAAAGCTACATCAAAGAGACCAGATATTAGACATAGGTCTGCATCACAGAGTACATTCATTAACGGCAACTCTGATTCAATATTCAGATTGCTGCCACGTGAAGCAAGAGATTGCTTGAGAAGGATGATATGCCCAGAACCAAAGAGAAGATCAACGTTGAATGATCTTCTTAGAGGTGGTGAGCAATTATTGAATCTTACAGATGGATTAGATCTCCATGGCGATTTATCTAGACCAGAATTTGGTAATGATGTCAAGCGAACAAATGATCTTGATATCAGCGATAAGTGGTTAAAGAGCATAGATAGCTGTGCAATTAAGCCTAGTTTGAATCATAGTCATACAGTTGTCGAAACTGTTGATAGCAAACCAAGGTAGATATAGATTTTCCTTTGTATATACATGTATTTTTACAACTTATTCAACCAACTTGTGCTCGGTAGGAATGTATTTTGCTGACTTTTTATTTGTTTTGAAATTTGCTCGTTAACTGAATTTGTTAGTAGATATAAACAAAGGAACTGGAAAACTCACAGCTACTGACGATCTGATTGACGTTTGTTTCAATGACTAAACCACCTTGAACGAATTGATCAATAAGTAAGTGTACTTTATCAAAATTAAATATCAAATCCAGTTCGCAAACTGACTCAAATAGTTTATCTAAACTCTCAACCAAAACGTGTATCAAATCCAAGCTAGCTAATAGACTTTCTTGTTGATTTATTAAAAGACAAAAGTATAAAGTAGCATAATTCCTATAAACTAGAGTATATTGACCTTGATTTATGAAATTACATACGTCCTTTCTATCTTTTATTAGATTATAAGATTCTTTAATTAATTCAGATTTATTTATTTTATCGTCATAATTTTTTATTATTCGGGGTTTGCCTTGTTGATTAAAAATTAAAATTGATTCTATCATCGTAAATTGTTATGATATCAACCAATACGTTTAGAAATTCAGTGAAGAAATTTTCATCAACTGTCTTACCTTTAATGATAGAAATAAACAATGAGGAATTATTAGAAGTACACGCTCAATCGTTAGCTAGTCAGTCATTCTTAGCTAGATCTGATCATTTCGTTATGGGTGATAAAATAAAAGTATTAGATTATGGTTGTGGTAGTGGTGTTGTTAGTGAATCATTACAATTCAATAGTAATTCTATACTAGGTGCGTTATCTCAACTACCTGTAATGCCAAATTTAAGTTAGATTGAAGGCGTTGATAAGAATGTCAATTTGGTAAAGGAATTTAATCAAAAATTCCAATCTAGAGGTGTACCAATTGATAAATTACAAGCTACAACTGAGATTCCAAAGACTTCAAAGTTTGATGTAATAGTCGTAAGTTCATTTGCCCCAAGGAGAAGACGATCTCATGTGAACCTCTAGTGCACACAATTACTACACAAAGTCAAAGATATTGATAGTGAGATTAACAAACTATCTAATCATCTAAACAAGGAAGGCGAATTACTCATAGTCGACTACTGTGATCAACCTTTCTCACATTCTGCAGTATTGAACTCTACATTCACAGGTGATCATATAGACCCACCTGAGAATAACGTACAACCTCACAGCTCTGCAATTCCTTCAAATATACTCCAATCAGCTATACATAAAGCTGGTTTGATAGATTACTCATATAGACCTGCATTTTTACTAGACTACAAACAAAATAAGATACCGTTCTTTATTGCAACGGGTGTAAAGAGTTGAGATACATTTTAATTATCATTACAATTTTATGTTTGCTTCGGTACACCATGTCCTCTTAATCTTCTATGACGAATTAGAGCATCCTTCCTTGAGAATGTACCACCACAACCACCTTTACCATCGCATTTCCATTCTTGAACAGCTATCAACTTCTCAGCTTTCTTTGGATCTTTTTCTGCTTCTTCTAATGCCTTCGCAAGACCAGGTATTGTTATTTGATCCATCGTAATTTCACCTTTCTTCACTAGTTGAGCTTCGTCTCTGGAATGTATAGTTTCCATATGTCTTGCAAGATCATACGGTCGATGAAAAAGTGTCCTACATCTATTGAATGGCTGTATGGGTGAAGTATAAGTACATCTTGTCAGACCTTGTGATGTCACTTCATATGGATATGGCATATGATCATTAGGTGGATGTATTTTACCAACTGATTCACTCTTCGAAGTTTGCTTCGCTGGTCCTCGCCTTCGTCTTTGTCTAGTTGGCTGTGACGTATAATTGTCGTCATCTTCTTCCTCTGATGACTGATAATTTGGTGACGTAGATGGTGAATAATGGTCGTTGTCATCTGGGGGAGTAATCTCTTTTGGTTGAGAGGGTGTTCGATGATGTGAATGTGAATGTGTTTCAGCATGAGCACGTTTATGGGTAGTAGTGGGTTGACCCTTCAAAGCATTGGCGTTGGCATTAGTGTTAGTGTTAGTGTTAACGTTCTTGTCTTTAGACGTCGATGGCTTGGATGGAGCGGTAGTTTTTGATCCTTTTATTGGGGCCTTCGGAGCTTCTGGCGCTATCGTAGCGGCTGGTCGCGGTTCTGTTGGCTGAATTGATGGTAAGTTGACTTCTTCGTCACTGGAACCGCTTGAAGAGTTAAAAGCACGAAGATCAGCTAGAAAGATTATTAGAATATTACGTAATGCAATGTAACATCATGACTCACGCTTCTGTTGAGTGATGTCCGTAGGTTGAAATAGAGGTTTGAAATTATCGTAGTTATCATAGTTATCGTTATTGTTAAAGTTAGCTAATGCAGCTGTCGCGGGGCTTGACGTATTTTTTGTAGTTTTTGGGAAATCTGAAGTCGTTTGGGCAGGTGTCCAATCTAAACTAACTTGTTGAGGTGAAACGGTCTGTAATTCATTCCAATTTTTGCTGAATAAGTTTGTCAGGTGATGTTGCGGCTGGAACTCATTTGACTGCTCGAGAGGTGACTTATCGAGATCTCCCAAGTTAGTAGGTGTGTCAGATTTTATAGACTTGCTGTTAACTTCTTTGTTGTCTCTAATACACCATAATGGATCGTCTATCAGCTGGAAATCGCTCTTGAGATCGTCTTCACCAGCATTATAGCTGAACTTTTCAAATTCATCTAATGGATTTATTGATGTCATATAAATATCGCCTATTTCTATTAAATTCTTGGCTAATTTTTGTTTTTAATTTTGATCGTTCAAGTTCAAGGGATGTGATGTCATTTTTTGGCTGATTAAATTACATAGCAAATTATTGTTCAGAGCCGATAAAGAATTGCAGAATGTTTTATATCTCTAACATTCGAATAAATACATTTGGTTAAAATATTTTCACTCAGTCTCACGGTATGTCAGCTGCTCTTCGGATCTAACTTCACTCTCTTCTATTATGACTTCGCACAGACGTAGACAAAGTTCCATAGATTTTCACTCAGCTCTAACTGCAGCTGCAGAGTGTAATCATATCGCCAACCTATCACCAATTATTGAAAAGTTCCCGAATGCAGTGACTGCAACACCTTCTAGGAAGATTTTATTCGGTTTTGATGGTCGAAAGGAATCAGAATACACTCTTAATTATATAAAATCCAAGTTACTTAGATCAGGTGATCAATTGTTCTTAGCAAATGTTCTTCCAATGCCAGATGAAGATGATGAAACACACGAAGCTAAACTATTGGAATTGAAAGCACATCGTGATCAAGTGCATCATGACTTACGCCAGATCTCTGAAGAACTCATAAACTCTGGTTTACATGTGAGTGAGAATTTTCATCTTGTCAGTTTCGTTAATGATGACACTCAACAGATAACAACAACTGTAGTCGTTTTGAATCATGCCAACGCAAAGATAGCGATATGTAGGATAGCTGATCACCATGCTGTTGATCTCATTGTCGTCGGTGGTCATGTTCGTCGTGGTGATACACAAACACCAGGTACATGCGCAAGCTATATTCTCAAACAAGCTCGAACTCCAGTTATGATCGTAAAGTCAAAATCTTAGTGTATTAATTTATTCGTTTGAACAGCTTAATTTAATGATGTTTGTAATTTCATTGCGAGATTTAGTAATTGTAATTCATCGTCTGCACCATCTGTCAAGGCTTTGTCAGCTTCTGCAATCGATAAGATAGCTTTGGATTTTGATGTATCTGATATACTCGTGTTTTCGATAAATTTATCGTGAAGCTTGAGCGCTATGTTAACTTCAAATATATTTGAAATATATTTACTTACTTGCAACAACACTTGCGCCGATGCATATCCAAACAAATGGATTTGCTTTATTGTTGATTGTATTTCTTTGAAATTCTTCTTGTTTGAGCATACTTGGATAATGTTATCGATGATATTTTCAGGTATAGTTCCTGCTATCTCAGTGATAGTATCAACAGTGATGGCGGAATTTGATGCTTGATGCAACCTTGCTGCTGATTGCAGGTATGTGATAGCTTGTCTAAGATCACCATGTGTATTATCAATCAAAGCGTCAATTACACCTTCATTGAGAGGTATGTTTTCTTCTTGTGCTATATATTCTAATCTAGCCTTGCTGTCAGATTCATCTAGAGGCTTGAAACGGAATTTTGAACAACGTGAAGCGACTGGTTCTATAATCCTTGAATGTTTTGTTAATGTAAATCGCGTATGACCAGATAGACGCACCTAGTTACGTAATTACAGACTAGACAGAAACGAGTGGATTTTGAATAAGTCTCCATGGTACGTCTAAGTGCAGATTGAGCATCCTGTGTCATAGAATCTGCTTCATCGAGGATGATAATCTTATAGGCTGGTACGCTAGCAGAAGTTGAAGCTTTTGGCGCTTGCTTTGCGAAATTCTTGATTTTTTCTCTAACGACGTTTATACCACGCTCATCCGACGCGTTAAGCTCGAGTACACGGCTCTTTACGAGGTCTTGGCTGATCTATGGTCAGTTTATCAACGATTTGACTCTATAACTAACCCGAATAGTTGTCTGGAAAGTGCCAAAATGGTAGACGTCTTACCTGTACCAGGTGGACCATAGAAAAGCATATGTGGTAGCTAATGTCATATTCAATGCTAGTATAGTCATATACAGGATACCCACGTTAGCATTTCCTAATTGCTTCTTTAATACGCGTATAGTGTGATCCTGTGCAGCCACATCCTCAATCGTACGCGGTCTGTACTTCTCGACCCAGGGCTTTATACTTTCTGAGCTCATCGATCTTCGTTGTTCCGGTACAACGAAGAGATAGCGGAAAATAATTCTATGAGTTATTTGAGGTCTGCTACTGTATGTTTATAACAATTTAATATCTCTCTTCATCCCTTACATTCATCACAGAGAAATCTACACACTACGATAAAAAGAGAAATGCCACCAGTAAATAAACCAAGCGAAGGACTCTACGATATCGTCGTTATCGGCGGTGGTTCAGGTGGTTTGGGTGCTGCCGTATGTTTGATTTACTAAGCACGATTTGGTTAGTCATCTAACGGTCGCTATACAGAGAAGATCAGCCCAATATGGTGCAAAAGCTGCTATCATTGAAGCTCAACCAAAGCTTGGTGGTACTTGCGTCAACGTTGGTTGCGTACCAAAAAAGGTAGCAAAAGATTACGTAATATATAGCACATCTGACTCAAGTATTATAGATTATGTGGCATGCAGCAGATCTTGCTCATCATATCAACCACGCACGTTATTATGAACTCTCTAAGGATGTCTCCGATGCGTATACGCCACACAAGCCAAGATTTAACTGGGCAGATTTCAAGAAGAAGCGTGACGCTTATATCGAACGTTTGAACGGTATTTACGATAGAAACGTTGCAAAAGATGGTGTCGAATATCACCACGGTTGGGGTTCAATCTCAAACAAAGATGGTACCTCAGTTAAAGTCGCAAGAGATGATGGAACTACCTACGAAATCCCAACTAAGAATGTTGTTGTTGCAGTTGGTGGTCGTCCTCGTATTCCTACCGAAATTCCAGGTGCTGAATTAGGTATCACATCAGATGGTTTCTTTGACTTAGAGGAGCAACCACGCAGAGTCGCAGTTGTTGGTGCTGGATACATCGCTATTGAACTGGCGGGTATTTTCAACTCATTGGGTTCAGAAACTAGTTTACTCATCAGACAAGATAAAGTATTGAGAAATTTCGACACTATCATTCAAGATACTGTCACCAACGAGGCTGAACGTCAAGGAGTCGACATCAAGAAACACACGAACGTAACTAAAGTAGAGAAGACAAGTGATGGTTTATTAGTCCACCTTGACAACGGTGAACCACTGACTGTTGACTGCTTGTTATGGGCTGTTGGCAGAGTACCAGAAACTGAAGGTGCAGGTGCCAAGATAGCAGGAATCCAAACTGACGAAAGAGATCACATCAAGGTTGACAAATATCAAGCTGCTCAATTGGCTGATAACAAGTACTCAAAGAACATATATGCAATTGGTGATGTTCAAGGTAAAGCTGAGTTGACCCCAGTTGCTCTTGCCGCTGGTAGAAGACTCGGTAACAGATTATATGGACCATCACAATTTAAAGACGACCACCTCGATTACAACACTATTCCATCTGTTATCTTCTCACATCCACCTGCTGGTTCTGTCGGATTAAGTGAGACTGACGCAAGAAAGCAATTTGGTGACGATGTTAAGATTTACACATCTAAATTTAGTGAGTATTACATACATCTCATTTTAATTAAACTAACATTTCACCTAAAGCTAACATGTACAATTCAATGTTCCCACAGGAGGAGAAAGAACCAAGCGCTTTCAAGCTCATCGTTGTAGGTGAAAATGAGAAAGTTGTCGGTTTACACCTCGTTGGACAAGGCTCAGATGAAATGTTGCAAGGATTTGCCGTTGCTATCAAGATGGGCGCTACTAAGAAGGACTTTGACAACACGGTAGCTATTCACCCAACTGCAGCTGAGGAAGTTGTTACTATGACTTAAAATATAGATATTTAGATTTATTTTTCTTGATTGATTTATTTGTTGTTGATTTTGTCCGTAAGCTTTATACCTCCCTAATGCGTTTTGGTTTTACTATTGGAAACTATACCGACAATTAGGGGAAGGCTCGAAAATTATAGCATTACGTCGATTGTTTTCTTTCCTTTACTGTTATGAAACATCCTCTGATATCATTTTTACTTAAAATCAAATCAAAATGATTGGATGCCAATTAAAGTTGCAAATATAGATAAGAAATATATATATTTGTAGCCAAAGCTTCTTGTAGTTTATCTATGAAGGTATAAATAATAAATTACTCGTCAAAATCTTCTTCTAATTATCAAGTGTGATGTAATTTTGAGTACTTGAGCAGTCACCTTCACTTTTGAATACAAAACTTCCAATGAATGGGTTGTCGAACGGAATGTCGACAGAACTACCCGTTTATGATGAAGGTTTAGCTTTGTCTATAATGAACGCACTCTCCGATAACAAGTCTTTGAAAAACGAGGATGATCAGGGATCTGAATGCAGTTCACAGTATTGTGATGATGAACAACATCAGGTAGACGTCGTATGTGACGATGATAACTGTGTAGAACCTGTATGTGAATCCGAAGAACAATTTCAATCGTTTGTAAGTCTCAGATTGTTCACATTTTTGCAAGATACTAACGAAGCGAAGTTGGAGAATTGTTGCAATAATATAGAATTCCATACAAATAATCACCAGCCATTAGATATCCCGCAGACTACTCAGCAGCCTCAAACTGCACCGCTGATAAAGTGCGAATGGGCAGGTTGTCATGCTAACTTTGGCAATATGAACGATCTCATACAACATGTCCATCAGTCTCATTTAAATTTCGTTAACATTGACTGTAAATGGGGTGGAGGTGATTGTCATGTTGGACCACCGTCTACATCCACAAATACGCAAACAGATGCAAATGCCGTACTTAAGCATGTTTTGCAAGATCATTTACACATGGAAGATAATCCTTTGGCGTTTAAGAAGCCAACGGAAAATTTTTTCAATGGTGATTTATTTAGTACTGATTTCAGCGGTATGGACGACACCTCAATAGCGACAGCACACCACGACAATCCTGAACTCAATCCTTATGCTCATCATTTACATGCTACTGCATTTCCTCATTTGCATCCACCATCCATATGTCCTGCTGCGACATCTATATCACCAACACCAAAGAAGCATCCACATCCACCTAAACCACATCATCATCATCATTATCATACGCCCCATTATCACCATCATCCATACCCAAGACCTCGATCTTCAAGTATGCAAGGACCACCGTATAAATGTGGTTGGGATAATTGCAAGCATGCTGACACAGAATTTGAGACGACGGAAGCGCTCATGAATCATCTATCAAATGAGCATGTTGGCAGCGGTAAAGCTGAATACGCTTGTTTCTGGAAAGGTTGTGATAGGAATTCTTCTAATTGTAATGGTAGGGTATTTAGTAGTAGGCAGAAGATTATGAGGCATCTCCAATCACATACAGGTCACCGACCGTTCGAATGTCCTGTTTGTCATCGTTTCTTTAGTGAAGCTGCAACACTCCAGCAGCACATGCGCAAGCATACAAGGTAGGTCTTCTTTTTCTTCTTCTCCATAATTTTTGCTTAAACTCGTTAGGGAAAAGCCTTACGTTTGTGACTACGAAGGATGCGGGAAGGCATTTGCAATAGCCGGTGCATTGACGATACACAAGAGAACGCATACGAATGAAAGACCATTCAAATGCACATACTGTGACAGAGCATTCTCAGAGTCCTCGAATTTGAAAAAACATCTCAGGACTCACACTGGTGATAGACCATTTGAATGCCCGCATCCATATTGTGATAAGAAATTCGCAAGACCAGATCAAGTTACTAGGCATCTCAACGTACATTACAAACAAGAGACTAATAAAGCATTGAGGAATCCCTCCCCGTCAACCTCATCTTCAACTTAGACCAACTGTACAATTAATATGATTGATGTATGAAAAAGGTAGATTTATACAAAACTAATTGAGCATAAAAAATAATAACATATCGTTTACGGGTGTCTTCCAATGTGTCTTACGTAGATAAAAACATATCCGCGCGAGCTCTGTTGATGGTGTTAAATAAGACATATGATAAAGGAATAGGACGCACCTTTGGTCCTCATATTTGAAAGCTGCTATTCCTACTATAATTCCGCAAGCGAAGAACCCTACACTTTGGAGTCTATCTTAAAGTTAGCGGAAATCAAGACAATAACAATCATCTCACAGCCAAATGAAACCCCAACCTGGACTCATGTTAGTAGAATACTACGCGATAGACAAGGACAAACCTCGAGAAGGGATACACTTGAAAGCGTATGACATCTGGACAGCATCGCTGCTTGCTACTTTTCTTATCAGGCTTGAAGAGCTTGAGCGTAAAGTAAGGAAATTGATTGCACTCACGTATCGTCTATAATATCCCAGATAGAATACTATCGCTTTGTAAGCTATTGGACACCACCATTAGTTAGACTTACTAAACAGCTCATTACACCGATGAACAATATAACATAACGCTTAAAAGCTTCTTGAGTGTCGTCTTAAGCATGAGAGCCTCACTTACGAGGTATATACCATGACTAAGTTTATCCTGTTAGAATCTTTATTGAATGGAAATTGAAACATACTTTATGAACCAAAACGCTACAAGTAGCGCTGAGAAGATGATAATCAAGAGATAGCCTTGTAAACGTCAGCTGTGTAATTCTGTCATTCCTCTACTTACACAGCCAATCCTGTTATCAGGTCGGATGAGAAAGATCTTTTAGTAAGATATTTTTACATACCCTCCTGGCCCAGTAAATACAGATCAAAAAGGAAGCTGCAATAACAAAGCAGGCTATTTTAGATGCGAATGAATCGAATCCGACTGCGATAAAAATAGCACCGACTTATGTGCCTGGTTAGATATCGTAGTAGATATTCATAGCACCTACTTAAACTGCTTCCTAAATACCCAGCTGGTAATGATATAAACGACCAACCACCCCTCATTCGCGTTTCTCCTCCTTCGTGTGGATCTAATCGTATACTTTCAATCTTGGCGCCAGTTAACTTGCCTGCAAGTGCATGACTGAACTCGTGAAATCCGACAGTGAGTAATTTGAATGGATATATCAACCACCTCTATATTTTTGTGAGTTTTGATAAGAATCACAAACGCGAGACTGACCAAGAATGGAACGTGCCAGAGTATACCAATAACAACAGCGTATACACAAGCGACGATCAACGTCTCTTTCCTGTATGACGTCGTCAACTCCTGTGTTCTTTTCCTTGGAGTAGGGTAACTTACTGCGTACTATTCACGCTTAGACTGGAGTCCTGCGGAGATTTTTGTGAGTTTATCAATACCATGCAACAATATACACACCCTTCTATACAAATGTGGCTCTGTTGGGAGAAACATGATCGTCGACTTAGAAAGTCATTCAACGGCTCAGAATATCAAACGCCCGGAGAAATAAAAATTTATAAAGTTACATTTTAATATAATTTAATAATGATCTACTAGGCTTGTATTTACACTCTCTTAATTCTTCTAAAGCTATTTTGTATCGCGAATCACCGAGGCTGTAACAGCGACGGATGAGAGTTTCATAAACTGATTGAGGCGGTATATATCCTGCACCTTTCATTTCTTCCAAATAGAAGAAGGCGTCTTCGTATGCCGTTTGAGTTAAACAAAGGACTATCAATCTCTCAAATGTTCTAGCGTCCGGTTGTACATTTTGCTTTTTCATCATTGTGAGAAGTTTATCACCCAGACTTCTATTAGAACCATCTATACATCCAGATAGTAAAATATTGTATGTTTCAGTTGAAGGTTTGACCTTGAATTGGTCAATTTCTTGGAATGTGGATAACGCTCTGTGCATATCGCCTAATTTTACACATGCTGAAATGATAACGTTCACAGCTGATACATCCATCGCTTCACCTTGTTTGTTAAGATCATGCAGCAAGTAATAAGCTTCGTCAACGTTATCGATTGATTTACTAATATTGTCTAGTATTGGCTGAGCAGTTTCGAGCTGCGGTTGGATTTTGTTTTGTCTCATTATGCCGAGTATTGGGAATGCTTCTTTGAGGTTGCCGGTGGCTGCATACGCTTGTATGACAGGTGCTAGATGATGTTCTTGCAAAGGAATATGCTGAGATTTAAGTGAGGAGATAACCCAAGTTGCTAATTGAGGGTTCGGCTGTCTAGCACAGGCGTTCAAAACCAATAAGCAAGTGCCTTCGTCGACTGCTGAGCTATTTTCGCTGACGACAATAGTCCATGCGTGCTCAATACCAGGCATGTAATGGTAATAAGCGCATGACCGCAGAATAGTCATCCAGGTATCGACTGTTAAGCTTCTAGGCGAGGATGCTTCAAATTCGAATGCGATTTCGAATGCCAACCTTGGTGAAGCTGATTGTGCAGCTAAAGTGACTATTTTCCCAATAGATTCGTATGATGGCTGCACTTCCTCACTATATTCCTGCAATACTTTGAGAGAACCCTCGAGTGATTTCTTGCGGGTGTTGAGTGCGACTAATTCATCAAGAATACGTGAACTAATGTTAAAACCTGATTGACGCATCTTTTCCAATAAAGAGCTAACGAGGGAAGTCTTCTGATTTGAAGTGATAGCAGTCTGTTAGGAATGTATAAGTTGTGCTATTTGATTGGTCAGACTGTACTTACGCTTATAAGTTGATTCCAGTGTTCATTAGTTGGATTGTTTATCTCAGAGAAGAGTGCTCTTGATTCGTTAAAGAGTTTCTCTTTGTAGCAGAGTTTGAGTAGGTGGGAATACGTATCGTTATCTGGTTCTCCACTTAGGCTAGCACATTCTTTTAACGCTCTAGCAAATCCAGCCTTTCTCGTCTCAAAATGCGCTAGCTTCGAGTTCAGCTGCTGGAGAGAAGACAGTCTACTCATGGCTGTAGGGATGAGAGAGGAAACATAAATAAATTAGATTACAACTTGTTATTATCAAGTAATTCCTTCAATGCAGGTTTGGATTCTATGGATTTCTACGTTATACAGTCAGATCATGTCTTCTTTGTTACGATAAACCCACCTCCAAACATTCAGAGTACTTCTTGAACAAACCACCGCAATTCTTCTCGTATGTTTCTGTACTCTGCTCTATTCTCTGTTGTGAATAGTGCTCTAAATACTTGTCAAACCATTGATTGAAGCAACGCTATCGGATGGTTAGATAATTAAGAGACTAGATAACAGACCGACATCATATGCATTCTTGAAATCGTTACAGCTGCTATCTAAGCTCGCACTTTTCCCGAATTCACTCTCACTCGTCATTGTACAGTCGAAAGCCACCTTACTCCCATACTTTCATGTCATTCAGCAATCTAAAATCTCTGATAAAGACATTAAGGCAGCAGAAAGTGAGTCGTTAGCTATTTTATTAGTTATATACCTTAACACCGCTTCATAGACACTTGCGGATGAGAGATCTCTCATCCAGCGTGAATCAGCAGCCATACGTACTGCATTTAGGGAGGAGGATCACTTCATGCGACATGCCAACGTTGCTAAATTGATTTATATCCATATGCTCGGATACCCGGCTCACTTTGGTCAGATTGAATGCTTAAAACTAGCAGCGAGCTCAAAATTCTCCGATAAAAGACTTGGTTATTTGGGAATTATGTTGTTACTTGATGAATCACAAGAAGTTCTCACTTTAGTCACTAACAGTCTCAAAAACGACATGAATCATCCAAATATGTACGTCGTCGGTCTGGCTTTGGCGACATTCGCGAATATTTCATCAGAAGAAATGGCAAGAGATTTAGCGCAAGAGGTTGAGAAATTGCTATCATCTAATAACTCTTACATACGCAAGAAGGCGGCGTTATGTGCTATGCGCACTGTTAGAAAGTTACCTGAACTTCATACTTATTATATCAACCCTGCAAAATCCCTTCTCAGCGATCGCAATCATGGTGTACTTCTCTGTGCCGTCACGCTGGTCACACATATAGCTCTCGCTGAACCATCAACTCAAACTGAATTGAAGAAGGCCATACCATTGCTTATCAGAAACCTAAAAACCCTTATCACTCAGGGTTATAGTCCCGAACATGATGTTTCTGGTATAACCGACCCTTTCCTTCAGATAAAAATACTCCAATTACTCCGATTACTTTGCATCAACGATGCGGAATCATCTGAAATGGTCAATGATATTCTTGCACAAGTCGCGACAAACACTGATAATAGCAAAAATGTTGGAAACTCCATCCTTTATGAGGCTGTTCTTACTATATTAGATATTGAAGCTGAATCTGGTCTGAGGGTTATGGCTATTAACATCCTTGGTAAATTCTTAGGAAACAAAGACAACAATATTCGCTATGTGGCTCTCAACACACTTAACAAGGTTGTTGGTATGGACACACAAGCTGTACAGCGACACAGGAACATTATAATAGATTGTTTACGTGATGGTGACGTATCTATACGTAGACGTGCGTTGGAGCTGTCTTACGCACTTATTAATCAATCTAATGTCAAGGTGCTTACGCGTGAATTGCTATCATTTTTGGAAGTATCCGATAATGAATTCAAGAATGGCTTGACCGCTCAGATATCATTTGCTGCTGAGAGGTTCGCACCAAACAAGCGTTGGCATATCGACACCATCCTCCGTATGTTGAAAGTGGTGAGTTAATGCTATTATCAACTTGTTTGTTTTCTAACACCTAATGAAGGCTGGGAACTACGTTCGTGAGGAAGTCCTTTCTGCATTCATCAGACTGGTTTCACATACTCCTGAATTACAAGCATACACTGTACAAAAGCTCTACTCTAGCCTCCTAAAAGATGTCTCACAGGAGGCACTAACGTTGGCTGGTGTTTGGATGATAGGTGAATTTGGTGAAGTCCTCCTCGCTAATAGCAGCTTTGAGGATGAGGATAGAGTCGTCGATGTATCCGAAAAAAGCATAGTTGATTTACTTGAATCAATAAACGTATCTCCTTACGCTAGCACAATCATTCGTCAATACGTTCTAGTCGCCGCTGCTAAACTATCTATGAGATTTGGCAAGTCATTTAGCGAATCGCAAGATAAATTACGCACATTGATAACGATGTATGAAACATCGCCTGAATTGGAATTACAACAACGCTCTATTGAGTTCACACAATTGCTAGGCATGCCTACACTTGTTGATGGTGTTTTAGAGAGGATGCCTCCTCCAGAAATTCGCACATCTATGCTTGGCGGTACAGCATCAGAGTCTAAGCCAGTCGGTAGTACGAGATCAGCTGCTCAGGACTCCTCACTTGTTGACATTATGGGTGAAGATGCCGGTGGAGCAGCCAGTGTGCCAAGTGCGGGTGTTACAGGCAACGCGCATGATTTGTTAGCTGATATATTCGGCACGGGATCACCGGCACCAGAAACAGCAGCGGGAGCACAATCACAAAAGTCATCGGTGAATGATATAATGGGTCTATTTGGCCAGCAAACTCAACAGCCAGAGCAGAGTGCTACTGGAGAAGTCAACCCAATAGAACCAACAGGATATACTGCTTACGACGCGAATGGATTACTGATCGTATTGACGCCATCAGTAGACACCAGCAAAGGCAATATCGTCAACATAAAGGCCACGTTCACTTGTACGGGATTAGTAGAGTGTGAGAATGTGAGCTTCCAAGCGGCAGTGCCGAAATCAATGAAATTGCAAATGCAACCTATATCAAACTCAACCGTCTCACCTGCGAAAGGGGAACAGCAACTTATGCGTGTTATGGCACAGCCGGGATCTCACGTTCGATTGAGACTAAGAATCAGTTTCACAGTTTCCGGCCGACAAGTACAGAATCAAGTAGACTTTTCAGAATTTCCGTCTAATTTGTTATAAGATTTTTTAAATTTGATCGAATATACCTTATTACTTTGTGCCTTCCTGCCAGCTCAGCCCACGATGTCCGCAGAAGAGAAGGCGGATAGTGCGCTAAGAAAGCGCACAAATGATAAGGAAATAAAAGAAACATTTGACGTAAATGCTGATCAAATTATGGGGAAGACACCCGATGGGACGCTTTTCAATGTTCCTCCGACGTCAGACGTAATTTCCTCGTTATTTCATCCGAAATATCCTAAAACACACGTTGATATCGTTACTTTGACTATTTTGGGTCTCCATGTATTTGGTTTCTTCGTTTTACCCTTTGAAGTTAGCCAGAAGCTCTACCTCGGACTTTTTATGTTCTGGCGATTGGCATACAATGTCGGATTAGGTATTGTACTCTCAAAACAATCAAAGCACCACTTTATCGTCAATTGGGTTAAGAAAAACGGTTTCTTGGACGCAAACAAACGTCCAAAAGTAAGAACATGGGTGGAGAATCAAATAAAGACTAAAATGGGTCCTGAGTATAAGTTTGATGAATGTCCTGTTGAGTTCAATACCTGGATATTCTTCAGACATGCAGTCGACATCATTCTCCTTTCTGATTTCGTCGCTTATTGTTGTTTTGCGTGGTCACACTGCCGACTTCCAGATGGACATGGTGTGTTTTGGCACGCTCTACGCTGGTTTGCGGGTTGGACAATGATCCTTTTCAACTTGTGGGTCAAGATGGATGCACACAGGGTCATTCATGACTACGCCTGGTATTGGGGTGATGTATTCTTCCAACAAATCCAGTCACTCAAGTTTGACGGTGTATTTGAACTCGCACCTCACCCAATGTATTCAATTGGATATGCTGGCTTTTATGGTCTCTCCTTGGTTGTTGGTAGCTACACAGTATTGTTCGGTTCGTTGCTCGCCCATGCTCTCCAATTTGGATTCCTACTCGCATTCGAAAATCCCCACATTGAGCGTACGTACGGCCAGAAGAAACCGCTCGCAGCCCGTGTACCTCTACCCCTCCCTGAGGATGTTCCAGATGAAGATAGCCACAGCAATGACGAACTTGAGGATATAGCAGCAAAGAGAAAGTCATCAAGTGCGTCAATTAACCGCGTAGAAGGCTACCCAAATGCTCCTAGCAACCTCCATGACCTCGAGCATAGGTACTTCAGCAGAGATCTCATCATTTTCAAGAACTTCGATATATTCCGCTCGAATGACTTTTCAACCGCTTTGTTAGTCTTTTATGCGATAGTTGCAAGCTTCTTGCCAAATTTCAAACCTACTACTAGCTTAGTGTTGCATGTCTTACATGCAGCTGCCTGGCGTATTTTTCACTCGTTCGCACTAGGATGTTTACTCAAAGCACAAAGTGAAAATAAGTACCTCGTCAAGCATTATCTTAAGTATTACGCCCATGTACATGCAGATGACGCCAAAAGGAGTGCATTCGATGCCTGGAAGAGAGTCTATAACCTCTCGCTCGTCATGGTTTATGTGTCTTTCGTCGGACTTGCTTACAAAACCTACGATTTACCTGTACAGTGGACAGTCGGCACTGAGCTGCTCAAACATACTGTCGGCGCTCTCTTGATTGCATTACAAGTATGGTGCGCACTCGAATCACACGAGGTTTTGGGTAATTTCGGTTGGTTTTTTGGTAACTTCTTCCTCGAAGACTACCCATCAAGGTTGGAATACACTGGTATTTACAGATACGTCAATGATCCGGAAAGATCTATGGGCGGTGCTGCTTTATTTGGTATCGCACTCATCAGTGGATCTCCAATTACATTCGCAGTTGCTGTATTTAGTTATATTCTCCACTGGTGGTTCTTATCCTTCGTTGAGAATCCACACACACAAAAGCTCTATGGCAAGGCGGTCAGGAAGACCGGCGGTGCTGCTAGGACCATAAAAAATGCGGTCAAGAGTGGTAGAAGAAGATCGAGCTTGTTTAATGCCGCTACTGAGAACAAGATTGATAAAGTCGCGAAAGATGTTCAAGGCCACGTCAATAAAGTTTATGACGAGACTGTTGACGTCGTTGAGGAATTTATCAAGAATGCAAAACCTTCAGTTAACAAGGTTGTCCAAGATACACGTGTTCTTCTTCATCAATCCAGAGAGAAGCTCGTCATCACGTAAGTGGGGTATTATAGAAATAACCCAAAGCTAACAATCACAGTCGCGTTGATAAAGATCTTTCTGCTTATGATTTGTCAAAATACTCCATTAATCTTAAGCCTTCTATTTCGCCACGCCAACCTATGTCTTACCATCTTGTGGGTATCTCTTCTTGAAATGAAAAGCAGCTTACATTTTCATCAACAGGGTGAATCAATCCAAGTTGAATGGACTGCTCCAGTCAATCACTCCCGTAAAGATTGGATAGGAGTGAGTTATGATTTGTCCTCAGATGTGACCATCTAACAATATCATAGGTATACCGCGTTGGTGCGAACAAAGACCATCTAGTTACTAGAATCTCCTCACAAGGAAAATGGCAAGCAATTCATGAGGAAGAATTCGATGGCGCACGTCCAGTACCTGAGAGACCACATGTTGAAAATGCCAGTGGCTCATCTAGCCAAGATCTCCAGAAGGGGATAGTAACATTCCGTTCAAACAGCCTTCCGTGGAATGTTGGTAGATATGAATTCAGATATCACCATGCTGGTAAACACAATGTTATGGCATCTTGTGGACCTATCGAAATATTTGTCGATAAGCCAACAGATCCTGATGGATTCGAACCCGTTAGGAACAACCTTAGCAGATCAGTTGCATTTGCACTCGACTGCGAGCCAACACTGGTACCTTCCGCCAGTTGGCATCATCTTCCCGAGGATACACCCTTGGATGAAGCGCGTAAAATGCAGGATGAAGATGATATGGTCATCATGAATGATACGCAAGCTAAACGTATAGCTTTGGCTATAAAAGAAGCTCATGACGTTGATTTCACACCTGCTGTTATCATAGCTGATGCGAACCTATCAAGACTGACCCAGAGGGTGCTAGATACCCGGAGAGTGCTGGGCATAGTAGAACATCGTACTCCTGCGGTGACAGACGGGTAGAGAAGATGATAGAGTGCTTCAATTCGGTCAATTTTAAAGTGATTTTCTATATGGAATAACTTGAATAAATAAATTACAAATGGATCTATAACAACCTCCTTCTTGATGCTGTGCGTTGGTAAGGGCGAAGAACCCATTCTGTGTCTGCAGCTGTGTTTTCGATTGTCCCTTGTTTGATTTCGTAGGGCTTTAACTCAAATCTAGGACCGACTTCAGCGAGTTGCACTTCTTTATGTGAGGTTTTAACGTATACGTGGTGTCTATCGATTGTTAGCAAAAGTATCTATGTACTAAATAGCAGCTTACCTAAACGAAATGAAATCAGCGTCATTATAGAAAGTCATAACTCTTTTACTATCCTCCTTTGGTACAGGGAAGAGGTACTTGAGGGTGTTCATGATTCTGTTACCCAATTTGGATGAGAAGTTCTCAAAGATCAAGTGAGGGTATTGTTCAGAAACGGTACTATCTAAGCTACCAGCGAGATCGTGCCTCAATTGTACATTGTTAAGAGTGAAAGTGACGGTAGGTCCATGTGGAAAGTGTGATAATAGTAAAGCATCTGGTTTACCTCTGGTTTCATGTATGATGATTAAATCAGTAACTTGGTTGGCTCTAGCGGCGTCTGCGATTTCCTTAACGACGTAGTTACCTCTGTTGAATCTAATAGAATTTGGGAAAACGAGACGCAATTCTTTTGCAAAAGTAGTTAATCGAGAAGACGGATCTCTAGCGGTAGTGATGAGAATCTTTGGATCGTAAGTACCAACTCTATTATATTCATCGTCTAAAGACTGCGTTGGATCAGACTGTGCTTCATCGTATCTCAACTCTTGTCCTAGCTCTGCTGCATCTTTTTGTAGCTCAGTTGGTAAGTTCTTTTGATTGTTTAGAGAATTTTTTAGTTTTTGCTTGCGTTCGTAGGACTCTTTCTCTTGAGCTTCAATAGATTTTTTATAGATGAATTCCCTTCTCTGTCTGGCTTGTCTACGTAACATATCGTTAGAGTCGAAGGATTGAAATGGGAGAAGTTTATTTGGGAACGAGAGTTAAATTAATTGAAGAAATAGTTGGAGATGCTAGCAAAGGGATTGATTTAAATTTACAAGTTAATAAAATAAAAGATTGTTTAGATAAAACAACGCAATCTGTAAGATCTATTGGCGTGTTTCTAGATGGATGTTAGTGGCGTTATTACTAGACTAAAACACTAATTAGAGTAGATGACTATAATAAATACCTTTTAAATATCAACGACTATAGCAACAGCCTATCAATCAAGGACAAACTAACTTTTATACAGGAATATGAAGAAGATCTAGAGATATTAGATAACAATCTCAGAAAGATAGAACTATTACACAACAATGACGCAGACGGTACAACCAACTTGGACAGCGTGTTAAGTTTGACTACGACGATAGAAGATATAAAAACAAACCTCCGTAATCTAAATAACGATCTAATACAACAAGAAAAGCGTTTCTACAACCTATTAATACGTTATAACAACCAAGTAGATAGTATATCAACCACGTTTATTGACATACACCATCAACTATTAAATTTAGAATTAAATTTGACTAAATTGTAAATTATCTATTATATACCCCTTGATTAGCTACCATCGAAATGGAATCCCCTCAGCTAAAACGAAAAAGGTAGATACTCTACTAATCTAGCTATATATTCTCACATTTATTAGATCTAACAGTCCACCACGTGTAGATGTTAATCAAGAACTCTCCACTTTGGGTTTAAACAGACCAGGCGGTAGATACATCCCTAGACCTGTCTTGAAGGCCTTGTTAGAGAGCCAGTCAGCTAATGATTCATCATCAGCTGATGTACAAAGGTATATCTAAGCTATTCATACACACTCGTACTGACAACGAGTAGATTGAAGTGGGATCAGTTGAGAAAATCAATCAACGGTTTAATCAACAAAGTAAATACTGCGAATATAAAGATTATAACTCCACAATTATTCCAAGAGAACTTGATCAGAGCTAGAGGTTTATTCGCGAGGTCTGTTATGAGAGCACAAGCTGCTTCCTTACCTTTCACTCCCATTTTTGCTGCTTTGGTTGCAATTATAAACTCAAAACTACCACAAGTTGGTGAATTACTCGTGAACCGTTTAATCAATCAGTTTAGAAAGTCTTATAAGCGTAATGATAAATCAACTTGCAACGCTACAGTTATGTTCATCGCTCATTTAGTAAATCAATCAATAATCTCTGATGTTTTTGCACTCGAATTAGCCCTTTTCCTTCTCTCAAAAGGCGGTGATGATGGCGTTGAAATCGCAGTACAATACATTAAAGAAGTTGGTGCCGCTCTTCAAGAACGTGAACCTAGTATGAATAACCTCATCTACGAAGAATTTAGGAATCTCTTACATGATGCTGACATCTCCAAACGTGTACAGTACATGATTGAAGTTTTATTCCAAATACGTAAAGATAAATTCAAAGATAACCCAATTATACCAGAAGAATTAGACTTAGTTGAACAAGATGAACAAATCGTTCATGACTTTGACTTTAACGCTCCTGTTAATACCGAAGATGGTCTTAACATCTTCAAATTTGATCCAGCCTATGAAGAGAATGAAGAGAAATACAAATCTATTCGATATCAAATTCTCGGTAGCTCGGATGACGAAGATGAAGAGGAAGAAGAAGACGAAGAGGATGCTGATGATGAACAAGACGACGCCGTCCAGCCTGCTGGCCAAGATGGTATTATAGATAAAACCTCAACTAATCTCGTTAATTTACGTCGTACGATCTATCTTACCATTATGAACTCACTTGTCTTCGACGAAGCAGTACATAAGCTCATGCGCATTCAAATCCCACCTGGTGATGAAATTGAATTGTGTAATATGGTAGTCGAATGTTGCTCACAAGAAAGGACGTATAACAAATTTTACGGATTAATCGGTGAGAGATTCTCAAAATTAAACAAATTATGGCAAGAATGCTTCCAGAGATGTTTTCAAGGATTTTATGAAACTATTCACAGATATGAAACCAACAGATTGAGAAATATTGCAAGATTTTTCGGTCATTTGTTCGCATCAGATGGAATCAGCTGGAGTGTTCTTAATGTCGTGAAGATGACACAAGAGGATACGACATCATCATCTAGAATTTTCATCAAAATCTTATTCACTGATATTGTCGAAATGATGGGATTAAAGGCAGCCAAAGAGAGATTCGCCGATCCGTCACTCAGGGATGACTTTAAGGGTTTATTCCCGATGGATCACCCTGCAAACACAAGGTTTTCAATCAACTACTTTACTGCTATTGGATTGGGTGCTATTACGGAAGATATGCGTGAATATCTTAAGACGGCTCCTAAAATTATGCCACAACAGCCTGCTGATGAAAGTAGCGATAGTGATTCAAGTTCAGTCTTGAGTTCATCTTCTTCGGATGTCTCCTCTATTTCAAGATCATCAAGAGCTAGATCGTTGAGCAGATCACCAGTAAGGAGAAGTCCACCAAGGAGGAATTATCGTAGATCTAGATCTACTTCTTCTACACCACCAAGAAGGAGACTTAGTCGTTCACCTTCTCCACCTCGTCAGCGTTACGACTCGAGATCTCCACCACCACGTAGACCTTCACCTACATCTAGAAGAGGTGCACCAAGGGATGGTTACAATAGGTCTCCACCAGGGAGACGCTATGACGATTCACCACCACCTAGAAGACGTTACGATGACTCACCTCCTAGAAGACGTTATGATGATTCACCACCTAGAAGACGCTATGATGATTCACCACCTAGAAGACGCTATGATGATTCACCACCTAGAAGACGCTATGATGATTCACCACCTAGAAGACGCTACGACGATTCCCCACCTAGAAGACGTTATGATGACTCTCCACCAAGGAGAGATGATAACAGACGTCGTCGCGATGACAGCCCACCAAGGAGATCATACCGTGATATTTCAATTTCGCCTCCAAGAAGGTAAAACAAAAGTTGCTAAGTTAACAATATTTATACATTCAAATTGCTTTACAAATATCGGTAATTATGTCTGACGCATTGTGACGTAGATAATGACTTGAAGTATGTGCTTTCGACTTTCTAATCGTGGTCACTGTGTGAATAATTCGCAGCATGTTGACATGATTATTTCTCTGAAATTTTTCACAACTAGATAAATAGCTTACACGTAAGAAATCAAACAATGAAAAATAAATAATTAAAGATTAATAGACATCAAAATATCTCGTTCACTTTTTAAGCCATTCTGAGAAAGTGAGCAAGCCTGGGAACTCTTCGCGATTTTTGGCGATGTTTGCCTCATAGCCATGGTCTCGGAACCAGTAGAACATTTTCTTAAAGTCATGTGGAAGCACGGAGAGTATAAATGTAGGTAAGTAAACTTTCCAAGCGGAACTACCATGGGCTACTTTGTAAGCATCTTGAATCTGCGCGGTTGTGAGTTCGTCACCAGCTAATGGGATCTTTCTACCAATGTATTGTTCAGGTTTCTTGAGAGCGGTAGCTGCAACAATACCAATATCCTCCGTTGCAATCAGTTGGACTGTCCTGTTTCGTATGGCCGCGTTAAATACACCTATGGCGAAAAAGGAAGCTACGCCGCTCGTCTTGGGGAAGTTGTCCATGAATGCCACAGGTCTAATGATCGTATATGGTATACCACTCTCGTATATCATCTTTTCAACTTCGTATTTACTGTCGAAATGTGGTACACCTGATTGACGCTCAGCACCCTCAACGCTTGTGTATACAATGTGTTTCAAGTTACGCCTCTTTGCAGCCTCAATGAAAGCCTTTCCTGTAAAATTTTAGTCTGTTTCATAGCAAAAATGTTTTGCTCACCTTGGACAATTTCATCTTGTGGTCCATTTGGTACCATTGTTGTTACTAAGAATGCACCATCCACATCTTCCATCGCGGCATAGATTGATTCGCTGTTTGTGAGATCTCCTGAAGCGAGCTCAACACCGTCAGCACTTAAGTTCTTCGCAGCTTCTGAATGTGTATTGCGTATGAATGCTCTCGTAGGTACCCCTTTGAGATTCCTAATGGTTGCACCACCTTGCTGCCCTGTTGCACCAGATATTAAAAACATTATGATTATTTAAGCTTATGATTGATTGTACAATATAATGTAATACTTAATTTAAATACCCCTGTCTTAGTAATTGCCTTGATTGGTAATCTTCAGTTAATAAGCACGTCGGTTTGTAATCCTATAAATTGATAGTCGGGGTTCCCTTAATCAGGACAGTTCGAAAATGACTTAACTTAATCACCGACCGTGTGAACTATTCCGGAATATTCATCATGGTGTACGATAATTTTCATATATTCCAGAAATATAGTGATATCTACTGAGTAGAATAGAATTCATTTATCTATTTCTATTTCTAGTGTAATTAACTATCTCATAACCTTTGATCACCAAATCGTCGATGTGACTTGTATATTATATTTAGATCGAGACGTATTTTTCTACCCTCGAGTTCTACCCTTCTGGTTATGTTTTATATAAACAGCATAAGATACTCTTATTTCCTTTGCTTGTGCCCTCTACAAACTACAGTATTTAGCTGTACCCGTGTAATTATGTATTTAATAACTTATAGTCTAGCTACATATACAGTCCTTCAGATATATCCTAGGCTTTATGCATTAAACTGACATTGTAGTTTAACTTCAATCGCACCCTTTTGATGACGTCTCAAGAGAGAAGACGAGCATATCACGAGAATATACAACTAAGAGTAGCGTTTATTAGCTATAATAGAGTTTGCTATTCCATTCGATCTGAAATGTCACTAGATCATACTTCTTTTATCTCTTTGTTTTCAACCATATGTCATTGAAGACGATATTTTCAGGTATACAGCCGACAGGCATACCACACGTAAGTGATGTGCAAGCAACGAGCTGCAAAACTCATTCGATTCACGTAGATAGGTAACTATTTCGGTGCATTGAAGAACTGGAAGAAGTTACAAGATAACGAAGCGAATACGACAAGATTGATATACTCTATAGTGGGATACCATGCTATAACTATACCACAGTCTCCTAGTAAACTTAAGCAAGAGAGACGTGAGATGATGGCTGCATTGCTAGCTATAGGTTTGAGTCCAGATAGATCAATAATATTCCACCAAGATCAGGTGTGTTGGGTCTACTATAAGAAATCAACGTTTAATTAGCAAAATATAGGTTGCTCAGCATACAGAACTTGCCTGGATTTTCAATTGCTTCACCTCAGTGAACAAACTGCAACGTATGACAACTTGGAAGGTGTGCAAAAGCAACCTTCTGAACAATCTCTAACAATACAGCACAGTCGAAAATCGCAACTCTTAAGAACTCGAATGATGCTTCCGAGATAGACGATAGTGCACTCAACCTCGGTTTATTGTCCTATCCAGTTTTACAGGCAGCTGACATATTGTTATATAAGTAAGTAGCTGTTTCTACAATATCACTTTCTTACCCCCATCGAGAGCTACACATGTCCCAGTCGGTGACGATCAGCAACAGCATCTCGAATTGTCTCGTGATATAGCTGATCAGTACAATAGAACATACAAAGCACGTAGATTTTTCCCTCTTCCCAATCACATAATCAGTATGTGTGTTATCAGCGTATTCTTATTCTAACAAGGCACCTAAGCACCAGCATCAAGGATCTCAAATTTACGTGATCCATTGTCTAAAATGTCTAAATCACATCCATTGCCAAACTCTAGAATAATGATTACAGACACGGATAAAGAGATATCATCAAAAATTAAGTCAGCCGTCACAGATTCGTCAAGTGGGATAACATTCGACCCAGTGAATAGACCTGGGGTTGCGAACTTACTCACCATCTTGGCTGAATGTACAGACGACACACCAGAAGAAGCCGCTGTTGGTCTCTCAACATCTGCACAACTGAAAGATGCGGTTTCAGAAGCCACAATTAAGACACTCACACCAATTAGGGATAATTTTTACCGTTTGTCGAAAGAGCATGAATATCTGGACAACGTGGCTAGACAAGGTAAAGAGCGAGCATCGGTAATAGCAAATGATACAATGAACCAAGTTAGAAAGCATGTAGGATTAGACTAGAATATCTCTGTACAATAAATAATAGGATTAGATAACTTATATTTCCATAAATTGTTCTCTATCGGCACCTGTGTTGACTACTTCACCATGTTTTTCGTCACCTTTGGCCTCTTCAATAGGATCATCCTTGTTTATATGTTGATGGCCTTCAATACGTAAGCCTGAGAACTTTGGGAATGATCTCTTGTAGAGATACAAAAGAACAGTGTCCATTTGAGTGACTGGACCGTCGAAGTGTGCCTTGAAGTAACCGTGTGTACCCAAGCTTTCCTTTATATGACCAACTCTACCATACTTTGTGTGAAGTTCGATTGGCTTGAAGTATGCAATATCATCTGAGTGCTTGTCAGTACTAAGCAGTTCGTCAAGTGTCAACACTTACCTGGATTAAAGAAGAGATAACGGACAGTAACAGTCTTCTTGTGCACCTTGAAAGGATGTCCAGAGAGAATGATTCGTTTGGCAATAATTCTCGTTGGATCAGCATCTTTGAATGTACCAGTACCAACGAGATATGGTGGTTTACCATCATCCCTTTCACGCAAATAGACAATCGGAACCTTACCCCATGTAACTGGACCAAAAATTGTTGCTACTGATGCATCACCATGTCTGAGGTATCTTTCAAACTTGTGTACGTTGTTCAAACCTTTTGGTGTGTTTTGTGAATAGATTGGGTTTATTTGAAGTTTTCTTGAACCAATGATAGCAGTAAGTGGATCCTTGGACTTTACTAAACCTGTATATTCAGTGTTACGTTGAATAGTCATATTAACAAGTGACTTTTTCTTCTCGTGAGGCAATAAGCTGAATATGACAAGTGGTAATTCGGATGATTGAATAACTGAGAGATCCTTGCTGACATTTTTAATGTGCAATGTTACTCTCTTGCCAGGTTCAACTGAGGTGGATTCACCATCCTCATCCATACCCATCTTGACCCTCTTGATTACTCGTTTTGACATCTGGTCGTAATTCTCAAACTCAAAGACTTTGCTCATTTCAATTGGGAGATTCTCATAAGGATCCCATGGTGACGTTCTGAATGACTTGAGACCCCTGTAACGTGCAAATCTCTCCCTGGCTGGTATATCCAACGGTGTGTCAATTTCATCGGGGAACTCAGCATCTTCTTTTTCTTTGTTAAGGTATTCTTGATACTGCTTGGCCTCTTCGTCTTCATCGAGATCTTTGAAATCGTTGTCACGGGTGTCCATTTCAATTTCATCTTGGTCTTCTTCTTCTTCTTCTTGAGCAGCTGGTTTATCATCTTCGAGTTCCATTTCAGCTTCCTCGTCGCTCTCTTCATCGTCACTGAGATCATCATCATTGTCATCCACAATCCATGCAGCTTGGTAAGAAGATGTTCCCTTTGGTACTTTTCTAGACTTTGCGTTTTCCTCAGCAGCTTCGGCTTCTTCTTGAAGACGCTCTCCTTCTGCCATTTCTTCCTCCGTTGGCCAGGTTTGCTCATTTCCGATTGTGTCAGCTTCATTCTCAGAAATAAGGTCATCTTGCTCTTCCTCGTCTGGTTGAGCGAGTACACCAGTATCCACCTCATCAACTGACATGGTGTTGCCGTTTGGCTTGCTGTTCAGTTGACTAGGATGAGTAGAGTTGGTGATCTGCGCGTGATATAAGCTATTATAATTGAGCAAAGAGAAAACACACCTTTTCTATTTGATAATCACCAGAGTTTGGAATGTGTATCAGTCTGTTCGTGTCAAGATGTTCTCCTCTGACAACACCAGTCAATTTGAGCAAATCACCATCCCATTCGGCTTGTTCTGTCAATAAATAACTCCTATAATCTCTCCAAGCAGGCGTTTTAGGTGTACCTGTAGCAATTGATCGGATAGTGTTTGACAACTCATTCAATTGGTCGACAGAGGACAATTTCTGAACATATGGGAAGAAGTATCTGATGAAAGATAGAAGAGAATGTCTAATACCAGTGTCCTCTTTCTTTTCAACCTCGCTAAGACCTTGTATGATACCAAAAACTTCAGAACAAGATTGTGCTTGTACGCAACGAAGTGTGGTCTCACCCCACTCACCGACTTCGTTAATAGCGGAGAGTACGGGGATGATATAGTCTGCGATCTTTGCAGCGTCTAGAATGGCCATAAATTTGGCATTGTTATCCGGGAAAGTTGGAACAATGAACTGAAATTGTTGGTTAAACCTTGATATTCTGCATCTATAGATACCAAAACCCTGATATTCTAATGCTGAGCTCTCCTCCCCTACAGACTTGAGTAATTGCTTGACTGTGTTCAAGCCATCTATGTCTTCCGTGAGTGGAAGGACCAAAACAATGCGTGGTGCTCCAAAACGACCTTCAAAGAGACGTTTGCCTTCAAGTAGACCATCTCTTTTCTGTTTCTGCAGCTGCTTAGCTTGGTTTTTCCTTTCTTGCTTGTTCTTGAGGTTATTGGCCGAGGAAGTTTTTGAGGAAGACTGCTTAGTGTCTACTCTACCTTTGTTTTGCGTTTTAGTAGAGCGTTTTGTAGATCCCCGTGATTTGAACTTCTTATTCGTTTGTTTTAGCGATGGTCTATGTGAGTGTGTACTCATAGTTTGAGAGCAAGGGTGATATGATGTGCAAGCAGGTAAATCGATAGCGAGATTTGAATAAAGCTGCTAGCAATTTACATTTCAACTTTATAGTATACTTCTTCCAACAAAACAGTTTGACGGACTTAAGAAGATTTATCGAGCTATTCTACACAGCCAGTAGCGGCGTATTTATATCAAATAATACTTCCACTATCTTATCCGTATATTATATATTTCATATTCAGACTTCCACGGACTTAAGTTAGCCCGACTTCTATCAAATTACAGTCTTCTCTCTTGGATTATAACCACATCAAACGAAATGGAACAAACGAAAGCGGTACACGATTACTATTCAACCATTCTGATCTTGGATTGTGAGTTTATTATTTACTATTATATACCCCCTAACTCCTCTATCAGTCGGTTCACAAGTTAGTCCTGCATTCGCTAAAATACACTCTAACAAATTATAGTACTCACATTTAATCACAAGAAGATGTCGTGAATTAAACGTTTACTGTGAAATGTTGCCTTGCACTCAAAAGCTCAAAGATTTGAACTGGAAGCCAAAAGGTGAATATTTCACTATTTTCAGTAAAGTACAAGGCTAATTATCTGCAGGTATAATCCTCTCCGGTTCTCCTTACTCTACATACGACAAAGATGCTCCTAGAGTTGACCCAGACGTCTTCAACGCCGGTGTACCAGTTCTTGGTATATGCTACGGTTTACAAGAGACAACCAACGTATTCGGCGGTAAAGTTGAAGCCTGTGACCACCGTGAATATGGTTTTGCTGAACTCAACATCGTCAAGAATGAAGAGCACTCACACGTTAACAAGCTTTTCGAAGGTATTGAAGGATCTATGCAAGTTTGGATGTCACATGGTGACGCCGTTAAGGAAGCACCAAAGGATTTCGTCGTCATTGGTAAAACTAACACCGCACCTTTCGCTGCTATTGCACACGTCGAGAAGCCAATCTATGGTATACAATTCCACGCAGAAGTCACCCACTCACACCGTGGTAAGGAAGTTATTAGCAGATTCGTAAAGGACATTTGTCAATGTAATGGTGAATGGACTATGGTAAGTTCACTTCTAAGACACTTGAACGAATCTTTTAACAGAAAAATTTCAGGAATCATTTATTTCAAAGGAAATTTCAAGAATTCGTGAAATTTGTGGTGATAAGGGTCGTGTTTTGGGTGCTGTCTCTGGTGGTGTAGACTCAACCGTTGCAGCAAAGCTCATGCACGAAGCTATTGGCGACAGATTCCAAGCTGTTTTGGTAGACAATGGTGTTTTACGTATGAATGAAGCTGCTCAAGTTTACAAAACTCTCAAGCAAGACCTCGGTGTTAACTTGAAGGTCATCGATGCTGCTGAACTCTTTTTGGGTAAATTAGCAGGTGTCACTGACCCTGAAAAGAAGAGAAAGATTATCGGAAACACCTTCATTGAAGTCTTTGAAGCTGAAGCTGCAAGATTAGAATCTGAAGCTGAGAAGGAACTTGAAGAAGGAAAAACTGAGAAGGGTAAATTCGAATGGTTATTACAAGGTACACTCTACCCAGACGTCATCGAATCTATCTCTTTCAAGGGCCCATCAGCTACTATCAAGACACACCACAACGTTGGTGGTCTCCTTGCAGACATGAAGCTTAAACTTATTGAGCCACTCAGAGAACTCTTCAAGGATGAAGTTAGAGCATTAGGAAGATTATTAGAGATTCCAGCTCATTTGGTCAACCGTCAACCATTCCCTGGTCCAGGATTAGCCATTAGAATATTAGGAGAAGTTACTAAATCTCAAGTACAAATCGTCCAGCACGCAGACTCCATATATATGGAAGAAATTACAAATGCGGGATTGTATGATAAGATTTCGCAAGCTTACGCTGCTCTCTTGCCTGTTAAAGCAGTCGGTGTTCAAGGTGATAAGAGAACATACGAGCAAATAATAGCATTGAGAGCTGTCACAACTACTGACTTTATGACTGCTGATTGGTTTGACTTCCCTCATGATGTCTTAAAGCGTATTTCATCAAGAATTACGAACGAAGTTAGAGGTGTCAACCGTGTTATGTTGGATGTATCATCAAAACCACCAGCCACTATAGAAATGGAGTAAATATGAGTTGTTTTTAGTTTTTTCTAGGTTGTAAATTGTTTATATGTCATTAAAATTTTCTGAAACTACTATATCGGGAAACTTGAAAAGGAAAGTCAATAAATTAATTATGTAAAAGGATAAATTAGATGTTACTTTAAGAAGTAAAGCGCAATTAAATAAACTCTCTATCTTTAACAACAATGAGAGCATCGCCAAAACGTAAAACACCCCCAATCGATAGTGCGAGTATAGAGTCTAGTCTGCGACTAAATGGCTCTAGCTCAACAATAAATGAACCATCAATTAGGTTGGTCACAAGTGAGACCAATGGTCTTGGCGAGGGCGACACCGCCTCCTTGTCAGATAACAGGTACCGTGCGGACGGTGTGCGCCCCTCAGAGGCTTTTATATCAAGAAGATCATCTTTATATTCTGATCAAGAAGTTGATTATTTAACAACGAATAATTTGCTTCCAGGACACAGAACAAACTACGCGAATTTTAATATAAGCGCAGCAAGTTTACCACGCCATTCAAGCGAAGTTACAAAGGTTGGAAATATTGCGGAGAAGACTCTTAGTTACCAGAAAGCACCTTCCATTTTCGACAACAGCATGTCAGCTAATCTTACACAATCAGACAGTGCAGTAGATGAGAAGGGATTGCCAGCAATGCCGGAAGCACCTAACAAATCATCTTTGAGAAACGCAAGAAACAGACGTAAAGGTATTATAATAGCTTCATCCGTCTTGGCAGCTATCGTAGTTATCGTTCTAGTTGTAGCTTTACCAGTTACTGTGAGTTTCTTTTTGAGAATTTTAGGTTGACGCAACTTACCGATCATTAACAGCTCACACGTAAGAACAATAACAACAGCAGCCAGGCAGATGAACCAGTCAGAAACCACGAAGGAAATCTCATCCAGACATCCGGTGGTGATGGCTCAGAAGTCACTCTCGACGATGGTAATACATTCACTTACAATAATGCTTTCGGAGGTCATTGGAATAGTCTCCCAGGTAACACCGACGCTCAGTCACAATCGTACACACCTCCACTTAGTGAGAGGTGGGACTTCAACAACGACAAGATTCTTGGTGTAAACCTTGGCGGTTGGCTCGTCTTGGAACCATTCATCGTCCCAGGATTGTACGAAGAATGCGAGAATATCGATGAACCATGCGTCGATGAGCTCACTTTATCAAATTACTACAGATCACAAGGTAAACTTGAAGAAGTCCTCGAAGAACATTATTCAACATTCATTACTGAGAAGGATTTCGCAGATATTGCAGCAGCTGGATTGAATTGGATCAGACTTCCAATTCCATTCTGGATGATCGAGACTATTGACGGCGAGCCTTTCTATGAAGGTGGTGCATTCAAGTACTTCGAAAATGCCGTCAAATGGGCTCGTAAATATGGCTTACGTATCAACCTCGATTTACACACTGTACCTGGTAGCCAGAATGGTTTCAACCACAGTGGTAAACTTGGCGAGATACACTGGATGTCTTCTCCAATGGGTGTCGTTAATGCGCAGAGAACTTTGAACTACATAAGGGCTATAACTGAATTGATTTCAGACGACGATTACAAGGACGTTGTACAGATGCTTTCAGTTATTAACGAACCATTCGGTCCAACTATCGGTAAAGCTTCCGTCGCATCATTTTACTTTGAAGCATACAAGATGATTAGAGATATCACTGGTATTGGTGAAGGTAATGGTCCTTGGATTGCTTTCCACGATGCCTTTTTAGGCGGTCAAACTTGGAATGATTTCCTTAGAGGTGCTGATAGAGTTGCTTTGGATACCCACCCATACGTCGCTTTCAATGGTCAGAATCAAGACCCTATGGATGAGCAAGTATGGAAGCCATGTGCTGCTTGGGGTGAATCAACAAACAACACTATGGCAGAGTGAGTAAATTAGTCTTTATGTTGTTACTATCTGACTTGATGAACAGCTACGGTGTAACGTTCGCAGGCGAATTCTCATTAGCTATCAACGATTGTGGTACAGTTAATGGTGTCAACGACGGTACACGTTATGAAGGTACATACATTGATAAGGATGGTAACAGACCTGAACCTGGTTTCGGTGAAGGTGCCTGTGATAGATTCAACGACTGGCAAAACTGGGATGATGAATTCAAATCACAACTGAAAGGATTCGGATTATCATCTATGGATAGTCTTCAGAACTACTTCTTCTGGACTTGGAAAATCGGTGATAGCAGCCGCACTCACGCACCAATTAACCCATTCTGGTCTTATCAATTAGGTTTGAAAGAAGGCTATATAACTGAATCACCACATACTGAACCAAGCGGAACCTGTGAAATGTATTCAAAACAGGGTGACGACCGTCAATGGGTTACAAATGATGCTCCAGCTACTTTCCCTGATTGGATGCTTGGTAAAGAAGGTGCAGGCGTTCTTTTCGGCGATCAATCAGAATATCAAGATTTCCCACCTAATTCGCTCAACAACATAAATGAGCAAGACATGCAAAACATACCAACTTATGAGAAGAATGGACTAAGAATCCAACTTCATCCATTACCATTCACATATATAGATGAGAATGGCGAGCAACAGTCTGTTGAAGGAAGTGATGGCTGGTTTAATGACGATGACAACAGTCCATTCTATTCACCAAAGGAAGATTGTGACAGATACAGATCACCTTACTATGATGGTGACATGATCCCAGGCACTTGTTAATACGATACTAATACTCAACTAATTATTTACCACAAAAGGATTTAATTATTTCTACTATCTTTTTCCATATTTTTACATCTTAATTTTCATCAACTACGTTTGAGGGTAATAAATAACTTGTAATCAGAGCTTTCTAAATAAATACAGTTAATATATTGATAATTTGTTTGTTATACATTTGCGAGTAGACTTTAAAAGAAAAAGGAAGATCCAAAGAAAAGTTTAAATTCTATAAATATATCTTACTCTAACGACGATTAGCATCCCTAGATGAACCTTTTACGAGTTCATCGAAAAGACCTTTAGCGGATTGATCACTTTTGAGTTGAAGAAGGTATATTACACCAGTACGTTGACCATTATCTGACATTTCAACAGCCAAACCCGTCTTACCAACTCTTTCAACGGCGTCCAAAAGGACATAATTACTTATCAGTAAAGACTTTGCTTTGTCAGATTCAACGACAAGTTGCTTCTTATTTTGTGGCGATTGAGTGAAAAGTTTTAATCCACCACTACCTAAACTCTTCCAAGCTTGATGACCATGCTTAATGAAGACTTTACATCTCATTTGAGCACTCATTCTAATCTTTTCAGGCTCAGTTGGTTTGATTTCTGTAGGTGATGGTGGTGGTGTATCTTCATCTTGGCTCTTCGTATTAGGACTAGCGGTCTTAAATTGTCCCATAAGGTTTGAAGGCATGGCGTATTTACTCAGACCACCATTTATACTATTACTATTACTATTGCTATTGGTTGAATTCGTGTTGATAGTGTCTAATGAAGGCATTCTATTCATGTTATCATTTTGTTGTAATCTAGGTGGAAGAGTATCAAATGGTGGAGGAGGTGGTGGTATCATACCCGGTCTAATTGGTCTAATTTGAGCAGGTTGTGGTCCATAACCTGGGATATTTGATAAATTGTTTGCAGTAAGTTGGTTATTCTGTAAAACATGAGGTGGAGGTGGTCTCTCAAATTGAGAACCCAATGTAGGTACATTCTCCATTGGTGGTAAATGATCTCTAGGCGGAGGATTTGGAAATTGAGGCGATGATGTCTGAGAAGATGATATCTGTGCTGGTGGAGCATTCAAATTGAGATTTTGTAATTGATCTGATGGTGGAGGTTTGTTTGTAGTGCCTTGTTACGAAGTTAGATGACTTTTATAATTATATTGTTGTACCCACCATTGAATGCAAATTGAGTGCAATTGGATATATCCTGTATCCAACTATCTCTAGCTTCAATCGATTCAACTTTAATTGTTAAAGTTTCCTTATTCATTATACCCAAATCGAAAGCATTTTCTTGTTTATTTTGTGTTGCTTTCAAGAATTTACCACTAAGTGGTGGAAATGACAACCACATATCTGTACCAGGTAAGGCAACACCTGCTTCCTTCTCATTTGCTGTCATACGTTCAGCTACCAAGAACAAATCTGAAAGAAGGAATATATGTGCTCTTCTCATAACGATCTCCTGAGTTGATTGTGGTGCAGCTGATGGTGTGAATGATAAAACTACATCTGCAGATCTTCTCAACTCTCTCTTAAATGGGAGTTGAGGTGGTTGAATTTGCAATTTACATTTCTTTTGTTGCATTGTGAAAATATCTAAAGTGCGTGAAGTGTCCAGACGTTCAGACAAATCAACAGCTTTCAATTGAGCTTCAGGTATTGGAGGTGATTCACGTTTATTCATGGTACTATTATGTGAATCAATTGAAGCTGTATCATCTGAGTTGTTTTGGTTATTGTCAGTCTCATCGTCGATGTCATCTTGATCATCTTGACTGATCGTTGAAATTGAAGAATCATCTGATTGAATATCGTTCGAAGCTTTTGCTCTAAGTTTTAATGGATCTTCTGGGTTGAATCTAACTGTTGGTTGATGGCTTAGAGATGTTGAACTTGATGTTAACTTGTTAATCGTTGAATTGTCGATCAAATCGACTAATCTTTGTAACGTTTCAACTGAATCTTTCAACAAGTTATAATCAGGTTTTGAAGGGTTCGTTGAAGTTAATAATTTTTTATATAGATTTAGATAGTATTTCAATCTCTTCGCGGGTAATTCAAATAATTCATCAATATCCCTATCCATAGAGGCTAAAATTTGATGTAACTGGTCATTTTCTTGTATATTCTTATGTTTAGAGAATGGCGGTGATGACGTATAGAGTTGCACATATTTATCGTAAGATGATTGAAAATCTTTAATAAAATTTAATAAGCTATCACCTATTAACTTGTAATTATTGTTTGTTGATAGTAAGTTGTTCAAAAAGGATCTATTTATTCTATAAACGCTCTCTATAATTCTAAACATTCTATCTATTTCTGGGGGTGGAAAATTACTTCTAGACCAAGCAGAAGCGACTTTTCTAACGATTATAGCCATATCTTCTACGAATTTCTTCTCTGTCTCTATTAAATCATTGAGTGGATTCATTTTATTTAAGTAAGAGAAATAATAGTTGGTTGTTCACTTCAACGATGGAACTCGATTTGGTGCATTTAAAATTGAATGACGATGAATTAACGTTTGAGGATAAAGAAATAAATAAATTGTATTTAAGACAGAACAATCTAGAGTTATCAAAATCACTCGATATTGAGGGAAATAAACTAGAAGAAATTGATTTATACGATAATAAAATATCTGATGATAATCTAGTCAATTTAACTAATCTATCTAATTTAAAGATATTGGATTTGTCTTTCAACCTCATTAGGTCAATCAAAGATATCGAGAAGCTCCCATTGAAAGAACTCTACTTGGTACAGAACAAGATCGTCGATATAAGCAATTTAAATATCCCTACCTTGGAATTGTTAGAATTGGGTGGCAACAGAATCAGAACAATCCAGAATCTCGACTACTTGTCCAATCTGAGGGAACTCTGGCTTGGTAAAAACAAAATAACTGAAATTGCCAACATGGATAATCTATCCAATCTGAGAATTCTCTCATTGCAAGCTAATAGAATATCTGACATCACCGGCTTAGATGGTTTGACGAATCTCGAAGAATTATACCTCTCACATAACAACCTGTCTTCTCTGCAAGGTTTGGATAATCTCACTCAGCTGAACACATTAGATATTGCTCATAACAAAATTGAGACAATTTCCAACGTTAAACATTTGAAAAATTTGAAGGAATTCTGGGCAAACAGCAACAAAATCACATCTTTGGAGGAGATTGAGAGCGAATTCAAAGACACACCATTGGAAACAATCTATTTGGAGCATAACCCTGTACAACAGACTCTCAACACTCAATATAGACTCAAATTGAAATTAGCACTCCCACAATTGAAACAAATCGATGCAACTTTAACTTAATAAATTTATTGTTTTTATATTAGGTGGTACGCCTTTATCTTCCATCATCCAATTGACTAAATCCCATTTCTTATACTTTGTGCACCAGTAAAGCATCTCTGACGTAAGCTCTAAAGGTGGTAATGATCTTTTCCGCTTCTTTCCTTTCTTCTCTGTCCTCTCTTCTGTCAAGCGCTTTAATCTATTGATATCACCATTCAGGATGAGATATTGGACAGCTTTGTGATTGCTTAGGCTGAGGTTTGGCTTATGAGATAATAACAACTCTATTAGATCGTCATTCTTCATTGATATCGCCTTGATTATTGGGTATCCATTCAGACTATTGACGTCTACATTGTAATTATCAAGTAACTTCCTTGTAAGATCGACGTTATTGTACTTTATAGGCGTTTTGCTAAATTGTTTACACTCCAGATTGTAATCTTTGTATATTTCTTCCACTCTATTAAGTATTTTTACATCAACTACCCGATAAGAGAGTAGATGTTCTATAATCCTCTTCTCTATTAGCTTCTGGGTAACTCTACCTTTAAACCTTATGTAGAAGCTATTGAGTAGATAATCAACCTTTTGTTCCGTATAACTTTGCTCTATAGCATTGTAAATCCTCCTTGATACAGAAACCAAATTTGAGTTGGCTGCTAAACTATGAATATATTGAATAATCTATGGTTATTTAGTATGATATAATGTATATAACTACTATCACACCTCATCTGGTAAATATTTAAAATTCATTCATCATTCTACAAGAAAAGAAGACGGGTATAGTTAGTTATCTTGAAGTAACAAATAAAAAATATGAAAAAATCGCTTTGCTAACTATAACTAAAACAATGCTAACTTTAAAAACTAACAAGACCAAGTGTGAGATCCTCCGCACGATGAGAATTCTCATGTCTAACGCCATTTAAACAAGGTACTGCCAGATTATTTGCTGGTGTCTTTCCAAACTCATCAGAAGGAATTTCATCATGGTTGTCTTCCTCCAAATCTGCGAAAGTTCTACAAACCGGGCAACTAAAACAAGGGTAATGAGTGTTTAAGATTGTCCTCAAACATTTGTAATGAAAAGTGTGAGAGCAGGGTGCAATAAAGAGCGCCTGGCATATACCAACAGGGAAGAGGCATATAGCGCAATCGAGGCTATCATTGTCGTTATTGTTATCACTTTGGTAACTGCCCACGTTTGGTTCCTTAGATGAAAGTTCCTTAACTTGCTCAAGGGCCCTAGCATGGAAAGCAACAGGTGACTTCATCTTATCCCCTAGTTCGACGCGAATTTTAACGCAACGATAGAGTGGGTCTGTCCCGCCTTGGTAGTCAACACCAAGCTGAATGATGTCGCCATCGCGAATTTCGTATGGTTTCGAAGCCTGCGTTGAACCAGACAACCGTCTGTGATTAAGAAACGTTCCACTCGAGCTTCCTGTATCTCTCAAAAAGAACTGTAATCGTTAAGAATGTAATCGATATTCATAAACTGTAAACACACCTTTGCTTCCGTGTTGACACTTATCTCAGCATGAGACCGTGATACTACTTTGCTCTTGAATGCAAGCCTAAGACTGTCGGTACGGCCACCTCCACCCATTAGTCCCTTCTTATCAGCATCCTCTTCGGCAGCTTTCTCACTGAAGCGACCGACTTTAAGGCGTGCGTTTGGCTTCATCTGACGAGTAGTTATCGCAAAGTTTGGTGAGCGACTATTCTCTAGATGTGGTAGAAGCCTGATTTTGTATGACGGACCGTCTTTGTCCGCAGGAGGATCACCAGAATCATCTAAATCAGCGTCAAGATCACCATCATCACTAGAACCTGCAGTAGCTGGCGGTGATTTACGTTTTGAAAGTTGCCGTCTTATCGTACCCCTTATCCTGCTACCTTCGTCTAATCCAGCGCTATGACTGGAAGATCTATTCCTAAAAGTGCTGAATATGTTGCTCATGAATGTCCTATTAGAAGATGTGGTCGCGATATTCGAACCTGAAGTGCGGTCATCTTGTGATCCAGTAGATTGATAAACTGCGTCGTGTGATCGCGTCCTTGAAACTGGCAGGTCTAAGCCCGCTGTAGAAGTCATATTAACTGTGTATCCAAACCAAGTCACTATTCAACTATTTATTCCTCAGCTGATGGAGGTTTACGTCAAGCAACTTCTGGTGGCTGAATATCCGATCGATCCACATTCCAAACTGTTGGGATATAAAATAAAAATAAAAATACATTTACTACATTAACAATTAGGTATATAGTCCAGTTATTTTCAGCAGCTGCTCGATCACTTCATCCTTATCTCTACCTTGCTGCAACGCTAGTCTCACTCTGTTGAAATCCATTGTGTTTATTGCATTGTTCATTCTGCTAACGAGTGCTTCTAATATAGAAATCATTTCGCCATCACTTGCACCATCCGGTATAGCTGGTGCGAGAAGGTTAGCAGGAACGACGGCGAAGACTTCTTTTTCTTTGTCTCTCCAATCATTCTTATCTTTGTGTGATGTATGCCTATTCAAAGCCTTCTCTCCTTTATCCTTCGTACTTGAGTCACCTTCATTGTCGTCTTCATTATCTGTGTCTAGTTGGACAAAGTGTTGAGGGTGAGTACTCTCGCTTTCCACTTTCTCATCTTCATCCTTTTCTGGCATCTCCGTAGGTTCTTTTTGTATCTTTCCACCAGCCAGACTCTCTATCTTGACAACTAGTTTGGCCAACCTACGCAACTCATCGGCATGCAGTATTGGTGGTGTTGATTCAAACACACTGGTGCTAGGTTCATGCTGACCAGTCGTGCTTGCAATATTCTTATCCAATTGTAGACGACCCCTGAGCTGAATAGGATAGAGTAATGATAGGTGCTCAGGTACTTCCAACTAAAGCATCATTTAGTTTACAATAGCTATCAACGTTATCATACTTACGCCTTTCAATCTCCTTTCACCGACTGTAGATACACCGAAACCTATTCTACGTAATGAGGCGACTTCACTCTTGATTTTATTCGACATCCCTGTCTCAGACTCTGGTGAATTTGGATCCAAAGAGAAGAAGTGCTGCAATTCGCTAACTACATCTCCACTAGCCATTATCTGTCCACCTTCTGCAGCGGCAGCGACTCTCGAAGCTCTGTTGACGACAGGTCCCCAGTAATCCATACGTTGAGTGACCGGATCGGCTTCGCAGACTGGATAACCAACGTGTATACCCCTGAAGAGCTTTGTTAATGAAATACGACTCAAAAGTAAATACTCACATTCTGACAGACAACCCGCGAGCTATCGAATTACCATTTGCATCAAGTAATGGTCTTCCTTCATCTGTCTCTAGAATCTCCTTTGGCCAATCCTGGCTGAGAAGTTGCAGCTGGACAGTGAAACACCACAATAATGCCGATGTGACAGTTTGGAATGAGACCATGAAAGCATCACCCTATAGACAAATTAATAAACACCTCATCGTGCTCATTTAGTACTTACTTCAGTTTTAACTTCATATCCACCAATAGTCCGCAAATGTCTCCTGAGAAGATGGTTGTGTATCCTCATAGCCGACTGCATACCTCTGTTGCTCTCCCACAAGATAGTTGAGTTGCGAATATCTGTGAATACAAGGGTAACATGCCCGACTGGTGGTGAAACTTCTCTATCGAGTCTTGCCAATGTTCTATCACCTACGACGGCCTCGTCACCGCGTCTTCTCTGACCAGTTCTTCTCAATCCACCATAATAGTCATCCTCGTTGCCTTCGAGAGATGATGGCAGGTGCTTAGGACGGAAAATGTCGGCTACACTAACTACCATTACCATGAGATTACCTTGAGCACCATACGCAATAGCGAAATCACGCAATTTTTGAGCAGCTGTCATAACATCATCTCTTGTAGTACGAGCAATGTCAACGGCCGTCTGATAACTTATGTAATCCCATAAACTTTTGTTAGCAACAATAACGAATTCATCCATATCTGTAAGAGTGATTGTATGCACAGCCGGTCTGGCGTTGACGGCTGGTTGAAGATGGTAGAAACCGAGTGACTTGGAAACATCTAATTCGTCATTGACCTTACCTCCAGGTGTTACCCAACCTTCAGCAGCGCGAATACGAGCAGTTTCTGGACGCGCAAGTGGTTCATGTTTAGTGGAAACTACTCTTGGCGATCCTGATCGTGAAATAACAGCTAAGGAATCACCTGCGTTTGCGACGTGCATTGTTTTATCAACTATATAAACGACAATCGCTGCGGCACCTGATTTGACTTCAAACATACCCATTTCTGGGGCATCCTTAGCCGTTCCTGTAGGAGTGGAGACAACAGCCATGACAGAATTTGCTGATACTTGCGAAGTCTTCCGACTATCAGATTTCGAGGATGATTTGTTTAACAAGTTCGATAATGGAACAACATCACTGTAGTTAGATGTTTTACGTCTTACACCAACCAGAGATGACAGTGTAGTGTCGAAGAATTTCTTGTTCAGTCGCAGGAATGCCCGGCGAAGTGCATCTGGAATATCATCACCAGGTCCTAACCTTGACAATTCCTTGTTTAATTGCGGCTCGAAACTGTCGTGGAGGTACTTAGAAAGGTGACAGCCATTCGCAGATGTGCTGACTTTTCCGTCGAAGAAACCGAACAGACATTCGTTCTCTTTCCCTCTAAACCTCGGTACGACGAAATCTGACATAGATAGATTTTCCAAATTACCAATAGAGTCGGCAATACCATATGCCATGTTGTTTATATTCGAGAATGATGTGCGGACACGGCGGTTCTCAGATTCGTCTGGTAAGGAAGGAACTCTCAGGGTGACATCCATCAAGCCCAATACTCTTAATTCTTTCAAGTTCGAAAATTCAGCCAGGTTGAGTGTACCAGGTGCATTTGAATGTCTATCATAGTCCTTAACTTCGCGAATCTCGAGACGCTTGTTACCAGAAAAGTTCAAATAACGAAGATCTAAATTCCAATTCCTATCAAGAAGGTTAGCAACTAGTTTTCACTCTGTGATGGATTTCCTCACCAATTCCAATCGTAGCCCCAATTAGCAATGTTATACTTGAGGACATTAGAACCAACATCTAAGACGTGCAATTTGGCAATTTTACCGAGCTCTGCAGGTAATACTTGGATCTTATTGCTATTAACATGAAGAATACGCAATGCAATAAGTCTTTCTAAATCTTCTGATGGTAAATTACGAAGGTTATTACCAGAAAGATACAATTCTTGTAAACCGCTATTCTTACCGAGACGATGAGGAGGTATTTCGTCAATTTCATTGAAAGATAAATTCAATACCCTCAATTCTGTCAATAAACTGATAGGATCGAATACCTCATCAGTAACTCTATTATCTGCAATTAATAGTTTTTGAAGTTTAGAAGCAAGTGGTAAAGCAGGTCTATTCTGTGGAGTACCCGATCCACCTATTTGAGGATTAGCTGACGATGCGGACGTTTTCCTATCAGCTTCTGAACTAATTGCTGATGAGGTACTACCACCTCTCATACCCAAAGCTGGATTACTTGATTGATGTGACATAGCATTTGTAGCTAAAGCTGCTATTGTTGCATTAGGTGCTGAATTTGAATCGTGATGGAAGGGAGGATCAGGGAAGTCGTCCAACAAATTACTTGAAACATTTAAAACTTCCAAACTTTTACATTGCCAAATTGATGTTGGGATTGATTTTAAGTTGTTATTATGTAAAGATAGTGTACGTAAATTGCTGAGGTCACTAATAGATTCAGGTAATGCTGAAAGCAGATTATTAGTACATGACAATATTGATAACTTTGATAATTCTCCTATTGCACCAGGTAAGGTAGTGAATTGATTATAATCTAAAGATAAATGCGATAAATTTGGTAAATACCTGAAAGCATCATCTGAAATCATTGCTAATTTGGCATTAGATAAATCCAGTCTAGTTATATGTGCAGGATTATTATTAACTGTAGATAAAGAGAAAGAAGTTAATGGATTGTTCGGTGCTTTGAATCTATTGGCATTTGGTCCAATTTTAACGTCTAACACTCCAATGTGGTTGAAATCTGCTAAGAGAACTTCGAGATTTGGTAAATCACATACAACTGAAATATTGGTAAGAGCGTTTCTTCTGATATCCAATTCACGAAGACTTGTCAACTGTGCTGCACTCTTCGGAAGAACGGCTAGTTGATTACCAACGAAAACTGCTCGATGAATCTGCTTTAATTCACTTATCTCTTCAGGTAAAGTTTGGAAGGTGTTAAATGATGCGTCAAGATCTTGCAACCCCTTAAGTTTACATACGACTTGAGGGAATACGTCAAATTTGTTATTAGATATGTTAACATATTTCAAATGCTTCAATTCCGCCAGTGATTCCGGTAATTGAGTTAAACGATTGTTTTGCACTTTCAAACTGTGTAGTTCTGGTAAACATTTGAAATCGATATGATCAAGTTCTGGCATCCGATTACAGGACATATCCAATCTCGTCAAGGAACGACAGTAAAGACGAACACTTGGCCATAATCTTTTCATTGATACCATAGAGAGCTTGAGTTCACGTAGTGATGTACATAACTGTATGAAATCGGATGGTAGATCAGTGAGTGGATTCTTTGATAGATTGAGATATATCATTGAATGTGCATGACGATAGAGGAAGATAGGAACTGTTTGAAGGTTTCTTCCTTGTAAATCAATATACTCGAATGAACCAAATGAACCAATGTCTTCTGCTTCATAGTATGTCACTGTTGCTATCCTATAGATAAATCTGCAAATAAAGCTTAAATCTTCCTTTCCAAGTTCATCAAGGTGATCATTTTCAGTGAAACCAAGTTGTTCCAATCGACGTCTCTGAAGCAATAATGGCTTTTCAGACGATCCCATTGCTCTTTCCTTCAACTTTTCACGTATGTAAAGTTGGTACATAGCTGGTTGCACTCTTAACTTTTTCGCTATCATATGCGATAACTCATTAACGCTAGTGTTTAAACCACTTGAGAAGGTAAGATATGAACCGTCACTCTTGTAAATGCGGATGCAGTACTGTCAAGTGTCAGAAGAGCCCAATTGAAGTGGATGTCAGCACTCACATTACCATTTGGGCCTCGAGAGCCATGCTGAGAAGCACTACCAGCTGTCGATGGCCTCTGCATACCTGGACTTCCTTGACGTTTAGCTGATGAAACCCTACGAAGGGAAGCTTTACGTATGTCTTCGCCCATCTCTGCGGGTTCACTCTGTTCAGCTGTAAGGTGTTGAATTTGACCGCCTGATGCATTAGACTCCTGGCGAGATCTGGTACTATAGTGACCAGTGTCACTATTCTTGCGACTTTCATCGACATACTCATTAACTTCTGTACTTGATGGATCATTGTGTTCCAGTGCTTTGAGTTTAATCGGTCTAACACCAGAATTTTGATCTGCAGAGGTTCTTTGGAATGCAGGTGATCCCCAAGTAGCAGCTTCACCAAATGCACCGTTCCAATTATCTTCTTTAGGGTTAAAATCAAAGTAGTTGGATACCCGACGTTGATGATTATCATCGTCATCGTAATAACCGTCACCTTCATTTTCTTCTGAGGTCTCTGATTCATACTCTTCATTGTGATTTGCGGGTTCTTGTACGATACCCCAACTTTCTGGCGCTTGCCAACCAGACGAAGTGACATTATTATCAGTTGCTAATGTAGGAGGCGACTGTGTTTGGCTTATGGATGTCTTTATGCCCCCGAGCTGAACATGATCTGGTTGCCTAGGTGATGGTGGACCAGAGCGCTTTCCACCGAGCCGCTTTGGAATGTCGTAATCTGAAGGTGGTGGATTGATGCGCCACTTTGAGTTTGCGGGGAATTTACTATCACCTCTCTCGCTAGAACCCTTCCTTGTGTTGCTTTTCACCGGACTAGGAGGTGACATCGATAGACTTGGTGCTAATTGCGGTGGCTCCATCGTTCTTGGAGAAGTACTGTAGGTTGACTTTTGTGCGCGTGGGCGCTTCGAGCGTGGAAGTGGTTCCAGATCAAATTGACCGGTCAAGAATGCCGGTGTCGGTATCGTCATAGGAGGTTGGTTAGCTTCAGATCTACGTCCATTGCGCTGGGCTCTAGATGATGAGCCTGAAGAAGTCGTGTTCTTTACTGAAGAGGCTGAAGAGTTGCCAGCAGTAGAGGATGAACCATGGCGTTTCGATCTCTTTGGTTGATCTTTGTGTCCCGCTAAAATACCTTCCATATGTGTTAGATCGGTGTCTAACACGAATCCAGGATCGCCGGGTGCGACTTCTGGTCGTTTTTCTGTTGATTTTCCTTGGGAAGATTGTGGTTTACGCTGTTGTTTAGAACTAGATAGTCCATCAGGTAAGGTAGCAAACGGCTGTGATTCTTTTGTTAAGTCAGCTTTTGATGCTGCCCTCGATAGTGCGGGTGACTCGTTTGAAGTTCCAGCTATTCCATGTAAGATAAGTATAAATAAGAGAAGAATAACAAACCTGAGGTATCTGGACGATCGTTTGGATGTACGGAAGTTGTCGAAGGCTTTGATTTGAGTAGATGCTTCCACCCCTTCCTCTTGTGCTCCCCTGAAGCTCGTTTGTGGTCTAGCGAACTCCTCTCTGAGAGATCTGGTGTAGATTTATTCTGGCTGAGGACTTTGTTTAATGGTGGCGTATCTGGGGGCATGTAATTCACGCTGGTGTTGTTCTGTGGCTGATTTGAGCTGAGCCATGGAGCTACTGGATTGTCGTAGCTGTCAATACTCTGTGGGATATGATGGTCATCCTTAGACGTAGATGCTTTTCTGTTGCGTGTAATCTTTTTCAATTTCTCCATCTTCAGACATCGACGTCGGATAAGAAGATATATTAATCTATGATCAAACTTGCTTAGACAATACTAACCCGAGGGCTACAATAATAATAGACGTTATAGGCGTAATAAGGGCATAACTAATGAACAACGTTTTCGAAATCAATTTCTCAAATGCGTCACCCGATGTGGCTTGCGTCAATTGTGCGAGTGTAAGCGCTGGCGGTGAGCCTATCAATAAACACGCAGAGACTATAAACACCGGATCGTCGAGTATTCGGTCGTTGCGGGTGAGGTCATCCCAAAGGAACAACGGCAAAAGCATAGCAGGTGTAATGATCATCCTGGCCACTACTGCGACAAATATAGTTCTTCTTTCTCCTCTTTTATCCTTGCTAACATGCGTGCGCGCTTTCGTGATGTTTGAAACTCCATTTGTGAAGAATGACTGGACACTACTGACAAAGCTTGGGTGACTTCTTTGTAAATCGCCTTCAATATGATTGGCGGACGCTTGAATGGTAGTTGGTTTGGTCTCTGGTGATGATGAATAGAAGTATGCACCAAGTACGACAAGCGTGAGCGGAACTGAGACATTTCCAGCACTTTTGATGGCACCTCTAAGCGGCGTAGCCTTAGCAAGCACGGCTATGTGTAATTTAGTTATGAGACATATCCTATGGCTTTTTGCATACCTTGTAATGGCCTGATCAACGCAATCACAAGCGAGATAAATGCTGCCCAAAGTGGTGGAGTCATAAAAGATATCTAATGGTAGTTAGTAACTGAGCATTATCTTCAAATTAAGACTTACAAACCCTGACCATAATCTTGACATTCTCTTTGAAGTCTTTTTCCAAATACGCTGTAAAGTGCTGACTTTACCTGTACCACTCGGCAGTCCCCATTCACTATCATCACTAGATAAGGTATCAGCTTGATCGCTTTCATCAGCGGTTTCGTGGAAATAAGATTCTGGAGGCGGGTTACCTATATCAGGATGTGTCGTTTTAGGAGATAATTTCTGGTCATTAGTGTAAGTGACAGGGGAAGGAGCACTGCTAGATGGAGCAGACGGCGAGAGTGTAATGTTTGGATAGTTTCCAGCGGATTCAATGTGTGAATTCTGAGTGAATGCAGCAGCAGGATCAGTATCAGCTGCTGTAGTATCGTTGAAAACTGTCGCTTCTTCTGAAGCTGAAATTGATCGATTGTCTTCAGATTCGTCGGCTGCCGCGAGCAACCTGACACCCCAACTCCATCTAAGGATCTGTCCTAATGTAGAATAGACGACTAAGTAGGTCAGGGATCTACCGAGCATCGTTTCCTTCGTATCATGCGCTGTCCATTTAAGGTGTGGGACAGTCGCAACCAAAGACTGCATGAGTGCTATTGGAAGACTATTAGAGTTTTGAAATGCACCACATGCTATTGCAAAGTTTCTCTGGCGCTTATTAAGACCAACCAAACGACCTAAAAGATAGGCTGAAAGTGCGGAAGCGCTAGTTATAAGAACGAATCCAATGGGAATAACGTGTAATTCTTTGAGTTTAGATGGCGATAAAGAGAACGCCACTTTCGAGAATAAAAGTGCCTATTTGTCCGCTATTAGATAAGCCGACTAGGGGAGAACGCGACGCACGGGTGTGAATAAATCAACATTGAGTTTATTAAGTAAGCGTGTGGCTGGTTTATCAATTATCTTCCTTGTGGCCAGGAAGTATCCACATAAGCAGAGTACTATTACTTCGAGTACACTCTGGATTCAGTGAGGAGTCGTCAATTAGCTTTGAGTCTACGCACGTTAAATACAGCTATAAGTAAATCATCAACAGGCGGTGTTTCGCTATTTGTCATAAAATGGACGTAGGAAAAAGAGAAATTTCGAGGCACGCAACTTAGCTTGGCTTATCATGACCAAGGAATTTTCTGCATTCCCCTACGAGCCGTACCCTATACAGAATGAATTCATGTCTGCGTGCTACGACGCATGCGAGAATAGCAAAGTTGCGGTGCTTGAATCACCCACCGGTACTGTGAGTCTACTATACACCGACATTCTGCGTTTTTTATAGGCTTGTTAGGGTAAATCACTCAGTTTATTAGTTGCTAGTTTGTCATGGTTGAGGGACAATGCTATACGCGTATGCTTTGATTTGCTTGTCAGTCACATTCCTGACATACTTTTCCACAGTCAAGGGAATCAACGATAAGCAAGCTAAGAGAGGAATTACTAGCAAATAGAGGTAATAAACCCGCTTGGGTCATCGAGCATACTATCAAACTCAAAAGAGAAGACCTTGTGGGTTTATCACACTTTGAGAATTCGCGATATTGATAGACATCCACAGGAAAATGAAGTTAGGCTTATGGATGAGAGGCTAGCAGCTGTCAAGGAAAAGGAAGCATCCCTGCGTAATCATTCACTCAAAGACACAATCGATAAGCCAAGGAAGAAGATTGTAAGGTGCTACATTGTTAAACCCCCCCCCCTGCTAATGAAACAATGTAGCGGATAGACTATGATGAGACAGCTGAAGATGATGATTTCTTGCCAGATGACATCAAGCATAATGACGAGAATGACGACATAAATGCAGATGCCAAGGCAATGCTAGATCAATTTGAGATGGACGCTTCTAAAAAAGGATCTAGAAATCAAAAGCATTCAAAATATCTCGAGGCAGCTGAACTAGAAGATCAAGAGGTAGATAGAACGAAGGTATAGTGTTTTCTTTCTGCATAATCATGTTTCACTCAACTCATTCAAGATATTTTTTGCTTCTCGCACGCATTCACAGCTATCGCAATTTATCTCTGAGATAAACAAAACCACATATAAGCAGGATGCCCGTGTGATATCACTGGCATCTCGCAAAAACCTCTGTATCAACGAAAAGGCAAGGAATGCACCAGGCGGAGACGCGGGCTTGAATGAACGTTGCAGGGAGCTGCGAACGGCACCTGCCTCTAGCGAGAAAAGATGTAAATTCTATCCGAAGATCGAGGAGCAGACGAAATTACTCGAATTTCGCGATCATGCCTTAGCTTCCATTCGTAATGTTGAAGATTTGGAGGAACTTGGCAAGAACCTCAATGTCTGCCCTTATTATGGGTCAAGACGGGCGATCAAACAGTCTGAAGTGGGTTGGAAAATTTGCATGTTTCAATATCTAACAGAGTTAGATATGCACCCTCCCGTACAATCTTCTCCTATCAAAACGTGCGAGAGAATCCATGGGTATATCTTTAAAAGATCGTAAGTGTGTCACATTTCAAATTGAATAGTGAGTAATTACGTTTCATCAGACATAGTTGTGATAGATGAAGCCCACAATCTCATTGACGTGAGTCCTTTTACTCGATATGATGTTATTTAACAGCAACAAGACCATCCTCGCCGTACATTCATGCAGCGTCTCTTTAAAGACACTGAATGCGGCAATGAAGGCCTTGTCTACGTATATACAGCGCTATGGCAAGCGCCTAAAGGGTAATCACGTAGTATCTCTCAAACTCTACGCCAAAACGTTAAAGGGATTGATAAATTTCTGCCAGAAAGTCCGTTCTGTTAACAAGAAACCCACTCAGGAGATTATTTACCTCCCCAAAGATGTCGTGGGAGACTTCGGTGAGGATGTAAACTTGGGTAATGTAGAGGCATACCTCCGTGATTCGCATATGTCGCAGAAGGTGAGGTAATAATATTGCGTATCTGCCATTACTAAATATTCAACAGTTAGGTTCTTTTGCTGAACGTGAAGCAAAGAAAGATGGATTGAAAAATGGACAATTAACTAGTCCTGAATCCCTTAGTTACGCATCTGCAAATTCTATGCATCAAGTTCAAAGTCTCCTTCTCGCTTTGGCTTATCCAGACGCTGATGGTCGCGTTGTTGTGACTTTCGATGCTGAAATACCGCGATTGAGCTATCAATTGCTGAACGGAGCTGAACACTTTAAGAGCATAGTTGATGATGCTCGATCAATTATCTTGGCCGGTGGTACAATGCATCCTGTTAGCGATTTCAAGACATTCTTAATGCCTTCACTTCCCGCATCTCGATTTAATAGTTTGAGTTGCGAACACGTTATACCACCAACCAATCTCCTCGCTACTGCTATAACCAAAGGTCCGAGTGGACAAGAAATGGATTTCAGGTTTGAAAACCGTTCAAAGGTGGACTTACTGAATGAATTAGGTATGATCATTCAGAATCTAGTCAATCTTATTCCAGATGGTTTAGTAATCTTTTTTCCATCTTATGGTTACTTGAATACTGTTGAATCTCATTGGAAGGCTTCTGGATTACTCAAGCGGATTGAGCAGAAAAAGAAAGTGTTCCGTGAGCCTAAGGAATCAACAGATGTGCAAGCAACCTTAGATAAGTATGCAGAGGCAATTCTAAACAAATCAGACAAGATGACAGGATCTATACTTTTCGCAGTTGTTGGCGCAAAATTGAGCGAAGGTATTAACTTTTCTGACAACCTTGCACGAGGAATAGCCATGGTTGGACTACCTTTCCCTTCACCATCACCAGCTTTGGAAGAACGAAAGAATTATGTGAGGAGCTTCAACAAACAAGCAAATCAAGACACTGGTAACGAATTAGTAATGAACCAATGTATGAGGGCAGTGAATCAATCCATCGGTAGAGCAATCAGACATCAAAATGACTGGGCTGGATTGATACTAATTGATAAGAGATTTGCAACATCGCAAATCCAAAACAAACTACCCGGTTGGATAAAAAAAAGTGTCAGTGTATCAAACAGCTTCCCTCAAGCAATTAAAACAATAGCGCCATTCTATTCCCATAAAAGGAGATTATGAAATGAGAGTTGTTATAAATACAGTAATGCAAAAATTAGTATATAAAAAGAACCAAACCCTTACTCATCCTCATACTCGTCATCTTCATCATCCGATTGAACGCCAACTAAACCTTCGTTTTGACGTTCACGCTCTTGGAAGTTGCTGATACGACCAGAGAATGCTTTCCTGACATTAGTGTTTGTACCTATATCCCATACTTGCAATTTAGCTTTAGATCCACCTGCAGCCAAGACCAATGGATCATCAGGACTGAAGGATACATTGAATATTCTACCAATATCCAAATCTCTAGATGTTGTTAAACTGACATTATTGAGGCTACTTTCCGTTTGATCTATGTTCCAAATCTTGATTTGTTTATCAGTACCACCTGTGGCCATACAGCCCTTGAAATGTGGATTAATATCAAGTGCAGAAGTTGCACCATCGTGTGCAGCCAAAGTGAAAATTGATTGCGATTCGTTGACAACTTTATCACCTTGCTTGACGGATGAAAGGTTTCTAATATCGAATTGTTGAACCAAACCGTTCTCAGTTGAGACGTAGAAGTTGTTACTACTAAATGGATCCCATTTACATACTTCAACATCAGCACTGACGAGGCAACCGACACCATCATCAGGAGATCTCGTATCGAATACTCTAACGGTCTTATCGAAGCCACCTGTCAATAAAACTTCACCTTGCTCTTCATTCCATTGCAAAGACTGAACTTTCTCATTGTGTGGGTTGAAACTTCTCAATGCTTTTGATGTATTCAAATCCCATAACTTGACAGTCTGATCGGCTGAACCAGATGCGAGAATATTTCTATGTAATTTGTTCCAACTCAATGACAAAATAGCGTCAGTGTGATATTCATCATTTGCTTTATTAAGCTTTGACTTCTTTTTACCAGTACCAGCAGCAGGTGCAGTCAATTTTGCAGATTTGCCCTTTTCGAGTTTACCAAGAATAGTGTCTGGATACATACCATCGATTTTGTCCAAAGACCAGATTTCAATTTCTGGCTCGAAGGTACCGACGGCGATGAAGTTGCCTGGGTTACCATTTCCTGGTGTATAATCAAGCCATTCTAAACAGAGTGGGAAAGACGGCAACATGAGGTCATGATGGACGTATAGATTCTCTTGTGAGTCGTCGTAAACGTGAACTTCTAAGATTGACAACTCGTCTTCTGTCTTTGCGGACACGATCATGTTATCTGATGGGAGAACTTCCATTTCTTCCCTTAATTCATCATCTTCCTCCTTCTTTTGTTCTTCTGAGAGGGTAACGTATGGGTCTTCGTCTTGATTTTTATAGTAAGAAAGACCTTTGATGTTAGAGAATGCTCCGAGTGCTGCAATAGTTTGTTAGCTTGGCCTATACTCTGGTATAAAAATACTAACCACCAGCTTCATTCGATTCCTCATCATAGTTCTCTAAGTTATACTCAGACAAATCGTTAGGATCCTTCTTCTCCTTCTTCTCGCTGGATTCATCCTCACTCATACTCTCGTCGTCGTCGTCGTCGTCTTCTTCCTTCTCGCTTGAGTTGATAGTCAGATTTGCTAGAATGGTTTATAGTGTAAACTAACTCATCGTTGTCATTCTCGACATCCATACCCTCATCCTTGGCTCTTCTTTCATCCATTTCTTTAGCTTCCTTCTCCGCTCTAGCAAGTTCAGTTTGTGCGTCTTCCAATTCAACTTTTGCTAAAGCAGATATTCTCTCCATCTCCTTATCATCGAGCTCATACTTTGTTGGGTGCTGCTCAGGAATACCCCTCTTAACCCAGGCTATACTACTAATCAAGCTCATGACTGAATTGATTGAAGGAAGAAGACAGTACAAAAATATAATAATCAGACTAAATTTTAAATATTTCCAACTAATATGCAATAAATTATAATAATAAAACTAATCTACCTTTTGTCTCTTTGATAGACCTCCAAGTGACTCTCTTTTGCGTGTTTTGTTTCCAGCTTTAAATGAATCTGGTGAGCTATACTTTGAAATAGGATGAGCGTAATCTAATGGTACGGTTTCTGCATCGTTAGGGAATGACGGCATGCGCGCGAGTGATCTAGTCTTCTTTCCATTTGAACGTTGCGTTTGAGGTGTGTCCACTTGACTCTCCTCAGCTAGAGTGCCCTGGCTAGATGATGATTCAATAGCTATATCATTGCGCTTCTCTAATTCTAATCTAGCAGCTCTGAATGCATGTTGAACAGCTCCGAATTTGCTGGCATCTATATACACTGTTAGTACTTCGTAGAACGTCACTCAAAGCATCAACAGACCTTTCGTAAAGCATCTCAACCATAACTCTTCAAAATGTTCAGGACGTGCGTAGAGTGATTGATCTCTACGCAACTTAAATTTATCTGAAGAGTTCATTTAGTAGGAAGTGATAACTTCAAAAACACCTACAGTCTGGTCCTTGACCGTATTTACTAAAGAACCAAATCTTGCTCACAGGATCCTCCTGTTTCATGCCATGGTGTATACGTGTCCAATCGACGATAATATCATCAGCAGTTAGTTCAACATTATCAGGCGCATGTGATGCAACAAATTCTGAGTTCAAATTTTCGATATCTTCTTTCGTGAATTCGCTAGATGGGTATACTGAATGATCGACGCATCTGTATAAATCACGAAGATATAACCGTTGAAGAATATCCCTAGCAGGTCCTAGCTCTTTGGCTGTTGATCTATTTATTTCCTCGATAACTGAATCTGTAAGGTGAAGATATTCATCTGGATTAGAGATCTTCTTTGAAATCCCTAAGTAGTCATCTGCAGCGACCAGCGCGTCTACTATCATGTATTCAATAGCTTGTGATGCTTTATGGGTATATATTCTACGATGGAGTGACCAACGAGTGTGAAACAACTCTGCAATGTTTATAACTTCCTTATGATCATAGCAGAGTTTGTCATCGATAACTCTCGCTGATTGGAGTATACGAGATGTATCGTGAGTGCTGTTAACACCAACATTACGTGTATCGCGGGCCATATACTATATAGAATGTTAAATGGCTTAAACAAATTATGAAGAACTCACGTCAAACTTATCAACATCCAAGCCATTCTCGTTGTTCGCTACAATGTGAAATAAGAATGGCTTCTCTTGTCTGTCTGTATTAGGACGTGGACGACCACGTATGAGGTCCTGAATGAATTCCAGCTCATCTCGTGGGAAATCCAACGTGCTGCGTTGCCGCATACCATTAAACAATGCTTCAAGCATCATTTCTGACGCGACTTCATGACTCCACTTAAGATTTGGAGATGTAGCTGGAATGAACGTGTTATCGAATACGTGACTGGAAGTGTATTAGTTATAACCGCCTGTAAACCGCGAAACGAACCTATATGGACCGTGCCCGAGATCATGACATAGACCAGCCAATGTTACGCAACGTATATCCCTATCGTCAATATTCAAATATGGCTGACGTGATTGGAGGAGAGTAACTAATTGATTCGCTAGCCAGGCCGTACCGATAGAATGCTCAAACCTGTTATGCGTCGCTCCCGGGAAGACGAAGTAAGAAGACCCAAGCTGCTTGAGATAACGGAGACGCTGGAATTGTGGTGTATCGATAACACTGAAGCATAGAGTATCTAAAGTTATATATCCATGAATTGGATCGTTAATTTTCCTTTCATTCCAGAAATCTTCTACGCTCATTATTGTTGCTTCAAAAGATACAAAGATAATGCCAGCAAAAAAAGGTGGAGCAGATAAAGTGAGTTTAAAATATATATAAAATATGCGATTTATGACTCAAAAAAAGCCTCAAAAAGGCGCTCAACACATTCAACTTCGTCATATTCTCACAGAAAAGCATAGCAAGGCAGCTGAAGCGTTGGAAAAGATAAATAATGGTGAGAAATTTGACAAAGTAGCCATGGAATACTCACAAGATAAGGCAAGAGCTGGTGGTTTGTTGGGTTTGAAAGTGAGTCCCAATCACACGCGTTTTATATCTAATAACGACAATCCAAGAAAAAAACCGACCTCGTAGAACCAATTTCTAGTATAGCATTTGATTTACCTATAAATCAACCATCGGAGATCGTCAAATCAGAATTCGGTTATCACATTCTGCTCGTAGAGGCACGTAAATAAAGCATTTTTACAATATCATCCTTTGTTCTTCATCTCACGCAGTCTTGCCATCACTTCAATAGGCGCAGACTCTCCTGTAGCATCCTGGACTGCCTTCTCGTGGAGTCTCATGAATGGGTTGTGTTTCAACTCATCAGCTATGGTGTAAACACCAACAGTACGCTTGTTAGTATGAGTGTAGTCTGCCAAGTCCTTCAATGCTTGGTTCTCAGGCTCAATTTTGAGTGCGAATTTTACGCTTTGTTTGTCAGTCTTTTTTTTACAATATAGGATAACTCACTTTCCAGCTGTGTATTCATGACCATTGTATACTACAGTTTCTGATGGAAGCTTTGCTAGCACACCGTTCAACGATTTGTGCATCTCTTCAGGCGTACCCTCGAAAAATCTACCGCATCCAGCGGTGAAGAGTGTATCACTAGGAGTAATTGAGTAAAGCTTATGTCAAAACATCAACACCTACCCTGTGAATACAGCTTTCTGTCTAGTTGCCTTATCTTCAACAAAGAATGCTATTGAATCTTGGGTGTGGCAGGGTGTACCGAAGCAGCTGCAATGGATTAATCAAGTACTCATAAACGAATAGCGCATACCTTATATCCAGATTTCCAAATTTGAAACTATCGCCGTGTTTGACGATATGAGATGTCGCACTTGCTTTATTCGATCCGGCGTAGAATGGAATGTTCGGATAGAGGGACTGAAGTTGGCTGTTACCTCCAGTGTGGTCATTATGATGATGTGTACTAATATTTGCTGATATTTCGACACCCTCAGCTGTGGCTGTCGACGTCACTTTGTCGACATCATAAGGATCGACAGATGCAGCTCTCTTTGCTATTTCGTCTATTATCAAATAGGCGTAATTATCAGATTGGTTTGGTACTGGAACAATTCTCATTTTGTTTACTAGTGAACGAAGCATTCAATGACGCAAATAATTGACGAATTAGCCGTGATTTATTTCAAAAATGATAAAAAAATTCTAAAACAAAAGTATATTGTTACATATAATTAGATTATCCAATAGATACATATCACAATCTTCACTTCTTCTTGCCGTTGTTTTCCTTAGAGGATGTCCCGTGGAAACCCATCCTTTCGGCATACGCGAGTTCCTCAGCTGGTGTGAGCTTATCAGCTCCACTCCAATTAGCAGAACTAGTTCTAGCTCTAAATTTGTGTCTGTTTGGATTCGTAGCTTGGCCAACACCGAAAATATCATCCATTGAGAGTGGTCTCATCATACCGAAAACCTCATCTGGATTGATAGTCGACTGCATCTGTAATTGTGCTTTAAGATTTGGTGATTCCGCCCATCTAGGGAGTTCATAATTCTTTGGTGTTTCATCTTCACTATCACTATATTCACTGTTGATATCTGGTAACTCGATGGACTCGGTGTTCGATGATGCGTTTGTGTTTATCAGTGGAACTGGCTTCGGTAATGGTAGAGCTGGCTCTTTGTCCTTGGTTTCTTTAGCGGTGCTGGCGCGATGAGCATTCGACATAGCTTTATATCCGAGGGTGCCATTCGATGCACTAGGTCTGAGACCTCTATGTAATGGTGTATTAGATACTCTCGTCGCACTCGTAGTACGTTGATGCATTGGTCTTACTGCACCACCAGTTTGACGCTGTGATTGAGAAATAGCCAATTTGTTCTTTCCACTTTCGTCATCGCTTGGTGCTCTACTGGCTTTCCTAGCCGCGAATGCCCTCTCCCTCTCTCTTTGCTGTTGTTGAAGTCTCTCTTGCTGAGCTTGCGCTTTCTTCGCAGCCGCTGCTTCTTCTCTTTCTCTTCTTCTCTTCGCAAGTTCATCTCTTTGGGCTCTTCTCTCAGCTTCTTGTCTCTCGTAGACTTCTTTTTGTGCTTGTACACGTTTCATTTCTTGCTCCTTTCTGAACATTGCTTTACGCTCTTTCTCTTTCTCTTTTTCTTTCTCAGCTGCCACCCTTTCAGCTGCCTCTTTCTGAGCTTGCTGTATTGATGCTTGCGATGGCATCCTTTGGTGTCCAGGACCGACACTACCACTTGGTACAGCTACTGCTGATGTTTTCTTGTTGAGTGATTTCCCCATTTGGGTAACACTAGGTCCAAGAACACTAGAAAATTGATTCTTGAAACTAACGTCAGCAAAATAACTCTAAAATTACGCGATACCTCACCTTTTTATCACTATCTGTGCTGCCTGCACGTGGACGGAATTTATTAGCAGTTTGTAAGGGCTTGACAGTCAAAGATGGCTTAGGCTGTGGTTGCTGCTTGGTATTTGGTTGTTTAGCTGGTCTGGTTTGGTCATCCTCATCAGCTTCATTACCATCTTCGTCCATGTTATCTTGGTTAGTGTGTTTCCTCTTGTTCTTCATTTTATCTTCGCTTTCGGCTTTTTGACGCTCCTCTTCTTGTTTCCTCTGCTGTTGTGTGATTTCTGAAAGGTCCATTGGTTCATCTCTGCTTTCCTTGTGTACATCAAGGATGGACCTTTCGACAGCGTCTTCATCTTCGTGTTCTTTGTCTTCCGTTGGCTCTGGGTAAGGTTCTGGTTCAAACTCAGTCTGCATTGGAGCTTCTTCTTGATCCTCTTGCTCAGGCTCTTCATGCTCCTGGTCTTGCTCCTGTTGGCCAGAGTCTGAAGCCGGATAAGCACCTGGTATGTGTGCAGATACTCCACTACCCCAGCTCTTTTCAACGCGTTTCTTTGGGGGACTGTTAGGTGGTGTAGTAGAGTCACCGAGTTGTGCATTCACTGAGGACGCTTGTTCTTGCGGTTGTTGCTCTGACGGCTGCACGATTGGCTCTGAAGCCAGAGAAATTGGAGCTTCCTTAGGCGGTAAATCAAACAAGTTTACTTTCCTTTGGGTACCCGCGACTTGCGTCAAACGTTTGCGGATTTCAGCTGTCTTCAGTGCTAATGCATCTGCCGGTGTCTTTGGCTCATTAACTTGTTGCTCGTATGAGGAACTCTTGTTAAATTTGCGGGATTGAGTGTGTTCAGATGTCTCATCTTCGATCCTGTCAGATTTGCGTTTAGACGATGACCTCTCGGATTCTGAAACGTTTGGACCACCTTTGACCGACTGGCTTAGCCAGCTTGCGCGTGTCATCGACTCTTTTGATTCTTTTGCCGTCGATATCGACTTCTTCAATGGTGAGCGTCTCGGTAAAGATGCAAATGCGAGTGATTTGCGCGGTGGACTATTGTTCTTACTCTTGATTGTGTCTTCCTCATCTTCATCGCCTCTAATTGGCGCCGTGAAATCGGTGGATGGTTTGTGTTTCCTTGCACTTCCTTCAGGCTGGACAGGTGATTGTTTTTCTTCAGGCTCAGCGAGTTCTTCTTGTGGTTCGTCAAGAATTTCTTCTGGCTCGTCTTCCTCCTGTTTGTCTTGCTTGTTATTGCCTACTTCGGCATTGTTATCATCACGCATGTCTAGCAAAGCTTTGTGGAAGGTGTTGACAGCCGGTGGAGGTGACTTATGCGCCTTTTCGGTCGTGTTCTCTGGTAACTTGACCGATTTCTTAGCCGTTTGGTTCGTATATAGCGGTAAACGAGAAGGTGAGTTGTGAGCCCTAAGAGGTGATTTTGATGGTAATTCTGGCTGCTCTGTTTGCTCTGTATTTTCTGGCTCCTCGTTGAAAACATCCTAGAAAGGGGGTCTTAGTTTATAAACCACGGAAAACGTGAACATACTTCGTTTATTTGCTGAATTTTCTTGGCTGATTTCTGCGCAGCTGCTATTGCTGCTCTAGTACGCCTAGTAGAGTTCTGCCTCCTTGATGGTGTTTTCACCAATTCAGTAGTTGGAGCCAACTGAGTGCTATTGAAGCGTGATAAGAAATCATCTACGAAGTTGCAACCATCTTCAACTAAATCTTCTAAAATGTTCAGCGGTTGGTGCGCGTCTTGCTCTATTTTTGAGCGTATATTAGTCGCCCAATTCATCGCGTCGTCGTTTGAGTACAACTAAGGTAAAGCGCGTAAATAATTATAAAATTCGTTTAATAACATTTATATAGACAAAAATATTACAGAAATATTCAATTTTTTTACTTTTATTTTGTGTTAATCAAGTGAAATAAGTGAGTTGAGTGAAATAACGGTATAGAGTGACTTGCTCTTGTATTTTTGATAGTTTATTGGTATAGAATCGTTATGTTTCTTTTTAATTTTTAGCAAGAGAAAGCTATTTTTTTATAACTCCAGATCCAAATCAAACTGTGTTGCATCGTCTTCGTGGGTGTGTGGTTTTAAAGTAAGCGTGCTATTTTCCATATTATTCATTGCTGGCGTTGGTAACTGCTGAGTTGTATTGATAGCAGGAGAAAGCGTGAAGGCGGAGGAAATTGAAGATGTTCTGCTCGAATGCTTTCTACGTCTCTCTAAAGGTGTCAACAACTCATCCAAACTGGATGGCAAAAATTCTTCACCATTCTCAAGATCGTCAAGTGTCTCATTCTTGTCTAAATTGATGTCATCGTTATCAACATACGAGAATGACCTCCAATTGTAATACAAACTTGGCCTCTGGAAGGAGCTCAAAGATTGGCTCAGCTGATGTGTCTCTGGCTTGGCGACTGGGCTTGATTCTGGCTTTAGTGACGTAGTAGGGAGTGCATTCAAGGACGTAGATTGAGGTATACGCAACAAATCGTCTACTTTATTTAAGCTTTCTTTGATTAGATCCTTTTGTAGCTGTAAAGCCTCTTTCTTGTTCCTTTTGTCCATTGACTGAGGCTGTCCAGGCATGACGTGACTTAACGCACATCTATGGCCAAATCGACAACTACCCTTTATATACCAAGTACATGGCTGTATATTAGATTTATTCTTTGCTTGGGTTGAGTGACTGAACGGGCAATCGTCACCTGTTCAGTCGTCAGCCACAGGATCACCCTATAAAATAGACTCACCAGCTCTGCACTGATCCTTCTTGTAGAATTTACAGGGTACGTGGCTAGTTACTGAGCCATTCTCCTTGCTTGATAAGCTGCTCATAGGTCTTTATATTCAACGTAGTGATAAGACGCTTAATTACGCTATTTAAATTAAAAATCTTCTTAAACTCAAACGATGACGACGGTCGATAAAGTCGATATACATCCTAGAGCACTCGTTTGTCAGGTCTGCTTCTTTTGTTTCCGTCTATAGACCGAATTGACACCGCTATAAGGACGCTGATTTGAGAGGTAATATAACGATATCAGATGGTACAGTAGTACATCCAAAGTGTACTATATTAGCCGTACCCGGTCCTATCATCATAGGCGAGAACTGTATCGTTGAAGAAAGTGCAATTATAGTGAATAGGTAGGTAAAAGACTTCTGTAGTGAATATATCACCTATATACAACCTAAAACACCTCTAACAACCCCGATAGACGTAAAGAGCCTATGTTAATTGGAAATGAAAACGTCTTCCAAGTTGGCTCCCGCCTGGAAGCAGCATCAGTAGGAAACCGTAATACATTCAGTCCAAAATGTAGAGTATTGAGCTCTATAGAGATACCCGACGACTGTTTTATCGGTCCAGCTTGTTTGGTTGCCCCCGCATTCACGAATCCACCAAGAGAAGACTTGAGTGAACGTCTCCAAGACTACACACAGGTATTCGGGCAAAATTCTGAGCGCAGGATTGGCGACAGCGTCGGTAAAATACATCAAAGGGCTTTACTCGCGAAACATTTGGATTATTTGCGATTTGTGAGTACTCAGGATGTCTTCTCGCTCGACTAACGCATGAAAAGGCACTACCAAAGTATGTCAAAATGAGGAATGTATAGAACAAAATGTATGATTATTTATTTGTCAGTTTTTACTTCTTCTGGGGTTCGTTAGTTGAAGTTTTAAATCAAAGCTCGAGGGAATGTCCAGTCAGTAAATCATTTTCTCATTCAAGATGGATTATGAAGTCTAACATATCTTATATTTGGTACGTCTTTAGTAACTCATCCCTTTGGACATTCCCTCTTGCATTAGAAGAGACTCACATCATGATGGTTTGAGTTCAAGAGACAAATTAATCCATGCGCGATTTAAGTGAGCGAGTGATCATTTTCTCAGGTGTGCTAGAGTGTCGTTAGTTGTTTCACTGGACGAACAGTCCGTTTACTCACATAACGTGAACAACAGCACCCCAACCAGACAAAGCATCACGGTCAACACCATTCAGGAGTGTCTGTGAGATCGTTTCAAACAAATCTTCAGCTTCTAGGTCTGGCTCCCAGAGACTCTCTGCCATACCGAACATTTTGTCAGATGCTGTACCAGAAACAACAAAGTCCTTAGCGAAATTCAAACAACCGATTAAGTCAGTAGCTGCTATGAAAGGTTCTCCGTTGTTTGGATCCAGTCCAGCGACAACAGGCTCGACGAAATAGGGAGACCACCTTCTCTCATACAAGGTAGAGCTGACGAGGTGTGCGAAGGTATTTGGCTCTATCTCTCTACCCTCTTTAAGCTTGTACATGTTTGTCCTGAATCTGAATGTGTCTCGTCTGTATCGTCTAAGATATAGTGTACGCGTCATAAGGCTACTCACAGCGTGAGGACATCACTAGCCAAACCAGGCAAACCAACGAATAACTTTTGCGTTATCGGAAATACCTAGGAGTATGTTTAGTATCTAGCCATCAGCACATAGCGATATCCCACCTTCTCAAAATTGGCTGCTAAACTCATATTCCTATTACCCAGTCTGAGATCTCCTGCTATAGCGACACATTTCTTCCCTCTCATGGCTACCACAGAGCCACCGTTGTATTCCATTATCGACATTTCTGATCTTAGTTGATGACGGTATAGTCTCAAGGGTGATTTATCAACATTTTACTACAAAACAGCTAATAGACTCTCCAGCGTGGATTCCCTTGATAATATTTCCTTCAACTCTCCCCACAATTCGTCTAATGTTTCTCTACCGTCCAACTTTGCTTTTCCTAATCTATCCAGTTCATCCGCCAATTGTTCAACGCCGCGCTGTCTGCCGCGTTCACCACCTAGTTCCTCTTCAAACGTTACGTTAGATGTGCTCTTCTGCTTGCGATCCTCCTCTTCGTGCTCTTTCGCGTGTTCGATAGCTTCGATGTCTTTTGGGAGTATCTGATGGGCACTAACCCTTCCGATGTTACTCACTAGACTCCTACATCGCTCTAGCTGCTCAGGGGAAGCTTGTATATTCGTCAAATGTGATAGCGTCTGGTTAGCAAATGCTCTCAATCGTCCAAATTCCCTGCCGTAGCCTACTCCAGTTATGTAGCCTTCATCAAAGCCCGGTTGGAGATGAGCTTCCTTCCCGTAGCTTATCCCCTCTCTGTATCCTTCCTATAGCACACTCAGTCGGTCTTCTCGGAAGTAGAATCTGACTAACATCCATGAAGCGATCTTCAAGCTTATTCCAATCTTTGTCACGCTGTTTGTTCTCTAGTTCATCATCTGAACCACCCCAAACGTCGTCTTCGATAATCTTATCTTCCGAATCCATGAATGTTATGATGCAAGAGATCTTTTTGGCAGTAATACAAAAAAACATCTACCAGCTCTTCTCATATTCGAGAAGGCTTTTGTAGGTATCAACACAGGTTTGCTCGTAGGCTATGAAAGTGCTTTTCAAAATTGATTTAGCTTTTCTGTTGGTGTACCAACTTTGATTTACTAATTTACCAGCACCGGGATTACCCTTTGGTACTCTCTTCGCTACTTCCTCGCCATTGACGCCTTCGTGTACTGCATCGAGCATGTCTTGCCATGTCTTGAAACCGCCATCGCAAACGCAGACAAAGCGTTCATTGGCAGCTTCAGCTACTTTCAAACAATCGACGTGCATTTGCGCAACATCACGTACATCCGCGAGATTCGTCATCGGGTTGCTGAATGATGCAGGATCATCATCGATTTTGCTCCCGTTGAAGAAGCTATAAGCCCATAAACTGGATGTATTGAGAGCGTCTGCTCTATCGGCTTGGCGTATAAGGGGTCCGAGGATAAGCGGTGGTGTTATAGTGGACAAACTAAACGACGGTGTCTTTTTTTTCATGTACTCCCAAGCAGCCTTTTCGGCTAAGGTTTTGCTAGCTCTATATTTAGATTGCGCGCGTGCATTTATACCCATCTCCTCACATTCTTTCGCAGAATGCTCATTCCAGTCCTACGAACGTTGCGTCAGTAATTAAGACACACTAACAAAGCTTACTGACCTCCTCTGTGAACATTCTAGGAGTATGTGGTTCAGGGTTTACAACGGCAGCTACGGAGCTCGTTAGGATGACTCTGCGTACTGTTTTGCTTTTGCTCGCTGCGTTGAGGACGTTTAACGTACCGCCAACTGCTGGTTCGATTAAATCTGATGGCTCAATGGCATTGAAGTGGAATGGAGAGCTTATGTGACAGATCCCATCGACATCTTCTGTGATTTTATCGAATACTCCGATTGACCTCATATCTTCTACAATCACGTATTCAAACTTGCTAGCTTTCTCTTCTCCTAAAAGATTGTGCAGTGTTTTTACCAAGTAGTTGCCTTTGTCTGCGCTCCTAACTGTACCTCTAACGCTGTACCCATCCTCAAGCAATTTCAACACAGTCCAGCTTCCAACGAAGCCGTTAGCACCTGTAACTAAAACTTATACTGTGCTTTAGCAGTTATATACAATAATAATTTGACAACCCACTCAATGCCGTCATTTAGTTGATGATGATTGTGTAAAAACAGCTAAAATTGTACAATTGTGAAGTTTTAAAACTAAGAAAGTAGAAATTGAGTATATTCTATTAATTCACGCTTTGATGCACTGTAATTTTCCATTAAAAAGGTTTCAACATTTAGGAACAACTTACGGTATAAGAGTAAAAATACACCGCCAACACTTTGCATTGACGTTAAAATAACACTAAAACGATTGAGCTAGATGTCTGTTGGTTTGTTTCACTTTAACGATACGAAATGAGCACGAGAGTACTATAGCACAGTGCGCTATGCAAGCCAGATTACCAGCCGGAACTACAAGCGACGTTAGTGGAATATAAAATACTAAAAAGATGGCTCACCCGTGATAATCAGGTGACGAAGATAAGTAAGGATTCGTCGATCGCCGAGTTCTACGATACTTGGATAAGTCGTTCTCTGTAAGATTTCTACCAGCTATTGATGAACTCGATGGTTGGTTTTGGATTGTCGTAGTCGACAACATTTTTGTCGGGTATTGATTATCGCTACGTTCCGGTGTGGACCTATACCTTCGGTGAGATGTGTTGATAGAACTGACACTATTTTTCATCCTCGCAAGGTGTGTGGCTGACTCGAGTTCTTCAGCTTCAGCTTGACGTTCATCCTCCTCTTTCAGCCTTTCTTCGGCCTCCTGGCGAGCAAACTTTTCTTGTAACTTTGCATTGAGCATACCAGAACTGTTGTTGTGCCCGCCGAGAAGCATCCTGGCCCTCGTTTCTCGTTCCCAGAGGATAGACTTTCTGAGACTTTCGCTCAGTTCCGAGGCCAGCATGTTGCGTCTAATTGTGCGGGGTGATTGGGGACGTGCACCGACCGGGGCATCATCCTCAGAGCCAACTAGTGTCGAAGCATAGCTAATATCTTTAGAAGACTGTGCAGGTGAGGATTTCGACATAATCGCACGGGGTGCGCCCTTTGCGGAAATATCCGGATTACTGTTCGAGCGTGAGCTGTTGTGCTTTATGGCAAGTTGCTCGAGACGCTTGCTGTTCCGTGCATTGAATTCTATGCCACCATCATCAGAGTCGTCGTCGGAGTCGAGTTCGTTCGCGTTGGGGGGAGGGGGGAGTCTCCTATTGTTATTATTGTTGTTGGTGCTACCGTTTGCCAAGTTCTGCTGGCTGTTGAACATAGTACTGAGCAAGCTGAGCTTATCCTCGCTTGGGTAGATTGATTTATTGGAGAGGAAATATGTGAAGCCACCAGCAGCGGACATAGACCGCTTTGGGAGCTTCTCGAAGCTCAATGGCTGGCTGCTGCCGTCGTCGCCGCTATCGCTGTACTCGGACCAGGAGGAATCGTCGTCCTCAGAGATTTCTCTCTCTACTGAGCTCGCTTGCTGATCATCTGAGGCGGAGGTCGAAATGTAGAATAATTTCCCTCGCTTCTTGTTTAAAGGTTCCATGTTCAAGTTCATCATTGCTCTTCACTGTTCGATTGCAAGGTCATACCGTAGATCAGCTGACGACGGTCTTCAAATTTCTTCAATTAATTTATTTACAAATTCTAAATTCTCTGTTAATATGCGCACGTCTTCAAACTTCCGCGCTTCTTTTGTTCTCTCTATTTGCTGCAGCAGCTGCGATTGCTGTTCGAATAGTGCCTGTAACTTGCTGTCGTCACTATCGTCGAGCTTGCTCTCATCTTCCCTCGCCTTGGCTGCCATCCGCTCTTTCTCCACTTGTCTCTTGAGTAGTCCCATATAGATCCCCAGGCTCCCCTTAAACTTGGTCGATATCGCTCGGCAAAGTGCCGTGGGTTCGTCAAACTCTTTTATCAGATATTCTAGGCGTTGTGTTTTCGCCATCAATTCTTTTGTCGCTATAGCATCACCCTTTATCTTATCGTTTAGCTCTTTCTCTAGCAAAATCGCTTCCTGTCAACGTGCGTGAGAATCGCTCGGGTAAAACATATCACACCTTACCTTGTATGCACGCATGTAGCGCGGTATAAATACTCTCATTTCTTGTCGTTCAACAACTTTCCAACATTCTAGGCAGACCCTAATTCCGGTTATTTCCTCGTCAAGCCGACACATTCTTATCTTGCCTGAGGGGTCTTTCGTCATCACAACACTTGCTCTGCGCTTTATTGGGTCCTTTTCTACGACTGCAGCACTGACAACTCTACCGCACATTCTACAGTGATGCTTCCGATATTTGAGTGGGTTGAATTGCACGTGAGCAATCGGGCACCATTGTACAGCCTTATCGTCCTCCCATTTAACTACGTTCTGCTCTTGGGCTATGTATGATTAATTTAATAAGGCGTCAAGATGAAACATTACTTACATCGCAACCTAATGTCAGAAAGTAAACCAAAGGCATCATTATGTTTATTGTGTACTTCAAAGAGCTTATCAAGACGCCTCATGAGTCTCCTATCGTTTAGCATATCTTTATCGTCACGCTTATGTTTATCTCTCTCGTTTGTGAAGTCCTGGATCCTATCCCTAGTGACGCCTTTCGGTTGGAAGCCCACCCTGTAAGGCGTACGCCTATTTCCTAACATACTAGACATACTAAAAGTGCTGGTAAACGACGGTGAACGCGACTTCGCGTATATTTGATAATTAAGATCAGGTATCGGTGAACTAGAAGTAGATGGCTGTTGTACCGTACTAATACTCCTATTAAAGCTATGCTTGGGTATTTGGGATATCTGAGCTGTCGACGGGCTTGCTATTGGTGAGGACTGGCTTGAGAGCGTACGCTGGTGTGCTCTCCGGTTGTTGCTGATGTTATCAGTTGGTCTCAATCGTCTGAACTGTGTTTTTGGTGCGTCTTCTCCATTTTTGCTCATTTATCTCCTCGTCGTTCGCTACAACCAAGTGCGTGGATGAATACGCAGGAATACAAGCTTTTGCTCGCTATTTCTATAGTAACTTTTATCGTGAGATGCTATAGACTCGGTAGTCCGCCTTCTGTCGTCTTTGACGAAGTCCACTTCGGCGGTCAGGTTTCTAAGTATATCAAGCAGCGGTAGGTCGATATTTGATAGCAATTTATAATCTATTCACACAGTTATTAGATTCTTCATGGATGTGCACCCTCCTCTCGCCAAATTACTTCTCACAGCCGCCGCTGCTATATTTGGGTTCAACGGGAACTTCTCTTTTGAGCACATTGGAGACGACTATGTCGTTCATGACGTACCATATATTGCTATGAGGGCAGTACCTGCTCTCCTTGGCGTAGCCCTCACTCCCCTCACGTATCTTATCTGTCGATCACTCCAGTTGAAGCCAATTTCAGCCTTGCTGGGAAGTTTGTTGATCACATTCGAGAACGCGTTAGCGACACAATCTAGGCTCATCTTACTTGACTCTCCTTTGGTTTTCTTTACTGCTCTCTCGACGTATTCTTTCATTAAATTCTACAACCAGAACAAATCAAAGACAGCACATTTCACCCAGGAATGGTGGTCGTGGCTCTTCTTGACTGGTTTATCACTCGGAGCAGTACTCAGTGTTAAATGGGTCGGTCTCTTTACCGTTGCTACCATTGGCGTAGCTACTGTTTATCAGCTTTGGGAATTGCTTGGCAATTTATCTATACCACCACGCTTGCTCTTTAAGCATTTCACTACGAGAGCATTGTGTTTGATAGTTATACCAATCTTATTCTACTTGTGGATGTTCGCTATACATTTATCGATACTCAATAGATCAGGAGGTGGGGATACCTTCATGTCAGCGGCTTTCCAACATTCTTTAAGAGGAAACAGGTTGCAAGATACTTACGCACCAGTTGGTATGGGATCGGAAGTTTCCATTAGACACTTACACTCCACTGGTGGTTACTTACACTCCCATGAACACGATTATCCAACAGGATCATTCCAGCAGCAAATAACACTCTATCCATACACTGACGATAACAATATCTGGCAGATCGTAGAAAGAAGTGATAACAATGGCGAACCTGATCACCATGATTATCATAATGAGAAATTCAGACAAATCTACAACGGAGCTGTAATTAGACTCATGCATTTGGATACAGGAAAGAGGTTACACTCGCACGATCACAAACCTCCAGTTAGTGAAGCTGAATTCCAAAATGAAGTTTCTGGATACGGTTTTGAGGGATTCAATGGGGATGCTAATGATAACTTCAAAATTGAGATTGTGAATGGTGACTCAAGAGATCCTTCATCGTATAAGGAACTCAAAGCAATTAAAACTCATTTCAGATTGAAGCACGTTCTTAGTGGTTGTTATCTCTTTTCACATAAAGAAAAGCTACCAGAATGGGGGTATGGTCAACAGGAGGTTACGTGTAACAAACAGTCTCCCCTCGAGAATAGCATTTGGTATGTCGAAGTCAATAGCCATGGTCAACTTGAAGATAACGAGAATGTTGAAATGGTAAACTACCGCCCAATGGGATTCTTGGAGAAGTTCTACGAATTACAAAGTGTCATGTGGGACGTGAATAATGGTTTACTTGAGAGACATGCTTTTGACAGTCGACCAATGTCTTGGCCTTTATTTTTACGTGGTATCAATTTCTGGGTTAAAGATCATAAGCAGATCTATCTGATTGGAAATCCTGTCGTTTGGTGGCTTGGATTTGTAGCTATCCTTGGGTCTGGTGCCTACCTCGGTTTACTTACGTTGAGAAACAAGAGAGGCTACTCTGATTTTGATGGTGAGTTGCTTGTTTTTGTAAGATGACACTGACACTTCATTAGCCAGCACCAGACATTACACTTTGATCTCTTCATTCGTTGCATCTGGGTGGGCTCTACACTACATTCCATTCTTCTTAATGGAGAGACAACTATTCATTCATCACTACCTACCAGCTCTGTTCTATTCAATTGTGATGATATCTGTAATTTTCGACTTAATAACGAACAAGCTAAGATCGAGAATTCGTTTCCAGCTGGCTGGATTGATACTAATTGTTGCAATGATCGTTTACTTCAAATTCAGTCCTTTAATGTATGGGTTAGAATGGACGAACAATGAATGCGAGAAATCTAAATGGCTATCATCTTGGGATTTTGCTTGTCAGCAATTCCCAACAAGTTACGATGATTATGCCCAATACAAGGATGTCTTACAGGAGAATATTGTAGAACCTGCTAACGACATATTTGAGGAACTACAATCAAAAGCATCAGATAATTTAGCTCAGTCGACTTAATTTAATTTGTATAACAAAAAAATAATGCATTTCACTTCCTAGGAACTTCTTTATCGACAATCATCAAGTCATGTTGAGTGAAGTTGTCGTAGCATCTACTGCAGGTAGCAGTGTACATGGTAGCGGTGGTGTACACATATATGATGCACTCACCGGTAGTTCCTTGCATTCTTTCAAAGGTTCAAGTGGGATATCTGCTGGATGTTCTGTCGTGCTGAGTACAAAACTGGTCGGTGGGATAGTAGCAACACCACAATCTGATAAAGGTGTTTTGAACGTTTATTCCTGGCAAAAAGTATGTCTTCTCTCAAAATCACGAATATGGCTCACAGTCGTATAGGAGCAACTGCATAGTAAAATTATCCTTCCGCAGAAACTCACGGCCTGGTGCGTATCACCTGATAACTCATTCTGCGCTGGTGGTACAGATGATGGTAGAGTGTTTTTATGGGAAGTAAGTAGAGAAGAATTACAAGAAGAAATGCTCACGATCTTCTAAGATAAGTTCAGGCGTATTGTTTGCAAGCTTTGATGCACATTATCGTCGTATAAATAAGCTCGAATTTGATGAGAAAACGAGCGTCTTGGTTAGCATTTCAGACGACGCGTCTGTGAACGTCTGGCTAGTATCTAGGTGGGCAAACTAATACCGATTGAAGTATATATTAATGATAGTAGACTCCTAGATGAAGACTTACAAGGACAGCTCCCCGTGCCATATTGCACATACACCGACCACACTTTACCAGTAAAGGATCTTTATGTCGGATTGGGAGAATTCCCTGATGCGAGAATATACACGAGCTCACTCGACCAGACTGTAAAGGTATGGTTTGCTAATCAAACAAGATGCAGCTAATCAAAGTATAGATATGGTCACTCAAAACACGCTCACTAATCTCGACAATTGAATTCCCAACAGCATTAACATCATTAGCCGTGGACAAGTTAGAGCGTAGGCTCTATGTGGCCTCAAACAATCAAATTTACAGAGCAGATTTGCATGAGAGACAAACATCCTTGAGGGCTGGCGACGATGATACACATGAGCGTGTTATAAAATTACCAAGAGAGACAAGCATAACGACATTAAGCTTTAGTGTATCTGCAAACACAGTCTACCTCGGTTGTCAGGATGGTTTGATAGAGTGCTACGACGTGAGATCACACCAGCATCTCAGAACCATGGGTAATGGCAAAAACGCACTTGCAGATATTAAATCCATCATCAAGCCTATTGACCTGGGTGGTGTTTCTTCGGCTACAGCCATTTCAGCGAATGTAACAGGATCAACAGCTGCAGCATCGTCTGCTTTACCACCTATTTTACCTTTCGGTAACCTCAAGAAGACAATTGGTGATTCTGATCGCGACAATCATTCTGTCCAAATTCGTACTGGTGTCAAATCAGTCACTGATGGATTCTTTGATACACTCTTTGACGAGACAAGCGATGAAGTGATTGTTAAACAATCAGCAGAAAGTAAACCAGTAGAGAAAGATGACGGACGTGTCAAGAAACTCAAAGAGGAGCTCCAAGAATCTAAGGTAGCTCTTGAGAAAGCGAACAAGATCAACGAAGAAATGTGGGATGCAGTCAACAAACTAAAAAGCAAGAACACAGAGGGCACGAACAAGAGACAAAAGAAGTAGAATAATAGAATAAATTTGTTGTATCATTAATCATAATCGTTAATTAGATATTTCCAGTGTCTTTGTTAACTTTTTCAGCAGTTCTGTTAGCGTTCTTAGCGAGCTCTTCTGGTGTAGCATGAGGGTCTCTATCAGCTTTAGCGGCCTCCTCTGAGCTAGTAGCAAGTGTAGGATTCCAGCCAGGTGCGTGATCGCTGCTTACATCACATTAATATGTGTACATATGGGAAGAGTAGAAACTCACTGTGGTGACACATCCTCGCCGTGCTCGTTCTTGTTTCCTGCTTTGTCTTGCCTTCTACGTTCTTGTTCTATCACCTTTGGATCTTGCTTTGCTTGACCTTCCACACTCGATAAAACGGCGCGGGAAGTGAAAATTGTACGTGTTTGCTGACGTGCGAATCTAGTGAGCATTTTTATTTTTAGTTGGTTGTAATGGTAGTTATTCAACAAACGAGTTGATCCTCATTTGACGAAATTTGGTGTGGATTAAGCACCTATGACGTTGTTGTCATCCCACTTGTCTGGCGCTCTATTCCGAATATTTCCTTGGATTTCTTAGAGTGTTGGATAAGAATGATATACCCACTCAATACACAACACTTTCCTTTTTCATAGATGTCTTCTTACTCATCTTGGGACATTAATAGAACCAATAAGAAGGGAGGTGTATGACTAGCGTCTTGGCTATAGACATCCGTAGATACTTGATAACGGCAGTAAAATACATTACCTACTATTCAAGATCTTTCGTCATACCGAGAAATACTAAAGCTAATGAAAGTGATCAGGATATCAAGCAATGGACTCAAAGTTGAATACTATTAGCAGCTCGTGGAATTACTACCCTATTCCTACAGTTTCGGTAATGTTTCAACTCTGTAATATTGTTATGTAGGTACTTAGTAGGGTTACGCGGATCGAATATGCATCAAAACACCATAACATACGCTCTAATGCCATTCATCTCTTAGTACGAGGGGGTACGTCTTGTTCTCGCCTGGTTGGTCGTACAAATCGGTGCACACGAACTGATATATGATATAAACCAAAATTGCATCATCTGCAACCTACAGAGTTGATAATGACGTTAAGACCTTAGATCGTACCTCCAAATATACAAGAGGACTATAGCTGATCTCAAACAGTGACGTATTATGTACGACCATCAGTAATATCTTACGTTAATACCATCGGTTTGTCACTCCCTGGATGTTGTGTATCTGTTACGATATTGGTATAAGGATGATTGAGATCTCGAGAGACGACAACCAGTTGAACGGTTGTTAAGCAATTACATAGCTTACATTATAGGAAACTCTCTCTTAAAGCAAAATCGAACATCGTATCAGCCTGCTATGTTACAGATTTTAATCGACGCAGCACAGAAATGCAGTGACAGTTTATAACACGCCTTATATCCCTACAATATTAAGATCTAATAGACAGACAACGTGACTACATAACAGTGTGATTACAAAATCAGCAAACAAACCAAGAGAATTGAGTTATAAAGATTAATACATGGAACGCAGATAAATTACAAAGATCTAATAAAAATTACTCCTTGGCAGCTTCTTTTGCGGCGGCTTTTGCGGCTTTCTTTTCAGCTTTCCTACGTTTTCTCTCCTCCTCATCTTCTTCACCTTCACCTGCGGCTTCTGAACGTCTACGCTTCTTGTCTTTCTTCTCTTTCTTACGTTGAGCTTCGGCATCATCAACTTCCTCAGTCTTCATTGGTGAAGCTGGCTTTTCAACACTTTCTACCTTAACCTCTTCCTTAACTTCCGCGGTTGGTTCTGGTTGGGTTGGAATCGTTGTTGATGTTTGGCTATAATCAGTGTAGCCGTTCTTCCAGCTTTCAGGAGTTGCATCAGTGTGACGACCGAACTTGTCAAGTTGTCCATCCTTGATCATCTTCTTCTTTTGTTGAGCTCTTGGACCGAGACCCCACTTTCTTGGGAACCAGTCACGTTCCATAATACAACGCTTGATCTTTGCTACGACACCGTGGTCGACGGTTGACAAGTCAGCTGTTGACATTTGCGCAATACCGACAGCGATAGCTTCACCCTTTGTTGTCATAAGGACGACCTCTTCGTTAACTTCAATGCCATTTTCATATCTTAATAAACCTGGAATCATAAGCTTGGCACCATAACAGAGGGCGTTTACGGCTGAATCCTTTACAACGATTCTCTTGTAGTTAACAAGGAGAGCTTCGAGTGGTCTGATGACTCTACGTAAGTAAGATTCGTCTCTGGTGTTGTCGTAAATCCATTGAGCGTCGAGAACATCGTGCATAGAGACGATATCATCATCTTCGGACATGGCACCTGAACGAACACGTCTGAGTTCTTGCATGTGACCACCAACACCGAGGAGGAGACCTAAGTGAACACACAAGGTACGAATGTAAGTACCAGCTTCACATGAAACCCAGAAGACAGCTAAACCACGGTCATTGTCGAATTCTATGAGGTTTGATTCGTAGATGGTTCTGATACGAAGTTGACGCTTGACAGCGGAAATCAAAGGTGGACGTTGGAAGAGAGCACCTGTGAGTGTTTCGATAGCACGTGGGAGAGCAGCTGGGTCTTGAAGTTTGTCGTGAAGACGCAAGACAGCAACGTACTCCTTACCAGCACCTTGTTGAGACTTGACGAGACGGGTAGCTCTGTCGATACAGACGATGAGACAACCAGTGACCTTAGGATCGAGGGTACCTGAGTGACCGGTCTTTTCTGTACGCAACATTCTTCTAATCCAAGCGACAACTTCGTGTGAGGAAGGGTTTGAAGGTTTGTCAAGGTTAATGACACCGGATCTGGGGAGGGTTAGAAGGGTAATAAGGAAAGCAAAATGAGCTATTCGTGAGTAGATCAGAATTGCAGATACAGTATAAATTGATTATATCGTCAAAGAATTTCAGGTGTGAAAAGAATCATCAGAGGATAAACAGGAATAGCTCATTTTGAAGAAGAAAAACTCACTTAATGTAAGTAACCAAATCCCTCTTTAATGGTGAGCATCCAAATGGCAGTGGAGTGTAATGGTTTGATCTGACTAGCAACTTGTCGTAGTTCTTCAACAACAATGGCCATTGTGAAGTATCCAATTGAGTTACACCATCGGATGGTTTTACTATAAAATCCTGCTGTGCTTGGATGGCTGATAGCGTAGACATCAGATTTTCAACTAAAGCGAGCTCAAGAGAGAGGAAGGCTTTGTAGAGAAGACGACGAGATAAAAAAATAAAAAATGTGAGAAATATTTATTCCTTCTTATCCTTATTTATTTATTCTCTAAGGAAATCGTCTAAATTATTATACAAATCCTCTAGAATAGAGGACTATAAGCAGATAACGAACTTGTTTAAGAATTTGTTCAAATCTACGAAACCTTCAATTAAACAATCGAACGAGTTGTTTAATAGAAATCTAAATAGTAAAAACCCTTCCATAGACACTTTAGTAACGCATTACAACAACTTGAAGACATCATCGAATAAGGATTTCCTAGACAACAACAAACTTTCAAAGACTTTGTCTATCTTATCTAAACAAAGTTCACCTTTTTTGGATCAATTCTGTGAGGATATACGCAATCATTGGAAGTTGGAACTCTCGAGGCGTGATTTCCAATTCATTATACAAGCATACGTAAACCAGCGTAGAATAAACAAAGCAGTCGATATCGTACGCACTTTGGATAATCCTTCGCTTGCTATATTCTCGGTCCTTCTCACTGGTTGTTCAACCCACAACGACTACAACGCTTATCAGCGTGTACTATCAATTATGGAAGAGCGCGACATTAAACCTGACTTACATATCTACAACGCACGTTTAAAGTTGGCTTTCCAATATCACGATATAGATGTTGTAGATAGCCTCCTAGAGGATCTAAAAATGGATGGCTATCAACCAGATTTATTTACACACACTATTCTACTAGATGGTTATTCAAGGTTACATCAATGGAGTCGAGCAAATGAATCTGAAGCTTTTCTTAGATCGAGTGACACGGACATAGCAAGCTGGACGTGTATCCTATTGGCTACTGGTCGCCAACATGGTCTTGAAAAAGCAAAGGAAGTCGTTGATGAGATATTTTTAGCAGGTCTATCACCTAATGATATTGCTTTATCTCACCTCGTCGGATTATCACAAAGGCCTTCATCAAGCGAAGATGCGAAGATTCTCATAGATGATCTCTCTGCATATGCTGGTGTTGAACCAGGTAAACACACCTACAGAGCAGCTTTAGAGCATCTCCTGATGGTAAACCTTGATGAAGCTTATGAATTCTGTATCTCTATTCCAGATCAACGATCATTGGCGGTGACTTTACCACTCATAACTGCACTTGCGGGTAATAAAGATGGTACAGCACTTGATAATTTACGCAAAATGTTATCAATTTATGATCAACTTGATCGCGAGCGATTAGATACACGTGTATTAGCTCATATGCTTCGAACATGCGCAAAAGCTGGTGATGTACAAACAGCAATTGACATTCTTGTCGATATGAAAACAAATAGTGTCGATTTAGAAAGTCAATTCACAACTTCATTCATAGTCACTCTCCTTCACGCTTCAAGTGATTACTATCAGGCGTTTAGACTTTATGCTAACGTCGTTGATAGTAAAGCAACTCGACTTGATGCTGCTGGATTCTCAACTATCATTGCAGAATTTTGTGGTCTCAAATTCCAAGATGAAAATATCGTACCAGCTGTACTATTCTCTGAAATTCTAAACGATATGCGTAAAGCTGGTTATCCCCCAGACTGTAAAACCTACACCAGTTTACTAGATTATTACGCTCATGTGAGGGATAACAGGAGTATTGCAAAAATAGAAACACTCTTGAACGTTGATAGATCAATAATGCCAGATATATACCTCCATAATGCCCTCCTTAATGCTCATAATAGAGTTGGTAATGGTGGAAAATGCGTTGAACTCTATAATGCACTTTTATTCTCACGTAGAGCTGATAACGCGTCTTTATCAATAGCATTAGATGTAAGCGGTAGTAGGAACACACCCGCTGATTCAATCCATATTTGGAATTTATCAAAGAAATACATCAAACCTAATAGGAAGAATTGGGAAACTCTCATAGAAGCCCTTGTTAGAAGAAGAAGGTTTTCAGATGCTCGTAATGTCACCTTCAATAGTGAAGAATTCAAACCAGATACCAACGCAATTGAAATTTTATTTAGAATGACAAGAGCATCTCGAGATGAAAAAGAAATCACAATTCTTAGGAATTACTTACTAGAAAACCACATTGATGACTACAACGCAATAAAAAACACAGTCGACATACCTTGGAAAGAGTAAATCACACAATGTACTATTAATATTTAGCATATATAATAATAATGTTTTTGCATTCATGAGAAAGAAAATTATGTGAAAATAAAGAAACATTTTAAAGCTTGTCGTAGAAGTTTTCGAGAGGTGGAACATCTTCCTTGAGACCCTTACGCTTACGAACGTCCTTGACGAGAGCTTCAAGCTTAGATCCCTTTTCAAGTGGTGAACCGTTCATGAGTTCCCAGTGATCGAAGACAGCTTGTGGGAAAGCTTGACCACCAGTTGCAGCACGGAGAGCACCGTTGAAACCGAATGACTCCAAGACCGGCAAGTAAGCCTTGACAGTGTACATTGGAGTACCTGGTCTTTGTTCTTCCCAGTAAACCATACCACGACGTCTGTTGAGGGTTGAGTAGATACCACCGAGACATGTTTCTGGACATTGGATTTCGACAGAGTACATTGGTTCTTGAAGACCTGGGTCAGCTAACAAGTGAGCGGCGTAACAGACACGACGGGTGACTGGAATAATTTGACCACCACCACGGTGAATAGCATCAGTGTGGAGGGTAACATCCAAGATGTTAAATCTAACACCTCTCATGTTTTCTTCAGTACAGACACCTTCCTTAGTAACCCATTGGAATGCAGCAACACATGAATCCTTGATTTCGTTAAGATATTGAACACCCTTGGTGATATCGATCATAACGTTTGGACCAGTGGTGTCTGGACCGAAACACCAGATCTTACGAGCATCAGCAACATCCCATCCATAAGTGTCAGCAAGGTAACGTGCACGAGTCTTTGGATCATCTCTTGGAGTGAGCTTGCCGTTTTCGATGTCACGGGTGAGTTCTTCTTCCAATGGTTGAGCAGTAACCCAGAGACGGTTGTGCTTGTTTTGTGACTTAGAAAGAGCGGTCATTGATGACTCAGCCTTGACGGTTTCACGGTAACCAACGACTGGGTCAGACTTCTTAAGAGCAACACCTGCGTGATCGTTTTCGAGATCGTTCAAACAGATTTCCAAGTGAAGTTCACCAGCACCAGCGACAATGTGTTCACCAGTTTCAGCGATCCAGGTTTGAACACATGGGTCAGACTTGGAGAGACGCTTAAGACCTTCAACAAGCTTTGGAAGATCGTTGGCGTTCTTAACTTCAACGGCGACTTGGACGACCGGTGAGACAGAGAACTTCATGACCTTCATGTTGTGAGCGGTTTCTGAGGTAGTGAGGGTACCAGACTTGAGCAAGAATTGATCAACACCGACCAAACCGATCAAGTTACCAGCTGGACAATCTTCAATGGCTTCAACGTTACGACCCATCATAAGAACAGTACGTTGGATGGTCTTAACGAAGAGATCATCCTTCTTACCTGGGATGTAGTTTGGACCTTGGATACGGATCTTTGGACCAGATGAAACGGTACCAGAGAAGACACGACCGAAAGCGTAGAAACGACCCTTGTCAGATGTTGGAACCATCTTTGAGACGTAAAGCATAAGTGGACCCTTTGGATCACAGTCACGGATACCAATAGCTGATTCGTCATCGAGTGGACCTTCGTAGAGACCTTCAACACGGTAACGTTGAGCGGTCTTTGGTGATGGAAGGTTGATAACAATCATCTCAAGGAGAGCGTCACCAGCTGGCAAGAACTTACGCATGACAACCTTGAGGAGTGGCTTGCCTTCGAGTTCTCTCTCGTCTGAGGTGAGAGGAATTTCGAGCTTGTCAACCATGGTGTTAACGACGTCCTTCTTGAAGTTCATGATAGCGTCGAAGAGACGGAAGATTGGGTCGAGAACGAACATGTTGAAGGCACGGTCAAGGGTCTTGCCATCAGCATCAGTGTCCTTGTTGGTCCATTTCTTGGTCTTAGGGTTGAAGTAGTTGTCACCCCAGAGCTTGTCCATCATCTTTGACTTGTCAACACCGAACTTCTTGGCGTAACGACCAGCGAATTGACGGAGGGTGAAGGCCCAACCGTGGAGACCGGAACCGAAAGCAACGGTACCCTTTTCTGGGTAGACTTGTGATTCACCGATGACTGGGTCGTTGTAGGTAGCGATAATGACGTTAACGGATTCGATGGTACGTGAGAAAGATTGGTAGAGATCTTCCTTGCCGACTTGCAATTCCAAGAGAGCTCTGTCAACCTTGTTGATACAAACAACTGGCTTGATACGCTCAATAAGGGATTGACGAAGGACAGTCTCAGTTTGGACACAAACACCTTCGATACAGTCGACGACAACGAGGGCACCATCGGTAACACGAAGGGCAGCGGTAACTTCAGATGAGAAATCAACGTGACCTGGGGAATCGATCAAGTTAATCAAGAACTCGTTACCTTCTGATGGTTGCTTGAGAGCCTCCATGTCTTCCTTTGGGAGAGGGAAATACATAGAGATAGCGGTGGATTTGATGGTAATACCACGCTCCTTTTCATCGTCACGGGTGTCCATGAAACGCATGTCACCAGCCTTGTTTGAAGCAATGATACCAGCTTTACCAACCAGAGCATCTGAGAGAGTACTCTTACCGTGGTCAACCTGGAATGGGATTAGAAAAGGTTGCAAGCGAGCTAAAATTGCTTACGTGAGCGATAACACTGTTAAATTTGTAAGTAAAAAGTTCACGAGAAGAGACACAAACTCACCTCATGTTACGGATTTGTGTTGGTTTGTCCATGAGCCCTCTGAGCTCATCAATAGTGAATTGAACTGTGAGATTTTGTTAATATATCACTCTGGGTGGCTATATAGAGGTCGCTAAAGTGGTGATAAAAACTCCAAAAGAGAAGACAAGAGATGGTAGAGCGAAAAGTACAGAGATGATATCCCCTAAGTAGATAATACCACAATAACGCCTTAAATATAGCATTCTTTTAATATACTCACCCATTTTGGCTGGATTTGATGGTTTTTGACAAATCTGAACTCGAGTGAAAGGGAACGATTTGAGGGGGAAGAAAAAAAATTAATTTAATACTCCAAAATAGAAGTCAATCTGGATGACACTGATAGCTTTTAGATTGTTTTTCCAAGTCTCCTAAAGGATAGTTTAATATATGACACATTACGATGTTTCTATGGATTTGATGACGAATGAGAGATGAAGTCTGTCATGCCACTAAGAACGTTCTATAAGTGCTATTATGCTATGTATCTCTCACAAAATTGCTCTATGGGACTGGCGCTTCTGTAAGAACGCACAGTGATCGGGTCTTCTTAATAGCAGTTGTGCTACGGTAGAGCTACACTTCTGGTTACACATATATTCATTTTCTGCTTACCCACTCCTTTATTCACCAACGACCAAGATGGGTGACTACGAAAGATTGCTAAATGCAGCCAAGAGCTTTTGCGAGTCGTTTGGAAGGGGTGAGGAGCTACCATCTATATTAAGTCATTTCAGTCCAAATGGATACGTATTCGAGCATGGACCACCATTACCTCAGTTGCCTTATCTTGGTAAGACGTTCGAGGGACAAGAGGAAGACGAGCTCGACGGTGGTACATATCTAGTAGATTATTTTAAACTTGTCAACAAATACCTTAATATAGAGAACGAACCGGTTTGGGATGGCTGGTCGGTCGACGTGCGATATTCCAGTGAGGGCGAAGCGACAGGCGCTATAGTTACCTGCAAAGGAGAAGCGACATTTTTGAACCGCAAAACTGGCAAAAGGTAGGTCGACTTCCCTTTGTCCGATCTCTTTTAATACATAACAGATGGGACGAAACATCACTCTATCGTATGGAATTAGATAGAGGTGGTCGAATTACAGGCCTCGATATCTGGGCCGATGTTTACAATGCAATCGCGAGCTGCAGATGAGCTTCCAAGATAAGCTTTAGGATAATATTAGAAGGATTTCTATAGTACACTTAATTTATACTTGTATCACTAAGTTATTCTCGTTCGTCATAATACTCGAAATATCTACGGCGGTTTACCACGGGGATCGCTCTGCATTGCGTGATATTAAGAGAACTAAGTAGGGGTGAACACTTGATGATCTCATTCAAGGACTCCTCATCAATCTTGGTTTTCATTAATCCGAGTGTTTTCAGTCCTTTTAGTTTGGTTATACCAGCCACAACATTTGCGTCTATATTGCACTCATTAAGCTGCAAATTTTCCAAACAGCGAGGGTCATTCGCCATGATGGCATCGTTGAATGCTGCACCATCGAATGTCGACCCCGATAGATTCAAATACTATTGGATGTCAACGTGTTGGGGTAGTTGAGCTATGACCTACCTTCAATTTGCTCGTAATATGGTATGATAAACACTGACTTCCTTTCAACCGCGGGTTATTGCTCCATTCGAGCTCTTCTAGTGCAAAACCTTCCAGAGTGTTTTCTGTCGGCGTAAGACGCCCATCAACCAATAAGAACTCATTATCCGACGCGCTTGCTTTCCGCATCATGCCTGACATCCACAACACCTTGATGCTACTGCTCTTGAGTATTTCCTGGTAGAATGCATTGAAGCTGAACAAGTCCAAGCTCATGAAGGAGATATCGATCTTGACGAGCTGGTTGTAGAGGTTTGGAGGTAGAAACAGCATTGGGTTTGATAGACTTTCACAATTACTACAGTTGAGCACCTTCAATGAAGGTGCTAGTGTGAGCCATCTCCCCAAGGCTGCATCGGAAATGTTACATTCTGCGACATTGAGATGTTCCAGTTGCGATAGTGGCTGTAGATTAGCATTAACGGATGAGCTGATCACACTATCAAGCATTTGATCCCATTGCGCAGTATTCTTAGACCCTACTTTTCCCGTAGCATTGATGTCTAAGCGCTTCAATTTGACACAATTACTGAGCACCTTCGACAGTCCCGCGAGTGGTATCGCTGTAAATGACACATCGAGGTGCTCTAATTCGGATAGCATCTTGATCGCATCTATCGAACCCTCTCCAATGCTAAGACAACCTCTCAGTTTGAGCGTGCGAAGATGAGGCGATTTCCTCACGAATTGTGGGCCAGACTTGTCTGATAGCTCGCTGAAACCAGTGAGATCCAACGTCGTTAGTCCGCCTGGTAACTCTCGCAATAACTTAGGGTAGTGCTGTCGACTTAACGAAGGAAGACTATGGTCGAGCTTGATAGATGGCGGGAGAATAAAAAGCTATTTTATGTAAGCTCAGCTATAGCATTGCAACCTTACTTACCTCTCTTATCAGAGTAATACTCATTAAATCCGCATATTTCGTCATTATAGCATCACCCAGCATCTCCCTATCAAAATCAGGCAATCGGCGGAAGCTTTCTACGAAAGTGTCCCTAGAAGATTCATAGAGTTGTTTGAACTTGTCGACTACGATGGATATCGAGAGTTCTTTCAAAGTTGGCGCTCTCAGAGGTGGGACGTATCGCGTAGCTGAGAGGTTGCTAGAAGGCTCCTGACTGGCATTTATCCATAGCCGCATTCGTATGTCATCGTCTATTTTAGTGGACTTGTTCGATTTGCTTCGATTAGATGGCTCGATATTAAAGTTCTTCCTCTTCATTGTAGCGAAGTAAGAAAGCTTAGATACTAGTATGGATGTGATTATACGACACCCATACAGCCCATTTTGAGATGGACTGCCTCGCTTTTGACAGACTCACGAACATCACTGTCGTCACTGATTCAAAGTATAAGGAAGCTGCACAATCTAAGAAAGTATTATACAAGAAATGCGTATATCTATCATTCGTAGAAATTATTTTTGAGGGTACGTCATACCTCCAACGGACTGGAAAACTGAAATTTACACATCTATAATCTGTAACGTTGAATTTTGTTATTTTCTTAAGTTCATTAGTATCATAAAATCTATTGAATAAACTGTGTGGGGTTTCTAAGCATTATCTAATTTCATGAGCTTGTTGTCATGCTCCTTGTTCTCGAGATTTTCAAGGTGCTCTGGGATGTCACCACTGAATCTATGTCTTTTTTCGTTAGGAACTATCATCTTGCTAGTGTCGTACTCGTCCCAGTGACGTGTTGGAACTTTATTCTCAAACATGTAGACAATCTCTTCGAGTGTTCTGCCGCGTGTCTCTGGAAGGAAGAAGTAGACGAAGACTACAGTGAGACAGCAGAGGAAACCATAGATGAGGGATACCATTGATTGAAGGTTTGCTTTACCTGGTTCATCATCATACCTTGAAAATTGTTAGTGAGGATCAAATATTGAAAGTTTGACAAACAAGTATGGTAAGGTGAAAGTGACCTAAGGTGGGGTCAGCTTAAGTATTTAAATTGTTTTCAGTACGTACTACGAAAGCAGAAATCTGTTTCTACGCGTTAGAAAATTTTCAAAGTGACAAAGTGACACTCACCCAGAAGCAGGCGGTACCAAGAGACATAATCTTGTTCTTGACACGACCACTAGAAAGTTCACTAGCACAGACCCAAGCGAGAGGTCCCCAAGCCAAGTTAAATACGAAAGTAAAGAGGAAATAGAAAGCGATGACGACTTTGTTGTAGGTTGGTGCCATAGCTTCATTCGTGTAGTTACCAACGCCAAGCAAACCCATGATAAGCAAGAAGACTGACATGCAAGCACCAGTCGACATTAGCAGCGGACGTCTTCCAAACCTATTGACGATGAAGAATGAGATGATAACACCAAAGAGTTCGACCAAACAGACACCAATTGTAATAATAAACTCATCACCAATGTTTAAATCTTGTGCGATGACGGCTGGAGGGGAACTAAGTAAAAGTTTCAGGATAGGGGTTTCACTTACTGATATAACTAAAAACGATCTGGATACCAGAAACCTGTTGGCAGATGAGGATACCGCATATTACAAATAGCTTGCGTGCATTTCCTCCTTTGAAAACGGTACCCCAAGTAGCATCTTTACCTGATGACTGCAACTCGTCATCTTTTGTCTGGTTGAAAACCTCCATTTCCTCCTTAACACATTCTGCTGCATCTGGTCTATCTCCATGGATTTTCCAGAGTGCTTTCTCAGCTCTGTCGGTCTTGTCGCGATAGATTAACCAACGAGGTGATTCTGGGATGATTGCTTGACCAAAGAAAATCATAAAGACAAAAATCAAGTTTATACAGATAGGGATTCTGTAAGCACCCGTGTCTGTACGATCTTTTGAGCCGATACCAACTGCAGCACCAATAACTTGACCAGTCGCAAGCAGCAACTGGAAACTACCGGTTACACTAGCACGTAAGTTTACAGGGACCTGCATGATGTTAGTTTGTCGATCACTAAACCAAATTTTAACTTAAAATTTCACTAAGGTAGAGTGGGGTCGCGTTACTCATAATACCAACACAAATACCAAGAACCATTCTACCGACAACAAAGATAGGAAGGTTTCCAGTCATGACTGTTTGCAGAATTGTACCGATTACACCCATCGCACATGCCGTTATGAAAGTACCCTTTCTACCGAAGTAATCACCCAAAAATGATGAGCTTAAAGCGCCTACAAGTTCACCAACGAAGACAATTGAGGTCGATAAACTTTTATCTGAACTATTGAAATGATATTCTCCTTCTGCGTTAATTTCGCCATAATCTTCTGCCCACTTCTTGGTTGCAAGGACACTGGTGAAATATGTACCATCTAGAAAAGACAAAGCGAGTCAATAAATACGCTAATTACTCAGTGTGTGCTCTTACCTTTGTGTTGTGTTAGTTATTGTCTTCATGAAAATTATCACTCTTACCATAACCCTGTGCATAAAGTCAGGTGGGTAATTAACTTTAAAATATTATCTTACATATAAAACAGCACCCATGGATGCCTTATTGCACTATTTAGCCAAACGAACATAAACACTCTAGTTAACTCACTATAGCAGCTGTGGGAAATAAGTTTAACTATACTCCTCATAACATAAAGAAACTAACTCACCATATAATAACGATTTCCTATACTTAGGGGACAAAAGTCCGTCCGTGAAAATATATTTAAAATCTCTCATTTTGATGTCCGCGAACTTTTTCGGATTTGGAAAGAGATAATGTGGAGAGAGGTGCGAGGTCCAAAAATTCCTTATATACAAGTCAGGTGACACCTCCGTAACTGAAATGACCATTTACGGTAAGGCGAGCCGGGGATCTAAGTGATCGAGTCAGAAAAGTTGTCTAAGATAGATAAAATACCATAGGGGATATCTCCATAATAGCGAGGACTTCTGAGAACATAAAAGTGTGATTTCCAGGTAACTCCTGGAGCTCCAGAATTTTCAGGAACATGATTTACCAAGAGAGGGGGTGTATCAGGAAGCTTCTACAGGGCGGAAAAAATCCAAATGAGACTGTGCGTATTCCGCTGCATACCCAACAAAATTCCAGCTGGGAGGGTATTCGATGGTATATATTGATTATAAGGGTAGAGATGACAACGCAGAGGGTCTGAGAGTTACGGAAGTTGATAGAAATAAATGAGAGTACAGACATTCCAATAACGAGATGCATACAAGACAGCTACCTTTTACTTCTTTAGTAACACTTGCTTGGCTTTTTTCGTTAATCAATCAATATCTCCACTTTAGATCGGCCAGGCAGAAAATGCAAGTAGAATATAAAATGTATAAGATTTATAAAATAAATTAATTGTAAAATAAATGATAAAATACATCATATAACATTCTTGATATCCACTGACGTATAGCGAGTTATCAAATCATTGTGGCACCATCACTGTAACAATCAAGATGCTTTCAAAGATGAGAATATTAGCAGCTCCTGTAAGGGGCTTACAATTGCAGCAAAGAGTTGTGAGTCTGCAAACTTTCTACTTACTCCAACTAACCACATGGTAGCAATTTTCACAGAATTTACCACGCTTTGGTAGAACATCTGAGCAAGAGCTCAAAGAACGCAATGAACAGCCAGAGAGTCCACCTCCAACTGCCCATACGGGAATCTACACGAGGACATCTGAGAAGATAGAGGAAAGAACAGAGACAGAGGAAGCAGACTCTGTCGAGGGTCCACTCAAGGACAGAACTAAAGGACGATCAGGCAGTGAAACTATCAGTGAGGAGAACGTCAGATCTGACCATGCAGACGATCCACTTAAGAATCGCTAAGCTGGCTATTGTGACGCAGTTTAATGAAATATAATGAAATAGTTAATTTATCTTGTATATTATATTTTATAACGACTTTTCACTCTTTAATTACTATCATCATCGAGATGCTTAGAGTGAATCGGTCAATTAGCGCACCACTCGCGCGTGGTACACGATCTGTGGGTCTTTATAACTCTATAGACGATTTACTTACAACTTACGACTACTCTAGTTCGCTTCAGCTGCAACAAAGCCTGCTCGTCCAATACGTAGATTCATCATCACCTCCACGCTATTGACCAGCATTTTCTACGCTGGTAGCTCATATTATGCTTTAGATAATCCAGAATATGCAGAATTCTTTACAGCTACTTTCCCAGGTGCACATCAAGTCCTTGAAGTCGTCGAGGATGCACATTTTAAAGAAAGGCTAGAGAATATCGACTATGAGGCTATAAGGGAGCAAACTAAGCGTGCTACTGAAGCTAGCAAGGATGCCTACTCCAGACTCCAGGAATTGGTTGACAAATACGCCAACAAGAGTGCTGTAAAGAAGGATGAAATTAAGGACACTGCTAAGGAAGGTGTTGACGAGGGTGTATACGTTGGCTCAGGATTGGTTAACAAGGCAAAGGACGTCGTTAATGACACCGTCGATGTTGCCAGCGAGAAGACAAAGGAGGTTGCCGAGAAGGTCGAACAAGTCACCAGCAAGACTGAAGAGACCGCTGAAAAGACCGCCGATAAGGTCGCTGATGCTGTCGATGATCCAAATGCTGGTGGTTTGACAGCCGACGGAAAGAAGATCTATACCGGTCCACCACTCCCAATTGGATACACACTCCCAGAGGGATACGTCTACCCACCAAAGCCAAAGAAATCAACTCCTACAAAAAAACCAACGAACACAAAACAAGAGAAGCCAATTGAGGCACTCCCATTGCTTGCTCCAGCAGTCAAAGATCTCTCCGCATCTGAACCAATTGTTTCACAACTCGCAGAGACGATTGACAATCTCTCTAAATTCATACAAGATACTCCACATGCCGCTGGATCCGTCAAAGACGTCATAAATTCCGCTCAAGGTGATTTGTCAGCTCTTGGACAACGCCTCGAGGCACTCAAAGAAGAAGAGAAGAAGAAACTCGAGGGAAGCCTCGATGCACAAGCTAAAGAGTATTCTAAGATGCTTGTTGAGCATGAGAAGCAAATTCAATCTCGCGTTGACTCTCATGAACAAAACTGGAGAGAGCAATTCGATAATGAGCGCAAGTCAATTGCAGAATCATTCAAGAAGAAGCTCTCTGAGGAGCTCGCAACTCAATCAGAAATTATTAACCAAAGATTGAAGGAACAAGTTGTTGCCCAAGGTGTCGAAATGCAAAGACGCTGGTTGCGCGATATCAAGCTCAAAGTTGAACAAGAACGTGGTGGTAGATTGGCAAAGTTAGAATCACTTGCTAATGATGTGAAGAATCTCGAGCAGGTCACATTCGACAATGCTGATTACGTTGATGATAACGTCAGAGTACACACACTCTGGTCAGCATACAGAGCACTCGAAAGAGCAGTCGTTGGCAAGCTCTCCTTAACAACATCATCAGATGAGAAGAAACCATTCAGAAAAGAACTCGACGCACTCGTCAAAATCGCTAAGGAGACTAAAGAAGATACCGCTGGTGGTAAAGTCGTTGAATCAGCCTTAGAGTCTCTCGATCAATCAAAAATTCCAGACCAAGGTGTTGAGAGTGTCAGTGATCTCTCAGATTGGTATAGGCAATCAATAGAACCAAAAGTCAGAAAGGTTGCATTAGCTCCTGAAGTTGGCGCAGGTCCCCTTTCAATTGCAGTTTCAACCGCCCTTTCTTCACTTTTGTTGTTCAAAAAGCAAGGACTTGTTGAAGGTAACGACGTAGCTTCCGTATTATCACGCGCAGACTACTACTTGTCGCAAAAGAATCTTGACATGGCGGCACGTGAACTGAATCAGTTGACAGGATGGCCAAAAACACTTCTCACAGACTGGCTTAATGAAGCACGTAAGACATTGCATGTGCAACAGGCACTTGATGTAGGTTTGAAAGAGTACTATTAAGACCTTTACTGACGATTACAGGTAATTGAAACGGAAGCAACACTCGCATCTCTACTTGTCATCTAGATCTATAAAAGCCATTCATTAAATAAATATTAAAAATACATAACTACTTGAGCTTATTAGCATTCTATTCATTGAATAAAACAACCATCTAATAAGTTTCTATTAACCATCGAATCCAGGTAGAGGGCCTTCTATTGGACCGACAGCGTATATACTTTTGATTCCTGTATTAGTGTTTCCGAGACCAGGAAGAGGTAAATCTTCGTCGTCTGCCTTGCTTACGTTAGGAGATATTGTTGGTCCCTGTAAGAGTTCTCTCTCTTCATCTTCCGTCATTGGACCGAGATGGAATTTGTCTCTGCCGACGGCTCTACCAGGTCTTTCACGCTCCCAGAAACGTGTAGTATAGTCGTTTGAACCGGAGGCCATCAAGTGGCCAAGCGGATGCCAAGCCATAGACCATACGCTTGACTCATGTGCCCAATCGACAGATGCTATCGGATTGATCGTGCTCTTCGGATCATGCGGATGAGCTAGAGAGTGGTATACCATCGCACCCGTAGCTGTACCAGTAACAAGCATAGGGTGTATTGGATGCCATGCGAGTGAGCAGACCTCTCTTTCGAAACCTTTCAATACCGCGAGATCTTTCATCGCGCGAAGGTCAAACACTCTGACACTCTGGTCGCGGGAGCCTGTAGCGGCAAGGAGACCATCGGGTGAGAATCTACACGTTTGTACTGTATTCTTGTGACCATGTAATGTCGTCAAATCTGATTCCCTCCTTGGATCCCAAAATTTAACGAGGTTGTCTTTACCACCGCTCATGATTAAACCTTTATGTGGATGCCAGTCCACACACTTGACATCCCAACCGTGTCCTGTTAGAGTACGCTCTTCACGGCGTTCACCGAATGCCCAGACTTTGAGTGTTTGGTCGTCAGACGCAGTGACGAAGTGTTGATCAGTCGGTGATACTGCTACACCCCTAATCGCAGTATCCATACCAGTGTCCTTGTTACCGTGTGCCTGCCAAGCTGCGACATTGTTCATCGCAGGGTTGAAATACTTGAGTGTACCGGCAGAGTCAGCAGATATAATCCAGTCACCGGAGTAGGTATAGGCTAACGCTCTGATAGAGGAATCATGGGCTTGTAAGATAGTTTCGAAGTTGAATGTCAGACCATTCCAAAGTACGAATTCGCCGGAATGACAACCAGTGAGGAGACGTCTGCCATCTGGTGTCCACTAAAGAGTGTTAGTTAGGGTGTAGATATGAAAGTTAAGAAAAACTAACGGCTACTACGTTGATTGAGCACTTGATCTTGTTGACTGACGCCTGTACGAACTTTGCAGCGATGGATGTAGCTGGATTGCTATATGCTTCTGGTGGTCTTAACTAAGTGCTTGTTAGATGATGCTATTGTTCGATTCTGCACTAACCTCGACGATGTGATCCAAGCCAGGCCTAAGGAACTGATTCGGATAGGCGGTCGATATTGATCTACGCTCCTAGAAAGCTGTTAGAATGAACTGGTAGATAGCCTGACATACTTTGTTCCATGCAGCCAAAGAGCCTGCATACTCTACCGTTCTTCTCTCTATCGTCTTCTTTGGTTTGCGCGAGTCTACACCGAGCTGGTAGACCGCGCCTAATGCATTCGCCTCCTTCTGCGCCATAGTAGGGTCGACATACGCAGGCTTCGGCTGCTCGTGTATGCGATAAGGATGCCATCTGGGCTGTTTAGTTGGCTGCTTATTAGCTTTATTTGATAGATTTTCTAATAAATCTATCATATTTTATTCAATATTTTTATTTAATTGACGTAGCTGCTCGCTGTCACTGTTTGAGGAGCAGCCTTCTAGCTAGAGAACGGCCATCTATGGCGAATAATAATATACACTACTTATCTAAGCGGGCGCTGCAAATACAGCAAGAAGAGGGCATCCCCTCCAACAGCCCTACTAGACCCTCCGTCAGACGTGCGAGAGCAGGTACTTTACCTTCAAATCTGGCTACAGTAGCACCTCTCCCAACTCTCAACCTCTCACAGGCTGGTTTGTCCTCGGCGGCTATCGAATCACTTGACTACAACTCCCAAAGACCTGGTTTAAGACACTCACATTCTTCTGCCTTACAGCCAGAAAAATCACCAAGATTGCGTTCAGGTTCACTCACTTTGCCGCCTTCCTCACCCTCGGTTCAGAGGTTGGCGGATCCTTTTGGTAGTAGATTCTTCTACTCGCGCTCGAACTCACAAGTTGGTGCGGTCGGTGAAGAAGTCAGCAGACCCTCAGACCTCCCTTCAGAGGACGCCTGTTTGCGCACGCTTGACTATCTCGGGCTCGACGACCCGCCTTCGAGTCCAAGCTCTCCGAAGCCAACTCTCTCAATTCCACCGCAAGGTTTTGCCAAGTCAATATCACTTAATTCACCAACAAGATCGAGAGCTTATACTTTATCAACTTCGAAAGCTGCAGACCCATTCAAGTCATCGTTTACTGCGCCGGCTGACCATTTACATCCAAGCTCAGCTAACTTGATCAACAGCAATCCTTTGGCTGACTTTCAGGCTTTCCCTACACAGCCACAGCCCCAGGATCCGCTTATCAATGGTCTCAGTAGTAGCCAATCTTCCCGTCCGAGAGCTATCTCTATGGGTATTCTCGATGAGCCTGATGTAATGAGAGCTCCTGCAAGATCAGGTGTGCCTTTCCCAGATGCCCAGCCACATCCACTTCAGCAATCTTTCAATTCCTATGATTTGGAACTTTCTCAACTTGATGACCCATATAGTACGCTCAATCAGGTTCAAAGTCAACAGGTTCCAACTAGGTCTCTCTGGATTGGTGGTTTGGATTCTCGCACGACTGCCCAAGAACTGATGCATGTCTTTGCCCCATACGGTGCAATCGAGAGTTTACGCTTACTTACGGATAAGGTGAGAATTTTTCTAGCTCTTTTAACTCTCAACCAACTAATACCTTCATTAGGAATGTGGTTTCGTTAATTTCGTAGAAAAGAGCGATGCTCTTAGAGCAAGAGATGACGTTATGCACAGACTCGGTGGTAGAATACCTACTTCATCTGCAAATGGTGGTTCAGCATCTACTACCCCCGTCAGAATAGGGTTTGGTAAAATTGATTCCCCTCAAAATCCTCCTTCGACATCTTCACTCTTGAACTCCTCTGGTGGTAACCTTCCAGTTCAAGTTCCAGCCAATATGTCAAACCAAATCAACTTTGATGGTACAACTGAGCAACCAACTCGTGCTTTATGGCTTGGTTCTATTCCAAGTACTACTACACCAGCTACTTTGTTAGCACTTTTTGGACCATTTGGCCCTATCGAATCAGCTCGTGTTCTTACTCACAAGAACTGCGGTTTCGTCAACTTTGAACGTTTGGACGATGCCGTAAGAGCTAGAAAATCACTTAATGGTCGTGAACTCCTTGGTCCAGAGATTGGTGCTGTTAGAGTTGGATTTGCTAAAGTACCTGTAAAAACAACTGGCATTGATGATAGCGCTAACACGATAATATTCCCATCATCAACTACAGCTCCAAATGGTGGTCATCCTCAAGCTTTAGCTCATTCTCTTGTTGGCGTTCAAGGCGTTAGTGATATCTCCATTGAACAACAACTTGCATCAGGTCAAACAGAAAATTACAGATCAAATTTAATGATTAACTTGTTACAAAATGGTGCGAAAGAAGGCGTTGTTAATTCTATCTCACCAAAACTTGAACAAGTTAATCCTGAAGAAAGACCAAGCGTAAATGATCAACAAATGATCATGTCAATTTTGAGTGCAGGACACGAATCAAGAGATGAAGATATTAGATCAGTTTCTGAGCTTAGACCTGCTGCAACTTACTATACATCTATACCGCCAGTTTTACCAGCTACTAATGGTATTGATAACCAACCAATTCGTAAATTTGATTCCTCAAAGTTGCGTGAATTAAGGAAAAAACTTGAAAATCAAGATGAGGATAAGAGGAGAGCTAGTACAGATGAAGAATTGTATGATGATGATAACTCTCAATTTCCGTTCTCGGATGATCCAGAAATTCTTGCAACTAAACCAATGTCAGAAGGTGGTTTAATCGATAATATAGTTGACCTCGCTAGTGACTACATTGGTAATACCATTATTCAAAAACTCTTTGAAATTTGTTCATTTGAATCTAAAATGCGCATGCTTAATGAACTTGCACCTCACTTAGCTATGATTGGATGTCATAAGGTGGGTAGAATAAATGTTTTTCTTTCGCTAACTAACGCTTCCGTCAGAATGGAACATGGGCGGCTCAGAAAATCATAGACTGTGCTACAACTTCACAAGAGGTTGAACTTATAGTACAACACCTTCGACCTTTCACACCACCTCTTCTTCTCGATCAATTCGGTAATTATGTCGTTCAGTGTTGTCTGAAGTTCGGAGCGCCGGCTAACGAATTCATTTTTGACGCTATGTGTGATAGAATCTGGGATGTAGCTCAAGGACGTTTTGGAGCACGTTCAATGAGAGCTATCTTAGAAAGTTCACATATTACTTTACGTCAGCAGGTGAGTAAGACAGTTTTTTCAAATATAAGACTAACACATATGGTAGAAACGACTTGCAATTTCAATTATACTTAATTCGATTCCATTAGCAACTAATCCAAATGGTGCTTTACTCTTAACTTGGCTGCTGGACACGTCAAACTTAACAGGAAGATATGGATTACTTGCACCAAGGTTTACACCACACGCATCACATTTAATCACCCACAAGTTGGCTTCTTTAACAGTTTTAAGACTCGTTAATCAAAAATCCGATAGGGAAGCAACAGATATCTTATTACAAGCAATATTTGAAAGTACAAATGATAATGTCTTATTCGACGCATTAATGGATCCAGCTCAAGGAGTTTCAGTTATAACGAAGCTTATAGTATCACCTACTATTGATGAAGTAAAAAGACAACAATATATGGAGTCAATTAAACGAGTTTTAACGAATGGAAACGTAAAAATAAATAACCCTGCTGCATACAGGAGATTATTAGATGAAATTAATTTACCTATGAATAAACTGAATATTATTCAACCTTTAAATAATCAATCTCAATCTAATACACCACCAAATTCATTTTCACCACCTATACAATCAATTTACGGAGGTTTAACGCCACCAGCTAGCTTTATGAATTTACAATTACAAGCTCAGGCGCAAGCACAAGCTGCAGTTTTAGGGCATTCTTCCCCACCTACACCTGAACATTTACTAAGAACTGGAAACCCATTCAATGCATTTAGATGATTGACTTGTCATAATTAACGAAAGCTCATTATTTTCTTGATCTCTTTGTATATAAAATAAATTAAATTTATACGGATATTCTCTTCTTTGTTATCTACAACGACGAACATGTTACAGAGAATAGCTAATAGCAGACTAGGTATGATATCAAGACAACTGTCTACTAGTAGAACTTCATCTATTTCCACAAAATCACTCGTTAATGAGAGCGTAAAAGATGTTAGTATGATGTAGTTAGATAGCCGCAGATATTAAGAAAATAATAGTCACCTATAACGTTCACAGAACGTGTAGGATTGAAGACATTCTCTCTTAACCGTCCAAAAGCCCTGAATGCCCTCAATCAGGAAATGATGATCCTTATCAAGAATAGGATAAAGGTGTGTCTGGTACTTTACAAGCTATTTTTTAGTAATACAACATCAGGAATGGGATTCTAATCCGTCTACTGGTGTCATCTTATCCTCAGGAGTTGGTAAAGCCTACTGTGCAGGTGGAGACGTAAAATGTAGGTAGAATGTCTAAGACTTTGTAGTATATTCTAAATACCACAGCTATCGCACTCAATCCAAATAAGGATGATGCATTAAATATACTCAAGGATGAATTCGAATTAGATCATCAGCTAGCCGTTCTCACAAAGCCATACGTCGCATTAATGGATGGATATACAAGTGAGTACTTCTAAGTAACCAATTTACTCTCTAATACACTCGACAGTGGGTGGTGGCGCTGGTATATCCCTCCCTGCTCCTATTAGAGTGTCAACAGACAACACAGTCTTTGCTTTCCCTGAAACTAGACTGGGGTACGCACCCGACGTAGGAGCGTCTTACTATCTCTCTCGTCTGGATGGTCAGCTCGGAGCTTACCTCTCCTTAACCGGTAATAATGTCTCAGGTAGTGATTTATAGTGAGTAGAGATAGTAGTAGAAAATACAACTAATGTGATATCCAGTCATCTTGGTTTATCTACACACCATGTATCACCTTCTCTATTCCCAGCTTTGGTCGGCAGATTGAGCGACTTGTCTTCTTCACCAGTAACCGGTTCTGACGTCAACAGCGTCATAGATGAATTCACAACTCAGCCATTACCTAAACTTAGTGAGACCTTGATGGGTGCTCACAGACAAGCTATCGACGATGCCTTTGGCCAATCATCAGTCGAGGAAATTATACAGGTTTTGGAGAATTTCAAAGAAAATAGACCAGAAGTTGGTAAATGGGCAGCAGAAACTTTGGAAACGTTATATGATCGTCCACCAACCTCTCTAAAAGTTGCTCTCGAGGCTGTTAGAAGAGGTGTGAAGATGCACAATGTCGCTCAAGCTTTGCAACAAGAGTTGACATTCGCTAATCAGTTCATCGTGAGTGATGTCTTTGATACCATCTACAAAAGTAACACATTTATAGTATAACAGTGATGATTTCCGTGCTGGTGTAACTGCTGTATTGGTCAATAAAACTACAGAGGTACCACAATGGCAACCAAATAATCTCAAGGATATTCGCAAGAATGATGTGATCGGATCATACTTCACAACAACTGAGAACACATCTGATAAATTAGAAATTAGAAATGAAAAGAAACCACTTTATGACTTTTTCCACTTTGCCTTACCAACTGAAAGGGAAATTGAAGATTATATTAGAGGATCACATCCAGCATCTGGCAACAATGCTGTTAGACGAAATGAAGCATTGACATTCTTTAAAACACAAGATAATGCCAAGTACGGCGTAACTGAAAAGGTTAATGAGGTCATAGATAGATGCACAATTGAAGAAAAAGGTGGTTACTTGAAATGGAGATAAATAAAAAGATAATATAATAAATTGCATTCATTTACATTTTTTTTACAAAATAATTTAAACAGTTTCGACAATCAAACTACCAAAACTATCATCTTGAATGAATTCGAAAGCTTCTAAGCAAACATCAGATAATAAACTAACAGATCTTAATCCAACATCAGCTAATGGTCTTCTAGTGAATAAAGAAAGTAATTTTGTTACTTCTGGGTAAGTTTCTATGTATTCTTGATCGTTAGTTTGCGATTGATTTTGTTGTTCTTCGAAGTTGGTTGGAATAGGTAAACCGAAATATCCTTTAGATTCTGGTCTATTCGCTTCGTCGGTTTGTTGAACATTCTTAGCGAACGGATTAGACTTTTGGGCGAGTAGACGAATAAGTAAGGCTGCTTGATAAGCTATACCCCTAGGGAACCCTTGTTGATCATGTGGGACATGTAATTGAGTATATAGTACACCAGCGCCTGGTAGTGATTTGATAACAGCTCTCTTTGTTGGATTTTTGAGATCTTCAATTTCTGTACCTTTTTCGACAGTGACGATTGCATCATTCTCTCGCTCATATAATGATAATGGCATGAGCGTTAGTAATTTTGCCTTCAGTTGAACCTTTGCTGGTATATTTGATGTTGAGTCGATTGAGAAGAGTTCACCAGCCCAACTGAACGTCACGGGAGGTTCGGGTACGTCGATGTAAGTGTTTACAATATAGTTGAACAACGCATCAGCTGAATCAAACACCGTGTTGTCATCTCCCCATAAACAAGTAAATGGAGATACTGAAGTTTTCAATTTGACGTTCTTTATCCAGTAATTACCGTCGTTCCTTGTGATATTTTTCGCTGATCTGAATATCTGAGGGAATAATTTAACCAGTTCATCCCCTTTTTGCAGTGGAATTTCAAAGGATCTGAATGTCTGCTCGTATATTGGATGTACGCGATTTTGTTCGAATTCAGCACCCTCTTTCTCCTCAAATAGGGTTTTTATCCTTTTTCTGTTAGGAAAGATATTTCGATCACAGGTGCAACCTACCACTCAATCGCCCTTGTAGGCTCATTCATTTGTCCAATACGCTCTCTGTCCTCCTCGTTTAAGAACTCTGGTTGAGGTCTTGCGAACTGAGTTGTCGTACCTTCTTTGAAAGTCTGCATACGGAATTCTTCGGTTGTTTCATTGTAAAGCATGTAAGCGAAGGTTTTGATTAATATTGGTAATTCTTTGTATGTCATTAATAACCTGAGTATTTCAGGAATACGGGATGCTGTTGCATATATGAATTCAAGGGAAGCTGCTCGGAGGTATGCGTCCGGGACAAGACAACATTCGACGATTTGCGGGAATACGCTTTGAGCTACATCCTCAAATCTCTTTACTGGTGTGTTCTTATTGGCGAAAGTGCTTAATAATTTTATAGCAACTAGTATAAATGCCCTGTCTTTCGTGTAAACGAGATTGGCGATCATACCGAGTAAAGGATTCTTTGGAATTTCAGACATAATATCAGCTATCGAATCAAGTATATTGAGTAAATTAAGTGTGATTTCATTCGCAATATCAGTTTGTTGACTTATACGTAAATAACGCTGACATAAGCCAAGAATGAGACGTTGATGTTGGTGAATAATATGCGCGTTGGCATCATTAAGTGAAAGATTGAATAATATAGTAACAGCATCGCTTGCCTGGTGTAGACTATCTTTGATAGAATAGCTGTCTTCCGTATTGAGTAACAACTTGGAGGTATCCAATGGGAATTCAAGCAATGACTCAACTAAACCATCCAAACCTTTTATACTAAAATCTGTAGGGAAATCCTTGCTAATGTGCAACAGCCTCGACAAGGCCCAATTGGTTTCTGTTCGTATCTCTGAACGCAAAGCGAGGTACATTCTATTGCTATTTCCTTTCTCTAAATAGTAGCTCTCATATCCGTCTCTACCTTCTGTATTTATTACGGCGTGTGTTTCGTTGAATTTCAGGTTCAACATGGCTGGAATAAGTGAAGAGTTAAGAGTGAAATAGCTGATAAAAGATATAAAGAATATAAACTAGTATAAATGTATTGATTTTATTACAATAGTTTAGTTATATTGATAGTTTCCCGACTATTAGATAAGAAGACAGCATTTTACCGAGTAGGATGAATATACTATGCATCATTACGGTTAATAGTTCTAAAAATATACATACTTTTGTTACCCGAGCCTGACCGTAGTCAGATGTGCATTTTCGCTGGGCAGTTTCCTAATCGAAGTAGGTCATACTCGTGGTAACAAACCGCATTCGACCTGATCTAGATGATTTTTGTATTGATAAGGTCCTATAAACTTGGTTATATATAAGTCAGCCTGCGATTTTAGTTTAGAGTGCTTTCATATGAGGACGTCACTAAGAATGTGCGTGACTGAATTGCGAGCTGTAGCGTATATAAATGAAGGATACATATTAAATATACCCAGCTGGTCACGTTAGAATATACTCTTAAAATACCGCTTTTTTATAATTTTCTTTATGTCCGGTTGCGCCAAGAATCCCTGTCTTTGACTATCATCCAAGCCAAGACTGAGGAGTTTGAAGAAAAACAATTAAGAAGATATAATGGTTAGTCAATAGATAATACACCTATTGTACAACAGACACTAATAGTATGATAGAGCGACGAAATATTAGTTTGTCAATGGACAGGCTGCTCTGAGCAATTCCAGAATCCAGAAGTTCTGTTCGAGCATCTGTCTAACAACCATATTGGTAGGAAATCACAGGGTAACCTATCCTTAGAGTGTAAATGGCAAGGCTGCTCTGTCAAGGTCGGAAAAAGAGACCATATGACTTCTCACATTCGAGTACACGTTCCATTAAAACCGCACAAATGTAGCGAATGCTCGAAACAGTTCAAGCGTCCACAAGATCTTAAGAAGCACGAGAAGACACACTCACGTGGGTAACATACCATCCATAGTCTTTTGTTTACTGATAACATTATAGATGAATCTGCTTCACCTACTAATGCTACTTCAAATCAACCAAAGAACGATGCATCTAACAAACCAAACGAAATAAAGAAAGAAACACTTTATCCAAAGTTACCGAACAGATCATTAGATGGCCAATATCTATACGATTATTTTCATCGTAACACAGATCAAAAACCTCCTCAAGTTGGCTCTAGCGTAGATCAACATAAGGTTACGCCACCAACTAACAACACACCAATGGATCCTTATCACTATTACAATATGATGTATTATCAACTTCCTACAACAATGCCAAGGCCGCCACAGCAATCACCTTCACCAACATCAGACATCAGTGGAAACAGTCCACACACACCACATTTAGTCTATCAACAACCAAAGGCACCGTACTCTTTATATCCAACACCAAATCACTTACCTTTACCACAACCAAGCAATTTGAACGACTTTCACATGTATAACACAAATGGCAGCGTACCACCTAAATTTCAAGAGATGAAAACTGGTCAAAAGAGAGGTATCGACTTCTTATCGATGGAGGAGTTAGTTGAAGATCTCATGCGCAAGAAGAATCAAAAACAAGCTAACATTTTTGATGACAAGACTTGCGATAGGTTGAACCAAATGTATGAGTACACCTCTATGCCTGTTGCACCTGCAGTGCCTCCATCTGCACCACCAGTGGCTGCTGGACCGCCATCAATTACTCAACTCAACTATTCTGTCAACACAGGTGAAGAATTAGCGGATGTTAACAATCTATTTTTGCAACTCGGTAAAGAGGCCGCGCAAAGTGCCTCACCAGCTTCCTCAGAAGATCTATTTGATCATGCCACATTAGTTAGTTTGGGATTATCGCCTTCGGAATCAAGCAGCGATTTGAGCTTAAGTGGGGGTGTACCTTCACCGCCAAACAGTAATTGGTTCCCGGCAATTGACAGTAACCTTTATCCACAATTGGAGAAGAAACATAAACCAAATGAGTATGGAATGAGTCCACCACAGATCTCTCCAATTGGATACTCATCTGGGTCTGAGAAGAAAGTTAAGAAGGTACCTGCGCTTACTAAGGCACCTCCAAGTAGTATTTATGGGTTACTCGATGAACCAATGGATCAAGATGACAAAGATAAAGGAGCTCATAACAGTGATGAAGAGATGGATCTCACCTTACCACCAATCGTTAAAGCACCACCAAGTCCTCCAACTACTACGATAGGTTTGAGCCCGTCACAAATTGCAGGTGCTTTATCACCATCTAGTAATGCAAGTGCAAGAAGTAGGAATTCATCAGTTTCTAATGTTCAAGAGAAGACACCAACAGGTTTGGACGCGCTTGCTATAGCTGCCAACAGCCAGAATGACAAGGAGAGGAAACTCAAAGCTATCCATGTCATCAAAGCTTTATTATACACTATTAATAAGGAATATAAAGATAAACATTCAAGATAATGACGATTTTTCACGTGTAATTATAGATAAAATATATGTATAGTATGGGTATAATAATTGTTTGAGAGTAGAAATATGTATAAGTTCCATCCAGTTCCTGATTGCTTTTAGAAAATGCTATTTGTTATTGTTTGGTGTCGTTAACTCCTTCAAAGAGGGTACTTTTGAGCGTATCTTTACCGGAGTTTCTTGATAATTGTTTAGACTAAACATATCGTTCTTCGGTGTAGGTGCCAATCCTAACTTTGACGCTAAATCTGGATTAGCGGGTGAACTCATCTGTAAATTGCCTTTATCTTTGAATAAAGTTGATGGTGGTGTATTGGCAAAGAAATTATGCGTGCTTGATTGTCTAAATGGTGTTATGGATGGTAACTTAAATGGTGTACTCTCTTCTTTGAATACTTCAAACCTTGGTATAGATGGTGGTGCATTTGTTGGATAGATCAAAGGTGGTAATGTTGTTGGGTAATCATCTTCATTTTCTTCTTCAACTTTAACACGCTTTGGTGTTAGACTTTGGTTATATGTCGAAGGAATATCACTAGTAAAGCTCGTATTACTCGTTGTACTAGCGTTCTCGTATTTATTCATTGTTTCTACTTCTTGTTCAACGTCTTCCTTGGATTTTCCGTGTCGCTTCTTAAATGCCCATCTACGCTTACTTGCTAACATCCTGTCTCGCCTCTCTTGTTCTGATTTTGGACGTCTACTGTCAGTGTCCCACCGACTACGTCTTGGTTGATCACGCAATGGTATATCGTGTTTCTCTGATAAATGTCGACGGAGGATCGACCGTCCATGTTTGCCTGAATAACATTTATCACAGTACTCGCAGGGCTATCTTATTAGAGTATATCGTATAATATGGATATACTCACATAACTCATCTCTTTATTCGATTGTTTTGGTTCTATCGACTGTTTACTCGTGCTTGGATTACTCCTAGATGAGGGTGATTCACCTGCTTGCTCTAAATCACTGTATATTAAACCATTAGAGCGGTATATCTCGTCTAAATACGGGTTGATTTCCTCCATTCGCTGTACATCTAGTAGATGAGAGAGAAGAAAGAATGTGGGTTGTCACATTCCAAAACATTACGTATTATTAAATTCTTGTGCTATATTTCAATCATATCGTGTATAAATCATTATCTAAACTCTTTACACTCCGTTACAATTGAGTACACATCTCAAGTCGTGAAGTGAATATGTAATAACTAAATTATTTACTATATTATACTATATTTATTATACAATAAGGTATATGCTATTATTATCTCGTTACATATCTTACATCTCTTGATAACGTACATCGATGAGTGCAGAAAGAGAAGATCAGCCAGTCGTCAATAAAAACAAGAGATACAGAAAGGAGAAAGCTTGGGATCATGAAGGAATTGATCAGTAAGTTTTTATCTCTGCTCCTTACACTCTAGTTAACACAAATTCAGCGTATGTGTATAGCTGCCACTATAAAGTACTCAACTAACTCATTTTTTAGTGGAAAGTAGATACTTTCACAAATGAAGACAACCCAGCTGGTTCATTCGCAGAGGAGTCCTCATTTGCTACCCTCTTCCCTAAATACAGAGAGAAGTATTTAAGAGAAGTCTGGCCACACGTTACGCGCGCATTAGAGAAGCATGTGAGTAGCTTTTTAGCAAAAGTATATGCTCTTATATTTTACAGGGCATCAACTGTGTTCTCGATATGGTTGAAGGTAGTATGACAGTCAAAACAACCCGCAAAACCTACGATCCATACATTATTCTCAAAGCTAGAGACCTTATTAAACTTCTTTCTAGAAGTGTACCTTTCAGCCAGGCTGTTAAAGTTTTAGAAGACGAGTATGCAGCTGATATTATAAAGATTGGCGGTTTAGTTAGAAATAAAGACAGATTTGTTAAGCGTCGTCAACGTATTATTGGTCCAAATGGTAACACACTCAAGGTTTGTCGATCTCCTCATTGTTATGTCCATTTGATAACAGAATATAGGCTATTGAACTTCTCACTGAGTGTTACATCCTCGTACAAGGTAATACAGTATCAGTTATGGGTCCATTTAAGGGTTTGAAGAATGTACGAAGGATTATTCTCGATTGTATGAACAACGTACACCCAATTTACCATATCAAGGAACTTATGATAAAGCGTCAATTAGCCGAAGATCCTAACCTCGCCGGAGAGAGTTGGGATAGATTCTTACCTTCATTCAAGAAACGTAACCAAACAACATCTGAGAAGACTGCCTCCAAGAACCGCAAACTTGAACACAGAGCTGAAGCTCGTGGTATGGATGTCGACGCACTCCGTCAAGAAGACGCAGCTAAAGAGCGTGAAAGAAGCCACATTAAGGCTGACAAACAAAAGGTCTACACTCCATTCCCACCTCCTCAACAACCAAAGAAGATTGATCTTCAAATTGAATCTGGTGAGTACTTCCTCAAACCATACGAGAAGAAGTCAAAAGAGAGAGAGGAGCGCAAACATACTCAAGAGGAGAACAGCAAAAAGAGAAAGGCAGAGAGAGCCAAAGATCTTGTTGCACCTGACGAGCGTACGTCTGAGCAGAAGGAGAAAGACGAAAGAAAGCAACGCAAGCGTGAGAAAAAGAGGAAAGTTGAACAAGAGGAGTAGATTATTTATTATTTATACATTTCGTTTTAGAATTACAGGTAAACGCTTAACGATACGACTATGCGGTGATAATGCAGGTGATGGGTAATTTGTGTGCAAACTTTCCAATTTCAATCTTTGATATGTTTTCATACCATATTCTATCCAAAGGTCATCAATGTTAAATGGTATGCTCAATCTGGGTATTGTCGTTGGTAATCTATTGATAATGACAAAGTTAGTTGATTGTCTACGACGCTTGAATCTTTTGCGTCCTTCATAATTTGATTCCTTTCGGTGTTGTGATAAAAGATCCCTCCTATAAGATTGTATTGATAACTTCCTAAAAATCGGACGTTTAGGTGGGGCCACTTTGCGTTTCTTTTCGCGTTGTGCACGTTTTGTAGCTATATTGCTCAGAAGTGACTGTCTAGGTGTTGGATGCTGGACTGTTTCTTGCCGTGCTCGCTCTTCGCGTCCGGGTGTCTTATCAAATGTTTCAGATGTGTCGTCTCTAGGTGAAATGATCGCGTTGTCTTCTTCGCCGATAGTACTAGCATCACTGCTAGATATGCTAATTACGCTGTGGCTTCTTTTTCTATTAGGTTGATTATTATTATCGTCATCGGCAACAATACTGCTATTACTACTACTGCTACTAATTTCTATCACATCAGCATCTTTAGTATCACTATTAGACCCTTTAAGCGCGCTAAACAAGCTGTCAAAAGCGCTATTCAGGAAGTTCATGATATATGTAAATGAGTGTAATGTATCGAGAAGTTCAATGTACAATATACGACAAAATAAAATCACAAAATGTAAAAACTAAAAAACCAGTTTTAGTTTTGTTTAATGTACGGCTGCTACGCGCTTGCCTAACTTGTTAATCATAAGTTTACCTTCTGTCGTGATATTTCTACGAGCTTGACTTTGATGTTGCTGATTTTGAAGAATTCTCCTCGTTATTTCATCAAGTGAAGGCGTTGTACGTCTCCTCTGGGTCGGCATATTGTTAACGAATCCTCTGCCTTTCAAATGTGGCTTTTTTGTAGATTGTGGGATAGTAGTTTTAGGCGTTGCTTGATCATCGCAGGTTATTTTAATCGTTGGTATCATTTTAACTTTTTTTATTTGGACCTGCCAAATTTGTGTTACAAGATAAAGAGACACTTGCAAGTTCAAGCTACTAAAGTGACTTACTTGCCTTTTTTGGAATTTACATAAAAAATGTCAACAAATAGTAGCTTATCTAGTGATTTATCTGATAATACAAGTGATTATTCAACTGATTTGACAAGCCTCAATGACGACAATGTGGATGACAACAACAACACATATAACGAAGATAACGATGGCGTCGATCGTCAGCAATTGAATTACGAAGGTGGGTTCTTATAATTAATACAAATTCATTCTAATACCCCCTATCAGCTGGTTTCGGTGGCCAAGAAGATTTGGAGTAAGTTTATAGCACAGATATTACGTACTTTCTAAAAAGGTATATATAGAGATAGGTATGCTTCCACTAGTGGAGATAATTAAAGTACTTTATCATTCGCTTTATCCCGTACTTCAAGAACACCATTCGCAACTCGGACTTCCAACTCCAATCTCTCTTTGACGTACAATCCATGTACTCGTGCAACTTTCTTTTCTTTCACGGTATCCTCATATGAAGGTGGTTTCGAAGCTATAGATACATTGTCTATGTCTTCAGCTTCTTTCGTCTTCCCTTTGGCTTTCATATCATCTTTGTATGCTTGTTTAAGCTTTGATAACGATTCGAGAGCTTTCATTCGCGTGACTTTGTCCACATTTGGTGATTTAACTACTGATAATACTTCCTCTTGTACTGCAGACATTCCGCCATATTCTTCTGATACTTTCTTGGCAGATTTGCCAATCAAATAGGTTGAAAGCTTGGCTATATTTGCCCCTTGAGATGTGAAGAACTTGGCTGCACCCGCTGATGCACTGCTACTTGCTGCTGTACCCGCTGCAGCTGCCTAATTACTTATGAGATAATGAGATAGCAGAAATAGAGGACCTACGCCACCAGCACTAGCTGCCACTGCTGCTGGTGCACCATAACTCAACACTGTTGCAATAACAGCCAACTTTATACTTTAGCCACAGTACCGGTTATAGATATGCATACCTACACTTATTATACCAATCGTTATCGCGGATTTCGTAGCAGAATACTGTGATTTCTTTCCCGTATCAACCTTTACTTCAAATGTAAACCAAACCTGTGAAATCGATGAGCTTGGTTGCTTCGCATGCTATCAAACACACCTTCCCTGGACGTAGCTTTATAGTAGAGCCTGGTGAGATGCTGTTTTCGAAATGCAAAGCAGCAACATGCTTTAAACAGACATTTAAGTTGTGAGGCGTTAAATTCGTTACTCGAACTGATGGCATTTTATGATTAAGAAGACAATAAATAATTTAAAAGTGATTAAGTAATGTGTTATAAATTGTTTTTAGTATTTTATTCAATGAGTTATTTTATCTCACTATTATGCGTTTTCTTTGTCTTGGTTTTTATGCTTCGACATGTTGGCTAAGAAGGCGTTCGACTGGGATTGTCAGCGAAATGGAAAAATGTTATAACAACACCTACTAGCAAGGACATGTTTCGCTGTCTGTGAAGACATATTATGAATCTGGTTGGTTTTGCGTATATTGTCGAGTTCTTCGCTTATAGCTGCGATCAACAGGTGAGCTTGTGATCTACTTACGGCATTAATAGCACGCTGTAAGACATAATCTATAACCAGTTAGCATCTGTTGATTTGTAAAGCATACTACTCACTTCCAAACTGGTCTTTCATAAGTGAGGGTATACCATCTACAGATGCTTCATCAGATCTGTCAATTAATCTGTATATGAGCATCTCCTTATCCTTTTCATTTGCCTTTATCAGAGCTTTCTCGCATACGTTACTAGCGAATTTGTGCCTTGCCAATTCGAAGAAACGTTGATTGATTTTTACTACTATCCTAGATCTGTCTTCATCTGTTCCGAATTCTAATAAATATTGTACGACGTAGTTTCCGAACATGTCGACGACTAAATTATCGACTGATTCATGAAGTTGTTCAATTAACTCGCGAGAACGCGCTTGACCGATATGTTCAAATGATCTTTGTAATACTCTACAACCATATGGATGTGTAGCCAACTCTTTTGCGTTGTTTGCAAATACTTCAGGGAAGTTACCCAATTTGTCAGGATCTACTCGTTCAATTATACGTTGTATAACGTGATTAGCTAGCGTTTGTTAGATAATGTTGGTTTGGTTATTCATACCCACCATTTTGATCTTGAACGGCTCTTTCTGTTATTGTTTCAACGCGTTTGACTAATTCCAATTGCTCTGCTTCTTCAACACACTCGATTGCCTTCTGTACGACCCTACAGCCATACATTTGGAAGCTGAGCGTAGGTACGCAATCTTTAATTTTATTTACTAGTCTCAAACGTTGATCCTGGGTGCCGTGTTCAAATAATTTCTGAATAACCTGTGGATAGTTAGAAAAAAAGCACCCCAAAGAAATCGCAAACTCACGTAATTACCGAATACATCTGATGATAATTCAACTGTATTAGGGAATATCTCCTCAAATACCCTCATCAAAGATTCTGGTGGTGCATTATCAAGCTTTTGTTGAATGAATCTACTACCCAATTGATCAGTAGCGAATTCTGTCACGTAGCCAAATATATTCTATAAAAAAATTGTAAATGTAAAACATATCAAAGACAACTTGAACTCACGTGTAATTCAGGTTTGGTATGTTTACCATTAACTCTAAAATCTTCTAAAACTGCGCTTCTATTGGTTGATTTAAATTCACTTGCCAAGTGTTGGTTTGACTTCATCGACCTCATTCTTGTTTGAGGTGGTTGATAATGATGGTGAACTGGCTGAGGTGGTGGGGCTTGAGGTGTAAATAAATAATTATCGTATATAGGAGCTTGTTGACCTAATGTAGGCATACTATGTTTATGTTGTAAGGTAGCTCTATTTGGTGAGTTCATCAATGGATATATGGTATGCATAGTTGATGTAGGTGAACTTGGTATTAAATTAGCCGCTGGTGGTGGTAAAAATCTTGTAAAGTCACCGAAAGCTGTCGTAGTTGGTGAAGGAGATGATTGAAAGTAATTAGTTGGTTCAGGTGGTGTGAACGAGTAAGGATCTATTGTATTTAGAGGAAAATAAGCGTATTGCGGTGCATGTTGTTGTGGATGTGCTGGTGTTTGAGCTGTCTGATGCTGTTGCTGCTGTGGTTGATTGAGGAATCCAGTAGATGCGTAATGTCTTAAAGATTTCGAATGTTTTACATTATTAGTTGAATCATTAAATGGCTGGCTTATTAAATTATTCTTGGATTTCTTCTGTGGGGGGTTTTATAAGGTAAAACGCGTATACAAATATAAACTTACGTGTTTGATTGTAGGTGAGTTAAACTTATTTTCATTATAGTTATAAAACAACTGAGTTGTTGTCGAAGACATCGTCGTTTTAATTTAAAAAGCAAGCTTCATTTTAAAGATAGTCTTTACATTCCAATCAAAAAGCTTTAAATATTCATTTATTCACATTCTTTATTTGTTGACGTAACTCTTTTTCCCTATCATAGTTGTCATTCTATAGTTTCTATTAGCTCTTGTCTTCTCTCCCTCTTTGATATCACACCCACATGATAGTAGCCGCCACTCCCCTCATCTGCCCTTCTTTGTTGATACCTTCTATTATCTGGAGCATAGCCACGATTATAATATCCTGGTTGTTTATCTTGTGCTCGGTTATTCGATATTCTGTTGCTCAATTTCTCTCCATAGGTTTGAGGTTTCTCTGGTAGCCTCCTGCTATTCGGATTACTACTGCGATTACTGTAATACCTCTGACCTGCTTCACTTCTCTGCTCATGTTGATCTTTATCTGTAGCCACTTGGTACGTTTGCTTCGGTTGTTTTTGTGCTTGAACGGGTTGAGGTCGGGTCTGTGGTTGAGGTCTCTGAGGTGGCGGTTGCTGCACCTTTTGCACCTTTTGCGCCTCTTGCTGCTGCGTCCGTTTGTCTTCCAGAGGTGCTTTCTGAGAAGCTACACTATCGTCACCTAACACAAACTGAGTAAATTGACAAATGAAGCGCGGCATGAACTAACGTTGTAGTGACTGTTGACTCTGTAGTTTTCTCTTCTTCTCTGCACTCTCTGTCGCTGGCTGGGTGAAACCTGGACACCTCCAAACCGACATCTTATCAATCGAGTTGTAAAAGTATGGTTCTCCTACGCTAGATATACGTAATATCCATTTATTATCTAGCCTTGGGCCATCAAATGCTATTAAGTTAATGTCTGTCGCCGTTGATTTAGAAGTTGTAGCTTTCGCACTCTCCCCTGCAATCTCAGTTGTGTTCGTATTGTCCTCGCCTTCATATCCAGTGAGGGATATAACATCGGCACTCTCGTCTATATCATCCCCCCAATCTATCACATCCTCATTCTGCATTCTTCTTGATCGTAGTTAATCAACACCCATCTAGGAAATATATGCTCCCAAGACCTGCAAATTATAGCAGTAAATACAGGCGAAGAAATCCATTGAGGAATCTAAATTTTAATCTCGCTCTTCTCCAATTGTTCTATTTGACAATATCGCCGCGAAGATTCTATAGACAGCTTTACTATCATAAGCAAACGACTAATAAGTGGTCTAGATCTGATCCTACTATTTCAATCATAGTAGCCGGTTTCTTATTCATTAGTGCGCTTGGTTGGTCACTCTCGTTTAAGTTGGGTTTCTCAGGATGGCTGAAATTGGGAATAAAGATGCTGTTAATTGATTATTTAGCCGTAGCTGTACTATTTTCCACACTTTTTTGGTTAGTTTCGGTCTTTTCTTCACATATATGATACTGATAGCATCAAAGGCTGCTAGCAAACAAGGTACTCGTACACTCTCCTTACTCACAATCAAGTATACCCTCAGCGAGAGTAGAATGGGCATACGCATTCGACGTACACACAAATGGCTACTTCCCTATCATCTTATTGTTATACCTCCTGCAACTATTCCTCTGGCCATTGCTTACACGTCAGGAATGGATTTGCACGTTCATTGGTAACACAATATATCTCGTATCCGTAAGTTCCTCCTGACGTTATTACTTTGCTCACAATTTTCAGTTTTTACATTACATCCATATCACGTATTTAGGCTACGCAGCTCTCCCATTCGTCATCAAGTCTGAGCTTTTGCTTACTTCCGCACCACTCATATTGATTGTCTACCTCGTCACGCTCATCGGATTCAACGTTCCTAAAGCCACACTTGAATGGTATTTCAATACCTCTATCTAAACTGTTTCATACATAACTGCGCATATTGCATTAATTGTTTCTCTTTTGTGTTTTTCGTTGACTAAGATGTAGTCATGCTGAACTGTACAGTATGTGTGTGATCTGAACAACTAAGTCATTAGCATTTAAATTGTACGTTTTACAGCTTATTGCATTTCGACATTAATACTCTAGATTATTCTCTATCAATCTCATAGCGTCATCAATCGAACAACACATTGTAGATTGTGGGTGATTAGAGAATTGCAAACAAAAATCTAACTGATACTATTGACGTGAGAATTCCTTATCATGTACCCATTATTTACTCCTAATTTAATTAGCATGACGGTTGACTTTGAAGGTATTTTCACCAGTGATAACGAGCAAGCTTGCCCAGAAAATACATGCTATATTATTAAAACATTATTCGACAACGATAATTATGATAATTATTTAACATTTCAAAAACAAAATTTCGAAAACATTTAATTTTGTTGACAACTTTTAGTCATGAATGCTTCAAAACGAGAGCGGAGTCAAAATTTTCATCTATAATTCTCAAACTAGTTATAGTAAGTACTACACATTAAATAAAAATGAAATTATACTCTAGTAGATACAAAGGGAGTGTTTGTAAGGCTAAGTAAGATTTTTTGTGACATTCAAGCATTCCTTGCTTTCTGAAATGCCTCCGGTTGTTAGCTTTCGTGCTTGTGACGTAGTAAATATGCAGAATTTAGTATTTAAACAGTCAAACATGTGTCAAATGTACACAGTCATATACTATTGCTTTTAAATTCCCATATAAGCATCCCACTTGCGGTGTACTTGCGATGCCGATATTAGCGATAAGAGCAAATTATTTCCTAATTGAGTTGATTAAAACGATCAAGGAGAATAAAATAACATTGCATAATATCAGTCAATTATATTCTCAATCGGTTATAAGTGTAATGCATTGATAGGTAATTTGTGTATCTATCATATCACTCAATGCGATAAGACATATATCAAAATCATATCACAATACCACATAACTAAAAGTAGCTTTATGAAAAATATGAAATCAATGGTAGGATTCGACTCACCATCGTTTTCTCACGACATTGCGTAATGTTCGCTGAGGAAGGTGTCACGAAATTACATATGCAAGTAAATCCTAATGGTTGGGCACTTTACGAAGGTTCATCCACACGTAATAGTGATCGGCCAGTTTATACCGCTCAGAGGGATGACGATGGTGTTGTATTTTTAAATAACAACATGGAGACGATAGGGAGGTCTAATATACCAAAAGCAACCGCTTGGAGAGATAAGAATATTAATCTTACACTTAATGATCGTTCATACGAGCTATGTAAGCCAAGTTGGTGGCGTACGTGCCGTAGGTTCGTCAGTTATGAAGGTATCCAGTGCGCATCTATCAGAGTTGTTAAAGGATTCTTGCAGATTGTTAACACAGATAATAATCACGTATTGGCTACGTTTACATACTCTCAATGGTCAAAGAGAAAGCTAGGTGTGATAAGACATTATTCTACAGAAAACCCGAGTGATAATGATAGACAGCTGTTTACTATCATCCTTTCAATAGTTGCTAAAGTTGACAGTCAGCGTCAGCTTTAAAGTTATATCAGACTGTATGAATGAATATATTATAGATTTGAAGAAATTTAAAAGAAAATTACAGCGAGAATATCTAATACGATCTACCGAATAATGCGAATCTCTTTGCTGGCTTTTTACAAGCAACACATAAAGTCTTACCTTCTTCGATCTTACCGAATCTTTCTTGATCATTTGGAATACAAAGTGATTTGGCACCTTGTGAAGGTTGCTTCTCGTCCTTTTCACCATCGGATGCGTTCTCAGTACGCTCCTTGATGTCCTTCTCACATTCAACTTCTTCACACCATGGGATAGCGAGAACTTTCTTCTCGTTCAATGCCTTTACTATTCTGTCAAAGTCCTCCATGATAACTTCCAATGAGTCATTGAATGAGTCCTTTGCCTTGTTGAACATAATGTCGTAGATCTTCTTCAACATTTCTGGAATACCAGTTTCTAACTCAGATAATGGAAGTGGTTCCTTATCTTGATTTGGATTAGCAGCTCTACGTACACAGAGTGCTTGCTCCTTCTTCATATCCATTGGTCCGTACTCAATTCTGATTGGTACACCTCTCATTTCCCAGTCGTTGAACTTCCATCCTGGGGTGTAACCTTCTCTCAAATCAGCCTTAGCTCTGACGCCAACCTTTTGTAATCTGTCAGCGATGCTCTTAGCACCCTTTTCGATAGCTTCAGCATCTGCAGCTGAAGTCTTAGCTGTGATACCACATGGAACAACTACAACTTGCACTGAAGCAACTGGTGGTGGTAAGACCAAACCTTGATCATCACCATGAACCATGACCATGACACCAATTGTACGGGTAGACAAACCCCATGAGTTTTGCCAGACAAACTTCTTAGCTTCACCTTCCTTGAGTTGACGACCTTCAGCATTTGCCTTTCTTGCTATTTCTGGGTCTTCGACAGTGATATCGAACATCTTTGAGAAGTTCTGACCGAGACAGTGTGATGTTCCACCTTGAATACCTCTACCGGTTGTTGGGATATAACCTTCTACGGATTTAGTGTAGAAACCACCAGCGAACTTTTCATTCTCAGATTTGATACCAGGAATGACTGGAACAGCGAGTAATTCCTCGTAAATGCGTCTATATAAATCGAGAATGTGATCAACTTCTTCAGATGCGCTATCATGGTCAATGTGTGCAGTGTGTCCTTCTTGCCATAAAAATTCACGAGTACGCAAGAATGGTTGTGGGTTCTTGAATTCCCATCTGACGACACTGTTCCATTGGTTCAATCTGAGTGGTAAATCTCTGTGAGATCTGATCCACTTTGCGTAGTATGGGTACATGACAGTCTCAGAAGTTGGACGAATAGCAATTGGCTCTTCAAGATCTGATTCACCTGCTTTTGTAACCCAAGCAACTTCAGGTGCGAAACCTTCAATGTGGTCTTTTTCACGGTTAAGAACGCGTGATGAAACGAAAAGTGGGAAATAACAGTTCTCTACACCAATCTTTTGAATCTCAGCGTCAAAAAACTTCTGAATTGATTGCCAGATGTTGAAAGACCATGGCTTGAGGATATAACAGCCGGAAACATCATAGTAGTCTAACATATCACCCTTGAGCAATACTTGAGTGTACCAGTTAGGGAAATCGACTTCCTTACGGATACCAATGGCAACTTCTGCTGCACCTGCGATCTTACCAGCTTGCTTGCGCTGTTGTGAAGATGGTTGTTGAGCAGGAGTAGAAGTAGCAGGTGAAGCAGCAGGAGCTGCGAAGTCTAATTTGTCAAACTTTGTTGCGTTTGATTGAAGAATTTCAGTAAGTGTTTTTGAATCGATAGAAGTGAGATTTCCGTCTAAACCTTTGACTTGTATTGGTGCAGATGATTGTGAGAGTGATTGGTCGAGAACGATATGACAGTCAGAGTCTAAGTTAAATGGAGAAGCTGTCTTCTCGGTTAGAAGTGCGTATGGATGCTAGTAAGAACGCACCATCTGCCTTGGCTGCTTTTAATACAGTAGTCCATAAACTATCATCTGCAGCTCTCAAATCTTTAACGTTTATCTTCTTACCAATCTCTGTAGCAGATGCAGGAGCGTTCGCGTCCGCTAAAACGAGGATTGGAAGCTGTGACTTCTTAGACTTGAATAATAAGGTCTTTGTAGCTAAAGCGCTATTGTCTTGTGTTAAATTTAACTTTTTAAATGAATCTGCGAGTGTCATTTGCAGACGTCTTAGCATGCACTATGCGAAGAGAGAAGTCAGACGATAGACGATAATTCTTTGTTAAAAAATTTGTGTTTATGGAAAATAATAAAAGTACATGAAATAATTTATCCCTTACTCTATCCCTGAGTTTCAGTTTACATCCACCCAAGGTCAAACGAAGGGAAAAGTTTTCTATTGGCGCAAAAAAACAGGACCAGAAATCCAACTATTATCAGGATAACTGGGCAGACATATGCACGCCGTAGTTTCTATATTCACAGCATCCTTGGTGTTTAGTAAAACGAATAAAATACATCTATAGGGTGTTAGGATATGGTATGAAGGTTAGATGGAATCCTAAGATACAGTCCCGAAAGATGGTATACTTGGTAGCTCTCCGCCGCAGCTCGCTCCAAATGTGTTGAAAATTTCATCCTTTAATGGGATCCCACCTAGTAAAGTAATCTACTCACAGTGTACAACAGAAGTATGGACAAACGATGGCAGAACCATCGCATTATTTTGCGCACATGGCGCTCATGGAAGTCCGAGAAGAAGAACGAGTTGTAGCTTTTATAGGCGCATATTTTGTCTAGTCACACAACAGAAAAGAAATGAATGTTAAATTGGTTGGTGAATGTATTATGCTATATCGTGTAGACAGCTGAGCATACTACTGCCTTATTCCTTCATTATTTTCGTTATTGGTTGTAGTAGACAAACATACAGTAGTACACCAGCCAGATTTCTGGGAAGCTCCTAAGTAAAGGCAGTGCAGTGCTATTTTACGCCTCGATGATTTACACAATCTCCTCTCTTGATCACTGACGTTCATTAATTAAGTCATGCCCTCGAAGGTGAACTCAGAATTGTTATTTGCGTCTATGAACCAAGATTACAGGTGTGTATATACCCGCATTTAATACTATCTAATATCCCTTAGCTGTGTCTCTGTGGGCACAACGAAAGGCTACGCTATCGCTAACTGTGAGCCCTTTGGGAGAATACACGGGAAGAGTGGGTCTATATAACAGCATCATAGAAATCTGACCTTCCACAGATGACGGTGCTACTTCACTCGTCGAAATGCTCTTTTGTACATCTCTGATTGCGATCGTAGGTGGCTTAGATCGCAACTCAGATAGGAAACTACAAATAGTTAACACGAAGCGTCAATCTATCATATGCGATTTATTTTATCCTACAAAGATCCTCGGCGTGAAGCTCAATCGCAAACGCTTAGTCGTCATACTCGAGAAAGAGATTTATATGTACGATATCTCAGTGAGTGTGCTAGTAATTTACTCAATAACATCTTATCCTTGCCATAGAACATGAAGCTGCTCTGGAACTCGGAAACGTCGCCAAATCCAGATGCGGTCGTCGCACTGTCGTCATCATCTGAACCCTCTTATCTCGTCTATCCTTCACAATCACCCTCAACACACACAGCATCATCTGTAGCTCCACCTCCACTTCCAAATGCTCAATCACATTCGAATACAGGCGATGTCATCATCTTTGATACTTTATCACAGCAAGCTGTTAATTTACTTTCAGCTCACAAATCTCCAGTTGCCGCATTGGCACTCAACAGTACATCTTCCATGTTAGCTACTGCTTCTGATAAAGGAACGGTAATACGCGTATTCAGTTTGCCAAGTGCAGATAAGTTATATCAGTTCAGACGTGGTTCATACCCAGCGAGAGTATATTCTATCGCTTTTAATCAAGTTTCCACGTTGTTGGCTGTCAGTTCAGCTACTGATACTATACATATATTCAAGATTGGCAGGAGCTTCGATGGTACATCTTCGAACAACAATGAGGACATTACATCAGAGACCAGCGATAGATTGGCCAACCAAAGCGGAATGTTAGGTGGCTATGAGGCTTTTGTTGATGGAAAGAGAAGATCTTCGCTAGGAATGTAGGTTTTACTAGATGAGAAGACTATCACTAATAATGCTAAAAGATCTATATCTCAGAAGGGTCTAAGCTTTGGAAAAGCTTTGACTAGTGGTGCTGGATCTATATCTAAGCATCTACCACGAGGAGGTGTGTATATATTAATTGCATTACTCACTCTCACAACACACTAGTGACAGAAATGTGGGAACCATCTCGAGACTTTGCATTCGCAAAACTGCCTGAGAGAGGTATAGAAACCCGTGTTGGTTTATCTTCAACACTCCCGCAATTGATGGTAGTATCATCACAGGGACTTTTCTATTCCTACTCAATTGACCTTGAAAACGGCGGAGAATGTACGTTGATTAAGCAATACAACCTCTTGGATAGCATGGAGTGAGAGTATATTCCTTTCACAAGGAATTTTGGCCGTCTCTTGTTTCTCTTTTTCTTCTTGTATACCCGCGAATGTTATCAAAATTACATTATATAGTATCAATAATAAATTATAAAAACAACACATGTTCAGAGTCTAGCTTGGGAAAGTTTAGCCCGAAGTTCATCTTCACCAAGTTTTGCTTTTGATTCAAATTTTTGTATTTGACTATCACCTAATTGACGCATCTTGTTTGATTCATCTGTTACACATTTCCTTATGAACTCGGCCAATGTTAGACTCCTGTCGCTATTTTCATCGCTATTAGTTACTTCCTTCAATCGACTTGGAGATTTATTAAATTGATTAAGCAGTTGTCTGGATGATTTTATACCATTGCTATTACTAAGTTCTGGAAGTGGTGATAGATTATTCGTTGGATTTTCTTCTTTTGGTGTAGGTGGCAGAGACTTTTTAGGACTTTCTTCAAGGTCTTCTAGTTTTGATGATTTTGGAGGTGCTTTCTTTTGCTGTGATACTGTTCTTGATGTTTTCCTCCGTGTTGTTGCTTCTTTCACTGGTGGTGCTATCTCCTCAGGTTGTTTTGATTGTGAACGCGTGCGGGTAACTCTTTTTGGAACTACTATTTCATTTTCCCCATTGTCAGTTGTCATAGAGGCGGTCCTTGATATACTCTTTCCTTTCTTTTGGGTTGCTGTTTTCTTTGTGGTATCTTTCTGGGTATTTTGGACCTTTTTGTGAGGACAAGTCCCCTTTACGACTTTAGCATGAAAGAATGAACAATTTGGCGACCTATTTCTATGTTCTTCGGTTGGATCATCTCCTTTTTGCCATTCTGATAGATTTATTTCGCAACAAGCACATTCGCAATTATCAAACGCATCCTCAGTGGGTGCATAGTAAAATCCAGCAAGAGCAAGCTAAAAACGCGTTAAAAACATTCGATAAGTGTAAAGAATGACCCACTTTATGTACTGAAACAGATAATGGTCGGACGCACTTGACGAATGTTGATTTTCGAGCATCAATCATGGGTCTACTCCTTGGTACACGTCCAGCTTGGGTGGGTTCATCATCGTAATACTCTGTTCTGTTCTTCCCACCGTGTTCTGTTCCCCAAATACTTTCATCAAGTGCAATTCCACATACGACTCTAGCGTAAGGACATTGGGGTGAGAATTCTAGGTGTAACCCTGACGCGTTATCGTCTTCTTTCCAATCACTTAGCTTCAAATCGCAGTACGCGCATTGTACTTTATCTGACTTTGATTCCATGGCGTAGAAACCAGCTTTTGATAGAGCTTCGACATCTAAATGTGCAACATTCCTGTGATAAGTTTTATTATAACTCTTTAATCTTTTTGTGTATATCTCCATTTTACAGTCGCCGATCTTGGTCGTCGATGTTGAAGCTGAAAGTTGAGCGTAATTTCAAAACCGTTTACAAAAACGCGTTATTGTTCAGTTAATTAGTTTATAAGCTATTATCTGATATAAATCTCTTCCAGTTTTCTTAGATAAATATGTAAAACCGTTGTCACTGTCATTTACGTGATTATTTTGTAGTTTTTGATCCAGTTTTGATTGTTTTGATAAAATATTGTTTATTGTTATTATCATATGATCTTTATTATCTCATTCGTCTCATCTCCTCTGCCTATCCGCTTAAGCGAGTTTTTCAACAGATTTGGACAGCACGCAGAGATAGAGAGGATTATGTATACTTAAATCATAAAACCATGCATGAATAATTGATACATGTAGTCATCTCTAACTCCCACGTTAGGATTCAGAGTGACGCATTGTCGACTAAGAGTAATACAACCCCGTGGAGCATCTAAGTTCACGTATATATCAATAGCCTGGATAGAAATATACCTCAAAATTTCTACTTCTTTTTAGCCGGTTACCCTCTCTCACTTCTACACTCACGAACTAGATTGAATGTAATTACAGCTTATTGTAATAACATCAATAAATCTAACAAAATATCTTACAGATGTTTAGACAACAAGCTAGCAGAGTTTTTGCTAAAGTAGGGCTCCCGGTTTTCCGTATCTCTTCCCGTCATTGACCGACTATAGACAACAACAACAAGATCTGCTATTGCCCAACAAAAGAGATCTTTATCCATACACGAGTACGCTGCACAAGCCATGCTCGCAGCTGGTCAAGTCAACACCCCAAAGTCAATCCCAGCTTTCAGCGCAGACGAAGCTTTGGCTGCTGCTAAGAAGTTTGACAAGAATGAGCTCGTTATTAAGGTTATTATCATCATCTAATCTTGAATTCTCTTCTAACAACAATCAAATAGGCCCAAGTTCTCGCTGGTGGTCGTGGTAAAGGTCACTTCAGCAACGGTCTCCAATCTGGTGTCCACCTTATTGATTCGTTAGTATCTGCATGTAGCGATAGCACTATTTTAACAATACAACAGCCCTGAACAAGCTCAAGACCTCGCTTCAAAAATGATTGGCTCGAATCTCATCACAAAGCAAACCGGTGAAGCTGGTAAACTCTGTACTGCAGTCATGCTTGCTGAACGCCGTACACCAAAGAAGGAATACTACGCAGCTATCCTCAATGACCGTTCTTCCCTTGGTCCAGTTCTCGTCGCTTCATCAGAAGGTGGTATGTCTATAGAAGAAGTTGCTAGAGATACTCCAGAGAAGATTGTCAAGACTCCAATTGACTTCCAAAATGGCTTATCACAATCTGAGGCTCTTGATATCGCTAAAAAATTGGGCTTCTCAACTGATGATGCAATTAAGCAAGCCGCCGGCATCTTCCAAAACCTCTTCAAGATTTTCAAAGAAAAGGACATGACTCAAATTGAGATCAACCCACTTGCTGAGACTGAAGATGGTGCAGTCTTGGCCATGGATGCTAAATTCGGATTCGACGAGAACGCTGAGTTCCGTCAACAAGATGTTTTCAAGCTTCGTGACACTACACAAGAGGACCCACAAGAAGTTGAAGCAGCTGAGCACGGTCTTAACTTCATCAAGCTTGATGGTAACATTGGATGTCTTGTCAATGGTGCTGGTCTCGCTATGGCCACTATGGATGTTCTCACCCACCAAGGTGGTAGCCCAGCTAACTTCCGTGAGTATGGCATATATCTTTTGTTGTCTTACTAACAGTCAATTAGTTGATGTTGGTGGTTCAGCAACCCCAGCTGCCGTCAAGAAGGCATTCGAATTGCTCTTGACTGAAAAGTCCGTCCGTGCAATCTATGTCAACGTTTTCGGTGGTATCATGCGTTGTGACATGATTGCTGAGGGTATCATCAAGGCAACCAAGGAGCTTGACTTGAAGGTACCATTAGTTGTCCGTCTCCAAGGTACAAAGTCAGAGGAAGCAAGAAAATTGATTGCTGATTCTGGTCTTAAAATCTTCGCAACAACTGGTCTTGACGAAGGTGCAAGACTCGCTGTTCAAAAAGCCAACGAATATGCCGCATCAAACTAAACTTGAAACTTGTAGACGAACTAATAAATCATTCTTTCCCTTTTTATATTCAAACAATGAAATAAAGCAATCAATTTTTATTTAAGCGCTCTAATAACAATGAATGTTTGTTTTTGATACATTTTTGTGACGCAAGCTTGTGCGAAAATACTTTAGAGTGAAAGTACGCTTCGATAAACCAATCGATGGTTTATTTAAGAACGTTGTGATCCATTTTTTTGTATTTTTGCTATATTTGATAGATTTGCACGGACAAGTCCGTCTTGTCTATAAAATTTTGACTAACACACAGTGCCGTCATCTATTGTAAGGTGAAAGATACTTGAGCAACACCTTCGGATTGTGAGATACCGAGTGATTCAAATACCTTTGGTAAGAGGTCGATGTGGTTCTCCTCGCAACTTGGACAGCAGTCAACGACTGGTGCGGAGACTGTGTTACCGTTGCTAGTGATTTCGACGTTCTTTCCACTGAAGGAGTATGTTAAAAGCGTACCTTTTATATAAGTAATCATACTCACCACATAGAGGTGCAACCCATGTTTGAACTAACAGCAACACCCATTTGAGAGTCACTGAGTTGTTGACCACATGAGCCAGTACCACCACTTGCCTTTAGTTATGTTAGCCGTGTAATTTGAAACTCAAAATTTCACTCACTTGGTAGTAGGTTGCTTGTCCGCTGTTTTGACGAACAACAGGAGTAGCAGCTGCACCAGCAGCAATAGCGACGACAGTAGCGATTTGTGTGAACATCATATCTTATAATAACGTTAGAACGAATAAGTATAAATTACTATTAACTTACTTACTTAAAAGAGTATGTGTATTGGCTTGCGTCTAGCGCTTAAAAAGGAAGATAAGAGTTAAGAACTAAGGAAGCGAAATATTCTCAGACGCAATTTATTTGGGTCTCCAAGACAACTTACGTTAAGTTTCAGACAAAAAAAATTCCAGACGTCAGAAGACTTTTCTGATAAATGACGTCTGGCAAAGGTCGGATGCAAATTATCACTCTAACCCATAGTAATTCTGCGCTAAAATTTCTCCACTAATTCCTTAGTTTACTGAATGTACCTTTTCTGTGTTTGGAGTAGGTACCGCAGTCCCGTACTGCGTTCCTGGTGCAGATTCAACTTTGAGCAAGTAAGGGTAGTATCATATGTGAACTAATTTACAGAACTATTCAGATGTTCTTTTACTTGGTTTAGATCTGCTCGTACTCTTCAAATCCTTCTAAGGTTTTCACGGATATACTTTATTAATTTACCCAGCTTCACACTTATTCAATTAAGACAACTATTTTTATTGTTCTTAGAACGGGATCTTTTCAGTAGATAGTTTCGCCGACGACCGGTCGTTATAGGTAGAATAGTCGATGAAGTGTTTCACAATGCGGCCGCAATAAATAATACAAGCTCCAATATGTGATCGTATGACACAATAAAAAAAAATTCTTCAACTTAAACCAAAAGAAAAATAAAATAAAAGATAATGCACTCTATGGAACGACAAGGCATTTGAAGACACCCTCAAAAAAATGTGGCAAAAGAAATTGGTCACTACAAGGCTCGAACTTGTGACTTTGGAGTATCCGCGATTTATCGCATTATTAGCTCCACACTCTAACCAACTGAGTTAAGCGACCGATGATATTGGATTTTCACAACCATATGTGTAGACAGTAAGCTAAAATGACGTCATTAAAAATTTCTTAAAATTCCGTAAGCTGAGTCTATCATGCCGTTTTACGAAAATAGCCAAGGGAAACTTCCAGAAAAGGTGGCACCCCCTCAAATACTCGCTCTTTAAGGAGTATTGATAGATGCAATGTAATTTTGCATCGTCTTAATAAGTATCTACATATATATGTATTACTATCAAAACTGGTAAGCTAATAGTATTAAGGCCATATCGTATGTCCGCTTAAAAGATAATAACATTCAATTTCAAATTATATTTCAGTATAACTGGCTATTAAAGAGCGACGTAATGAACAAATACAATAACTTAAAGTAAATTTAATAACCCCTCTCAGAAAAAGGTAAGGAGATAAGATATTCTGTAGATAATGTGTGTCATCTTCTTATTACTTTATTATATTTATCAAATCAGAAAGATCAATTGTTCATATATTTTATTATATATATATATATATTATGATTATTGCTATTTCAACTCGCTTATTTACTTCAAATTATCTAATTTATACCTAATTTTTGTGCTGTTTTATTTTGTTCCATTGTTTCATTTTCATAATCCAGAAATAAATTAATATACGTCTAATTCTTGTCATCACAGCAGTGTTCGTTCCATACATCCAAGTCGGCCGACGTGATTAGACATAAGTCATCACCATGATTCCAAAGGATCTCTTGACGACTCTTGTCAAATTCATAGAAACTCTCTAAAGAGAAGCTCTTCATATTTTCTGTATCCAAAACATAGTTCCCATCGTATTTGTTCTAATCGCCAGGAGAAATAAGCTTATCTTCTAGTCTACCTATTAGACGGCTTTCATCAGTTTCGTCCGAGTGCGAAACGAAGGACGTCTTGTCATCAGTTAAAGCTAAACTAGACAAAATAGTAGTTCTGGCCCTTTCGGCCATATTAATTCTTTTCGTTTCCCAGCACTGGACCTTGTCTGAGTAGGCCTCCGCCCATGCGATAGACGATATGACATACTGAACAACAGTAAAGCCAAAAAGAAGCCCCAATTTGTCCTTAAAGTTATTCGACATGAGATAGTACATGTTTGAAATACAGCAGCAAATCAATATATATATATATAATACAATTAAAAATGCTTTTTTTCTCGATTTATAATTGATAGGTCTATTTTTAACTTTGGTTCCTAACAGTTCGGAGGACAATGACTCTTGCCGTCAGGTCTATATAGATAAAGAGGTATGTTATGGTAAGCTTTCTTTGGTTTAACAGTCCTAAAAACTTCTTTATGTAGAAGTTTTTTTTTTCAATAATGACGCGTGCTTAATGTTTATAAACCAACAGATAATCATAATTGGATGATGTCAAATCATCATCCCTTGAATTGATCGACATTGTGTACGCTAACTTTAGCTCCATGACTAACTACGATAGGAATTAGAGCTGAGCTGCAACCAACTGCGATATCTCTTCTTTTGTGTGGTCAAAATACCACATCTGATACTCTCGTCGAGGCCCAAGGCTATACGCTCGTTATTTGAGCCATTTACCTTCTTCTTTATATTTAGTAAAGATTATTTTCGTTATACAATTCGTAGTGCTCTTCATCAACGAATGGGTGATTCCTGTTTTCCACGGGGTACGCCCTGATGTTATGAGTTACATTATTATTAGAATCATGCAGTGATTCGCAAAAAGGGATATCGGAGTCTTACATTACAGAATTAGTTACAGGGGAACCTGATTAGGGTTATGGGAGACTTTTGTATGTAAATTTGTTAAAACATCATGAATTACTAGCACGCAGTATTTCTTTTTTTTTCTTCCTTTTTGCAGGATTCGTCTAATTCTGCGCTATAGGACGTAGCTCGTCATTGTCTTGATATAATTGAATGAAAGCGAGACACATACATTCTTTGCCGCACTGATGAGGAACTCTACACAATGAACTCATAGTGTGCTTCGTCCACAAATACAAATGGGTTATGGTTAAGGTTATATTATAGTTCAAAGTGTTTCTCATCAGATATTTACGTCGTTTGTGAATCGAGGTTTCGCTTGATTCTGTCTATGGTGTTCTTGAGTTGCTTGAGGAGAGCTAGAGCGTCTATCAGGAAGGTTCGTCCGGCAAAATCCTTGATCTCATTGATGGTTTTGAATACTACATAATGATTATAGTGTTGTAGCCATGCTGCTTGTAGTATCTGCAGATCTTTTGGACGGAGACGACAACAGAATCATTCTCGCCACCATATGAACATTCCTGCTTGAAATAGTCGATTATATGATCGATGACGAATGATGAAATAAAGATGAACACCCAGCTTCAGCACAAATGGCAGCTTGTCCGAAATCAAAGAGGTGGGTCGGGCTACAGTGAATACCATCAGCTTCTAAGGCTTTACCTACTTAGATAATTTCTCAAATGGAGGAGATCCTGAAGATGATGTATCCTTGTTAACGCCCTTTCCATACAGAGTTGGTTTATTCTAGGTGCTTTTTCCTTGAATTATACGCACCGTAGTACATATACAAGGCTCAGTTGTCTGGACTTATATCTGAACTTAAACCTGTCGGTAGAAATCCCTCGACTATTCTATGACTTTAAATGATACTCTGACACGTCCATCAAGGTTTTAAAGCTATCATAATATCATTAAGGATTATAAACTTATGTATATCCATAATTAGTTAACTCAGTATATATGGGATCTTTGCATCAATTAATAGCTCTAGGAAAAGGCGTTAAGACACAAATTCAAAAATTTAAATCAGGTTACGACTAGCGTAATATTAATTTGACCGAACGAATGACAATAGTTTGTGAAGATATGATGATTTAGTGAAAAGAAGAAAATAGCTCAGCTATTGTGTTAAGACTCCCGGTACGCGTCGCTGAAACTATCCTGTAACAGCAACAATGGGTTTATAAAACATAGCTTAGGCCTCGGTCCATGTTAATTCACATAAACCTTGGTCCATGTTGCCATTGGTGAGTTGGCTGAAAAGACCTTCGCTTAAATCGATTTGGTTGTCTGTACAAGTAGGACCTGTGGTTGTTTAGCTGATATACAAGTAAACATCAGGTAAACTTACATTGGTCAACTGCTGTTGCGTCAACTACTTGACCAGTCTTGGTGTTAGTGACTGTGTAATGCTTGTAGCAGTTCTCTCCGTTACCATATTGGACGGTAGGAAGGGCGATAACCATGTCTGATGGTGCTGATTGTGCACCACATGCACCCAAACCGACAGCAAAGAAGGATCCTATTCCAGAGATGAGACCGCGCTTTGTAATGTCAAAGACTTGTCCATCAGACTTTGGGACTGGGGCTGCGAAAGCGATAGCAGCAACGAAAGCGAAAATTGTGATAAGTAAGTTTGAGAAGTTCATCTTGTTGATTCAATTAAAGAATGTGTGTGTTTAGAGAAAAGTTATCTGCTCAGCAGGAATTGAAGTATGAAGTTGTTTGAGTTAAAAGAAGTATTTTGGGATGTGACTTCTATAGGATGGTCTGGACTAAAAGGTACGCTGTCCCGACATGCACACGCTCTGACATTTCTAAAATGTTTCAAAGATGTCTAACTTTTATAATGCCTTATATAGATAGTAAAAGCTATTATGATATATTGCAAGGGTACATAATGCATAATAGTACTTTATTCGATCAGGACAGGAGGCCCGAGCGATGCCCCAACACACGGTGGATAGGGCTATCTTCCCGATCCAAAGCAACCAGAAAAAGCTATAAATCATATGTGCGACAAAGATGCGAAAATCATCATCGTTTGATTTATAGAGTAAGATATGTGAGATATATTCATGACTAAGATCAATCACGCTTGGAATTTCATGTAACAAGATGAAAGGAAAATATGAAAGGATAAAGATTGCGTCTAATAAGCCACATAAAGAGTAGATTATGTTACTATGCTTATGACTTGTGACTGTTGACAGATGGTATCGTAGACTTAGCTAGAAGGACGAAAGCAGTATAATAATAAAAGTATTGGCAATAATTAAGATAATAAATAAAAATAATGTATATATTTTGGCTTGTAAAACAGTTTTAAAATTTATATTTCGAATCCTAGGCCTTTCATACTTTTAGTTCAAAAACCACAAAGCACTTATACCTGAAAAATGTCGCTTGACGTCGGAGATGTAGACGCATGGATTGACACATTATCACAATGCAAACAATTATCAGAATCTGACGTTAAATTGCTCTGTGACAAGGTATCGTCACTCACTGCCAACTCATGGAGCTCATCTGATGATTTATGTAGGCACGAGAGATACTCATAGAGGAATCGAACGTACAGCCTGTGAAGTGCCCAGTTACTGTCTGCGGTGATATTCACGGTCAATTTGTGGGTCTACCGCATCCCACATCTAATCAGCTCATCCGTTTATAGCACGATTTAATTGAACTCTTTAGAATAGGAGGAAATTCCCCTTCAACGAATTATTTATTCATGGGTGATTATGTCGACAGGGGGTACTACTCAGTCGAAACTGTTACTTTACTCGTCGCACTCAAACTTCGTTATAGAGAGAGAATTACTATTCTTCGTGGTAATCATGAATCCAGACAGATCACTCAAGTATACGGTTTCTATGACGAGTGCTTGAGGAAGTATGGCAACGCAAATGTCTGGAAGTTCTTCACTGACTTATTTGATTATCTTCCATTGACAGCTTTAATTGACAATCAAGTAAGTTGTTTAATTATCAACCTATTCTATGATCTAATAATAAATCAGATATTTTGTCTTCACGGTGGTTTATCCCCTTCAATTGATACTCTTGATCATATTCGCTCAATTGACCGTATTCAAGAAGTTCCTCATGAAGGTCCTATGTGTGATCTTCTCTGGTCAGATCCCGACGATCGTTGCGGCTGGGGTATATCTCCTCGTGGTGCCGGTTACACATTCGGTCAAGACATTTCAGAAGCATTCAATCACTCAAATGGTTTGACACTTGTAGCTCGTGCTCATCAGCTTGTTATGGAAGGTTACAATTGGTCTCAAGATAGGAATGTAGTCACGCTGTTCTCCGCACCAAACTATTGTTATAGATGTGGTAATCAAGCTGCTATTATGGAAATTGATGAAAATCTCAAGTATACTTTCCTACAATTTGATCCAGCACCAAGAGCTGGTGAACCGATGGTATCTCGAAGAGTTCCGGACTACGTAGGTTTGATTTTGAAAAATACTTATCAACATCTAACGATCATCACAGTTCTTATAGGCTATTACTCACTGTATTTATGTTTGCATTGGGTATTCTAACTTGTACAATGTGTAACTACGAAAATAAATGTAACGACAACAAATAATAATAGCTCATTATGTTTCTAGCGATTCATTAATCAATTTCGATGACTTCTTTATTACCTTTATCTGGTTTCGTGTTAAATTTATGCTGGGTTGAGTTGAGCTACTTTACTTACTTCTGGCTTTACTTGGACCAGCCTTTGACTTAGGATCACTTCGTTTGTGGTCACTCGGCTTGATATCTTGACATAGGAAAGCCTTAAAATATATTAGATCAAAGGTCAACCACAACTGTCACTTACATCCCATGCACTACCTGTATCTTCACTAAATGTACCTTAGAGAGGCCCTTAATTTTTAGAAAGGGCTAACTCACACTTTAATATCGCCCATTAAGTGTCTTCTGTCAACATCGCTTTCAATATAATCAGGTTCATCCTCAGTTGTTGACCTAGATCCCTCTTCTTCTTCTTGCTTAGCTTTCGTCTGAGTATGGTTAGCGTAATAAGTATTGTTTATTTATATTCACCAGAGCAGATAAGCGCATTTCTGTTGCTTCAAGTCGAATTTGCCGTGCATTTTTTGACGATGCTCGCTTCTTGTAGGTGGAATTTAAATCTTGACTTTTATCCAATTGTAAAGAAGCACCATCAACGCGATTACCTGCACCAATAATCATTCCCTTACGCGTTAATGGTTTCTTACGCTTTTTATGTCTCCAGATACTTGACTTGGGGCGAGATTGTGCACCACCTAGAGATATTTAGCTAAGTGTAGACAGTTATCTATGAACGTACCGCAAATGTACTCCATGAAATCACCAGCTACGAGGGCGGTCTCACCTTGGACAGTAGCATTGTCTGCTAACCTGGTACCAGATGACCAGTATCCATCACCAAAGTAGCCTTTCTCCCTTAAAGACGTGACTTTAATCCGCAACTCTTCGTTGTACTGTATATCATTAAACTAGAAGATCGTTTATAGTAACACACACTTTGTGAAATGCTTTGGAGTGGTTCATGTCTGTTGGGATTAATATTTATTAGTCGAAAGGCTGGTGCCTACGCTTTATATGCTGCATCATATGTTAATAATATATCACCCATGAGATATTTATTACCCACCGCAAGTTCATGACAGAGAACATTGCTGTATACTTCTTTAGATATATCCCTTAAGATCTAGTGTTGCTTACAGCAAGAAAGGAAAAGGATAAAACTGGCCATTCGGTCTCCTAAGAACGAGCTCTAATGGGTGTCGTCATGAACCGATAACATCACACTAGAATCGAACGCACCAACGATCTTAATAATGTTGTTACTCAATTCTAATATTGAAATGAACATACGTACATCACCTGCATTCCAATTTCTACCGGCAAAGACTTGGTTAAACTCGTACTCCTCGAAACTATTCACTTTGAGACCCTCAGACTTCATCACTGGCCTCACTTGTGCTGCTAGAGAACGTAAAAGCCTAAAACTATATTAGGACGCCCTCCACTTATCAGATCTGCTTACTCCCTGGCTTCACTTTGTTTGGCCGATGGTAGAGCAGTAGTGAAATTTATATGAGGATTGGGGTTCGCTTCCTTCTCGTTGATTCTTTGAATCACTCAATTAGGTGTTCTGACTACCCTTAACGATCTACACACCTTAAAACCATGATGATGTAAGTCGTTAAGAGGAATAAGACACAATGTTATTGACAAATGCACTATAATTACAAATATAATATATAATTAGATTTACACTTTGTAGCTCTCTTAGGACATTCAATAGTCAGTCCGGCCAACACATTTATTGGAATGCCCGTGATTGCTGACATCCGGCCAAGCATCAGAAGTGGTTTCCGGGCTTTATACTTCAATCAGGGCTTGTTTGTGTAATAGCTGCAGGGTTGAGCTATTTAGCCCGGAATTTTTTAACACGTTCCTGGCATACACAAAGAAGTTATGAAGACTTTAGTATTTAAATACGGGGAGCTGGCTCTATAAGAGAGCTGTGTTACTTTTGTTTAACGCTTTCATTATTATCACAAACCGGTGTTTGGCCCTTGTTTTGATTTTTAATTCAGACAGCTCAGGCCCCTATAAGAAGAAGAATTTTTAAACAGACTTTGATTATAAACAACAACAACAAGTTTATACAACGTCGCCCGGTGCGCATTTTCTACATCTTCAAGTCTCTTCATATTTCAAACACAACGCTAGACGCAATGTTCTTCAAAAGCTCACTCCTCGCAACTATTGCTGCTGTTGCAGCCCACGGTACAGTCTCACAGATTGATGTCTCTGGTGGACAATCTTACAAGGGTCCATTGATCAACTCAGGCGACAGAAACAGTCCAATTTGGCATGTTTCTACGTCTGACCCTACAACAAACCTTCAAAGTAGCAACATGTTCTGTGGTCCAGACGCTACCTCTGGTGGCCAATCACCTTCTATTGGCGCTGGCTCCACCCTTACCATCCATTGGGGACAAGGATACACCGACAGCGGTGACCAATGGCCTCACAACACCGGTCCAATAATGACCTATATGGCTAAATGTAACGGTGACTGCTCAAACGCAGATTCCGGTAGTACCAAATTCTTTAAGATCTCAGAACTTGGTATCGAGAATGGTCAATGGGTACAAGCACAGCTTAAGCAAGGTCAACCATACTCTGTTCAGATCCCAAGTGACCTCCAAGCAGGTGAGTAATGATTCTTTAGTGAGACAATGTTAAGACATTCATAGGTAACTACTTGTTGAGAACGGAAATTGACTCACTCCACTCTGGAATTGAAATTTATCCAAGCTGCTCACAATGGACCATCACTGGTGATGGCTCAAACGCTTATGATTCTAGCGCAACAGCAAGCTTCCCTGGTGCCTACTCCAGCTCAGACGCAGGTTTCCAAGGTGCTGGCAGCTCAATCTACAATGTACAATCAGACAGCTCCTACCAATTCCCAGGCCCAGAGCCAGTAACTAGTGGTCAATCTAGTAGCTCATCCGGCTCAACTGGTGGTAATTCTAATAACGTTGCTGCTCAACAATCAACTTCAAGTTCAGAAAGTCAATCAACCTCAAGTGCAGAAAGTCAACCAACTTCTACTCAACAATCTCAAGCCCAACCAACTTCATCCTCATCAGGTTCAAACTCAGGCTCAGGTAGCTCAGGTAGCTCATCTGGTGGCGATTGTAACAGCCAGTACGAACAGTGCATTCAAGCTTGGGTACCAGGCAGTGGAAACTTTGATTGCCAGACTGAATTTGTCTCATGTCAACAGCAATCATTAGGTAGACGTCAATCCGCCATGCAAGGAGCTACTAAGCGTTCATCATCAATGAAGCGCTCACAAATGCGTCACGCAAGAAACCAATATCGTCGTAAGATTCGTTTCTAAAGAGACATTACGGATCAGATTCATTTAAATAGATGAAGGACTGGTTTCCTTCAAAGTTTATTTTTTAGCATATCAGTTTAGTTCAGTTTAGATACCTTGAAGGTATCTTGTACTCTATTTAACGCTCGTTCATGATCATAGATCCGGAGATCTCCTGAAGATGTAAATAATACATATTTGATTGTTGATCGATCATTTTTTTCAAAATGAAGAAGTTTCTGCGAATGCCTGTGCAGTGAGAAATCTTTAATCAAGTTGAATTACTCTGTTATACGAATGAGGAAATGTTAGAATTATTACCTTGAATTTGCTTATTATGATGTCTTTCAAAGGAATATTGCGATGTACTTCTTTCATCTGCTTTGATTAGTTGTTTTAGGGAAGACATTATCACACCCTGAGTATGGAACGTGAAATATCGTTGTCAACAGACCGACGCGTGGTCAGTAAGTTGCTGTAATGGTCTCATCTTTTTTGAATCTGTAAAATACAACTTCGGTCTGGTTCAGTAATGTCTGAATTTTATCATACAACGTGATTAGAAATTAAGTCCAAAAGTATAAAACTTTCACTAACGTAACTTTTAGCATTATAGAGTTGATACTCTTCTATCTGATCTTTATTATGAACTATTCTTTATGATAAGGTATTTGGTCATCTAAATTTGGTCATCTAAATGTCGTTCGTGGTAAATGAAACAACGAGACGATGTTTAAAAGATAATATAGTTTACTAACGACATACTGGGTGACATACATACGAGATGATCGAAGAAGTTGAAAATAACATGGTATTGACAATACTAACTAAGCTTCTTTTTTTATAAGTCAACTCTGGTTTTGGTATTATCGACTGAGGTTTATCAATACATACTTAGAGTTATGCAAACTTTGATACAATACATGAAGAAGTCAAACGCTGAAAGTACTTTCGAAATTATTTAAGACACAATTTATTGCTAATTTGTATGTAAACCATTAACATCCATTTACAAACAAAACAAAGTTGTTGAAAATTCGTTTATGTCTATATAGTCTACGAATTATATCTATATTAAACCGCAAGTTATACGGTAGGTAAGTTATGCAAGTGAAAGTAAGTAATTGAAATTCGTAATTTACATTGCTGAGCGACCAGCAGCTGAATTAATATGTTAATTTTGAGCTGATATTTAAGATGTAACACTTACTTTCGATTGGTAAGAAAAATTGTGAAAGTCCGCAGAAAAGGAGTAAAGATCCAGAAACGTAAAGTGGAGTTGGTGATCCTGAAGCAGCGCCCGAGAAGGCATGAATAATTGGGGCGAGCAATCCGAAAAGTCTGTTTAAACTGCTACAAAGTGCGTCTCCCGTTGCACGATGTGGTCCAGGGAATGCTTCTGGTGTGTACTGTAATTTTATTAGTATGATTCTTAATAGAAACAAGTAAACCTACAGCAAAAAGAATACCATACATGGCGTTCTGTGTTAAAGAAACAACGCATTCAAATCCAAGTGTAGCGTGTGCTTCCTTTGTTGAAGAAAAAAGGAAAATGAAGACACCAGTAAGTAGAGTAGACACTGCCATTGCACCACGTCTACCGAGCCAGCGGCCTTTCATTTCAACAAGACCAGCAGCGATTAAAGAGCCAGGGATACCCATTACTGCCTAAATGATGTTAGTAAACGGACAGACGAATTAATTTTTATCGATGTTTCACTTACTTGAATAGTGTAATCGCTATATTGAATTAGCTAGAATACTATATTACTTGTATAAACTCACCGATACGTATGATAAGTATCCGAATCCGTCTTTCCTTCTAAATAAGTTGGCAAGAATGAGTTGTATAAAGGATAGGCGAGACCAATGAGTGCCCAAGAAGTCATTAGTAAGGTTGTGTTCAAAGCAAGTGTTTTTGTGGAGAAAAGTGGCTATTTACCAAGTTAAATGAAGTTATTCGGTATAATATTGACGTACCTTAATGTGTGAAAGATTCATTTGACGAATATTTCTTGTGAGAATTTCCCTAGTGGTGAACTTCTGAGGTACAGTACTAAACTCATCATCTAAATGGCGTGTTGCATCTCTCAATTTCTCCATACTGAGTGGACAAGGAACCTTATTCTTCTTAGCAATATGCTCTATGACTGCAACAGCGGCTTCATCTTGACCTTGACTGAGGAGATACTTGAATTTATTTAGTGATTAATTGCATAGAGAAGGATTCTTAATACATACCTTTGGTGATTCCTTAATTGGTAAAATGATAGTTCTGATGGTAAACATGAAGAGGGTGAAACCACCAACAACGAATAAACCGTAACGCCATCCAGCGTTAGTGTCCCAATTACAATTACCCGCATCAGCAAGTTCCTGTGTGCAACTCCATTTCGATTGACTCACAAAACCCCAAATAGCAACTGAACTAATGAGTTGACCTACAGACCAGAAGGAAGAAAGGAATGTAAGTAACCACTGTTGCTTCTGAGGTAAAAACTCAAGGAATAATGCACCATCAACAGGTAAATTACCACCTAAACCTAAACCGACACCTGCAGCCATAGCGCAAAAAGCGACGAAGTTGTTGGCTGAACCAATAGCAGTACCGAATGCACCAGAGAGGAATAATGTAACATTGAATGATAGACGCTTTTTGTCGTCAGAGTTTTCTGTTATGTTCTAGATTATAGTTACTCACGCGACCGAATACGTCAGCTGAGTAACCGAAGAATGTTGCCCCTATAACTAAACCAACATAGAGAGCGAGCTATGAAGAACGTTAGATGGTAAATATCAAGCTGCTTATACCCACAGTAGCCATTTCATACTTGTATGGTTGAAATTCGTAATCGACCCATGATAAAGTAAGCGCGATAGCTCTGTTATAGGTTTATTTAGGAACTCTAATAAGTTATTATACTCACTGTATCCTAATTCAACTCAATAAAAGCTTAATATTGAGTAATTCGAACTCACCACATATTATCAGCTATAATATCATAGTTAATTGATTGATTGAGAAGTATTATAAGTATATCACTTACCAAGCCTATATACTTATCAGTATAAATTAAACTACTTTCTAAGAAGTACTCACCATCCTAGACCTAAAAGAGCGTGAATATCTTCGTTAAGCGGGAGCATAAAACACGACTTACCTGCTACCAAGAATAGTTGTAGCTGATACAAACCGAAACCCATTTCATTCAAAGCAGAGTTAATCTTTCAAGTGGTTCGTTAGTAAATTCAATTTTTTTAATCGGTGATCTGCCTACCATTTGGCATTTTATCTGTTAGATGACTTAATGATAGTGCTTATCATTGGTAGTATTACTCACAGTGTAGCTCAATTCTAATCCATAGGCTGAACTGTTATCCAGACTAGAACCGCTCACTTGCTTCATATCGTACAAAATATTTTTCTCTGGAGATTGCCCCGACTTATCCGAGCCGGTTTGTAACTGCTGCTCAACGTCTTGATTATTATTCATATTTATTTTGAAGACGACCTTGATCAACGCCGGATTCGCAAGTTTGAGCTGAGAGAAATTCGCCTCTTTTAATATAAAATGGATATGAGTGCATCGTAAAAACTATAAAAATAAGCATATCATTCACTGAGGTTAGCGCAGTTTGCACGTATTTTCCTCGGCTTTGTACGCTCACTCCTTAGTGAGTTTGTTACGATTCCGACCATTTTGATGTCGTCATAATAGGAACATAACAATCTATTGATTTACACTGATCAGCATTACAATGATGTACATAAAAATAAACAAATTATAGTTCAATTGAACTGAAAAAAACTTTTGACAGACGTCTCACCATCCCTACCAAGGTGGGATGACTATTTTTCAGTCATAAGAACCACAAACTTAGAAGTTTTTTTTTTATTAAAAAAAGAAATATCAAATGATTATTGTTCATTTATCAGATTGGTACAATACTCATTGAATCATTACAAACTACCTCCAAAGCAAATTTCAGCGAATCGGCAATATTGCTATCGAATTTTTGTATGGTTTTTAATGGTTCTTCTCCAATACCTTCACATGATACATCTCTTTCTAACCTATTAAGTACTTCATTTGTTGATTGTGACAGGAATGCTCTAATTGCCAATGGATCGGATCGATGTGCTGCTGGCGTGAGGTTATTTTTAAGATTAATATGCGTTGATTTCAAAGCTATTAATGGTTGTGATTTTGGTAATTTTGCGAGATTCGCCGATGTGAGTGCCGTCATGCGAACCACCGGAAGCTTTTATCATCGTTAGCTGATAAATCACCTGTTAAATTTAAGCTATGCCTACCAAGAGGTAATGGTAGGATGATGCATTTATGTAGGTATGACCAAGCCTTATGGATGACACCAATATGAATGCAACATCGTTCAATAAAGTTTCCTTAAATGGAGAATCTGAAATCGAATCCCAATTCTTTATTAAAATTTCCAAAGTATGTACTAAAGTACTCCAAACTTCATACCAATGGTAGGCTTTTATTTAAATTAAAATTGACATCTTGTTCATAGGGAGATTACTCACATAATTTAACCTGTAACCTTTGAATATGCCAGAGTACGCGATTGATGATATGTACTGCAATTAATGTGTTTTCAATGTTAAAACTATCTTTATTTGTCGTAGTGGGTATGTTAAAGCGTAAGTATATGATACAGCAATCCAAAATTGATTCCATTAATGGTCTGTGCGGCTTTGGTAATGGTAATTGAGGTCTACGTTGCCTGCAAATGTCTATACGTTTACTATCTATTACTGATGTTGATGAATTAGGTGTTGATGGTGTGTTTGTACCATTCGATTGCACTTTAGGACTCTTTGGTGATTGTGGAATTGAAGATTGTGCACTTTTGTTTGACGAAATTGGTTTGAGTAAAATTTCTGCGCATTCATCTGCTTCAACTAAAGCCGAAAGGGTGTATAATCCCAAAGATGCATAAGCTTGTGCGCGACTTGTTACGGATGAATGAGTGAACACATAAGAAAGTGCTGAAATTAGTGTAAGTGGTGCATTTGGCTCATTTTGCGACTGTCTATAAAGTAATTCTTCACAAAGTAAACCTGAAAAGATTGAATTTGCGTTGATAAACTCAAAGAATGGTAGAAGTATAGCTGTGACATTTAGAGGACTATTAAAGCATGAGATAGAGTGTCAACAAAATAACTCGAGACTTACAGATCACTATATACTTCAGTTGAAAGATTTGAATCATCGTCAGAATTTGAAAAAGGGAAGATTGACATTATTGTATTAGAAAATGATCTTGTCGGGTATCTATTATGATATTCACTTATACATTTTTCCATTGCAGTGCTAGTGATTAAGATGATCTTTTTCATAACATCAGTTTCGACAAAATCACGAACACGACGTAAGTATCTATTGAGATTCTGGGCTTGAGCTTTATGATAATTTGCTAAAACACCTATTAACAATGTTGCCTCATAAGTAAAAGCTGTAGTTGTTGGTGATGATATGATTTGAATGAGCGAATTGAATAAATCACGTCTTTGGAAGAAGGCACCAATTGCACCTTGATTGACACCACAGGCGAAGAGTAAAGTTAAGTGAAGAGTACGATGAATGATTATTGAGTCCCTCTCTGGGTATTTGAGTGTATTATCAATTGCTGCGACTAAATCAGACAAAGTCTTATCGTTATGTACGCTGCCAGTGAGAACAAGAGTAATGTTTGAAGAGGTTTTTAACTTTAATATCACAGTTCTTGAAAGTAAAATCATTGTCTGTTAATATTGTCAGATACGTATGATGTATTCAAAAAGAATCGTACTTCTAAAGCGTTTAGTTTCCGTGGATTATCGAAGTCAGAATTCTTATAAAATTCTAATGCTTTTGTAAAGAATAAAGTAATCATAGGCTGGAGATCCTTCTGAATCCTTGAAGAATCGAGTTGATCAAATTGGTTGGCGAACCAAATACGATGATTATAATGCCAGTTTAAACAAAACAAGTCAGTAAAGAAGCTATCTTGATTGGTGTCAGCTTCACTTGGTAGCTTGCTCTATATAGAGGTTAGGATGACTGCGATAAGGGCCGTGCACCTATCTACTCACATCAAAGAAGTGCTGATAAATCTTTATGATCTTTGGTTGTCGCTGTAGAGCGCTGCTCATTTTATTATTTATTATTTAGTTGAAAAGAAGAGAGAAAGGGAGAATCACAACTTTGATAGACGACAATCAAGATTTAATATGAGTGATAAAGCTAGAGAGTTTATTGAACTTCCACAGCAGTTCGTTAAGGAGGGTTCACAGGTAATTTATACTTCCGTAACTATATATCTAAATTGATGAGCTGTAGTTTATGAAGAGATGTACGAAACCAAACAAACGCGGTTAGTTTCATAGCCTAATTAGTAATAAGCTAATAGCCATAAAGAATATATACAAATATGCAAAGCTGTAGCTATTGGTTTTGCTATAATGGGCTTCATTGGTTACTTTGTGAAATTGATTCATATCCCAATGTGAGTTATATTAATATATCAGTTATAACAACCATTAACACTTTTCAGTAATAACATATTAGTGTAAGTTTATTATTTACACGTCATAACATCCAAACTAAGAAATTGAATACAGTGCAGGTCAATAATTTGGTTTGTTAAAAAAAAAAGGGAATCTAATGTAGAAATTAATATTATATCATTCTTACAAAGATCACACGTTAAATGAAAAATTTCTCTTCTTTATATCAACTGTTTTATCAATCTAGTTTATCAATATCAATGGACTTTATTGAACGTAAAATAAATAAATTAGTTAAATTCATTCACATATCTTTAACTATTTGCGTGCTTATTGTATTAATCATAAGCTTTCATATATTTCATTTGAATGTTACGCGTCAATTTGCAGAATATCAAGATCAATTACAATTCAGATCTCATTCGCGTTTAGTTAAAGATAATAAGTGGAAATTTATAGGGTAAGTTATCCTATAAAGTGCTTTGATTAAGATTCAAATAAGCTACTACGACTACGGAACACACCTTCAATATCACACCTGAGAAATCATAACTCATGATCATTTCAAAGCGTCAGAATTAATATGTGATATTATTATACTATCCTAAGTTATAATTCCACCACCGCAACAGAGTAAGACTATTACAGGATCATATACTATAATGTCTACACATCTTCTATCACGAAATCACTAAATCAGGTAGTAAGCTTTGTTATAGCATCGCAAAATCCACTCCCAATCATACATTCAACAGTATCTATATTTTGAGGGACGATCTCATAAGAATACAATAGCATTAACTCTAATTCTTGTAAGAGCTTGTGAAATATAACATTGACACGCAGAGCAATTCATCCATAGTTATGTTTGTTTCTTCGCATTAACGACGAATTGGGATAGATGTACTCAGCATTAAAGGTTCTAGATATATTCTAGTAATTGTTGCTGCTATATTCAGTAATCTCGATCTCGTAATGATGAACAAAGTTCTACAAATCCATTATGACAGCTAGATGATTAGTTAAACATAGCAACGATTCTCACACTTAATAATTAGAAGATGATCAATTACCATAAAATTTAATGTCTTTACTATTGGTTGTCTTGCTTTTTTGTGTCCTGGAGATCTAGTAAAGTACTGTGCACAGAAATATGACTATGTAACACACTAGTACGGTCTTCAATTGAAACTACATTCAGCAACTGACTTTCATTATAGAGAATGGTAAAAAGTTCAGAGCTCCCAGTCAGTCATCGAACGGAAGCAACAATAACATTGTGGTAGTGTACAATATCGAAATTACTGATACCATCAGGGAAAATAACAGACTAAGCCACAAGAATTTACTTACGGAAGAGCGTAAGCACATGTGGATGTTGATACGCTGAAATGCGAAAATCACAAAATAAACAGTACACATATATTCAATTAAACAAAAATTAGCCATGGTGAGAGCGATAATCTCAAGGATTTTGGCTAACACACAGAAAATCGTGTGCTCACTTCAAGTGAATCAATACCAACCAAGGTATACATAGTGTTCAAAACAATGCATCGTGAGAGATCCATGGAATAATTACTGTTGTATTTATTTTATATTTACATCTATTTATACACAGGCAAGTGTAAGATAACTAGATGATTTATTAGTTGAACAAAGAAAATTGGGAAATACATACCCAGCTATTATAGAGAGACCCCCCAAAGGTGTAACTGGACCTAAAAACTTAAACTTTTCTTTATTTAATACTAATGCGAATATTGATCCAGAGAATAATAAAGATCCAGCTAAGATAGCAGGACCAGCAAACTTCGACTTTGATGCACGTGGATGTAAGCTTGTAGCCATCAAAGCCAAACCGTTAAATACTGCGTAATGTGATGCTGTCATCCATGATTCAATCTGCTTTGCTTCTATACCTGACCTTGAACGTAATCCATGAGCGCCGAATGCACCAAAGCTAATACCTGTGGCAGCTAATAATGCACCAGATTTCCAAACTACTGTACTATTCATTTTAGTTTTTTTTTTATTTAGTTGATTGTTTCTTAAAAACGCTTTATCTAGTCAACAGTGATGGCTTTAACACCTGCAGAAGCAAGTGATCCAAAAAAGAACCCACTAAACCCGGAAGGTTTAAAACCGTAAGTTATTATACGAACTTTTCCTTTTCTTTGCTCATATTACTAATAGATGTTGCGTATGTCCGGAGACTAAGAAATTGAGGGATGAATGCTTCTTATTTAACGGTTCGAACGCAGACTCGTCTAATGGATCAACCGACGCTTGTAAGGATGTTCTAGAAGCTCATAAAGCTTGTATGCGTTCGTTCGGCTTCCCAGTTTGAATTATGGCAATCATTAAGCTAAAATATAGACAATTAAATTATTACATCAAAATGTACATCATTATTTATCACTACTTCTTCCCTTGCCTTACTAATAACTTTATTTGATCGCCATCATCCAGATTATAACTGGCTACACTCTTCGAATTTGATAACGTTATATTGCCAAAGTCCAATCTCATTCTACCAATTGGCGGTCCGCGTTTGCCTTCTCCATTCTTGGCTTCTAATGCTTCAGAAATGTACTCGCGTATCACTCCGCTTATTGATGTTAATGGTGTTGGTGATAGTTTAATAACTGATCCGTCAAGTCCCCATTCTGGATTATTCGTGTCAACTGGTAACTTGACTGTCAAGCTGACATAACCATCTGGATGATAAGATAACCACCTATTGAAAGTTTATCAGTATATTTATCAACTATTAAACCATCAGTCTTACTCATCTTCAGTATAATATTGTCCTTCTGGTAACTTTTGAACCTTGAGTCGTTTTGATGGATTAGAGAATGGTTCGATTTCCGCTTGTTCAGCTGTTCTAACATTTCCTGTATTTGGCATATGGAATTTTGGTGCGGAAGGTCCCGAAGGTGCTGCTGAGAAGCTAACACCAGATGGATCATAAACGTCCCCATACGAATTTACCTGAGGACCAGCTGTAGTTGCTTGTTGAGGTTGACTGTCAAGTTAATGAGATATTGAACTTTATGGTGAATAATAGATATAAACTCACTTTATTCCTAATGTTTGATTTATCCTTTCAGCTTGGACTTCAGAAGTAGCTTGCGCTTGGTAACGTTGTGCTACTGTCTCAGCACTGGCAGTATGACCATCCCACACACCTGCTTCTTTCTTTCTCTTGACTTCTTGAGCAGCCGCTTCCGCTTCCCTCTTTCTTTGTTCTGCTTTCTCCATATCTTGACCGAAAATATCTGTACGTCCTTGGGCGAGATTTTTAAGTGAGGAAGCAACATCTGCACCTTGTTGTAATAGAACCGAAGCTTGACGCCTGCTTTCTGCGTATTCTTTGTTTTCTTGCCATTTCGGATCAAGTAGTTCGATACGTAAGTGATTGGCAAATTCCTCGTTTGGTACGAGTGCACCAGAAATTGGTGAACGTGAATAACCTTGTGGGATTTGCTGTTGTTGCTTTTGTGCTTAATCTTAATTAGTATTGTACTATGAGATGAATTACATGACTTACACTTTGGTACGTAATTCGTCTTGATTTTCATACCTTCTGGTGCATTTGAAACAGCTGGCGTAGCTGATGGTTGAGAAAGCGACTGTTCAGTATTACTCTGAGGCTGTTTTGCTTCCATGACAACATCAACATCTTGTGCTCCTGTGTTAGGATTCGTGACAACTTCTTCCTCAAGGAGTGATGTCATCCTCTTTTGAGCCATTGCGAGGTTTCTTACTTCCTTAATTGATAATGGCTTTGGAAGTTCGAGTACTTTATCGGTTTCGGTGATCTCTATAGTCTCACAAACAACGAAGTCCTGCCAGTCGATACTCTGGAAAGCAACTAGATGGTTTCAGTAAATAAAGGTAAGAATAACGAATAACAACGTACGTGTCTCCTTTTCTGACTCTTGTTCACGCTTTTTCAATCCTTCACGCTTATAAGCTTCCCATTCACTACGTGATTTAGCGTTATCTACTAACTTGCTCTTCTTTTGAGATAAACTGAGCTTATCAAATTCTTCATCTAAAGGTGCTGAAGTGCCTTTAATAACTTTCAAGTATTGCTCTACAAAGTTGTTGAACAAACCGAATAAACTGTGATTTGGACGCAAGAAATCAAACTGAGGATTACGATTCTCACGACCGCCTAACATTGAAATGAATGATTTACCACGACGAGCTGTGAATAATGCAGTTAATCTTATAATGTCTCTAATGAAAGAATGAGTGTTTAGAGTGCAAGGAATGAATGGACCCACAAATCTATGGCTAAAGCATTGTCTGGTATTTCAATAGTGAATTCATGTCCTATTGGCTCTTTTGGAATAGGCTTAGAAGGCATAAATGATGGCGTTTGTGAGATTGAAGGCGTGCTTAGAGTGGATTTAGTGAATATATCTACTGATTGATGAGTATAGTATTATATAATTGAATTAGTATTACCTTCTTTATCACCTGCTTTTATTCTCTCAGATTTCCATCTATAATATCCGTGATAAGCGTCTGCGGAGTTCAAGAAAGCGAATTTAGCGTTTGCTCTTTCTTTCTCTCTAATCTTCTCTTCAAGGAGTGGACCGTGTGGTGAATTTGCGACATAATTCGCAGTTTTATCTACAATACCTTTAGAAGAAGACGTCAGTTTAGATCCTAGAGTGAACAACTGAACAAACTTCTTATATCTGGTGGCGGGTAAATCATACCCTCCGGTGGTGGTATTTTTGGCGTTGATCTGTTACCATCCATGAGCTTATTCTTGGTAGTTTAGGTACAAGGAGTATGCTTAAACATCAAGTGTTATAATTATTAATGCGATAATTACAATGGTTGTTTACAATTTAGAAATAATTATTATAACAGTAGCTTGTTCTTTAACTATGAAAGTTTTGATACATCAATCACAGCTAAACCTTCATTCTTGGTACCGAATATTATTCTATTGCCATCTGGAGATTGCCATCTTAGATCGTATAATCCATTATTCGTGATCCAATCCTTTTGGATTTGTCCAGTCGTTGATTGCCAAAGTGTTATTCTACCATCTGCACCACCAACGGCTAACATACGCCCATCAGGACTGAAATCAGCTGTAAACACATGATTCTTTGAATGACGACATTTCCACATTAATTCTCCTGATTCTGCATTCCAAAGACGAACATGTCCGTCCATTCCTCCACTATTATCTCTTATTAAAAGTTTTACGCCATTATTAATCGTACTCACGATAGAAGTAATGGCTTATCCAAATAATTAGATTGTGGTGCCCATATTAAGCAACCAATTTCACGTTCATGTCCACGCATAACGCGTATACAATCACTGTCTGGTGGTGGTCTACGCTCATATGGCTCTTCTTTACTGAATTTCCATACTCTTATAGTCGCATCGTCGGATCCAGACGCGAGATACTCTCCAGAAGGATCCCATCTGACTTGATTGACTTCACGAGTATGTCCAAAAAGTGCCTTGATAGGCTCGGCATCACCACATTTGAATACATAAATAATTCGGTCACCTCCTGCGCTAAAATACTGATTTAATTGTAATCATTAATCTATCAAATAACTTACGTTGCTAAGATATCATTGTCGAGCCAATCTGCGTCGAGGATTGATCCTAGTTATTGTTTAGTTGAATGATTAGTTTTATTAGAATACTCATACTTACCCATATGGAATTGCCATTGTTGTTCAATCTCGAATGTCTGAATGTCCCAGACAATCGTACGCTTATCCAGACCAGCGCTGAATATATAATAAGAATTGACATATTCTTACTGGTGTTTAACTCACGTCAAGGCTCTTGTACCATCTTTGTTGAACTTTACAGAGAAAACAGGACCTTTGTGTACACGCTTCTCCATAAGGACATCACCATTTCTGGTCCATATCCAGACACTACCATCATATGCGCCGGTCATAATCATTTCACCATCCGACTAAATCCATTAGTCAATTAGCGATTCGAGAAAATTTTCCACTTACACTCCATGCGATTGTAGTAATGTCACGACCGTCGCCTTTACGAGGAGGACCCTTCAACTGTGAGCAGTCGATAACTTCGAGGGTTTTTCCTTTCATTTCTCTACCAACTGCTGGTAATGTCCATATCTTGAGAATACCATCTGCACCGCTGAACTCTATTAAAAAGGTACCTTCAAATAATGCTAAATACTCACCTGCTAGCAGCAACATTACTGTACTTTGGATTGAAAGCAGTTGCATATACCTAAATTAGTTAACCAAATGCTCTAAGAAAAAAAAATTGACGATAATACTTACATTACCCATGTGACCCTCTAACCAAATAGCTTCGGCCTTTGTAAGTTTCTTCATTTGTTCACGAGGTGCTTCACCAGGTTTAAATTTAGGTTTAGGTGGTGTTGCTGCTGCGCCTGAAGATTTAACCTTGAACTTGTTGGAATCTCTAGCAGTTCTCCTATACTTGTCGCCATTTCTTTCAGTCTCAACTGATACTGTAGAGTCATCATCTGCTTCATCGGATGATTCAGGTTGTTTTCTTTTAGAATTTGCTATTTGAGAAGAAGGATCAACAACAATTTGAGCATTAGCAGGTCTATCACTAGCCATTGGAGCAATGAGTGCAGGTGGAAGCGGCGGTGGAGCTGAAGCTTCAGCTATTGAGAAGTCTTGAACGTCGACATCTTTTAATAATCTAAGGGGCCTTTCGTAAGGAACAATGGTACCATCCTAAATAGTGAAATTTAAAATAAAGTAGTTAAAATTCCGATTAGAAAAAGGAAATGGATTGAAAGTAAGTGAAAATTTGCAAGACTTTGGTCAGTTATGATAACAAGAGAAAAAAGAAGATACTAACGGTACGAACAGATTTCTCAATTTCATCATATAATAAACCTTTCTGTAAGTACTTTATCAGTAAACCGCGTTCCAAAGGTCCAGTTGGTTTAGTCAAAGGGAGACTAGCTTCAGTATTGAGAGTGAAAGCGGTATGATTAAAACCTGAGTTTTAGAGTTAAATAAATTCGTCTAATAAATTGAATTAATTTACCTGAATCTTGTAAATAAGATAAGATTAATAGATTCAACTCTTGTGAAGAAATTGCTGGAGCTCTAAGCGAGTTTTTATCTGTAGAACTTGTTGATTGATCGCCATTTGAATTGGAGTTCATTATTTATTCTACAATTTTTTAATTGCTATTCTCGTTAAATTGATGATGTTTGATGTTACGACGCTAAGGAAGAGAGATTCCGGTGATAGAATAACAAAATTTTCACCTAATATACCATAGATTTATTGCTTTAACCTCTATGATTAATATGATATTCAGGACAACTTCTCCCCTTGCTTAAATGCCAGGAAAATTCTTCACACATCAGTGACATAAACGCGTCAATATTTTTGTTTTAATTGTTAGATATTAGTAAATATGAATGTATCATAGGAGTATTCATAGTTATATTGAAAATTTAGATATGTACTGACAATGATATGTCTCTAATTTTATAACTAATTCAAGTGTATATGAAGGGATGATTATTCAGCATCAAAGGATATAAGTGATAACTCAATAAACTTAGTCTTGTTTATTAAATAATTCCTTTATAAAGTACAATCATCATTATACCCAAATGGATAGTCGAATGAGGCTTAAAAAATCTAATAAAATGCATTTAGACGCACAAGACGTTGAAGCTGTTATAGCACATGGTTCACATGAACAGTTAACAGCTTGTTTGCGTGTACTACTAGAGAATAGAGATACCGTAAGCTAAAGTCTAGTTTAAATTTGATACATCTAACCTCACGTTAGACTTTAAATGATAACAAAGACTTGAATGATCAATTATCGGAGTATCAATTAGAGCTAGATAACAGGATACAGGCTTTTCACGAATGTCAGCTACAATTGAACGATGCTTTAAGTGATCAAGCTGGGATAGAAGAAGACGCTTTATCAAGACAAGTTCAGATAGAGCTATTGTCTTCAAAGTTACAATCATCCGAACGTAAAGAATCTGATTTACAAAGGTCACTTCAAGTACAACTTGATAAGTTTGACAAAGATAAAAAATCTTGGTTTGAGACTGAATCAGCTTTACGCGCAAAAGTAACTACATTAAGCGCGAAGATCGCTGCTTTAAATAGAAGTTCTAATAGAGTAGAAGCTACCCCTCCAAATTCACCTTCACCTTCTAGTCCAAACTCAGCACCAATAATTAAATCTATGAGTATTGAGAGTACTTCAGAAAGGAACACAAGAGAAGCTGCACTTGAAAAGTCACAACAGGCTCTTGAAATGGAAAAGCAAAGAAGATCTACGATTCAACGTAATGAGCGTACACTTAAAGCTGAATTAGATAACCATAAACGTTTGATTGAAGATTTAAGATCAGAGAATGAAAGTTATATGCTTTTGTTACAAGAGCGTACATTTTCTGGTGATCTTCTCGATTCAAGTGTCTTCGATTCGATGCGTAACGTTGATGACTCTGGTATAGCATCAATAGCCGAAGAACCAGAGAATGATTCCACACAATTAAGTGAAGATGACCAAGACTTTACACCAAAGCGTAGAAGAGCGCGTAGACGCGGACCAGCGGACGCTCGTAAGAAGCCACAAGCTAGTGAATCACCAAAACCTCTGAGCGAGGAAAATGGTGGCAACGTTGGTGTATGTATTAATTAGTCTAAATTACCCATACTAATCAACTTCAGGTTACTGGACCAGGATACGACCTTGCTGCTGAATTAGGTAGAGCTAAGCTTGATAATAGTGATAGAGAGGAAACATTTGATTGTGAGTATTGTTTTATCTATCAAAGCTGATAATTAATCTACGTCTATAGCTCTGAAATCAGATAACAAGACTCTCAAAGAAGCAAACAAAGCTCTTACAACGTATGTTTCAAAAATCATTGAAAAGATTATAAATCAGGAAGGCTTTGAACATATCTTAGCTAGTGATTACAAAGACCCTGAGCAACGTGAAAGTATGAGGTTAAAACGTTCACAAACTACAACGTCATCAAGTGCTGGTAGGACGAGCTTAGGAGGAGTTTCAGATGCTTTACTAAACTCTCGTAAGAAGCCAGCGGATTATAATACATCCACTGTTCGTTCAAGACCTCAACAAAAGCCTGGTGGTGAAAAGCGTAGAAGTTTATCAATAGATTGGTCGAATATAGGTACATTCTTTAAAGGAAATAATCAAAATGAGAGTACAGCACAGAAGTTACCAAAACAAGAAGAAGATGATGAAGATAGGAAGGAAAGGGATAAGTTGAAAGCTGAAATGAAAAAGATTTCATCTGAGTCCCTAAATGCTGATGGTCAATTCACAAGATTTGATAGCGCAGAATCAGCTGATTTAAAGCGTAGATCAGGTTCTGTTGGTTCAGGTGCATTAGCTAATTGGCGTAAAAAGAGAGCAGAAAGAGCAGAACTCGTAAGGAATAGTTCAGGTAACGCATTAGCTGATGTTACGAATGATGATCAATAAAGATCTATCTAAGATAAGATATTATATATACCCATGCATTAATAAATAGTAAATTTGAATTGTCTTCTATCTATCGATTGAGTAGTAACGTCCAAGATGTTGAGAAGGTCGTGCTTGAGAATAGAATCATCTAAACGATTTATACATAGTACGAGACAAATAAATCTGATAAATCAAGAAGATGAGTTAAAGAAGCTCTCAAAGGACATTGAGTTGCATATGAATTCACCGACCAATGATTTGTCAAATGTTGTACATCCAGGTTTATGGGAAAATGCAGAGCGAATAGATACAAATTCACCTGCTTATAAATTTGGTAAATTTGCCGCTGGTCAAATAGTCATCCCTGCTTCTGTAGATAGCAGATTGACAGATAAGCTAAACAAGATCGATAAAGCTGAATTAAGACAGCAGGCTAGGAGTATTTATAAGTTGTTGGAACCAAAGAAGAATTTACCTCCAAAGAAAATACCTAGATTCATAGCTTATACACGTCCAGATCAACCATTAGCATATGCATTAGCCATTGGACCTGGCGTATACGCAGCTGTTTATAGCGTAATGAGAGAAATTAGGAGGAGAGCTTCGAGTGAAGTCGACGGTTGGCTTCCACATAGAGTAATCGAATTAGGATCTGGTGCTGGTGTCTCTGCATGGTGAGCAAATAACAGACATGATTTATAGCTTTATTCATTCATTTAAAGGGCTACTATGGACGCTTTCAAGTTTGGTAGCAATTCATCATCATTACATTCAGAGGAGTTTGAAGGAAATGATGAAACTTCCATCACCAATGAAAATGACGAAGATGAATTATCTTCTTTACATTCAGTACTAACCTACGATGCGTTCGATCCAAGTGAAGAAATGAATGAGTTTAATAAGCAACTTTGGAAGGATGCAAATCGAAGTACACAATTAAACGTATCAAGGAAGTTTATTTCATCCAGGTTTAAATCAGAAGATCCAATCGAAGTAAGTTTATATTAATAACTTTATTTTGTTCATCCACTAATTAAATCAAAGTCGTCAAAAACACTCGCTTTGTCAACCTTCACCTTATCAGAACTCGGAAGCTTAGCAGATAGACGTGAATTAATACATAGATTATGGAAATCGAATGCAGAAATTATAGTCATTATTGATAGAGGTACAAAGGAAGGTTATGAGCGTGTTATGGAAGCTCGTCAACAACTTCTGGATTTAGGTGCAGTTTCTGATACAAAGAGTCATGTTTTAGCACCATGTCCACATGATGGACAATGTCCATTGTTACAAACAAAGGATTTTTGTCATTTTAGTCAAAGGTTACAAAGACCAGCATATCAACGTTATATAAAAAAGGCAAAGTTAGGTACTGAAGATCAGAAATACTCTTTTGTCGTCGTTAGAAGAGGCTCAAGGCCTAAAAGTGATAATGATAAAACTTTAAATCAATTGTCAAAATATAGTGCAAGTGAGTTGATCAAGTTACAAAGCTTGGAAGGTCGTAAGAATTTAGAAGTAATTGATAAAATCGAAAATGATCATCAAGTAACTGATAGAACAGATGAGATCGAATGCACTGATGAAGCAATCGATCGCAATTTGAATGATAATGTCATAACGACTACTCAATCACCTTATTCTACTAATCAATTAGATATACAAAGTAACTTAATTGATAGTCCACAATATGACAACAGAGAATTATTGTTGAGAGATAGTTTCAATTGGTCTCGTGTAATTTATCAACCGTTGAAGCGTAAAGGACATGTTATATTTGATACATGTTCAAATAGAGAACGTATAGAAAGATTTATAATAACTAAAAGAGATGGCGATTCAGCATATAGAGATTCACGCAAAGCTAAGTGGGGTGATTTATTTCCACATGAACCAAATGGTAATATTCAAATTAAAAGTAATGGGATTAAACGTACATCATCAATACAGCCTGATATAATTGATAGTGATGGAAGCATGGATAATAAAGTCAATAATGATGCTGCATATATGGACTCAAATAATAAATTAATAATAAATCCATATGATCATGATCAAGCTCATAAGGATCGTACAATTAAACGTAGAGTTAGAGGTATAGGATCAGCTAGAAAGTTACGTAAAGGTAAAGGTGCAAGAATGGCAGATTTAATGGAGAAAAAAATGGTAGACGAGAAATTAGATAAGATAGCAAGAGAAGCTACTGACGAGATCATGAAAAATCGTTATTAGAGGAATAAACGTATTGTAAACTAACTTTTAGAAACGTTTTGTAAAGTACAAAGATACACAGTAAGCTAATTTATTGGTTCTAAGCAGTTTTACCTGAGGTCCTATAAATCAACAAAACCTCAGAATGCAAGTAAACTTTGATTATGAAGGCACATTATTTGTTTATGAAGATAACTCTACCTCAATACAATTGTATTATCTTTTAACGTCTATAATTATTCATGTGTTGTCTACAATTGAAACTATAACTAATGGTGAAAAATTTAACAGAGAAGTATCAATAAACCATGCGTTTGAAATTAGATTTTGAAATAAAATTAATAGTGAAAGTGTTAATATCCAAAGAATGTCTATAATAAGTGTCTATAATTGTTTGGGAATATTGAATTAATTTTCCTGCTTTAATTCTAAACCTTCTTCTTTTATACCTAAACCAATTAATGGTTCTGTTCCATCAACGTTTTTCAATGGTGGTAAAATGTTATCTTCTTCACCTTCCAATTGTTGTTGTTGACGAGGGCCAGCCTCACCACCACATAAATCTAGAATCGATTGTCTTCTAGATGCATTAGTATCAGGTCTTTCTTCTTCTTGGTCCTCTTCTTCAACTTCTTCACCATCTGCTCTAGTAATTGGATCAAATTTGAAAACATTTGAAGAATGATTTGTATTATTGAATTGCAATTGATCAGTATTATTATTACCATTATTAATGCCTGCTGTTGAAGATAAAGGTCTTAACGCTTCTGAAGAAGACATTGGTCTAGACGTACCAAATTGTACGTTGATACCAGAAGATGAAGGTGGTGGAAGATAAGGTATACTTTCATTGAAACCAATATTACCTTTCCTAGATGACCTAGGTCTCATAGCATACTCATCCCAATTTACACCATTAGTTGGATGTGGTGACTCTTGTGATTGTTGATTTTCTGTCGGAGGTTGATAACCAAACATCCCTTGGGATTGGAATGAGTTTTTACGGAAAGGTATTGGTTGTAATTGTGAAGAATATTGATAACCCTGATCAAAATAGTTGGCACTAGCAAAGTATTCAGAAGTTGATGGTCTATAACCTTGACTAGAATGAGGCTTATAAGTTGTAGTGTGCGATGGTGAAGGCAACATTGGAGCTTGATAAATTGGTTGCTGTTGTTGTTGTGGTGGTGGTTGATATTGCTGCTGATGCTGCTGATATTGATGTTGTTCTACGACAGAAGCAATTGGAGGCAGTTTCCCATTATTTTGGGAATTTTCTTGGGTATCTCTAACTAAGGGGATCGGTGTCGACGTCGGAGTAGGTCTCAAGGCATGAGGAATAGCAGGGGTTTGATTATGTGGTGACCATTCTTCTAAAACAGGTGGAGCAGCCGAACCAGCTGTTGACGTAGAAGGATGGGCATCCATAATTGGAGCTGATACATATTGTGATTGTGTATTTGCTGGCATTGACGCAGCATGTAACATAGGATGTGCCTGATGTTGAATCAACGGAGAAGGATGGGCGCTTTGTGTATGATAAATTGGTGACCAGCCAAATTGATTTTGCATTGGTACTTGTTGGTTAGGGAAAGGTGAACGATGTTGAAGTGGCTGGGTTGGTGTCTGTGACGTCTGAACAGCAGGTGAAGCCGAGGTTTTTGGTATAGGTGATGAAAGTGGCGAGGGAGACATTGGTTCAGACTTCTTGACAGTCTGGCGCTTTCTACCCCTTTGAGATTCAGGTGGAACTGATGAACCATGCTTGCGATCAACGACTTGAGCATCAGCAATTTGCTTTTGTGAGGCATTGGCTGCTAATTGAGAATGTAAAGTTGACATTCCCTTAAGTAAAGTTTCATTTAGTTCTGGTTGATCCGCGTGTACCTGTGCCTAAAATCAGTAATTGTAACTTCATAAAGGGCGGAGGTACCTACCGTGCCTGCGTGCTGTCGTAGGTTATCGAGTCGCGAGAACGCCTTACCGCAGTGGCATTTCTAAGATGTTATTAGACATTATCATACAGGAGGTCGTGATACTAACGAAAGGTCGTTCACCCGTATGCTTTCTAACGTGACGAGCCAAATGCTCGGAGCGGGTGAACTGCATACTACAGTTCCCATAGCCAGTGCATTGAAAGAGTTTTGAAGGTTGACTACGCGGCTTTCTTTGCGGCCCGACGGACGGATCTTGTTTTCTCTTACGCGATTTCGCTGGAGGGGAAATAGAAGGCTGAGGAGGAGTTGGAGCTAATTGTATAGCTTGTGGTTGTGGTTGCGGTTGTGATTGAGGCTGAGGTTGAGGTTGAGGTTGTGGTTGTGGTTGTTGTTGTTGCTGCTGCTGCTGGATAATCTGAGGATGGGGATGGGAGTTGGGCGGTGGATAATAGAATGGCTGTGGCTGTTGTTGGTCCATATAAAACCCTCTATAGAAAGGGAATTGTGGTTGTTGGTAATTCATGATGGTACCTGCGAACCTGGGAGAACCTGGTGGCCTGAAATAACTAAGGAATCGAGAAAAAAATTGAAAATCGAAAAAAATTAAATATAAATATATTTCATAACTTTCATAGCTTAATTCATTCAATTTTATACATCTTCACAATTTTTTCTTTTAGCCGTTTATTCATTTAAACGCTGACAGTGCATGATACCTATACATAATTGTATTATATGCTTAGTTTAATCATATAAAAAAAATACAACATTTAAGCCATCACGTGTATGCTCAACTACAGTCAAGTTGGAATGCTTGTGAATAATGAAGTGAGTGAAACTAGATTTACAATAGAAGGTCATCAAGTATTTTTACTAACAGGCTGTTACCACCTAAATTATTTATTAATTCAATTGATTGTGAATGTAATTTTCTTATAACTTGTAAAGTGAATTCTGCTGAATTAGTTCGTGTTTTTAAGTAGTCAATGAGGTATAACTTTAAATCATGATCTTTGGTCCTTTGCTTAAGTATGTTAATTATCTTAATAGAATCTTTATCAGTTAGAATTCCATGAATAATCGGAAAAGAAAATTTTCCTTCGGTTATGTCCTCTGCGAAACTTTTATTTAAGCTATTTGAATCGAATAGGTTTAAATAATCATCTCTAATTTGAAAAAGAATACCAATCTTGTTAATCAGAGGGATAAGGTTTTTCTCAAATGAGGAGAAGGTCAAGAGTAACTTTATAGATAGTCTTAATAAGCCAGAAGTTTTATTATTAACCAATTGAAGGTATTGACTTATTGAAGGGCAAATGAAATTGTCCCTATAATATAAATCCATACCTTGACCTCTGTGTAGATTGATCAATTCATCGTTATAGATATCGATTAAAGATGAGTTATTTAAAGACCTCAATTGGTCTAAAGCTAAAAAGTAGATATAATTCGCTGTGTTTATAGTTGAAGGGGTACCAAAGATACGATGAGCGACAGGGAAACCTCTACGCTTATCAGAATGATCTTCAATATCATCGATCAGTAAGCTAGCGTTATGTAATTTATTGATAACTGCAGAAATAACAAGAATATAATGACTATCAACAGCTAACCAAACATTAAAAGCATCAATTAATTTATTCCTAAAGTCTTTACCTTGAATTTTATTTAAATAATTGAAACTTTCTAATATTTTTATTTCATTATCATTTGACCACTCTTGGTCGGCTTCAATTTCTGAAAGTAATTCGTCCATTGATTGATGGACTTTGATAAAGAAGTTTATTACTAATAATTCAGAGCTAAACGATTTATATTCAGTTAAGTTAAACTTAAGGTATTAAAGGCTAAAACTTGTCTAAATTGAGCTCTATTTATAATTCATTTATGTTCGCTGGTTGATTTTTTGAAAATATGACGTGTTTGAATCAAGGTGATAAGTACCAAGTGGTATAAATCTCAAGAGAAGGAAATAAAAATATATTACAATAAATTTAGGTGTAATATTATTATCATAATCTTATCAAGTCTTATGCAAATTTATAGTTTAAGATTTTATTTTTATTCTGTTTATCAAAGCTCACAATTTAGTCGATAGTCCATCATAATTATGATTATAAAAAAATTATTAGAGAAAAGATCAATAATATTTGACCAAAATTTAAATTTTAACAATATAAGGAATGGTTTGAAATATCTGAATAAAAGGTTAATCGGTCCAAAAGCTTTAGAATATTACCCAAAAACTCCAGATTTACGTTTATTTAAACAACTGAATAATTTACCTTCAAACTTTGTAACAAGCAAAGAGAAACAGAGGTTGTTAGATGTAGATGCAAGGAAAAGAAGGGGTAAATCACCACCAAAGAAGGGTATAGTCGATATTATCATATTAAAATTCAAAGCTAACAATCAATTTAGGTCAAGGAAGAAGATCAACTATGAAAAAAAAGTAATTTAAGCTTAATACTTCAAAATTATGTAAAGTGCATGGATAATCTAGTAAATTGTTAAACCACTATCTCAGAACTAATAGTTATACTTACACCTGGTATATAACCTAAAATGGTTAATAGAATGTTAATCCAGAAGTCTGCTGCACATCCTCTTTCCAAGAAAACACCTAATGGTGGTACGATAATGGCAAATATGATCCTGTAAACTAGTTTAGACGCTATATTGACTTAGATTATATGCTTACTTAATAATATCCTATTGTTGTTGTTAGCTTTAATCTACATCCATACTTTACTTACACTATAGTACAGGGTTAAGCAAACACCCCTTATTCTGTTAACGACTATTACTTACGAGCAGGTAAATGGCACTAATCATATTAAACATGATCAATCATCTTAAATTTCACTCACTCTTTCAATATTATACTTGGTTGAATACTTTCAAAAAGCCAAGCACGCTAATTATAGACTCTCCACAACGTCATACAATTCAAGAAAAAAAAAATCTACAATTTTACATCTCCAAACAACAAACTGATGGACTCGCCGTTGTGCTGTCTCCTAATAGCTTCCCCTATAGTCGCACTAACATCCATTACATCCAATTTCTCACCCAACTTTTGTTTATTCTCAACTTGAGGAATAGTGTTGGTGACTGCGATTTTCTTTATCGGTAATTTCGGAATTATCTCCATAGCGGATTTTGACATTAATCCTAATTATTTCTTAATTATTTCTCTTTCCAATAAAGGAAGCTTACCATGTGAGACAATAGCGTATACCGCAGTTGCTCCTTTCTTTGCTAGTTCCGTTGAAGCTAACTTCAATGTTTGTGCTGAAACTACCATATCATCGATCAATATTGCTACCTTTCCTTCTACGTTTCCAACAACAACATCCATATGATCTTCCTCTTTGTTATCTCCATTACGGACTCTCGATCTGTGTATTAATCCAAAGTTGACATTTAATCTGTCTGCCAATGCTGTAGCTCTGTTTGGTCATTTGTTAGATTATTCTCTTTTGATTATAGGTTGGGCTTCTCACCTCTTTGCACCACCTGCATCTGGGGAGAAAACAACAGCATCTTCCCAATCTGGAATCGAAGATTTGACGTAATTTATCATTATTGGCTCAGTATATCTGAAAGTTGTCCTTTAGTTGAATTTAATTAGCAAGGTTTGACTAACAAGTTATCAACTGGAATATCAAAGAATCCCTTTGACTAATTAGATCTTGAGATATTGCTGAATGAATAATAACTCACTTGAATTTGTGATGCATGGAGATCTAACGTGATAACATGATCACAACCAGCAGTTGTGAGCATATTTGCAATTAATTTAGCTGTCTGTTAGCAATCGTTAGAACAAATTAAATATCAATCTTATAGCTAAGAGTACTCACAATTGGTGCTCTAGACTTGTCCTTCCTATCTTGTCTAGCGTATGGATAATTTGGAATTACAGCCGTTATACGTCTAGCTGATGCAGTCTTACATGCGTTGGCTAAAATCAATAACTCCATTAAGCTATCGTTTATATCCCCGCATCCGGATTGAATGATGAAAACATCTTCTTCTCTAACGCTTTCACCAATGCGTACATTTATCTCTTGATTCGAGAATTTATTAACCACGCATGGTGATAGATTTAGACCAAGTCTTTGTAGACAGTTTAATTATATTTCCACATTTTCAAAATTGACGAACCTTTCAGCAACTGCTTTAGCTAGATCTGGATGGCTATTACCTTTTTTACTGTTAAGTTAAACCTATTGATGTAAAAAATATATAACTACCAGTCAATATTTTGATAGCGTCAGGCCTCATTTGCGAAGACAATCAACGTAATTATCCAAGGAGTAAAAAAATAAAAAATGTTCTATAAAGTTAAATTAAATAATTTACAAAGTTTATTTATACTTTGAATCACTGCGCTTATGCTTCTTCTTCTTCTCGTCCTTTGTCGGCGATTCATCGATAGATTTGCGCTTTTTATCCTTTTTATCTTTTTTATCCTTCTTTTCTTCCTTTATATCATTGAAAGGACCTTTGGTTTGAAATCCAGGCGGTCTAAATCTCCACTTCAATTTATCAGTTGGTTGTTCACGCTTTAAAGCACCGTCAGAAGAGCTATGTACATCAAATGGAGGAGCTTTTAATGAAGGTATTTGGTTTGATAATTGATATTTATAATCGATTGATTTGTTTACTTGATAAATTAGATTAAATGGCGTGTGAAAATTTTTTTACTCACTTATTGATAATTTACCTTGATTATTTGGTATTAATAATGATAAATTATCTATTTCATCCTTTATAGATCCAGATTGAAACTTATTCGTAGTTTTACTATCATCCGAGATTAAGTTATAATGCTTTCCTTTAATATCTACATTGCCATCTTTATTTAAAGTTAAGCCTTTCAGATACTTTGTCTTTATCTAGGAAGTGTGAATCTTCTGCTTAGCAGCTTACATTACGTACATTATCTGGTATTCTCAAGCAAACTATATCAAATTGATCATCTTGAATTGCATTTAGCCAATCTAACTTATTGGATTCTTTATATTCCTTTAACTTGTATCCTCTTGGTGGCTTGTACCTAATGATTACTTAAAAAATGAAGGATTATTAACTATGATGATACTAACTGGTTTGAATTAGTATAATTATTGTCACTACCACTATCAATAGAAGATATTGAACTTTTCCTTGATTCAGTCGACATTTGATCTTGGTTGATAGATTTCAAAACAGTTCAATCATTTCAAAGTACAATTATTATATCCATGAAGTTAGAAAATATTAAAATCAAAGTAATTTTTTATAGACAGTATCCTCCTTTATCCTCCAACGCTCTATCATTAGAGTAAGTAAATTGATGCTCCAAGAATTGTAGCGCCCATAGCAGCAAAGGCTGTGTTTCTTGCAGCGGATGAATCATCATCATCGCTGTCGCTATTGCTGTTGGCATCACCAGTTGGTTCAGTTGATTCTGAGCTTGTCGATGTTGGCTTAGCATCTGTTGCATCTTGAAGGGTTTCATTGAAAGTACCAGTCATGTCGGTAATCTGTATATTTTAGTAATAATAAACGATAGAACCTTTAAACTTACCTCGAAGATATCAGAGTAAGCGATGTATGGTAAATCGTACTTCTTCTCCTCTTCCTTGTCTGACTTGAGTCCGTTTGAGACAATACGAAGTGAGCTTCATATGATTTAGTTAAGGATTCCTAATAAGTTATAAATACTTACTAGTATTTACCATCTTGACCGAGCTCTGGATCGATTGTTGTGTTGAATTTCATATCTGGTGCATTAACTTCACCAAGTTGAGTTAGTGGAATCATTGATTCCTTCGTTACTTATTAGTATGTTCATCACTCATGTTTGTTTCTCACTTACTGAGTCCTTTCCTGCGTAAAGGAATACTGTTGATTCACCAATCTCTGGCAATGTCTTGTTGTCACCTGTTTCAATCCACTCAACGGTGTATTCTTCACCAGCCTTTACTTTGTCATTAGAGGTTGGGTGGGTGAGTGACTAAGAGATACTGTTGTCAATACATAGCGAACTTGTGAAAACAAACTTACGAGATCTGCGAACGCTGGTGCTGCGAGTGCGGCAAGTGCAAAAACTGATGAACGCATTTTATCTTTAGTGTTTTATATTGTGGTTCAACGAGAAGAAAAGTCGCTTAATATAACCTCCTAGTGGTCAAAGCGTGGGGTAAGTTTTACAGGAACGATATTAATTCATGCAATTCATCAATGCAATTTGCCATTCTATTTATTTGCGTCTTCTCTCCGCATGTTTTTATAAATTCACGTCAAAATTTTCGTGCACGTCCCTGAGCAAGCAACTAAAATTAAACTTCGGTCTCAAAATGCTTAATATTAAATTAAATTAAAATTAAGATTTATCGCATGGCTCGCTTCATAATTTTGAGTGGAATTCACTGCACTCTCCATTTGAGTCCAGATCGGCCCATAATTGTAAACCTAACCAGTTTTAGTGTCCTATATATTATATATGTCATTGTATTTGAATACAATTATTTCAAGAACTGGAACAACTAAGTTAAGCTAGATTGTCCTGAAAGTTGGTATATATTTATGGAAGCACAACACTAGTCAATATGATAAGGTATGTCTTCGAACAAATATTTTCAGCTTCGTTATGCATTATAGATAGGATAGAAATGACTATCAGCTATATTTGTACGTTTCCTACTTTTCCTGCTTGTTTGGCTATTTGTTTGTGGATGAGACAACTCTAATTGTTGTTATGCATATCTCATTCACAAAAAATATAAAAAAAATTATATGTAGATATGCATATAATTGGAATGGCGACTTAACAGAAAGTACATAATGTGCCTCATATGCTGTGTACGGTGTCGCCAAGTTATGAGATCTACTAAGAAATTAGGATTAAACGTAAATACTCGTGTTATGTAGAAAATTCCAATAGGTTCATGATATCTGCCTCATGTTTTTGTGACACTCTCACTAACTTCCAACCTCCTTCCGAGCATCACTCGAAAATGCTTATGTTTTAAAGTAAAAGATATAAAATGATTTTAAGAGAATAACAGGGTTGTATACCTTGAAGCGAATCAACCCACGTCTCTATCATCTTGTTAGTGTTAGAATGTGCGAATATCTACTATCACATCAGCTACTGGGCGACTTATGTATTCAAAACGCAGAAGATGTAGCAAACACCAATATCTCGACTGATTATTTAATACCAGCTTGGAAGTCTTGACTGTTGGTTTTCTTCATTCTACGCGTTCGAAGATTAGTCTATCAAGGAGTGGTGCAAGAGTTAGTTGATAGATAAAGTGAACTACGACGTATCCTCAGAACAGGTGGTGGACTTGAAGTTTAGTATTCTAGATCGGATCACAATTCGTTGATTACGACTTTTATATTTAATCTGCAATAAATAATGCAAGACAACTAGCCGTTTTACAAGTAGACTTGAAGGTTATACATCTTGAAACATTGCGGTACTATGCACTTACTACAAATAATCAATTTAACAATTATAGCAGTCCAAGGTATGGAAAACAACATCCTAGACCATATATAATGTAAAGAAGATTTTATATAATTGAGAAAGGTTAACCAGAAAGGGATTTAAAACGAAGAGATGCTTGCTACAGTCTTTTCACTTGATTATTGAGTCTGATAGATGACATCCTTGATATCATACCAGATACGTGCGCTCACGGAACAATGAACTAACTTGTTAAGTTTACAGACCTTCTTATTTATTCTCAATGCTATATACATTACTCAGAAGTACAGGTTCAGGAATTAAACCATTGCGGGTTTACTAAAAACTCATGAGTATAACAATGTCTTTAAAATCATTACTAAATTTCAAGACAAAACTTAAGATGTACAAAACATAACAAATTTCATCCATTTAGACATCAAATACTAAAATCTACATTAAAATCGTAATCTTTAACGTTGGCCATAAGCCTTAGAAGCATATTGACCGTCAATAACGATCAAGTTTGCTAAAGTTTGCTCCCTGTTGTTGAAGTAGTTATCGAGGATCTCCTTTACACCCCTAGCGTATCTTTCTTGTGAGTCGAGGGAAGTACCAGAAATGTGAGCAGTCATTGCGTTACCGCCACCCATGTTGTTGATAGCAGAACGCAATGGGTGATTTGCAGGAGCTGGTTGTTGGTCCCAGACATCACCACCATAACCGTTGAGATGGCCTGATGCAAGAGCGTCCTTGATAGCTTGAGCATCACAGATAGCACCTCTGGCGGTGTTGACAATCCATGCACCTGGTTTCATATAGCCAAGTGTTTCCTTGTTGATGAGGTGGTAGGTACCTTCGTGGAGTGGTGCGTTGATAGTGAGGATATCCAATTGACCAAGGAACTCCTTTAAGTCTTCAACACGTCTAGTGCCGACCTTATTAGCAGCAGCTTCTGGAAGTGCTTGGTAATCGTAGTAGAGTAACTCCTTAGGGTCAAATGGTTGCAAACGCTCCAAAACTCTGTAACCAATACGACCAGCACCCAAAGTACCAATAACTTTATTTTCAACGTCATACTATAAGTTGGTTAGAAAATATTAGTAACGAAATGTCTCATATAACGTACAGAGTTACGTGCAACTTGAGCAACATTCCATTCACCTCTCATAATTTGTTCATGTGCTAGTAAGATAATTAGACATTTACTATCACGCTTCGGGAAAACTCACCTGGAACAAAGTTTCTAACCAAGTTAAGGATAGTCATGATAACGTGTTCAGCAACAGCAACAACATTACTACCAGTAACTTCAGCGACGGTAATCTTACGTTCGTTGGCGGCGTTCAAATCGATGTGGTCTGAACCAACACCAGCGGTGATGGCAATTTTGAGTTTCTCAGCCTTGTTCATGATATCCCTAGTGAGATAAGCCGGGTGGAAAGGAGTGGTGATAACGCAAGTAGCATCCTTGATATGCTTTTGGAATTCCGAGTCAGGACCCTCCTTATCGTCTGTGACGATATATTCATGACCTTGCGATTCAAGCCATTCTTTAATACCAAGTTTGTTTTCGATGGTACCAAGCAACTTTGGTTGTTCTTTGGCATACTTTCCTGCTGAATAGAGGACAGCTAAGATCTTTTCTTTGTTTACAGTAGCGGCTGGGCTCATTTTGTGTTCGATGATAATGGTAAAAGAAAAAGGATGTTGAAGGGAGATATTTATATCCGTGTGATCTCACGACTGCTGCAAATTCCAAACTTCCCCGATGTACCGTTAAATTAAGCGACGAAAAGCCCGATATCAAAGGTGGTTTCTATTCAAAAGCCTTTGATTATTGTATGTAATAGTATCATTCAGCTATTAGTTCTGACACCTCAGTGATAAAGTTGTGGGAAATTATTCCTCACTCCAATTTCCTTCATTTACAGGCTTTACTATCGGAATGTGCAATTTATAGATATGATAAATAGGGGTTCGAAATCAATAGCCAGAGTATAATAGGATGTGTTCTCCCATGCAAAATGCTTTCGGATCTTTATATCGCAATGTCGTCATAACTACTTATTAATTGACGCAAGCTCCTACCTAATAACAGTCGTACGTATCAATCTATGGAGAAATTCATATCCTATTCTAAAAAGAATGTTTATTTAATCAAGGTTTATTTACATTCGGTCTGTGCCATTTATATTTCATCTTCCGTCCAACGTGTTCAATGAACTCTCACACGGCCGAAATCGCAGTCTGTTGTAATTGACATGGTTAGCTATGCATATTAAAATTATTAAATACTTACGAGTATCAAGGAGGAGCTTGAGAGCGTTGCGTGCTCTAACTCTAGTAATGTCTTCTTCCCGTTGTGGCAGCAGCGCACCTACAGAAGGGCTCTCGGTGTTTCGGAATGGGTACTGTAGTTTTGGTCAACTAATAGTTGAAAATAAGTGCGACTGGACTAACTGGTAACAACTTATGTAACCACTCGTAGGCAACAAGGGTAACGCCGAACTGTAAATACAATGAGTTTCATTGCTTCAAATTCAAAACGCGCGCTTACCTGTGGACTACTTCTAAGAACTCTGGCGGGTCCACCCTTGAATAAGGCCTTTGCACCTTCTTCTTTTACTAAATGGTATTACAAACATGCCGTATTCTTTTCCAATTGTACTCACGGATACTAGTGAAAGCGTGCCCAACATTTCTGTAGTTAGTTTGGCCTTGTCTTGCTTCAGCTTGAAGACGAGTTTTGATAACATCTGCAGGAGTCGTTAAGTATGCTGCTGGCATACCTGCAACCGCTGCAGACAAGAGTGTTTCACCAAAGCCAAGTTTCTTACCATGTAAGCCTTCCTTGAAGAAATCCTTTTTGAGATGCGCATATGAAGTGAAGTAAACCATCGAAAATGGTACATCTCTGAGCAAACATGCTGTAGCTCCCTTATATAGACCAAGCAGTCCAAGTTGACGGATGATATGGAAAGCACCTCTAGGTTGAGCTTCACCAAGCTTTGCAGCTTCACCTTGTATTTGTAATCTAATCTTAACGATCTCTAATGGGTTTGTGAATACGACTTGAGAACCACCAGCGGCACCACCAGCAATGATTTCCCATGGCAAGCTAATTTGACCTGTTTCTGTGTTTTGCGCTAGATGACGAACAGCATCATTAACTGTCCTATAAACCGTTACTGTGAGTTTTCATTGGATCCCATAATACTCACAATTTTATAGCTTTCTCTGGTGCGACACCAACTAATTGAGGAAGTAAACCTCTGTAAAAACCTTTAAAACCTTCATTCCTCATTACTTTCTTTACACAATCGATGCTATTTGTATACATCATTTCACCTACAACTGCAGATCTCTGGTTCTGCATTCTAGTCTTGACTAAATCAATTGGATAAACGACTGTTGCACCTGTTGCACCTGCTAAACCACCCAGTGCAAAATTGTAAATACCCATAAGGGTCTCATGTAAAGCTGATTTTGGTGGCTGTGAAGGCGCGAGTGCCTCAATTGGAGTCCAATTAGGATCGAAAAGTGCGTCAAAGTCTGCCTTTGAAAGTCTTACGTCGGGTTCTGGTGTACCAGCTCTACCAACTGCACCTGGAGATGCCAAATGCCATGCGAAGGCAACTTCCATAGGTGAAAAGCTACCATAACGAGTGTTACGTTGGGCCGTTGCTAAAAAGTCTGAGGGAGATATTCTACCATCTGGAGATTGAGCAGTTGCGACATCCACGACATGTTCCACTGCATCCATATCATGGAGTACGTTGTAAAAAGCTCTAACATCGGCATACGAGATGCGCTGGTCCGCTGTAATGTGACAGAGGGAAGGCAATCGGTCCAATACAGGACCAGATAACTTGTGAGAAGCTACTTCCTGGGTTTATATATAAGTCGATTGGTAAATTTAAATAATAGCACACTTACTAAGATAATTTTCTGGAAATCCTCCGGTCTGATCCATCCGTCATTGTCTACATGCTAATAAGTATTGCTAGTTTCAAATATTCCAAAACATACCCTTATCTAAGTTGTTCCATTACTAAATCGGATCACGTCATAGAATTGAACTCACCAAAATAATGAAATGCCTGTCTGATCCTCTCACCTTGAAGACCTTTCATCATTTGTGTAAATTCATGGTAGGCTAGAACGTGCTCGTTCGTATCAGACGTTTTTCCGAGGTATAACTTTAACCAATCACAGTTGAAATCGAATGGAATAGCTTGGTTACCAAGGTATTGACTGAATACGTTTTTAAAGTCGTTAAAAGATACGCTGCCTTTATTACGCCTGTATACGTCAGCTCATATATCCATAATAGGGATGGACGGACTTATCAAAATACTGGAAAGCGACTTGGAAGGGTGCGTCAGGCTGCTTAAGGAGGTTCTCAAAGGTAATAAAGTCTTCTACCTTTAAAGGTGTCAGCTGTGTCTCTCGTGCCTTGTGCTACTGGTGCCCCGCGATAATAGGATATCTAAGGAGTAGCCCAAAATACTCACGGATACAATGCCTTTATTGGATTTATCAGCGACGTCAAAGAAAACGCCATATTGATCTCTCGATATTCTAGCGTGTCCTTTACCCGAACGTGGTGCAATAGCGTCTATGAATGCAGCTCTACCAAGGTATTTTACGCCATCAATATTTAAGCTGGCGTAATTATCAAAGTTTTTGCGCCATCTTTGCTGCTCTTGGTGAATTGCTGTCATTATCGTCGCTTAAGAAGCTAAATGACCTAAGTAAGCTATCATTGGCGAGCGTAAAATATTAAATTAAGGAATGGGTAGTACAACATTTTGTTATTAATTTGTTTTATTAATGAGTGTCTTTCTTCTTATTTTAGTGTAGAAAAGTCAAGTGGAGATAATTTCGCTCTGGCAGCATTGTATGCATAACTGCCTTCTTCATCTGACGAGCTGCTGGTGCTGTTTCTCCGTGGCCTACTGGCCCATTGTACAGAATTTGAGCGTTGTACGAGTGGTTGATCACGCCAGCTAACATTCTTAGGCAGTTGTTCTGATCTGCTTGACCTGTTACTACCTTTACGAATTGGCGCTATACTTTCATTGTTAGCTGAAATACGACGTGTCTGGTTAGATGTTAAAGGTAAATGCTCCCGCTCTTTACCTTTGCCTTTTGGTTGGCTAACCACCGCAGCTGCTGGATTAAAGTCTTGGTCAACACCATCGCCCTCAACAATACTCATCAAGTTTGGATGTACAACGGCTTTGCGATGGCGCACGCTTGTGCTAGTTGGTCTGCGGCGTTGACTGTTTCCGTTTGATACTGCATTTTTTGTTGGTACTTTTGGTGGAAGTAAAGGTGTTGCAGTTATCTTTTGTTGTTGCATTGATGATCTTTCCGTTTTCTTGGCCTGCTTAGCATGTTTTTGCTGGGCAGTTTGTGTAAGTATCGGTAAACTTGCGGCAGATGATGGTCTTTCTGGTAAGTCTGACACACGTCTGCCATTACCAACGCTGTTGGATCTAAGTGCACTTTGAGATATACGATGAGTGGATCTCCTTCTCTTGCTTTGATTAGATGCAACGCTGGATTGGCGACTTAGATTGTCCGCGATAATGGCTTGTGGATTTTTATTCTGAACTGTTATATATTTTGCACCCACATTGTCCTCGTCACTAGAATCGTCTCTTTCCAGGGATTTGATGTTAGATGCAGTCCTTGTTTGCCAACCATCAAATGATTTACGACGATTGTCATTTGAATCAGTTTGTGGATGTGAAGACTTAGAACCAAATCCGATGCTAAAGAGGCTTTTTTTCTGATGGGTGTCGACTTCTGTTTCCTTTTGGTGCTTTTTAGCTTGTTTTGGTGCTTTTTCCTTTTTACCACCACCAAAGAGTCTCCTGAAGAAGCCTCCCGACTTCTTCTGACTCTGTTGTTGGTATAAAGGCTCTGGGATGAGCGGTTGTCTTATCGCTTTGGTTGTTGTAGGTCCAGGAGATTGTATGGATGAATCCTATAAGGTCGTCATTAGCAAGAATTCAAAAGCGTATATAATACGTACGCTGAACTGCTCAGTGAACATAGAAGGTTTCGGTGTATCCTGTGGCTGGACTATTTGTACGGCTCTTGCGGCATCGCTGTGTCCACGCTTGAGGTTTGGATTCTTTATGGCAGTAATTGGACCGGAGATGTTAGGTGTATCTTCCTGTACTTGTGAGGCAGATTGAGAGGGACTGAGTGAGTCAATTGATGGATTATCCAGGAGATTCGCTGAAGTTGGCAGCAACTGGATATTTTCTAAGCCATGTTCACCAAATCTAATAAGATTATCGCCAAGGTCCACTAACGACTTTAGTCTTCCTTCTATAGAGCTGTATATGATACGTTGTCTATTCGTCATCAAATCGACCTCAATTTCAGAGAGATGTACTTCACATGCACGCAATTCCCTTTGAGAACTCAGTAGTTTCTCAGGTGCACTGCCATTGGATTTCTTGGAAGAAGCTTTTATCACTTGCTGAACACTGAGGTAATGTCAGAAATATGAGATATGGGGAGCAAAAGACCTTACAGAATCTCTCTATCTCTATCTACAAGCGAGTATCTCTCCTCCTGGCTGACAAGTTCAGCTAATGCCTGCCTATTGAATTCATTAGAGATAAAGTTACCTTCACACAGTAATATATACCTAGATTTGAATAGCTCGCTCGAATAACCCTCAAATGATTGGTTAATCTCGTTCAGTAGCTGGGCTACGCTTGTGATAGCGCCCGTGGCATCTATAGAGCCTAGGGCTAGTAAAGCGGCTGCCGAGGTATCACCCTTCTGGCTCGCATTCCTCAGCGCCTGCTCGTATTCTTTATCAGCTTTCTGTAGATTTTTGAGCAGCGCTTTGCTCTTCTTCATAAATACAAGGTGGTCGTTCAACTAAATGGGCAATGTGGGAGATATCTCAGACTCGGCGTTTTAATCAAAGGGAGTGTAATAACAAGTTATTTTTTATTAATTTACTTGTAATTTATTAGCCATCTCTACCCATCTTTAATATTCACAATAAAAACTATCCTCAAGGGAGAATGTATGTGTATCAATTCCTATTAGACAGCAATCTAGTGCTTGTTGTTGACTTGCGAGATGTATGGGTTTTGTGGTGAGCTCTTGTGTGGTTCAGCTGTCGGTCGTTAGTACAAGCTCATTGGTCGCTGGTGCACTCACTAGCAACGGCAGCATCTTGAATCTTAGAGACACCGTAGTATACAACGATGGAGCCAGCAATGAATGGTGCGAGTGGCTTGAGTACCTGTATTGTCTATATAAATATCTCCTACAGTCGGATACCGCCGATACTCACAGGAGTTGGGTACTTTCTCAGTCCGAAGAACACTGTAATATTTTTATTAGCATTCATTTATTATTATTCGATATCTCTTACTTTTTGCTAGTGAACGTTAAGCGTGAAGCTGTAGAAAACGCAAGAACCGGGATAAGAAAATAATATGCTAACTGTAGTTATGATAGAGACATATTATTTATTGATATCTATTTTTTATTCCGCCATCTCTTGCCATCTCTTAGCATCTCCTGTCATCGTTCTCGTCTCCATCCACTTTCCAAATATTGGAATATATACCTGATAGACAGACTAGACTACCATGTCATTCTCACAGACGAGGTATTTACCTTGCCCTATTATTGTAAACGCGCTAACATCAGTACAGACAATTCGGGAGCTGGCAGTATCTCTGTCAGGAATCACCTTCATTAGCACCTTGCAATCTATTTTTTAAACAAATACTTAGTTTGGGTGATAGAGGTGAAGACATTTTATTCTCAAACCCTGCGTTCAGCCTCCTGGATGACAGACTAGATGGTGCAGGCGTGGGCGTACGACCACATTGTTTCATAACCAGAGCTTCAGTTCAAGGTGGCCTAGGAAATATTGCTCAGATAGTTTGCACTGCATTATGTCTCGTTTTTTCACTCATTCTTTTTGCGGCTGCCAAGCGACGCGTCGCGGCAGTCGCCAGAATCGAATTCGCGACCTTGATTGGCTTGTGGAGTCTTATAGATGTACTTTCATTATTAACAACTGGTGGATTTCTACAACAAGGTACAGATTATCTCGTTTGGATCACTGCCATACAAATGGGCTTCAGATCTGCATGGTTTTGGGCGCTACTTGTTAACGGATTCAACAGTACGCAATTGCTTGAGGACGGTACTCCAGCATCTATAGGTACTCTCTGGACTGGCGGCATTGCTTTTTTCGTTGGCACAGCCTATATTGCAGTAGACACAGCTTTCAATTGGAGTGGACGACTTCCACCATCAAGTCCACCAGAATATCTCATTAGTAATGGCCTATTCGTTCTACTGCTACTCTGGCCAATGATTGCTACTTTCTTATTTACAGCACTCATGATTTACGTCATCTTTTTCCTACTAAAAGAAACCCTACCTGCTTTCTGGTATGCGAGCTCGCTGCTGACGTTCATGCTTTCGCAGGCCGCATTATTCGCATTAGGATACACGATATGCGATGGTAGTAACTCACGCGTTGACGGCGCATTTGTCGCTACTCTCCTAGAAGCTATCAGTCTGGGTTTCTTATTCGGTGGGTGGCGAAGCATCACAGAGGATAGCTGGTATGCCTACGAAGGTGCTCAAGAACCAGTGTACCCGAAACATGCTATTTTATAATGATAGAAAAGAACTACAGTGAACACTTCTTCTAACCCTGCTTCACTCCTTTGAAATTCAATAACGGACAATGTTTTTCATCAAATTCTCAGTCTAGTATCTTCTTGTTTATATTACTACCATCAGTCGCTTTTTATTTCATAAAATTTTAATACTGCTTGTAACATTAAATAATGAACTATTTATTCATCTTCAAACTATTACATAAGCTTTTTGAGTTTGTCTGAATCCTTTTCAAGTTTGTTGACTGTCAGTTGAGCGCTATGTATTTGTCTCATGAGGTACTCTGCTCTTAATTGAGTTGCCTGAGGTGATTTGAATGATGAGAGGAAAGATGAATCACTTAGACCTATATTTTTGAGATCAAGAAGCTCATTTTCCCATTTTCTAATTTGTCCCTCTTTGTATTCTCTCTTTAGCTTGTTAGATGTAACATCCTGTAACGCTCTGTATGGTGCATCTGAATGATAAAAGCGTTAATGATATCCTTTTGAATAAATAACTCACCATTCACAAGTTGCTTGAATGCAGTACGATAAATTGGTTTACCAGGTACTATATCAGCAGGTCTACCATTTTTGTGTGTGATAGCAATCAAATCATGTTGTTCAAGTGCTTGAAGAGCAGCTTCATTACCCTTAAATGGCCAATCGATGAGTGTTGACGCATAGCTGACCTATTAGATGTTACTTTTATCTACTACAATAGTCAGAAAACTTTCCTTTTCGCCTTTAGATAGTTCCGTGATTAACAGCCAGGCTTCTTCAGGAGACCATCCATGCTCATTCTTGACTAGAATATTCTGACGCAGTTCGCTCGCTGATATGGTAACCAGCTGGTTGATAGCCTCATGCACGCTCAATCCTGAGCGTACCTTACGGACAAGCTGCGTTTGGTTAGAGCACAATAATCTATTCTAAGAAACCTACATCCTCAAGGTCTTCGACGCGTCCACCTATAAGTTCTATTAGTTTTCTGTCGTCATTGTTGAGGTTGATGTTTGTTAGTCTGTTTGTGACAAACTTCAATGAATTCTTTTTATCTGCATCAGATAAACTTATCGAGTTTAGTGGTTTGTTAGGCAATGCTATATAGTCTTTAGAGTTTTTCTCCTGTATCAAAGATATCCACATACCTTTGTTAAGTCGCTTATTGACACTGACATTGTCAGATACAAAAATAACGTGCGCAGTCTTTGAGGTTATCAGGTTGGCAGCCCAAGAGCTAATAACTTCAAATAAAATATCTTTATCAGCACCTTTGTAGTCGAAATTTTTGACAAAAACGACAGGTATACTTTTAACTTTCTCCTTTTCCTCGTCGTAATCCTTATTACTTATATTTTCTAACCTGGATAATGCTAATGAAAATACTCTGTCATCAATTTCATCGTTCTCGAGCCCCACACCTAACTCGCTCATAACTCCGTTACCAGCAAGGCAATCTAACCGTCCATCATGCTTGAACGAAGAAGTGTTACTCCTCACTTCATTCTCAGCTTGTTTTCGCAGACCACTAACAAGATAATCATGTTCAGATTTGGACGTTGAGAACTTGGAGTTGCTAGCTTTCTCAATCGCCTTGGTTGTGAGTGTTAGTATCTGTTTCAATTGTTCTTCTAATGGCGTTGCGAATCCTGCCTTGGTACCAATCAAGCCCACACTCGCTAAATCGAGTAAGTTTGAGACACTACTTAAAAATCCAAAAATCGGCCTGACATAGTTAAGCTAAAAGTAATAGGGTAATGGTGTTTAGTCACTCACCAATAACCAGTTTGCATTGCTAAAGCAGTGACTAGCTGAGTGTCATTTTCAGCTTTACATATCGTAGCACAGTCAATCTGAAGCACCTGACGATCATGAGTGATGTGTTTCAAGAGGGAACTTTTCCCAGATCCACGAGCACCTGTTACAGTGATGAATGTCGAAGGAGACTCATTCAACCATACAGAAGCCAACTCTGAAGCTTCTTTACGATCCTGTATGTCACTGCCAATAATGTTTTCATTCCCACTTTTGATTGAACCATCCCCGAACATAAGAAGCTTTCTCTTGAAAGAATCTAAACTGAATGTCTGCATTATCTTACTTTTGATAGCGTATTCCCTAACGGGATCGAAAATGACGTAAGAAATTGCTCCAAGTAGAAATACTAGGAGTGGTGCAATTATACGAGGATGAGATACGATCCAATCTTTGTAGAAGTGTTTCGAAACTCTGGCTTGGTAACTGATTCTCAAGCGTGTCCCAGACGTCATCACACCATGTAAACATGATCTGGCTGCAGTGCTAGCCGATGTTGCCTGATATGTTATTATTGCACCATTTTTTATGGATTCTATCTCAACTATACGTCCATAACCTCTGAAAAGCCCGTATATATCTTCTTGAGATACGTCCTCACCTTCGAAGTCTACTTTAAGTTGAGATGAGGGATATCTATCCATATCTTCGTTAAATGGACATCCAAGGACAGGAAATATGGCACTATTGAGTAATGTAACTTTCCTTAAACTACCATTATCAATTAATCTATTACGTAGTGTTCTTGCAGATAAGCTAGCATTGTCTTCTACAGTGACAAATGCACCACCTTCTCTCAACCTAGAGTCTATGGATTTTACTTGAACACCAGACTCATTCATTCTGGAACGTAGGTAGTCTAGTATTGAATGTTCCCTCATTAGTGAGTAAGCATATCTGGGATCAAAGCGCCCATATCTAATTGGAAATATCGAGGATACGTATATTTTATTACTTTCCCCCACAGCTGTGCTGAATAGCCGTCTCATTTATCTGAACTATATGATGTAGATGATGGTTGATTAAAAAGACTAGATAAAGAATTGAATTGTCATACATCACGTATATTTTACATTATTTACTATCGTCTTTGTTTCTCTCATTATCGCCGTTGTCGTCATTGTGTACTTCAGTTTCGCCATTGTGGGATTCGACGACGGCAGTACCATTACCATGGCTTGATAAGCCGTTAGACTCATTATTTTGTACTATAATACTACCATCCTCATCAGGGACCAGTTCAATACCTGCTAAGTAGTCAACTTGACGATAGTAAGGCACTAAGATAAAGGCTTACTGGATTCTCCATCTTTTCTACCAGGGACTATGTCTAGTCTGTACGTGCCACTATCTGGTAGTGAATTCTGGGCTTCTTTAAATTTTTGAATGTCAGACATATCAACAGCAACATCACTATCTTGACGTTTAAACAATGGAAGCGCAGTAGCTACAGAAAATAGTGCGAGTGCTAATACTCTCATAGTTGGTTTCTAAGTCACATCACACTAAATATCTCTCAAATGTCTTCATTCCAATCGTAAAATATTTTACGGGTGTACAATTACTCATCGGAGACCTTAACAATAAGTTTTCCTGTGGTATTGCGGGAAGTTATATCTGCTTGAGCCTGCCTCAAACTGTCAATGGTGAAGTCATAGACTCCATGAGTGTGCAACTTTACAACGCCTTTACCAATTAAGTCGAACAACTCAGATGCGTACTTATTCAACTCTTCGGCTGTCGCTATGTAATTCATAACAGAGGGCCTGAGTAATTTGATATTCTTTGCTGTGAGTTTTAAAATGCTAAATGGTTCAACAGCGCCTGATGCATTTCCAAACGAGATAATAGTACCTCGTCTAGCAGCAACTTCAAATGCAAGATCGAATGTATCTTTACCGACACCATCATAGTTTGCAATTACACCTTCACCATTTGTCAATTCTAGAACACGAGCTACAGTATCCTCCTTAGTGTATAAGATGACTTCGTCTGCACCATTCTGCTTTGCTAATTGTGCTTTTTCTGGTGTAGATGTTGTACCAATGACGTAAGCACCAAGATGTTTTGCCAGTTGAACCAAAAGGAGACCGACACCCCCAGCTGCAGAGTGTACAAGGATCTTATCACCTTTCTTAACCTGGTAGGCTTCTCTGAGGAAGGTCCATGCAGTAAGACCTTGCAAAAGACCAGTCGCAGCGACCTTCTCAGTGACATTGAGCCTATCAAGCAAAACAGCCTTAGACTGATCAACTTGCTGATACTCTGAGAGTGACCCTGGGCTGTAAAAGGCTACGGATTGGCCAGGTTTGAATTGGGTAACTTCTGAGCCAACTTCGACTATCCTTCCTGCGCCTTCTTGACCAAGACTAAAGGGGAGAGGGACGGGATATAATCCTGATCTAAAGTAAGTATCTATGTAGTTAACGCCTGCGTAAGAAACCTTCACATTGAGACTGTGTGGGCCTAATGGTTTGAGTGTAGATTTATCATCGAGTACGAGCTTATCAAGACCTCCAGTTTGATATATTTTAAGTTGTCTAAAAGTAGACATTGAAGGTTTCTGTTTGTTGATCGTAGTAGAAGATTAAGGGGTATATTAGTCATTCAAGGGGTGTATTAGTCATCTAGATACTCAGTAGAAATGTATAGCGTGTACAATTATTCGTCAATAGATTTGCTAGCGTCTACAGCGAATGGATTTTTCCACTGGTCCTTTGGTGGCTGCACTTGTAGTGGTTCCCAACTAGTGATTTGATCGTGAGTTTGTGTATAGTATGAAGAAAAACACTCACGCTTTCCATTCTAACATCTTGGCAGCTAAACCGAGCTCATTTTCTGCCTCTACTAACACTTCCTCGAGCTGAACAGCTGGATTTCCTAATAAACCTGCGTAATCCCCTTTGAATTCGGTCTCTATAGCTTCTGGGGTAACACCAGATTCGTTTGCCTTGACGACCTCACTTAAGCGATGCTTTGTGAGTGTCTCTAAACTGTTCTTGTAGACTGAAGTGCTAGGAAATTCTTGAAGGAGGGATAAGGTGCTCGAGTAAGTCTCAGCCAATGCTGATACTTTTATTTACTTAGGTTATTGTTTATTATCATTATTATATATTACTTACAAGGATCTGGGTGTACCGCTAAACCAGTGATTCTAGTAGAAGCCTTGACACGCTGAGCTGGTGCTTCTGGTACACTCTTAGATGCGTCTACAAATATTCTTCCTGTATATCTTATTAATTTTGGTACGGTTCTAAACATAATGAAATGATTGGTCGAAGTCAAGAAGGAAGGATTATGAAATTGTGATTTACAATAATTGCTTCAGCTTATTTATTAATTCTATACATTCTGTTTTAGTTCCTATCGATATTCTCAAGCAACCAGCGCAGCCAAGCTCTGATCCTCGATACCTCACTACAACCTTTTCGGTTTCAGCAAGGTACTTATAAATCTCTATAGCTCTATTGTTATCTTCCTTCGCGTCTTTGTCTAATATAGGAAGCAACACAAAGTTTGCGTCATTCGCACCTCTTACTACGCCCACATTTGGTAGTTTACTCAGTTCTTCTATGAGATAATCCCTGTTCTTCTTTAATTCTGCGACAAATTCCTTCATCTTTGCTATTCCATTATCACTGAGTGCCTCTTCTGCCAATCTAGCAGATGGTGTTGAGACATTGTAAGGTGCCTTGGTGTTTGAAAGCACCTGTATAAGCGGTGGTTGTGCGAGTGCAACCCCTAATCTAATACCGGCTAATCCGAAACTCTTCGATAATGTTTGCATGACAACTAGATTGCTGTACTTCTCTATCAAAGAAACTGCCGAAGCCTCTTCGTCTGTAAAATCTATATAGGCCTCATCAACGACAACTAAACCGATATTATTTGGATCTTCTAGGAGTTCCTTGATATCTGAAAGCTTAATTAATGTACCTGTTGGGTTTCCGGGTGAGCAAACAAATGTCATTTTAATCTTATTCTCAGTATCATCAGCGTAAGCCTTCTTGATAGCAGGGAGATCTAACTGGAATCGGCCATGATTTACATCTAAAGGTACCTTCTTTACTTGCACATCATTTATTACAGCACATACGCCATACATACCGTACGTAGGTGGACAGGTGATAACCATGTCCTTTGTAGGGGTGCAAGTAATCCTGTAGAGCAAATCGATGACTTCATCGGAGCCAACACCAAGAAAAGCGTAGTGAATTGATGGTAACTTTCTCAGATTAACTAGTGATTGCTTTATCTGTGGGTGAGATGGTGACGGATATCTGTGTAACTCTTGGCTCTGATCAGAGTCGATAGTAGGACCTAAAGCATTCTCATTTGCACTGTGGAGTCAGAGATGTTACAAAATTTACTTTTTACTCACTCTAAGAGAATACCTTGGTCATAGTCATCTCGAGCACAACGATAAGGCTCTAAAGAAAGAATATTTGGTCGTATAATCTGTTCGATATCGAAGTGAGATGGCTCTGGGTAATTCGCTGGTAAAGTAGCGGCATCTATTCCTCTTATATTTGGTAGCTTCATGGATGTTATGAGTAAGAAGGAGTATGAGTAATATGAGAGTATAATACAAATAAATATAATACATCATACCTTAATAATATTATTCATTATTGAATTACCCTAAATATAGTGTTATCTTCCTTAGCTTGTCCATTCATGTTAATAAAAGATAAAACGTTCAAATCACATCAAGATAAAGTCTGGACTGTAGCGTTTAATCCGCGTACAAATATTCTCGCTAGTTCATCTGGTGATCATCAAGTACATCTCTACGCATTTCAATCAAATGAATGGCAACAGGTAGCCAGCTTACCACAAGAACACAAGCGTACTGTTAGAGCTCTCGCCTGGTCACCTAATGGAGCTTATCTTGCCACTGGTTCGTTCGATGCCACCGTAGGAATTTGGGAGAATGACGATGGAATACTCGATAACTGGACATGTACAGCCGTTTTAGAAGGACATGAAAGTGAATGCAAAAGTGTATCCTTTAATAGTTCCTCTACTCTCTTAGCTTCTTGTTCGAGAGATAAATCGGTTTGGATTTGGGAAGGTATGCTATTCAATTAGTTAATCAAATATTCTCATACTCTCAATAGTAACATCCGGTAACGAACCAGAGTGCGTTAGTGTACTAATGGAACACACTCAAGACGTAAAACATGTCGCCTTTCATCCACATTCGGATGAACTCCTGGCTAGCGCAAGCTACGACGACACTATAAACATTTACAAAGATGACCCTAGTGATGACTGGTATGTCAGTTCTCGCTTTAAAAACCATAAATCGACAGTATGGGCCTGTGAATGGTCTCCGAATGGCCATCATCTGGTCAGTGTGAGCGATGATAAGAGTATAACGGCATGGAATGACAGTGGTGTCCCTACGGCCATCTATGAAAATGCCCACTGTCGTTCAGTGTACGCCTTGGTCTGGATAGATGATAATATTATCGCCACTGGCGGCGCAGATGGCCACTTATGTTTGTGGAAACTGATTTACAATAACAATCACATAGAGGGACTCGAATTAATCCAAAAGATCCAAAAAGCTCACGATGGTGCTGATATTAACAGTCTGGCTTATTCACACAAAACAAAGACACTAGCTAGCGCCGGTGACGATGGATGCGTCACGGTTTATAATTACTCATAAATTAGATTTTCTATTCATTTAAATAATATGTTTGTTCAAGTTTCTAGTAAGGGATGTGCCCTCTTGATTTCTCGGTGTTACAGCGATATAAGTTGACACATTTGATTACTAGAGCTTTTCAAAGATCCGTCATATTTGATTTGGTATCTTGACTGTATACATATACTCATATCTTCAAGTACAAATATTATTCACTTGTCATTATAAAATCACGGCGTTGTCTTAAATTTCCTTAACAACTCAAAGAAAGATGACGTGATCAAAAAGTGTGTTAAAGGTGTCACACTGAGGAGTATTTATCACGTGATTTTCTTTGGTAAAATTTTATGTATTACATTATTGATATAATCCAATGCACCCTGTAATACTATCGTGACTTCTGACATCTTGAACAATCTAGTAAATGTTGACTACAAATATTGTAACCTCTATAGGAAGGTTGCACTTGTCGATGGCGTAATCAATCAGCTTTCTAAATAAAAATGACATGAAGTACATTTCAACTGTTACAGTCATGACTAATTTAGACGCAAATGATAAAAATAGTGATATAATTGCACAAGGAAGCTTCGCCACACGTGCTATTCACGTTGTAAGCGCGTTATTGGCATTAACGCCGTTACTAATCAGTACTTTTAGGGTAGCGCAGCAAATGAGGCGACAGGAGCTGTTATTCCTCCAATATCTCTCAGTACCACGTATGCTCAGTCGAGAGTTGGGGAGCATAAGGTAGACGAGTATTATATATCACAATAGTTGAAGCTGACGTATATAGGGCTTTGAATACTCTCGCTCAAACAATCCAAACAGAGAGGCATTTGAGAATCAGGTAGCTGCGCTTGAAAACGGAAAACACGGTTTTGCTTTTGCTAGTGGATCAGCAGCAGCAGCAAGTCTACTACACTTACTCGGCGAGGGTCCTAGTCATATTCTATCTATTGATGATGTATACGGTGGTACATCAAGGTACTTCCGTCAAGTTGCATCTTTGTCTGCGGTTGAGACGTCCTTTGTTCCTTTACAAGGAAGAGTTCATGAGGATGAGATAAACAAACATTGGAAAGATCATACAAAGATTGTTTGGGTTGAGTCTCCAACTAATCCCACAATGAAAGTAGTCGACATTGCTCATCTATCCGAAATTGCACATAAGAAAGGAGCTTTAGTAGTTGTAGACAATACGTTTTTATCACCATACTATGCAAATCCATTGGATATTGGTGCAGATGTTGTCTTGCATAGCGTATCAAAGTATATCAATGGGTTCAGTGATGTAGGTATCTATTATAGTGTCATTTATATAGATTACCTAATAACATTTTCAGGTTATCATGGGCATCCTCATTACAAATGACGAACATGTCGCGAAGAAGTTGAGATTCTTCCAAAACGCAATTGGCGCCGTCCCATCAGCTTTTGATTGCTGGTTAGCCCAGAGGGGTGCAAAAACATTACGTGAGTGTAATCTTTTATGATGTCATTTCTCTGAACGGTTACTTTGAAGATCTTCGTGCTGAGAGACACGGTGATAACGCGCTCAGATTAGCACACTTTTTAGCATCAGAGGGTGTGAAGAGGGGATGGGTTCAAAGCAAAGACGATATTCTCTATCCTGGTTTACCTTGGAATCCTCATTATGAGATTACAGTTGAACAACTGTCAAAAAGAGTTAGAAACCAAACCAAAGACTACACTCAAGGTATTCAAACGGGTGGCATGCTAAGTGTAAAGTTTTCAAGTAGAGTGAATGATGTGGGGGAGAAAATACTCGAGAATCTAAAAGTTTTCACTTTAGCAGAATCCTTGGGAGGTGTAGAGAGTCTGGCGGAACTACCAGTGAAGATGACGCATGCGGGCGTTCCACAGGCCATCAGAGAAGAGCTTGGCATTGATGATTGCCTGGTAAGGTTCAGCGTCGGTGTCGAAGATTATGAAGACCTTAAGAATGATATTGTTGCCGCGGCCACTGCTATTTATGAGAATTAACTGTTGTGATAAAATGTCGCAATTGAAGTGTGTTAATTTATAATTTAATATTTATTTCTGTATTTGGTCCGTGTAAACTGAAACGTATCCAGCTTAAAAATGTAATCTGATTGTTCATCCCAACAGCCTACAATTATCGACACTCACTTACAACCTAGGATGCATATCTTCAGTTTAAATAAAATCCAATTTTACAACTTTCAATGGCACTTTACTTCCTTTTGAAAAACCGATCATGCCAATTGCTCACATTGTAGTCTGGAAATTAAAAAACAAGGACGAGGAGACTTTGAACTTATTCAAACCGCTATACAAACTCAACGGTCCAACCAAGCTGACGGTTGGTGAACCATTGCGTCCCGAGAAAAGCGCTGGTTATAACTACGGTAAGTGCGAAATCGGAAATAACCCACAACGAATCAATAAATAATAAATGAATAGGACTTTACTCAACATTTGAGAGTATGGATACACTCAACGCTTATTTAGTAGACCCAGACCATGTCAAGATCGTGGAATCAATTAAGCCACACGTCGAGGCTGCTGCTGCTTTCGATGTCGAAATTTAATAGATGTCTCTTACGTTATTATGCAAGCTACGGTCTTTAGTAGCTAATGAAGAATACAAATGTTGATAAAATGCTTTTTATGTCAATAGAAAGTAGCTAAAGTGTCTTCTATGCAGTGAGCAGTATTGCCAAATTCTGAGTTCTACTAAGAAATTAGGGCGTAAACATAAGTATTCATGTTGTCTAGAAACTCTTACTGGGTTCTTATATCTCTCTCGTATTCATCGCAACAGTACTACTAAGTTTCAAACACCTTCCGACCGCCAGGCAAAAGCACCTTATGTCAAAATGTGGTGACTGTGATAAAATTCTAAGAAATTAACTAATTTACATAATTAACTACTTTATATAATTTGAGGTGAATATGTCCATTAACACACGCAACCTTATTAGCGCTAGCATGCGCGAATATCTACTATCACATCAGCTACTGGGCGACTTATGCATTCAAAACGTAGAAAATGTAGCAATCACCAATAGCTCAACTGATTATTTAATATCAGCTTTGAAGTCTTGATTGTTGATTTTCTTCATTCTACGCGTTCGAAGATTAGTCTATCAAGGAGTGATGCAAGAGTGAGCTGAGCTGATACAGTGAACTACAACATATCCTCAGAACAGGCCGTGGAATTTAAGCTTATTCTTTTAGAAGATTCAATCACAGCTCGTTAACATCATGGAATTAAAACTTTTGTATTTAATGTAAGAAACTATTGAAGACAACTTGCCATAATACAAATACACTTGAAGTTTATACATCTTGAAACATTGTGGTAATATGTACTTACTGCAAATAATCAATTTTAAAACTATAACTTCAAAAGTTTTGGAAGAAAACATCTCAGACAATATAATATATATATATAGATTTCCTGTAACTGAGAAAGGATGTCCAGAAAGAGGTTCTAAACGAAGAGATGATTGTTATAATCTCGTCAAGTGATAATTCACTCTGATAGATGACATCCTCGATGACATACCAGATACGACCGCTGGGGAGTACCATAAACGAACTTGTTTAGCTTACAGACCTTCCTTTTAATCCTGAATGCTATATATATCAAACAGAAGTAAACGTTTAGGAATCAAACATTGCAGGTTTACCGAAATACCTATGAAAGGAATACCAATGCAATGTTTTTAGCTGGTTTTTCTGGTCTCCCTAGAACATCACTGATTTGGATAATACCCTTGGGTGATACGTACTTCTGAGTTTTTCAATCAAGGGCCCTATTTTAAACAATCTTAAGATGGTGTCATGTAAATTTTAGTAACTGTTGCCACACCGACTAGCCGCACTAAATGAAATTAGATGAATATTACACCTATTAACACTTACAATACTTGATGACTCGCTTCAATTAATTGAATCTGATTTATCAATATCACTCATTAGGGAGACATTCATTTGTTACTACTCGAAACTCAGCCCTTGCGTATTAGATTGCGATACATTTGAAAATTATTACGTCATGTTCATTGTATATACCGATACAGTTCGACTGTCAGCTCCCACTGTAAGTGAAAGATGTGGACAGCAAAACCCTATCGGATTTTAGGCGTATTTTAAAATCAATCATTGAATTTATATATCATTTCAAGCTATTTGCTTCCTTTTCGATAAGGAAAGGACCTCGTTGAATTCTGTACATGCGAAAAGTAACAAGTTCATGTTATCTGATCTGGCATTTGATTCAATATATCCAGTTCAAAGGTACACAATTCATCTCCTAAGTAGCAGCAAGGTATTTTGATGTGAGTTGAATTGTTCAAGTCAATTTACAGTACAATGAAACTTAGTTATAATAAATTTATGATACGCCATGTAAAAGCAAAGTCCTACACAAAAAAGAACATTTGTTTAACCTCCCTGAAAGTAATGTAAAATGGTCCAATCAGTAAGGAAATTAAAAGTATTATTTTATTTTAAGTAGCAAAAACTTAAAAGAAGAACTAGATGCAGAAAACTTACTTGATAGGTGTACTAATACAATCTGCCCAGTATTAACCAGAGAAATTTTTGGATTTGCAAATACAGTGTTGTAATATTCGAGTATTGAAAAGCAACCTATTAAGGAACGCGTCATTAACAAAGGAAAATGAAAGAAGGATCTCAAAAAAGACACTAACATTATCCCAACAGACTAGAAGCCTTTTTTCTGGCCTTGCATTCTAATACTACAGCGATGATCACGAAATTGAATATTCCTATCGTGGGAATCTTTAACATACTTACAAGTGCACCAGCGCCGTATAAGAAGCTGTAAGCGATTACGATAATCCTGTTGTAAGTCTTTTCTGCAATTATTCAAATTAAATGTAAAGCATCTGCAGAACCCAAAGTGAATACTACAATATCGTAGATTATAGATCTCCAAAAATGTATAAGCCAGGTCGAGGGCACAAGCATTTACCAGCAACATTCTAACTTCGTGGAAGAATGGTTAATGTTTGTCTAATTTGCTATCGATTCGCAAACCTGTCTCCAGCATTATTTGCAATTTACAGCGGAGCCTATCACATCCGGATTTGAGTAAGCATAACGTTTTTGGGATTTACTATGCATGGTTTGAAAATCCTTGAATCAAGTACTTCAGGCTGTACATTACCAGTAATTCACACGCTGAGCTTGGGAGACTGGGTCCCCATAACATTGAATAGGTCATAAAATTCACCTTGGTCTAGTGTATTCGCACAAATGGTAGGGATACCATCTTACACTCTAGTATGAAGTGAACGCTCATTTCTATTTGCCCAACTTAAAAAATCCGAAGATACTAACAGATTCTACACAAGTTTTGCTAAACTACTGAGGTGCATCGAACTCGTGAAAAAACCCATTACTTAAGTTCTACGCGATATGGAATACAAAACCGCAAGATCATATAAACTTTTTCACCAACCGCGCAAGCACCCTGTGATCGTCTCTCGGAATTGCCTTAATCGCAAAAACGACCTTCGGAGTCAAGGTGCCTATAGTGTGATCATTGTATTGTACAGAAGAGGTCTGTGGCATCCAAAGATTCCGCAAGCTGAAATCGATCTTACTTTTGCGATATGTGAGTAGTGAAACAGATATAATACAAGCTGACGTACCCCAGAAATTATGATTGATCATTTGACAAAGGAAATCATGATTAAATTTTCTCGGGTGTGATAATAGTCCAGTCAAACGAAGATCCCGAACAACAATGTAGCTGGTGCAGGCCAAGGTGATGGAGCCGAGTCTGTTATAGGTGATAAAAATACTTGTGTACATCCAGATCACCGCTTGTATTCGAGGAGCTTGGTACCGTTGTTTTACAAACCCTCTATCAAAGGATTACCGCCGATTATAACAATAATCCGCGATGTTTTTATACAAGAACTCCATAGTAAACGAAATGATATGGTCGACTTCGCTCTTTGCACAGTTACATTCTTTTGCCCATTCAAATCCACCAAGGTTGCTTTCTGCATGTGCTTAATACACAGAAGCAAGACCGTTTTGGCTGGCTGGGGCAGTCCCGTAGTTCCAACTAACCAAGTTATGAGGCCGCTTTAGCTTAATTGGGTTGGGCACATGTGTTCTTACATATTTTCATCATAATTAATACGTTTCTCGCGACTGATTGGGAGGCGCGGCCAGAATGCACAGCACGCGAATGCTACTGTTTAGCTATCAGTCGAAGTAGTAAACAAAAATTTTATTATGTCGCGAGAACAAAACATGGTCGTCATGAGAATTTTTATTGCGAAACCCGAACGCTTGTAACCTCTTGGACAATAAGAGTTACATCCGAGTTTTGTGCGCTAGATATCAACTTTGTAAATTTATAAGTCTAAAGAACATTACTCTCTTGCAATCTTGTATTTTGAAATCTCTGAACTCGTAATGACATTGATATGCATAGCTCGGTTATAGGTTTCCAATGGTCGTTGCAGAATGCAAACCCCGGGAACCAACCACTTCGCTGAAAATGGTCGATACTGTATCACAGATAACAACCATAGTCGTTCTTGTGTTTCAGTCTCTTTTGTTGGCACCGCAATCTGTTTGCCCACACTGAAACACTAAATAAAACCATAAGAATACAACTCATCGATGACCAATATCATTCAGTTTTATATCGCTTTGGTTACAATGCGTGCTCTATAACCAACTAACAATCTCAGTTCGCCGTGAGGCTCACGATACATGGAAACTAAAAACTTTTGCTTCATTAACTTTTAAACTGTAATTCTTGAAACGGATGTTTTGATCTCTATGAACTTATCGAAAGAAGTAACTGTACCGGCGCCTAACGTAATAAGACCAACTGGTTTTACTGTTGGTGGGATCATTTTTTGTTGATTGATTTTGCATGAACTGAACAACATATTCGAAGCACTCATAGTAATATTGTTGACACGCGAAAAAGAGCAATGGTTGATCATAGTAAAACAGATTGAGAGTCAAAGTTAAATTGGTGAAGTGCAAGCTCTTTTTGTTAATACTTCCAAAATAACCATAATCACAATTAGTTTATTTCGATTACAACTCGTACGTACCTGCTCTTCAAATCAATCTCTTTGTCAGCTTCGTTGTTCCCGAAAACCTCTATCATATCACAAACCCAGTTCATTTTGGCACTTGCAACGTTTGTGAAGAGATCACCTACGAACTTATAGAAGACTAGCATACAACATCATTTGTTAGCTAGGACTAGTGGGAACAAAAGGAGTTATATCGAGTGTAAGGACAATACTGCTACGCAGTATAGACAAGGCGACGAAAAGTAACATCTGTACGGTGAAAAAGATGTAACAGGAATACCTTACATATGAGGCAGACTGAATAATCGTAACCCAATATGTATAGCGTTAAATGTTCTCATACTTAATAATAAGCGTGTTTCACATATTAAAGCTAACGTAGGTTTTCAATATTAGGATGTTTAACTTTTTACTTTCAATGGAAGACATTGTGATTACTTCGGCAAAAACGCGTTAGAACTATTTTGAAAGTATGCCGAAACTTCCTGCTCTGGCATATTCATGTAATTAATTTTGGTGTTCTATACGTAACTACGTGCAAGGAAATGGGATTCTAATAATTCCTGGGGGCTTCATGAAGAAGGTTAAGATAAGTGTATGCTAATCGTCATCGTAGAGTTTTTTTTACTCAGGAAGATCCACAGAAATTGTCGTCGTAAACAACAATCAGTTAGATGATCTAAAAAAGGGTACTAGATAATTACTCTCAGAACTCTTGTTCGTTGTACTTTATCCGTTCTTCTGTCACCTAAAAGGGAAGCACCTATAACATGTACTTAAAGTACAAAAACTTATGTAAATTAAACATCTCAGCATTATGATAAATGGACCTTAATCAGTATTTAGTTCAAATGATATAATTAATATAAAGTAACAATCGAATGAAGTAAGAACTGATTCCATCCTTCAAATGAGTCATGGACTATATTAGGCCTCATTAACTAAAAAAGATTTGGCTTGAATTATATAACGTTGATTTGAATGTACTATGATTACTCATTCTCTGCAGTTAGACCTGAAGTGAGCACTCGTGACAATTTAGAAATCTTATTTATTTGATTAGTATATTTAAGGGATGACTCTCAATGATTTAAGACTTTGGTATAAGCGAAGATTCTATGACTCCTATCAAAATCAAGCGTAGACATCAACACATTTTGGTTCTTTATATGGAAATGTTGATTGCTTTGTGATTTCATAGAATTGTTGTGTCTAATGGCTTTTTTTCGCGAACAAGAAAAATCACATTGTGTCTTGTAATCCTACGAAAGCTGAAATTACATCATCGTTTATGTTCTAAATCCTGATTTGAATTGGCAGAATAGAATTTTCAGTTGCTGACACATATTAATAATTACGGTGCACTATTTCAGAGGCTACCTTTCATGGTACACTTAGTCAAGGTTTATGAGTCTTGCCATACAGCTTGTTGTTTGCGAAATAAATTCATCAAAACTTCATGTTGACGAGATTGTATTTGTCTTTCATCGATGGTATTTTATAATAATGCAAAAATGTTCGTTGTCAATTTGCAAGATGGAAGGTTAGCTTTACAATTGTAAAATAGGGGTAGAAATTTTTACTAGATGATACATATTGTAATATAACCCTGTTGCTCGTAATTCGATGTAGTCTTCGTCTCCCAAAATACTACGCCGATAAAGTAACTGCTACCAGAATGATTGCACTCTTAGTTGTTCGCATGAATGATACCATATTAGAAAATTTATAGACTAAATATCATCTGTACGGTCTTTTAATATTCCATTAAACTAAAAATATAAATGACTTGAACTACTCTTAGCTTCAAGTAATTTCATTCTAGGCCAATAAACGAAGGAATAAATGGATATCCCTCCATTGCAAAAGAATGGACTTACACATTCCATACCCCAAGGCGCAACCAAATCCGTACTTAATAAAAGCTGGTTAAAGTCGTAAATCCAGCGTACCAACATCTGATGTCATCATACGCTTAATTGTAATAGAAATTTTACCAAAACCACGTCTCACTACTTAAGCTTGAAACTTAGCAAGGTAGCAAGGTATTAGAGCTTATCGTTATCAAACATAAGGTGAACCGTCCGTAATTACTACCCGCCCATTTTCAAGATGTTATTCAAACTGTTTCTTTCATTCTTTGACAGTCGCCCGCCTTATTAATTGTGTTTTAGATTATCCAGGCTATCAGCTAGCTTTGGGAACATCAAAAACAAAAGCTAATCAGGGCGTATCTATGTACAACGATAGTATCTATGTATCCGTCATGAACATAGTAGTTCAACTTTAAGAAGCAATTCTGAATCCTGATAGAGTGGAAAAAGGAACTATTTTCATCAAAAAGAGAGGTCCTGCAGAAATACTAGCAAGTCATGACACTGCTATTGCTTAAAAATTAGCTTTAGTGGTGAATGTTCTCATGGTACTGTATGTTACAATGTTCATCATTAAACAGTTTGTTGTGGCATGGCAATGAGTTATTGCAAACGCAGCTAGGATAGATTAGAATAAATGGAATAAAAAATACAATAAATCACATCAAAATATAGAAATATAACATACATAACAAATTAGAATAATAGGGGAAGTTAATAAAGAAATACACCTTTATATACTTTGATATGAAATGTACTAAGAAAGGAATAGATTTGGACATGTTCATTATACATAGATTCAACGAAAGTATATGAACACAACGAATCACCCCATAAGAATATGTTTCATAGAATATGAAAGACATCGTTATTCTTAGAATGAATATTTTCGGTAAACTCTTAATTTTTATATTCCTAAGCCTGTTAGATCATATTTCTCTCAGCAATCGATTTCGGGCTAATACATAACTTACACGTATCAATGTACTGTCAATTAGCGTTGGCATGGAGTAAATATTATCGGTTTCGTAATTTACATTGCATTGATGTAGGGAAGGTGCTTCAAATACAAGAAAAATAATAAATACGACTTTCTTGTATATAGGATAGGAATGGCGAGTGCCGGGATGTGGTGATTTACTTGAGAAAACTCTATATCATGAGCTTGCACAAATACTCTTAATGATGAAGGATGAAAATCATTCTATTCACGCATGCGGTTAAGCTAGTTCATACTTTATCTGTATGATATGTGATGATTACATCACGCTTAGTATGTATTTTACAAGGTACGAAGTTGTGGATAAATCTACAAATAGCTGAAAGCAAACGAGCACTAGATCTTATATGACTGATTATATCATTACAAATCGTTATCATTAGATTAATATACAATAAAAACGTTGAATCGAACTATCATTAACAACTACAATACCTTGAGAAGGCATTGTCTTCAGTTATTTTAACGCTTCCAGTATGGGTGTCAAAGAACGCGGGCGTAGCTTTAGGTATTGGTTTATGTAGAGAAGGAGTATCGATGATCTAAGCTCGGTTAATCAATCAAATAACGATAATTAGGGCTTACTTTTTGTGCTAATTCATAGAACAGATGGTTAACACCCGTGCTAGTCTTGGCAGAGCACTCTACGAACATGGCATTATGCAATTCCGCCAATTCCTTCGCTTCTTCTATAGAAACAGCACGCTGATGATTGACGTCAGTCTTGTTACCGACAACAATCTTGACAGCATCGTCTGTCGAATAGGTATCGAGCTCCTGAAACCAAACGCGGAGCTTGTCAAATGTTTCGCGATTTGTCACGTCATAGACGAGGATCACGCCTTGAGCTCCTCGATAATAAGATGAAACTAGGCTTCTAAATCTCTCTTGACCGGCTGTATTGAAGTTAGCATGGGTATGAGTTGCGAAACTTGCATACCGGTGTCCCTATCATACGCCAATGTGAATGAGTGACTGAGTTATGATATTAACACGCACCATATCGAGAGCTTGTAGCGCTTATCCTTTATTTGAATATACTTTACTTTGAAATCTGTTGGTTATTACTAATGTGAAAGTGTGTGTGTATGTATGACATACCGACGCCTATCTAAGAGTATACATGTTAGTAGTTATCTTAAAAGTAGCTATCAAGCTTACAGTTGCATTAGCGTCTTCTTCAGGTAAGAAATCGTTCTCTGTGAATCTCAAAAGTAGAGATGACTTTCCGACACTTGAGTTTCCAATAAGAAGTAGCTTGAATGCTTGTAGAGGCTCATTCCGCGTTGATATGGATGTGACTGAATGAGTGTCTGTCATTTGTCTATGATGATGATAGTAGAGGTTTGAGTATATATAGGCACGATAAGAGAACTAATGGCTGATAATGTATTTTTAGAGAATGTCAAGACGAAGGATGAGAAATATTGTTATATCATTAGTTGTTGTGACTCATTCGTGAACTATTCCCAGACGGCCATTATGAAGTTCACAGGAAGATTAACAAAGCAGTTGCCACATTTGCTCTCTACTGGTGATTTGAGTAAGCAACAGCTCAACACGCTTCTCAAGCACTCAGCTGAGCTGAAGGATGCTTTCAAGAAGAATGCAATACCACCAGCTAAGCTGTCGATCCCTAAAAGTTTAGATGCCAAAACTGTCGCTGTATTGTTTAATAAGAGATCAACTCGTACCAGAGTTGCGGCTGAAACCTCCTTACAAGCATTGGGTGCGTTTTCATATACTGTCTTCTTCAGAGTGCTAAGTCGATTTCAACAGGAGGACACCCACTTTTCTTATCTCCTTCTGACATACAACTCGGCGTCAATGAGTCCTTAGAGGATACAGCAAGAGTCGTTAGCTCTATGACAGACGGTATATTTGCCAGGGTTGGCGCACACTCAGAGATAGAAACCTTGGCGAAATACTCTAGCGTACCTGTTATAAACGCATTGAGTGATCTCTACCATCCAACACAGATTTTGGCTGATTTGCTCACCATTAGCGAAGTCTATGGCGTCAATTACAGCAGCGAAGCGCCACTTTCAGGTTTAACATTCAGTTGGGTCGGTGACGCCAACAATATCATCAACGATACCCTACTCTCTTTACCAAGGTTGGGCGCCATTGTCAAAGTTGGCTGTCCTCAGGGATATGAAATCGACAACATAATAATCAAACAGCTTGAGGAACAAGGCATTTTAGATAAAGTTTTATTTACTAGCAGCCCGCTTGAAGCCGTAAAAGACGCAGACGTCATCGTCACTGACACCTGGATTTCTATGGGTCAAGAAGACGAGAAAACGAAGAGACTTAATGATTTCAAGGGTTTCCAAGTGACAGAGGAACTCGCTAGAAAGGGTGGTGCTAAGGATAACTGGATATTCATGCACTGCTTACCAAGGAAGACAGAAGAAGTTGACGACCATGTCTTCTACGGCGCTCGCTCAAAGGTATTTCAAGAAGCAGAGAATAGGAAGTGGACAATAATGTCTATATTTGATAAAATATTAGGAGAATATCGCTTGTAATTCAACGACCATGTTGATGGTCACTGACTACCTGAATGAATTAATAAAACAGTTCAATTTCAGCTTTAATTTTGATCAATTGGGAGAGTTTAGGCAGTTATTAGATTTGCTACTAGAAAATCCGCTTAGCAAGTTCAGCATCTCTTATAAGCTATCTCCAACGAATCAACCGATTGAATTTCATTATAGCTTGAATGATACTATAGTTGGCGTTTTCTCAGTATCCACAAAGGTTTATAATCAAGATGAGCTCACTAAAGTCTTAAAAATATTAGAGATAATAGTCTATGCATCTTTGTCGATTATACTCGAGTTTAAACTTATGGAGAGCTATAATATATACATATTAATCAAGAAGAGGTCTTTAGTTAGACAACTTATTGATAGTCTTTTCAAGTATACTCAGCCACAGCAACAATCAATTAGCACACAGAACAAGTATTCGAGAGTAGCAGAGAGAATGGAATCCCAGTTACTATCAACATCTCCCTCAGTTAAATCCTTCCCTGCAGGCCATTTACTCCAGCAGCTTGCTAAAGACGACCAATCAATTTCGTCAAATATAAAATCAGCTTTAAACTCTCTTCTGTCGCATAATTGTGAGTATATTTAATCCTATTATCTTCCTATCACTTACAATTTTAAAGCATCACTGGATGGTTTCTTTAATCATCAATCTATACCCATTCTACACTCAAATCAACACTCTCAACCTTCTCTCTCATTAATTTCTTATTACAGTCAATCAGATATGCGATTGATCGCGAAACTACTGCAATTATCAGAGTATGACGATGGTTATCACGAGCAATACATTCATTTCACTTGGAGATTAGAAATCGCTGTTATAGATTCTCTCTCTCCTTCTACACCACCTCAAAATTCCTCTTATCTACTTAAACCTGATGATACCCCAAAACAATACAACTCTCATATACCTAAATATGATGACCATTCTAGATACTCAAACAATTCTATCAAAACTTGGATCGAATGTACAATTTGCAAGAATTCCACTCCTCACAATACCTTATCTGAAGGTGCACAACTTTATTCTTTTGGGAAGTACTTAGAGTTGTTGTACTACTCAAATAGCTTCTTACCTTCAACATTATGCGATCATTCTAGAAGGTGTCTCGATAGTAATATTCCCTCGAAAACCAACTTTGTCAGATGGTTTGATCTGTCCAGTAAAGCTAAACTGATCAAGATGACTCTCCATCCAATCAATCCATTTGACATCAAGGGACCTAAAATACAAATTAAAGAATCACAAAGTAGCTCTTCGGATGAACTTCAATATCCTACTAATGTCGAGCGTTTTAAACTAGATAGAGATTCGGCTGATTCAGTCTTTCGTTCTACCAGGAAAGATATTGCAATATACTTTACGACCGAAGCGAGAGGTCATCTTAATGATTTGCTAAGGGATTATTACAATCATATATCCTCAACGAAGAAAAAAAATAAAGCCAACACTGATACTGAATCTGTTCAGCTTAATCGTAGTAACAGTGGTTCATCAAAGTCAATGTCACAAGCAGCTGCTACTCTTCTGGCGATTTCTCAAGCTTCCAATAGCCATTACAATGTCAACGCTTCTCATTTTCAACCTGCAACTATATCGGCTGTGTCATCATCGGCTGTACTAAAACATCATTTGACGCCTGCGGCTGCAACTGCAAACAGAATCAAAAGGTTATTTGATCAACAAGAACTGGATCTTTTAAGGCAACTGAAAGAAGTTCCTCCTGAGCATGCCAATAATGTAAGAAGAAAATTAAAAGAAACTAGTAGAGCATGTAGAGCCCGCCTCGACGCCTTCAGAAATAAGTTCATTCCCGATAGCTACTATAATAAGAATGACCTACGTAAAAAAGAGAAGGAGAAAGAAAAAGAGAAGGATAAGGATAAAGATAAGGGCAAAGATCCAGCAATAATACCCTCTGAAGATAGCAGCAATGTTGAAGATAATAATAATATGAACCATAATCAAAAGGAAAAGGATAATAGCGAGGACAACGCTAAAAAGGAAAAAAGCAGTAATGACTATCTCAACAATCCACGCGTGCATGCCTTCCCTGGTAGTAGTATTCTGGTTAGAGAAGATGAGCCCTCCTCTATTATTGCATATGCTTTGTCGTGAGTGCTAAATTTTTGATCCAGAAGTGACATGTTAAAACTCTATAGCTCGGATGTCTATCTCGACGAACTACAAAATATGAAGAAAACGCGTATTGCAGAAGAAAATGGCGAAATAGACAACAGCTCCACACTCGAGAAACAGCAAATATCTCCAAATTCGAAGGAAAAGTCGAGGGAGAAAGATAAGGAAAGTGAAAAAAAGGAAAAGGAGCAACAATCATCAGCTCAAGATGTAATACATTGTAACTGGGAACCTGACAGTGAAGACCCGGCAGCATTCACAAGTAATTCACAAGACCCATGGTCATACTCAGTAACTAGAAAGGAAGGTACTTCAGATAATCCCGGTGGCTTACTCAATTTAAGGATGTTATCTTCTAAGCGTTCCATTGATAGTCTAGGTATGCTCAGATTACGATCGCCATCATCCAGACCAACTTCAATGATGAGTGATAGCTCAACCGCCACCAGTAATATGCCGCAGAATCCTTCATTTTCGATTGGGCCTCCAAGTGTCGGTAGCTCACAGACTGAACGTCAGAATAGTAATGCTTCCTCGAACTCTAATCAGAGAGCCTCGTTCAGAAATAATAATGAGAGTAACGATGGTGATGTCATTCTAGAGAATTTAATGTCTGCAGAACAACCAGAGCAACCGGGATCTAATGAGCAATCATCAGAATTAACCCCAAGTAAGAATTCTCATAAGAGATCGTTGTCAGCATCTAGTGATGCAAGTTCAGTGAGCAATACGCAACAAAATTCAAGGCAAAGGTCACCAAGCGGTTTATCATCTGGTATACCTGCACAGCCTATTCCAAGACGTGTATCAGAACTATCACAAAATAGCGATAATGAATCAGCTACGAGTAGTACTAATGATATTTATGGTAAATCATGGACGTCAGAACCTGAGAATGCTCTAAACGAGTTTGAATTATCAAGAAAAAGAGACGCAACGAATAAGACTATTGAAACCTTGAAAGAAGAGGAAGAACCACAAGAAGATTTAGCTAGTCTAAGGGATAATGACGCGATTAGTGAATCACCTGAAATGATTAATCAAGATAGTAACAACACGAACAATGTATCGCAGTTTGTACCACCACCTCCAAGTTCCACCGGTAGTTACATCGATGAGGAGATAATCGCCGACGAAAATGCTAAATCTGGTGATTCACAAGTTTCAACAACGCCAACTCTTAGGCCTTCATTGACTAGTCGTGCATCAAGTAGCTTCAGCTCTATATTTGCTCTTGGACGTAATAGAGAAGGTGCTATACCTGATGATCAGCTGCACGCTCAACCATCACTTGCATCTCTTTTGAATGATGACAAAAGAGGACGTAGTAGTAGCGCTAGAATGGAAGAATCTGCTAGTAATACTACTAGTGATGTAAAGGAGGTCAAAGAATCACCTCATATTAAATACGAATTCGGAGATAAAACCAAATTTGGGATAACAATCTACTTTGCAGAAGAGTTTGATGCGCTTAGGCGTAAATGTGGTGTCAGTTCTCAATTGGTGAAATCTCTTTCAAGAAGTTTAAATTGGAGAGCAGAAGGAGGTAAAACTAAAGCCAATTTCAGCAAAACAATTGACGAGAGATTTGTTATTAAGCAATTGACAACCAGTTGGACAGTTGATGACAAACATGCTTTACTTGAATGGGCACCAGCTTATTTTAAGCATGTTCAATCTAATAAACCTACGTTACTTTGCAAAATTCTTGGGTTTTATAGTATTAGAATATCACCACCATCAGAATCTAAGTCCAATACTGCTATTAGAATGGATCTATTAGTAATGGAGAATCTATTCCATAATCATTCAATATCAACTGTATTTGACTTAAAAGTAGGTATTTTTTTGTGTAAAAATTTTGATCTAACATAATAAAAGGGAATTGAAGGTCGTAGATGCAAATCTGGTGGTACGTTAGGCGATGCAGATTGGGAAACATCTGATAATATCAATTTGCACCTTATCCATTCACATGCAAAGCATATAATTGAAGAAGCTTTAAAATCAGACACACAATTTCTCATGGATCAGAATATAATGGATTATTCGTTATTGGTTGGGGTTGATTTAAGAAGACGTGAATTAGTGATTGGTATAATTGATGCTATCGGAGCGTTCACTATAGCAAAGTATATAGAAAGTGCAGGTAAACATTCAAAACAAGCAATTTTCAATCCAACTCAATCAACTAGATATTCTAAAGTAACTGTTTTACCACCAATTGAATATCAGAAGAGATTTTTACAAGCTATTGATAAGTACTTTTTACCATGTCCTGATAAATGGACAGCAATTGATAGTCAAGACGAAAGTACTAGTCAGGATGATGTTGATACCATAGTTTCAAATAATTCTAATGGTCAATGTTTACGTAAATTACCAAATCCAATATAAAAAAAAAGTACATAAAAGACAGCAATGGCATATTTTACAATAACACTCATTAATCGGTCTATTAATCTATCAAAAGGATGTTAGTTGTACAATCTATATATATATATATATATTGAAAATTATAGTTGAGTCTTTTGTAGGCTGTCTGCAATCGATTCCTCGTTTTCATTGTTGATAGCATCTTGTAATGCTTGCTCTTTAACAGATTTTATCATAGTTGGTTTATAGGTGCTTGACTTTTCACCTTGAAGATCATTGTACCATCCTTCATTGAGACCTGCTTTTTGACGATCCTGGTGGGGTTGAGAATGATAGATGTATTGAATATAATACTTACCTTGATATTAAATGGTCCACGTAATTTACCACTAAAATTCAACTTAACTTCCTTCCTAAAAGTTTCAATTGGATCCAAATTTGAATGTTTGCAACAATAGAGCATCCACTTATGGCCAGCAGTGACATGAGTAATTTCATCATGATGTATCGTCTCTAATACCTCAGTAGATTCTAAATCACCACTTGCACGGAATTTCTCAATAGTAGCTGGGTTAACATCTGATAAAAATGTTAAAAATTACAGTATGGCCAATCAATCAACAACCAACCTAAACCTCTAGCTTCATGTACTATAGAGTGTTAGATACAAACACATTAGAGAGTAAAACTTACCTAGATGAATGATGGACAATCTACTAATAAGACTATGTTTGGTATCTTCAGCACTATCCCAAAGCGCACCGTGAACAGGAAGAGCACCAAAGTAACTACCCATATCCTACGGAAATTTAAACGTAAACTGCGAAAACCAATTATACATACCTCTAGCCTACGTCTTAAGAGACTAAAATGTTTTGCCTCATCTAGGGCAACTTGAAGCCAATCTGAGAAGTAATCCATCGGCATACGGTTACTATTTGGTTCTGGAGATGATGCGCTAAAGCGTGCAATAATGTCCCACGCTAAATCAACAGCCCATAATTCAATATTTGCCAAGGAATGAAGCAAAGCAATACGTGATTGTAAGGAACCTGCTTTACCTCTCTTACCTGCACGTGAAGGATCAACCTCCCTTAAATGACTCCTTGGTGGCTTTTCAGGTGGTATAGCTTTTCCTATGTTACGCAATTTACCTGTCTTGAATAATTCACCTGCTCTTCGAGTGTATGCAATTTTGAGCTCTGGATCCGCAGTTTTGAGTATGAGTACTGCCCAATGTGCCAGTGTTTTCGGTTCAGGTCCTGATATCTTCTCAATTGCAACACTCTGAGGTGTCTCATTCTTCGACGTTGCGAATTCTTCCGAGACAGGCCGTATGCCGACGACTTCCCAATTAAAAGAATCATTTGTATTAATGTATAACTCATTATCACGTAATTGTACCTCAAATGTACAGGCTTTTACGCCGTAACTTGATTCGCCGGATGATAAACTAACTGAAATAGTTGTAAGAAGTGGTATAAACTAGAGAGAAATATATCTCACTATCATATGCGTGATATGGACAAACTGCGATAACATCAACTACATCTTCTATATCATCCTCAACTAATTCCAATGAAGCATTTTCCATAGGTGCACCAGCGTGAGGACAATTACTTTCCTAATTGAATTTAAGTAAATTGAAGGATATAACTCTAATGAAGGCATACCAATGCATAAAATTCTTTTATATTGATGTTACCGTCCTCAGCTAGACTTTCCATACGAAATAATACCAAAGTCTGATATTCATTACGAAATCTTAGAGTGATGACATGCCTTTTACTCTCCTTTAAATTTTCTAAGCGATCTATTCTAATGAATACCATATTTTCTTCTTCAGTGTTTTTTAGATAAGCAGTTGAGAATGAATTGAATGAAAATAATTTAGTTTAAAATTACAATTGTTATCAAATATGTCAACAGATTGCTCCGTTTAAATTATAAATCTGGAAAAGAAATAAACAAACTTGAGTTTATGAGTAAAAAAAATCGTCTATAATAGTTTGAGAATCAAAGTGAACTGTTAAATTAGGTTTCTTTAAAGTCTACTGTATACTTAATACTGCATAGTTCCTGATGCTAACGTAGACAAAGCTGTACTTGCGTTAGATATTGTCGGTGTGGCTGGAGCTGATGATCGCGGTTGTGGTATGGGAGTTGCATGTTGTGAAAGTGGTGACGTCGTTGACGCCGGAGGTGTACCTAATAAATTATCATCATCATCACCATCGGGTGATTGAGGTGGTGGTAAACCTGCTGCCGCAGCTGCAGCAGCTACAGCTTTACGTTCTCTATCTTTACGTTCCCTAACGTGTGCTGGTGCAGGTGGGGGTGTAGGATGTGTACCATTCGACAACATCGCTAATCCGATTGCACCGTGTGCACCTGAGTGTGCATAATGATACCTCAAACCGTTCATATTCTTGTAACGTTTATCACAATGACCAACTTGACAAAGATATGGTCTAGCGACTGCTTCTGCTTCTGCTAATGTTAAACCGTCTTGTTCCATACCATCTCTAACAACGTAATTACATTGACCATGTAATCTATGATACTTTAATCCATTCGCTTGACGGTAAGCTTTTGAACAACCAGGATTTGGACATTTAAATGGTTTGTCATTGCCACCTTCACCTGAATCGACTGGTGTACCTGATAGACCAGCAGGTGCGACACCAGACATGGATGGTGTAGGTGTCGATGATGTTGGTGTTACCTTACCAGACGCACTCGGCGTTCCAACGCTCGAAGATGGTTGTAATGGTGTTGTAGATGTGGCGGGAGGGTTCGAATTATTATTAGTTAAATTATTATTATTGTTATTATTGCCATTATTGTAAGCCTTAATTGCTGCATCGGCAGCACCTCTTTGTGCGCCAGTCGTTGGAAAAAGTAAGCCAGGGGTGACACATTGTGGCTGTTCATTGTTTTGTCCATTATTACCGCTTGTCGATGGGAATAAGGGCATAGCGTTAATCGCTTGTGATGAATGTGAAGACATACTACTCGATGGCTCAGCATCGAACATTTCGTCGTCATCCTGTGAAGTTGGTTGACTACTCATTTCAGATTCCAAATTTGGTGAGAAAGGCGGGCCAAAGCTACCAAGCGGTGCCTTAGCGTGCAAAGATGTAGGTGCACCTCTTGGATTTGAGTGTAAAATAGAAGTTTCGAATGCGGATGTTGCGTCATTATTTTTGTCACTATGAGCTACTGCTGCGGCAGCCATAGCACTAAGGGACATTCTAGCGAGCTTGCTATCCTGATTCATACTCGATGGAGAAGTAGACAAGTCCATATCGTCTACTTGGGCGTCGTCGAACCCGTCATGATCTTCCTTTTTGCTGTCATCGAGAACGACGACGTGGGCTTCTTCATAGTGTTGTATAAGATCGTGAAGGTCTTTCAATTCCATTCCACAACAGTTGTAATTCTTGCACTGCCGATAACATTTAGAGGATGCTGATAGGCTGAGGCTATGAACTCACGAATTCAGATTCTGCTTTAAAGGGTAAACCGTTTTCAGTTTCTACACTGCCACAGTGCATTTCAAAGCTAGAAAGAGGATATTATGAGACTACTCCACTGTGTTAGATAGGGGTACTTACTCGATAGGGCTCTTTCCTAAGCTCGTACCTAGTAAAGCGGCGGCTCTTGAATAGCTGCCAAAACGTGGTGAAACTATAAAACTACCTGGGCCTGTAAAGGATAATCCTTGCTGAGCGGAGAAGGACCTGCCACCGAAGCCACCCATCGATCTGAACGATCTCGGTGATGGCTGGTATCCATTGTCGTCTCTACCAGGCCCAGCTGATATTGGTACCGCTGATGGCATACTTGAATTCGCTTATTGTATGTGCGTGAAGATGGTTGTGCTTTTAGAAGAGGTGAATAAAATAGAATATAATAATATAATACTATAGGCTGCTATTATACTATTATATAGTTATAATTAGTTCCTTTGCTGCTCTCTGTCGTCACAATTCAAGATACGATCCCTCAGCTTGGTCGGCTTTAATTTCAATACATTCAGCCGAAGGTTAATAGGCCGTAATTATTAAAAAAATGCTATGAATCTAGGCTACAAAGTTATACAATTTATTAGTTATTCCCTCTATATTCCTTTAATCCCTCACATTCGCGCTTTGGTACCTTTCACTCAAAGTTCCTGATAAATGAGATACTTTCCCTAAAGTCCGATCAAATAAATGTTATCCCTAATATTACCCGTACATTGCTATCTTTTTCATCCCTCTATATGCTCCCGCGTAAATCCGGGATGAAAATTTGCTTGTCAAAACTCATGCAGCCTAATGCAATCATTAATTTAACTCCAATGACATATATATAACCTTATTTTACATTATTATAATTCTACATCACACTCTTTTCCGGTTACGTAAATAAAGTTCCGGAACGCAAGTGCGTAATCTAATCTAACTAACATGATATAATCTAGCATATCAAACATAACAAATATATATTTAAAGAGTATACATACAAAGTAAAGCTGTCATAAATCTCTGTCTCCTAAGTACAGTAACATTAGAGTGTGAAAAATGGTGTTTCTGTTTGAGGCTTTTGTTGAGCTGGTTGACCGAATGGACCAGACGCATTATTTACAGTCCATGGGTTATTGTTAGTCGTCGGCACATTTGCTGCTGGTTGTGAAAAGGCTGATTGCGCTTGTCCAGTGAATGCGCTACCACCACCTGTTCCAGTTACTGCACTAGGCAATGACGCTCCAAACGGTGATGCACCACCCGTCTTCTGTGGTGCAAACTTTGCCGCACCAGTTGGAATTCTAAGTAAACCTTCATTACCGAAAGTATCTAATCCCGATCCAGATGCCAATGCATTAGAAATATTCTCATGTTTTGCATCATTGGTCTTGAGATTAAGGCCAGGGTTCCTTGGAGGTGAGTTACCAAAGTCTGCACTCGTTGACGTTGGTAAGTTTGGCATTGATGGTCGATGGTGCAGGCTTGGACTTGGTGCAAAGTTTGCGGGTATAGCAGGTTGAGGTGAAGCTTGAGGAAGCTCAGTTTGTACAGGTGCATTACCAGTTAAGTGCGTTGCAAAAGGATTGTTGGATCTATATCCTGTTTTCTGCTCTTGCAATGGCTGTGGCGATAGCATACCTGTCAACATAGCTTGCTGTTGCTGTTGTTGTTGTTGTGCAGCCAATTGTTGTTGTTGTTGTAACATCATTTGTTGTTGCTGCATCGCCATCGCCTCCTGTTGTTGCTGGAAAGGGTTGAATGATGTCATCTGTGGTTGAAGTGAACTCAAATCTGCCATTGCAAAGCCACCTGTAGGTTGGGATTGTATAGGATTACCGAAGAAGTCCACTTGCTGCGGTTGGTTGTAGGCATTTGGTGACCATATCTGAGTTGAATCATCGAAGAGTGCGTTGGCGTTTGCATTGTCGAGCTCAGCTTTACGACGAGCTTCTTCTGCTCTTTTCCTGTCTTCCTCTTCTTGTGAGAGTTTTAAAGCTCTAGCCAAGTCGTCATCACTCTGACCAGTTCTCAATTTCCTTTGCTCCTCCTCTTGACTTCTCATTGAAGCTTCTAAAGCGCGAGCAAGGTCATCGTCCTCATCACGTCGTCTCCTCTGTGGAAGTGAGCGTGACCTTGGTCTATTCCCTGATACGCCCAATTCGTAATCTTCATCAGGACCATAAGTACCTGGAGCACCTTTAGTCATTCTATCGCGCATGAATGCTCTATTTTTACGCTGATCGCGCAACCTTGAATCGTCTGAGAGTAAGTTTGAAATATCCTTGGCTTTCTGCCTGACGTTAGCGCCCTGGTCCCTACCGTCATCGTCCACGTGTTGAAATTCCTTGAGTGTTTTTATAATATAAGCATTATCTTTAAAGTAATAAACGACATTCTCTGATCCCGCGTGTAGAAGGTAATCGAGTAAAGTGAGTGACTGTCAGCTACGTCAGCAATAAATCATAAGTTGAGAAAATACACACTTTAAAAACGTGTCTCCAATTCTTTCCTTTGTCGTTTAATCTTTTGTCAAGCATTTCCATAATTTCAACGAAATCGTTTCTGATAAGGTTGTTAGTGTGTCTACGTAGGGGTAGATATGACATACTGATTATAAGTCAGCTGTGCTAATTCATTCATTTGTGTACCGGATGGACCCCAAGGATCGTTTGAAGTCGCTTCTCTTACTTTCGCTGTAAGCTGTGTTAGAGTTGCTCGGAAGAGATCCTATGTACTTTCCTTGAGAATCAGAGAAACCTATTATATTGTTAATAGACGAAGATATAGAAGTTAAATATCCACACCTTTTGCGTAGTTCTTGACTACACGCATCGATTTACTAGCTAAATTGGACATTATAGGCTAATAATTATTGTTAAATTACTGTATTATATACATTCTACTATACTAACCAGTTTATTTTATGAAATCCAAGCAATGATGGTGGTGGCTGCGTCGATGATGAAAGTAGGTTATAAACCGACTAAATTCTTATTACAAATTAAATATACACGTTATTATAGATTCATTATACATAAATATATCATTATCTATAGTCATCTCTTGACATCTCCCGACATCCCCTTTCATCTCTTCCTTCTTGTTCTCCAGCATCCAAGGTTAAAATGGTAATTATAGTCTAAAAATTGATATAACAACTCTGACACTCTATTAGGCTCCTTACACCCGCCCTGAGACCGTTTTAAAGGTTAGTTTGAAATTCTTCAGTTATTTTGTAGTATCTCATATCTTTTATAGAGGGCTGAGGGTGAGTCAGATAGCTTATTATAGTTTTATTATAACATTCCAATAGAGCTCGTTGCTGTCAATCAGCACACAGCTGCACTCCAGTCACTTCAAGAAATCTTCACTTCAAAGCGTTTCAGGTCAACTCCTTTAACTAGTTTAGAGCCAATTATGCTCAGATTCGTTGAATTATGCGTAACTTTGCGTAAAACTAGATCTGCAAAGGATGGTTTACTTCAATACAAGAACATTTCACAAAACCTCAGCGTTCAATCAATCGAATTGGTTTTGAAGCGCTTTTTGCAATTATCTGAGGACAAAGTTATTGAAGCTAAGCGTACTGTTGACTTTTTACATCCTGAACCTCAAGATTCCACCGTCGCCGTTGACGATTTGGAAGCCGCTGAGACCCCTGAGTCAATCCTTATGAGCGCTGTCTCCTCAGACCAAAACAGAGATAGAACTGAGAGAGCCGTCGTCACTCCATGGTTGAAATACCTCTGGGATGCTTACCGTACTGCACTTGACACTCTCCGTAACAACGCACGTCTTGAAATTCTTTATCAGGTGAGTCAAACAAATACTTCCTTAAACATTCTCTAACAGAAACACCAGCAAATTGCTAATGAGGCTTTCAAATTCTGTCTTCAATATTCACGTAAGACCGAATTTAGACGTCTTTGCGAGTTACTCAGATCACATGTCGCAAATGTCTCAAAGTATGCTCATCAAGCTCATTCTATCAACCTCACTGATACTGAAACACTTCAACGTCACTTGGATACTCGTTTCGCTCAACTTTCAGCTGCAGTTGACTTGGAATTATGGCAAGAAGCTTTCAGATCAGTTGAAGATATTCACAACTTACTTGTTATGGCTAAGAAAGCTCCAAAGTCAGCAATAATGGCAGAATATTACGAGAAGTTAACTAGAATTTTCTTGGTTGCTGACAACCGTCTGTTCCATGCTGCTGCTTTTTCACGTTACTACGGATTAGCTCAATTCACAGTTGCAGACGATGCTCAACATGAGAAGCTTTCAGATTACGTCCTTCTCTCAGCTCTCGCTGTTCCAGTTCATAGTTCATCAACTGAGGATGCAGTACGTGCTAACCAAAAGTTGTCATCAATCTTGAGTCTTCAGAAGGTTCCAACTAGAGGTTCACTCCTTAAGGATGCTATTACAAAAGGTGTACTTAAGCGTGCTTCAGCTGATGTTCGTATGCTTTACCAACTTCTGGAAGCTGACTTCCATCCACTCAACGTTTGCGAAGCTATTGCACCAGTAATAGCCTCAATCAGCAAGAACGAAGACACAAAAAAATATGTTGAACCATTACAAAATGTCGTTCTCACTAGAGTGTTCGAACAACTTGCTCAACTTTATGATAACGTTGAAATTACATACGTTCTCAACCTCGTTAAGCCACTTGGTAGAAACTCTGAAAAGGAAGTTGAGAAATTCGTTATTGGCTCATGCGCAATTGGTGGTCTTAAAGTTCGTATCGATCATGTCAAAAAGAGCATCGCTTTCCAAGAGGACATTTTCGCACACTCAAAGGCTAATGAAGTTGCAACTGAAGAATCATCAAAACTTCAACCAACTCCTGCTGACTTGGTTCGCTATCAATACGCTCGCTTAAGTGATGTGCTTCAACAGACAATCTACACGATTGATAAGCCGTCAATTGAGAAAGCACAGAAGCAACAAGAAGATGCATTTGCGTATGCTTTGGCTAACATGGAAGAAGAGCGTAAGCATTACTTGTACAGACGTGCTATTGTGACTAGACGTCGTGAATTGGCTGAAGAGGACTCTGCACGTCGCGAGAAAGAAGACAGTGAGGCTAGAGCACAACGTGCTAAACTCGCCGCTGCTGAACAGACCAAGCGTGAGCAAGAAGAGGGTATCCGTAAGGAACAAGAACGTATACGTCGTGAAATGGAGCAAATCCGTATTGATGAGGCTAAGAAACTTGCTCAAAACTTGGCCGAGAAGTCTGGCTTAAAGGTTGATGTAAATGTGAGTATTCGCCGTGTCTCTATACCTTACTAATCATTAATTAGAATGTCGATGAACTTGACACAAATAAACTTGTCGCTCTTCAAGTCGAGCACCACAAGAAGGAACAAGATCAAATGTCAGAGAAATTAAGAGTCATGTTCAAGCGTATGGATCATCTCGAAAGAGCCTTCAGACGTGAAGAAAAGCCTCTTCTCGCGAAAGACTTCGAAGATCAACAAAAGAATGATAAAGCAATGTACGATACTAAAGTTAAAGAGACTAACAGGTTAGCAAAGGAGACATTCGATCAAACTTTGGCAAATAAGCAACGTCTCCAAAGAATCGGACCATCGTATCAATCGTACAAATCTGAATTGGAAGCTAAATTTAGCAACCAACGTAAGGAGGCTCAACGTAAGGCTGATGAGGCAATCCAAAAGGAGATCTCTGAACGTCGTGAGAAGGTAGCTGAACAAAAGAGACTCGAGAAGGAACATGAAGAGGCTCAAAAGGCAGTCGCTCAAGCTCAAGAAGCTGAGCGTGCACAAGCCGAAGAAAATGAACGCAAGAAGCGTGAAGCACTAATGGCAGATAAGGAGCGTAGCGAACTTGAAGCTTCACAACGTAGAGCTGAGAGAGAAGAAGAGCGTAGGAAGACTGAAGAATTTGCCAGAAAGCAAGCAGAACGTGAAGAGGCGGCTATGAAGAAGCAACGCGAGACAACATTCCAGAAGACAGGCAGTGTCTGGGGAAGCGGTGCTCGTCCAACTCCATCTGGCGGATCAACTGGCTCAGCTCCACAGCCTGGTGGTTGGTTAGCTGCTAGACGTCAAGCTATGGCAGAAGGTAAGATCCCAACGAGGCCATCAGGAGCTGCACCACCACCAAATCCTAATTCAAGACCACCACCTGGTAGAGGTGGTGACGAGAAGCCAAGTGCATTCGGAAATATGAGGAGAACTGGTAGCAACACACCACCAAGTTCAGCGCCACCTCCAAACCCACAAAGAAGATGGTAAAGAACAGAAGTGTAAATAGGTGATTTATGTAGAGAATAAAATGGTTTAAAATTATGTTACATTGGTTATCATCATGATTGTCCGTTAAGTGATTGGTATCTTAAGAATAATGCCTACTTAATATGCAACTCTTAATGTTCGTCTCTTTCTAAGCATAAGTTTGGGTTGGAAGCGATTGGGTGAGCAATCACAACTATCGCAAAAGCTGTTATCATTGCATGCGCTGATCTTTGTCTTAAAAAATTCGATTCCGGCCGGTTGAGTTACGATTTTGAAAACTTGATCACCATCGAAGGTAACTTGGTTCAAAGTAGGACAAGCCTTCTGGAGTGCCATAGTAGAGTCTAACTCCGGGTCTTCAAAAACCACCTGAGCAGATTTTGGATTGAGAGTAATAGATTGAAGCTGATTGAACGATGGGAGGATAGCTACCAAACTGTCCAAATTGAGTGAATCCAAAACAATTAAGTGCTTAACCAGGTTTCTGTTCTCACTCTTTATTAGACTCCTATCATACTTGCAGCATTCCATTACAGAGTCGACCGTCAAATCGTTCAAATGCTTGTTCACGAGACGCAATGACTTGAGCGTTGATTTATTGCAATAATTAGTTATTTTAGTTATCAATTCAATTGGTAGTCGTTTCATATCCTCAGAACTTGATCGTTCGTTTCCAAGGTCCAAATTGAACTTTATTTTCTGATATGCATTATGGCTATTTATTTAGATTTTACAAAATGCCGCAGTAACTCCAGCGTAGTAAGTGCATCTTCATAACTCGAATGCGTAGCTACCGGTAAATTATCACCCTTTTTCTGTGGCGTAGCATCTTGTATGAACTTCTTCAATACGTCAGCAGCGAGGTTACGCAGCGAGTTTCTAAATGGCATTCCAGCCGGATGTGGGAATAGTATTGCCGTATCAAGTATATTATGATGAATTATCCGCAGTGCGTTCAAATCATTCTCTAGACCATGTCCGACGATTATAGTATCCTTCCCTACACCGATCTGGAATAGGCAGCTTCTTATACCATCAAGATCGAACACCGCTTGATTTTCAATTTGTTGTATCGTCACTCCGGAAAATCTATAATTGTTAATTGCGTTAAATATTTCAAAGCCGTACTTACCTCGTGTTCGGATCTATCATTTTGCTTGCCGGCCGAACTATCTCGTCAAGGAGAAGCTCCCCCTCGGCTCCAACGACGGTTAAACGGGTTAAGCTCATTCCGGCTGTTGTAAAACTCATCTCGCAATCCAGTGTAACGAGTTCGAGACTACTCTTTTCGGGAGTATGTACAAATGCTGCTCTTTTGTGCAGTTCACCAGGGTCTTTCTCGACGAATACATGTGGACCAGTACAACAACCTGTGCTACCCATTTGAGTCGAACAGCAGGACATAATACGCGCCCGCCTCCCATCGACTTTGCTCGTGATTGGCCTACCATCATGGAATGTACAGTCATCTTTGAGGATATTGTCTTCAACTATGAATTTACGATTGCAACGGGCGCAATCTTTCATCTGCCCAATCGCGCTTGTCTCACTTCCACCTTCTGTCTCAGGGGTATCAACGACGTAGCCGTATTCTTGGAGTAAATTAAGTGATGGTATATATTCAGCAAGTGTCTTCCTATTTAATTGATAACTATGCGCTCGTTCGGCATCTTCTAATCGCTTTTTAAGTGTATCTTCAGTACCGATAAGTGGTGAATTAATGTCTGTAATAGGTGATCTTCTTTTTAACTTTATGAGAATGTTTGCAGTTGCTGATTTATAGGTATTCTTCTGTGCTAGTTCGTATATCTCTTCCTCTTGTTTAAATGCATCATTCATTGCTAACTTCTTATGCTCAGGTAACTTAGCGTACATTTTGATAAACTGTTCAAATAAAGCAGTTAAGCTACGCTGTCTGTCTTGTACGGGTATCCTTGAATGGCTTGCACTGGCTTGTATCCTTGGTGTACCATTCGGTAATGTTTGTGGAATTGTAACTGGTTGTTTTATAACTCTTCTCTTCGCTGGTTGTACTGGAATTGGATCACTTGTACGCTTTGTAGCTTTCTTAGCTGGCTGTGTAGTTGTAATACTCGACTTTGATGTAGACGGTTTAGTTGCTGGAGGAGACTGCAAACTCTTATGCGTAAATACACAGTGTCCAGATTTACAGCTTAATTTATTGTTGCACTCTAAATTTTGTAGCAATCCGAGGACAGGGAACATCGAGGTTAGAATTGAACGTCCATCAATGAGTTTCATAGAACTTCCTGATCAAATAAAGGATATTCCAAATGGTCAGGACATTATACACTCACCTGTTGACTTCAGTAATGTAGATAATAACACGCCAATCGTCATAGACAATGGTGAGATAGAAGTTATATGCTTTTACATCGACTGAAGACTATAGGAACAACTCAATTACGCGCTGGGTATGCTACAGAAGAACTCCCTAGCTTAGTCACTAGAAACGAAGGTTCTCGCTATAAAGAACGCAGAACGAATCGTAACATGATGGTATACGGTGACGCCTTAGAACTTGATTCAGCTAGTAAAACTCAGTCCAAGACTCCGCATGAGTCTGGAATAGTCACGTCTTGGGACACAATGGTTTGTTAGCATACACACACCAGAATATCAATTCACAATAGTACAGGAGAACGCATTAGACTGGACATTCCTTAGAATGGGTTTAAAGAGCACACCACCACCTATCGTTATCTCAGAGCCACTCTGTAATCTTCCTTATCCGCGATCCCGTGAGTTGTCTATTGTTTTTATCGCCAAATTGACAATAAGAAGAAATGTCGGAGCTGCTATTTGAGGCGTATGACACTCCGAAACTATCATATGGTGTTGACAGTCTATACTCCTTCTACAATTCGAATGGAACAGACGGTCTCGTTATAAGTGCATCATCAAACATGACTTCCGTAATACCCGTCTTAGATGGTAAAGGTATTTTCTCCACTTGCAAGCGAGTCTCCTGGGGTGGTATTCAATCCGCTGATTTGCTCTTGAAATTGATTCAACTCAAATATCCTGCATTTCCAACAAAGGTTACCCCTATGCAGTCTAATGTATGTTCCCGGTAGATAATCGAGGTATTACTTACAAATAGCATAGTTTATCTTGGAGAATTGTTGCACTTTCGCGGATGATTACAATGATTTCATTAAGGATATGGAAAATCCAGACAATCTCAAGAAGATTAATAATGTTATTCAATTCCCTTACGTTGCTCCAGTGGGCGAATGTCTTTACTCTCATTTATCTACTTACACTGTTGTAGGTTGTTGATGAGAAGTCAGCCGAAGAACTTGAGCGTCAGGCAGAGAAGAAGCGTGAAGCCGCCCGTAGACTGCAAGAACAAGCAGCGAAAACGCGCCTTGAAAAGGTACGTATTAAGTAGACACTAATTCATACATTAACAAAACCAAGCTTGCGAACAAAGAGGCAGAAATCAAATGGATGGAACAACTGAAGGAAAATAAAGCTAAAGAACAGCCTAAGGCCTATCTCCGTCGCTTACAAGATGAAGGTTTTGAAGATGAAAAGGAGTTCGAAGATCTCTACAAGCGTACTGTCAAAACGCTGCAAAAAGCAAGAGATCGTGAATTAGGTATCGAAGATACTGCTGAAAAGGTGAGACATATGATAATGTTTCATCAAAGCTGACGCAATGTATCTTTAGGAGCAACCAAGCTTTCATCTTGTTGATGTTCCAGATCAGCAACTTAATGAAGAAGACCTCAAAGAAAAGAGGAGACAAAGACTACTTAAGGCCGGTTATGACGCTCGCATGAGGATCAAAGAAGAGAAAGAAGCCGAACGTAAAAAGATTGAAGAGATAGCTAGACAAGATGAATATGAGAGGACACATCATCACGACAGGTGGCTGCAGAAGCTGAGAGATGATTACAAGGTCGGTAGCTTTCCCTCTGCTTTACAAACTTTAATTAAAATATTCAGGTCGGACTTATACGTCAAAAAGAGAAGGAAAGAATGAGATATGCTCTAGCAGACCGTAAATCAGCAGCTGCGCAAAATAGAATGAGAAACATAGCCGACCTCGCTAACGAAGGCAAGAGCAATGAACCTAAAGGACAAAAACGAGGCCGCAAAAAGCAAGGTGTCCAACAAGACGAGGATACATTTGGCGCTAAGGATTCTGACTGGAAGATATATAAGGATATCGTAAGTTGTCTCCCCTACTATATACTTGCTAACAATTATAGAAAAATGAAAATGATAGCGAAGACGAAGAAGAAGAAGCTGCGAATTTGGACGAGATGGAGGCCAAGCTTCTCGAGAATGACTCTCAATTCACGGTGGAAGATACCCGCCAGGCCCGTCGCAAAGCACAGCGCAAACTTTTAACGACGTTTTACTATGGTGGCGAAGATCCATATGAGGACGTTGGTATGCATGATGAACAACAGGAGACACCTGAACAGATACAACAATCGCACCAACTCCACCTTAATATCGAGAGGTACAGAGTCCCTGAGGTTCTCTTCCAGCCGTCAATCGCGGGTTCGGACAGAGCGGGTTTGGTCGAAATGGTCAACCACGTTCTCAAATCATTTCATGGCGAAGAAAAAAGTCGACTATTAGGTGTAAGTTACAATTTTACGCTCGTTAATGAAATCTGACAAGGTGACTCGAGAACGTGTACCTTACTGGTGGCTATGCATCTCTCCCAAACTTTGACAATAAATTACAATCGGCTCTTCGTCCGATAGTGCCAGTTGGCAGTCAATTCAATGTTACACGCGCTGTTGATCCTCGCTTTGACGCTTGGAAAGGTATGGCGCGTTGGGCACGCGAATCAGATGGTGTAACTGGTTGGGTGACTAAACAAATGTGGGAGGAAGAAGGCCCTGACAGACTAGAAGCTATTGGAGCTTATAGGCATAACTTGACATTTTAATTTATATGTAAAATTGTAGTTATATTCATTATTGACCTAGAAAAAACTTTCATGCGAGCAAATATGTGAAATATAGTGGCTTTTAATGGGTGTATGTAAGATATATACCTTCGTAAAATTGTGTTTTCAGTATATTTCTGTAATGACCATCTGAAATTGCTGATAAAATCTTGATCATTCCTCCAAACATTCGGATTGACATTACCTATGATATGAATAACCTATCAAAAGTGTACATTTGGATTTATAGAATATATCTTGTTATTGATATTTTATTAAAATACCCATACTTGCAGTACATAACTGCATTTTGTGAAAATTATCCGGACATCTCGGTACTATTGACCTATGAGAATATATAATATATAGGACATCCCCATAATCGTGCATAACAAATACATTAATTCCGCTCCGGGCTTAACGATGTCCGTAAAAATTGGCACAGCTAGTGACGTATTGTGACGATCACTTGGATACTACTGACCTTGACAACAAACACCCACAATAACAGACTTTTAAAATGTTACTTGCACGTTCAAAGATATCAACATACGTGGCATTGCCACTGACTAGGGGTATCCTTCAAGCAAATAGCTTATCAACATCTTCACAGCTATTCGCCGCTAGCAGAGCTACATCTAGCAACCCTGGCTATCCCCAGTCAAGTAAACCTACGGTAGAAGATGTAAACTACGAGAAAACCCACGCAAACAGTGATCTAGATTTATCTAAGAAAACTGGTACAGAAGGTGTTCACTTCCAGAAGACAGCTCCATTCCAAAGGATTGAACAACAAACATTAGATTGGAACAATAAACCATTAGGCGACTATTTACTCACAAGTCCAGTCTACACTAAAGAGGAACTCGACAGTGTAAAGATTCTTGAATTTGAGAAGAAAACACTAAGTGATAGGCTCGCAAATGCACTAGTAAAGCTCCTCAGAAGCAGCTTTGACATTGTGACTGGATATAAACATAGAGAGATAACACCAGACGTTAAAGACAAGCCATTACCATGGTTGATTAGTAAAGGATATGTTTTGAGTGAAAAACAATGGCTAAGAAGATTCATTTTCCTCGAATCAGTAGCTGGTGTACCAGGTTTTGTAGCCAGTATGCTCCGTCATCTCCGTAGCTTGAGACGTATGGACCGTGATGGGGGTTACATCAATATGTTACTTGCAGGTACGTCATACATTAGAGTAAGATAACGCTCACCAAAAATAGAGGCTGAAAACGAAAGGATGCACCTTATGTCATTCCTTGCTGTTGAAAAACCATCAATCTGGATGCGAGCAATGGTTTTAGGCGCTCAAGGTGTTTTCTTCAACTTGTTCTTCGTGTCGTACCTTATCAACCCAAAGATTTGTCATAGATTTACTGCAGTCTTGGAAGAGGAAGCTGTTGTCACTTACACAAGAGCAATGAAAGGTATGTATTCCTACTTTTATTTTAACTTCTGGTCTCACGCAACTCCAGAAATAAAAGCTGGCTATGTTCCTGGTTGGAAACATAAGGAGATCCCATCGATAGCACGTGGTTATTGGCAATTACCAGCTGATAGCACTATGTTGGATCTCGTTATGGTTGTCCGAGCTGATGAGAGTAACCATCGCTTCACGAACCACACACTCTCCGAATTGGATTTGAACAAGCATTTAAATCCACTTTCTCTTCAGGAGCCAGATGCCATCACTCGTGGAACGTGAGTGGATATGTAGGCCGTTCATATAAATGCTAATTACCCACACAGAAAGTTAGGCTTTACACGCGAGGAGAGTGCAGCATGGTTAGCAGAAACGTCAAGAGCAATACAAGAGAAGAAACTCGAAGGTACTTATGAGAAATCTCACCACCATTAGGTGTGATACCTAAATTTTATACAACTCACTACTCACTGTCTTAATTAAATATTTCAATTGTTTTAACAAAAATGCATAAATTAGAAACTTTCAATAAGTAATTTTAGACCATCATAACGTCTAATCTGGAGAGTTGTTGAAGGACATCACTGGAGATCCTAAATCTCAGGAGACCAACGAACATCATGAGAGTACGAGCTTTAGCGCGGAGCTGTGACATTTTCTAAAAGTAATCATTAGTAAGCTTATAAAATAATTCAACTAATATTCTCACGTTTTGTCTCGAGCTATCACCAAATGGAGATTCTTTTAAGTTTGCATGTATCTTGAAGAGTATGTTCATAGTGATGAGTAAAACATCGGAGAGATTACGTGAAATACTTTCATCCAAATCTTTAAACTCTTCACTTTTTCTCGTAATACTAATAACATCTCCGTTGAGAGGGATAAGTTTGACATCTTCAATTGTGCTAAGTGCAGCGTCTAATTGTGATTGTTCATAAAGTGTGAGTGCCTCTTTCAATCTAAGGAGAACGCCAACAGTTTCTCTGTTCTTCTGGCTAACGCGATGTGCGATTCTTGCGTCACGCTTATAATGATCGAGTATACCACGTGCGAGATCGAAAATATCATCATTTTGTGGAGCAGGATTAACAGACAATGATGCACCCAATTCCCGACAGAGAACGGTGACAACAACGTCATATTCTTCTGCAAGATTGTATAATAAAATTGCATCCTTTGTACGCTTCTCGAGTTCAGCTCGAGAGGCTGCAGATTTGACAATATTGAGAAGGTAATCACGCTCATCATCGAGCTTAATAAGTTTCAAATCGCGTTCAATCAAACCTTGAGTTTTAGTGCCATCTGGTTTGACTTCACCGAGTAAGTGTGCGTACGATCTGGTTTCGAGTACAAGGTCCTTGATATAGGCATGACACAGTGCGATTTGTTGTCTTGAGATAGGTTGTGGTGCGTCACTGTTAAGACAAATCAAGTAGAGATATTGAAGCGCTTCTTGTGGATCAGAACGTGCGAATATACGTGTGTATCTATGTATTATCCTTGCGAAATCTAGTGCTGGTTGTCCATTTGCGTCTGATGTGACTATTAATAATGTTAGCAAGTCTAGATAAATAATTCTAAACGAAACCTACGTAGCTCAATTTCAGAGGTATGTGATTTCTCCGGCGCCCTGAGTAAGCCATAGTAAGACAAGGCAACTGCGAATTGCACAGCGTCTACTTGGTATTGCAGATTATTGTAGAGATACCCAACAGCTCTCTCGAATTGACCGCAAAGGAGCAAAACGGTGAAGTATTTGATAGGATTGTTTCCTTTTGGATCGAAATGTTTTTCACCGAATTTGAGCAATAAACCAGCCAATTCTCTCAAACCGAATGACTCAGAAGGCGTATCTTCACCTGGTGAGCTTTCTCTAACAAGTGAGAGTTGTAACCATAACCAGTCTTCAGTTGTATTAGTAACTGATGGAAGATTACGTCTTGAAAGTTCCGCTCTACCAACAAGCTTGTAAAGAGCGTGCTTATATGGATCGATAGATCCACTCTCAGCCGCAAATCTAATTCTTGTGTTGTAAGTTGACATGAATCTGTCCCTGAGTTGCTTTGGAAGGCGTTGATCTGGAGAATCTAACCATGCCTTGAAATACGGAACAAACTCTCTTTCAGTTTTACCCAAAGCTTCCTCACTTTCAGTAGCTAATTCAAGGGCTTCTTGAGCATGTCCAGTGCGAAGAAGGGTGAAGAGCATAGCCCAGATTGGTTGACCCGAGATGATCTAAATAGTTTGTCAGTCAGTTAAAAGTGAAGATTTAAATAAGATATACCTCAATCTTTGGATCTGACCAGCCACCATTTTTGCGGTATTTCACGTTCAAGAAACCTCTAACCTTGTTTTGAATGAGAGGTACACCACCAACTTGAGCTTGTGATGGATTTTGTACGATAATCTTTTCGATATATTTCAAGAATTGATGTTCTAAGAAACGCTTTGAGCCGTTTGTCCACATTGTACGCAAATTTCTGGCTGATTCGCTTTCGACGCTCTCGAAAAGATAAGCATGAGCGTATTCACGTTCACTAAGGGCTGCCCTTTGAAACTCTCCATTAACAACACTCTTCTCTCTTAGGCTGGATGCTAAAAGGTTCCAACAATCGTGTACTTGATTCGAGCGGGAGTCTGTGGTTGACAATGATTTTGCTACGTTAGCGAATTCTGAGATTAAACCGTAATTGTAGCCTTGTAAACGATATTCGTTGAGTTTCTTTACGACGTTTACGTAGCTGTTCATCCGGGTATTCATAGCGAGGCTAGTTGAAGGGATTGATGCGTGAACGGAAGCTGAAAGAGAAGACTCTGGAAGGTAATCCATAGTAGGGGCTATACCTGTAGCGTGTTGGCCTAGCTCTTCAAAAATAGCAGCCTTGCGCTTATCCCAGGAAGTTTGCATGTTTGTAGCCAAATTATCATGGAAGTCGTTGAGGGTATCTCTCCTGCCCTCTTCTATGGCTGAAATGATAGTCTGCTCGTAGTCGTGCCTAAGATAGCCCTGGACGTCGTTGTCATGCAAAGGCTGGAGGGGTTCAAAAGTGCTGTTGAGGTTGCTATTGACGTTGAATATCTTTGAAGACAAGTCACTAGCATTCAATCCGCCTGAAGCGAGCAAGTAGTGTGCTCGTGAGTCGATATCACCGCGTTGCTTGTGTACTAGTTTCTTTGACTGATTCTCAATTTGGTCTAAACCGAGGTGTATTTGTGGTAAATCAGGTTTTGATAAGTGCGTTGTAAGCGTCCTAGACTGGGCTAATAAATCAGCTAAACTCATTTTGCAACTATCTTGGACGTGAGCGCTGAAGACAATCTTGAGGAGATACGTCCATCATAGAGAAAGTAAATAAAAAATATTCGCTTTAATTAAATCTAACAGTATATAGTTACCATGGGAAACCCACATTACGATTTTTTAATGTGAGTACAGCACATAGATACTAGCGAGATCTCAGCTCATTTATTTAGTAAACGTAAGCTATAGTTGTCTAGATATTATAATAGAACGATTAACAAACCACTAGTTCTACTTATCGGTGACTCCGGCGTCGGAAAGTCTTGCTTGTTACTGCGTTTCTGTGACGATGCCTGGACACCATCATTTATCACTACAATCGGAATCGACTTCAAAATTCGTACTATCGAACTCGATGGCAAGAGAATAAAGCTACAAATCGTGAGTATTTACTCCTATCTACTTGTCTATCTAACCTCTTACTCCTCAGTGGGATACCGTTAGTATATCCTTCACTTCACAGAAAACATCTAACTACTCCAGGCTGGTCAAGAAAGATTCAGAACAATCACTACCGCTTACTACAGAGGCGCGATGGGTATTCTCTTAGTCTACGACGTCACGGATGAGCGCAGTTTCAACAATATCAGAACATGGCACTCAAACGTCGTTCAATACGCTTCTGAAGGCGTAAACAAAATCTTAGTCGGTAACAAATGCGACTGGGATGAAAAGCGTGCTATTACTCAGGACCAAGGAAAGGAATTAGCAGATAGCTTAGAAATCAAGTTCATTGAAACCTCCGCTAAGAACAACGTAGGCGTTGAAGACGCTTTCTTCACTTTGGCCCGCGATATCAAGTCTAGATTAATCGACTCTCAATCCTCAGGTTCAAACAACCAATCAAACAGCGTAAAAGTTGACGCTAGTCAACAACAACCTAGCACCTCTGGTGGATGTTGCTAACGAATTGCAGTCTAATGACTAATGTTTTCTTTGCATTCTTTTCTTTAATTAGTTAATCATATATAAACATATTTTTACAAGTCACAATCTTTGCTCTTTCTTTTATATTATTTAAGGTCCATGAGGCTGTTGCCCATATGGATCACCATAGCTTTGGTACATCTGTTGTTGCTGTTGTTGCTCAAATGCTGCTTGTTGTTGCTGTTGTTGATCATATGCTTGTTGCTGATAATACATTGGATCAGCGATGAAAGCGTTCGGATCAACAGCTCCATATGATGGTTGTTGATACATAGGAGCCGCTTGCATAGCTGGTTGTGGCATTTGTTGATGTATCTGAGGCTGCTGCTGCATTTGAGGAATATTTACCATCTGATTTTGTGGTTGAGGGGGCTGAGGTACCTGATGTTGGACCATAGGCTGTGCTACTGCCTGAAGGGCTGCCGGGCCTAATATCTGATCTGGTTGAGGTGGACCTGTTGCCTCAGCTGGTAGTTCTGAACCTGCAACACCCGTGCCAAGGACCTTTTCATTCCATGCTTGATCCATGCCTGCTTGGATAGCATCTGCATCTTCAACGACCCAAGACCCTGGTTCGTTGTATGTTCTAGCGTTTGCAAACATCCTATACGTCCGTTAGTATAATCGTTAAGGTGCTGCTATGTTACTTACAAATGGAAATCACTGAGACATTCTCTAGCGTTTTGATACGTCTTGCGTTCAATTTTACGCTTGATATTGTTCAATGCCATTGGTTGCTTGATCAAGAGAGCATAATCAGGGTAAAGCTAATAATTTGTCAGTGGATCTCACGTAACAGATAAATCCTCACCTTCTTTGAAGGAACTTCTCTGAAGAGGTCAGCTCTCAATCTACCATCTTCGTCTGTCAATGTCCATACAACATCAAAGAAAGGTGTGAGAACACTCTTAAGTCTCTCCTTAGCCTCTGGATCGAGACCAGGTTTCTTCTTTTTGTTTGCTGGTTCGTCATTGTAATCGATCGTAGGTGTTTCGACGGCCGGATTACGTTTGCGCTTACCGCCAGGAACGGGTGTTCCAACTTTAGATGGTCTACCACTGCGCTTCTTTGATCCATCCACATCTGGTGAGTCTATTTCTTCTTCTTCGGTTAAACCCTTCGCGGCTCTTTCACGTTTAAGTCTAGATTGTTCCTCAATAGTCGTTTCATCGTTCTCAAGTGCATTAACCCATTGTTCTTCGGTGAGACCATCGTCGTAAACGACGCCAGCACGTGCTCTTCTACCACCCTCGAGAGCTTCTTGATCAGCTTCAATGATAGGGTTCCATTCGTAAGTAGATCTGTAAATCTCTGGCAATTCCTGATCTGTAATAAGTCTACCTGGGTTAGGTCCCACAAGTCCTTTAGCTTGCCAGAATAAAGCGTCTTGTTGGGCTCTTTCTTTATCCATTTGGTTAAATACATCAATTTCACCTTCACCACGAGCGAGCAATTCATTGATTTCATCATCATTCATATCACCCGCTTCTTCTTCTTCTTCAGCTTCTTGTTCAAGGATAGATCTAAGGAAATCTTCACGTTCTTCTGCAGTCGATTTATTGTCGAATTTACCAGCTTGAATGACCTTTCCATCAATTTCAAGCTTGTACTGAGCACGTGCGAGAATCTGTTCTTCAACAGAGCGTTCCGTGATCAATCGCAGAATTCTAACCTCCTTCTTTTGACCAATTCTATGTGCACGATCTTGAGCTTGTAAATCAGCGTGTGGGTTCCAATCAGAATCGAAAATAATAACAGTATCAGCTGATTGCAAGTTAAGACCCAAACCACCGGCTCTAGTTGATAATAAGAAGACAAAGTAATCAGAATCTAAATCATTGAATTTGTTCAACAAACTTGAGCGTTCTTCTGTCTTTGTTGAACCATCAAGTCGAAGATGTTTGAGACCTTTCCAAGCGAGGTAATCCTCCATAATCGTCATAATTGCTGTCATTTGGAAGAAAATAAGTACTCTGTGACCAGTTGCTTTGAGTTTTGGAAGAATACGGTCTAGTAATTCGAACTTTCCTGCAACCCTGTAAAGCTTGTCATCGGAAATACTGGCAGGGTTTACTGCACTCTCGATTGCATCGAATACGAATGGGTGGTTAACAATTTTACGCAATTGCATAATTGTATTTTGTAAACCCTTAATACCAGACTTGTTATTACCACCAACAGCGCCATTCTTATCACTCTGAGAAATTGAAGCCATTTGGCCGAACTTTTTCATTTGGTTGTAAAGTGAAATTTGTAGAGGACTCATTCTACATTTAACAACCTTCTCAACCTTATCTGGAAGATCCTTTTCAACATCCTTTTTAAGACGACGGAGAAGGAAAGGACGCAAAACCTTGTGTAGACGTTTGATCTGTAGAATGTTATTCAATAAAAACATAAGAGCAGGTAACTTTACTTACGACAAGTAAACTTTCTTCTTCATTAAGATCCATTTTCTCATTAGAACCAGTATTTGCAAACGGTGTGTTGAACCATTCATCGAACGATTTCACACTGTTGAAAATTTTTGGAAGAACGAAGTTAAGTAAAGCCCATAACTCTGGTAAGTTGTTTTGGAGTGGTGTACCTGTTAGAATCAAACGGTAACGCGTCTTGTAGAACTGCTGTAAAGTCTGTGAAAGCTTGGATTCAGTATTCTTGAGACGGTGACCTTCATCCATAATCATGAATACCCAGTTATATTTACTGAGAACTGGACGATCCTTAATGACATATTCGAATGTTGTCAAGAGAACCTGGAAACCTTGTCTCATACGCTGTTGCGTTGCTTTTCTTTGCTGTGGAGGACCCTTATAGACTGCTACAGATACTGATGGTGCCCATTTCTCAAATTCCATAGCCCAATTAGTGAGTGTAGAAAGCGGAACGATGATTAAGTAAGGTCCATTTTGTCTCTTACGTTCAATCAAGAATGTAACAAGAGAGATAGTTTGAATAGTCTTACCAAGACCCATTTCGTCTGCTAAAATACCATTTAAGCGGTTATTGTAAAGTGAAATCATCCATTGAAGACCCTTCAATTGATACTCCTTAAGTTGACCACCAATGAGAATACTTGGTTGAGTAGTAACCTTCTCGCTAACGCGATGAGCGACGGCGTAGTAATCAACACTAACCTTTCCTTGATCTTCAGCTTCATCATCTTGGCGTCTACCACCGAATGTAGCCTCGGTAGCAGGTGCCTCTTCGACTTCAAAGTTGAAGTTATCTTCCATTCCGACTTCGTTTTGTTGAGCAAGGACATTCTGAGTGAGCGAATCAAGATAAGCATCTGTTTGAGACAGAAGGTGGGTAATTCTTGTATCTTTCGCAGTATCAATGAGTTTCAAGTAAGCCTCCTCGTCGTCATTTCTAAGAGCGGCAAGACGCTCCTTGGAGACCCTCTCGACACGTTTTTGTTCTTCTTTTTCAACGTCGCCATGAAGCTTGAGTACAGCTCTACCCATCTTTTGTGCTTTAGCCACTGCATCGCGATTGGCTTGACGAAGGTTGTTAGCGTGGTTGTGAATAGACAGTATATAATCAAGGTGCTTTTGGCGACTTTTTCTGTCACGCTCGCTGCGTTGCTTCCGTTCAAATTGTTCAGTAGCTCTTGCGTCTCTAAGTGATTGCTTCTTGAATCTTCTAAATGCAGCACGATCAGTTGTAAGTAACGTAGCATGTGATTGTGCGCTGATTACATCCTGGCGAAGTGCGCGTTGCTTCTCTACAAGCTTGAGTGCTTTCAACTCAATAAGGGCCTTCATTTTGTCTGAAGAGCTGACATCTGTGAGTGAAGGACTCTCAGGCTTTTGATCAATATCCTGAGGAGCCTTACTATCAAGAATATCATTGCCGGTGATGTGAGCTGGCTGGTCAGAAGTCGTTGATGTCATGTCTTCCAATTCTTGAATACGCCAATACATACGTCTATTCTGAAAATGATTGCGCTCTTCAATAAGCTGGTATGGGTCGATACCTTGTGGCATCACAGATGGGATTATTATACGCTGATTTTTTGTGCTATTGTTAGATGAATTTGGACCAGCCTCAAGGTATACGAGTGGACTAATGTATGACTGATACTCATGTGGCTTCTGAGGAGTTTCCTCCTTAACCTTGTTAATCTCAACTGCAGCGCCGATAGTTTTGTCGCGTATCGTATCTTCTGGGGGTGGTGCTACTGGATACTGAGCTGGTTCAAATGCTTCCCTTTGTATGTGCTCTGGTGTCGGCATGTTCTGGCTGGCGAATTGATAAGTAGCCATTTGAGCCTTCAGAGCGTTAATTTGCACGGGAGTGAGAGATTGCGGAGCTTGTTGAGGTGCACCTGTGAGAATGTCAATCGTAATATAAATTGAAGAGTATACAAACCTTGCTGCTGCTGCTGCTGTTGAAGCTGTTGTTGACGCATTTGCTGGAACTGACCGAACATCCTCAAAAATCCTGCCATCTGGGCGAATTCTGTAGATGTACGCTCATTTTGACCTTGTGAACGGAGAATGTTTAATCTCTACCGTTTGATTAGTGATTGCTCTAGATCAGAGATCTCTACTAACCTGGACCATGGCCTGTATACGCTCACGGTTCATAGACTGTGGTAGCGTCTGTGGTACCTGCTGTGGCGGCCGGTTAAATTGATTGAAATCCATTACGCGACAATCTTTATCTTCCGCGTCTCAAGCGTTCTTGGATGTTAGAGATCAACCTCTAATTGGCTGAGAGTAAATTCAAAAATCTAAAATTATTTATTTATTATTATTTTGTTAGAATAACAATAATTTTTCTTATATATATCTCCTTCTTTTCTGGCTTTATCTCTATCATTCAGAAAGATGAGAGCGAACTCAGTACTGAGAGGGGCATACAAGAATATTATAGTGGATAACCCTATAAAGAGCGTACAATTGGTCACTCTAGACCGTCCAAAAGCTCTCAACGCACTCAATAATGAACTCATGGCTGAGTTTAACGATATCCTCAATAAAGCACAATCCGACGGTGAGATTACATCTGTCGTATTAACAGGCTCAGACAAAGCATTTGCAGGTATGTGTCGCTCATATTAGCCGCTGTATTTTCTCATCTCCATTAGCCGGTGCTGACATCAAAGAGATGAAGGATATTTCCTTTGTAGAAGCTTACAAGAGGGATTTCCTCAGCTCCTGGAATCTAATACGCGATTTCAGAAAGCCTATCATTGGTGCAGTCTCCGGATACGCAGTGAGTAGATAGATAATGTGCTACGTAATGTGTCTAACATATATAGCTCGGTGGTGGTTTCGAAATCGCTATGGCTACAGACATCCTTCTCGCTTCAGAATCTGCAAAATTCGGTCAACCGGAAATTAATCTGGGTATTATTCCCGGTGGAGGCGGCACTCAACGACTTATCAGAGCTGTTGGTAAGGCAAAAGCGATGGAAATGATCCTCACAGGACGCATGATAAAAGCACAAGAAGCTTATGATAGAGGTCTCATCAGTCAGGTACTGCCAAACGATCAACTCTTACCCGCTGCATTGAAAATTGCTGAAGAAATTGCTACCAAGTCTTCTATCAGCGTTCAAGCAGCTAAAGAGAGTATCAACGCGGGTGAGTATGCCGTTGTCAATTGCTTAACCTCTGATGCGAAAGTTAGCGTATGAAATGCCTCTAAGCGAGGGTCTTAGGTTTGAGAGACGATTATTCCATCAGCTTTTTGCCACTAACGATCAGAAAGAAGGTGAGTAAATGTCTGACAGTTGTCCTCCTGACCAAAATAGGAATGTCTGCCTTCATCGAGAAACGCAAGCCATCTTTCACCAACGAGTAAGAAACACCAGCACAAGATGAAAGTTTACGTTACGACCACTATATGAATCAGAATGTAAGATGACAATGTAGATTGATGATGTAATGATGTCCGATATCGGCTGTATGTACGTCGACAGTTAAATAGTGCCAAAGCGTCTCTCCTCTTTTCTTTTCATCATCGCCAATCAATCGAGATAGACGTAAGAGCCTGTCTGAATCGTCTATTAACTTGCTAACATTGCAGTAAAGCCAGAGGGCCGAACAATTGAATACACCGATAATTTGCCAATAATCACTTGAAGAGCAGCAGTTAAGAAATCATGACAATAAAATTCGAACTCTGGAGCTACCCACAGGGTCCTAACCCATTCAAAATACTTAATTTCCTGGAAGAACTTGGTTTCGCGTACAGAGGTGACTATATCATCCACAATCTTGACTTTTCACAGCACCCACTGAAGGGTGTAAAGGGTGAATTCTTCGAACGTGTCAATCCTAATGGAAGGGTGCCTGCCTTGGTCGATCATATGAACGACCACTTCATTATCTGGGAGAGTGGTGCGATCCTACAATACTTGGCCAGAAGATATGCTCCAGATCAATATTTGGGTAAGAACTTGAACGAGCAGATGACTACAGTCCAGTGGGTTGATTTCCAGATATCTGGACAGGGACCATTCCAGGGCCAGGTTGTTTACTTCAAACACTTCTGGAAGAACGCAACGGGAGAGGATGCACCACCTTCTGTTATCAGGAGATATGAAAATGAGTGCTACCGCGTCTTTGCTGTGCTTGAAAAACAATTAATTCGTCAAAAAGAGAAAGGAAACAACTTCATTGTCCACGACAGGTATACTATTGCAGATATTTCGTTCCACGGATGGCTCAGATCAATTGCAAAAGCTGAATTATCCTTCAAAGACTACCCACACGTCGCCGACTGGGTCAACCGTATGGAAAAGCGACCATCCACTCAACGAGCAGCAATTTCGCTCGTTGCAGAATAAACATTTTTGTAAAGAGTAAAGTTAAGAATGATTTGATGCTAGTAAGCTAATTTTAGTTACTATCTGCCAGCATATACAACATAGCTGATATTAAATGCTTGTCCTTTCCAAAGTGTATATAACTACGAATAACGAATTAATTCCGCTTTTATGGAGTAACATTGATCGATATCCGCCCATTTTTTCCTTATCTTCCACCGTCATCGAAGTGTGAGTCAATGAAATGTATTTTATTAAATGCGAATAATTTAACACATGAAAGGCATGCAGGACACTCTGCAAACGTTGCTATTGCTCCCTATAGCAGTACCTATCCTCTATAGAGCCACTCGGCGACCCGCCGTCGCTTTGGAGGATAATCTAGCATCCCTGGCCAACAGCAAGCCAGAGAATGCATTCGATATACGCTCCACTTACTATCGCATCGAGAACGACATGATCCTTGATCATTATCACAAAGTTCACCCAAAAAGTGGGTACAGAAACTACAACAGGGTATTCTCGATTTTAGAGTTTTCAATCGCTTTGGCCGCATTGGTCACAATTACTACAACTCGTCCGCAAACGCTTGCGTTACTACCGTCTTATGCTTACTGGGTCTACCTCGGTTACATTGCCTTAGAGAGCAGTTACACCACAGACTTCAACTTTGAAAGGATCATTTTGGGTACATTGTATTTATTTATGGTCTCTATCATCAGTATAGCCAATTCCATTATCCCAAGCACGCTTAATGAACAATTACTAATTGCATTCGCCCTTGCATATATCATTCCATCACTTTTCGTACCTTACCAAACAGACAACATCGCAACAAAACCTCTGGGTGGTCCTGATTCACCAGCTGCACTTGACGAACCAAAGAGCATCTTCGAGAGAGCTGCGTTCCTCTATGTTGATCCCTACATATTCAAACATTTCCGTATTCCGGTCAATAACCAATCACAAATTCCTTCATTGCGCTCTGACAATCTTACTAGCTATATTCTTTTGAAATTTAGATCACTTTCAAGCTCTCCACCAACTGTCACCACATTAATTCCACGATTATTCAAATGTTTCAAGGCTGACTTGACTTACATGTTCTTGATGTCAACGTTTAAGTCGATATTTACACTCTCAGCTCCCTTTTGTCTTCAACGCATCTTGAAACATATCAGCAGTCGTGGCGATGGCACCACTGATAAGGAGGCTTTCATTTTCGCGTTTCTACTGTTTGCCGGTCAAATTGCGGCATCTCTCTTCAATCAGCAAGCTCTTCTCGTCGGACGCAAGCTTTGTATTAACCTACGCTCAACATTGATTTCCGAAGTTTTCCTCAAATCACTCAGGAGGAAGTTCACCCAAGGCGGAACTAAAGAGCATAGTGAGGGTCAAAATGGTGAAGAAACAGAAAGTAAGGAAAGTTCAGATACCTCTTCAAATGAGGGAAGGATTATTAACTTGGTATCTGTTGATGCATTCAAGGTGGGTTGTATTACCTCCGAAGTTTCCTTTTAACGCTTCTCAGACATCTGAAATTAGTGCTTACTTGCATTTCCTCTTCCCAGAGTGTCCTTTGACAATCGTGCTTGCTATCGTTGGACTTTATGCTCTGCTTGGAAAATCAGCGCTTGTCGGTATTTCAGTTCTTTTACTCACGTTCCCAATTACATACTTCATTAACCGTATCTTCATCAAGATCCAGCAAGAACTTTTGGAGAAGATTGACGCAAGGTTGGATCTTGCGACAGAGGTACTCTCCAACATACATCTTGTTAAGCTCAATGCCTGGGAAGATCGACTCATTGAGAAAATGAACATCACCAGAGCAAAAGAACTCAGTGTCTTGAAAAAGCGTTTCGCTGCTTGGATCTTCAACGGTATTTTCATGTGGGGAACTCCAATTGGGGTCACTGTGTTGACTTTCATGGCACACACCAAAATTTTTGGTCAAGTTCTGACATCCCAGGAAGCATTTACTGCACTTCTCCTCTTCAGCATTCTGAGATCACCACTTGAGGCGCTACCTGAAGTTGTTGTTCACGTTTTGCAAGCCAAGATTTCTTGCGATCGTATCGCCGAATTTCTTAACAACGAAGTTGATACATCCAAGTACCAGCAACTCAGTGGTCCAAAGGAAATTGGTGATCCAACAATCGGTTTCAAGAATGCTACACTTGTCTATGAAGGCGATGGAAATATAGGATTCGCCCTACGCAAGCTTAACCTTGATTTCCCTGTCGGGAAGTTCAGTGTTATTGCCGGACCCGTTGGTAGTGGAAAGACGTCTCTCTTGGACTCTCTTCTTGGTGAACTTTCATTGGTGGATGGTAGAGTGTTTATGCCATGCACTATGAATGCGGAAACAATCATCCCAGATGAGCACACAGGGCTTAAGGATACCATTGCATATGCACCTCAGAATCCATTCTTGTTGAGCAGCACCATCAAGGAGAATATTCTCTTTGGATCTCCATTCAATAAGAAACGTTATGAGGAAGTCCTTAAAGCATGTGCTCTTCTTCCTGACTTGGCGTTATTCGACGATGGTGACGAAACTGAAGTCGGTGAGAAGGGTACTTCATGCTCAGGTGGTCAAAAAGCCAGAATATCGTTGGCTAGAGCTATCTACTCCCCAGCCAAGCATCTTCTTCTCGATGATGTGCTTTCAGCTGTGGATGCTAATACAGGACAGAACCTTATCAAAAACGCCCTCCTTGGTCCCCTCATGCGTAATCGCACGGTTATTCTAGTTACTCATCACGTTGCCATGTGTGCTGCGAAAGTAAGTACTTCGAAACTCGTGAAGGCACGCCTAACCTAATTTAGGCATCTTACGTCGTATTTTTACGTGATGGTCTGGTGGATGGTGCTGGTACAGCCGATGAACTACGTAAACAAGGACTTTTGGACGTGACACACGCTGATATTGAGGATGTTCCACCTGAAGAAAAGAAGGAACCTGAGTTGCACGACAAGAGATTGGAAACTGTCCAGGATGGACATCATCTCATCTCGAACAACATCTTGGTTGAAGGTTATGCAACACCGGTTAGCGACAAAAGAAAAAGTACAGTATCTATTAATGCGGAAATACCAGTATCAGACACAACAACCCCAAAGAAGACACTCATTGAAGAGGAAAAGAAGAGCGAAGGAGCTGTCAGTATGGAAGTGTACAAACTTTACGCAGTTTCTCTCGGTGGTACAATGTTCTGGTTAGTAATGTTCTTCACATTTATTGGAGCGCAATCATCTGAAGTTGGTGCATCATATTCTCTCCGTTTATGGACTAGCGCATACGATGACGCATCAACATCATTCAATTACATAGTCACTCGCACTGCAATGCTCTTCGTACCTGAAGGAGACTTCACTACTGCAACATTGACTGACAAACATGATTCAACAAACTATTACTTGGCTATATATGTTTTAGCATCAGCTGGATATATTATGCTCTCATCCCTCTGTATGTTCGTAATGTTCAACGCATCTGTCAACGCTTCTAGGAAGTTATACAACAGGATGTTAACTCGTGTGATGAAAACACGTAGCAGATTCTTCGATAGTACACCAACTGGTAGAATCATGAACCGTTTATCTAAGGATATTGAAGTTGTTGACCAGGAAACTGCACCAGTCGTTCTATGGTTCTTGCATTCATTGGTTTTGGCTCTCTTCATTCTGTTAGTCATCGTATTCGCCGCTCCAGCGTTCGTATTTGGTGCAATCTTCGTCGCGATCATTTATTACATTATCGGTACTCTTTACCTCCAGACATCTAGAGATGTCAAGCGTGTAGAAAGTTTGACAAGGTCACCAATTTTCTCAACATTTTTCGAGTGTCTCAATGGTGTCGTCAGTATTAGAGCATATTCAGCGACGAACATATTCCAAAATCGCGTTTTCCAACTCATTGACGAAAACAACGCTGGATTTTTGATGTTATGGATAACTAACCGTTGGTTATCCTTGCGTATAGATGTTGCTGCAGCGTTTATCAGTTTGACTACAGCAATTTTCTTGCTCTTGGATAAAAACATTTCGCCTTCGATGGCTGGTTTCGCATTGTCTTATGCTATCACCTTCAACGAGGCTGCTCTTTGGGTTGTCAGATTGAGTGCACAAACGGAAATCAACCTGAACTCTGTCGAACGTATTGGAGAGTATTTGGATCTAGAGCAAGAGCAGAAAGATGATGAGGGTGATATGCCCGGTCCAGAATGGCCAAGTGAGCATTCATACATGTGAGGTGTTTTTAACGATCTGATGGTTTACTTACAATGTTTTAGTGATATTCGATCATTGTGTGTCAGATACTCTCCTGAGCTTAGAAGAGTACTCGATGATGTTTCATTTGTTGTCAAGCCTGGCGAGAAGGTTGGTATTTGTGGACGTACTGGATCAGGGTGAGCTGAGACTTGCATATAATAATTTTCTAATCCCAATTACAGTAAATCTACATTAGTTCTCTGCTTGAACCGTATATTAGAATTGGAAAGTGGCTTAATCTCAATAGATGGTAACGACATTTCTGAATTGAAACTCGAGGCTATAAGAAACCGTATTACAACAATTCCTCAAGAAGCACAATTATTCGCTGGTACAGTTCGTGAGAATCTCGATCCGTTTGATGAATTCAATGACGATGAGATCTGGGAAATACTTAAACGTGTAAAATTAGCCTCATCCCTCGATGCGTCGATGACATCTTTACCAGACTCATCAAACGTCGACAGAACAGCTATAAAATCATTAGGCGAGAAGGTATCTCAAAATGGAAAGAACTTTAGTGCAGGTCAACGTCAATTACTTGCACTCGCTAGAGGTCTTCTCAAACTCTCTCATGCCAAATCTAATATACTCCTCTTAGATGAGTCAACGGCTAATTTAGATTCACATTCTGATGAAGTTATTCAAAAAGCACTTCGTTATGATATGGATAACGTAACCATTTTATGTGTTGCCCATAGATTACGTACAATTGCAGACTATGACAAAATTCTAGTTTTAGATGCCGGACGCGTCGTTGAATTTGATTCTCCTGCTAATCTTTATAGAAAGAATGCCAACTTTACTGCACTCTGTAAACAATCTGGTGAGGATGCAGAACTGGCGAAGATCATATTCGGTAAAGAGAAATAATTTATATGTAAAAAAGACAAAAGGGTTTAAAATGTATTTCATTGCATTATTAAAGTTAAGGTATTGAAGATTAGTCGAGTGGCTTGTATGTATTCTGGAAGATATCTGTGAAAAGTGTGCGACCTTTGAAAGACCCTGCCCATGCACCGAATGAGAGACAACCGAGTCTAATAGCACCACCTTTCATACCAACAGCTACTGCCATGATAGTTGGACCAGTTGAATACTTCTTAGAAGCTTCCTTGCCAGTAGAAAGACTGAGAATGTTGGTAGCAATGTAACTAGAGTGACGCTTAGCATTGACGAACGTTTTGAGTTCGTCCACGTCAACTATATCACCCATAGCGAAGACTCTGCCAAGTTTAGGAGAATCAACAAGGAGCTTATCATTAACTTTAACCAAACCCTTATCAGAAATGAGAGACTCTTCGAATGCTTGAACAAGTGACACATTTGGCTTAGTTCCCATCGCGTTGAATATATAGTCAGCTTGGAGTTCTTTTCCAGATGTAGTTTTGATAGTTCTCTCGTCGCCATAACCGAAATTGATTTCTTTGATATTATCAACACGTTCGTTCAATACAATATTAGCACCAAGCTTGGTCAACTGCTTATGTAATTCGTTGTGAAGACCTACTTCTTTACCACAAAGATCACCTTGTGAATGTACGAGTGTAACTTCCTTATCTGTGTACCTTTCGCATAACTCGCCAGCCATTTCTACACCGAGTGGGCCACCACCGACGATTACAACTTTTTGCGCTTTCTTAAATTCATCTTGCATAGTCTTAAGGTGATCTTTAATTTCCATTGATTGTGTATCAGGACGACAAGGGAAAGCGTAGTTTGAGCCAGTTGCCAACAAGAGAATGTCATATGGTATATTATCACCCAATTTAGTTGTTTTGTCCACTTTAACCGATTTATCATCAAAGTTGATTGCTTTCGTGCCCTTAATGAGGACATGTCTCGATTTCTCGCCAAAAACCTTATCGAGGGAAGCGACAACTTGATTTTCCCAGGATGGTGCAACGCCCGCTCTTAAAGCTGCCTAAAGGGATTTTAATTGTTGCAGAGCTTATCAAAGAATGTACTGACAGGTGGGAAGAACGCATATTCGTTAGCTTCAATGAGTACAATCCTGTGCGTTTGCGGTAATTTTTTATGAATACTCTGAATAACGCTCATTGAGCTGTTTGCTCCTACAATTACTACGTTTTTCAATTCTTCTGGCATGATACTACTCGCCGTCGCGGTCTAAGAAGGTGGAATGTCCGAAGAGATAATCAATCGGAAAAACGAGAGGCACATTCCTATCTCAAGGAAACCACAAAATATATCACAATAATTATAGTATAATTTAAAATATTCTTTTTTTTTATAGTAATCATTATTATCCTTACTACTTGTAACACTAATGGAATACATAATGCACCAAACATAATACACAAATTGAATTACAAAATGAAATATCCTTAAATTTAACTGTACAATTTATGTTATTTTCTGTAAATTAGAGTATATTTCGTTAAATTGACTTAATTGAAAATTAAAACATGTTAAAATAATACATCAGATTCCAGTTTTGTTCAGCATCTGCTTTATGATAGAAAGATTCACACTACGTTCAATCTCATATGGCTTAATGACACCGATCAAACAGCTGCTCTTCAGTAAAATGGCCTAGGCAAACATATCCTCCTTGAAGTTCATAATCTTGTTTCGGTTCTTCCCAGGGAACACCGCCACAAATTTCATATATCTCTTTATGAAGCTTATTGGCTGCTTCTTACCAGTCATCTGTTGGAACCGGTGTTTGATTTGTGTTCTTTCCTGAAGCATATACCACTTGATGCTCTTCTGAGATCTATCTGTAGAGTAGCCTAAAGCTTCGATACTGCCTCACTTAATCTTATTAATTGCATCAGCGCGGTCTCCTCTAAGCTCTTTCATGGACTTCCATAGTGCTATTTAAGGACTGCACAAGGATTCCATCACTAATAAACTTAACAATTTCATGGAAAGCTGAATATGTAAACCTGTGTATTGATCTTCATATTTATGTGAAGTAACCTTTTTTGTGTGTGTGTGGTGTGTGTAAAAACCTAAACAATGAACATAATGTTTAACCTTCATCTTAAGCTTCATAAAGGACGTAAGTTATTCTTACATAAATATTAATTGTTTATTTATGTATTTGTGTCTCTAGCACAACAATGTTTCCCTTTCTATACTACTGCCGCACCTGACAAGTAATTGTCGGTATAGATTTTGCCTGTGTATTTCCAGTATTTCGTTGCTTTAAGTTCTATTCAGAACATGTCTCAGTCGATTTACCCAGAAATACAGAGGTTTTAGTGTTTCGTGTGCACATTACATGCTTTCAAACCGGTCAAAAAGTATTGAAAAATTCCATAAATTCTAATCAAGGGAGATATTATAGTAATAAGTTTGAGGCATGTTATCCAGACGATCTATAAGATCAAGGTTTTGCTAAGGAATTATAAATGATTAATTGTTTATCAATATTTCTCATGATGAGAATTCGAATGACTCCCTAATTAACTGAAAATTTCTGGTATGGTGGCGTAAAATGTCATGATAATCCATGCTCCCTCATTTACTCACAGTAAGCAAAATAATCATCGAAAACTCGTGCGTGCGTAGTCAGTGTCGACTTAAATAACTCCTAGACACCTCGTGGAGCCCGGGATATCAAGAGCACCAAAATTAAACCTCACGCAAGCCAAATCCTAAAATTAAGACATTATATTATGTTTTATTTATTTATGGAAAACTTCGAGAGTATTCAAGGACAAATAGCATAACGGCATTGCGTAGGATTGCAACTTGCAATCTATCCTGAGGTTCTGGGTTCGAATCCCAGTTTGTCCTTTTTGCGACGTTTTTCAGCATCATGTTGATACATTTTTATTTAGACTAATCTCATAACGTTATCCAGAAAGTTATATCAATTAATCAATCATATGTATTTAACATTTTTTAAAGAAAGGGATACATAATAAATCACATAAAAAATTTTAGACTAAGAAAAAGAAGTTTTACTGCTTATCATAAAATCCACCACGGTATCCACCTCTGTAATTACCTCTACCTCTGTAGTTACCACGGTATCCACCTCTACCTCTACCTCTACCACGGTAAGAAGCTGAAGTAGCTTCACCGAAAGTAGACATATTCCTATTTCTTTCTTCCTCTCTTGCAGCTCTTGCTATTTCTCTTGAAGTTTGATGGTTACTTACGGAAGAAAGTGAATCAAAGAAAGAATTTGACTTGTTATAAGCAGGTTTACTTTCTTCAACGTTGGCAACTTCCTCATAAGGAGCATCTTCTTCTTCTTCTCCGTTAAGAAGATCTTGTGCGTCAATTTCAAGTTCACCTTCCTCTTCTGCTGGGGTTTTTTGTATTTTACGGAAAACAGCGTTAGAACTTTCGAAATCGAAATCAGATTTTGGAACAAAGTGACCATTACGTTCGCGTCTCCTTCTAGGTCTGTCAATTTTGTTAGACAGTGAAACTTCTTCAACTTGTACACGCGTTTCATCTTTGATTTTTATACGTGACATTGCGTCCTCAATTTTTTCAGCCTTGATAGGTGCTTCTGGTTCATCAATAGTTTGAGGAATGTGCTGAACGTGCTGAGGCTGTGTTTGAGGTTGCTGTTGAGGTTGCTGTTGAGATTGCTGTTGAGGTTGTTGAGGAGCTGGTTGAGGAACAGCTTGTGGAGGTTGTTGTGATGGTGGCTGCATCATACGGTCACCGGCGTATGGCATATAAGCTGGGTGTGGGACTTGTCCAGGCGGGAACATATGTGGAGGAGGGTAATAGCCGGGGAATGGACCACCCGCTGGAGGGAATCCCATGAAAGGACGTTGTGGGGTACCAGGATGTGGCTGAGGTTGTTGAGGCTGTTGAGGCTGTTGTGCTGGTTGTTGGACTTGGGCCGGTTGCTCTTGAGTTGGTTTTGGAGAAGGACGAGCTGTCTGAGAGTACTTTAGCACTCCGAATACACCAAATAAAAGTAAAACTCACGCCTACGATCGCTGGATCATCTGGGATTGTTGAAGTTGGGGCTGCTGGTGGTTGCTCAACTTGAAGGTTCTTGACATCTGCAGCTTTGAAGACGATGAAATCGTAAATAGTCTCAGAAGGTGGTATGTCGCTGTCACCGCGTCTACCTTCAGTTCCCATAGATTGTACTAGAAGACTGTCAATATCGTCCAGCTGGTAACGGTTTGTATACCTTTCTGAAGGGATATAGTAGCAGCTGCATGATCAATAGCTACTAATGTACCCTTATAGCGTATCTCAGATTTAGATACCAAGCTAATGCGCGATCCTATAAAGTTGCTAGCCATTTATAGTTGGACGTAGGTATCGAACAGCGAAAAAAGTGAAAAAAAAGGAAATTAAATGGAGAGAATACAATATATTTACTTAAATATACCAACTGTAGCACCTACTGTAGATCCTATTGCTGCACCGCCTAGCAGACCATTTGGAAGTCTGATCCGTTTGAGGAGTAGAGTAGGTACAATAAGAGATCCTAATGTACCACCTATAACAGCAAAGTCTGTTATTTGTAATAAGTTGCGCTAGAAAGTCAATTGAGATTTCTGTCATACGAGCTAGTATGAACTCACATCTTTAGAATTAGCGTTATACCATCTAAGAACTTCACTATCGCTTAGAGATCTAACACGGAAGTATCCGATTCCACCCCCAAGTGGTGCACCCAATCCAGCTGCACTGATCCAGGTGTTACGTAGGATAGCATTCAGGTTAAATCCAGCTTTTCTTCTTACGATCTGATAGATTGGAGACACACCGGCTGCCAACACCCAACCTAATCCTGCATGCTGCTTTATGAGCTCCTTCGCAGGCACAGATAGAGGTATATTATCTTCTAACTTCACACCTTCTTTTTTAACCTCTTTTAGTTTGTCATTTGTTGTTAATGTTATTCCGTCTGCCATTGCTTTCGACATTTCTCACTTGAGTAGTTTAAGGAGTTGAACAAACTATTATGACATCACTAATCGATAAAAAATCTAAATAAAATAGAAACAATAATTTTAAACAGTCTTTTCAATGAGCTTGATACCTTCTAATTCAAGTTTTTCCATGATAGGGTTGTTAACCTTAGCAGAGTATGGTGCAACAACACCAGTGTCATTGATGACACCATCAAGTACAAGTTGTACTGCAATACCACATGGTACACCAACCAATTTAGCCATTGAGGTGTATCCGTTTGGTACACCATAATCTAATAATGTTGATGTACGTGTTTCCTTGCTACCGTCCTTCCAAACGATACCGAACTTGTGTTGAAGCATAACCATATCTCTTTCACCTTGACCGTATTGCATCTTTTGTTCTAAAGTTGCGCAAAGTGTGTCGAGGAGGTTACCACGAGGAATTGTAGCCTCCTTACCGAAGAGACCAATCCAACGTAAACCAGAAATGATACGTTCTTTTTCAGATTCTGATGGGAATCCAACTCTTTCAATAACTGCTTTAACAAGGGATTCTTCTGATGAGTCAACACCCAATGCCTTAGCAGTAACTTCATTCCATGGTGCTGATTGACCAACCTTTACGAAGTCCTTTGGTGAATCATCCAAGAAACCAAGTTTAACGAGTGCGTTAATAAATTCTGGGAAACCTTGGTATCTTAATGTACCTCTAACAAGGTTTTGACATTCAGGGATGTCATAGAATTCTCTGAATGGTGTTGAATCACGGTTTGGATAAGCAACGAAAGCAAATGCAGGTGAAATGTAGTATGGTTGAGCAGTTGCCATTAATTCAGGTCCTGCAACTTCCTTTGCAACACCATTGTTGTAGAATTTGGCAGTGTTTCTCAAAGCTAACAAAACACCTCTAGATGACCAGCTGAATTTGTAACCGAGTGGGTTATCAGCTGACTCTGGTGCTGGTAAACCACCACAGTATGACAAGAAGGTGTCAATTTTACCACCCTTTTCGTGAACTTCATCAAATACCTTAACAGCGTAAAGGTGATCAATACCTGGGTCTAAGCCAATTTCGTTCATAACGGTGATACCTGCATTCTTTGCTTCTTGCTCTAATTCTTTAATGGCAGGGCTGACGTATGAAGTGGTAACGACGTGAGTCTTTCCTTTGATAGCAGATTTAATAACGTTTGCGTGGAAAGTGTATGGAATGAGTGAAACAACGACGTCGTGTTCAGCGACGAGAGCATCGAGTGACTTTTCATCTGAAACATCAATTGAAGTTGCAGTGGCTCTGTCCAAGCCCATAGCCATTTGTTGAGCAGTTGCGAGAGTACGGCAGCCAATAGTGAGGTGGTTACGTGGGTCACGGAGGATGTATTCAGCTGCTGGAAGAGCAACGAAACCACTACCCAAAAGAAGGACCTTCTTAGATTCACCTTGAGCCTTTGCAACGTTTGGAGCGACGAAACGACCCTCATTGAGAGCTGATTCAGCAAATTGTGGTAATTGGAAAGCACATTCGTGAATCTTTGCGTTGTAGTACTTGCAGTCAGGAACTTCTCTCAATGGCTTACGAAGGTTGCGGCTACCATCCTTTGAGCAAACAATGAAACCAATCTGACCAGATGGGTAAGTTGGAATGGTAGTGTAGGCGTATTCTGCGGTAGCGAAGAGTTCTCTAGTGGCCAATCTGAGTGACTTGATGAGAGGAAGGTGCAACCAGATACATTCACCTTGTGTAGAAATGTGACCACCGTCTCTGAGGGCGTTCTTGAGCAATTCAAAGAAGGCTTTTTCGAAGAGAGCAGCAGCAGGACCTTCTGGGTCAGAAGAGTCTGTGATGATGACATCAAAGTAGTTCTTCTTATCTTGCAAGAACTTGAAACCATCACCAATGAATACGGTTACCTTTTCATGTTCTAAACCTTCAGCCATCTTTGGTAAGTATTGCTTTGAAACTCTTGGGACGGCTTCATCGATGTCACACAAGACAGCTTCCTTGACTTGTGGGTGCTTGATAACTTCACGGAGGACACCACCGTCACCACCACCAATGACGAGAACTCTTTCTGGGTTAGGGTGTGATGCCATAGGAAGGTGAGCGATCATTTCCTGATATGAAAATTCGTCACGCTCTGTACATTGGACAGCACCGTCGAGTACGAGAACGTTACCGTAAGACTCAGATTCGAAGACCAAAACATCCTGGTACTTTGACTTCTCTACGTGGAGGATCTTGTTAACTTTGAGTGAGAGTGCTTGACCTGGCCATTGAGGGGAGATCTCGTGGAACCAGCCATCTATGGAGTATGAGTAAGCGTAGACTATATTAAGTGTACCGACTGTTGTCAACTGCAGGGTGTGTTAAGGACATCTTGGGTGTTGTAGTGAGAGGAGAGATCACCGTAAATTTCTTTAAAAAGAACCACCATGTCGAGAATATTACAACCATTTAGATTTTTGGTGTGTATATTTTAAAATTTAAATAATCATTTATTAAACGGTTATTATAGCATCGTATGGCTCACGAACAGCCAGTCTACTTGTGGTCATTTGGAATTGGATTGACTGGTTAGTAATAGCATAGTAGTAGTTATAGTATAGCATCTAATTTACACCTACAAAGGTCCACTTCTCGTCATCGCAGTACCAGAGATACGCTCAAAGTTCTTCGGATGGAAACCAACTGAACGTCTACCAACTACCTACCCAGGTTCGTTTTATTTACTAAATCTACTAGAGCCACTGACTAGCAACCACTTATAGTCCCACAACGTGAAAGAAGGGCTGTAGAAGGTTTCGAAGACGCCTAATGGTACTTCCTATAGAATAAAATACTATAATTGTACTTTAAAATTTAAAAATATTCTTCTTTCTTGACAATCATCAATGGCTGAAGCTTCAACTTCCCAAGTTGTACCACAGAAGGACATTGTCTATTGTGGAATATGCCAATTCCCAGTTGAAGTATGTATAGATACGCTATTTTATAACACTCCTAACAGCTCATTAGTATTGCGAATTCAGCAATTCCTTCAAAAGATGCAAACAATGGTTAGAAGAGGAATTACCAGAGGTATACATATCACTCTATTCAGAAAACGCTTTGAAAGATAAAATGGGTTCTCTATCTGTCGAAGCAGAGAAGAAGTTAGAGCAAGACGTCGCAAAGAATGAAGCAAAAGCCGAAAAGAAGGCACTCAAGGAAATAGAGCAAAAGAAGTCATCAAAGATTACGATCATAAGAGAAGAGAGAACCAAGAGAAAGGTTACGACGCATATCCAAAACCTTGACGCTTTCAGCGTCGAGTTAAAACCAGCTGCAAAGTTATTCGCTCAGAAGTTCGCAACAGGCGCTTCTGTAACAAAGAACCCTCAAGGCAAAGATGAAATTGTTGTTCAAGGTGATGTAACTGATGAAGTTGAAGATATGTTACATGCTAGACAAAAAGTCTTATCGGTATTACCTGAAAAAGTCAAAGTTATAAAGGAAGATAAGAAGAAGAAGAAAGCTAATGTTGAGGGCGCTGAGGATGGTCATCAAGAATGAGTGATATGATTAGTTGTAGTTATTAAAAATTTCATCATTTAAAAAATCGAAGTTTCAAGTGTCCAAGTTCTTCTTGACCAGACTTTTAGTTTTTGATTATTTAACTCTATTTCTATACCATCCCACCAACATTTTCTCGCGGGCTTACGCCAAAACAGTAGTAATTTTTGTGCAGTGAGCAATTGATTTTGATCTATTTTTGGTGGATTAACTGAAATACCGGTATTTAATAAAACTAAAGCTATTGAAGTAATGCAGCATCTATTTGGTTCTAAGGATCTGAATCCCCATTCATCTTGCCTGTCAAAACCAGACATGCAGAGCATATCAATTAGATGTTGTTCAGCTAGATTGTTCTCCTTATTAATATTCCTTTGCAAAGCAGTAAAGATCTTCTTATTCTCGAGCAGTTCCTTAGCTGTGAGTAATTTGTAGTTTTCATCTTTATTGTTTGAGATAACAAAATACTCCAATTCCTCTCTAAGGACGATAATAGATTGTTTCACTAACAGCGGGTTATTAAGGAACTCCTCAGGTTGGGCTTGTTGTTGTAATAACGCTTGTTGCTGATGTATTCTCCCATTGAGACCGTAAAACTCTTGTTTTGAATAATTAAAGAAATCAATCACGTATTTAAAGCAATTAGGATCAAAATCTACGTAATAGATATCTTCCTCCTCCTCATCCTCTTCTTGTTGATCCTCAAGCTGAGGTTTCGATAAGACCAAACCGTTCGGGAAGAGACAAAGTAAGATAGACTCGGGCAGATTCATTAACTGATCCCTATCTACAACGAAAGATTCACCGCGTAAATCTAAATTTAATTTCATAACGAGCTGTGAACTTAAATCGACGTTCATTCTTACTGTAGAAGATGGTTGTATCTAAATAAAAGTTAATTTATTAAATATAAATATAAATTATTGATTTTTAATATAATATCTCCCTCTACACTTCTTTACAATCTACAGCGATGTCGACATTCAGTAGATTACTCAACTGGTCAAAATCACCTCAAGCGAGAGAATATTTCTTCTCTACTCACTTCTGGGGACCAGTAGCAAACTGGGGTTTACCATTAGCCGCTTTAGCAGATCTTAGAAAGGATGAAGAAATTATCTCTGGTACTATGACAGCAACAATGGTCGTTTACTCAACCACATTCTCACGGTTCGCATGGAGAGTTTCCCCTAGGAATTACCTCTTATTAGCCTGTCACGCTACAAACGCAATCACCCAATCTGTCCAAGCACTCAGATTTACAAACTACTGGTACTTTGGTGGACGAGAAAAGAGAGGAATTAAAACAGGCGCGGAAGCTGCTTAAATAAATGCATTTTAGATTTTATCTTCACTTTTGAGGTATAGCGCGCCAGGGTGACAATCATCTTCTTCGACGGTGCGACCTTCACTCTCGAGCCATTCACGTAATTTTACTGAAATGTGATTGGAAACGTCTTCATAAGAGTGAGAGGGCGCTATCCCAGTCAGTAATTTAATACCCCTCCTTTGATGTTGCTCCAGGGTTTCCTTAACCGCGAGTTTAGCTTGCTCTAGCGTCAGGTGTGCAACATCCTTTATAATTGCAGGTTGTATTCTTTTAACTCTGCGTATTTCTATTATCCCAGCTACACCTTCATCGATGTGATAGTCCACTCCCAGCTCATCGAGGTATCCACAGATCTCCTTCTGCATATCGACGTTTTCTATCACGGGAACACCTTCACCTTGTTCACCCACAGCTAAGGGTCTCATTCCTAATGGCAATTGAATGTCCACACATTGATATTTGAGTAAAGCATCATCAACAATCTTCTTAGCTTTCTTTAAACTCCCAGCATTGTGACAATCAACCATAAACTTCTGTGAATCTAAAGCATTAGAATGCGTTCGTTGCATACCAACGTTGCGCAACTTCTCAACTTGCTCCATTACCACGCTTGATAGATCGCTCAAAAGAAACCATACGTCATCAAAATCGATAAAATAAAAACTAAAAAGTGGTGATAAATCTATCTATATATAATTACATTACATCTATTTCTTTTCTGATTGCTTCTTCTTATAGTCTTCAATCATTTTCATTTGAATGTTTGGTAAAACTGGCTGATGGTCCTTGTATTCCATCGAGAATTCACCTTTACCTTGTGTCAATCCTCTAAGGTTTGAAGAGTATCCGAACATATCGTTCAATGCGACCTCACAAATCAATGTGAACTCTTCATCTCTTATCTCTGTATCAATAATTGTACCTCTTCTTTGATTTATACCACCAATGACTGAACCTTGGAATTCAATTGGCGCTACAATTTCAACCTTCATAATTGGTTCGAGAATAACTGGTGATGCCTTATGGAATGCCTCTCTGAATGCACCAACAGATGTGATTCTGAATGCCATTTCTGATGAATCAACTGGGTGATGAGCACCATCTTCGACAATCATCTTTACACCTGTAGTGTTGTGTCCTGATAATGCACCCTTTGCTAAAGCGTCGTAGAATCCCTAGAAGGTGCTTGTTATTAAAAATTAACAAAGAGAACACTACAAACCTTCTCAATTGATGGCATGTAGCTGTTTGGAATGTTACCACCAGTAACTCTGTTTTCAAATCCTACATCCTTTCCAGTTTCATCAATCGTCATTGGTTCGATTCTACCAATCATTCTACCGAATTGACCAGCACCACCTGATTGCTTCTTGTGTGTATAACTGAATTCAGCAGGTTGTGTGATTGTCTCTCTAAATGCAACTTGAGGTTTACCAACTTTGCAATCAACCTTGTATTCTCTTCTCATTCTCTCTACGTAGATATCCAAGTGAAGTTCACCCATACCACTAATGATAGTTTCTTGTGATTCGCTATCAACATGTACTCTGAATGTTGGGTCTTCCTTTTGGAATCTGTTGAGTGCTTTTGAGAAATTAGGTGTCTCTTGACCAGCTGGTTTGATAGACAATGAAACTACAGGATCTGGAACAAACATGTTTGTCATCGTGTAAGATGTAGTACCATCTGTGAAAGTATCACCTGAGCTACATTCAACACCGAACATAGCACAGATTTCACCGGCACCAATTGACTCGACATCTTCCATATCATTACTGTGCATTCTCACAAGACGTGGTACCTTGACTTTCTTTCCGGTACGTGCGTTGAAGATGACACCACCTCTTTTGAGTACACCTTGGTAAACTCTCATGTAAGTCAATTGACCGAAACGACCTTCTTCGAGCTTGAAAGCGAGACCAACGAGAGCGACATCTGAAGCAGGGATGACTTGTACAGGTGGGCTGTTTGCAGGAAGCTTAGTATCAGTAGCTTCGACAGCAACTTCAGATGGATCAGGGAGGTATGAACAAACACCGTCTAAGACTGGTTGAACACCAACGTTCTTGAAGGCACTTCCTACGTAAACTGGAGTGAATTTTCTAGATATCGTTGATCTACGGATAGCAGCTGCAATGTCATGATTTGTTATTGGCTCTTCCATGATCATCTTGTCACCTAAACTTTCATCAGCATCACAAAGCTGCTCGATAAGTTCCTGTCTCTTCTGTTGAGCAAATTCGAGCAAATCTGCTGGAATTTCATCAGATTCAATAACATCGACACCCTTATAGCCTTCGTTGTAGATTGCTTTCCATCTAACAAGATCTACAACACCAGTTAGGTTGTCTTCTGCACCAATTGGAACTTGTACTGCTGCTGCATTCAAACGGAGCTTTTGTCTGATTTGATCGATAACTCTCCATGGGTTAGCACCTGCTCTGTCCATTTTGTTGATAAAGCAAACACGTGGTACATCGTAACGCTTCATTTGTCTATCGACTGTGATTGTTTGTGATTGTACACCTGAGACAGCGCAAAGAACTAAGACGGCACCGTCAAGAACTCTAAGTGCTCTTTCTACTTCAATTGTGAAATCAACGTGACCTGGTGTGTCGATAATATTGATAGCGTAGCGTTCCTTCTCGCCGCCTTCACCCATACCATCCTTTTCGCCAGACAATGATCTTTCGAGAGCTGGTGGTGTAGCCTCCCAGTCACAGAAAGTTGCAGCTGATTGAATAGTGATACCCTTTTCACGTTCGAGTTCCATATGGTCCATCTTCGCACCGACACCGTCTCTACCTCTAACCTAGTAGACAAATGAGCTAGGAAAAAAGGTGCAAAGAAGACAAACCTCATGAATATCTTTAACTCTACCTGTATAGTAAAGAACACGCTCAGTTAAAGTTGTTTTACCAGAATCTATTACCCGTTAGATCTTCTATTTGCTAATAAAGAATATACCAACCAATGTGGGCTGAAATACCAATATTACGTTGTCTTTGTAATCTAGAAATGTCCTTTTCTGTAAGTTTTATGGCCTCTGGTGGTGGTTGATTCGATACTGTAGAGGCTAATCTGAGAGGAAATCTAGGAAGTGGAGCAGCTAATCTTGCAACTGGCACTCTTGGAAGTGCAGCGAATGTAGTCCTAGCTATACGTGCACCTCTACACAATCTCGCACCTCTCAGCATATCGTAGTTCAAGCGAGAAGACGGTTGATAGTGAAATATGAAATCTAATTGGAAAAGTTTATCGTACAAATAAATTTGTCATTTCATGAAAAATAACTATAAAAATCTATGCTCTTGATAAGGCGGAGACAACCTCGCCTGCTCTGACTGCACCTACAGAGAGCAGACTATCAGACAATCCATGTGATTGTTCATTTTGACCAAGGCAGAATATCCTTGGCTTGAATAATTCTTGTGATTCAGGTGCGATATAGTACTCGCGTTCAACTAGTGGTGGTACTTTTGCACTTGGTTCCAATTGGGCTACAGAAAGCGCGTTCTTAAGTTTTGGAAGATATGGTGCGACATCCTTTAAGAATTCGAGTTGTGTAGGTGGTCTTTCATAACCTGTACCGAGGAAAATAGCATCGTATTCTTTCGTTATTGGAGCAGGACTCTCCTGGCCCTCGAAATCCAAAGTAGATTGTATGTCAAGACTTGTGCACTTTTCATCAGCCTTTACACCAACAATCTTGCTGTTTGGCATAATGCTATATTGGTTAGGTGGGGCAGGCAAACCTGCATCCTTTGCGATATCTGCTTTAACGCGTTGTTTGTAGAGCAAAGTATAAAGACCTTCCAAAAGCTCTGGAGCAACACAAGAGTAATTGGCTCTCTTGAATTCCTCTAAACGCTCTTTGCGTGCTTTATGTGTAAGCTTGTTGAACTCTTCAGTTGAAGCTGGGTCGAATGCTCTTGCATTGACGAATGGACTGTCATCCGCTGGAACGAGTGCAGAAGCGCGGTAGATTAAATCAACTTCAGCGTTTGGATAGCGATTAATAAGATCGTTGTATACCTATTTCAAAATCGTCAGTGAAAATTATCAAACTTTTCAAAACTCCTCACCTCTGCGGATGATTGACCACCACCAATAACGGCGAACCTACCCTTAAATTCTACATTTTCTTCGTGGTGTCCAAACATGTACTTCAATGTAGGAAGATATTGACAAGTGTGTGATACAGTCATGTTTGACTTTTGTGCGGTTGAGAAAACTTCCGGTATTTTTGGAATTGCACCAACACCGATAGAAATGTTACGAGTATATCTAACGTGTACAGTTTCTGTAGGCCAGTGTACGGAAGTAACCTTAAGCTTCTCAACCTTTTCACCCTTCTTGATTGCCTCAACGTTGAGTACACGGGTGGAGTACTCGCAAACATCGGATAATCTGGCAGCTGCCCAAGTAAGGTAAGCCGCCCATTCAGTTCTAGATGGTGTCCAGCAACCAATGTTAGAGAAGCCAGCCAAGCGGTCGACGCCATGTGAGTGAAGGTAGTTCACGAAGGTGTAGCTAGACGCTGGGTTACGGAAAGTTGCCAAATCCTTAAGGAAACTAATTTGCATTCTAGATGCAGGCAAGAGGAGTGGTGAATGCCTGTAGATCAATTTTATCAGATCTGATAAAAATGAAAAGAAGTGGAACATACCAGCTAAACTTGTCTTTAACTTCCATGAAGAGGCATTTCTGGTCAGGATTGCTGCTCTCCTTGTGTGCGATTGCCAATGCGAGGTGTGTCGGACCTAAGCCGACACCTATAAGGTCGTAAACATTGTCGTCTTCCACGCGTGGATACCTGTCCACACTAGGGATAGGGGTAGATGGTATACTGTTTGGTGGGGTGTGTAAATCGCTTGGTGGTTGTGCGAACATCCTTCTTCTAATGCGAAGATAAGTTCATGTTTTGTATAAAAAGTAGATACAACTTACTTGATCTATGGTCGTTATGTTACTATTCTGGGAATGGTGCTTTATATGCTTAACTTACAACTTGAGTGATGTCCCAGATTAAGGATCAATATCAAAAAGATTATCAATCTAATCATGATCAGATTTTTTTTCTCGTAGCGGCGTGCCTGGCTCTTTGGATACCCTGTCGGGCGACAGAGAGCGATGGAAAATCTTAGTTTGTATGTCTTCACTGTATGTAAAATTGATAGGAACGTCGCTACAATTTATATCTTAATCTGATTTACTTCCTTAACAGATAAGATAAAAATCGTTAATTTGTACCTGAATGTCGCAAGTGCTGCGTTTGGCCTCTATTAGCGAAAAAGGTCCTTATTAATTTTTTTTTTGACAGATTGTACTTGAAATAAAAGTTTTTTTTTCATAAATAATTCCAGAGATATCAAATTTACATTTATTGATCTTACTGTTGTCCGATAAAAATTTTAAACGTTATGAATACATGAATACATGAACGGAGTAAAGTATAATAAGAATCATATATTAGCCAAGTTGTTTGTTCAAGCTCTGGCAGCTCGAGTACGTTTACCAGTTGTAGCGTTGGCTGATACAGCTAGACTCTTTCTCGGACCATTGCCAGTCATTCTCGTCTCAGTTCGCTATAACCGACATTAACCATAATAAAAAACCCCGACTAAATGCTTACCTCGATCAATGATGTACCGTCCCTAAACCTGGCTCTAAATATAACATTGGCGTTGGAGAAGAGTCTGTGCGTTCGTCGGTTAGACCATTAAGTTTCTTACAGGAACAAACTCACCCTTCCTTAAGAGATACAACAATGAATTGTGAACCTCTAAATCTATTTCTGAAGAGATGACCAATATGCTGAAACATATATTTAGCTTTTTCGATTTATTGCATGCACACTTACCTGAGTATGTGACAGATCGAGTGCTGCATCGATCTCATCTAGAATGTACATCGGGGCAGGACGGAACTGTAGCAAACTCATAATCAACGAGAGTGCAATGAGAGATCTATGGAGCTTTAGTTAGAGTACACCTCGAGAAATAGTAACCGACCTTTGTCCACCGGATAACTCCGTCAAAGATTGTTTCCATATTTGACCTAAGCGGACCTTGACTTCTAGACCCTGCGTCAGCTCTTTACCTTCTGGCGGCTGCAATTTCGCAAAGTTGCCTGGGAGGAGCTCTCCGAAAATTTCACCGAAATCTTTATTGACGATCTTCCATGTAGATTGTAAGGCTTCCTTCTTATAATGATCTAATTCATGTATCGTATCCTCAATCTTCTCTTTATCGCCGAGAATGGTATCCATCATAGTTTTCAACGCTTGCTCTCTTTTCTCAACAGTATCAATCATTGTCATAACCTTTCCATTGATTTTATTCTTTTGAGATTTTTGCGTTTCTGACAAGTCGTTGCGTTGTTTGGATGCTTGTTGTATATTGATTTTGTTGAAATCGTACACAGAGCCTTCCCTACCGAAGTCATCTTGCTCATCAGAGATCCAATCGTAGGTCTTTTCTAACGTCTTAAGTGATACTGCATGTTTTTTAGCCGTCTCCTTAGCATTTGACACTTCCTTGTCGACTGATTTGAGTGAATGTGTACCTGATTGAATATTAGATTTGACGGTAGAAAGAGAAATTTCCAATGCATTCAATTCGTCTTTGTAGGTATCCAGTTGGTTTCTCTCCTTGTCGAGTTTCGCTTCCGTTTGATCAAGATGCTTCTGCTTCTTGCTAATATCCGCATGGAACTCCTCTAATTCGGCTTCTGCGGCGCGCAAGCCTTCAACCGCTTCTTTATGCTCTTCCAGACAACCATTCATATCGTCTTCGAGCTGCTCGAGCTCAAGTTGTGCTGTCTGAACTTCCTTCTGCTGAGCTTTGATAGATGTGGATTGCTTTTGAACTGATTTACGGCGCTTAGCTACGTCTGCCTTCAGCTCTTCAAGTTTACCGCCTCTGTCATTCTTGAATTCTTCCATCTCTCTCTCAAGCCTGTCACAGTCTTTGCGAGCCTGCGATTCCTTCTCTTTAGCTTTTTTGGCGGTTGCGTCCACCTCTATTAGTGTTTTCTTGAGTTCCTCGAGATCATTCTGGAGTCTCGTAGAGCTACTACCATTGAGTTGCTCCTCTAAAAGTTCCAACTCGTGCTGCTTGAGGTCATGTTCGCGTTTGAGTTTTGAATAACGTGATTGTTGATCTGCAAGCGCGCTTATCTCTTCTCTAATACCTTTCAATACATTTTGAGCGTCTTTGAGCTTTATATTTGCATCTCTCAGAGTTTGGGCTCTAACAAGAATACCAGAGCCTGATGGCGCACTACCACCACTAAGCACTCCTGATGGATCATAGACATCACCCTTCAATGTCACACTTCTGGACTTGACGTTAGGATGGAATGTAACCTTTTGAGCTGTCTCTGCGTCATCACAGACGAGTGCTTCGCCGAATACGTATGACATCGCCGTTGCAACTTCATCTTCTGAGCCAACAAGTGAAATTGCTGAACGAACCTTTCCGGGAGCAAGCTTCTCGGCGGTGGACAGCTTTTCAACTGACATTGTAGTAGGTTTAATCTTATTGAGAGGGATAATAGTGACACGTTTGCGGAGCTGACCCTTTTCGAGCAAAGCTGTGGACACTTTTTCGTCTTCAACAACGACCTGTATTGGAATTAGTTATAACCTTTTGCAAGGAAGATAAACCCACATTATATAATCTGCCACCTGCACATACTTCCAGTGCGGTTGCAAATTGCCCGTTGTCAGCGTGTAAATCAATCAGATTGGCAACCAAACCATGTACTTTTGATCTATCGAAGTTTGGATATGGATTTGTGTAGGAGAAATCCAAAGCTGACATCGAAGCTTTTAAACGCTCACATTGTTCAGAAAGTGTAGATACTTTCTTGGTTTGCTCTCTTTCTTGATTTTGGAGAGACTCCATCTTCTCATCATCCCAATTGAGGCTTTCGAGCTCCTTCACGATCTTTTCAAGTGCAGTCTTGACTTTATTAATCTGTTTAGTAAGGTCTTGCGAGTCGGATGTTGTATCTTTTACTCTTCTCTCTTTGTCTTTGATTTCCTTATTCAAGTGATCCTTCTTGACTTGCGATTGCTGGTATTCAGTTGCTCCTTGTGTTGCCCTAGCCTTGGCCTCTTGCATTTGACCTAAGAAACCACCAGCACCTGTATCATCTTTTGAGGAAGATGCCAAACCGGTTTGGAGAGTCTGTAAGAGTTCCTCAGCTTTTGCTAGAGCATCAACTGAGTTTTGGTACGATTCGTCGACAACATTAAACTTGTCCGTGATCGATTTGGTCGACTTTTCCTTATCTTTGTAAGCCTTTTCGGACGACTCAACAGATTTTTCGATGCTTTCCATGTTCTTTTTCTCTTCGATGATGTTTTCCCTCTTGATATCCGCTTGAGCGCGTGATTTGACCAATTCAGTCGACAACTGCTTGACCAACTTATCCAATTCTGCTAGTTTACCATCCTTTGCCAACTCCTTCTGTTGGGCTTCTTTGATATCTTTAATTTTCTCCTCATACCCAACTTTGTCATCCTTCCACTGGCTGATGTCTCTCTTCAGCTGCTCATTCGACTCTTTAATTCTAGTAACTTCAGAGTCAGCATAAGCAACCGACTTTGTATGGTAGCACCAATCGTGAGCAACAACCAACCTGTCCAGACGTTCGAGTTCTGCTGAAGCTTTCTGGTATGACAAATAAGCAGACTTCTCCGAACGAAGTTTGTCTAAACGCGGAATGATTTCTTCTTTGAGTTGTGACTCGATCTCAGCGACCTTCCTTTGCTTCTTTTCCATAGTCTTATATGCTTTTTCCTTCCTATCCTCATACATACGCGTACCGGCAGCTTCTTCAACCATCGATAAGATTTCCTCTGGTTTCATATTGAGTACTTTCGTGATTTTACCTTGCATGATCACGAAATTTGGATTGTTTATGTTTAGTTGCACAGATTGAAAGAGAGAATGGACAGAGTTTAAGTGTGATTTGTGTCCGTTTATAAGGTATTTAGATATACCGCCCATAGCGATCTATTTGGGTGCAATTAGAGGAGTACAGTTACTCAAGAGAAGACACACCTGTCGCGTAACACTGATAGAGGATGCAGCTTCATATCCAACTGGACTCTTAGTTTTGTCTGAATTATCAAATACTATCGTAACACTGGCTTTAGTTATACCAGCTTGTCCACGCTTGTAAATCAGATCCTGAAGGTTATTTGCTCTGACGGCTTGCAGGTTCGTCAAACCAAGGACGAAACATATTGCATCTAAGATATTTGACTTTCCTATGAGAAGTTTATTACATATCGAGTTGAAAAGACGCGCTAATTAACGTACCAGATCCATTCAATCCTGTTATCGCGTTGAAGGAAGTATCCCATCCACTTATAACAGTACGATTTACGAAACTCTTAAAACCCTCTATTGATTATTAAATAATGGCTCCTCTCACTTTACTCAATTCTCACCAATAATAAGTTCCTCCACGCGCATATTCTGATTGTAACAATAAAAGAAGCAAGACGCGTAAGGTTAGAAATTCGCACATAAAAATACTTTAGTAGTATACTCGTAGCGCTCGTTAGACATCTGTCAGATGTCAATCCACGTCAAAGTGCAGCTTATGCGACTGCAGAACAGCTAGACAGGGGAGTGAATGTATTTAGTTTATATATGATAATTGGGACTAGTAAAATAGTCTAAAGTAAAAATTCGAGTATTTTCATTTGACCCACCCAGTGACGTATAAACGTCTCACAGCTCAACGTCCATCATCATGTCCCAGAGATTTAATAGCGGAGCAGGACCAAGCTATGCAGCAGCAGCAAACCCCAGCACGGGATTCAATCAAGATAAATCCAGCGGCCCAGTCGAGACCGTAAAGGAAGTTGCCAGCAAAGTGGGTTTATATCGTTATACACGGTGAATTAGCTAACAAACAGATAGTTTGAAGACTTTATAGACACATATACTCAAGGTTTGAAGCCACATCTTCCTGCATTCGGTAGATTCCTCATTGTCGTAACTTTCATTGAAGACGCTTTAAGAATAGTCACACAATGGAAGGATCAAATGTGGTATTTGCAAAGACATCGTCATTTCTTCTGGATCCTTGCTTTCTCCTTTTTAGTTATCAATGTTGTCGTTATGTTAGCATGTTCGTTTTTGGTAATCAGACGCCAACACGCAGTTTTCGCTGTAGGAGGTTTATTGGCTGTCGTTGTAATACAAGGCTTTGGATACGGTCTCATCTTTGACTTGAATTTCTTCCTCAGAAACCTCTCCGTTATCGGTGGTCTCATGATGGTCATGTCTGAGTCTTTTATCAAAAAGAAAAACATTTTCGCAGGTTTACCTTCGATTAGTGAAACTGATAAGCGCAAGTATTTCCAACTCGCTGGTCGTGTTTTACTTGTTTTCCTTTTCCTTGGTTTCGTTGTTCAAGGTGAATGGTCCATCATTCGCATCATCTTCTCCATCATTGGGCTTCTCGCCGTCACCCTCGTCGTTGTCGGCTTTAAGACAAAGTGGTCAGCTACTTTCCTCGTTTTACTGTTGTCCATCTTCAACATTCTCATTAATAACTGGTGGTCAATGCACCATGCTCATCACCAACGTGATTTCCTCAAATACGATTTCTTCCAAACACTTTCTATCGTCGGTGGTTTATTATTGCTTGTCAATATGGGTCCAGGTGGCATTTCAGTCGATGAAAAGAAGAAGGTTTACTAGTTTGTTTGTCTAAACTAATTGTTAATGCTAAAGTACAAATAAATATTTTTTAAATTATTCACTCTTGTTATATTATACGTGATTATTTGCTAATAAAGGTTGTCTTTCATTAGGTGTAGTTCTCTCATCAACCGTGTGTTCAACTGAGGTAGTTCCTTTGACTCTGATATCAGCCAATTTACATTCCTTGTCCCAATTAATACGAGAAACTATCCAAAGAACAGCAATAACATTTAAACCTAATGCTATGGACATACCAAGCCAAAGACCGATAAGTCTGTCACTTTGAGCATTTGGCCATGGCCAATGTGCGATTGGGTTGATCTTGGGCAAGAAAGCCATACAAATCGCTAATGGAAGTCCAATAATATAGAATCCAGTTATTTGAATGACTGCACCAGTTAATTGACGTCCAGTTGTACGTAAAATACCTAAACAAGATGATATAGTTCCATCTGTGAACTGGAACATAGCAACGAGGGGCAAGATTTTTGCGACTAATTCTATAACGTCAGCATCCGATGTGAATATTTTAGCAAATGAGTTTCTGAATGTTAAAAATATCAAAGCATTACAGAATGCAATACCGAATGATAAATTAACAGTCGCTTTCGTAGCGGCTGAAGCTCTATTTGGTAAGTATTTGCCCATCAATGTACCGATTCTGACTGAGCTAGCAACACTCAAAGCTGATGGTAATTGGTAACTGATTGATGAACTGGTGTTTATAACCGATTGTGCAGCTAATGCGGTTGGTGAAATGAATGACGCAGCGAAAGCCAAGCCTTCCCAGGCAAACCATTCACTAAGTGTCATCGTAGCAGCGGATGCACCGAGCTTGAATTGAAGTCAGTATAAGTCGATTTGTACTCATCGTCTAACCTACCTTAAAACAAACATCAAGATCTCTGAAAACTAAATAGCTAAATCCGCCCCAAGTATCATGTCTAACTTTAGGAGTGAAAACAATGTAAAGCAAGAGCATCAAGGCAATAAGATCAATACAGATTGCAGATGCAATTGGACTACCAATGAATCCTAAACTAGTTCTCCAAACGAGGAGGTATTGTAACAACATATTCAATGGACTGATAATAATAAGGACGATAGTTGGGACGTGCATATTACCACAGCTTTGTAAAAACTTTCTGAGTAATTCAAAACCAGCGAATCCAGGCAACGAAGCAATGTAATACCTCAAGTATGTTCCTGCAAGATGTGCAACTTCTGCATCTTGACCGATAGACAAAAGGATACGTTCAGCATTAAACCAGACAGTACCGATTGGAACGATAAGTATGGAGAGTACAATACCCATTCTAACAGTCCATGTACCGCAGAGTTGTGGATTCGAAGAGGCGTATGACGTTGCTAACAAGCTATCCAAACCAGTTGCAAATCCTTGTATGAGTGCAAATCCAGTAACAGCGGCTGTCATCGACGACAAACTCATAGCCGCAAGTGCCATCTTGTCTATATGACCAACCGAGAGAACACTGGCAACGTTCAAACTGTATTCTAGTAAATGTGTCAAGTATATCGGAACCAAATATATTGATATAATACGTAATTCTGTCATGATAGTCGATGAATCTTTGCTGTCTGAATCGTAGTCGACGGGAATTGGAGCGTGTAGCTGTGGAGGCTTTTGTATGTCAAGGAAGGATTGTCTTCTACTTGCTGTGTCACTGTATGAATGTATAGATGATTGCCTATTTGGGAGTGCGAGATGGTCGTCATCTGTGCCATTTCTATGGCTACTTATACTAGCAGCAGCCTCATTATCCTCGTTGTCGGAATGACCGAATATAGATTCCAGCGTATTGTAATCTCGCGGTATAGAGCTGGAATATATCGAAGATCTCTGCATTCTGGGATGAGAGATGATGATAGTCCGAGTTTAAGAGGGATAATATGGGTATCATATCGAGGGTAATATGCTTTACACTTAATCTATCATTATATTTTACTTTAACTCTTCTTTCTGACTCCTATCTCTCCTTAAAGTCAACAATCATCAGCCACTGTGATGGACAATCACAAGCTATTCGTTGGAAGCACCTACGATGGTCTACTGATACTAGAAGCGTCTAGATTAGGTCTCTTACCACGTTAGTATTATTAACCTCGCTTTGTCATTTTACTAAGACGTCCCTTAGGAGTTACCAGACGCTTGAAAGAAGCTGAACGAGATTTAGTACAATCTGGCTCTGTATTCGTATTCGATGAGCATGAGTCTGGTATGAAAAGGTGGACAGATGGTCTCTATTGGTCACCATCGCGTATTTTAGGCAATTTCCTGATATACAGAGAAACTAACAAGACAAAACGCAACTCTCAGTCAACATCGGCGCAACAACACTCCAGCACTAGCTACTCTGTTGACACCTTTGACCCCATCAATCAAAATAGCTCAGATGACGAACATGGATCGGAGAAGGCCAAGGAAAGGTCGCTTGTCGGTAGCTTAACGAAGAGTGATATGTTTAAAGACTCAGGGCTGGTGAAGAAGGTGTGTTTTATTTCTACATCCTCTGTCTCACTAATGAGTTCTCAAGACAATGTCTCTTAGCTTTAACGGCTCAGCACAGCATCTTATATCTTACTATAGAGTTGAAGATGTTCAGAAGGGTCGCCTTAGAGCACCTTCCACTCTTCCTGAATTCCAGTCTCTTTCGATATCACAAGAATACCTTATAAAATCAAACTTTAGATGCCCAATTAGAACGGAAGTCGATCCAGATGGTTTGCTCAGATATAGAGGTGAACATGAGGATCTTTCCCAGTATAGTCCACCTTCAATACAGGCAGCTTTGCCAAATTACCAGCAACATCAAAAATCTAGATCGCGTAACAATAGTTACTCGAGTTATTCCAGGGCTGGCAGTAGATCTCCTCCATATACATCAACATCCCCTGCCGTAGCCATAAACAATGGTGTGGGTAAATCATCTCCAACATCAATAGGTAGCCACAGGTACACTCCATATGGTAGTCCAACCTCCAGGACAATTACCAACTTGCCAATGTCAATGCATGCTGTATCACCAATAGTGTCTTCTTCGCAACCCGTCCATAGACACCCCGGGATGTTACAGGCACCATTCGACTATTACAACAGTTACGCAGGAGTCCAGGCACCTGTTCCAACACAACCTCCACCTCAATATTTTCCTAATCAATTCAACAATAATAATGAAACCAGCTAATTTTCAGCATCCTGGCTTTCCTGGTAATCTGTAAAATATTTCGCTAAGTCTACTCTATTATAAATGATTATTTGTATCAACAGTTGACAAAAATGAATAAAATTACATAAGAAAGAAAAACGCGTTACTAAGTAGTTGTATTATGTGTATTGAAGTTGGGTATAGTATCTGTAAACATTTTGCATAATTACTGGACATCAACGAGATTGTTTGACTCTGCAAACCAATTGTCGCGAAATTGCGGTTGATTATTACTTTGCTGTGTGTTTGGCATCTGTCTAGGTTGTTCACTCTCCGGTGGTGTAGGTGAATCTTCATCATTAGCCAATCTAACGACTTGAATCCTATCTTGCACGTGAGTTGGTGAAACTTCTTGGGTATTATTCATCGGAAATTGAGACAACATAGGTGATTGCCTTGGTGTATTGGATTGTGCTTGTTGGAAATGACTATTCATAACCATGTATCCCAACAATTGTTCTACTTTTCCATTCAAACTTTTCATATCTCTATGTATACTTAGGATTTCCTGCTTGAGGGCTGTCATCTCTTTTGGTGTACGTACTTCAATCAAGTCCAGTCTTGACTTAAGGACGTGTAGCTGATCGAGTGCGATGCCATTAGCAAGATTAGTACTATTAGCTTGATTGGAAGTGCTAATATTATCCAATGTTGGTGTGGTCGTCGTTGTAGTGGATGCTGAAGTCGTTGAAAATCTGCTCTTTCTCCTTTGTTTAGTTTCCTCTCGTTTGGGTGTCTGAGCTTGTGGTTGAGTGAACGCCTGATTTGTTGTCTCCTTGAGAGTTACTAAAACGCGTTAATTTTGTGTCAGATCCTTCAGATTCACTCACAATCTGCACTTGATCCCGTTCTGATACCATGAGCGGCCGCTGATCGTACTTCCTCTGGAACATGGCCTTTACAGGCTGGTAAGTGCTTTCTAATCCTATCAGGTGTAGTTGAATGCGCGTTTGCACCACCACGTTCTGGAAATACCTTGCAAAAAGTACATCTCAACCAACACAGCCTATTCTCCTCATCGTGCACTGGTTCAAGGTATGACTTAAATGGCGTGTTGTCCGTCTGACGGGTACTATTAGCCTGTCTATCATTAGTCACGGCGTTGATTGCACTAGTTACAGGACTTTCATTCTCAGATTGTGAAGAAGTTGATGCCTTCCTTGACTGTTTGTTCATCCCATTTCCGCCAATGTTAGTCCCCGTGTTTACGTATGGATGATGATAAATCCCCTGCGTAGACCTGCGCCGCCGCTGTGGACCTGCGCTGTTATTGCTAGAAGGCACAAAAGCTGACATAAGTGAGCTATTTGGCTCTAAACTGTCCAATTGATACTCATTAGCGTTCGGCTGCTGATGTTGCTGATCATATTCCATCTTGGTCCTCTCAAAACAGCATTCATACCATATTCACAAATCGCCTTCATTTTAGTCTTCATTCCAGTTGATTCCACACTAAATATTCGTTAGCGCGTTTTATTTTAATATTATATTTAAAATGGAATTTCACACTGGGTTTGTCTTATTATTTATTTCTTATCATCTTATTGACAACTTGATAGTGTATATGAACTAGTTGACTCAATCCCAAGTGGTAAAGTTTGCACATATGGTCAGTCAGATGACGTTATTTAATTATCTAACCAGTTTCAGGTCAAATTGCAAGACAATTAAATCAACCTAATCATTCCCGAATGGTCGGTCAGGCGCTCAAACTACTTAATCCAGGTTCAGACATACCATGGCACAGAGTAGTGAACAGCAAGGGTGAAATATCAAACAGAGGTGATGGCGGTATATCTGTACAACGACAGGCCCAACGTCTTCAAGAAGAAGGCGTGGAGTTACACCAAACAACAGAAAACAATTATAAATTAAATTTACGTCTATACATGCATGAATTTACTACCTCTTAAAATTTGCCAGTTCGTAAGCTAAGTTCCGTACTCTTTCATCATAATGCTGTGATTCCAATAAAGCGAGCTCAAATCCGAGAGCATTCTGGGCGTTACACGCATAAGGGTCGTTGAGGTGAGCTTTATATCCACCCTCGCCTGACATTCTATCTTCGGTACTTAAAAGTGTCTCAATAGCTGAACCACCAGCAATACCGATCAGCTTCTTGACGAAATCGACAGCCTTCAATGAACTTTCACCAGGCCATTGTAGTGTACATATCAACAAGCGCTTAGCAAATGCGAGACATCTCGTTGATGGTACACCCTTAGTTTGGTTTCTAGATGTGAAGAATACGACGTTGAGTGTATCGAACAATAACTCGGATTCAGATTTCGCGTGAACTGGCTTAATTTTCTTGAATGACTTGACACTGTCATCTGGGACAGTCTCAATAGTTGGTGAGATACTCAATGGTAAGAGCAAAGTGTACAACGAAGTCAAGAAATCGTCTAAATCGATGTTTAGAGATTCACCCTGATCTGTCAACAATTTGAACGCAGTTGAAATGCAAAGTAACCTCAATCTGGTTTCATTAGATGGCACGAGTGAGTCGACATTATCACCACTATCGTCATGAACCAGTTTTTCTTCCACGAGCGCATCGAGTTCAGCTCTCTTGCTGATACTTTTTAGGACATCAAGTAAACTTGAGTATTGTCAGTGATATTACCTCCAAAAAATACTACTACGTACTCTACAAAGAAGTCTACATTGACTAAATGACTGAAATTGGCGACACCCTCCAATGCAACGGGCAGAAGTGGACTAGACTCGGGGAATTTGAGTATACGGAAGTAGATGACAAAGATAAGCTTGAGTGTTTCGGTATTATTCCTATCTTTAGTCTCTTTGTCTACTTCGACTTGAGCTTCCTTCATTTCCTTCTCTATTTCTTTATTCTCTCTATAAGCCTTCTTGGCCTTCTTGGAGAGGTGCTGCCTATCTTTCTTGTCCTTTGATTTACGCTGTTGCTTGTTAGGTTTTTGCGTAGCATCTAACGAGAGTTCCTCTCTGAGCCTTAGATTGTTGAAAAGTGATAGAACATTAGGTGATATTTTGAATTGACGCTCCTTAATCATTCTATTGAGTATCTTAGTAATTTCTAAACTGAACTCTCCGCTAATATCAGCCTTGAGTACTTTTTCAAGGGCATCGTAACACATTTTTGACAATTCATCCCAAGATTGCTTAGAAAGCCTACCGATGACGCATTCCATGATATTAGCGTGGAAGTTGAAATGAGTTGCCTTTTCGAGCATAATACACATGCACTGTATGCAAATCTTTGTTAGCGCGCCCGCCTTCTTTATCTCCTTATCCAGACTACCGAGCCAAGTTTGGTAGAGTGTGATAAGGACTTCTTCCCAAGCACGTCTAGCTGCTATATCCTTACCAACTTTTTCAGCTTTCTCCTTATCGCTCAATTTTCTAATCCTGTATGATGGAACGATATCAACAAATATGGCAGAAAGCGACAAATGTGACAATTGACGAATAGAATCAAGGTTTATAATATCCTTGTCATCATATTTCAGTTTGTATTGAGTGAGTTGTTGTAATTTCTTTATATGGTTGAGGTTGTCTTCGGGGTTCGTCAGTACAGATTGTGCGATAGCCGCTATAGAAAGTTTTGCCTCGCTTAATTGAGCTTTCTTGGATTTGTGCTGTATGAATATTCTATAGATATGGTTTGTTTTCGCTTCTGGATCTTCCTCCTCTTCTTCCTCAGCGTCTTCTTCTTCACTTTGGCTCGGGATTTCATCGTAGATGTCCTCCGCTTTGAGTTTTCTTGCTGGGAGGTTCTTAACTTTACCGTTATCCAACTTGATTGGTAATCTATTTTGCTCTAATGATGGTGATACTCGAGTGTTCTCTAATTGGACTTGGTAATCATCTTCTAGATTGTCATCCTCGTCGATATCACTAGCCAGACTATCATCGCTTTCATCATTTTCCTCACTCTCTTCAGATTCTGACTCTGGCTTGACGTACTTCCTCTTAGCGTTTTTGAGCTTATTAGTAGGTTTGCTTATATCCTTCTCATTAAGATGTGCCAGGAAGCCTGGTTTTTCAGCTTCAAAGTACTCAGCTTCAAAAACTTCATCCTCGTTCTCGCTTCCACTATGAGCACTCATCGTCGTCTTATCAAAAGAGAAGGATTACATAAATTATATTAAAAAGCCTACGAGAAAAGTACAATAAGTCTATTTAAGTTCAGTTTTGAAAACCAAATCCCAGAATTTTGAAGTTACACCGAATCCCAACTCAAAATTTGAGTAATGGTGCTTCAAATGGTAGGATTTCATTTGTTTGAGGTAATTTGGTAGTTTTGTATGGTGTAATGCGTAATGCATACAGTCGTAAAGAACGTAAAACGCGAATGAACCAGATATAATACCATTGGCTATCGCCGTGCCTGGGAAGATCTTGTATGCTAATTGTGTAAAGGGATATTGTAAAACAGTGAACAAGATTGGTGGCATGACCAATCTCAAACCGTCTGCTGGTAAATAGTGGTGTATACCATCTGTGAGGAGAATTTGTCAATTCAATCATTAATGAGCTACCAAACTTACGCAAGAGGAAGTGTAACATCAAAAAGAATGGCCTGTCAGGTAAATAGTCATCGACGTGGAAGAGAAATCTGTGCATTCCGTATTCTAAAATTGTCCAGATTACGTTTCCAGTGAGAAAGCAACCGAGGGTAGAAAGACCGCCAAGGGCGCCCCCGAACTTCGTGCTGAACTCCATATAACTTCTCGTCAAGAGATACAAAGTGATAGGAACCCAGATTATTGGAATAACGTACCATGGTGTGACAGTGAACATTTCCAAGAAATCGTAGCCGAATAATCTAGCACTCTTCTTAAGATGTCTAGGCTGGTGGACTTGTTCCAAGTAGAAGTCTTTACTAAAGTTGCTCTCCCAAACTTGGCGTAAAAGTGGCTTACTGAGGTCCAAAAACTCACATCTTTCGAGGTCTTCTTGAATATTACTCTCTTCTGGTACGAAGTCATCGGTAGCAACCCAATTCTCGTCGACTATACGGGCGCCTGAATCTAATTTGCCGACAATCATTTCGGACATCATTCCAAACGCCGCTGGGGTATGTGGGTGATCTTCTATGCCATTGGTGGCTTTCATAGCACCTTCAATATCTTGCCCAGCGTATTTCAATATAAGATCATCGCCACCAGGATGATCTTGTAGGAATTCAGTAACATCGTATATCATTCGACCTATAACGACCCAACAACTGTCAGGCTTGTTGTGAGTTTGTACGTCAGCCCTGGTATATATTTTCAGCTTCCTCTGTCGTATCTCAGCCATTTTCGTCGATAGAAGTCAAGCGCTAAGGTCTTCGCTTATCGGCGACCAGAACGATTTAAAAAATCATGTCAAGAGGTTTATTCATAGTAGTAGAAGGGCTAGATAGGACGGGTAAATCAACGCAATGTGCCCAACTTCTCAATTACTTCTCTAATGCAGGAAGACAGGCGACATTGATGAAGTTCCCAGGTATGTTTATAGCGCGTTTTATAACACTCTTCTTACCCAAGCTAATAGACAGAACTACAAATATCGGGCAAATGATAAACAGCTACCTGCAGTCCAAGACTGAGCTCAATGATAAGGCGATACATCTCCTTTTTTCAGCTAATAGATGGGAATTGAGTCAGTATATAATAGATACGATAAATAGTGGCACAACAATCATAGCTGATAGATACGCTTATTCTGGGGTAGCATACTCGATAGCAAAGGTGTGTCATGACGCGATATCTCGCGTTTTACGCGTTAATTAGTATACTAACTGCTAAAGGGGCTTGACTACGATTACTGCAAATCTCCTGATAAAGGTCTACCTATTCCTGACAAAGTCTTCTTTTTGGACCTCCCTCCACAGCTTGCACAGCAAAGAGAAGACTATGGCGAAGAAAGATACGAGTCGTTAGACATTCAAACGCGCGTCAGAAGCTCTTTTATGAAGATCATCGCAGAAAATCAATATATTAATAAGATTGACGTAACTGGATTGTCTGTTGAAGACGTTCACAGGGAGTTAGTAAAACAAATACCAAGTGACACCTTAGATGCTCTCCAAAACACTCTATTCATGTAAACTAGAGAAAATATTCATCTATTATTGTACAACATGAAACAAGAAGACAAATAGTCGTGTGTTGAATTAAAAAGAAAAGTTGAGAACTATCGCCGGGGTGACAAGGAGTTTTGACCAAGTCGGTTTTAGGCATACTATGAAAAAGAAACACGAAATAATAAACACCCTCACTGCTCCATAGCAGATTGGACATAATTATGTTGAGGATGTTGATTGTGGACGTTGAAATCATATTGGCTGAAATCTAGCCCATAATCGAATGTGTTCATATCATCTATCCTAAGCTCTTCATGTTTGACTAATGGTTGTAAGGGTGGTGCAGGTGGGTTGACGAAATCTTCACTACCATCACTAACTGCCGATCCCGATACTGCAGATGCGCTGTTCTCTCTCTGGTTCGGTTGCTTGTCGAATTGTAAGAGTAAACCTTGTGGTGATGAGACCCCACCTGCTGCGTTGCCCTCCCTAACTGATGTCTGAGCCGCTCCTACCGATTGTGGATGGGTTTTACGATAATACTGTAACTCAGTTTGCATTTCCCTCTGCGCTGTTGCTTGTGCATCGACGACTTGCTGCAGATACCTAATATAATCAACGGATTTTCTAAGTATAACACCCTTGTTTGGCTTCCCAGCAGCAGCAGCAGCTACGGCTTGCTGCTTTTGCTGTGACTGAGTTTGCGCAGCTTGTGGAGACTGACCCTGTTGGAGGTTTGCCACTTGTGTTTCATCGAGAGTTTCTAATCTGCCACTGAATGAAGTTGGGATTTGATCTGGGTGTCTTGGAGACATTGGCTCAAGTAGTTGTTGATGAGTCTGTGAAGGGGTCTGTAAAGGTTTGTTTGTCCTCGAATTAGGTGGTCCGACGTCGAGGAGCAACTCCTCCGGGAGGAGAGTGGCCAGCTCGGCGATCCTTTCATTGATGTTGTCGCGCCGTCTTCTTTCAACTGCATTGTGTGATTCGCGTCTTCTTCTTCTTCTTTCCGAGAGCGACTCTGAAGTTTTTCCGTCCTCATCTCTCAAACTATTATCATGACCTAAAGAGGAAGGTGTTGCACCGTAATCTATCGACATCCTCCTTTGACTGCCATTAGTTCCAGATTGATCATGTGGAGGTGGAAGAGTGCCTGGGAAAGAGTGACCCCATGGGTGTGTAGCTGGTGCTGAGCTTGGGATGAAAATCGCTTGGGCTGGAACAGGAGTGGTTGATTGTGAGGGGTCGTTATTTATGTGAGGTGCAGGACCGGAAATGGATGCTCTGGAAGGCCTTGACCGAGAGCTCGGAGCTTTTCCAACGCCGGAACCAGCTCTTGAGCGTGAAGACTCTCTAATCATGGAGTTGCGACGTGGGTAAGGTTGGGATGACATGTGTGGGCTGTCGAAAGCTATGTCATCAGATGCTGGACTTTGTGCTTGGTGGTCGTATACATTTTGGTGGTGGAAATTTATGAGTGGTGATTGAGGTTGTTGCTGCTGCTGTTGTGGTTGTTGTTGTTGCTGCTGTTGCTGTTGCTGTTGTTGTTGCTGGTTAAAATTCGCAAATGGATCTGTCTATAAAAGTTCATTAATTAGATATTTGACTGATAAATTAAGGGCGAGCAAATGTAAGGTACGTTCTAAGCGAGGATTAAGCGAGGGGTGGGACTCCACTCAGTAAGACTATAATTTGCGGGGTCTATCTAGTAGAGCAATAGAAAGCCATACAAATGCTCACCCTTCTTATATACTCACTTGTATCCACTGATGGCCATTGTTGTCAGTATGCATCAAACTGTCTAAAGTGTCCGATATATCAAAAGTAGAGTTAAAATCCCTCCAGCTGTGGCTGTGTACGGATTGCTGTTGTTGTTGTTGCTGGTCGGATGCATCCTGTGGGCTGCTAAAGCCGCCCTCCTGTTTTATCTTAGGGATAGAAGACGATAGTGGGTTTGAAGGCATAAAGAAACCGCTGGCTGGCATTTTACTGTTATTTATCTATAAATGCCGTTTACGTGATGATGGTTACTCTCTGAGACCCGCCAGTAGATCCGGGTGATGTAACTAATTTTTTTTCACAGACTGCATAGACCCCTTTAATAGTGGAGCTGTCTAGGAATTTATGATAAAATTATTATTTTCTGCCTATAATTTAATTATACTTTATATAGCAATTTTTCTTCTTCTCTTTGACGGCGACAATCATGCTATTAGTCAGGCAGTTAAGAACTGCAGGGAGAGTTGCCTTAGTAAATAGCAGGTTGAGATATACCAGCACGCTTCAGTCTCAGAAAGAATTCCCTCAGTTGTCTCCTTCAACAGTACAGACAGGTTCCTTCCATCCAATCGCACCAGAAGACAGCCACTTGCGTAGAGAAGATGTCGATGCCTTTACTACCGTCAGTGATAAACTATCGAGGCATACTATCCAGGCGATCACCGTATCCCCTCACAAACATACAAAAATGTCCCCAGTACAGTCTGCTATCTTCAATTTATTACCTAGTTTAGTAGACAATCATTCAAAAGACAGAAAGGATCTCTTCGTCAAATCAAAGACCGGTACAGGTAAAACAATGGCCTTCTTAGTACCGGCGATTGAAGCACGTGTGAAAGCAATCAAAGAAGCAGGCGATGCAGCTGGCGACAATGAAAAGGCTAAATTAAAAGCCAGCAAAGTCTTTGCGAACAGTTCAGTCGGTGCCGTTATCGTCAGTCCAACAAGAGAATTAGCTACTCAGATAGCAAACGAAGCTATCAAGCTTTGCACTCATCACAAGGGTTTCCAAGTTAGACTTTTTGTTGGTGGTGCAAACAAAGGAAGACAACTTTCTGAATTCAAGAATGGCAGAGCAGATATCGTCGTCACCACTCCAGGGCGTATGAATGATGTTCTCCAAACAAGCCCAATGGTCAGAGAGGCATTAAGCACCTCCCCAATGGTGAGTTACACACTTCTATAACAGCTTGTACTAATTTGACACAGCTTATCCTCGATGAAGCCGACACTCTTTTGGAAATGGGCTTTAAAGACGAGCTCAACGCCATTATTGATCATTTGCCAAGTCATCCAACACGTCAATCAATTTTATTGTCAGCTACTCTCTCTCCAGCTATTAGAACAGTTGCAAAATCTATTCTAAAGTCAGACCACTTGTATATAGACACCGTACCGGAAGGAGAGAGCAACTCACACGCAAAGATTCCCCAATACTACTCTGCGTTACCTAATCCAAGTCATCAGTTACCACACTTACTCAGATTGATAGCCCACGATCAGTTGACAAATCCTAAGTCAAAGATCATGATCTTCTGCCCAACCACTAAAATGACTATGCTTTATTCAACGATTTTCAGAGCGTTATCAAAGGAATTACCAACTAAAGCCAACGTTTTTGAAATTCATAGCAAGAGAACTATGGAACAACGTAGCAGAGCATCAGAATTATTCAGAAAAGATAAAACAGATAGTAGTTTACTCGTAACTTCTGATGTCAGTGCAAGAGGTGTCGATTACCCTAACGTCACCCGTGTTATTCAAATAGGTATACCACCATCAGCAGACCAATATGTTCACCGTATTGGTAGAACTGGTAGAGGAGACAACAACGCCGGTAGAGCCGATTTCATTATGGACTACTACGAATTACCTTTCTTAACTTGGCAACTCAATCAACACAACATAATTGATAACCCCGCCAAAGAGTTTGTAAAAGAAGTTACCCAATTGGCTGAGAGCAGTGGAAAACAAGGCGCTCTTGATAAAGTCAATAATATTGAAAACGCAGTAAGCGATCTCATTTCACAAGTTGATGAATTAGCAGTTAGAGAAACTTTCGCAAGCCTTCTCGGTTATTACATGCCAAAAGCTGGTGTTTTGCGCACCACTAAAGGTGTTGTCATCGAAGGTCTCAAATCCTGGACTACTGATGCTATGGGTCTGGAAAAGCCTCCTTACATTTCTGACCTCTTTTTAAAAAAGCTCGGTCTGACAGACAACCGTACACAGAAATTCGGAAATAGAGATAGATATACCGGTTCTGATTCCAAAGAGTATTATAGCGTAGCACAAAAAAATGGTGGAAAAGACAGAGGTTTACGTTACAATATTGACGGTAAACAGAAGTTCAGAGGTCCAGATAAGGGTACACTGAGAAGTGAATGGGACAAGCGTGGTCTGTACGGTAATAGAGGACAAGGAAGGCCACCATCTGAACGCAACAAGCCAGAGTTGAACGCTAATGAATTCAGAGGTGCACCATCCTTTTCAACAAGAAATATCGGCAGTCGCAGCAATTTTGATAGGCCTAACCGTAGCTTCGACAAACCTAGAGGCAGAAGACAATACATGACTAGTGCACACCCAACCAGAGCAATCTACAAGCCAAATGAGAGAGAGGATTCTCAAAAACCAAAAGTGAGAAATACCATACCAAGAGCGCGAGTAGAATCTCATTACCGATTAGTAGAAAAAGCTCACTAGGAGACGTAGGAGAGAAGTTCGCGATTTCAACACTCGTCGGAAAGTAATCCAAGACTCCATGCAAAAATAGACAAAAAATGGAACAATATCCTTTTATAGATTTCAGCACTCACAACTCCTTAGATATATTATCATCATTGCATGTGTAACTATTTATCAGTTTTTAACTTATTAGATGCATTACAGTTTTACAATGAATCAATAACGTAGCTTGCCCAACGTGATTCCTGAATACGCTCTTTGTATTGTTCGTATGTTTTCATTAGTGCCTCACGTTCATTCGTCTCTTGAACGCTTTCTGCGAAGGATTGCATGAACTCTTTTACGAGATTGACACCAGTGTTTATGTCATCATCAGAGAACTTCTGTTTTTTCTCCTCGTGCCCTTCCAAATCTTCCAATTCATCAGCTTTGCGTTTAGCGAGCTGTTGTAATATGAGAAAGTTCAATTAAGCTGAATTGACTTACTTTTATAACACTCTCAGGGAATCCAGCCATTTGGGCGACATTTATACCGAAACTCTTATCACTAATACCTGGCTCAACTTTATATAACAAACTGACGTCCTCCTGGTCATTCTCCTGCTCTACGTGTGCTACGACGTGAAGGTTTTTCACATGTGTTTGCTGATTTGATAGAGCTGTAAGCTCATGGAAGTGAGATGCAAATACACAGAAACTGCGTAATTCTACAGCTATATACTCGGAAATAGCCCAAGCTAGACCGAAACCATCGTAAGTTGACGTACCCCTACCTAATTCATCTATAATAATAAGACTATCTCTTGTTGCTGATTTCAATATCGTCGCTGTTTCTAACATCTCAGCCATAAATGTTGAAATACCCTTAATCTGGGAATCACCAGCACCGACACGTGATAATATACAATCAAACACGGGTACTGTTGCTTTTGTACATGGTACATAACAACCAATTTGGGCCATTAATGCTATTATACCAATTTGACGAATATAAGTTGATTTACCACCCATATTTGGACCTGTAACTATCAAAAATTCGCTTTCATCTGCAATAATTGATTAGTAGAATTCATGTTCTATAGAGTCATTTACCCCTCTTCAATGTAACGTCGTTGGCTATAAAGTCAACCCCATCTTGTACTTCCAAACAAGGATGGCGTGCTTCGCTAAGGGTCATATCGCTTGTCCCTTTCTCCAATACCTCTGGCTTAACGAATGGATTGGCAGATTTGTCAGAAACATAGGCAAAGCTGTGGTTGTTAGGTAAAATACATCAAGAAAGAAGAACTACTCACTCCATTAAGACATCAACATGAGCGAGGACATTATCCAAACTCTCCAGAACAGGGCAATAGGTAGCGGCTATACCAACGACCTCTTTGACCAAACTTGATTGTTTCTTATCATACGCAGTCTGTACCTCCTTGTACTCGTCACCCAGATCCCTGAGTGTAGAGGTCCTGAAGTAAGTACCACTCTTGAGGGTCGACAACTCATGATATTTCTTGTTATTCGACACACTCTTAGCCTCTGCTTTTGTCACTCTAAAACAGTAGCCATATGTTTGATGTCTCTCCATATGCAGCTTTTTTCCTAGGTCAAGACCAAGGTCATCACCAACAGCTTGGTGCTCATCATCAAGACCATCTCTGATAACTTCCAGTTTCCTCCTATATGCCTTCAAATCGTCGTCGAACTCAGGCTTTATTACGTAATTATGATTAGCTAATTCATCCAAATCGATAGTCGATTCAACCATTTCTATCAACATGTTCAAACTACCGCTGAATTCCTCAAATGGCTTAATATAGGTCTCCTCAATGAGTAATTTTAGTGAATCATCCATAACAGATTCTTGAGTTTGTCTGATGAGTTCTAATAATTTTGGTATATTCAGACAAGCTTGGTATGTTCTAACTACATCTTCAAGATTTGCTACACCCCTTTGAAATCTCTTCGAAAGACGGTGTAAGTCTGGCATCTTCGTCATTATTTGTTCGCGCATTGTGCCTCTCAATTCAACTTCATTCATAAACCATTCAACTAGATTCTGACGTGAGTGAATCTCGTGTAACGTCATCAAAGGTTGTTTTAACCATTGTGCTAGTAGTCTTTGTCCTTGGGCTGTTTTGCAATGATTTAACAAACCATAAAGTGACATATTCTTCGAGCCTCCTACTTCGCCTGGGGACGGGAAAAGACTAAGTGCACGCAAGGCTGACGCGTCGAGCTTCATGTAGTGTGATAAGTCATGGTTCTTTAATGTGAACTGAGAGAAATTCGCAGCGTCACCCATTAAGCCTAGGTAGTTAATAAGAACTGAAGCTGAGGACATTGCTATCTTCATATTAAATTCGGAGGATTGTTTGATAGCTCCATCTTTGAGGAGCCTATCGAGATCTTGCTCTATATCTTTCGTGTTGAAATCTGATGGTTTGACTTCTGTGACGACAATACCACATCTCTCTATCAATGTCTTGAGTTTCGTCAAATCGTGATCAGTACCTTTGTCGTTGGATGGCATCAAGCATTCCTTTACGCCGAGTTGAATGATCAAAGATTCGACATTTGAGAAAAGATCATTATCAACGAACTCGCTTAATCCTAATTCGCGACAGCTTGCGTCACAGTACGCTGAGCCAACATATAAGAGGCCTTCCTTAACGCTAAGCTTTATCGCCATTGAGATAGGCGCTGTGAGGATATCAGAAGAGGCAAATAGCAAATCTTCTACTGGTTGTAAGTTTCCCGGCGAGGCTGTCTTCGCTAAGACAAACGACTGTGCCTTCTTTCCACCTTCTGATTCCCAGATTTCAATTTTCAGCTGTCTTGCTGTTAGAGCTTCGCGAAGGAAAGATTGAGCGGATATTCTATTAAGTGACAGAAAAGGCAGTGTCATTTGTAGTTTCTTTGATGTCATTTGCTTCAAAACAGTCTGGGTTTTAAAGACTTCTGTCGCGACATATTCTGCGTCTACACCATAGGCAGAGTAAAAATCCTATTTATCTATGTTAGAATCGCGCGGTAGTGGCTATGTCGAAACGTACTCCTCTATCGAATAGGCGAATAGTACCTTCAAGGCGCTGTATAATATATTAGAGTGTGTATATAAACATAAATTGGCGTACTTTTGGCATTTTCTTGTAAAATCCCATAAAAGAATCGTTTGAAGCGTTATCTGTACGCGTAGTTTAGATTGTGAGAATATAAGTGAAGAGATGCCTACCTGTATCTTTCTCCTTCTTCTCCTCTGAGTACCTGTATATAGTATAAGCTTATAATAGTTGATATCTCTCTATTCCCACATCATATCTTTTGAACGTCGACTGCGAAGATGAGATTTCTTCAAAATGTTAATTTGAAGGGAATAGCGTCACTCCAAACTAGATCTATACATTCTACTCCTATATTCTTAAAAGCTAAGCAACAAAGCGCTCAGGAAGAGACAGAAGAAGACTTTGGTGACGACTTAATTGGCGGCACTACAGAGGACGCTGTAGAGTCATCCAATGGTTTAGTAGAACAAGTACCATCTCAGTCATCTCCAAACAGCACTTGGAAGACAGCAGTCGACTACCTGAGTCCAAAACTAGCCGATGGTAAACAAATAGACCCAACGAACCGTCCAAAAGCAAGTAAAGTTGTAGACGCCCTAGTTCAAGCTAAGAATACTGAAGAAATTGACATCGGTATCGACTTATACAGACGTTGGCAGTCTTTCAAATTGGGTGTAAATCGTAACGCACACGGTCAAATACTCAATAACCTTTGCAAACAAGGTAGATCTGACATCGCATTTGAATTCTTGTCGGATTTCCAAAAGTTCAATCTCACTTTACCGGATAGAACCGTCGCTAGGACACTTTCACTCAGTTTGCACGACAAGAAAGATGAGAATGCAACACCATTACAATTGCTACCAATTTTGAGAGCATTCCACTACAGACCACATGATGCATTCTGCGTTGCAAACGCCATCAGATCAGTAGAACAAGGTGACGAAATGCGTGTCGTTTTGCTCGATTGGATTAAAGATTTGGACGTTCATAGGGTGATACCAGTTGAAGTTTCACAACTCGCAGACGCCGAGAAGGTCTGGAGTGATCTGCGTGTAATTGCAGAGGAAGAAGGCAAAGCTGGCGAATGGTTAGACATACTCGGAAACAAGTTATTGGAGAAGAAGTCAAAGAGTGAAAAATACGCTGAACGCAAAGCAAGAAAGCAGCAACAACGACAAACTTAGAATAATCTTATATAAATATGCATTTTTGAATAATTTGGGTTTGAGTTGTTTTAGTGAGCAAACATATGTATATATAAATACATATATATAGTGTGTATATAAGTTATACTGTCAGACTGACTCCTTCTCTTATACCACGATGGATGATATCAAGGCATCACTCGTCGGCTTAACTAGAGGCGAAAATAAGCTAGAAAATCTCAGAAATGCTATAGACAACAGTCAATTACCAATAGATGACAAGAAAGCGCTTGTAGAGGCCACTATCAGGGAAGAAATACAATCGTATTCTGTGAGTAGAATAACAATACAAAGATATACCGTGTTAATATATACAGACGACACGATCAATAGCACCTCAATACTCCGATGATAAAGTCACAGATCCATATCACACCGGTTTGCTTTCAAAGTTGGGTATTTTAGTCGATTTACTCAAGAGCGAAATGATTACACCAAATTCAGTAGTACCAATCATCTCCGATACACTAGATATACACCCTCTATCATCAGCTACTGTCATTTTCTCATTCCTGACCAACTTCATGTCTTCCGACGATTCCAACCAAGTGAAAACGATAAGTACGCGAAACAACCTCCTCAAAACCAGCAACGAGCTGTTGAGGAGAGCATCACGGACTAGAAACAGTGAACTATGCGGTGAAATCTTGCTCTTCCTCACCAGTATTATGCCATTGACGGATAGATCAGCTACAAACTTCAGAGGAGATATCAGAGAGTCAAATAAAACATTCATAAATGATCTTATAGACAGTCCAGATGCTGATGATAGCTATAAGGATTTTTGGCGTCTGCAATCTTACCTTACAGACCCAATGTCTATTTATAATGGCGGGTTAGTGAAAAATGATGACAAGGAAGTCACGCATATCGAAAGTTTCAAACAGCTGTTCAGCAATATATTAGATCTTCTCGTTCAAGCATCAGATAAGGAGATCAAAATGTCTGGATCAAAGTTAAAGAAGGACACGAAGAGGAAAGCAGACGAACTCGAGGCCAAATCAGACAATCATGAGTCCAATGATGCATACTTCTTCCCGGAGTATCTCGCTCAACCAAAACTATTCCCATTACAAGTAGGTATCATGGTAAATCGCGATTAGAACATTCTTTGACCATTATAGGTTGCTGATCCAAGCTTCAGATGCTGTGTGTTCATACAAATGTTCATCATTGTCCAATTTATAGTCTCCGTATACCCTAAAGAGCTTCTCAAAGCGCCAGAAATCAAGAACCCACAGGAGAAAATAATAAAGAGCGGCATACAATCGGACAAGCCACTTTATGATTGGGCATCTAATAAGCGAGCAATATTGCTTAAATCATTACCAAAAGTTTCACCCAATAATCTTGACATTACCCAACCAATTGTACAGCTTATGAAAAGGGAAAAACATTGGGTTTATTGGAAGATGGAAAATTGCCCAATGATTGAGTTACCAAGGGATGATCCAGAATTGCTCAATAAAGCTGAAGAATCAAGAATATCAAACATTTTCAAGAGCTTAAACCCAAATCCATACACTTGGGGTACAGAGTCGCTTAGTGAATCTTTCGAAGAAGGATATCAAGATGAACGAGATTTGGAGTTCTACCCACGCGCACCTGAACTCAAGCACTATGTAAATATGGCAAAATTGGATACGATGAAAGCCAAAAAGAGAAAGACTATGTTAGGTTTGGATGATAATGCTGATAGCTCTGGAGATCTTGAGTTAGAAGAGCTAAAAAGTGTCAGTACTTCAACTCCACATAGTATTAATACTAATGATGTTACAGCACAAACAGAGCTTGTCATGGCGTGGGTTTAGATGTGTAGCACGAAGCAACGCACCTATAATAGCTTCTTTACCACCCGGATCTGACGTTGAAGGCCTCCAAGCGGCTATTGAGAAGAGGAAGCAAGCTCAGGCACAGAAAGCTGCATCAAAGGAAAGCTCACCGGCTATCACGACAGCTGCAGAGATTGTCGATGATGGTCAGCGGCAAGAACAGACTGAGCAAGCTGAGCTTGATGCTGAGTCTGCGAAAAAACCAGCCAATGGTTCCCAAAATAAGGAAGAAGTCGATGAACAAGATATTGTTGAACAACAACTAATTGAAGATGAAATGAAAGACCAGAAAGAGAGACCAGAGGAAGCACCAGTAGTTCAGCCAACCATGGATGTGCAAGAAGAGGCGCCAAATGATTCGTCACAGCAGGTAGAAGATACACCCTCTGACGAAGCGATGAAGGATGAGCCTATAGAGGAGAGCACAGAGAAGCCGGAGGTGGAAGTCGTTGCAGCACCTGCTGAAGCTACAGAAATGAAAATAGATGAGGAATGAAAGTGCGAATGCATGCATGTGTAAATTATTGAAATCCAAGATATCGTTATTGATCGTATAGTCATTAGGTTGGTGTTTAGAAAACCATAGGACCGGCAACCTCATCGCGCTTTTCTTTACCGAGTGCTAGCTCTACCAGGGTGAGTGCGAATGGGAAAGCAGTACCAGGACCGCGAGAAGAAACGAGGTTGTCTGTGACTACGACTTTGTCCTCTGAGTAGGCATAGTCCCCAGTGAGTTCACCCTTAACCGAAGGGTGCGAGGTGATAGCCTTGCCTTTTGCGATACCAGACGACTTTATAGCCAAAGAACCAGCGCAGATAGTACCAAGGAGCTTACCCTTTACTTGGTAGTTATCTTGGAAGAGCTTCTGGACGCGTTTGTTGGCTTGGAGTGTGTTGGCGCCAGGACCACCACCAGGAATGACGACGATGTCGTAGCTTGAGAGCTGATCGTCGCTAAGGCTGTCTAGTAGGACGTCTGGTGTGATTTTAACGCCTCTTGTGCAGACGGCCTGAGATTGTATATCTACGCCTGCAGAAGTAGTGTCTATCGCAGCCCTGACTAGAGTATCGTATGCGATAGTAAATTCCATCTCCTCTGTGCCGTTCGTTATAAAAATCAATGCGCTCGTCATATTTTGATAGTGAATGTCTGGGTAGAACGCGTAATCACTCGTTAGAACAGACGTCCATGACGAAAGAAGAGAATTTGGCGCTAGTCGATCCAGTGAAGGCGAACGACGAGGAAAAATCAAAGCCATCGAAACCAAATAATGATAAGCCACAGGAGGAGGAGCTCGTGGGTCTGACGCTTTTATAGAGAACATCTCACTAAGACTACACACAGTCAGAAGAAGACTTGCAGCTTAAAACTGAGCTAGAGATGCTCGTAGAGAGACTCAAAGTGGGTTTGTTTCCTATTCCACTCTCTGGCTGACGTATGCGTAACAGGAGGACAACAAAGGTCTCTACAAACCAGCACTCGAATCTTTGAGAAGCTTCATCAAGACAGCAACTTCCTCTATGACTTCCGTACCAAAACCTCTGAAATATCTCCGGCCACATTACCCAGACTTGCAGAATTTGTACGAGAACTGGGAATCTGGCAGTGACAAGGTGAGAATATAGCACTTCATATACGACCTTGCTGATCCCTATTAGTCACTCTTTGCTGAAATCCTTTCAGTACTCGCAATGACATACTCAGACACCGGAAAACGCGAAACACTGCTCTACAGAATACATGGTCACTGTACGGAATCACCTGGCTCATGGGGCCACGAGTATGTCCGTCATTTAGCCGCAGAAATCGGTGAAGTTTACCAATACCTCACTCTCCCACCTGGCGAAGTTGGTCAGGCTGTAGAAGAAGACGACCCTATCAAGCCATTTAGTAAAGCATTAGAAGAACTCCCTGCATCACTTTCAAAGGCACCAAGCCAAGAGCAATTGTTGGAATTGGCGATGGATTTGGTGCCATTTTTCTTAAGACACAACGCAGAACCAGACGCTGTTGATCTTTTATTAGAACTTGAATCCATTGAAAAAATCGCCAGTCACGTAGACAGTGAGAACTTCCAAAAAACTTGCCTTTACCTCATCTCAGTATCTCCATTCTTGGAACAGCCAGACGACACTCAGGTACTGAGAGTAGCACACGACCTCTACCACAGCAACCACCGCTATCCTGAAGCCATAGTCTTGGCTATGCGTCTCAACGACAGAGATCTCATCAAGAGTGACTTCAAATCACCTACAAACAAGGTCATGCAGAAGCAACTTGCCTTCTTGTTGGCTAGACAGCACGTACCAATTGAATGGGTTAAGGAGGAAGATGAAGAAATTGACGGTGAACTATTTGAATGCCTCTCAAATGTCAAATTACCAGAATATTTCAAGGAATTCGGTAAGACACTCGGTATTTCCGAACCTAAATCACTCGAGGATGTGTACAAGACCCATCTCGAAACCCGCAATGTCAGCGTTGACTCAGCTAGAGGTAACCTTGCTGGCTCATTCGTCAACGCTTTCGTCAACGCTGGTTTCGGAAACGATAAGCTTATGGTCGATGCTGACGAAGGCAACAGCTGGATTTATAAGAACAAAGATGATGGTGGGTAGGAATTTAAATTCTAAACCAATTTACTAACGTTTCCCTCAGCTATGTTGTCTGCTACAGCCTCACTTGGTGTATCTCTCCTCTGGGATCCAGACGTTGGTCTGAGTCACATTGACAAGTACACCTACTCAAACGAAGATTACATCAGAGCAGGTGCTTTCCTTGCGACCGGTCTTATCCATAATGGCATCAAGACTGAAGTTGACGCACCACTTGCATTACTTTCAGAACAAGTTGAGAGTTCTTCAATTCCAATCAAGGTATCAGCTATTATGGGATTGGGTTACGCATACGCTGGTACACAGAGAGAAGACTTAATGGAACTTCTCATCCCATACGCAGTTGACGAATCACTTTCAATGGAAGTGGCATCAATTGCCATTCTCGCACTTGGTTACATCTTCGTTGGAAGCTGCAACGGTGACGTCCTCTCATCAATTTTACAAGCTATCATGGAAAGAGATCCAAAATCGTTAGATGAAAAATGGGCAAGGTTTGCAGCATTAGGTCTTGGTTTGGTCTTTGTAGGTGCAAGAGATAACAGTGATGTTATTGTAGAAACTGTCAAGACTATTGAACATCCATTCGCAAGATACGCTGAAATAATGATTGACATTTGTTCATACGCTGGATCATCAAATGTATTAAAGATTCAAGAAATGTTACACATCTGTTCAGAACACATCGATGGTGAAAAATCATCAGATCTTCATCAATCATTCGCAGTTCTTGGTATTGCAGCTATCGCAATGGGTGAAGATATTGGTGCTGAGATGTCAATCAGACAGTTCAATCATTTGATGCATTACGGTGAACCAATTATTCGTAAGACTGTTCCTCTTGCACTTGGTTTAATCAGTGCATCAAATCCACAAATGCATTTATTGGACTCTTTGAGTAAATATTCCCACGACAATGATTTAGCTGTTGCATTTAATGCTATTTTCGCAATGGGATTAGTTGGCGCAGGTAGCAATAATGCAAGATTAGCACAAATGCTCAGACAGTTGGCAAGCTATTACGCAACTGAACCTGATTGCTTATTGATGGTTAGGATAGCACAAGGTATGGTGCACATGGGTAAGGGTTCCATAGGAGTGAATCCATTCCACACTGATCGTACATTGCTTGACAAGAATGCATTCTGTGGTTTGTTATCTACATTAGTAGCCTTCACAGATGCAAGAGGATGTGAGTTGAGGAATTTCATTTAAATTCAAATAACTGACAAAAAACAGTCATTCTCGAAAAGGCCCACTGGATGCTTTACAATCTCACGATGGCAATGTATCCACGCATGGCTGTAACATTAGATGAAGATCTTTCGGTGCTCAAGACAACAGTTAGAGTTGGTCAAGCTGTTGATGTTGTCGGTCAAGCTGGTAAACCTCGCACAATATCAGGATTCCAAACTCATGAGACACCGGTTAGAATGGCGAACAATGAAAGAGCTGAATTGGCTTCCGAGCAATACTTGTCATACAATCACGTTCTAGAGAATGTCGTCATCCTTCGTAAAAACCCAGGTTGGGAAGATGATTCAATGCAGATATAAAGAATTGTAAAATGAATTTTTAGCATTTATTACAACGATGTCTTATAGTTACTTAAGTTACGAGACTTCTCGTCATTGTCTCGCTCACGTTGCTGCGTCGATCCGTAGAACGTTGAGAAGATTGAGGGAGATAGTAGTATAACAGATGAAATTATGAAGATAAGTATTTATTCCGAAAGGTATCTTCTTAAGAGCACTTATACAAGGCTGTGTTAAAAATAACGCACTGTCCCCAAAGCAAATTTTCATACAAGCTCCACAAGGGAAGAAGAAAGGAAATCGCGTATTTTTACTGATAATAGGGTAAAAACTATATATCGGAGAATTAAGTTCTAATACGCAGTTAAATAATGCGGGTTTGAGATTATAAAATCATGCACACTGCTGCGGTGGCCTATAAGACGATCCAACGAATTCGCTGTCTTCTTTTTCTCTAACAATCAACTTTTAATAAATAGAGTATGTGAAAAGCGGCCTCCTGCCAATTTCGGCGATTATATGGCCGCCCTTCCACCAAACTCGTTCTTGCTAACTCGTCATAACAGAATGGCATCAACAACCGTAGACCTCCTCATCGCTGGTGCCGGACCAACTGGTCTTGGTGCAGCTAAGCGTGCACAAGAACAAAAGGCTGACTTCCTCCTCGTCGATAAGGCCGTCGAAGCTGGTGGTTTAGCCTCAACTGCTACCACAAAGGAAGGCTTCTTGTTCGACGTTGGTGGACACGTTATCTTCTCACACTACGCATACTTCGACGATGTCATCCATGAGGCTCTCCCTAACGAATCTGACTGGTTCACCCACGAGCGTGTCTCTTACGTCAAGTCTAGAGGCCAATGGGTTCCTTACCCATACCAAAACAACATTTCCGTCATTCCAATTGAAGACCAATCAAAGGCTATTGACGGTTTGATCGACGCTGCCGTTGTCCGTGCTCAAACTCCTCACATCAAGCCAAAGACCTTCGACGAATGGATCGTCAGACAAATGGGTGAAGGTATCGCCGACATTTTCATGCGTCCATACAACTACAAGGTCTGGGCCGTCCCAACAACTCACGTAAGTTTCGGTAAAACTTTCAATTGCATCATCTAACAATGAGCTTTAGATGCAATGTAACTGGTTAGGTGAACGTGTTGCAGCACCAAACCCAAAGCTTGTTATCCAAAACGTCCTCCACAAGAGAACCGCAGGTAACTGGGGTCCAAACGCTACCTTCAAGTTCCCAGCTCGTGACGGTACCGGTGGTATCTGGAAGGCTGTTGCCAAGACCATCTCACCAAACAAGCTCCGCTTCGGTGAACAAAATGGTATCACTTCAGTAGATGCTAAGGCAAAGATTGTCACCCTCACCTCAGGTGAAACTATCAAATACAACAAGTTCATCTCAACCATGCCAGTTGACTTCACCCTCGACATCGCCAAGAACGTTGAAGGTATCGATGGTGCCAAGAAGGCCGCTAAGGATGGTTTGGTTTACTCATCAACCCACGTCGTTGGTGTTGGTTACAGAGGTGTTCCACCACCAGACATCAAGGGAATGTGCTGGTTGTACTACCCAGAAAACGACTGTCCATTCTACAGATGTACCGTCTTCTCGCTCTACTCACCACACAACGTTCCAGAGCAATCACGCAAGACCAAGACAATCCAACACTCCGACGCATCAATCCAAGTCACCGATTCATCAGAAAAGGAAGGTCCATACTGGTCACTTATGTTTGAAATCTCCGAATCACACCTTAAGCCAGTCAACCACGACACCATCATCCAAGACACCATCAAGGGTGCAGTTGCAACCGGTATGTCACGCCCAGAGGACGAAATTGTCTCTATCTACCACGAACGTTTCGACCACGGTTACCCAACTCCTTCACTTGGTCGTGACGAAGCTCTTAAGCAAATCTTGCCAGTCCTCGACTCACACGACATCCTTTCAAGAGGTAGATTCGGTTCATGGAAGTACGAAGTTGGTAACCAAGATCACTCATTCATGTTAGGTGTTGAAGCAGCTGACTACGCTTTGTACGGTGTACCAGAAATGACCCTCAACTACCCAGACATCATCAACGGAAAGCCAAACAAGGAACGTCGTCTCCAAAAGTAAGAACATCAATCATCTGCAATCAATCCACAATAAAATGTAATTTATACTTTTAATCTCATTCGCTTTAACGGAATTGTTATAAAAAAATTTCTATTTACACATAATTTCATTTTAAATATGAGAGTCTCTGATATTATTATCTATCAAGACATCAGGAGATCAGATGAATAAGTCTATTATAGCCTCATACGCAGTAGCTCTAATTGTTACAATTGTACTAGGTCTTTTTTCAGTTCATACAGCAAAAAGCACTAATCCTGTATATCACAAATGTGTTGAATCTGGCCTTGGGTTCAGGAGGCATCATATAATGGGGAATCGTTACACTATTAATTACATCCTTGAGACACAAACTGGTGTAAGTTGTGCTGACACTACAACAAAGGATGTTCTTGAATTGGCACTAAAAGAAAGTTTCGATACCCTTGCACGTTTAGGAACAGACGTTGGTAGTGTCCAATTCAGGCATCCAGATGGTTGGCAGACTTATATGACAATTAAACAAGTAATTAATGAAGGAGTAGTCGGAATTCATACAACAGAGACATCTGATGGGATTATCGTCTGGGACTATTGTCCGAGTTCATACTTAGAGTCATTCAAACATTAGAATAGAATCCATGCCTAAAAAATGTAAAAAAATGAATAATAATTTTAATCACATCTGCTTTAAACCGAGTAGTTATAAAAAATTTCAATTTACTTAGAATTTCATTTCAAATATGAAAGTCTTTGATATTGTTAGCCGAGAGATTAGATGAATAGGATAATCTCATATACCGTAGTTGTAATTGTTGCAATTGCACTAAGTCTATTTAAAGTTTATATAGCAAAGAGTGTTGAGCCTGTGTATCACAAATGCGTTGAGTCTGGCTTTGATTTCTACAGTGAAAAGTGCTCTTACAATGTCAATTACGTCTTCGAGACACAGACTGGTGTAAGTTGTCCTGACACTGCAACAAAGGATTCTCTTGTATTGGCACTAGAAGGAACTTTCGACGCCCTTGGACGCGTAGGAAAAAACACTGGTAGTGCCTTATTCAAGCATACAGATGGTTGGAAGACTTATATGACAATTGAAAGAAGATCGTGTTCCAGTTCCTATACCCCTCATAGACCAAAGACAGAGGTATCTAAGGGAAAAATTTACTGGGGATTATAGTCATCAATACATGAAAACAGAATTTATGTCTAAAAATATACAAATAAATAAATTAGCGCTTAGCTTTTCCTCTTCTAACTTGTGGGAATTCCAATGGGATCTTGAGTGTTGCCCTCCTTGCAGATTTTGATGCATCTTGTGATTCCTCCCCGCGTTGATTGTTTAATACGTTAACCTTCTCACGTTCGGCGAGATTGAGAGCAACTAATTGACATCCAAGCGATTTGAAAGATTCGTTAATCTTTTGTACTGGCATTGAAAGTTCTTTCGCGATTTGTGAAGGATCAACTGAATTATCATCGACATGTAAAGTCAAAACGAGTATGTAATTAAGTAATTTGGCTTGAGTAAATGGAGTCATTGAAGATTTAGTTGAACCTCTAGCCGTTTCGGTGAATTTACTAAACAAACCGTCAACGATGACGGGTGGTGCACCTGTTCTTTCTTGTACTTTAGAACGTGATTGTCTACCCAATGTTCTAAACGCGAAGAGATATGACATGTAAAGCAACAATCTAACCTTTGTTCTGCTAGACTTGTTTCCTTTGACTGTTTTGAGAGCCACCAAACGTTCAATTATGTAATTGACGCTATCTCCAGAAGGCAATAGTTGAGCGATAGCTGAGGCATCTTTTGCGGTGAGCAATTTGTCGACTTTACAGCTATTGAACTCTGGATCTGAGATAAGTGAAGATATCTTGTAGACTTCTTCTAAGCTACCACCAGATTGATCATATGGTGGAAGTGGTCTTTGAGCATCGGCTTCAGCTTTGATATTCTCTCTTGTTGGTAATATATCAGTGTTCTCAGCAATATCTTGTTGAATGTATCCCGCGACATTAGCCATTGCTTCAACATCGACTTGATTACGCTCAGCCTCTTTGATAGCCTTCTTAGCTTTCTTTGTACCGAAAGTTTCACCTAATGCGTTTCTAGCTCTCATTCTGTCTGCCATATCAGCGTCATCGAGTTCGGTTGATTTATGAGCCAAAGATCTAATTTGACGGTTCATTACATATAAAGGAGCCTCTTGAAAAGTGATAGTATCGCTGTTCTTACGCTTCAAACCGATCAAGTATCTAAACGATCGAATGAGTAAAAGAGAAGACTTTCTCGATCGACCTACCTCGATGGCTGCTCTTCTGGATCATTTGAAACGTAGTCAATGGAGTCATTAGAGCCTGCTATCAAAGAGTTGCTGTCGTTCGTGTAGGTGCTGAACTCTGTATTCTCCGGCGGTACAGTTGCACCAAAGGCAGCTATAAGAGAATGAATAAGAGTGGGAAATATACCAGACAATACTACGCACCCAACGCAGGTCCTTGTCCTTTATCTGAGAGAATCTTGATTTCAGTCATCCTGTCCTCGATTGAAGAGCCGCGATGGCTTTTCACGAGATACGACGAAGAGAGAAAATCTAAATGGGGATATGTAGGCCTAGTTTATCAATAACGGTGAAAGAGGTTACTTGGTCAGTCTATTATTTTCTATATACTCTTCTCATATGAGCCACAGCAACCAGATAAAGTTGAATTGGTCATTGGAAGCACTCTCTATAGAGAATAAGGAATCTATCAGCTTGACTTTGAACGGCAAGCCCTGGACGAAAGCCCACCTCAAGCATTCCTCTAAGGAAGAAGCTTCCTTGATTGTCTATGGCTTGACCCCGGGTATGGATTATGAGTTAGAGCTCAAATGGCTCAGTACATCATCTTCAATAGAGTCTAAATCTGATAAACCTCTAATCGCTCCATTGGAATCTACGCTTAGATCAACGGTTGAACAGAAAGATTCCCTAATGTCTGAACTAAAACGTACGAGAAAGGAATCACAAAGGCATACTGCTTCTATACAATCAGAAATTGAAGCTTTAAAGAGAACTATTGATAAAAATCAACCAAATGATCAGAGGTCAAAGCAAAAAATATTGAGTTTACAAGGTTCAATCAATAAAGCGAATAAGGATGCGGAATTCATAAACCAGCGATCTAAAGAAATAAATCAATTACTCCCTTCATTGGAAGCTCATCATGATCGACTGCGAAATGAATGGCTAACGAAACAAGAACAAGCGAGAGTTTCAAATGATTTAACAGCTCAGGCGTTACATCAACATGAACAGACCTTCTTGGAAAAGCAGCAACGACTGTCTGTTCTTAATCACAAGCTTGATAAGCTCTTCAATCGTAAACAGAAGTTAGAAAAGTCTATACCCGAAATCCAAAAACAAATTGATGAATTATCAAAGGAAGATGAAAGTAACATTGCATTTAATAGAGTCTATCCAACTAACACAACTGCATCTGATACAAGGCACCACTCACAAAGAAGTTTAAGTTTCTTACCATTTGATAACACTTTTAGTTGGGCGCCTCCACAAACTAGCAGTCCAACGGACAGCTTTTTGCCCTTCCCAACTTCGGCCTCTTCAACCAGACCTGGTACGGGCACGTCAGATAGGAAAGTCGTACCTACTCCTATAGGTAGACCTCAAACACACACAATTTCTGAACCTTTCTTTTCGCATCCACCTTTCCAATCGTTTGACGATTACACTAGGCGGCGGACTAATAGTGAAAAATCAACGACTAATAATAATTCATTCTTTTACAGAGACTTGTAAATCCTTGATATTGTAACTTATTCATCTTATAGCATTTACACTTAAAACTTTTAAAAGTCATCATCCATCATTAATTGGTGTAACTCAATGTGATAGTCATTATAAACACGTCTTGCTTTATCTGACGAACCGAGTTTAACATCATCTTCATCAGAATTACCAACTCCGCATTGTAATTTCAACAAGCATTCATATTCATCGAAACTAAATTCAGGCTTATGAGTTCTTAAACCATCCAACCATTCTTTAGGGTCAATGAGGCGTAATTCCCAAAATCTACGAGATAAACTGAAGTCTGTGCCTACTGGCCATGTAACTATTGTTTTAAGGTTTTGTTGCAATGCGCTTATATTTCTCAACATCTTCTTAGCGCCTTGATTGGTTGCATATTTAATAGTCCGAGTAGCCGACATAAGAATTTTATCCATGAGTAAACCAACACCATCAAATAAGAACCTTCTCTCTTCTTCTGTCAGTGTTCTCGAAGCAGCCTCGTCAAGTTCGTTTATCTCAGTATTAACTTTGACAATATTTGGATCCGGTTTACTAGCATCATCATCGATTTGATAATTACCGTTACGCATGGCCAAGTCGAGGTAGTAGACTGTAATGACCCTCACCTCGAGTCTCATAGTAAATAATATCATATCGATCAACTGATGATAAGTTTGCAAGAGTGCCTCAAATCGTCTAAGTGTTGTTAGCAATCTATGCTACTTTAAGAGCACCACTTACAAAACCATATCTTTCGTCAATGGCAAGTCTGCTTGATCACTTGGATTAAAGGCTGCACGAGAAGCTCGTGAATCCTCATCAGGCAAGAGTTGCTCAGAAGCTACCTTCAAAGCCGATAACTTGACAATGAAATATTTCTGTCCGAGTGTCAATAAAAGAGCTTAATAGAGATCCTTCACGTACCAGACTAGAGAAGAGGTTACCAAGACCCATCATCTTTTTCTTCGAGCATATAAGATCGTCATAACGAACTTTAACGGCATCATTTATACCCATCTCTACGCGACTCTCTTGAGCACAGAGCTCACGCTTCCTATTAACATCTGAAACCTTTACGGCCGTTAGAAATGCTATCGTGCTACCATTGTAAAATCAATCTCACAGGTGTAGCTAATAATTCAGCCAAACAGGCAGTAAGCTCACTTCGTTGAGCCCATTTAGCAGATAACTTAAGATCTGGCGTGCCATTCTCCACATTTTTGTTGGCCACATCTCTTCCGACTAGGTCGATAAAGCGTTCACTGCTGCGCTGATAATATTGTATTATCACAGTAATAATTAATCGACTGTAAGCTTCACGATGGAAAGGCGTCGAACGCAACATTTCAGATAAATGGCTTATCAAATCCAACAATCCAAATACAGACTGTGTAATGTGTTTAGTGTGTTATTCGTTCTGAATATTTACTTACCTTGACGACAGGTTTGGGTGTCTCGCCGATACGGTCAGTTTCTTCGGAGAAAGCATCTGAAGATGCTACAGCACCTTGGAACAATTCCATAACCTTGTCTTGCAACTGTGGTAAGAACACCTTCTCAATGAAGGTATCCATAAAGTCCCTGAGATCATTTTGTTGATCGTATTCACCTTCTTTTGCATCGTTGAGTGAAATACCAGATATACCCAGAATTTCAATACATTTATCAATGAATGAGCACGTCGGTTGGAAGAAGACTGGAATATTGAAAGGATCAGCTTTTGCGATGCGAGTATAATTTCTTTCAAGTTCCATGCTAGTTGGTATATTTGTCGATTCTATCAGATTCGCATTAGAAGTCTGGTTGGAAACTAAACCTGGCATAGTTGTCTGCAATATCCTCTGCAGGGCTTCTTCATGCGGTTTGATAACTCTCGTACAAGACTTTATATCCGTATCGCTAAATTTGAAAAGATATTTGGATCTATCACGCGAATTCTGGACTTGGCGAAGTACATCGTTGATTGAAGCGACTAAATTCGTTGTTGAACCTATACCATGGCTATCATCAACTAAATACCCTTGTATTAGACTTTGTATCTCAAATTGCATCAATTTCCACATTTCTTTCAAAGATACTTGCAATTTATCACCCACTAACTTGTATGAAACTTCAGAAACAACTCTAAGTCCCTGCAGAACAGCCTCTAATTTTGAAAATAACGTCCGGAATAGCTCTCTTAATACATAAGCACCCATATCAAGCTCTCTAGCTTTGTGCATATTTTCAGCATTCTTGAATAGCGACGAAATAATACCAGCAGTAACTGCAGAAGATGCAGGCATTTGATCACCTTTTGCATTAGTCTTCTGATGACTATCAGATCGACTAGCTATTTGATCTATAGTTGAACTGATGATTGATTGGACTTCAATTGGCAACCTCTGAGGAATTAAATCGAGTGCATCCGACAATTTACCTAGTGCATTCAAACTTTCTAAAACTGTTTGTATATACTCAAAAGAATCTGATTCAGAAGCACCCAATTGAACGCTATTCCTGTCTTGTTGGACATTCTCAACGGAAAATTCATGCTGAAGTGATGGCGAGGGTATTGGTGAATTGTTTGATATGAGGCTGGGTGAAGGTATATTCATGGTTGATGACGTAGATACTCTCAAATTGTTTTCTTCAACTTTAGTGTAATCTTTCAGTTGTACTTTCTGCAAATTGTTCAAGTACTTTTCGAAGTTGTTGTCGATTTCTGAAGCCTCACTTGGTACTGGTGAGGGAGGCTCCTTGTTTGGTTTGTAAGGTTTCCATCGTGTTTCTGAATATACTGATTTGAGGTATATATGATTATGAAGCTCCTCTATCAGCATCTCTCTTAAAGCGCTCTCCTGTGATTGCAAGAAAAGTCTGAGGTCAACGATAGCTCCAACACCACGTAGAGAAGGTTGATTGATAGCCTTCAAAGAGTTTATCAAGAGTAATACCGCCTCTATCCACCTCTTTTCACTTATCAATGATTCGAGCTTATCTGGTACGTTTTTGAGTGTGTCGATCTGATCTATTATCTTCATAGCTTCACGCACTTGATTTCCTTTCGACCAAAGCTGCTTGAGGTCTTGTCGTTGAGTTTCCAAACCGTCACGTGCTTCCTTGAGTGAATATCGCGTATCATTGATAGTGTTGACGGTGTCTAAGAGGGTATTATTGAATGTCTGATGTGCGTCTATAGTATTCTGAAAAGCATCTGAGTGTGCTTGTGGGTGTTAGTGACTATCGTATGTTTGACTATCGCACCTACTATTGAAGATACTCTGCAAGGCCTGCTCGAGATTGTGCTTGGTATCTAGGAAGGAATTCAAGGCATCAGCTTCTGAGTGGTCCATCAAGGCCAATCCCAATGTGACCGGGTTGAACTGTGTGTAGAATGAGAATATCGCAGCTTCTAGGACTAGCTACTAACATTTGGTTCCATAACGTATGCCCATTCATTTCTAACGTGCTTAAGAACATCTATGAGTGAGTAAGATACTGATACCACTTATAATACTCTACACACTGTTTATCTCCCTAAATGTGCCATCATCGAGACTATCTAAGGAATTCTCACGAGACTGTAGCAATTCTGGCTGCTTTAAACTGACACTTTCATTTCTAGTACGCCTTTGTGAACGGACAGGTCGAGATGGACGGTGATCCTCCATCGCTGTACAAAATCAAGAAGTTCAACTCGAACGTCCAAGACGAAAATTAATGCAGCAGCAAAAAAGACCGAGATCTTCAACACCAGGAGAGTTGAGCTTTCCTGGCACGCCACAGACTGTCGCTTCTCCGGAATCTAAGAAAGGTAGAGGCAGACCACGCAAGACTGATAAGGATAAGAAGGGCTCTCTATCACCAACGCTACCACAGAATGAACTAGAACCTGCACAGCCACAGCAGCAGCAGAAGAAGCCAGAGGAGGACGATGACGACGAGATTGAGGATGATTGGATGGAGGATGACGATTTCGAGCGTGAGAGAGTGCAGTCTAAGAAAGCGAAAGAGGATTTAGGGTGTGTCATGTCCCATATTTCACCGCCATTTGCTAAGCCAACCACGCAGTGTTCTCCTCCAGCATTTCTCATCTGAACAATTACAGAGATACGAAGTCTACAGAAGAGCAGCATTGAACAAGAACACGATACGAAAGGTAATTTATCATCCATATAAATCTTTGGCTCACACATTACCAGCTATGTAACCAAACGTTGAATCAGAGCGTGTCCCAGAATGTATCAATCATTGTGTCTGGTTTCTCAAAAGTATTCGTTGGTGAGATTGTCGAGAAAGGTGAGTGTAATTGTTCATTTACATAGCAAACCCCTTAACACACCCACAGCTCGCGAAGTACAGGAAGCTTGGGGTCAATCCGGTCCATTATCAGCAGATCAAATACGAGAAGCTCATAGACTGTATCAGAAAGACAAAGGCGCCTATCGTAAGCCATTCGTGAGATGAACCAAAATGTATTATCTGTAAATATCCATAAATTATAAAAGTACAACATCAATAAGTTATCTATATGCGAATTATTAGTCTAGGAATGCGTAAAAGCTTTCTCGTTTGTCATTATAGGTGATGTACTAGCATAAGAGCTTATGAAACTCCTCCTCTTATCAACTTGCTTATTTGATAGCATGGAAACGACATATATAGACACCAATGGTGCTTGTACCATATTGAGAACGAAACCAAAAACACCTTTTAATCCTTCTGACCACCAAGTGTGCGCTACATTATCCCTTCCACCAATCAGTGGTGCCATAATCGCGATAGAAATTGGGAAGATAAACATGAATATGATAACTGAGGAAACCAACCCTGAAATGATAGTGCAAATCAATGCAGATGGTGATGTAATCAGCGACTTAATGAGCCCGATTGATGGTAGCTTCTGCGAGCGGCGCGTGCCGGGCGGAATAGGGATGTGAGGTAGGAGAAATACTCTAGGAAATGGGATACGCTCTATAAAGTTTGACGGAATATTAAACGCGTGCCAAGGTACTCGTCTTTGGGCGTAATAATCCAATGTGAGTGTAATGCTCGTGAATAAGTACGTCAGAGTACCCTGAATAAATATTGTAACTGCCAAATCACCACTCAATGGACATGGAAAATACCACCACGATATTTGCTCCTGATCTGTTGCAATGTTAGTCAGTTTCTCCGACTGCCACAGGGTAAACTTGCCTTTATACATTCCCCAAGCTGGACATACGTTAGTGTATTTCTAGTAGAAGGTATATAGACCCACCAATCACAAAGTTCACACCTCCAGTGAACAGCGACGGCAAAACAGTTTGTATAAATATCAGAAAAATCTGCGCGATAAGTAAGCCAAATGAGGACGATAATTTCTAACTTACATCCAATGGTCTGTTCTTCTTATCGTTCTTATGTACCTGTCCAAGTCTTTTCATTGCTTCTTCCCTATCATGATTCCGTTGTTCAGTACCTGCAAATGAGACTGTACTGCTATTCGACCGGGCATCTATGGGAGATGGTTGCAGCCAATAATTGCTCTGCTGCTCTGTATTTATCTGCATAAGATATGATCGTTGATTTATAAAAAGAAGCCAGGCGCTCTGATCGCTTACTCACTCTCGATGACATCACTCGCAAATCAACGGAATTCCTCACATTCCCTATTTCTGCTATGGCATTCCTGGGGACATTCTATAGAGATTGAGTAAACACCGACGAATTTTTGCAAAGTTAAAAGTTTTTTCCGAGTATTTTTGTATATCACGCCACTAAAAGCCCTTTGTCTAAAATTTGTCTAACGGGAAATTGTATGTAATATTACAGGCCATACTTCACAATCTAAATACCGAAAAATTTGACGCATTCCCATATCTCATCGCACAACTTAATAACGTTTTGACATACATTCGGCGAGATTGACTGACGTATTGACGCACGTATCCACAAAGGAACATCTACAAAAAAGATAGTACATCTGGTATATTGTTAATATACTGTACGCTTTTTAGTATATCCTCCGAGATTGTCTTATGATAACCCTCCTGGTAGAAAAGGAGAGGTCGGATACCGAATTGTTGTGCACCAATGTAGTCGCTATATATACATTTATAAGTTATTTTAGGATTTCAGGGTCACATACCTTTTATATTCATCGCCTAGGAAGAGAACATGTTTTGGTTTTATATCTTCCAAATTAGATTGTTGCAACGCATGATCGAATATCCTATAATCAGGTTTCTCGAAGCCCACATCATAAGATAAGCTGATTGAGCTAAAGAACTGTTTCAAGTTGAGTGATTCGAGTACCGACACTAATGTATTTCAGCTATGTCTATATACTTTTTTAAAGACATTCAACTCACATATCCTATCGTCCGCATTTGACACCAATCCACATTTTACACCTTGGCTTTTTATTGCGGCCACTAGATTGTGATAAGCGGTTGATATCATCGATAGTAGACCTACGTGTGTCATATGCACCAGGAAGTGCCTCATAACCTTCAGAGCTTGCGAATCTATGAAGCAGTTCATTTTGTATGTTATTGAGTGTTTTTGGATCGACTGCATACGTCAATGGATAGCCTTCCTATATGGATTACCCACCGTATCTGTCATCCTGCTCTAAAACCCTCTTGATGATGTTTGACCACCAGATATTTGGTGTCCAGGATATAGATTTACCATAATTTGGTGCTAACTTACTCAATTCTTGAAATGCAACTTTAAACCTCTCTTTCACCTCATCAGGTGCGATAGATATATTATATTTATTGAATACATAAGAATACTGCGATTGTACTGCATTTCTTGGTTTTATAAGCGTATCAAACGCATCAAACAATACCAGACGAGTTCTCATTGTTCTAAAACAAGCCAAAATAATATCAAGCAAGGATATAGAAGCATAGAATGAAATATAAAATTATTTAATACAATGTATATAACATCCTACCCCCCTCAATAACCCTACAATCGTGCGCTAGCTCAACTTTCGCTAACTCGGCCCACGAGAGTTTATTCCCAGGTGGTTTGTTGGGAAGCTTGACCTTCTTGGACAGCGGTAGCTTCGGCAGCCCAGTCGGTGTTACCGAGGGAACCATCAGCAGCCCAGTCAACGGCATCGTTTGATTGGATGCCAGCTGCTACAGCTGGGTCAACAGCACCAGCTTGAGCAGCACCTTGGACGTCCCATTCTGGAATTTGTTGAGCACCTTCAGCCTCAGCGTCAGCGTTACGGCCTTCACCTGAAGCAGCGAGGAGCTTAGCTTCAGCGAGAGCAGCTTGCTCAGCTTCAACTTCTTCTGGGGCACGGTAGAAGAACATGTCTGGCATGATTTCCCACTTGTCTTGTCTTGAGATTGAGCCTCTCAAACGGAGAACTTCACGGGCAAGCATCCACCAGATGAGACCGATAGCGTGACGACCCTTGTTGTTGGTTGGGATAGCAACGTCAACGAACTTGAGAGCAGCGTCGGTGTCACAGAGAGCAATGACTGGAATGTTGACGTAGGCAGCTTCACGGATTGCTTGGTGGTCGACGCGTGGGTCAGTGACGATGATGAGACGTGGTTCCTTGAATGATCTGGTGATGTAGTTGGTGAATGAACCTGGGGTGAATCTACCAGCGATAGCTTGAGCACCGGTTTGGGCAGCGAACTTGTGGACAGCACGTTGACCGTATGGACGGGATGAGATGACAGCGACGTCATTTGGGTTCTCGACTGCAGCGATAACTCTAGCAGCGAAGACAAGCTTCTCCCAAGTCTTACCCAAGTTGATGAGGTTGATACCTAAAAATTTTGATTAAAAACTTCTCTCGCTGGGATGGAAATAACTAACCGTCTTTACGGGTTCTCCAGACGTATGGCTCCATAGCCTTTTCAACGTTCTTAACACCCATGTGGCAGTGGGCAGCTAAGAGCAAGCTAACATCTTCGGAGGTCATTTGGAGAGCAGACATGGTTGCTGTGTGCTAAATAATATACGTTAGCCTCGCTATCTCCTCTATATCTCTACTATTTACCTGGGTCTTTGGACGTAAAGAGAAAGCGCTCTCTCGTAAATCTTCTCGCTTGGGCGAATAACAAAAAATGAAAAATAAATAAATAAATTGTTATTTTAAATTATTTATTATATTCTAATTCAGAGATTATTTACAAATATCTCACTCATCTCCTTATACTCCAACCATGATATCTTCATCTCAGCAATCTAAGCAGCCACAGAAGAGAAAGTCCTTTGCGACAGAGCCACGTCCAGATTTATTCTCTACGCCTGACGAGTATTACGATATTGAGGATAAGATACTCAATCGCACACGCACACTCTCGATCTCGAGTGTCGAACCCAGACGCAGGCGGAATCAAATAGAAGGCGAGAATGTCTCCAGAAATCGTAGGCTCAGCCACGGTGGGTTATATCCTTAGTTTCTATTTACACTCCTCACACGTCATAGACGAGCCATCAAAGATCCCACGTAGATTCTTGGTCAACGTAGATGACACACTAGCCGTCGTTTTAGAACAGGAAGACACCGATAGGAATGCACAGATATCTATCACAGATGCAGGCCCTAAATTGTTCTCCCTTGGTACTGCATCCAGCAATGGCTACAACGCATTTGACATCAGAGTGCGTATTACATTATGTGAAGACAGGATATTAACTCTTCTAGGGCAACTACATGCTTTCAAACCTCCTCCAAGAACTCGCTACCGCTAAAGATCAAGGTCGCTCTCAGATCCTCCTCGACGAAGCCAGATTAGCGGAAGATCCTCTTCAGCGTCTACACAGGATGATAAGGTTCACATTTTGGAAGAATCTCACACGCACAATCGATCGTAAGGGCTTAGAAAAGATTATTCTCGATCCAAAGGACAGATCAGAAGAGAAGAACCCCTTGATTTATGTTCCACATGACACGCCTCATATCTACGACTACTATGTCAATGTAGCCAAGGAGAAGCCGGAATTGAATTTACGCGTGGAGAGACTACCAAAATACCCAGACGATCCTCAATTTGTAAGATCTATAAGCACCAAACCTGGTTTACTCGCATTGGAAATGCGTGAGTCTGCCACTGAACCTGGTCAATTAGAGGGTATTCCATTTGTTGTTCCTGGTGCTCGATTCAATGAGATTTACAATTGGGATTCTTACTTCATGGCATTAGGTTTGATTTCTGATGACCTCATCGATCTTGCCCAGGGCATTGTCGATCATTTCATATTCCAGATCCGCCATTACGGAAAGGTTTTAAACGGAAACAGAAGCTACTACTTGACGCGCTCACAGCCACCATTTTTGACTGATTTGGCTCTTCAAATTTATCGTAACCTCCCTGAAGATACTGAAAAGGAGAACAAGGAATGGCTTGCACGCGCAATCAGAGCTGCTATTAAGGAATACCACAACTTGTGGATGACTGAACCTAGACTTGACCGTGAAACTGGACTATCGAGATTTAGACCACCTGCAATTGGAATACCACCAGAGACTGAAGCGTCACATTTCTTACATGTCCTTGAACCATTTGCAGAGAAGCACAATATGGGCGTCGACGAGTTCATACAAAAGTACAACGATCAGGAAGTCATAGATACAGAATTGGACGAGTTCTTCATGCATGACATAGCCATTCGTGAAAGTGGACATGACACAACAACACGTTTTGAGAACTGTTGCGCAGATCTTGCTACTGTAGATCTCAACACACTTCTCTACAAGTATGAAGTCGACATTGGATTCGCAATAAGAGATTACTTTGACGACCATTTGGAGCTCTTTGATGAGTTCGATATCACTCCTTCACCTTTCACGGAGGAGGTTTCCGAGAAGAGGAAATCGACTGAGACTGTACAACACAGTAAGGAATGGTTCGAGAGAGCTAAAGGACGCAGGCACAGATTAGACCATTACTGCTGGAACGAACAGACAGGTTGTTATTACGATTACAACACTGCTAAGAAGGAGCAAACCACATTCGAATCTGTCACGAGTCTCTGGCCACTCTGGGCTGGTTGCGCTACTGAACACCAAGCGAAAAAACTGGTCGAAAATGCTGTGCCGAAATTCGAAGTAATGGGTGGACTTGTCTCATGTACTGAGGAAAGTCGTGGTCCAATAACACCCGAAAACCCAGTAAAGCAATGGGATTTCCCTTACGCTTGGCCTCCACATCAAGTACTGGCCTGGGTCGGTCTAGAGAGATACAGTTATATGGAAATAGCCCAGAGGTTGGCCTACAAATGGATATATCTCATGACAATTGCTTTCGTAGATTTCAATGGAACGGTTACCGAGAAGTTCGATGCTGTGAAGCTGACGCACATGGTGGATGCGGAATATGGTAACCAGGGAATTGATTTCGCCTGCGTCCCTAGGGAGGGTTTCGGATGGTCTAACGCAAGCTTCCAAGTCGGATTGACGTTCTTGACATCAAGCATGAAGACTGCATTATCTGTATGCACGACTCCTGAAGTATACTTCAGTCGTCGCCAAGCGGAGGATGACGAAACACTATCTCGTGAGACACCTTCAATACCACCCGCTCTTCTTGTCTCGAAAGGTGGCATAGAAAGTTTACAGAAGCAACCTGAAAAAGAGAAGCAAACTGTCGATGCGGACAAAGAAATTCAAGGTCCACTCGCAGACAAGAGAAAAAGAATGTCAATTGATATCTCACAGGCGATTAAGGGCCTCAATTGAAATGATTATAACGATTTCTTTTACGACATAAAAAGTAATGATACATAACAAGTTTATTCATACAGGTGGTCTCGCCGTTGGCGTTATCGTCGTTGGAGACCTCATTATATCCTCACTATCGCTTGGTACGCAAAGACTAGGCGTGCGTGAATGTGTCCGTTTCCTACCCGCCATACTCTCTGATGTTGCTTTTGTTGGCAAACTTGAGCTAGTTTCATTATCCTTTGTCAGACTGCTTGTGTCTGTGTAGTTTGCAATAGAAACGCCTGGCACATCCCGCTGAGGCGTCAAGAGAAACTGTGGGGTGAGACCCGGCAGTTGTTCAGTTTTTATATTATCTCCACTATCTGCTTCGCCTGCCGTCTCGTCATGTTTTATGGATTCCAAAGCAGCGACGAGATCCTCGGCGAGTGTCTCAGTATTTGGTGGATCCTCTACTATCGGTTCCCAACCAACTGGGGGTGAACCTGGAGGTGAAATCAAGAAATTCTTCTCAATCCCCGGTACACTTAAATGGAGATTATCAAGCTCCTTCCCTGTTATCGGAGTTGGTGGAAGAGAGAAGACACGCAGAAGAAATCTGAAGAGTATGAGTAATGCAATAGCGAGAAAGTAAAAACGCACCCAGTATTCCAATCAGACGCTAATGGTGGACAATCAGATCTCGCCCGCTGCCTCTTCGGTAAGCGAGGACCGTTATCGCGATTGTGATTGTGTTGTTTACCGATGGCTAGTCTATCTAGACGATCCTTGCAGAGTGCTGCATCGCCAGCATCCCAGAATATCGCAATCGCCCTGCTAAATGATGGCAAAGCAACCCAAGAGTAGAGCTTATTCTCTGAGCTTATGGCGTATGATTCTATGGCTTGCTTTAATATATTTAATATCCGTGATTGGAATATATTCGTAGGAAGATTAGTGAATACTAGTGTATTGCTGTGTATTTCGCTGGTCATAGTTGAAGACGGTCAAGGAGTGAGCGTCATAGATTATAATTGAAAAAATGATACTTTATTATCAAGATATTAGTCTACACACACCTTAGACTATCACGACCAAGAGCATTGTATGACGACAGAAAAGAAAACGGAGGAGGATGAGTGAGTCCGTATAATTATAATCATATTCTACGTCGTTCTCATCGTACTATTAGGTACGCTTTCGAAGAGTACGACGAGCAGGAGCAGGAGAAGAGAGCGATAGAGGAACGCAGAAAGCGTCGTGAAGCTTTACAAGCGGAATATGAGCGTTCTAAGAAAACAGACACACCTAGCAATGAACTAACACCAGTAGTCGGTGATATAAAGGGTAAAACAGCCGATAATACAGATACGATACCAGCTGTAGATTATAGCGATAAGCTCGATAGACCGGAGAATAAACAACCACAACGGTTTGATACTCCTGATGATGACAACGAAGATGATATGTTTGCACTATCGAACGAGCACCTCACTAAGAAGCAGAAAACAACACACAATACAACCGCAGGGTTCACAGCAGACGGTGCAACAGACCCTGAAGGATATTACGCCACAACACTCGGTGAAAAACTCGATAATGGTCGTTATTTGGTATTCGCTATGCTCGGTTCAGGGATGTTCTCTACCGTCGTCAGAGTGAAGGACAGTAAAGCAGATGACAAAGAGTACGCAGTCAAGATTATCCGTTCGCAGGAATCTATGTATAAAGCAGCCCAGAAGGAGATTACACTCCTCGAGAGACTAAAGGAACTAGACGAGGATGATAAAAAACACGTTATACGACTCGAACGAACGTTCGAACATCGTGGACATCTTTGCATAGTCTTTGAAAACCTTAGGTTGGTATTTTATCTACAGACGCATCTTTCTCACAATCTTATAGTATGAATTTGAGAGAAATACTCAAAAAATTTGGCGCAAATGTCGGTATCAACATAAAAGCAGTCAGAGCGTATGCTCACCAAATGCTTCTTGCGTTGAGTTTACTGAAAAAAGCCAACCTGATGCATGCTGACCTTAAACCAGACAATATATTGGTGAGTTGATCCAAATGAGGGTGAATTTTCTAACATAGCAACTACAGGTTAGTGAAAACAAAGCTCATTTGAAAGTATGTGACCTCGGTAGCGCAGCTGATGTCAGTGAGGGCGATATAACGCCGTACCTTGTCTCCAGATTCTATCGAGCACCTGAAATAAGTAAGTTATAAGTAGAAGCGAAGCACCGATATCTAACGGCCCTAGTATTGGGTTTACCTTACGACACAGCAATTGATATGTGGAGTATCGGGTGTACTTTATACGAAATGTATACTGGTCAGATTCTTTTCGCCGGCAGAAGCAACAATGAAATGCTCAAGAAAATGATGGAACTAAAGGGCAAGTTCAATCACAAGTTAATCAAGAAGGGCGTATTTGGAGTGCGGAAACAAGAAAATCATGGTCACTTCACCGAACATTTTGAGTTCATTTCATCAGAATGGGATAAAATTACCCAACAGCAGATTGAAAAACCTATAGCGATATCTAAACCTGTTAAGGATCTGCGAGCGAGACTTATTCCATCAATTAATGAACAGAAACACATGAAAGAGGATGAAATCAAGTCATTACAGTCGTTTGTCGACTTGCTAGATAAGATGTTAGCATTAGATCCACTCAAGCGGATATCAGTAAAGGATGCACTCTCACATCCCTTTTTCCATACGATTAATTTATAATTATTTATAAAAGAAATAAAGATGCATATTTTTAGTTGTACGGGCAGTCAGTCTATCTAAGATGATACAATTATGCCAAGACTTCTTCAGTTTCTTCGATGATCTGCGATTATATGTTAGTATAATAGTAACAGTAGAAACAGTCTTCACTCACCTCATCGATCCATTCTTCGACAGTTGTGTCATCTTTACCTTGGTTGGATGATTTCTGCTCTGATTGGATTTGTTCAAGTGATGCACGGCAACGTTTACGCCATTCATTCCATTGATCAACAAGTCTCTTACGTTGAGTTAATAATTCTGCACTAACGTTGGACTCTTCAGCAGCATCCTCATCTTCGAATATACGAGAGTATTCTCTGAGATTCTTTCTAATCTTCTTTTGTTCATCCTTTGGTAAAAGTGTCTTTGGTCTAGGTCTCCATAAGAATTGTTTGAAGTTCTCAACTGAAGCCTTCGTCAATTCTTGTCCCTTGATATCCCAAACGGCGTAACCATTTTCAAGTTGATGTCTCCAGACTGATGCTGAAGCTGCTATGAATCTACCAGATGGATCCCATTCGATATCTGTAATACCGTAGAATTCTGCATTAGCAATTTGTTGAATTTCTTCCTTCTTTTCATCAGCTGCGTAATCGGCGTCCCAGAATTCCAAATCGAATTTAGATTGTGATCCAATTGTAGCCAATATGAGATGTCTACCTCTTGGACTCCAGTGAATAGTGTTGACAGATTTATTTTCAAGTGTCTTCAACAATTTGAATACACCCTTTGCTTTATCAAGTTGGTAGAAGCTAGCAGCTGTCTTGAGTGTAACACCAGGTGCTAATTGTTGATTTGCAGTTGTATCTGGTTGAGTAATTATAGCGAATCTTTCACCTTTTGGTTCCCATGCGAAGAATGTAACAAGATCTTTGAGTTCGACGACTTCAACTGGATAATCCTTCTCACGAACTCTAAATATTTCCAAATTACAAAACATAGACTTCTTTGTCTTGGTATGACGATGTACTTGAACACATAAGAAATCACCATGGTTGTGCCAGTTTAATTTAGCATTTGAAACGTTGAATAAGTTCTTCGATCTTAAAACTTGTCTAGATGGGAATGAAAGGAGTGTTACTCTTGCAGGTTGATTCTCAACTTCAGGTGTCCAATATGCTAACATATTTTCACGTGTACCCTTGTTGTTAGCTGACGCGATTGCGTCCTTGTCTCCCCATGGACACCAATCGAAATCAACAACACCTGGTATCTTCAATGACTTCTTATCAACTAATCCCATATCAGGTACACCATAAATAGAGATTTGTTGACCTGGAACTAATCTTGCGATGTATTTTTCATCACCAGACCACTTGATATGTGGCCAAGGCATTTTACCTGGAGTTGTAGGGAATGTACGCAGCAAATCACCAGTCTTGATGTTCCAAACAGCTAATGAGTTACCTTGATCATCTTCACTGAATGGGCAAACAGTCGAAGAACCAGGTTGTGGTAAAACTATAGGCTCATTTGACCAGGTGACAAAGTAGTTTTCTTTTGGTGAGAAGTCAACTAATTTAACATTTGGATGAGCAAATCTGCAAACTTCATTCAAGGCAGGACCACCGTGGAGCATGACACCTTGACGGTGTAAGGTAGCAATATAGGTACCTTCTGGGGAGAAAGTGATGTAGCTGTTTGTCCAGTTGTTCTTGGTTTGAACTACCTGTGGAGCACCTGAGCGGTTGTGGTAGTTCAAATTAACTTGATCATTTTGGAAGGTAATGAATTGATCTCTACCTTGGCTATCTGATAACCAAGAACGGAGGTGATCTTTTGGCTTGTATTCTTGAATAGTTGGTTGGACGAATTGATCTGAAGCATTTAAATATTGGTCAATTTCTGAGAACTTGTTTATCAAGAAAGTGTGCTTTGAATCAAATGGTGCGTTGTCTAATCTAGCTATCAAGTTTGTAGCTTCTTGTGAGTTTTTGAGTGTTAAGAAGATATAACTGGGGGCTATTAGATCGGTGTGTTTATATGAAACGGTGAACTAACCCTTGACCTTTTCCTTCAGTCATTGGCATATAAAACTGATCATCCTCTACTTCAATTTGTGCTTTACCGGAGAAGGTCTTCCTCAAAGCCTTGAACAACTTTGGCATCTTATCCTCGCCGACCTCTGGCATTCCATCGAGCACGACGATAGAGTCTAAGTGGTTTAAGTCTTCTAATTGATGCTTTTTGTATATATCACTAAAATCAATTTCCTCTACTGACATGATGGGAAGGAGAAGAGTGCATATTTAAAAAAATCTACAAATTTATTGAGTCTTTGTTGTTTTTAAGAAAGCTCTCTTTACTTTCTTTATCATTAAATAAAACCAATAGTAATTTAAACAGCATAGGATTACTGTACCCGTGAGCTGTATTTTTTGTTAGACGTTCGACACGAGTGAGGAGAATTACTCACATAAATAGCAATTGAGAATGTCGATAACTTAAATCTATTATAAACCATTGATTCTACCATTGATTTAAGCATAAGATTACCTAAAACAATCCTAGCGAGGAAGAATGTCAAGACTAATAAGATACCATTAGCGTAATAGTAACCGGTTGTCTTCCAATTTGGTACCCTATCCATGAACCAGTTGATGTTCACAAATGGTGTACTCAATTCGAATAGCAAAAATCCCGGTCCAAAGTTCATCAAGAATGGCTGGAATGAGCTTAACATCATGATCAAACAAGCTACACCGTGGAGAGTAAATGAGACTGATCCTAAGTGTATAGATGTAATAGAGTCCCAAAGGAAATAGCCAGCCGATAGCGCATGTAATTCACCGACTAAGGGATGATAGTTGAATATGTTGTATTTCCCGATTGGATCATAGAAATATAAGTAAAATGATGGTAATATTACTATAACTGAGTGCACAAAGGCAACGAAATGACATTGCCAGTCTTTTTTTGCTTTCTTGGTTTGCTTATCATAAAGATCTTGGTATAGCCAGCTGAATAGGTATCCTGATATTCTTTCTAATAAAATGCACACTATAAAAGACGCAATTAAAGTCCTTAGATGAAATCTTAAATACGGTATTTTATCTATTAGTTCCATCTTGATGGTTGACGACCAAGAGCGAGAGAGAGATAGTTTTTTAGATTTTAGTACATATATCAGGGAGAAGAGAATAAAGTTGCAGAATCAAAACGACTCTTTTGACGTACATTCACAACTTTTCAGCGGTCTCGTGTTTCATGTGAGATATTAGACGGTGCTATTTATCCTTTTAGCTAACGAATATGCTCAGATAAATGGCTACACTAACCCCTCTTTACAAGAACTACGTAAGATCATTCTTCAGAACGGTGGAAAGCATATTCACCAATTGATCAACAAGTCTGACGTCACTCACATCATATCCTCCAATCTCACTCCCAGGAAGAGACTGGAGTTTAAGAACCTAAAGGTATGTACTCCAGATTGGATCACTCAGAGCGTTCAGCAGAATAAGCTGCTCCCGTGGCAAAATTTTATCCTAGATAAAGACAAAACACCACAGACATTACTTTTTGATTACAACAAGCCCAACGAAAGAGCTCAAGACTTACTCAAATCTGATGAATGGAGGCAATCAAATACCGCGAATTCTATGCAGTTTTTACCGTCCTTCTACAGCAACTCCCGTTTACATTTTTTGAGCTCATCTAAAGCAAATTTAAAGCTATTAGTACAATCAGCACAAGAGAATCTAGATTCTCGATCATTCACGACGAGTAATCCTGCAAAATCTTCAAAACTTTCCTCGGAACAACCATCAAAGAGATTCATTTTACATGTTGATATGGACTCCTTCTTTGTTTCAGCTTCTCTTTCCCAAGCTAAGCATTCGCATTTACGTCAGAAAGCAGTTGCAATATCTCACGGAAAATCTTCAATCAACAGTACTTCAGAGTTGGCTAGCGTCAATTATATAGCTCGTCAATCAGGATTAAGAAATGGAATGATCTTGAGCGCAGCCAAAAAACTATGCCCCGAATTGATTACCCTTCCTTACGATTTCGAGCTATACAACAAGATAACGGTCATACTTTACGAGATATTCCTCAGTCATTCAGATCTTCTGCAAGCCGTATCTGTCGATGAAGCTTTACTGGATGTTTCGAAAATTGTTGCAAATAAGTCCAAAGATAATACTTCAAATGAAGATGAGATAGTGTTCAACTTAGCAGAGGATATTCGAAATCTAGTTAGAGAACGTACATCTTGTGAGGCAAGCGTTGGAATTGGATCCAACATTCTTCTTGCAAAGGTGGCGACAAGACGGGCCAAACCAGCTGGTACATTTCATCTCAAGAGTGAACAAGCTGTCGAATTCCTCAATCCACTCCAGTTTGACTCCCTTCCTGGCGTAGGCTCGGAAATGCGGCATAAAATTCAGCATCAATTGGGTGTATTCAACATTGGAGAACTCATAAGAAACAAATCCTTGAGTGATGTACAGCGTGTGCTTGGGAAGAAACTTGGTGAGACAGTCTGGAACAACTCGCACGGTATTGACGATCGTCAACTCGTATTCGAAAAGAAGAGGCAGTCTGTTAGTGCCGAAGTGAATGTGAGTAGTAACGACGAAGGAACTTATAACTCACATTATTTTAGTATGGAATACGCTTTGAGAATATGGAAGAAACGGAGAAATTTTTCTATAATCTCTCGGGCGAGCTGTCGAAACGACTGATCGAAGCGAAATGCAAGAGCAACTCTCTCACTGTGAAGATAATGACGAGGCGGCAAGATGCTCCGAAGGAAGCTGCAAAGTTTCTTGGACATGGTGTTGTCGACGTACACAGCAAGTCGAGACCTTTGTCTACACGTAGTGGTGGGGCAACTGATGAACAAGAGCGTATATTTGAATGCTCGTGGAAGATTTTGCAGAGTGTGGTGAAGGACTATAAAGATTTACGTGGCATAGGATTTCAAGCTCAGAAATTAGAGCATAAAGATGATAAAGAGAAAAAAGGTCAAATAGAAGGGTTCTTCAAACGTCCTCGCCAATCAACAGAGCCCAATAGTGGTGCTTCCACTAGTCAAAGTAGACTACCCGAGAAGGCACCGCAACCAGCTGCCAGACCTCCAGTAGAGGTTATCGATATTTCGAGCGATATGTCTGTAGATCTCGATGAAAGTGATGACAGTATCGGTTCCACGCTGAGCATGCCAACACAGGCAGATCGTAAGGTGTGGAGAGCTATTCCACAAAACATACGCAAGGAAGTGTTGGAAGAAAGACAGCGTATCAAAAATACTCTCAAGACGCCTTTCAAAGTACCGTTTAAAACGCCCAATAAAGCAGAAAACAAGATACCACCAGGTGAAAAATCACCTATTGTTAATATACCAAACACACAAGCGATACCAGCAACACCATCTATTAACATGCTTCCATCCCAGGCTGATCCTGCAGTCTGGAAAGCACTACCATCCGACATTCGAAAGGAGGTGCTGAGCGAGAAGCAAATGAGTAAGACGCCGGTGAGGGCACCTCCTCCGCCATCGCCCATCAGCACTCCCTCTGTCGATATGAAGCCTAGTCAGGTTGACGGCGGCGTCTGGAAGGAACTACCATCTACAATCCGCAAAGAGATACTTACTGAGAGGTTTGCAGATAGGACGAAGAAAATGACAATGTCGAACAAACAACAGCAACAACAGCAAGAGGTTTCTTCGCCTAGCCTCGTCGTGCCTAATAGTCAGATCGATCAAGGGGTCTGGCGAGAGCTGCCTTCAAATATACGCCGAAATCTCACAGAAGAGCTCAGCAAATCACATAATCACAAGCCCATGAAAATGACACATACGATCTCTGCCCAAACATCTGTCAAAGCTCAACAAGTATCAAATAGAATTACTAAGAAAAGTCAACTGATCGCTAGGCCATCAGTAATACCAATGTTAATGCGTAAGACAGACATTAAAGATGTCCTCAACGTTGTTGAGAGTTGGCTTGACATTTTCAGAACTCGTGGCCCTCATGCTAGTGATGTTCAGCGAATTAAGGTCTATGTCGTCAAACTATTGAAGCAAGATACTGATGGAATGTCTAAAACACGACGTATTCTCAAACTATGGAAGAGAAAAAATGATGACTTCCTTCCTGTTCTTGATCTCGATCTTTCTGAGAAATGGCAAAATGCTTTCGCAAATGTGAAACAAACTGTCGATGAGATAGTCCAAGAGAAGTACGGTAGTAATTTGAGTATAAAATGAGTAGATACAAATGGATATTAAAATGAATGTTGTATAATTGATAATAAACGAGAGTAGATATTGATGTTTTGATATAAAATTTGACTAGCTAAATTATTGGATTTGGTATTTGAGGACTTAGTTTCCACCGAACAGTTTGTTCCAGTCGAAGATAGAATCGAAACAATCTGGAAGGTCGTCCATAATGTCGAATTCGAATTCACCATTGTCTCCGACGAACGGAATCATACTAGCGCATATGAAGCCGAGTTTGCCAATTAATGTCAAACCTGCAAAGATTGCAGCTTCTATAGAAAATTTGCCGTGAATAAAGTTATAAAGTAACAAATTCACACTCACGTCCGGCCATTTTGGCTTCTATTCCCTTAGGATCCCACTCGATACCGCGATTTTTAAGCTCTTCCATCAAGCCTTCAAGTTTCCTGCCATGTATCTTGGATCTACGCTCAGGAAGAGTACGTGTGAGCTCAAAGATATTTGAAGGTGGTTTCGAAAACCTCGAAGAACCACTATCTACGCTATCTGCGACTGAGAAATCGAGTGATTGTGATTTGCGTTCCTTGATTTCTTGCGCATAATCTTGCGTAGCTTTATCGCCATAATTGTAAGACAAGTAATGTTTTTCTATTTTCTTGATAAGCGTCTTATCATCCGTGTCTACATCTTGTTAGAGTTGTGAGAGTATAGAAGAAAACAAACCCTCTAATCCCCATTTGTAGCTGTATAAGGTTAGTCTGTACTACCAAAGAAGCCTCCGTCAGCACCTACCCCGTCTTGTTGAAACCAATCTGATTAAAGTGAGTAAGACATCGGAAAAACTAATAATAAGCTTACAATAGTGTGAAACTGAATAAAACCTTAATTTATTTTTGATATATGATAATAAAACTTACTAGCATAGTTAACGTTAATAGGAAAGCTTATATTCAAATCTAGGAATGCGTTGATTACGAAACGAGGTATGAATACACGGCATGGCCAACTTTGAGCTAAATGGGAATCAATTCGTATACAAAATTCGAAAACATTCAATGATAAAAAAGGGAATTCTGTGTGTACTAAAGAAGAAGATATACGTTATAAGCGAGAAATTGTACCGATGGTCAGTTATTCTATAATAATATTTAGGAGTTATTCAGTTGATTGTTCTCCCTAGCAAACGCTATCTTAGCGTCTGCGTTGTGTGCGTCTATTTTGACCTCTGAACCACCTCTAGTGGAACCGTCTAAACCTGCTATGAGGAAGCGATTGTCAAAACCAACGACCTGCGTCGCTCTCTTCTGAGCGCCTTCTGAGAGATTTATCTGCTGGGCATCCGCAATCAACAATCCAGACTTTCAGGTTGTGTGAGAGTTTTCAGGCACAAGCATTAATAAACCTACGAAACACGGTGGTAGTAAAACCTCAACAGGACCTTTCTGTGATTTAGCTTGTAGACGTAATGGTAGTCTGCTTGGACAATCAACGACTTCAACTTTGACTCTTCCCGATTTCGAAGAAGCCTCGACAGTAGCGATACCTGATCCACCACTTACCCAAACCTAGGAATTTAATGAGATAAAAAGGATAATAAATGGATATACTCACTCTAACATCAACATAGCCGTCGTTAGTCTCAAATCTAGCTGAGGGACCTTGTAGGGCTGCTTCGGTATCATTTTCAGCGGTATGGAAAGCAGCACCTGTTGCTATATGAAAAGAGCCCCTTATTGGCATTCTATGGGTCTGCCTTAGATGAGCTTGTTGAGGGTGCAAACCAGCTGGAGGTGCAGGAACGGCGCTATACTGTGAGAACTGTGTAGCTAATTAGCTGATTATTTTTATTATAATATCGACCAACTTGTGATTGATCAGTCAAGGGATCCTACCGAAATATTTTAAACACCGATGGAGCGTTTAAAAAGCCGAACTCACCATGGCTGAGGTATATGAGTATGGCTCAGGGGGTTGGAATATATTTGAAGTCGTAGACATGTCAGATCGCGGCGTATGGGCTTTCACTGCAGGCGGAAAGGGCGATTTGAAGCTAGAGAAATCATCCTTGTCCTTAGTTGTAAACGTGGACCTTTAGAATATCTTGTAAGTTTTATTTTCTATTTTTTTATCCTCAAATCTCACATAATTCCACTATAAGTTCTGAACAAAGTGATAAAACGTGAAGAACGACGATGTAGGATGAAATTAGACTATAATTAGAGATCTGTTAAAAATTATTATACGTTTTCTTCTTATTCCATGGTATATACTCCTTATCTCTCTACTGCCATGTCAATTGATACGCAGAATGGTCAATTTGTCGATAAGGATACGGGAAGGGTCGTAGTAAGTTAGGTTTAGGCGATGTACAACTATCTAACTCATTAGATCCTCCGTGGTGTTAACCTCGCTGCTTCAAAGATACCAAACAATAGTCCCACTCAAGAGATAGGGAATCACTATGACGACGCTGAGAATGGTTCAGTTAGCTACTCAGATAGACCATTCGATATGTCAACTATCGATACACACTGTCAGCGGCTCAAATCATTCGGCTACAATTGCATACGTTACGTAATTACATGGGAATCTCTCGAATCTAAAGGACCTGGTATATACGATGAGTCATTTATTGATCACACAATAAAAACATTAAGGAAATTAAAATCTTATGGTTTCTATGTATTTTTAGATCCACACCAAGACTTATGGTCCCGTTTCGTCGGTGGATCAGGTGCACCTATATGGACTATACATGCCTGTGGTCTACAACCAAGAAACTTTTCAACAACTGAGTCAGCACTATTACACAATGAATGGAAAGATGGTCCACAGAACTTCCCAGACATGATTTGGTCAACGAATTAGTAAGTATCGGTCTTGGCATTGCCCATAAATATCTCATGATCCACGAATAGCTACCGATTGGCATGTTACACCATATTCACACTCTTTTTCGCTGGAAAGAAATACGCACCTTTGTGCAAGATTGATGGTGTAAACATACAAGATTATTTGCAAGGACATTACATTAGAGCATTCAAGCACCTCGCTGAAGCCATACATGCTGCTGGTGATCTCGAAGATAGTTGCGTATTAGGATGGGACTCAATGAATGAGCCCTCATGTGGTTTAATCGGTTACGAGAATCTCGGCAAGTTGTATGACGAACAGAAAGTAAAATTAGGCAGTTGTCCAACACCACACCAGGCATTTATGCTTGGTAGCGGTTATCGTACGACAGTTCAATATTGGGAGTTTACAGCTTTAGGTCCAAAAAGGAGGCGGGATGTCGTCGTTGACCCTGGCAACACTTCAGCATGGCTCAGTCCAGAAGAAGAGCCCGATGGTAAATCGCGATGGGGATGGCAACGAGATCCTTATTGGAAATTAGGCAAATGTATATGGGCACTCCATGACGTCTGGGACGATCAAACAAAAAAGCTGAAACAACCGGAATATTTCAAAGAAGTTCCTCAACCTTTCGTAGATATACACTGGAAAGAATTTGTCACTGAGTGGTCGTCGAATATAAGGAGTGTACATTCTAATGCTATCCTTTGGATAGCACCACCTGTTTTCGAAAGACCATGCTCTTTCAAAGATGACACTTTAGGAGGAAGGGCAGCCCTATCACATCATTATTACGACGGTTTAACGCTTATGACCAAGCAGTGGCATTGGTTTAACGCAGATGCAGTCGGTTTATTAAGACACATGTACAAATCTGTTCTTTTCGCTTTAAAATTCGGAGAGAAGGCTATTCGTAACTCCTTGAGGAATCAACTCGGAGCACTCAAAGATGATGCTTACCTTCTATCGTCGAAGCATTATCCTACAATGATTGGCGAGATTGGTATACCTTACGATATGAAATCTACAAGGAAAGGAAAATGGAAAGGTGGTTACGGCGACCAACGTAAAGCTCTGGACGCATCTTTGAATGCATGTGATGGATCCAATTGCTTGAGTTATACTTTATGGTCTTATGTCGATTTCAACAGTCATGAATGGGGAGACGGATGGAATGGCGAGGATCTATCGATATGGTCAAAAGATGATATGAATAGTGATACTACTAAATTGAAAACATTATCCTATGAAGAGAGCACATTAATGCCTTTAATAGAATCCAATCATGGTTCTTCGTCAATTTCATCGAATTCTAGCAACACCATTGATTTCCTCGACGGTACCAGAGCGCCTGAAGCTTTCATAAGACCTTATTTTGAATACACGAATGGCACACCGCTTTACATGGACTATTCAATATCGAAAAAGTCATTCCAAGGTAGAATTGGATACAACTCCCAAGTAAAGGAAACAAATGTTACTGAAATCTTTATACCTAGGTACTTCTTCAAAAATCCTAAAGTGGATATCTCTGAAGGTGATTATGAGATAGACAAGGATAGAATATATTGGAGATATAATTTCAACAATAAATCAGATAAATTAATAACCATAACAGACATAACAGAATCAAATATACCACAGACATCAATAACGAACAAGATTGCAAGATTATTTTCAAACATTATGAAAAACTTATGTAAGAAACAACTATAATTTTAACAATTTAAATTTTCATTAATACAATTTGAATGTTATATCTATTTTGAGTGTGATAAGTAGTAGTTAATCAAACCTGCTGTTGAAGAGCTAAGCTCGTCTGTTGAACCATTACCAGATAACTTTGGAAGAATGGATTTAGCTAAAACTTTACCAAGTTCAACACCCATTTGATCAAATGAGTTGATCTCCCAAACTGCACCTTGAACGAAAATCTTGTGTTCATATAATGCGATAAGTGCACCAAGTGTAGCAGGTGTAATCTTTTGTACAACTAATGAGTTAGTTGGCTTGTTACCTGGGAAAACCTTTGATTTAACGAGTGTTTCATTTGATGCTTGTGCACCTAATTCTTTCTTAACTGTTGCTTCATCTTTACCGAATGCTAAAGCTTCTGGTTGAGCTAAAGCGTTAGATAAGAGAATCTTGTGGTGTTCACCAATTGGGTTGTGAGTTTCAACAGGGAAAATGAAATCACATGGGATTAACTTTGTACCTTGGTGAATTAATTGGTAGAAAGCGTGTTGACCGTTGGTACCAGCTTGACCCCAGATGATTGGACCAGTTTGGTAGTCAACGTGTTGACCGCTCTTGGTGATGTATTTACCGTTTGACTCCATATCACCTTGTTGGAAGTAATCAGCGAACTTGTGAAGGTATTGATCATATGGTAAGATAGCGTGAGTTTGTGCGCCATAGAAGTCATTGTACCAAATACCGAGAACTGCTAACAAAACTGGCAAGTTCTCTTCAAGTGGAGCATTCTTGAAGTGTAAATCAATGTCGTGAGCACCTGCCAACAATTGGTGGAAGTTCTCGTAACCAACTGCAATAGCAATAGTCAAACCAATAGCGGACCAGAGTGAGTAACGACCACCAACCCAGTCCCAGAATTGGAACATGTTCTCTTGTGCGATACCGAATGAAGTGACGGCTTCGGTGTTTGTAGAAAGTGCAACAAAGTGCTTAGCGACATGTGCCTTATCCTTAGCGGATTGAAGGAACCAATCACGAGCGGTAGTTGCGTTAGTGATAGTCTCTTGGGTTGTGAAAGTCTTTGAAGCGACGATGAACAATGTGTTCTCTGGATCACAAGCCTTGAGGGCTTCTGCCATATGAGTACCATCAATGTTTGAAACAAAGTGGAAGTTGATGTCACGCTTGATGTAAGACTTGAGTGCTTCAGTTACCATGACAGGACCCAAATCTGAACCACCGATACCAATGTTTACAACATTCTTGATTGGCTTACCAGTGTAACCCTTCCATGATTCATCGCGGATAGAATCTGAGAATTGTTTCATGTGTTGGAGTACTGCGGTAACGTCTTGTACACCGTCCTCATTTTGCTTGAGTTCGCCTGAAACGTTTCTCAAAGCTGTGTGCAAAACGGCACGTCCTTCGGAGGTGTTGATGTGTTCACCTGCATACATTTCATCACGGAGCTTCTCAACGTTGGCTTCCTTGACGAGGGAGAGGAGTGACTTGAGGATATCGTCATTGACGATGTTCTTGGAATAATCAAGGAAGATGTTAGCGTCGGTGTATTTTCCCTTGAATTCCGTGGAAAGCTTCTCAAATCTCTTCGGATCTTGAGCGAAGAGTGAGTTAAGGGTGAGTGAGTCCTTGTTTGACTCGTAAAGTTCTTGGAGTTTCTTCCAGGATGGGTTGGCTATTTACTTTTTAGATAAATTCCCTATTTTGCTCTTATTCTCACCAGTTGCAGGCATTAGCGTAATGGATTAGTGTAAGGAGAGACAAATGATTGCATCAGCAGAAATAATAAATTTACAAAATCAACAAAATAAAAATAAAAACAATCATCTTAAAGCTAATACTTAAATCTCTTTCTACCTCTAGTAACTTCTTCTTTGTCACCGAGATCTCTAAACGGATTGTCTTCTTTGTCGGAAAGTTGCGCGGATTGTTTGAGCCTTTCCAGATGCACTTGGGAGTCCTTCTTCGTGCTAGAATTACGATGCTTGTAGAATATGCTTCCAACTGGTTGCGATTGATATAGTTGTACCTCCTTCAGTTCGGAGTGCGACAAACGAGGAAATTGACGGGTATTATGTCCGATTGGCTGCATGTTCGAGACATTAGAATAGTCAAGACTGTTTCTTTCTTGATATTTCGCGAACGGATCTACATCCGACAATCTTTGCTTTTTGTTCGGATCGTCCAGTAAAGCTTGACCAGGCTGTATGGCTACTATTAGAATAAATACCGATAGTAAACATCCACTCACAACTTCATCAAACGAAAAATCTACACTCTTCCATAAATTCAATTCCTGCTGATAAAGCTCGTTTGATTCATCTTGCACTGTATGCGTTGGCTGATTGTAGAGATTTAAATTTGACAAAAAGCTCCTCATTGTTTATATGATAGATTGGTTAACCGTTATAAATTTTAATATGACTGGACTGTTACAAATATGTCATCGCGATCACGTCATGACTAGAATTTTGGAATGCGCAAACTGAGACAATACATTTCCTAATCGGTGATGAGATGATGAATTCCGAACTTAAAACTTTACTCACTTTATTTGGTGCCACACTTCGTACGTGGTGTAAATTATAACCATCCATTTTTGGTTCTACAGTGTGACCTAAATAGTCACTAGCTCTCTTTCGGAGATAAAGATTAGCAATCATGAGTGATTAGGAATGCAAATTAACTCACCTGACATATGTCGACGGTTGCTTGTTCCATATCTGCCGCCTTTGAGAAACAGTGTACATGTACCATCGGCCGAGTGAATGATAGTGGTCTATCCGTATCTGAGTACTTCTCCTGAATGGCTTTATAAGTTGGCTTGAACGCATCCAAGAATTCTAATGCAGAGGCTGGTAGATTCATGATGAAATGGTCGATGTAATCCCTAATTGGGAGTAATTTAGGTGATTTGTTCGCATGCTTAAGCTCTTTTTGTTGCTTTTGCGTAAGTGAAGGTGTTGTCTCTTGGAATGGCTCGTCTAGTAGTAAGAAAGGTGCTTTCTTTATGAATTCTCTACCATCGAGGTTGAAACTTCTAACAAATCTATCAACTTTGTTGGATTTTATGTTATGATTTAACCATTTAAAGCTTTCTGGATTCAAATCATTTGCTAAAAATCTCACATTGTTCTTTGCTGAAGGGATAGCAAATGGGCCTACACCAGCCATGACGTCCGCGACAATTTGTGGTTCCTTGAAGCTATTAACTAGTCTTTCATGCTCGTGTGATAATCTCGAATTCCAGTAGACCTTTTTGAAATCGAAAGTAAACAATGAATTCAATTCCTTTGTCGTAACGATGTAGTCATCCACGCCAGCTAATAACTCCATTGGGAATACTCTAAATTCATTGTCTATCGTATCCAACTTATTGACTACTGTTTTTATTGCAGGATTTTTGTCTATAATAACCTGAGCTATCAATTGCTTGTAATCTGAATACTCTGGTTTGAAATTGAAATGAGCCAGATGGCCAGTTTGAGTGAACGATGTTTGCAGGCCATCCTTTGTGAGCTCCTCAGGTAACAACTTCTTCAATACGTAGTCAGCGTTATAATTCCCGTAATCTAAATCCAATTGATGTTGCTCTAATACTAAACCTTGATCTTGTATGAAATCTAAGAATTCCTTTGATAAATCATTCTTCTCAGTTTTATTAAGTAAAATTAATCTATTCTCATCATCTAATTTAACGACAGTAGGTACTTTCAGAATATCAACCAGATTTGGCTTTATTTGCTTAGATTTGAGTACTTGTAAGGTATTACTATTTCTAACCCTTATAGCTATCAAATTTATTGTATTCTTAAATATTTCTGTATTAAACATTTCTAAAAAGAGAAGACACTGTATTGGTGGTACAAGAAGGAGGATTAAATTTTTATTGAACCATACCTTTACCCTTGTAGTTCTCTGATGAGACACCGGAAATTGGATTAGATTTTTGTTCTTTCATGTACTCTGTAGATGCTTCTTGCCATTCCTTAGACATAGTTTGAGGAGGCTCAGCAGCGAATGATCTGACACCGAAGTAGATGGCAGCGGTAGCAGCTAAAGCGCCAAGGACACCAACGAAAACCTTGGTGTTGCCGCCCTGTTCAACGACAGGTGTGCGTGGTCCATGTGGTCCAAATGATATAAAGTAAGCTATTCTGATTGGTTAGAAGAGATGTATGAGATATAGAGAAGACCTCACCTGCTCTCTTCTCGTCTATAGATAATTGCTTCCAATCTTGCTTTTGCTTTTCTACTACTTCTGTGTAAACTGACTGACGCTCTTCTGTGCTGAGGGTCTTCCAACTAGCGCCGAGGTTGCTGAGTGAAGGTACGGTGGATTGCTGTCTAATTTGACCAGTAATTCCTCTATTTATAGCTTTTAAAGGTAAATTTCTCAACATTTTTTTTTCTATCCTCGTCGTTTGATGGAGAGATGCTAAGTTCGTAGTATCATCATCAATATGGCGACCGTAAGGGGAAATAAATAAATAGAGGAATATTTATTAAACGACACGCAGATTGATCCAACGCTTACACAGAACGAGCTCACAGAGACACAAGAAAGTTTAAACGATAGTATGGCAAATCCACCCGTAGATCCAACGTTAGATCCACCTGAGGAGTCGAATGATAGATTGAATGAGGAACTCTCACAATTCCCTGATTTCTCACGTTCTCAAGCGAATAACGAGGAAGAAGCTAGACAGCAATCAGAGAAGAAATCAGCAGAGAAGTTAGCATACATCTACTAGTAAGCTTATAAGCTAATCATTCATTAGAAAACGTCACCAAAAAAAGCGTATACAACGTCGTGATGAATCACCTGAATACGATTCAAGTCACCAGCCACCAATTGAACAAGAGGAGGATAACTCACAGTTCTTAGAACCATCCCAGCGTAGGTTGACTTATTTTACGTCATTTTAATCTAACAGTCAACAGAGAAGAGATTAGATTTACATAGCAAGATTGACGCTATCGCCAAGGGAAACAAAAACTCACGTCGTAAGAGGAAACGTACAGATGAAGATTTAGATGCAGCAGCTGATGAAGAACTTCACAACCTTCGCGAGCAAATGTTCCAAGCTGCAGAAGAAGACGAGGAATATAAGAAGTTCAACAAACCAGCGCTCAATAAACTCAAATTACTACCAAAAGTGGTTGAAACTATGCAAAAGACCCACCTCGAAACTTCAATACTTGAAAATAACTTCTTAGATGGCGTAAGAAGATGGCTAGAACCATTCAGTGATAAATCACTACCACCACTTAACATACAAACTGAATTCTTCCAAATTTTATCAAATGTGAGTATTCATCTTAGCTTTAAGTTAAAATACTCATTAATTTAGATGTACATCGACACACAGTCACTCAAGTCATCAAAGTTAGGTCCAGTTATTTTGTTCTATTCCCGTCATCCACGCGTAAACAAGTCTATCAAGAAAGCTGCCGACGCTTTGGTTACAAGATGGATGAGACCACTCTTGAGACGATCAGCAAACCCAAGATCATACCAATTTAGCACAAATTCAAACGTAGTCAGGACTAGTGATGTCAACCTAACATCTAGAGAAGACAATGAGGAGGACTACTCCAACAGAACTCGCATACCTGAGTTAGAGAGGAAGAAATACAAGGTTGCAGCAACTCGTGGTGTTGATGGTATCAAATCATCCAATGTTACGCTTTCAAATCAAGAATCTGAACGTCAAAGACAACTCTCTAGAAAATTCTCAATGTTAAAGAGGAAGTAAGCTTTATGTTTATAATTTTTGTATTTATGATGTAGATGTACATGTAAAACCCTATCAAGTTGGTTTGTCTTTGATCTATTGAGCTGCTCGTTAGATATTTTAAAAGCAAGTGAGCAACTTACGTTTTGTACAATAAGTGACTTGTATGCTTGTACATCTCCCTTGAACTTCGTGACAGCTGTTATTTTTGTCAGATATTTTCTTGTCTTCTAAATCATGAACTCACTTCCATTTGCACAAACCCACAACTATTAGTTTGTTTAGTATGGAAAGACTGTTATTAAACTGACTCACTTCGTGCGCAACCGTGGTAATGAATTTCTCGTCGTGAGAAATGACAATACTACCACCATTCCAAACCTTCAATGCATCCATGAGTGCATCTAAACCTTCCATATCAAGATGGTTAGTAGGCTTAAATAGGAGTGTTAAAATTTGAAATTATTACTATAACAACACTCACCTCATCAAGTAACAAAATGTGTGGGTTTTGTAATGCCAACATAGCGAATGCCAATCTAGATTTTTGACCACCAGATAATGTTCCGATTAATCTTAAAGTGGTGCTACCTCTTATACTATGGAAATTGTTAGACTACTTTGGATTATGTGAAATGTAAAACTCACCCAAATGTACCGAGGAAGCTACGGTATTGTTCAGCAGTCTTACCTGGGAATTTAGCTTGTGTGAACTCTAATGGTGTCTTATTCAAGTCAAGTTGATCCATGTCTTTAAACTTGGTTAGTTTAATCAAATCATTAACAATTCAACTCACGATGCTGAGTAAAGTATGCAACACGTAAACGACCATTGCGGTTTAATTGACCCTTAGTTGGGGACAATTCACCCATCAACAATTTCAATAATGTGGATTTACCAGCCTATGAAAGTATTGAGTGTCTAGCGTCCAAACAAGATTTACACCTACACCGTTAGGACCAACAATCGCAATACGAGAGTCGTAAGAAACATCCAAGTCGACATCCTTAAGGGTAGTCTTCTCAGGTGTGTAACCAAACGTCACGTTATCCAATTGAAGCAATGGAGGAGAAATCTTCTCAGCATCTGGGAACTTGAAGCTTTCAGAATCTTCTGTCTCAGGTGCATGTAATTCAGGTAACTTCTCCAAGATTTTAATCTTGGATTGTGCTTGTGAAGCACGAGCAGCGTTATATCTCCATCTATCAATGAACGCTTGAAGGTGTTGACGGTATTGTAATTGCGATTCATACTCACGTAATTCATTCTTTTGTCTCTCCGTTTTAGTTTCGTAGAATTGTGAGAAGTTTCCTTTGTAGTAATCAAGACGTTCAGAGTGTTGATGGATAATATCAGTCGCAACGTGATCAAGGAAAGCCCTGTCGTGAGATACAACCAAGATTGTTGATGGCCATGTCTGTAAGTAATCTTCAAGCCATGCAATTGCGTTCAAATCCAACATGTTTGAAGGTTCATCAAGAAGTAATAAATCTGGTTGTACGAAAAGAGCTCTAGCTAATGCTAATCTCATTCTCCAACCACCAGAGAATGATTTTGTAGGCTTCTGTTGATCGCTCTCACTAAATCCTAAACCAGCCAAAAGGAAAGCTGCTTTAATTGGACCCATGTGGGCTTCCATTTCAACAAGTTTTTCTTGAGTTTCACCCAATTGAACAGCCAATTCATCTCTTTCATCAGTGTAAGCTGAAGCGTCTTCACCTTTAGCAATCTTATCTTCAATTGCTTGTAATTTACTATTAAGTTCGAGCTCTTGAATAATATAATGTGTTCTCCAAATATCGGCGGCTAAAACACTTTCAAGGGCAGTAGTATCGTCACCAACGATCTCTTGCTCGACGTAAAGAATGGAAATATGTGAAGGGATAGCAATCTCTCTCAAAGCCATTGCACGAAGTACTGTAGATTTACCAGCACCATTTCTACCAATCCAACCGTATCTCTTTCCTTGAGCGACTTGGAGTGTAGCAGAAGTCAAGATCTTAACAGATCCCATAGAAACATCTACATTGTTAACCATGACATCCTTACTCTTACCCTTAGCGCTAGTAAGTGGGTTGACTTGCATGAAAAGTTCCTCGTAAGATTGCTGAGTTTTCTGTGCATCGAGGAGTTTGGAACCTTGATAAAGATCTCTCTTTGATCTCTTTTCAATTTTAGCCTTAATCTTTGCCTCAGCCTTCTCCAATTTCTTTATATCAACTCTAGAGACATGGCCCTTTGTAGCGGATTCGAGATCGACAGAACCTTCAAGTGCGACAGTCTTGGACATTGCGTCTGCGCTACGCATACTAAACGCATTCTCCAATTTGGCTGGCTCAGATTGCGATGGGTTGTTGATGTCGAATTTTGGTAGAAATGGAGTTAATTTCTCAACTAATTGATCGAGTAGCTCTTTATTTTGTGAAGCTCTAGTAGATGCACTAGCTAACATTGGTAATGCTAACTTTGTGAGTACATCTCTCTCCTCTAAATCGCTATCTGTGAGGTATCCAGCGAGATACTCAACGACGAGCTCATCTGTATCAGGAAGAGTTTCACGTATAGCGTCAGCGACTTGGAAACTAAAGTATATAAACATTAATCTTTTATATTTTATCATTTCGACATACCTCATTCTATCTACACTTGACTGTCTTCTCAGAAGATATTATAACGATTGAAGATAGTGTAAATTTTAGAATACAAGTCATTTAGGTTTATCATTAGGTTTGTAAGCTTTTAAAGATGTTATCTTAATATGGAATGGACCATTAGCCACTTTTTGAAAATGTGAGCGACACATTAGTGATATTTCAGTGATATGTGTCGTATCTAAAGCGGGAGCATCCTCAGCTGGTTTACCCCTATAGGTTGGCTTGAAACTGTCCCATTCGAGCCATAAACTTTGAGGTTTCTCGATTGTGAAGTCACTCTCATAGACAATACTAGATTGACGTCTACCATCGTCTCTGTAGCTTGGTTTTGTTGTTTTCAAGTTAAAGGCGAAAGTGTGCGGTCCAAAAGTATCAACGTTTGCGATATCAATTACGATACCATCATATTTGCTTTGTGGATAATTCAATGGGTTGTCAAACTCAACAGATTGGCTGGCGAAGCCTGCACCACCTAAAGTTCTACTGTCTAGTGTACCATAGAATATTATACTCTTTCCATCTTCACTGACCGTAATCTTGCTCTCAGAAGATCCACCCCTTATGCGATCATCGACTGTTTTGAAGTCTTCTTTCTTGAATGGAGGAAATATAACAGCGTCGTTCTATGCGTGGGTTATTATAATGCGCTAGAAATGCATAAATCGCACATGTGAAAGGCCTAAGTAGGACAAAATTGAAGTCAACATCGGAGTATATAAAGAAGTAGTGAAGTAGTATAGATAGAAGTTACACTAAATTAAATAATAAATACATAATAGTATAAACTAGAATATTGTTAGTTTTGTTTAAATAAGTTTCGGGATAGCAGGTTCAGGTCACACAAGCGTATATAAAAGTGCGACGGGCTAGGTTGTCCTTCAAATCTTTTTTCGGACTGGTGCACAGCAAAATAATTCATCATTTGCGCTATCCCTTTTGTTACTACTCACAATTCCGTAATGGATTGAAGAAGACCACAGGCGACATCAGCAATTTATACCCTCGCAGATTTTTTATTTCAGCAATTTTTAACTTGTACACTAATAAATAAGATAAAGGAATAAAATAGCGCATTAATCAGCTAACTAATCATATAGGATTTAAGCCGCCCAACGCAACAGAACTGATTATCTCGACGCGTTATGATCACAAAGGTGAGATAGATTCTGACGAAGTGAGAAAGATCAGGGCTGTTTTGATGTATCAATGCTCGACAATCAGTGTGTATTTCATTGAACGTTGGGAGGTACAAATGAGAATTTTGATGTAATTGAGAAGGACTACGAATGATACCTATATATTTGTTTCTGTATATATTTCCTTCTTTGGTCATACATACTATGGTGGCATTTACCATTCTCAAGCGAAGAAAGAAAGAATATGTACAACATATATGTTACACCTTTATCTCACTGTCTTGCTATTCACTGAGATTTTCCCCTTGATCAATACACGTATCATACAATACACACATAGCAGACTAGTCAAATCTATTATACTTGAATCATTCCCATGATGACAACAGGAAGGATCCTGATTCCTGTCATACCAATCCAAGATGTATTGAATACTGATAACATAAGTATCTACGGATAAATATCGTGCTTTATTATATACCCTTCTGTGTATCCTTGTCTGCCGTGTATCAGTCAATAATGCATCATCGATGTAGAAGTAAACAGCGTGAAGGATGCAGATGATGTAAGAACATCTAGTATACATCAATTCCTGTACTTCTATAGCATAGATTGGAATTCCCGCATAAACTTCACATTCGACAAGAACAACAGCAAAACATACAGCATCACCAATTGCACAAATACGAACATATCAATTAAAATATTAGGTGTTGAAGCCAATGCATATTTCTATTACAATACAGTTTTGTAAGCCCTGGTTGAAAGAGGAAAATGTGAAATCATTTTAAAATTTTTGCTCGCATATTAACATGAATGAGATCCGCTTAGTAACGGTAGTGGGATGGCTTGTATGGACCTTGCTTTGGAATTGAAGCGTATTCTGATTGGACATCAGTGAGCTTAGTGAGGTGAACGTTAAGCATTTCAAGGTGGGAAGCAGCGACTTCTTCATCGAGCTTCTTTGGTAACATGTGAACACCCAATGGGAATGAAGCATTGTCAGTCCACAAAGCAATTTGAGCCAAAACTTGGTTAGCGAATGAGCAAGACATGACGAATGATGGGTGACCAGTAGCACAACCGAGGTTGACGAGACGACCTTCAGCGAGCAAGATGACGTGACGGCCGTTAGCAAGGGTGTAACGGTCAACTTGTGGCTTGATGTTGACAACTTCCTTGGCAACCTTCTTAAGACCAGCAACGTCGATTTCAATGTCGAAGTGACCAATGTTACAGACGATAGCGTCATCTGGGAGTTGTTCAAAGTGCTCTACTCTAACGATGTCACGGTTACCGGTGGTGGTAACGATGATGTTAGCTCTTGGAGCAGCTTCTTCCATGGTGACGACTTGGTAACCAGACATAGCAGCTTGGAGTGCGTTGATTGGGTCAATTTCGGTGACTTGGACGATAGCACCGTAAGCGCGGAGGGCTTCAGCACAACCCTTACCGACATCACCGAAACCAGCAACAACAGCGCTCTTACCAGCAAGCATAACATCGGTGGCTCTCTTGATACCATCGACGAGGGATTCACGGCAACCGTAGTAGTTGTCGAACTTAGACTTGGTGACGGAGTCGTTGACGTTGATGGCTGGGACCTTGAGCTTGCCTTCTTGGTGGGCACGGTAAAGGTGGTGGACACCGGTGGTGGTTTCCTCTGAGACACCTCTGATATCAGCGAGGTATTGTGGGAACTTCTCGTGGACGATAGTGGTGAGATCTCCACCGTCATCGAGAATCATGTTGAGTGGCTTGCCGTCTGGGAAAGCGCTGAGGGTTTGCTCGATACACCAGAGGTATTCCTCATCGGTCTCACCCTTCCAGGCGTAGACTGGGACACCAGCAGCAGCGATAGCAGCAGCAGCATGGTCTTGGCTTTTTCGTGTCAATAGGAATTGTAGAGAAGAGAAAGCGTGACGCACGTTGAGAAAATGTTACAGCTGGACCAGGTAACTTGAGCACCGAGTTGAACAAGGGTTTCAATGAGAACAGCGGTTTGGATGGTCCTGTATCTTGTTAACCTGTAATCCTAAAACTAGAACCGTTGCTCACATGTGGAGACATCCGGCAATACGGGCACCCTTCAATGGTTGTTGTGGGCCGTACTTGGAACGGATTTCCTGGATTTTTGTTAGATGCGCACAGATATAGGAATATCAGAATATCGTACCATAAGACCAGGCATTTCCTTTTCAGCGAGAGTGCTGGAAAATGTCAGAGGGTGACAATACGGGCTAGAGATACTCACATCTCACGGCGACCGAATGAGGCCAAACTGATGTCAGCAACTTTGTATTGTGTAGCCATTTTTGTTAGAGTTGGTTGTAGAGGAAGAAAACGATGTGGTACTCTCAGGCCACTTGATATCTCAAATTTTATAAAATGCATGTAAAGATGGATTTAATTTAGGTCGTTCTACTTTCTATCGATGTTTATTATATGGAGCTCAGTCTCTCTTGTTTGCCTTCCCTCCCCGTGATCTGGCTGGCCAGAAGTCAAAACAACTGCGGCAGATATTGTCAAGGAAGATCAGAGAGAAAGTGTTTGGGTGTATTGAGATATAGATATTATTATGTATCCCACAGTATACCTCAGATGTTTCACCGATGTCGTTTACCGGCTTTATCTTGGAAGCTGAAGTTACCGTCCTTGGGATATTTAATAGGTCTCTTGAAGAACGATATCTTCAATTTAATATTATCCCTTATGTATACACCATTCTCGTATGCTTTGGTCGCAAAATCTGGCGATTCGTACATTACAAACGCATAAGCGAACGCCTTGTGGAGAGTTTTAGCACCTACATTATTGCTGAACCCGCACTCACAAATTTCTTACGATCCTGATGGGATTGCTCAATCCAGCGTACGGTACCAAACTTCCTAAACGCCCTCGTGAGCTCCTCCTCTGTGGAATCCAACGGTTGTCCAGTGACATATAGTAGCTGACTGCGAAACTTTGTCCGTACTGGTCTCTCTATTGGTATATCTATCTCGTGAGCAGCTTCTACAGTGGGCTCAACGATGAGCTTGTAATCTTTCAAACTTCTACCATTCAATTTAAGCGCTTTGTTTAGCTCAACTGCATTCTCAAAGTGTATCAAAGATTGGCCTGTATGACCCCCAAATGGCGATCTACGGAAAGTGTAGATATCTGAAACTTTAGCATACTTATCAAAGAACTGCTTTATAGATGCGCTAGGTAGATGTGGCTATTTTCGAGTTATTGCATTTCCTCAATTATTGATGTAGACGTACTGGTAGGTTTTTCACCAGCAGGCCAAGATGGCGTTGCATGATCAAGGATGAGAATACTTTGGAATTGTTACTTATACACAAACGAGATCAGGATACATTCTCAATGTACTTCTGATTTGACGGTAGTGTCAGTAATACAATACTTCTTCACTTTTCAAAAATAAAAAATACACAGACTGAATATACAAGCAGATCTATTAATCGTCATTTGTTTGATCTTGTAATCACTTGCTGAACTCTCTCGTGGACTCAATCAACTGACGTCATTTCCAAGTGTTACAACTTGCACATAATTCTACTTCAGCGACTGAGGTGTTATCAACCGCCTCACCATTAATTAGGCTGCTTCGTGTATCATGCTGAGAATGCATCAGTCAACATTTATCGTCTCAAATCATGTATAGTAGTATGCTACTAAGACATTCATAAAATCGCAATTGTGGGTATTGAGTGTATGAAACAAAATGGTATACAAAGTTATCTGTAAGGGATTCAAATATGTTCCTTGGTAGTTCTGACGAGATCAGACTGATCGTGTTGCTTAAGAAAAAGCAAATCATCCTGTGTTAAAGAAAAAGCTGAATTGTAATCGGCTTCATGAGGCGAAATAGTCGAGGCGCTCATTCCACTAAAGCTACTACTAGCAATACTTCCCACGTCAGTAGGAGGACCCCTTATATTCTTACTATGCTTGCGCTCATTACCGGACTCGGATAATGTTGTGGTAGTTTCCAACATCCGTCTGAACTTTTTGGCAGCTTTACGACGTTTCTTTTCCGCTAGGTAGGCTTCAAATTGTTCCAATCGACGCTGTTCTGCCGTTTTCACAACCGGTTTATTCTCGGAAGGAGGGCTGATATCGTGATCATCACAATCTGATTGATTGCCTAGTAGAGGTTCAGTTGATTCATCGAGTTGATTCGACGTGTTGTCATTAACTTTTGGTGTCCAAGTTATGAAATTCCATAGAGATATAAAGTATTGACGTAGTGGTTGGATGACAAGTGCGTAGAGCGTATCCGCGTATGATATTTCATCAATGGACCTTATATTATCTAAGGTATTTGCTAAATTTCTTACTATTTTTACTTACATCTTGGTCGTCACTTCTGAACGTTATAAACATTATCTGAAACGATCATGACTTCAATTTCTACAGAAGAGCTTATTGAAAATAACAAAGATATATACTTGAAATCATCTCAACACGCTTTCTTAACAAAACTCGGCGAAAGTACCCTCGATCCCACTGCTTTGGAGAGATTCCTAAATCAAGACAGAGTTTTCGCTTTAGGCTATTCAAAATGGCTCGGTACTATTGCTGGTAGGATCCCATTACTCAATAACTCAAATATCGTTGAGGATGAGGATGTGAAGTTGCTGCACCTTATGAGTTTCGCTATCAGCAACGGGTTGAGAGAAGTTAACATGTTCCCAAATACACTCAAAAGTTTGGGGTTGAAATACGAAAGCGTAGACGCCAACGCAGCTTGCCACGATTACATCAAATACCTGTACAGCTTACCAAACAATGATGAAGCTATAGTTGCGCTCTGGGCACTCGAGAAGGTTTACTTGGATGGTTGGGGATATGCCAAATCACTCGCAAAGGACTCCCCCTATGCCGAACTCTTGAACAACTGGACCGCACCATCGTTCGTACAATTCGTCGACATTGATCTCAAATATCAAGTCGAACGCATAAAAACTAACGATATCAGCAAATTCAACGATATATTTGCAAAAGTTTGCCAATTGGAGATTGCATTCTGGGAGAGTGCTCTCTTACAATAAAAATTTCACTGTCCGATCAACATGTACCGCTGATATAAAACATTTAAGAACTCATCATTCTCCTATTTAGTTGTCAGAAGTTACTACTTTTGTAGAACGACCACTCACTAAGATTAATGACGCTAAGGCCTGCTTAAAAGTGTATTGATCCAATTTTTGTCCGTTTGGTTGACGCAGAAAAGGTAAAGTAGGTGTGATTACATCTAAGCCAACTTGCGGCGATACACTTGCTGGTACATTTTGGCGGTTTACTTGAGGTGACGCTCTAGATGGTTCTGTTACTTGTGCTGCTCCATTGACCGGGGTGATAATAGTAGGTTGCTCTGATTTTGGTGGTAAGTTATCCAATACCGCAGATGGTGACGCGATTGAAGTACCTTGGGTTATTTTTAGCAATGCATTATTGTGTATTTAATTACCTACGTTGTATATTACTGATTGCTGAAGCTTTACGTGTCTTAGGGACGGTTCTAACATGTGTTCTTATACCCGGGTTGAACAAACCAGGTGATGATTTGCTAGCTTCATCCGAAAGACTGTTACTGCTACTCTGATGCTGCATCATCTTTTGCTGACGCTCCCTCTCAGCTCGTGGTGCAGTAGGCGGAGAAATACCCAATGGTGGGAAGTTATTATTGAATTGTTGAGATTGTTGGACATTTGGTTGGACGGCTTGTTTACTAGTCTCTTTCTTTAGTTCATCCTCGAAAGTCAACTTCTTCAAGTTCTCTAACTCTTCACTCAAAACGACGTGATTGCGTTCTGATGGCGTCACAGCCGATAAAGGTAAAGGAGTAGCTGGTACACTTGGTTCAGAAAGTGGCGTTTGTACACTCTGCTGGATCCGCTTACCAGCGATGTTTGTGTCTATAGGAAGTGATATTGGTGCCGGTGCGCTATTTGTAGCTGGAGTTACCTGACTGACAGGGCCAGCACTTGGGAAAGTCGGCATCTGTGTTTGTTGAGGTGGTCTAGGTTGGGCTAGGTGATTGTTCTCAATAGTCGCTGTCGGAGGTAATCCCAAGAATGACAATAGCTGCTGTGTTCCATCCGCCTTGACGCTGTCTTCGTATGACAATGCTGATGGTTGCTGAACACGCTGGACGTTTTGAGGTTGCTGTGGTTGATGTGACTGCTGTGGTAAACGGTTTTCAGTGACTGGTGCTACACCAACTGAAACATTGTTAAAGTCTTGGGTGATGGTTGGCAAAGTTGATGCAGCAGGTACAGCATTAGTAGCTGCAAGTGCAGGGCTATCAAAATTGCCGAATAGATCATCGACAGAGAGCGGTTGTCCTGCTTGCACAGTAGTACTTGAACTTGGTTGAGCGGGTGAAGCACTCATGCTAGCGATCGCAGGGTCCACGAACGTGTCTACTTTTGCTGGCAATTGATCCTTTTCCTTCGCTGCCAACTTTTCGATGCTGGTGTTTTATAAGCGCATGTCTTTGTTATGTAATTTTGCTCACTCCTCAATGCACTTTGCGATGCGAGGTCTGTGTGAGGCGTCGAATACCCAAACACCCCATATGGCTACAAGTAATGTTATCTTCTTGTATTCCATAGCTATATCTACTTACCATCCTCGTCTGCAGGTCTGAAGATGATGTAGTCACCAGTCAACTGCAGATCGTCCGTACCGGTGAAGAGTGTGATAAAGTTATCGGGACCACTTCTATTCACTTATAAGTTGTTAGCAATCTACTATACGCTACTGAGATGAGCTTACAAATGAACAAGCCATATCTTGGGACAACCGATCTGAATCGAATTAGGAGAAGTATCGACATACAAGAGTACCAACCTCGTGAAAATAAACATAGAACCCTCTACCATTTCTTTCTTCCATCCGACACCCTCTACGAAACTGTATAGTACAGCGTATGAGGTGCCATCGAGAATATCTTCAACAGCCTGATCGTCTAGGAGAATATAAGATACTATATAGAAGTACAAGCAAACATACGTTGCTTTAATACTCTCAAATTGAAAGCTCGCTTTTGTTTTGCATCCATCGAGCTATTTTGATAGTCGTTGTACTCTTACAAGCAACACATTATGGGATTTGGGAACCCTTCTACTTCTAACAATATATTCTCTATAACGCCACCAGCCAGGGGTTCATTTCCACTTGATCACGATGGCAAGTCTTCTTTATCAGTTATAGCATTACCTAATCCGTACTCAGGTGACTGTACGAAACCGATGAAAGAATATCTGAAATGTTTAAAGTCAAACAGGAACAATAATGGTGCATGTAGGGAACTCTCGAAGTCGTATCTGAAATGCAGGATGCAGAAGTGAGTGATAACGACCGGCATAGAATAAGACTAACAACACAAGTGGCTTAATGGAAAACGACAACTTCGACAATCTAGGATTCACAGGCGTGTCAGACCCAACGGAAAACAAAACTCAATCAAAGAGCACACACACAAGCACAGAACGACTGGTATAGACGAATAGAAAGAAAAACATTCATATAAGCGCATAGAACATCTTTTACTAAAATTATACGGAGCGCGAGTTCTTCTCCAACCATGCAATAGCTCTAGTGTCACCCCTCTTCTCCAATTCTGGCTTCAATACAGATACACAACGCTCGTGGTATGTGTTAAGCCAATCTTTCTCACTTTGTGAAAGTAATTCAGCTTCAATCAAGTTTGTTCCAAGTGGACACATTGTCAATGTCTCAAAGGTCGAAAACTGTGTGCCGTTGTAATTGTATGGGGTCTTGTGAGGGACTATAGCAACGATAGTCTCTGTTCTAATACCAAATTGGCCCTCTTCGTAGTATCCCGGTTCATTTGATACAAGGTATCCATTCTTTAGAGTGACATCGTTCCATCTAGGTGAGATAGTGTGTGGACCCTCATGAGCACCAATGTGGCTTCCAATACCATGTCCAGTACCGTGATTGTACTCGAGACCTTCCTTCCAAAGGGGTAAACGAGCGAAGGAATCAATGAATGGTCCAGGAACTTTGTCAGTAGGTATAACAGCTGTCGCTAAGGCTATATGGCCCTGTAAAACCCTTGTGAATGCTCTCTTAAGCTTATCACTTGGAGGCTGTGAGCCAAAGAAGTATGTACGTGTTACGTCGGTTGTACCATCCAAGAATTGAGCACCAGAGTCGCAAAGGTATACCTTTTCTATATCAATGACAGACGAGTCAGTTGTACTAGGACTATAGTGAATAATAGCGCCATTTGCACCCGTTGCAGAAATAGTGTTGAAGGAGAGACCTTTGAAGTTGTCCAATTTTGATCTGTATTCTTCAAGCTTCAACGCGGCATCATATTCCTTCAATGGTGCTTTATTTTCCTTGAGTGTCTCTTCCAACCAGCCAAAGTATTGAGTCAATGCGATACCGTCTCTTGCGTGAGCTTCTCTCGTACCTTGCAATTCAACTTCATTCTTTATAGCTTTTGCATCACCGATTGGTGATCTCACTACGTCAATCTGCTTCTCACCGATTGAGCGAACGACCTCCCAATTTGCCTTATCTGAAACGAGAATTTTCTTGTTTTCATTCTCTGCATCAAGGCTGAGTTGCTTGAGTGATGGGTAGAATTCCTCATATGGCTTGAGGTTTACATTAGCATTTTCCATTTCCTTATGTGCCTCTGAAGTCATACGCGCGCTGTTAACAAAGAGCGTTGTTGACTCTTGAGTGACAACAGCGTAAGAGAAGAAAAGTGGATTATAGACAATATCAGTACCACGTAAGTTGAAAAGCCATGCAGTTTCGTCCAACATGGTAACGATAAAGGAATGACAATCTTTCTCGGTGAGGTAATTACGAAGTTCTGATAACTTCTGAGTGACGGTCTTACCAGCGAATTTCATAGGTTGGACGTAGACTTCATTATCTGGGTATGGAGGTAAATCGGCGATGTCGTCAATTGGGTTGTTTGAGAGCGGAACCAGATCGAAACCTGATTTTGACTTTAATTTGTCTTGGATTTTACGTACTTCTGAGAAAGCGATAAGTTTAGGATCGATACCAACCTTAAAGGGAGCTTGGTAGTTTTGTAGAATGTATTCATACCAACTTGGGACATTTGGCTGACCTGCTTTGAGAAGCTTCCAGTTTGCATTGTCAAGCTCTTGAGAAGCCTGCAAGTAGTATCTACCATCGGTACTCTAGATAATTTAGCATTACTTTGTTAGTGAAATCACTCACGAGGAGAGCCTCCTTTTCGGTAATCAAAGCGTGACCGGCAGAACCAGAGAAATTAGAAATCCACCTGTATGCTATAGTTAGTACGCGATAATATATCTGCTGTGCTCTCCCACTCTCTACGCTTGTCTGTGTCTGCGATATATTCACTCATGTGAGCATCCTCTGATGGAACAAAGAAAGCGTTTATTTGGTATTGATTGTAAGTGCGTCTGAGTAGCTGTAATCTATTCCTATGAGGCTGTCAGCGTGATCTCCAAGTTGACAGCTCAGAGATCATACATCATGGTAGTCGAGCTGATAGAAGAGATAAAAGAGATAGCGATCTAAGTGGACAGGCATATTACTGTTATTTAGAGTATCAGTATTATCTGATCGAGATTAGATCATATGCTGTATCTAATTGGTCGAACTGTTTGAGATCTAGAGATAGAACTAATAAATAGAATAAAAAGAAGAATATGAATACAAAATAAACAATTTCCTTCCATCATCTCTGATATCAATGATAAAAATCGTTAACAAATTTGGTCTGCTTCGCGATAAGCTTTTTTCAACGCTCATCACAAACCTTCAAAAAGGCGCATAAAATGTCTGATATAGCTGCAGCTACGAGCATCACGCCTGAGGAACCTAATGTATGTGTTTTTTATTATCTTAGACCCTAAACTGATATCTCCAAGTTACAAACTCCACCTCCAGGTTTATCTGCCCAACCATTTTGCAGCCATTGTAGAGCAACACAGACACCTCTATGGAGACGCAATCCAGATGATTCAGCATCCGTTTTATGCAACGCTTGCGGTCTTTTTCTTAAACTCAAAGGTATGCCTCGTCCACTTAGCTTGAAGACCGATGTTCCGCGTACGAGAAAGCGTCAAAAAGCTTGTGATAAGGATCAAAACGCTGATGGAACATCATCAAAGTCTAAAAAGAAGAATTCAAAATCTGATTCTCAGGACCATGATAACGATGACGATCGTCAGAATGAGAATTCTGTGCGTATTTCTATATGACGTGATTTTTTACTAACTTTATAGCAGCCAGATGAAATAAATGGCTCGAAGTTACGCGCGGATTCGCCCAAACGCCCGGTTATTCCAAAAGATTACGATTATACAGCCCCTTATATGATCAAACGTCCAAGGAAATCAAAATATGATATCACTGAGATGGCGCCTCCAAAATCTATTCTCGAGACCCTCGGTATTGAGCCAATCCCTGGGGGCCAGGGAAAGTTGGATTCTCAATCGATTAACAAGTTGGTTGGTGGTATCGCACCACTTAACAGCTCGCAAGTGCAAAATGCCCATGCTCTCCACCAGCAGCAACAACAGCAGCAGCACCAACAACAACAACAGCAACAACAACAGCCATCACAACAGCAACAACAGCACTTACTCACTTCAAAACCGTTACCTACTGCTGCAGGCGGCGGTTCAAATGCTTCGCAAACTTACCAACAAAGTGCACCAGCACAACAATCTAATGCATCATTTATAAATCATTATTCATCAATAAACCCAACGTCGTCTTTATCTGCTGGTCAAGTACCTCAACAAACTGAAATAAAAGAAGAGTCAGCATCTAGACCAATGTTGCAATCACACTCTTCTTCACCTATTATACCTCAACATTCAACAACATCACGCCCAATGAGTCAAAGTTTGTCTGCGATTTTGAGTAATCATCAAAAGTCGATGAATTACCATTCACAGTATAACTCTCATGAACCTGTTGATCAAGTTAGACTTTTGAAAGCACAAGTGCAAGAACTGGAGAGAGCATACGAAGGCGCTCTAAATAAGCTCAACAAGTATGAAAAATTTGAAGAACTTAATAACAACAATAACAGTAAAGTTGGTTCAGATAAGGATAATTCAACAGAATCAGCATCCGATAATATGGAAGTTGACAGTCAATCAAAGGATCAACAAACACCACCAGTTGATCCGCCAAGGAGATCAACAAGACCGAAGAATTTTAGATACGATTCAGCTGATATCGATAATGAACAGTTTGAGAATATTCTATTCAAGCGTACTGAAATGCGTATAAAACGATTATGCGCTTCTAATAGATCCGGATTGAGGATGTGTGCATTCCATGATGCAAAGAAATCAACACCAATTTATGCACCAAGGGCAGCGCCACCTGGTATAATGTCTTGTGGATGCACGTTTGATCAAACATTATTCGAAGAAACTTTATCTAGACATGGTGTTGGTAGTATACAACCAGGAGATGTAATTAGATTAGATGCCAAACTACGTGACAATATACTCAACTTACTCGAATGGCAATATAATTACGTGGATGGAGATTTGGATAGAGACCCGCATACAGGTGCATTAACGGATCTTGAAGATTTGGGATTGTCATCCGAGCGTGATACACCGCTCAAACTACAATAATTGACTGTAAATTATCTCAACTTGTTATTTAGCAGCGTTACCCGTTTAAACAGAATTCTTTATTGGCTATTCTTTAATTGTACAACTAAGATAAATTAAATCACACTTTTGTTGATACGATGACGAAACCGGTAGACTACAGGGGAGCAGTAGTAGAGGACTTAGATTTACAGCCTGCCTTGACTGTATATGCCAATGAATCTATCGATAAAGTATTAATAGCTGCATATGAACGCGAGTTCAGCCAGGTTCCCGTACTAAATGATGAGTCAAACAAGAAGATAATAGGATATATCGATGTAGAGAAGCTACTTAAACAGGACAACGATCATAGTAAGAGCGTCAATGACTACACAATTCGTTTCGCCTCGAAGAACAAACGTTTCAGAGTAATAACGCCCTATACACCACTTGAAGAGTTAGACAGCTTTTTAATAGATAACGAATTCGCTATTGGTAAGTCCTAGAGTAGAGCTATATCATTCGCTAACACTGCGTAGTTACGGACCAACAAAGAAAGTTCGTACTAGGAATAGCCACCAGAGGAGATCTCAGCAACTTCCGTAAGCGCAGAGGGTCAGTTTAAAGTATTGATAAATATCCTTTGTATAAATAGACAATTTCACTTTCTTTCATCTACTCTCATCTAGAATGTCCTCCCAGGCTGGACTACAGAGACGCAGAGTGAACAATAATACTCAGAATGATGACAGTACAAGCTCAGGAAGGAATTCATCCTCTTTACCGTCATCTCCGAGGCTGAGCACCGTTGGAAGAGGCGTAGCATATGATCCTCGGGATTTGCAAGTAGAGGAAGAGCAGAACCAACACCCTAAACTAACGCTTATGGAAGAGGTTTTGTTGTTAGGTTTGAAGGATAGGCAGGTGTGTACGTCTTAGCAATTTATCAACGAGCTCAACTCTATAAGGGATACCTTAGTTTCTGGAATGACAATATCTCCTACGCCTTAAGAGGTTGCATACTCATAGAACTCGCACTTAGGAAGAGAATCGCGATGGTACGCGATCCAAACAGGCGAAGATACGATCTTGCGGATAGACTAGTCGAAGTGACGAATGACAAGCTCACTGGCGAGGTACTCCTCGACGAGACACTCAAACTTATCAAAACAAGCGAGAAGCTCAGTGTCGGCAATTGGATCGACCTTCTGAGCGGTGAGGCGCTCTATAAACGCGTGTACCCAACTAACAAGATAATCCGCAGGTGAAACATGGAATGTTATGAAAATCGGCTACCAACTAAAGCAAGTCCGCGAAAGATTAGCGAAAGGTCTAGTAGATAAAGGTGTTCTCCGCACAGAAAAGAAGAACTTCCTGCTTTTTGATATGGCAACACATCCAATCGTCGACACTGTATCAAAGCGTGATGCAATTGAACGTGTTTTGGCCTTGGCTAATCCAAATACCGTTGCTTTGGACATGAACAAACTATACAAAAATCCAAATGTCAGAGCTCGTGTAACAAGATCTGTAGCATTGTTATTATCAGGTTATGCTGCCTCCGTTCTCGAAAATGCTTTTGCTACCTTAAACTACGATACAAGAGAGGAGGCCTTTATGAGGACAGACGAGCTCCTTAACGAATTTGGCGTCTGGCCCTGGGGTTTCGTTGGTACAGGTTCAGGATCCGCCGTAGATGGTGCCACAGGTATTGGTTCTGCTTCTATAGATACATCTGATCAAGTTGAGACACCAGCATCTGCTGCGATGTCCCATGCATCTGCTGCACAAATCACAAATCTCGTCAGAAGTGCCAAAGAGGAAGTTGGCGAGGATGAGCTTGAGTTTGAAGTTATTGCTACTGTATTCTCAGTATTTGGAAAGGTGAGCTTTTGCTTTTGTCTCTTGAAAATATATATTAATTAAACACATAGATGGATTCATTATTGTAGATTTAGATTTAGGTATACCCATTGAATATAGTACAAAAATATAATAAATGATAGATTATTACTCGTTCCATAGGTTATCGGTTTCTGCGGGTGCAGGTGCTATTTCGTATCTAGAACTCTCAGCAGGAAGTTGGACGTCTTCATCATTTTCTACTTGTTGTTTTCCCTCTTCTTCCTGCTCTTCCTGCTCTTTCCGCTCGTCTTGTCGCTGAACTTCTGGTTCCAATGTGGATTCTTCTGTTGGCTGTGCCTGATTTGTTTGAGAAGTCTTCTCACTTGGCTTGTCCTGCTCTTTCGAATACTCTATTTTGTCTACTTTAATCTACACGTTTGTGAGGAGTGAGTGATGATACCAGTAAATAGACCTACCTGCTCATCGATCAGGCTATAAACGAACACCGTCACCTGATCAGGCTGTATATCCAGAAGAATGAATGATGGTATAGCCTCCTTCTCTTCCAAAGACGAGTAAGTGCCTGTCATAGAACCAGGTGAGCAGTAGAATGTTGAATCACGCTCGTATGCTTCAAAACTAAGTTTGTCAATACATGCATTATTAGACCTGATAAATCCTCACCTCTTTGGACCTGCAATCAGCAACATATCAACGTCAAGTTTACGAGCTGTGAGTTCGTAACTTTGCGTCTGGTTATCGCAGATCAGGCCAACTTTGAAGCTATCAAGCATGAGTGTAGAGCCGGATGCACCTATTATGACTTTATCACAGAGACTTCTGAAGTAATCAAGTGTAATTTTGTCATTCATCTGACCTAATATGATTATACCGTCTAGTTTGTTTGGCTGGAGTAGCTTCTTGAATTGATTTGGCAAGCCTACTGATTGTGTTGGTATATTCAGCTCATTTGCTACAAGTATCAGCATTCTGGGTGATGGATGTTGACGTAAACTGGTAGATGTTGCCCATTTTGAGCCATAAATGAACTAAAGAGTATTGATAGTTAGCAATTATACCTTTTACTTTAATAGCACATCTACGTCTCCTGTCAAGCTCTTATTTCTCCGGATGAGTAAAACAGCTCAGGAATAAAATGTAAATATAATTATATATTTTAACTCCTGTGAGTTGCAGAAATATGAAAATGTTAATATTTCCCTCATATCTTCAATTTTAGAAATTAGCGCATCCTATTGAAATCTCCTCCTCACGCGAATTCGCTCGCCTTATCGCCTCACTTCTGCCTTTGTCGAAATCAGAAATATCATCCGTTAAGAAAATATATTAGGAGTATCACTATAATGTATAATAAAAATTTACCTCAGGAACTCAGATTTTTAGTTTTTTAATTAAATTTGCCATTTTCGTCCGCCCCTTTCTGTTTTCAGTACAACAAAGTAAATCAACGAAAGATGGAAATGAGCGGCATGGATATGGGTGGTATGGACATGGGGGATGGTGGCATGGATATGAATATGTCCTGTAGCTCCTCCATGCTTTGGAACTGGGTGAGTAGCTAGCTCGACAGCTGAGATTTTCTCATTATGACTAGAATATAATGAATATCTGCCCTGTATCCGATCAGTGGCATATCAAATCACATGGTAAGTTGTATAATCTTTTATGAACAACCCAACTGAGACCCTCTAGGTGCATTCGCTGGTACCGTCATCGGAGTATTCTTTATCGTCGTCGCTGTAGAGACGGTCAGGAGATTCGGTAGAGAGTACGACAGGAAGATCGTTAATGATTATCGAAAATCTCAAGCTGACGCTGGTAATGTTGCACCAGATGTCGACGCAAAAGGAGACATAGGTCCAGCGCCAGTTCTAGTAGGAACAGGTCAATTGAAACCATTCAGACCAACATTCACACAGCAATTAATCAGATCACTAGTATATTTCGTTCAATTTTCCGCTACTTATATGTGAGTTTTGACTTTCCTTTTTAAGAAATTTCTAACACGCGCATTATAGTGTCATGTTGATAGCTATGACATTTAATGGCTACTTACTTTTCGCTATCTTCTTCGGTGGTGGATTTGGATACCTCGTTAGTAGCTGGGATACTGTAGGATTGGTCGAAGATACAGACAAGAGCTCATCAGGATGCTGCTGCTGAGCGTCGAATATAACCTATCGCTCGCATCTTCGAATAATCACTACTCATCTTTTTTGGAAACTTGTAAACAATATCTCTCTGTATTTCTTTATCTAGAGACGTGCACTAGTCATTTTTTTACATATTTTTTGGAATACATATATCTTTCTTCTTTATATTCTCCATCACAAACACCCAAGTCTTGATTTGACGATGCCAACTTCGTCGAAGCCAAAGAGTTATTTTGGCAGCCAGAGTGCCGTAAATATGCAAACTATCGTGATGTATTATCTAACATGTATTCTATAGGATCAGGCTGTTGCTGGATTCGGCGCAGGCGTCGTAGCCACATTCACGATGCAGCCATTTGACATACTAAAAGTAAGATTTCAGGTAGCTACTCGTTCTGAAAGGGTTGGATATGGTAGAGCTATATACTCTGCACTCAAAAATGTTGTCAAGAAGGAAGGTCCTTCTGGATTGTGGAGAGGTATCGTACCAAACATAATCGGAAACTCATCTGGTTGGGCGACTTACTTCTATTTGTACGTAGCCATGATACAGTTCTATCCTTCTAACACTCTGTGCAGCTATACAACTTTCAAGGATGTTGTCCACTCACAACAGCGCAATAACGCGTCGATAACACCCTCCCAATATCTCCTATGTGCATCAACAGCAGGTGTGATACAACGTCTTCTTTGTTACACTTCTTAACATTCTATAGGCTCAATCAGCGCGATGGTCACAAATCCTTTCTATGTTATCAAAACAAGAATGTACACGTCTTCCTACAAAAACAATGACGCGTATAGGGGTCTATTTGATGGCTTGAGCAAGATAGTCAGGTCAGAAGGTGTATTAGGTTTGTGGAAAGGTACACTATTGGCACTCGGAACAGTCGTGAATAGTGCATTACAATTCACGATCTACGAAGAGATGAAGAAGACAAGATTTGCAGTGCGGGGAAGCCAACCTTGTGCTAATGATAAATTGGTTAGTGAAGATTAGCAATTTAATGTTTCACTCACTGATTCATGCAGCCTAATTGGGAGTACACCGCACTTAGTGGATCATCTAAACTACTTGCCCTTGCAACTACCTACCCATACCAAGTTGTCAGATCAAGATTGCAGGTGCGTTTGCATTAATCTCTCGAACATGACGAAACTGACAACTATAAGAACTCAACAGAATTTGAAAATATCAGACATTGTGTTAAAGAGTCTTACAAAAGGGAAGGAATAAAGGCTTTTTATAGGGGATTGGGCATCAACGCTATCAGAATATTGCCAGGAACTTGCGTCACTTTCGTAATGTGAGTAGAAGTGATAAACGGAGATAACGAAATAACTGAAATGAAATACAGATATGAGAATCTAATTTGGATAATAAAGGAAGCATCATTTAGAAAGCAGGATTAGACATACATTTCATAGAACAATAATACATCACGTACATAATTTATTTGTAATATTAAGAAGAAATATGCATTTTAACAAATCAACATTTATTGCTCTTTGTCTCTTTAGAGTGTCCACCCATGTGGCTAAATAGCAACAAATCTAACAGGAAGGGATCGAAACCGTCTACGAGGGATAGCACTCCATTGGAAGCTGGAAAGACTACAAAACTACTCGGTCCGGGCGTACGTGATAAAACTGGTAAGATAACAGAATTCTCTGTAGGTACTATCGCAAACTGTAGTCAAACTCACAATTTTATACAGTCAGCGGATGACAAATGTCCAGTTTGTTCATCAGACCGTTATCTTAACCCTTCTCTACGGTTACTAGTCTCTCCATGCTATCACAAAATGTGCGAGAGTTGTATAGATAGGTTGTTTACGTTAGGTCCTGAACCGTGTCCGATTTGTGGTAAAATAACACGTAAAACTGCATTCGTAGCTCAAACTTTTGAAGACCTTGGTGTAGAAAAGGAAGTCGCCGTCAGAAGGCGTGTAGCTAAGGCATATAACTTGACGAGCGATGATTTCAGTGATTTACGCAGTTATAATGATTATTTGGAAGAAGTCGAAGATATAGCTTATAATCTGATAAATAATATTGATATACCAAACACAGAAGCTAAAATACGTTCACATCAGGCTAAGCATGCATCATCAATCATATCAAATTCAGCCAAGGAGATTGCAGAAGCTGAGGCTGTCAAAGCGGAAGAAGAGCGTGAGAAAAAGGAACGTGAAGCTCGAGCGAAAGAGGCTAGGAGGGAGCTAGAGCAGGAAATGTTTGAAAAAGACCAAGATAAGGAGGTCTTACTGAGGGAGCTTGAACATTCTTCGAAATCAGCTGAAAGGGTGATGGCACAACAGCGGTCGAAAGCTTTAAAAAGGTCATCAGCACGCACTACCAATCAAAACAAGCCGTTATCACTACCCGCGAATGCCTTCCCACCTGATAATCCCATGCCCTTCACTACAGAAGACGTATGGGATCCACTTTACGATGAAGACACATATGATGACTACAGCAACCTATATAAGATAGTACCAAACGTCTATGCTGACGGTTTCAAAGGTGCCGAAACAGTTGTTGGAGGTGACGACATAGCAAAAGCAGGCGGATGGACGAGAAATCAAGCATGGGAACGAGCGATACGAGAGGGTGTCTCTGAATGGGCATTGTAAAATTATTGGCATATATTTATATTCATATTCTTCCTTAAGATAACTCAATGGAGTTCAAAATTAGAGTGTTATTTAATACTGGTGAGAAATGTCAAATTGAGTTTGTAGACGATATAAGCACAACTTTGGGAGATTTCAAAAAGTACTTAGTTGCACACTGGCCAGCTGGTGAGTGCAACGGAGAAACTGACGATTCTAACTTTCGGCAAGAACACACGAGTGCACCGCTGTATAGTAATCAAATTAGACTGATACATTTTGGGAAGCTCTCAGAAGATAAAGTACCCCTTAGAGATTTCGCAATTGCTGATGAGATAACTACATTTCATCTCTCACTCAAACCGCCAGAATTAAAGACGAGATCGAAGTGTTGCACAATAATTTAGATGCAATATGGCACACTGGGAGACTAGCATGTAGGTATCTACCATCTTGGTATCGTATTCACTCACACTCTTAATAGGACGGATGAGGTACACATCGAGGGCGTTTGCGAGGAGATAAAGATACCTTTGGATATCTACACAGAGTATCAAAGATGTATCTCTCACTATATACCCAATTTACTCACTTTTTGTTACCAGTCATGATCTCACACTACGCAATGATACAGATAAGGTTATAATGGAGACGCCCTGGTCCAAAATGCAATACATGCGCAGCTATCGTATTATAAGTGCACTTGGTGGTGATATCTAATTTCACCAGCTAATCCACACTTTTAGAGCCTGTAATCCCACTTGATAAAATGAGGAATGTATCTGTTCCATTGTGTGATGAGATAGATACAGAAGATGGTTTAGTACAAGAACAAAGGCAGATAAAATCACCAGTAGAACCATTACCATCACTTCCGCTCTCAGAAAGACCTACTGACAAACAATTCAAACCGCAATATCAAGAACGGGTAGGTCGTCAAATTTGACATATTTCTAGCTCAATATGCACTTAGTACACGGAAACTTCACTTGAGAGAAGATCTCAGATGACTATTGAACAATCCTTCGAGATGTCTGCTTCACGTAAAAGACTGGGGAAGGAACACGTCGAGACACTCAAAATCTGCATTGATGATGGGGAAAAGACAAAGAACAGAAATAAAGCTTCAAATGAATCCAAGCAAGTATGCAAACCGGTGTTACCAGTCAAAAACGTTTCCAAACAAAGCACGAAGAAACGTAGAACACCAACATTCTGGACAACATTCAACAAATTACCGAAGATTGAAGCAATAAAGACAGAAAGGCAGCCCAATACGTCGAAGAACAGCTTAATAAACCCAACTGACAATGCTATTGTCACACCAGAAAAGAAAGTCAGAATGTTTGAACCTACGAGTCTCGATTCTCACAAGGAGCATGTAGATCAGATTGGAGGAAGTAATAACGCTTGGAAGACTGCAATTTTCTCAAACAAATATAGTGCTGGTATACAATAAATGCAAAGGATATATAAAACAAGTGAAAGTGATTAAAGCTATTTAATGTAAATTAATAATTAAATCATTCTATATCCCTCTTGAACACATCCAACCATGCCACGAATCGAGGAAGAGGTGGACGAGAGTAAAAAAGTGGAATTTGATGATGATTTTGATATGCCATTGAGTGCATTAGGAGGTCAAGGAAATCAAGGAGCTTTGCTGGAGCATGTTGATGATATTTCTAAGCCTGCAACTGCACCGACAACCGTACCCGCACCATCAACAAGTACAAGTTCGAGTGCACCACCACCACCTGCATTCCCTGGTATGCCCGGCATGCCTGGACTTCCTTCTCAATTCATGGAGGAAGAACGTATACCTTTACCCGTCATAATCGACACTAACGCAACACCACGTATGAAGCCAGTAAGAGATGAATTAGAATTAGAAGACTACAAGAATTGGTTGACGCTTTATCCTTTATATTTTGATGCAAAAGCTAGTCAAGAACAGCGTAGATTAGCACGTAATAAGTGTGTTTGGTGGCCTCTCGCGAACGATTTGGCCGAATGTGCAGGAAACCTTGGTTACAGAGTTTTATTTGAACCTACAAAGACACATCCAAGTGATTGGGAGAATCCAGGTAGAATAAAGCTTGAAATACAACCTGGCATGAAAGTAAAAGCTATAACAGAAATAGCCAAAGAATTAAAGGACAAATTACAAGATGACACACAATTAGATAAACGCACACATAAATTACCTTCTGCACCTAAGGGTATAACGCTCAGACGACCAGCTTGGTCACCCGCTAAACCTGTTGGTATGTACGTTAAGACAGCAAATGATCAACCACCTCCAGAGCCAATTAAGAAGGTCGACGAAGCACCAAAGAAGGAAAAGAAACCAAAGATCAAGCGAAAGATTATGCGTGTTGGTTAAAAATTTCTCATAGACTTTATTTTCATTTTTATAAATATATGCATATTATAAATCTAATATAGTTAATCTGCTAAACGTCTACCACTTCCCCAGTTGTGAGTTGATTCTTTCTTTGGATTTATGGCTGTTCCATAACTAGTTTTACGTTCTTTTGGATCTCCAGCTATCCACCAGCGTTGAAACCATCTTGGAGGGTTGTTTACTATGTTCTTTATAAATGGAGGTACTGGTGAGGGAGACATTGAAAGTAATTGTCTGAAATGAGTTGCAATTATACCAGTTAAACTGATTAAGACGGAAACTGGACCAGCTGAAACCATATCAATGAGAAGAATAACATAAGGATAGGCGTAGTGGGGTATACTAACCAAACCAAATAGGTTTACAGTCGCATTAGGAGAAATGAGTGATTGAGTGTAGATTATACTGACAAAAAGTGGTCTGAATAAACTGAAAGCGTTAATTGGTATGTTAAGGAGTAAGATGAGTGTAGCATCTACTATTCTGTTCCAAGCATACACAGCACCTGCTGTAGATGTACCACTGCCTTCCAAATCAGACGACGTTCTGTATAATATAACGAAATCGAATATAGCACTAATAGATCGTGGAAGGATAAAGAAGCCAGTGTATAAGCGCCAAAGTTGTGGAAAGACGAGCTTTGTGTGCATACCAACATAAGCTGGCGCGATGAAAGATATCAGAGATACGCCAATTGATGATAAAGCTATAAATCTAGTAGTAGGTGCAATTTTTTTAATTTCATTTCTTATATCGTCCATTTTATCTATTGTCGTAAATGACGAAACTTAACACGTGTCTAATACGGTCAAGGGATAAATGGAAAAAACCAAAAAGTTAAATAGACCGCCATCATTGAGTGAGCTTGTAAGTCGGTGAGTGTTCGTACTTATATACCGTGATTATTACTTAGATACTTTAGTATTGACAGCCACAAAATCAACCAAGTGAAGAGCTCAATCGATGAGAGAAGGAACACAGCGCGTACTATACTCACCAGACAGGAGAATAACGCGAATAATCCAAAGAGTTATAACAAACATACACCATCTTTGTCCGCTATCCAAAAGCGTTTCGCTAATCAAAATAGTGAATCAAAAGAAGAAATATCAAACAAAGAGAATTATCCACTTCAACATAATTGGACATTATATTATGATTCAAAATCAGCAACTTCTACACCAACAACAGCAGGTCCTACCGATAAGGGTACCTATGAAGCGGGTCTAAACGTCATACAAGAAATGAAAACTGTAGAAGATTTCTGTAGAGTTTGGAATTGGTGCAAACCACCTTCAAAACTTGAGAGACACTCAAACTACCATTTCTTTAAAGATGGTATTAAACCATTATGGGAGGATCCAGCAAACTCTCATGGCGGAAAATGGGTAATCATTGTAAGAAATAGTCACTGGTTGTTAGACAGATGTTGGTCTTGGTTAGTTATGGGTCTAGTTGGTGAGGAAATTGACGACGATGACCTCATAACTGGTGCTGTCGTCAGTACGCGTCCACGAGGAGACAGAATTCAAGTTTGGACGCGTCAAACGAAGGTTGAAGAGTGTAATGAAATAGCCAGAAAGTTAATAAAGATACTTGAAATTGGAAATGATAACAATAACAATAACATTAGCTTAGAATTTCAATATAATCAATCAAATCCTCCATCTACTAATGGATTCATACATATAGTACCATCATATAATAATAATTCACCAAGCACGACACCAACAATTGCATCAAATGGTGGGTTCAAGATACCAAACACACCAACAGACAGGTGGAGACAATAAAACTGTAACAGAATAGGAAAGGGTATACCAGGTTTTCAATTTGTAAACATGAAATAAATTGTTCATATATAAAACTCAAATAAAATTCAAAATAAAATACTTAAATCTTTAAACAGTTTGCAAATGAAGATGAAATATCGTGATGATGCTTTGGTGCTTTCTTTGAATCAATGATAAATGAATTGAGTAGATTGCTAGCAGTTTGACAGGTTGATTGTGCGTAAGAAGGTGGCAAATCGTTTGAAGGTGTGTATGCAGGTGGTGGTTGTGAAATTTGATGTGATGAATAATTGTAGATATCTTTGATATTAGTTTCAGGCATGAGAGTTGTATAAACGGACATGAAATTGCTACTAATTGGTGGAGTTGCTGGTGTGTTACCAAATAATCCGAGATCCTTGTTAGTATTTGCAAGTGGAAGTGAGCTTGACCCAGATGCGGAGGTTGACAATTGATCAAATTTAAGCTTGAGAGATTGTATTTCCTTTCTTAGATCGTTTGATTCAGTTTTGCTATCCTTGAGATCGGACTGTAGTTGTTCAATCAACTCGTCTCTGGAATTTAACTGAGATTCAAGCTGTTCAATGTAATCTTTTCTACGCAGTCTGAAAGCTCTAGCGGAAATTTTATTACGAAGTTGTCTCTTTTCCTTTGAAGACAATTTGTTGTACTCCTGAGGGCTTAGATTAGCTTCAGCCGCGGCGGAGGTGATATTGACATCCTTTTGAGTGCGTTTGCGCTTAGATTGTCTAATAGAGCCAGTCGAAGGTACACTGTTGGTGTCCGAAGAGTGCTCGTCTGCGTCCTCAACGGTCAACTGTGGTTGTTGTTCAACAAACGGTTCTTCTTCCTCTTTCTTCACCTGAGTAGTGAGCTCATTTGTATCAATAGCTTTAGCTTCTTGCTCTGGATGCTGTGAAGTTGAAGCTATAGCAGATTGGTTGCCTGATTGTTGCTCGATGTCGAAGCTAGGCTGCTGAGGCAGCAGTAGCTGTTCAATACCAATATCTAGCTTATAATCATTGTCTATATTGTCGAAGTTCAAGTAATTTTCAATTTCAGTAGTCATTGTTTCTGTCAAACGGTATCCGACAGTCACGAAAGTACGAGAACGACGAAAAAGGATAATAAAGATTTTTTCTTTGATAAACGCGTCAAATCTACTATATAATCTCTTATAATATATTTTATTTCGCCACAGCTGCTCCACTAGCTCCTGTACCTGACTAAAGCTGTCTAGCGTAATTGAAGTATGTATTTAATTATGCATGATACCGCAGCTATGCATATGTAAATAATACAATAAACTAAAAGGGCTATTATCATCCTTCTTATTGAACTGTCATCATATGTTCTGCTTGGTAAGTTCTTATTTTGTCAATATTACTATGAACGGCCTGATAAGAAAACTGATAGAGATGGTGGCTTTTAATGTTCTTATTACCGTTCCCAACTGCATCTCCAATCATCCTTAGTCTCTTCATGTTGAGCTACGTTATATACCAGAAGCCATGTCCGTATTGCTTCGTTTTGTTACTCTGTTTATTCGCATCAACCTGCCATTGGGGTGTAGGCGCACCAGATACCTGCTGCTGGTTCACCAACAAAGCTAGCATATCACAGCCAAGTTGGGAATTGGATTTACGTAAATTTGGACAACAATTAATCATAGACTTTTAAAGAATAATAAAAATAATAAAAGAATACATAAAAAATAGTTTATTTATTTCAATTTATCATATCCTCTTTTATCACCGGTGTGGAAATCGTGTAATCGAACAATCTGACCGAATTCATCCAAAATACTACGTGAGAAAACAACGATATGTGGCCACCAATCATGCGAGAATCCACCTTCTAATAATGGCCAGGCAAATCCACCACCTGAAGATCCACCAGGACCTAAAATATTGTCTGGATCTAATCTCTCGCCATCAACTGTGCCGATTTTTACGCGTTGAACCAAATGTGATGAAACACCCAATTCAGATGCTCTTTGTGCGTCATTCTCCAATTCCTCATATTCTTCACTATCATCGTCATTTTCCGTCTCGATCATCCCGCCCACAGCTCTAGCCCATGTACGGGGGAATTTAACCCTGAGATTATATGAAGGAAATTTCAACCTTGATTTATCCAACATTTCAGCAGCCTTATCTTTACGTTTGTGGTTTTCTATATTTCTGACTAGTAATTCGTTCGTACGCTGTTGCATTTCATTCACGTCACTAGAAGGTGCTTTTTGAAGTTTGAGCGATTTGTGATAACTCTGGGTTGATTCTATAGTTGATATTTGAAATAACACTAATCCATATAACATCAATGCCAATCCCTGTAATTGATCGATAAGTGTACGATTAACTAATGAATTCACCGTTAACGAATCGCATTTACTTCTACTAAACTTCGCTAATGGCTCCAAACTATTCCAATTTTGTAATAAAGTTCCATTGATTCTGTCTTCACACCAGAATGCATAGGCATACATAAGAACGGCATCCAGTAGCTCACATGCAGCTAAAACCCTCAGGTAATCACTTTCATCCCCAGTGGCTTTTGTCGATAACTGATAATGTCGATCCCCCCAATGTTTTATATTACGTCCTCTCTCTTTGTACCTAAAAATAACGTGAGAAAAGAAAAAGATAGGTTGTAAAACACTCTTACAATGAAGAAGTTTCCTTGTAATCCTGATTTGACCACTTTCTATTGGAATCCTTCTTATTAATCTCGATCCGAGGAGTTGATGCGTTAGAAGTGAATGAGTTATTTGATGACTTTGGGGTATCATTAGTTAGTCTATTACGTTTTACTGGTCTATATATATCAGTTATCTTTGGAGGTAGCATATTCGGCAAGCTCTCAATTAACTTATAACGTAAGCGATGTATAAGATAAATAAACTAATATACTCACGTCTATGCACCTTTTCGCACTATCATTCCCCTTCCGTCTACTGTGGGACGTCGCCATTACTTTTACTTTTACTTTTGGTAGTTGATAACACCAAATCGACGTGCCAAAATCAACCGAAAACTAAAATTATGTATTTTTTAATAATATAACAAATATTCCGTTGACAAATGTATAAAAATCTTAATTTATTTGGGTATTTCCTCTATTTTGAACTTTTAAGTGCATTAACTCGTAAGGCATTCAATGATGTTGTTGAATTGACTGTAGGTATTGTGCCAATAGTTGAAGGTGTTACTGGTGTTAGTAAGCTTGGTGTTTGTGGTCTACTAGGTTGCGGTGTTCTATTGTGTTGCATGTGTGCTTTGATGAGATGTCCGGCAGCCAAGGCACCCATTAAACTAAGTTCGCCAGCCATAACTGACGCACAAATTATCCGAGCGAGTCTTTGAGCATTTGCACCAGGCTCTACTTGATTCGCTCCTCTCACACCAAGTAAGTCCAACATTGCACCCTGGGGTGAGAGGACAGTACCACCACCAACGGTACCAACTTCAATTGAAGGCATTGAGCAAGTTACTAATAAGTCATTGTCATTATTCACACTATTCTTGCGTTAGTAAACTTTTTCTTGAGAAATTTAAATTATACTCACCTCTCCATTAATGTTATGCAATTTGATGATTCAACGTTTTGTGCAGGATCTTGACCAGTGGCAAGGTAAATAGCTGTCAGAATGTTGGCAGCATGTGCGTTGAATCCACCGATTGAGCCAGCCATAGCAGAACCAACGAGATTCTTCTTAGTGTTAAGTCTAACTAAATCGCTAACACTAGATTTGAGAACATTCTTAACAACATCACCTGAGATGACCGCTTCAGCAACGACAGATTTACCTCTACCTTCAATCCAGTTGATAGCAGCTGGTTTCTTATCAGTACAATAGTTACCGGAAAGAGCCAAAGTCTGCATTGTAGGAAATTGTTCGTGAAGTGCTGCCAATGCCTTTTCAACGCCCTTACTAATCATATTCATACCCATAGCGTCACCTGTTGTTGTTGCGAATCTAACATAAAGAGTTCTACCTGCAAGTGTGCACTTAAGTTGTTGTAAACGAGCAAATCTACTAGTTTGATTAAAGTGTGAAGTAATATAATCGGTACCATGCTTCGAATCGATGAATTTCTTGCAACGTGCTGCATCAACAACTGAAGGGAATTCTAAGGCAGGCCCTCTTGTCATACCATCTCTTGTTAAAACTGTTGTTACACCGCCACATGCGTTTAGTGCTTTACAACCTCTACTCGTTGATGCGACTAATGTTCCTTCAGTAGTGGCCATTGGAATTGGTGTTAAATCTCCATCAATTTTGAGTGGTCCGGCTACACCAACTGGAATTGGCATGTAACCAATAACATTTTCACAACACGCACCCATAACTTGTTGATAATCGTAATATCTCATTGGTAATTTTGAATGTTCTAAAGTTGCAGTAGTTGATTGACGTGAAATAACAGCTCTTCTGATTTTGACAGCTCTTTCGAAATCTCCTAATAATTTCTCTAATGCGTACATTGGAATTTTACCTTGTTGAACCAACATAATGAATTCTTCATCGCTAAATTCTGTACTTGGTGTAATCGATGGGGAATCCTTTGATCTTTGAAGTAATTCTGAGCACTCTTCAAGACTTCTTCTACCGAAGTGTGTTTCTTGAGCTGGTGTTGATAAACTCTCTTCAATAATCTTTGGATGTCCGATATGTCCCGCGTCATTGACAAGCAGCGGTCTGTCGATTTCCTTCACCGATGGTAAGGTAGGTGGAAGTGAAGGAAGGCTGTTGACTTTTTCAGCTGTTTCCTTAACCTTCTGCATGTGATATGCTTTCAATTTCAATCCATCTTTATCATCTGTTTGATCAGTAAGATGTCTTCTAGCTGCGATTGATCCTTTGTTGTCGATTTGGACTGTGTAAGGACCGCTACCACCACCTAAACCTTTGAGGAGATAACCATTGAGGAAGATAGATGAGCCAAGTATCAAAACAATCCACTTGGACATGATAGGATCGCCAACAAGGTGGGTCCAACCGCTCATGAAATCTTCAAGAACAGCCAATGAGGCAACCTTTGTGTGATTACTATTGGCATCGTTATCGAAGAGGTTGTTGGCCTTGTTGAATGCATCGCTAAATATAGAGGCTGATTGATTCTCTGAGGAATCATCCAAGAATCTCTTCAAAGATGTTTGTGATGAGAGCGTTGTGAGAAGGTTGAGCGAATGAAGGATGAGGAATGAAGATAAAAGTAAAACCTTTAACTTTGTGAGAGGGTTGTTGACCTTTTCCGATGTGTAAATAGTATTTTGTGTACCCCTCAATAACTTAATACGATGTACTTCGACCATGACGGTTAGTATTGGTGACAAGAAACCGAACAAGAAGAAGCAATCGAAACCGATGCTGAGTGCTGAAAGGATACAGAATTCTTTCAAACCTGCAGCGCCTGATGCAGCACCCAAGATAAGAACTGCGATTTCTAATGCTGTATCTCTGACAATTCTTGGACCAACTTTAGTGTTTGCGCGATGAACAATCGTGGAAGCAGGTGTAGGTGTAGCTAATTTAACTTTGTTCACTTGACTTTCTTCTGAAGGGTGTTCGAGTGGTGTACCGAGAGTAAAATAATCGCCTGCTTTTGGATGGAAGACCGGTGGTGCTAAATCATGAGAAGAGAAGACGGCGCGTGCTAATGAGATTGGCTATATTGGATGTTAGATACTTTGCTATAAGAATATTACCACTGCTAACCTTATCAAATCCAATTGTGATAACCAAGAAAGGCAATGCTTCTAACAAGTTGATAGGGTCTACACGGACATCTGAGTAGTAGGCGACTAAACCGGCACAAACAAAGGAGAAAACTGATGATACGATAACTGACATACCTATGATATCGTTAAATCGGAATAATTTGTTGATTTTGGAACCTACCCAACCAAAATTTAGACCCCAATTTCTTCATTTCGACAAAGAGATTCACGAATGTACCGTGCATAAGGATGTATCCTAATAAAACGATCATAATGTCTACGCTATCAGCGTTCTATACGGATATTTGAGAAAACATCTAAGAGAAGACGGGAAACTAACCTTTGCTAATGACCAAGTTTTACCACCGAAAGCTCTTAACGCCACAGACCACCACCAATCGTGCTCATTGTCGATATCTAACTGATCTGCAGTGGCGAAGCCATCATGTCTAACTGCGTGGGCGAGTTTGAAGTACGCTAAAGTGACACTGATGAAAGCAAATAGAATTGATTCTATTGGATGTGATGTTGATCTTTTTGAAATAGCATTAAAGAAGAGCTTTATTGGAACATTTATAGACGAATTGAATGGCATATGTCTTCCTGGAGATGACTGATGTTATATATTAGATATGGTTATAAAGTGTTAAGATATTTACTTTTATCTATTTAACCTGCGTCTGTGTGCAAGCTGTGTTGTGATCAATAACGGACGCACGCACTCTCTAATTTAGTGAGCTTCACAAAAATCAGTTCATTTGCAAATATAAAAAATTTAAATTTCCGCAGAGGACTTTATTGTTTTACCAGTTTTTGCAATCTTTGCTTCTACATCTTTCAAGCTAGCTGATCCTATAAGCGGTGGTAAGTTCCAACTCCTGAAGATAAGGATATCTCTATAGATGTTCTATCTCTATAGATATACCAAACCTACCATCTACTACGACAGTTTGTGATTCTAAATCGACTTTGAAATCAGAGATACCAAAGTTAGGATCCTCCTTTGCCTTGTTAAGTGCTCTGGTGATAGCAGATGAGCATCCACCGCATCTGATGTATGTGTTAGCTATCTATATCTTTAGATATTCAATATCATGACATACGACATAACGACGTCAAACTGTTTTGGATATCTATAAGATGGACTATACATATAGCGCGATTAAACTTACTTTGTACTAAATAACGTATTAATTACACCATTATCTGCACAAAAATACGACACGTACGCTTCCCATTTGATGATGACTGTTCAGAGATTACAATGAAATTAATTGATATTTACGGCCTAATAAGGTTGTCACTGGGGTTTTCTAACTTATTCTACAATAATAAACTATCAACACAGCAGCAATTGTTAGTGCTTTATTGTATATTAGCAGTTGGCGAACATCTAGCTAACATTGTATTTGGTAATCTTCACGCTATCAACCCAGCATTAGTGTTATATGCCTTTATTATTCATTTAACGCTTTATCCAATCTTTAAAAATATCAATAACAAGTACATAGATCTATATTTATCACCCCTAGACGCATACTCAAGACTGCCATTGTTCACTAATATACCAAACAACTTTGAATTACCCATATATGATGTATACACACTTTATTTGGCGACACTGCTGATCAATTATGGCGGTGTAATCGTGATAAGCACATTAAACCTCTTGGAGAAGGAATATAAAGTACAAACGCCATTAGAAATACAAATATTGGGATCAAATGATAGACCAACAGTCAAAATATTCAAACTCCTCGAGTTGCTGTTACCATTTTTTAATATCCTCTACAACACAGACATTCTAAATGAGAACTCAATCGTTATAGCGCTCACATTGTTATTCTTTGCACGCTCGTATTGCTTTATAGAAGTCGATAAGCAAATCGCCGAGGAGAGAGTCAGGACGACAGCGAGTGAAGTCTCAAAAGTGTCAGAAAAGCCATCCGAAAAGGAAACCAAGATGGCTACCAAAAAACTAAAATAAAACCACTCGCTGTATAATCAAAATGGATGAAAAATTGTAGGCTGCAAATTAATCAATACTGATCTACATCAATACACTTTAAGCAGATGCCTTCTTTGACTTTGCCAAGTTGATTCTGCCAACTGAACGGCGTTGCTTCTTGAGTAACATAATTTGGAAACGCTCAAAGTCGGAGGTTTGCTTTCTGCGTTCAACGGCTTGCAACTTCTTGGCCCAGTTTGATTCTGACCACTTCTTTGAGATTTCAGCGGCTTCGAAGTGCTTCTTGATGACAGTTGGGCCTGCTGCACGTGGAAGCTTCTTGAGTGTGAATGGTGTAAGGTTCATGCGACGGAAAGCAAGTGCTTGACGCTTAACACCAGTTGATGGTCCCTCGATGATGGCCTGTATGGTGTGTTAGTTTGGTGTATATTCCTCTAGACTCTCTACGCACTCTGTTGTGGTCCAAGATCTCTGCAATAACAGCGAGCTTGCCAGAGTCCTCACCTTGGTTGACGAGAACGACTAGAGAGGGATATCAGCATACTATACACATTCGCTTAAAGGGAAGACGTACCACGGCCAACTTCAACGTAGCGCTTGAAAGTTTGTGACTGAGAAGACCGTTAGACGGCATATTAAATGCTATATAAAAACCTACGCTCATTCCGTCCTATACTGTATCGTTAGTTTTAGCTTTTTATTTAAAATTCTAATTTACCTCTTGTTGCAGCAGCTTAAGGCTAAAGAGAGCAAAGTTGATGAGAGTGACGGGACGGGGTCAAATTTTAGAATATAATTTAAAGATAAGTAGATAATAAATATATTATTTATTTATTACTGTAGATTCTCGTAATTCTATATTTATTCCCACTCTTCCCTGTCTTCTTGTGTCTTCTCGTAGATTGATCCTACGTCAATCATCGCATGTATGCAGCAGCCTTCTAGATATATCGCTGAGCCTATATAATTATTAGAACTGAGCATATTATATTGACCTAACATGATCTATTTATTGACTGCCGTCGAACTTACCCGAATAAGTTCAGTACAATCTAGAGATGAATTATATTATTATAACCTGAGTTTTATCCTATATAGATCTCTATGTAACATCTCTAAACATCTCTCTATTCTGTCAGCCAAAATTTGAAACAAACACGTGGAATACTGTAATATAAATAAAGACTAATATACATTAAATAACAAGTGCATAAAGTACATAACACTATTTATGTCACTCTTCGTGAAATATTCGTTATTCCTTCTTAACGGTGTCCACTCATGTCATTGGAAGCACCTTGGCTTAAAGACTGTCCAGAATTCATTGAACTGGAGATCGCTGAATCTGTAGCAAGTCGTACAGAGACGCTTTGTAAGTTATCTATATCCATCTCTCATTCATCCCTCTAACAGCACATCGATAGCTACATTCAGAGAATTAGGTCCACCAGATCTCTGTCATATTATCAAATCACCTACTAAAGTTGGTACAACCAAGGATGTTAGTATTTTTATCCTATATTTACAACTTCTAATCATCCCGTAGTCTGGTTCTTATCATTATGTTTCAGGCGTAGACGCTAGCAGCTCAGCTAGTATCGCTATATACCTCAACGAGTTATTACGCAGTCTTGATCTCCCTCAGGGTTGGTTCACTCCAAACGCAGCCTGGAAAGTACGCTCGGGTACATACTGCTGTTATAATGCTTTCTCTAGATTGGATGTACGCGTTCAAGTTAGCATCCCAGGTGGAGTCGATTCCTATGCAGTTGATTTACGTGGTCAAAGACACGAATTGAGCTCAGATTTATGGCTCGAAACTTACTTATCTGCACATTTGAGAGCTATCTTATATGCTGATGATCCAAACTATAAACTCTATGGGTATCGCAAGTTTGATCCAATACCAAAACCAGAGGATGAAGAGAAATTTTTAGCAGCCTCTCAACACCTCTTCCACAAAGGTTGGCAATTAGGTTCAGACCCTGAAATTCAAGTAGCTACACCAATTTCCAACCACTTGACTACTGCTATTTTGAAATACTTTGGCGATTCAGGTAGAATGTCAAGAGCTGCAAACTTATTTGAGAAGATTGCAGAAAGTCAACGTAAAACCAGCGGCGAGAAAGTTGGCTGTGAAGTTGATGCCTTAACCGCAAAAGCTTACATTGGAATGAATGAAGAAACTTTAGCTATTCGTACACTCAACAGGGCTTTAAATGTTTCACCACAATCATGGCCTTTGTTGCACGTTCAAGTTGATTTTCTTCGCTCGAAGGGCCAACATCAATGGGCCGTACAACTAGCTAGACAAGCCGTTGAATGTTCACCATCAGAGTTCGTCACATGGGCAAAATTAACCGATTGTTTAATTGATATTGAAGACTTCGAAGGGGCACTATTAACCCTGAACTCATGTCCTATGTTTACCTATAATGAGAGGGATTTACATAGAATGCCAACACCAATAAAGAATCACTTCCCAATACAAAAATGGGTGATCGATTCTCAACTTATTGAAGATGATTCTCCAAAGGAAAACGAAGCTGATATCACATTATTAAGACTTCCTGCACCTTCACTTAGAGGAACTTTCGCTAGAGCTTATGAGTTGTTGACAAGATTAAACAATTGCATAGGCTGGGATGATTTACTTAAAATCCGTTCAAATGTATTCGTTATGGAAGAAGAATATAGGCAGCATAAATCTGATGATTCAACAGCAACTATCATAACTTCTGATAACGTATCAGCTCAAACTCAAACGCAGGCGTCAAATGAGGTAATTAAGCAACCAGCTATACCAACAATAAAGATATCTTCAGATTCTGATCATGAACGTGAACAATTTAAGAAAGGTGGTTTAGAATTACACATGGAAGATAGTCGGGGCAATGAAGGAAACACTACTGATGAAACTGTCAATGAAACTAGCGAAACTAACGATACCAACCAATCGGATAACGACTCAAGAGGTTTATCATTTAGTGATAAAAAGCTCTGTGAACGTTGGTTAGATAATCTTATGCTTGTTTTATATGAAGATCTTCGTGTTTTAACGATCTACAAAGCTGAAAGATCACATTTCAAATCACAACAAATGCAATACAGAAAGACAGGTACAGAATGGGAAATAATTGGTGATTTATGCCTTAGAATGCATAATAAAGAAGATGCGAAAGAAGCTTATCAACGTTGTTTAGATTTGAAGTTCTCTGCTAAATCTTTCATTAAGTTATTAGAAATATTCGCCAATCAAGGTGACACTCAACGCGCTTTCGCTGCAGCTATTAGACTCACTGCTTATAACCATAGATGGTACAATACTTCAGTATATCCTAATGCAGTTAGTAATCAATTATTCAAAATTGTTAGAACGGAAGGTGTACAAAAATTAAAGTTTATGACAATGTCACTAGGTAATGACTTACCAATACAATCTCAACTTTCAAAGTATTGGAATTACATAGAGTCATTTAAAGTCGAAGGTGAAGCTTTCTAAAAAGATTAACTTCTTTTGTAATTTGCCGTTCTAAATGTAAAAATCGAAGCTATATGAATTTAAATTAAATTCTTTATAAAATGTACAAGGTAGTTTCATTGAAGAAAAGAGTAATAAACATCTCAAGTCTCTTTCTCTGTTAACTATGTAAAAATGAGCGTGATTGTATAAAATTAAGAATGTAAAGATTTTCATGTGTTAGTGTAAAAAGCCATAATAAAAGATGCGTTTGTTTAATTGTTAAGTTTTAAAATATAAATCTCCCTTTTAATTGTATTTATCTAGGTTGAATTCCTTGATCTTCACATTCTTGTCTATACTCAGCTTCCAAATTCGCTTGACCATCTGGTCCATATAAACCTAATGCCCATTCCCTTACGAAAGTGGAGGCCTTTAAAAATTTCTTTGATGCATACTTTCTATAGAAGGCATCATGCTTTATATCTTTTGATTTAACATAATCTAACATAACTTGAGCGCATGGAAGTAACTCCAAAACTGAATATCCAGAATAATGTACTAAATTTGCTGACCATTCACCTCTATCTAAGCACATTCTAGATAAGTATGTTGCAGCTGCTGCAATTTGTGAAGGTGGAAATCTTAAAAGCTTCTCTTCAACACATGAAATTTCCATGAAGTATTTAGCTAATGTTCTGGTTTCAATATCATAATCATCAGCTTTTGAAACTCTTCTGAGGAAATGGATTGGGTTTGGGTAAGATAAATCCCAAGATAAAATTTGTAAAACGTATTGTTCTGCTTTTAATAATTCAGATTCTTCATAACCGCCATCTGACATGTAAACGACGTTTGCAACAGTTGGACACATAACTTCTTCATATTTTGCAGCGATAAGCATAGCAGTTAAACCAACTAATTGAAGTTTGATAATTGAGACAATTCTTAATGATAAGAATCTATCAACAATATTGATTGCTAGAAAGAGTGTTTCAGGTAATAATCTAAATTTATGATGAATTTCAATTAACCAATCTACTAAAACACCTCTCATTCTCCATCTTAATTCCTTTTGATTATCCATATAATTTGGATTTGGCATTGTTTGTTGTTCAAGTACTTTCATATACTCGAAGATCTCAACGACGTATTCGCTAACCATGAGTGGATCACCTTCATCCTCAGCATCCAAGTCTTCCCAACCTTCATCAGCAGCAGGTAAGTTTTGCTTTGCTTTCGCGAGTCTACGTCTTTCCTCATCAGCTTCAAATCTTTGTGCTTCCAATAATAATTCATCGCCAGGTGAAGATGTACGTTGACGTTTAACATCAGGTTCATCAACGTAATCCATCTCATCCTCAACTTGAGATTGTTTGACATTCGTTGGTTTCTTTGTAGTCGGTCTACCAACTTTAGACTTAACTTGTGTTGTTGCTGGCTTTGCGACTCTACGTTTTGTTGGATCGATAGGTACACCTTCATCGACGGGTTTAGATGAATTTGAAGCTGATCTAGTTGTACGCTTTGTAGTTGTTGGATCTACCTTACCCAAACCAGTTGAAGGCTTCTTATTCACTAATTTACCATTTACGTCTCTTGTTGTAATAGTGGATGATTTATCATTGTTGGCGTGTGTACGTGTCAAATCACCCAATGCATTTCTCTTACGTTTTCCATCAAGGACTGTAGAATTTTCCACTGTAGTTGTTTTCTTTGTGGTTGGTGCTTTGGTCGATATGGTTGATGTAGAAACTTTCCGGTTCAAGTTATTGGTAGTAGAGGTGGAGTTTTCATCTACATTTCTTGAACGCGTAGTTCTACGGACCTATTTGTTTAATTAGTAAGATAATTTACGCGTTTTAATATAACTTACAGGTAAAGTGGACATTTTTGGGAAATGAGGTTTTGAAAGGGGAATAAACGCGACTTTAAAAAATTATTATGGCTTTCTTTTAGATATTTATTCACCAGCTTAGATTTAGCTGGTTTTAGAATTTCTTGTGTACGCGATGGACGCTCGAATCAAACTCAGAGGAGTTGAAGAGAGGAGCCGCGATTTTTGATTTAAGTTGAGTGAAGCACAAGAATGAATGAAGATTTAAATTATCACATATAATCACAAACTAAATTCGTTTATCTTAGTATATTCTTACTAGATCCAGCCTATCCTCCTGCAGAATTCGCTATCTAAGCATGCGACTGTTGCCACAAAATCACCTTTCTCGATCAGGTATATTAATTATTTAAACTCACAATTACTTTACGGTTTTATTTATTAGTCTATACATATACATGTATATCTTATTTTATTTTATTGTGAATATCAAATACACAGCATACGTCAGATTCTCAGCTAATCAAGACATCATTTTAAAAATTAATTTCATTTCAACTATTTACAATCCCAAGTTGCTAGCAGCTTAGCCTCTATATCTGTTCTCGGTTACTCTCTTGGATTCCTCAAGTGCGCTGAGTTTATCTTCCTTGGTAGCGTTGTAAGCTACAGTTTGTTGGTTAAATGGATTATCAGGCGACTTTTGGAATTGCTTATATAACAAGTCGTTGTATTGTTGCAATCTTAATCCTGGGTTCTCAGATCTAACGTTTGGCATTTCAGCTTCCTTGTAAGCTTCAAACGCAGCCTTGAAACGACGCTCTGGATGTCTTTCGATTTGACCTGCCTTAGCACCCATACTGGCCTTATCGGATTTTTGTCCGACGATAGACATCATGTCGAGTGCATCGTCTAAGCCAGATGCACCAAAAGATTCCGGCTTATCGAAGTCAGCGTTAATACCGCCAGCTGAGAGTGCACCTGGACCTGCTGGCTTTGATTGTTTCTTGTTACCGGCTTTGTTAGCACCACCTTTTGGTTTGGATGGTTGAGAAGCTTCCTCTTCAGCCAACAAACGTGCAGCTTCAGCCTTCTTAGCACTGTGCATTTATAAATATATGTCTGTTTAGAGTATAAAAACACTCACGCTTGTGCTGCTTTCTTATCAGCTTCCTCCTCCTTCTTTCCCTTGAGAAAGCGTTAGATAATAAACATGTAGATACAGGTACAAATTACCTTTCCTTTAGATCCCTGCGCCCACTTTTGAGCTTCCTTTGCTTCTTGTGCTTCAGCTGCTGCTGACTTCTTGTTGGCTTCATTCTCAGCTTTCTTAGCGCGACCACCTTCTTTCTTAGCGTTTCCTCCTTTTGGTCTGTGATAGTTTGAGTATACATTTTCTTATTGTATTTTATGACATACGCCATGATGATTGTCAGATTACAAGAGAGTAAAAGACTATCAGATGATGTGAAAAGGTTTAAAACAGTAATGTATTAAAACTTTATCCAGATTTCTTCCAATCTGCAGTTATTTATCCTTCCCGAAAAATTACGTCAGCTTCGGATGGCTTTTCTGGTTATTATAGCGCAGAAATATAGGTAAATAAATATCTGATATATCAACAGCGCAGACCTTTTTATATATTATACAACAACTACATGTCAATTTTTGCTAGGGTTACCTCATTAAAAATCTGCTGATGTCCCTCTTCTTCTTTATCAACATACCACAACGTAAGTTTTGTAGCAAAGCAAGTCTATTACGAGGATGAAAAACATACACAGACCTGTACGCAATCGTCCTAGACGTTGTCGACAACCGTAATTGCCTTTTTTATCTGACACCTCATATTCTTGCTTTGTCTTCTTTTATAAGCAATGCTAACAATACATCCGTAGTTTATTACATTTATTTGGCATTTGCCTGATCTAAAACCTTTTTAACATTTTTGAAATTGTAATCATAAACAGATAAAAGATCCTCTAATTTGGTTTTTGAAATGGGATAGTCGTTTAGAAATTGGTTGAAGAGCTGTATCGACTCTTCGTGTGCTTCATCATCTTTTTCGTCTATTTCTTCTTCTGAGTGTTCCGATGGACTGAGTACGTATTGGACATCTTCCAACTTACTAGCTGCATCTATTAACATCTGCGTTGATCCTGGTGGTTCCGTTTCGGCATTCGTTTCGGCAAATTGCACTTCATTACCTCCATCGGAATTCTCATCGGTAGGCTCCTGTTTGATTTCTGGAGAAGCTGCAGATACGTTGTCTACTATATTTTGAGGAGTCTCTCCTGGCGCCATTTTAATCTCATTGACTTCAATCTCTTGTTCGTCATTATCAGACTTATGAAGTGGCTGTCCAGTACGTTTCTTATAATGTGCTTGTTTCTCTCTCGCAATTCTCTCCCTTGTCTCTTTGCTGGTCTCTCCCTTAACAATGTTTTCCCTTCCCATTCTCCTCTTGTTCAGTGAATTATCTGGATCCGAAAATGCGCCGTCTGAATCATATCCATTATCTTCTTCATCGGAAGTCATATAGATACCAAAGTCTGCCAGAGCGTATTCTTCGTTCTCTACCCTCTTATTGAAATCTGACATTCTTTTAACATATCTTTCACGCCATGAATGAAAAGAATGATTGTCTCTCTAAGCATCCGTGTTAATGAACGCATAAAATGATCATAAAAATACTTACCTTCTCTCCCAACTTCTTCCATAGACTGTTTCCTTTCTGATTATTCTTATAGCGTCTCAAAAATGCGACGATAACATTATCATCTTCTCGCGAAAATTCTACTCTCTTCCTCTTAACTGGACCTACAGGTTCCGTTTCTTTTGCTCTTTTTGCTTGTTTTGTTTCTTTTTTACGTCTTACTTGTTCTTCTTGTGCTGTATCATCTGTTCCTTGGTCTTGATCCTCATGTTCTATTTCCTGAACCTCCTCCATCTTCACTGGGCGGTCTTCAGACTGATTTTCCGAATTCGTAAGCTGTGGCTGGTTGAGTTCGTCCAATTGATCTACCTCATCGTCTTCATTTCTTCCTTCTTCTGCATTTACTTCCTCCTCCACTCCTTCTTCCCTCAGATCTACTCCTTCCTCTGAGTCTGATCTCTCTCTCTTGCTCACAGAAACCTCATTTAATTCGCCTGTTGGCACTGGACTCTCATGGATGTTTGGGGATATCGTAAGCCTTGAATTATTTTCATTTCTTAGTGCTGGTGGTATTAAAAGTCTTTCTGATGTCTTTCTTTGCTGAATGTTAGATTGCTCGTCAACATGACTCTCTCTTAAGTCTTGAGGTTGCTCGTATACTTCCTCATTTTCGTTGGTATTCTTTCTATTACCTTCTCCTATATCCATCTGAACTTCCTCGTTTGCATTTGCCTTATCACTATGCGTTCGGTCAACCTGTTTAACTTTGTTGTCCTTCTTTTTCTTCTTTATAAAGCTTCTGCCTAAATCATGGTAAATAAAACTACCTAGCTCACTAGCGTCAAATTGATTGTCGAGCTATAGGTTGTTAGGTAAAACACAAGCAAAATTCATGATACTCACACGCTCGGATGCGGCCTCAAGTGCGAATGTATCCACGCTAGAAAGCTCCATCAATGTGTCCATCAGAATGTCGCGTTGCTCTTCTGTTATATTTTCATTTCTGCATTCTCATTAGTAGTATCCATGGATTCAGTGTAGACACGAACACTTTCTCGACCATATGCAAAGGCAATAATTCGAGTACTGGTCTTGAGTCATCGTCTTCGTTATTAGCACCATTGCCTGGTGTAGCATTAATCGACTGTTCAAGTATTGAGCTATCGCGTAGATTCTGATTAGCAGCGATTGATCTTTCAGCCTGTGTAAATGAAGCTGGCTCTAAAGTATTTCTAGTATCTTCCAATTGACTATTATTCACTTGACTATTCGAAAGACTAGGGGAAGCTGTATTGTTAAGAGCTCTTGCTTCGCGTATCTTTTCTCTAGCTTTCAGCTGCTCTTCTATAGTTCCTGATTTCTGATCTTTCTGGGCTGTCGCTGCAGCTCTAGCTTATATGAACATTCAACAATATGTCATAGGAGAATATAAAGAAACACACCCGATCTCTTTCTTTGGAACTCCTCTATCAGACCTTCATAATAAACCTTGTTCTTTGAGTATTGCTCTCGCCACTGAATTCCAAGTTATAATTGAGTTTCTTCATAAAAGAAGGTACGCACACTCTGCCAGGTATGCGTTGCAGACCAAGGGTATTTATTTTTCTTTCAATATTTAGTATCGTTACTTGATTTAGTGCTTTTTATACTTACATTCTCCGTTAAACTTTTATAGATTACATTACCACTCCTCTTGTCAAATTTAGAAAGATATCTGAGTATTTGTTAGTTGAATAGATAAAGTGATATTGGTACTTGCTTTGCTAAAAGTTCTTTCTCCTCATATGTAAATTCATTTCGAGGCATGACGGTCAATTGATAAGGGCTATCGACGCGAAGAGAAATTAACGCGTAATAAATCACGCACCCTTAGTCAACAAATTGGGGTGCATTTTCTTTCTTTTTTTACGCGTTTACTTAGTTATCACTGCTATTTCGATAGACAGAATTAGCAACAGTTTAACTAGTGACTTGTATAATCGTCAGCCGTACAAAAGTATTCGCATAATAATACTAGGATATTAAAAAGTGACTAAATAAAAAGAGACCTCCCGGGAAAAAAAAGTATCCAAACAGCAGGGAGCAAAAAGAGGTCTTGCCCGGATTCGAACCGGGGTTAATGGAATGTTTGTGAATCAAAATCCACTGTGATAACCGCTACACTACAAAACCAGATGACTGGTTTGTTTCCACAGTGCTTATAACAAACTAATATGATCTGAACCAAGAAATTCGACTTTCTGGGGTGGCCTGTAACTTATGGCATTGAAAACGGGACGCTTTCAGCTAGCTTATCGCATCATGAACCCCCTATATTTTTGTGGTATTGATTGGTGCAGCTAAGCATTTGCATCTTCTAACACTCTATCTTGATTTCATCATCGACACAGGTCGCATGGTAGAGTAGCGAAAATGCTGTGTGACACCCTAGATTAACTACATGTTATTACTATAAATCTTGACATGACTTCCTCAAATAAGGTAATCCTGAATTCATGTTCTTATCGCAACTTATGTGTCTATGCAATGCGGTTGTTATGGAGTTTTACAGATTGAGAAATTATAATTAGCATTTGAATAACTGATGTAAGGTGCTTCAATTATAAACTTATCATGCTTTCACGTGTTATCATGCAATTGTAGCAATGACTACATCACTGAAAAAAGGTTTGAAAAATTAAAGGATATTATTTGAGAAAATTGTCTGATTAAAACATATCAATGTGATTATTACATACAAAATAGTAACTTGACAGACAATATCGTAAGATAAACGGACAAGATGACAATCGTGTAGGTTAATAACAGAAATGAGATCAATCTATATGGTGTTTATAAATTATACAAACAATCTATTCGCGTTATAAATCACCACCCAACCTTAATCAACTTCAACCACCGTCTCGATATGAGTAAATCAGCGAATTACGAAGTACCATGGTGAGTCGAGTAACTGACAAGTGATATAAATGTCAATAGATTAATAGGGTGGAGAAGTATAGACCACGCGTACTTTCTGACATCGTTGGCAATCAAGATACAGTCAAAAGACTAGAAGTGATAGCTCAGGATGGAAATATGCCACACATGATCATGTCTGTGAGTATATCTGCGTAATCCTATGCTACCACTGACTCGATAGGGTACACCAGGTATTGGTAAGACGACGGCAGTTCTTGCCCTCGCACACACGCTGCTTGGTCCAGACGTATTCAAAGAGGCCGTTCTAGAGTTAAACGCGTCGGATGAGCGTGGTATAGATGTCGTACGTAACCGGATAAAATCATTCGCACAGAAGAAGATCGCGCTTCCTCCAGGAAGACACAAGATTGTAATTCTTGATGAGGCAGACAGGTGGGCATCCTCTAATATATTGCTGCCTTATCTAACATTTGCTCAAGTATGACGAGTGGTGCTCAGCAGGCTCTCCGACGCACGATGGAGATCTATTCAAACACGACACGATTCGCATTTGCATGCAACCAATCTAACAAGATCATCGAACCAATACAATCTCGCTGCGCTATTCTCAGATTCTCCAAATTGCGCGACATAGAACTCCTTCAGCGTCTACGTCAGATCGCTGAGAAAGAGAACGCGGATGTTACTGATGAGGGTTATGAAGCGTTGATATTTACAAGTGAGGGTGACATGCGTCAAGCTGTAAACAACCTTCAATCTACACATACTGGTTTGGGTCTCGTCACACCTGATGCCGTATTCAAAGTCTGTGATCAACCGCATCCATTGCTTGTACAGAATCTTCTCGAGAGCTGTCACAAAGCTGATATTGAAGATGCGCTGTCAAAACTCGATGAACTTTGGACACATGGCTATGCGGCTATCGATATCATCCAGACACTTTTCAGAGTAGCCAGGAACACTCAGTCGTTGGAGGAATCACTCAAGTTGGAGTATATAAAGGAAATAGGCTGGACCCATATGCGCATATTAGAGGGTGTTGCGACTATTGTCCAATTGTCAGGTTTAGTAGCACGTTTATGCAAGATGTCAATTGATCCAAAAGTATTTAAAGTTTAAAAAAATTCTATGTTATACCACAGATAATTATTATTTATGTTAAAAAACGCTCCAGCGTATGATTATGGTAAATTCTTTTTGGTAGAATTGATAATGTTAATCCAGGAATTCCTGTCTTGACATTTTAAATTTAATACTTCGCCTCCTCGAGGGTATGCGAAATCTATCTGTAGGACATCTTCACGTCTTGGATGAGATGTCATTGTTACTTCGTTTAGAGGTATTGGTAACTTATAAAGTGTGTTCTCTTGCACGTTTATCAGAAGCAAGATGTCATTGCAGAGAACAACGCGAATTATTTTATGACTCTTTAATTTAGGGAAGTCGCCCTCCTTTATGAGCAATCTACTTCTTGTTCGAGTATTACTCAAGTCAAACCTGAAGGTGTCGTTAGACAACAATAACAAGGTAGTAATATACCCACTTTTGATTAACATTTAAGGAGTGTGCTATCTCTTGCAAGCGTGTATGAGACTCCTGAAAACGAACATCTTCGTTAATCTCCAACAATAAGTTTTCAATCCTTTCTTCCGACTTCTCAATAAGGGTATACTCTTCTGTGTCACCTTGTGTATATTTAAGTATCTGTTTCAAAAGTAGGGGGTATCTTGTTATCCTTTGCATAGGTGACAAAAGATGTGTAGATAATTCCAGATTTCTACATGTTGGATTATTTCTCATATTTTCAATCCTTTGTGATATCATATAATTATTATTTTGTAAATTCTGCAACATCTTGATTGATTTATGTTGATTACCACAATATTGCTTATATATTTCTAAATTACTAAGATGTTTATCGAGTAAATCACCAATATGTGAGATATACATCCTTTGTTCATTTTGCCTTAACTCCAAATCACTCAAAAATGTCGCATTAAGTAGTAGTATATCCTCTATATTTGAGAAAATCATTTCGATAGTCATATCATCGACATCTTTAATCAAATCCGCTAAATATACTTGTACTATTGCTGTTAAATCCTTGACATAAATAGATTCAGTTTTTATTAATTCAAATATTGATTCTTGTCGATTACGTTCATCAGTTGTGAAAGTATCCAAAACCGATTGATTAATCATCGAAGACCAATTAGCTGAATGACTAGATTGCTGTGACATAGGTCTTGAAACAGGTCTTGATATTGGTCCTGTGACGACAATGGCTGATCCAGACGAATTATCATCGGCTGTCAAATCAGCGCCAGCTGTTGACGATGCATTCGAGTATGTTCTAAATCTACCAAAGAATTCACCAAGTTTACTTGAAGATGTCGTACGCGCACGCGTGCGCTCTAACGCATCAGATTGTGATCTTTTTCTCCCTGTTTTGATTTCTTGATTTTGGCTCCTTTCCTCACTTCGTGTGGGTGATTCAATTGTACTCTTCGGACGTGGTATATCTGGCGCTGCTCTTCTTCTTCTTTCTTGTTTAACGGGCGCGACATCTAGAAAGTAAAACTAGTTAGCATAACTATTAAAGGATAGAGCGAAAAAAAGGAAAAATGCATGGATAAATTTGTGATTCAAAGTAGACATATGAACAACATTATTTAGTTGGACGTGTAATTAAGTGAAATATTATCCAATCTTTAAATCGCTTAGAAAGCAATTACTCACTCAATAATTCAACGTAAGTAGCAGGGATGTTCCCAATTAAACCATCATTTGTTGAGATTTTCCACCAATCATTCTCAGATTTATCAACGACATCAACGATTTGTCCTTCGTAGAGTGAAAATTCGTCTTGGGAGTTTGCCGTGTATTCGTATAAAGCTTTAGCTTTCACTGGGGTTTCTAATTCCTTCACGTAAGCTTTTGGCAAGTAACCAGATTGACCTGATGCCATCATCTTACCATACCACCAAGGGCTTTCTGGATCGCGGCATGGATTTGCTTCAATGATAATGTTCTCAGTGAAACCAAGATCTTCATCTCTTTGTGGTGCGTATGCATACAGTGAGCGACATTTTATCACTAAATAAGCTGTTAATCCAATATTCTACGATATAAAATATTAACTTACCACTATGAAGATCGAACTCTTCTGATAATGTATCTGTTGGATCGACACTAATAGCTGGTACCTTGACATAATCATCATCATGCTCCTCAGTAACTTGGTCAAGCTTTGGAGTTTGCTGAGCAACACCGCCATCAGTTGCAAGATTAGAAATCCAATCGACGCTTTGTCTGTTGTCTTTTTTGGAAGGATCTTCAACAATAGGCTCAGGTTCAGGTTCAGGTTCAGGTTCTCTTGCTATTTCGTGTTCCCTAGGGGCATCACTGATATGGGCAGGTGGGGCGTCATCACCAATGACACCACCTCCGGAAGCAGGCTTAGACTTGTCATTAGTATGAGACTTCTTGAGTGACTTTCCGCCTCTAATTTGAGACAATAATGAACCTCTATCAGCTGGCTGGGATGGTGCTGAAGGTGCCTTTGGTACTGGAGCAGATGGAGCAGCTGGGGCGGCCGGCGCAGGAGGAGCTGGAGCAGGAGGAGCCTGAGGAGCAGATGATGGACTTGCTGGTGTTTCACTGCCCGCATTTGGCGTGGACGTTCCAGACGATCCGCCGACCATACCGCCAAACAATACCTTAGCAAGATTATCTCTCTTCGCACGACTGCTGAACTCATCGTCTGAGCTATCCTCTTCGTCTGACTTCTCTTGGGCGTCTTCACCCCAATCATCGTCGCTGTCATTAGTCAAGTGTGATGATTTTGGCACAGTTGGTACTGGTGCGATTGGACTTGGGATGCTTGAAGCTTCTGGTTGTGCTTGGAGTGTCGATGATGGCGGCAATTCACCCTATGATAAGTCAGTAAACAGAGTGTCATTCACGGCTGAATGACTTACCCTTTCCTTTTGTTGTTGCATTCTGACGAATGGATTGGTTGATTCTTTTTCTTGTACAGTTGCCTGACCTTGCGATAATTCTTGAGGTGCAGGTGCAGGCGCAGAGGCAGCGACAGTTGGTGGTGGAGCTGGCGCTGTAGGAATAGGTGGAGCAGCAGGAGATGATACAGGTTGAGGAGCTGGTGGAGAAGGAACGACAGGAGCAGGAGGAGCTGGTGGAGCTACAGGCACTGGAGGGGAAGGAGCTGGTGGAGCAGCTGCAGGTGTTGGTATAGAAGGTCTTGGTGATGGTACTGCGCGTGGAACACTAGCTGGTGTGGGGATTGATGCTGGGGTAGCCGGAGCTGGAGCTGGGACTGGAGGCGCAGCAGGCACAGGCGCAGCTTGTCTGGCTTCATCTTCAGCTTGTAACCTAGCCTGACGCTCCTTGAACTTCTTTTCAGCTTCAGCTAGCTGTCTTTCCTCGTCCTCAAGGGCCTTCATGCGAGCTTCCTTTGCTCTTCTGCGCTGCTCCAACATTTCCTCTTCAGGATCATGCTGTGCTTGTGCTGGAGGCTGAACTGGAGGTTGAGCAGGTGGTACAGCTGGTGGTTGTTGTGAAGGTGTTCTACTAACAGGAGTAGGTGGCGCCTGACGTCTCGAAGGTGGTGGTGGTGGTGGTGCCTTCTTTCCTGTCGCCTGTGCCTGGACTGGTTGAGCTGGTGGCGGATTACGCGCTGCCTTTTCTTCTTCGACACGTCTAACCCTCTCTTGCTCCTTACGTGATCTCTCTTCATCCTCCTTTTGAGCACGCTCTGCTGCTTCCTTCTTCTCTCTTTCTAGACGTTCTGCAACAGTTTCGTCTCCGCCTTGAGTCTCGTCGCCTGTACTTACACCCAAAGCCTTAAGACGCTCTTGAACTCTCCTTTGGGCTTCATTTTGAATATAGTTCTTACGAGCTTCAGTCGACATTCCACGTAAGTTGGTACTACCAGAGTGAGAAGGTGCTGGTGGTGGACTTTTTGCGCTCGTGTCGACTTCCTTTGGTTGCGCAACTGGCGGTGGTGGCGGTGGTGTTTTGTCAGCCACTCTAGGATGGATAGGCTCAGGTGGAGGTCTATCATCGTAGGTTCCACGCATATAACCTCTAGCTGGAGGGCTTTCATACCCACCACGACTACGATCGTCATAGTCACGGTCACGACGACTAGGAGGGTAATCTGGAGATGACCGACGGTAGTAAGGATCATCATCGTCATCTCTATATCTTCTGTATCTATCGTTGCGGTAATCCCTATAACGAAGTGCTTCCCTTTCAGTATCCTTCTTACGAGCTTCTGCTCGTTGCATACGCTTCTCGACTTCTGGTAGACGATCGTGCATTAAGTAGAGCAATTCTCTTTCGAGCTGACGCCTTTCTTGGTCTTTTTCTCTCGATGGACGACCAGAACTGACAAAGTCCAAGTCATCTTGTACTCTCCTTATAGAATACTTTAAGTCATCTAAATCCCTCTCAAGTTGATCATCCTCTTCGGTTCTATTCCCCGATAAGGTGGTTGCTTTGTCTAATTTTGCTGATGTGTTAGCTAATTCGCGCTTCATATCTTCAAGATCAGATACAGGAGAGTTATCAGAGTATCTGACATTTCTTCTGTCAAGATGCCTAGAAGAAGATTTGTAAGTAGAAGAAGCGGCTTGATCGTCGTCGTGTTTGTAAATAGAGGCGTCCGATCTTGAAGAAGGTATTTGAGGAGTGGTGATACGTTGGTGATTGTCATTTTTGAGAATATCTTTAAGGATATCAACCTGCATATTAAGGTCTTTGGAAGAAGGGGGTACGAGTTCGTCTGGAAGTTCATCTGGGATAGGATTTCCATTCAAGCCTGCAGAAAGTCAGAAAGGGAAGACGAAAAAGGAAAGAAAATACTGACGTCTATAAACCAAGGCCATAGCGACGTGGAATTCAGCTAAATTGAGTTTACCTCTATTTTCAATATCGGCCAGGTTCCAGATCATCATGAGATCATCAGAGGGTAAACCAGATTGGCCAAAAACGTCCTTAGCCTGTTCACCTGAGATAAAGCCTGTAGAGTGTACATCCCAAGCTCTGAATATCTGGTCATAGTTGCGCTTCTCGTCTCGTGAGAGTTTCCACGGTATTTTCGGTGGAGCTGGCGCTTGCTGGAAAGATTGCTGGAGGTTGTTATTGAATTGTGTAGCGTTTGGTAATAGAGACTGTGTCATCATATTTAGTTGGCTGAAAGCCTGCGGGGATTGCCAACCGGTCGCCTGCGGTTGAAGAAAGCTCGTCTGTTGTGGCTGCAAGAAGCTAGTCTGCTGAGGCTGGAGTAGCGGCGGTTGATAGCCGGTCTGCAAGGGCCTCTGATAGCCCGTAGGCTGTGGTTGTTGGAAAGCAGTCGTCTGCGGCTGTTGCCATCCCGTGGGCTGTGGATGCTGCCAACCGGTGGGTTGCGAAGTTAGATAGTTGGGTGGTGGAGGGTATCCAGAGTTGAAATTGCTCATTGAAGTTTCAGTTCAAGTGCGTTATTTCTGGCTTCTTTGGTTTCAACGAACAGGACGACCAACTAAAAATGGATATCGAGAAGGAGAATAAATTGGGTACTAAGAGGAAAGGTAGCGTGTCATTCGTGAGCCCTTCTATTTATTTATTTATTTCATAGACACATCGACTATTACAACAACACCAAGTAAGAAACAAAAGAGGTCAATCATTGAATACAAGAATAAGTTGGTTTTCAAGCAGAAATCTATAAACTTGAGTAAACACACGAAAACATTACAATCTTTGTTAGAATTCCACCAGTTCCTTAGCACTTTAAATGACAATCTCACTCAAATACCAAATGAACACCTCGATTTAATATCTATCTTAGTGCAAGAGTCCGATAAGCAACTTCCTGACTTAATTAAACACGTGAAAAGTCAAATTAAACCTTCAAATTTCAACTTTGATATCCAACAACACGCCTTAGAATCCGCCATACAAACCGTCGCGTTTTTCAAGAATTATGGCATAGAAGGCGATCAGTTACCTTCAAAATATAAATTATTCAAATGGGAAGTTAAAAATCTCGACGATTTACCCCAGGATGCTTTAGATAACATCAAACAAAGGAGGTTCGATAGAGAATTTTCTCAACAGAAGTTACTGGAATCAATATCTGGTCTTGATCATGATGACTTTGAGTCTGTTCTATCTCAAACTGCTCAAACACCCTCAGCCGATAAGGTAAAGAAAGATGAAGAGAGAATTAAAAAGGAAGAAGAAAAGCGCAAGAAGGAAGAAGAGAAACAAGAAGAAAAGCGCAGAAAGGAGGAAGAAAAGCTAGAAGAAAAGCGTAGAAAGGAAGAGGAGAAGTTAAAGAAAGAGCATGAGAAACAACTAGAGAAGAACAGAAAGGAAGAAGAGAAAAACTCAGAAAAGCAGAAAGCTCAAAAGCAATCAAACGCATTTAAAGGCTTCTTCAGCAAAGTAGTTACCCCAAAGAAGCCAACTTCACCTTCAAAAGATGTATCTGATTTTGAGAAGACATTCAAATCATTCCACCTCAAACAAGGCTTCGATATTGCTCCGATTAATCGATTTAAACCCGCTCAATTTGATGATTTCTGGGGGACAATCGACAAGACACCATCAGATTCTATCACACTTGAATCGTCATTAGCTAGTATACCAAAGTGGAAGCTCATAAAGAAGAATGCAGCGGTAGCTGACAAACACGCCCCACTACATTCTAAAATTGCACCACCTATAGATTTACGATCAGTCATGCAACAACTCTCAGAGGCAGAAGTAGGCGGAGACGAGAACAAAGCTAAAGAAATACTTGAATCATTCAAAACGCGATTTAGAGGAAAGTTGAGACATAAATTATTAAAATACCACGAAGATTACAGACCGGGTTGGTGGGGCACATGTACGAAATCATCCTCTACAGTGGGGCCAAGAAGACCATTTGCAAAGGATGCTTTACAGTTCGACTACAGCTATGATTCGGAAGTCGAATGGGGTGAAGAAGAACCAGATGAGAAGGGTGAAGAGATCCAATCGCAACCTGGATCAGATGATGAAAAAGATAAAGACAATGAATCAGATGCTGATAGTTGGTTGGTTAGTGATAGTGAGGATGTTGGTTTAGAGGATATGGACCTTGATAATATGGATATACCGGATCTTCGTGAGAAGGTTGACGATCCAATTGAGAACGCGATAGCAGCAGAGAGACGTGATGAGCGTGTGAAGGCAAAAAAGAAAAACAACAAGTCAAGAAAGCCAAATCAACCTTCGAAACCTTACGTTTCTGGTCTAAAATGGGAGTCTGACGAGGGACAGATAACATATCCACCATTCATTTCATATCAGATTAAGTTCTTTAATGGTGAGTTACGTTAACGAAACTTAATAATTCTTCTAAAGTGTCTCTTTAGATGCAGATGTGTCCATCAACCCGAAGGAATTCGTCAGTGAAGTGAAACCAACACTGGTGACGCAAGCAAGTTCTACCACAGCAGCAACGGTAACCAACAATCAAGACACAACCTTCAAAACACCTTCAAGTGTAGACAAACAGGATGGACAAATAACAAGTATACCAAAAACGCATTTAATGACGTTTGTCCAAACAGTAGAGAACTCATCAAAATCACGCGTTCTCTTGATAGAAGAACTAAGAGAGAGATTCTCTGGATTAAATGGCCCAAAGATATCCAAAGTTTCTATTGCCGCAATGTTAAGCGCGAACGCGAAGAGAGATGGCAAGAAAGCAAACTCAGCCTGGCACGTCTCTGATAATGTTAAAGAACAAATTTAATTAATTTAATTTTTAAAAGCACAGCTTTCTTTTTGTTCCTATGAATATAAGCTTGTACTGATACAACTATAATCACGAGAATGGACGCTAGTGGGATATTCGGGAATGACTATATCACAAACAAGGAGACGATGCTAGATTTTGACGAGAAGAGTATGGATAGCAAAGTCATACTGCCTACGCTTAGCAATGGCGTGAATAAAGATAAACCAAAACTCGTGAATCCAACAGAGGAGCATGGAAGTGAGTAGCTTTCTAATACGAACACAGCCACATACTGAAGATACTCAGATGAAGAAGTGCTCAAACCACACCTCAAAGACCTCTTGAAAATGATGCTGGTAGCAAACGTCGATTAGGAGTTCTCGTATATATTATATACCGTTATATACCGTTAATATACAGTAGTTTATACCTTTATGATACCCTAGCTCGTTACGATTCCCCGCTTCTTGTCTGGAATATTTTCATCATCACAGCAATGGAGCAAAGCCTTTGCGGTGTTTGTATGTAATCTGCGATCATAGAACTGTTCGAAATGATCTCATATGGAGTCCATGTCTGAGTCTAGATTATGTGCCGTTGCTATCAACAACAAAGAAAGAAGCCAAATCGTTCAAGGCCCGATAATCAATAAGACAGAAACTTTATTTATATACGACAATAGGGAATAGAATCACACGCTATGATGAAAATTATGATGGCATTCAATCGAGCTGTCTCAGAACGGCAGTCCTGTGACTAGTGGATATAAATTGGTGGTTCACTCTCTTTTTAACTTACACTCAACAGTCGAAAAGAACAAAGAACTTAAAAGATGTCAGAGTAGGTTTGTTCTTCCCCCCTAGGCTAATCTAACATTCATAAGACCAGCACGCCGCAACTTTATTGATGAAGCAAGAGCCACGATGAAGCCAGACTCACAGAAGGGCTACCCAGAAGCTGCATCAGATAAACTAAAGGAAATGTCAGATAATACTGCCTCAAAAGTACAACCTGAAGGCGACAAATCAATGACACAATCTGCCCATGACACCGTTAGCGGTGGCGCAGACAGTGAGAGACGCAGCTCTCTTATGGACAAATTGAAGGATACATTCTCAGCCCAGAAATAAAAGCCTAATCTATGGAACGTTGTAAATGAAATGAAATGAATGTATGCTTTTAAAAACTCCTTTACTGGGACGGAAAATGAATTGTTAGATATGAACAGGATATGAAGAATTTTAACTAAAATAGTTGTGATTGGAAGGGTATTCAAAGTTCTAAAAAGTGACGTTGATGAAAATTTTAGCAGATTGGCTTGAATGTCATTATCTCCTCGAACAACAACTCTAAAAGAAGGAATCAGTTGCGTTGAATGATAGACAACAAACTCACGTTTCAACTCCTCCTTTGAAATTACATCTTTACGGTGATCGAATTCAAAGAAAGATGCATCTAGTGGTGGTGCGGATGGTTCATCATCAGGATCGTGATATGCAGATAAATATGGGTGAGATAAACATTCCTCTACCGACATTCTTGATTTTGGTGAGAATGTTAATGTTCTAGTTAAAAAGTCAACGGCTTCTGGGCTAGCATCCGGGAATAATTGACTGAATGATCTTTTCTTCCTAAATGGTAGTGCTCTTATATAATCTCTAGAGCGTCTAGAACTTATAGCGTAAAATTCGTCTAAAGTTGGTGTACCCAAAATGTCTAAAATGAGGGTTAACTGATGGTGATAATCTCTACCTGGGAATAATGGTCGACCGGAGAGCATTTCTGCTAAAATGCAACCAACTGACCAGATGTCTATTGCTGAAGTGTATTGCTTGAAAGTCAGCATAATCTCTGGTGCTCTATACCATCTAGTTGCGACATATTCAGTCATGAAACCAGTTTCACAACCTGGTTCGGCTGTCTGCGTTGATCTTGCTAAACCGAAGTCACATACTTTCAAGTCGCAGTTAGCGTTAAGTAGCAAGTTTGATGGTTTGAGATCTCTATGTATAACATCAGCGCTATGCATTGCTTTGAGTGCTCTGCAGGTTTGGTAGACGAAATACTGTGCGTGGTCATCAGATAAATCTTGTGTTCTTATTACTCTATGTAAATCAGTTTCCATAAGTTCCTGAATGAGATAGACTTCCTTGAAATTTGGATAGTCCTTAGGCTTTATCATATCAAGTACTGAAATAATCTAGAATTGAGGTTAGTAAAACTTCGCTATGCTGAGACGTTCGTACATTCTCTGAAACATTCTGCTCTTGGAAGTCTGTAGTAGGTTAATTTTTAAGTCTTATATAATAGAATGTGATGCTAACATTTCAAAAGCTTCAATTCACGAAGCGTTCTAGTCGTTGTCGGTTAAAGGAATTACTTATCAAAACAACAACTCACCTTAATAAGCTATAAATTATAGAATTAAATATGTAGCACTACTAAATGAGCATCAACTTACAACATCTGATGCATTAAAGGCTCTGTTTCTTTGTTAGATTTTGCGTAAGCCTTAGAGCGGACACTTGCCAATCTTTTTTATAGCGACTTTGTGTCCAGAAGGTCTATGTATAGCGGAGCAGACTACGCCGTAAGCTCCCTCTGCGATTGTGTTAGAAGATCGACTGGACAAGTCTGGTAGATAACTCACCACCGATTACATCTAAACTGCGAGCTGATTAGTAGGGCAATAGGTGTATAATAGTTAAACTCACACTTGATACTTTGTACCAACGCTAAATTTAATTCTCCTCTGCTGATTTTGTTGATTTTGCTGGTTTGAACTCATCGTTGTTACGTTTTGAAAGGAAGACAATGAGCAAAAATCGTAGAGTGTTCCATACGGAGGATATCTACACGAAACAAGATTTCAATAATGAATTTAATGACGTTGATTTCGATAATTTTAGTCCATATAATCAACAACAGCAGCAGCAGCAGAAAGAATCTGCTCATCAGTACGCAGATATAAATCCAAATATGACACGGATACCACACACGGCTGGAAAGCTATTTAGCAACATAGTTAAGCCAAAGATTGATCCGAACGTATTACCATCCCCAGTTGATGAATTGGCTAACGATATCGCACACTGGGATTCAAATTTCAACCCAAATAACACAATTAGTACTCTAGATGTACAAGTTGATTTGCCTAGTGCAACTATCCCCTTCAGATCAGTTGATCACGGCTATTCAGCACCTAATTATATGAGGTTGACTTCTTACGCCTTACCAAGTACCCATGACCTCGCAAAAGCTTGTCAATTACCACTTGGTTTGGTCTTGGATCCATTCAACGATAGACCTTCTTCTCAGATTCCGTCAATAGACAGCTTCACATCCGCAGAAGGTGGACCACCAAGATGCGCAGGTTGTAGAGGATACATAAATCCATCTGTTAAGTTCACAAACGGTGGTAAATATTGGTTATGTAACCTCTGTCAGTTTAGCAACACAGTTGAGGATGACTACTTTTCTACACTCGATCCCCACACTTACAGAAGATTGGATATCGACAATAGACCAGAGTTGAACTTTGGAACAGTCGATTTCAACCTTCCAAAATCATATCATGCTTTCCAACCTACTCCTATTGGTATGAATGATGGTCCACCATTCAATCTTAACAAAACGAGAGATCCTACGACTATGTCACGGTTGTTTTTGATAGATGTTGGCTTACAATCACGTCAATCAGGCTTATTGCATACACTTTCTCTCACTATAAAAGATGCATTGTATTCCTCACCAACACCACTCAACACTTCAAAAGTTGGATTTATTACTTACGATTCAACACTCCATTTCCACGATTTATCACCTGAGAGAGATCTTCCATCATTAATGATCGTACCAGATACAGAGGAACCATTCAACCCATTAGTAAATGGTTTGATTGTTGACGTCAATGAATCAAAGCACAATATTTTAGCTTTCTTAAATAGTCTACCAACAATGTTTGAAGATGTTTCACCAAAAGGTTCAATATTCGGTTCTGCTTTGACAGCTGGATTGGATGTGCTTTCAGAAGTTGGAGGTGAAATGAACATATTCCAATCTCAGTTACCTAATGAAGGGTTAGGTGCATTGACAGAGCGTGATCCTGCACCGGGTGGTACGGCATCAGTAGCTGAACGTGACAGAGCGTTGTATGGACCTGCGACGACCTGGTGGTCAAACACAGCTGAAGCGCTCATTGATGCTGGTATTGGTCTCAATGTCTTCATGTTCCCATTCAAATACACAGACGTCGGTACATTATCTTCAATCGCTCAATACACAGGTGGTGAATCTTATTTCTACCCAAAATTCGATCCTGCTAGACATGCACTTAAAATCAGATCAGATTTACAAAGAATAGTAACAAGACATGTAGGTTACAATGCGACTATCAAGATAAGATGTTCAAAAGGTTTCCATATTGATCAACACTATGGATCATTTATGCAACGGAATTCAACAGATATCGAAATGGGAACAGTATCCTCAGATTCTTGTTTGGCCGCTTCCTTGGAACATGATGCGGCTTCATTGACAAAAGGATGGGGTACTATGGCTACTAATGCTATCAATCAGGCGAAAGAAGGTGGTGCATCACAACAAAACGATGACGAAATCCACTTCCAAGCGGCAATATTGTACACTAGCTCAGATGGTCAGCGTAAAGTTAGAGTTTTAAACTCTATGGCTAAGTTATCACCAATTGCAGCAACTGTTTTCAGACATGCGGATATGGACGCAGGTGCTGTATTATTATACAAACAAGCTGCTATGAATGTCCTGAACAAACCACTTAAAAAGATACATGAGAAGTTGACGGATAGATCTGTACAAGTTCTGTTAGCATATCGCAAGCATTGCGCACAGGCTAATAGTGGTGGACAGGTAGGTATTATTCAAGATTTGTTTCTATAATTAACAAGTTTCAGCTCATTTTACCTGAATCATACAAACTCCTGCCAATTTTGACACTCGGCATGATGAAGTCCAAGTGTCTGAAAGGAGGTGCAGTTGCGTCAGATGTACGCTCACATGCGATCAGACAGGTACTATCTGGTACACCTTACAAGCTCTTACAATCTATTTATCCACGTCTTCACCCGTTACATAGAGGCGCTGAACACGTACCTGACTTCATAAGATCAAGCTACAAGAGAATGGACCCTAGCGGTGCATATTTGATCCGTAAGTGCTGAAAATGTTATTAAGTATAAACTAATCCAATAATTTTCAGATAATGGCGAATTAGCTATCATTTGGTTAGGTAAACAAGTCGATAAGCAAATAGTGAAAGATATTTGGAATGTCGACGCAAAGAATGCGATAGATCAAAGAATGGGTGTTTTACCAGATTTGGATAACCCACTGTCTATTTCGCTGAGATCAATTATATACAGATCGTCATTCCCAAATCCACCATCATCCATACCCGTCTTGGTAGCACGCCAAGATATTGATCCTACAGAGATTGAAGTTGGAAATATGCTAATAGAGGATGACAATAATGATAATATGTCATACATAGATCACATTTGTCAAATACACAAATTGATCAATACACAAATTATAGGTGAAACTAGAATGGCAGATGCTGCCGATGCAGCAACATGGCGTACCTGGTAGATAAGTATTTTTTTGTTCTTGTAAATAAAATCACAATATGGATATCGTATCTTGTCGTAATGAATGTGAATGTTTTAGACGCAAAAGAGTTTGAATTTACAATGGAAAAAAAAAGTTGAAGAAAGCTAATTTGAGGTATACATAGCAACATCTTTATCGCCTGTGAGTTATTTTTTGTCAAAAGGGTTGAAAAGGTTTAAAGAAAAAAGTTGAGAAATTGCCCGAAATTCTTTAATTGATGTAGAGTAGTTGGTTGATTGGACGTTATTGTAAGTGTAATTCCAATAGAAACATTGAATTAGAAAAGTAGTTTTAATGTACTTTCCATGATTGCGTCAAGAAAATAAGATGAAAACCTGTAAAGTGAAAAGAGATAAAGTCAATGAAGCAATTATTAGCTAAAGAATAACGGGATTGCTAGAATTGGAAAGAAAAAGAATTATACGACCGTGTTTCGATTATGTTGTTCCTGATTAAGATTAGAGTACAACACATCCACCACAACAGCCGGCTTCCTTATCTTGTCCGGCTTGATGTTGCATTGGTTCAACTTGATTAGGCGTGTTGTTAGATTTAATGCCAGTTTGGTCTCTATGGTAGCCTCTAATTTCTCTAACAAGGTTATAAAACGCTTCATCGACGTTTATGCGTTGCTTAGCGGAAGTTTCAATGAATCTACAGCCGAAGTTCTTAGCTAATTGACGACCCTCGTTTGATCCGACTTGACGTTCATACTCTAAATCTGCTTTGTTAGCGACTAAAACCATAGGGAAGAAGTCTTTGTCTTTAACGCGGAGAATTTGTTGGTGGAAAGTCTCAATTTCTGCACCTAATTTTTAGAAAGAAATCTAATAATAAGACAACAAACTGACCTTCAAATGAGTTTCGACTTGTGATTGAATAAACCAAAAGGAAACCTTCACCTGTGCGCATGTATTGCTCTCTCATAGCGGAGTACTCCTCTTGACCGGCAGTATCCAGAACATCTAATAAAGCTGGCTCTGCATCAATTTGGCATTGTTTTCTGTAGCTGTCTTCAATGGTTGGATCATATTCATCCACAAAGTGAGATTGAATGAATTGAATAGTGAGCGCGGATTTACCGACGCCTGTAAGTACATAATTAGGTTTATATAAGACAGAAAACTAAATATACTTACCACCACCTCCTACGACGACTTTGATATCGTCAGTACAGCTGTCTTCTGTACGATCAGAACTCACCGAGCTTGTATTCTTTTGGAACTAAATTATTAAGTAAGTACTATATTTCAATTGCTTTATTACTAAAACTCACCAGCTGCCATTTTTAATTAATTTGGTAGAGCTGCGATAGAGCCTCGTCTAAGGGGACTTACTACAACTGACTGGCGAAATATAAAATTAATAAAGAAAATTATATTAAATCACTAATAATCTAACGATTGTACATTGTATTCTAATTCGCTTTCACACTCATTCACTATATTTACCATTGAGACAAACTGTAGACACACTCTAAAATCACAAAAACTCCGCATGAGCAAAAAAATATAATTATATCATCAGTTTAATAACATTTTTAAGCTGCTGGTGCTGCTTTCTTCTTGTTGTTCTTCTTTGGGCGTAATGCAGCTTGTGAGAGTTGCTTGGTTTCTTCATCTGGTTGCTTATCAGACTTGATGAACTCTGGCTTTAACCATGAAGGTGGGTGAGTCAATCTAATTGGACCGTTCTTTGTTATACCAACTGTGAAGAAGAATTGAGCGACAGTTTCATCAGATTTGTCAACTGAAACGTCAAATGGTGTCAAAAGGCTGTGTTGTACAGATTCTTGTACACCTAATCTTGCTCTCTTTTCATCTTCTAACGTACGCAAGTTGAATGGGAATGATCCTGACTTCTTTTGTATTTCTGAGTAGACTCTTCTAGCGGTTGCCAACTTGAGAATGTAGGTTTGATCGGTACGCTTGTAAACGGTAGTTTGATAGCTAGAGTCCTTTGGCTGTACGTTTGTTGTTAAGAATGAAAGTTTTCATATAAAAAGAAAATCTCACCTTGTTATCCTTGTTGGTTGATACGAGAACATCAATACCGTAAACTTCTCCTTCTTCGAAGGTGTGAGTACCCAAGTCAGACTTTTGTTGTGGGTTTCCGTTGAGAATGATTCTCTTCTTTCCGTCAATAACATTTTGAGTCATTTGACATGAAAGCATGCCTGTATGAATAAATAAGAGTGTTATTTTCTAAAGACAATACTAACCTTCAACTGCTGCGGTTTCGAATGGCTTAGTTGCCTTGTTGACGGTCTCACTGACTGTCCAGTTCTTCTCACCGACCTTCATTTGACGAATTGAAGCTTCAGCTGCGTACCATGCGGCTTGGACAGCGTCAGCTTTACGGCCAGTAACTGGGTTCTCAGCGCTAGCGCCAACGACGATAGTTTCAGCTGCGATTGAGGCGTATCCGTCGACTGTACGAGATATTAGAGAATTTAATCAACATGTTATAACACCCACTGTGTGCACCCAATTGGATCTTAACTACATCGCCATTCTTCAATTCCAAGGAGCTTGTCTCTGGATCTGATGCGAGTGGAGAGAAGTGTGAGATGATGTTGTTTACTGAAACGCATGTTGGGAATGAAACACCCTTTGGTGGGATTGGCTTTTTGTTGTTGAAGACCTTTGATGCTTCCTCTTCGATGAATTTGTCAGTTGTGGTGCAAAGTTCGATAACTTTAGCTCCTTCTACTGTCTTTGTAGTAATTTGATCGAATGCACGCTTGACGATGTCTGCGGCGACCTTGTACCTATTCAATTGTTAGAGGACTGTGGTATGTCGTCTGAGCTTCTTACTTGGTGATACTATTTGGTATATTTTAGAATGTAGATTCTACAGTGGAACTATAAACTCACACAATGTCGTTTAAACCTGTCTCTTCAACTTTCTTTTCTTGTGACATTTTTAGGTGAAGTCAAGATTGAGGATTGCTTCTCAGCTTAAAGTCAAAAATTCACATTTACGTCAAATTATTTGATCGTTATTTATTCTTTTTGTTCATTATATACAACCATATATCTTCTCTTATAGTTTCTATATGCGTTCATCGGACTGCTGTCACCAACTTTACCATGTCATCAACGTAAACGATAAGACTGAGTGGATATCTGTATGCTTAATATGCTGCACTGTATTATTTACTAAGATGTATTTAATGTTTGAGGTTGTGTTCAAATGGACTCCTATTCCTGTAAATTCATTGTAAGGTGCTGTTCAACGAGTTGGTATCTTGTATGTAACAAATTGACTATTTATGATTTCTTTGAAACCCGCATCAGACAACGGGTTTGTTTTCTCCATATCTTTTTTCGATGATGTCGCCGATGAAGTAAGTACACGATAATGCAGGGCAGGGGAGTAAACTATACAAGATGGTAATCTGGATAAGGTAATTAGGTGTTTTTTTTACAATATCTGTCTTCATAAAGGTCATTTGGTCTTTAATCAGCTATGCATTACCATAAAACCAGGTAAATATCGACATTCGTATACTAATAATATGTAATAATGAAACCCTCTGAAAACGCCCTGAAAAATTCCCAAAGCCACAATGGCATTTGGTAACCTCATACATCTTTGGCTCCGTAAAAATTTCAATTTTACTCATTTTTTATTTTCCTAATTAACAAAATATATACTTATATGAAGAAAGTCCAGTATCTGGTTTTGTAGTGTAGCGGTTATCACAGTGGATTTTGATTCACAAACATTCCATTAACCCCGGTTCGAATCCGGGCAAGACCTCTTTTTGCTTCGATTTATTTCAGCTGCAATTTTTTTTTTGCTGCTCTTCTCATTTCAAATGATTTAATAGATAAGAAGTTTGATGAAGCCAAGATTAAATTTCAAAGGAGTAAAGAATGAAATAGAATACTTTAAAAAGAATAATATTAATAGGAATATTAAGTTAGATCTAAATAGCTTTTTAAGTATCTATAATAAATCAACAACATTAGAGAATGAATTGAATAAAACCAAAAACGAGCAAACTAAACAACAAACGAAAGAGTTAAAACTTGTAATAAAAGAATTAGAAAAGAATCTTAAGTTCGCGAAAGATGAGTTATTCGATTTGACATCTCAGATACCAAACAAGTCACATCCGAAGTCACCAATAAATAATGAACCAAACGAGATTCTTAGTGGAGGTCCAACAGCTACACCGTCAACACCACTAAGGGATCATTTGAATATCGCTAACAGATTAAATGCTATCGAGAACGCTTCAGACATTTCTGGAAATGGTTTTACGATACTGAAAGACGAGCTGGCAGTTCTAGAGCATGCCTTAATTCAATTCAGTTTGAACATCGCGGTGGAGAATGGCTATAAACTTATCACTATTCCAGATATTGTCAAGCTTGATATAGCAAACAGATGTGGCTTTTTACCAAGAGATAATTCATCTAATCAGACATATTCAATAACTAATAGCTCAGATAACCCTCTATGCCTAGCTGGTACTGCTGAGATTCCGTTAGCTGGTTTGCATTACAACCAACTACTCAATCAGAGTTCTTTACCTCTCAAATACGTTGCTTGTGGTCATGCCTTTAGAGCGGAGGCAGGTGCACGCGGTAGAGACACAAGAGGTCTTTATAGATTACACCAATTCACGAAAGTGGAATTATTCTCACTTACAGATGAGAAATCAAGTGATAGCATGCTCGAGGAGATAATAAATGTACAAAAGCAAGTCGTTGAAGCTTTAAACTTACCCTACAGGTAGGAAATCTCTTTTTTTGTCTAATTTTTAAAACTAACAATTTCAGAATTCTTGATATGCCTACCCAGGAATTAGGAGCGAGTGCTTATCGGAAATACGACATAGAAGCGTGGATGCCTGGCAGAGGCGAGTGGGGTGAAATATCCTCTGCATCAAATTGCATTGACTATCAATCAAGAAGACTACTTATCAGATATAAAGACACACAAAGTGGTGGAAATATCTTCGCACATACACTGAATGGTACTGCTGCTGCCATACCTCGTTTGATATTAGCATTAATAGAGAATGGCGCGGAGAGCGACGAGGATGCTAACATACGCTTGGCGTTACCAAAAGCCCTTCAAAAATACTGGATTGGCAAAGAAGATCGCATACGTTGGCAATAACGAGAGCAGTACATAGAAATGAATGTCCATAGTTAGATTCTTAGATACATATTAATTAAAAGAGATTTCAAAGATAGGAATCACAAATTACAAAAAATATTAAGAAGGTACTATTATCTAGCTTTAGATAAGGAGGGCACCGACGAGTGAAGCAGCAGCAACCATTGAGCCAGCAACTGCGTGTGAGACGGCACCAGAGTCATCGTCTTGTGCGCTGCTGTCAGCATTGTTTGATGAAGAGTTGCTGCCAGAGGTTGGTGATGACTTAGCTGATGAAGAGGATGAAGATGATGAGGTAGAGGATGATGATGATGATGATGATGAGGTCTTGTCATCCTTGTCATCACTGTCATCCTTATCATCGCTGCTGTCCTTGTCGTCGGTGTTTGCAGGTCCACTTTCTGCGGCCTTACCGAGACAGTCATCGTCGTCTGAGTCTCTGATGGTGAGCTCAGAGCTGTAGTTGACATCACCAGATTCGTCGTTGACGGCCAATGAAATCTTTTGACCACCTGGTACGTTTACCTTCCAGTTGTAGGTACCAGTTGAGCCACTTTGCTTAGGGAAGGCTTCGAGTGGTTCACTGTTGGTTATTAGACGTTATTTGGTGTATTGTTAATAACACTCACGCTGCAACTTCACCAGCTGGAATGACAGTGATGTAGATATCACCTTCACCTTCGGTCCACTTGATCTATTGACGCGTCGTTAGAAAGAAACACACGCGTAAAGTGCTCACTTACAGCAATGTTACGACATTGAGTGATTTGTGGTGGTGAAGTGATCTTTGCTGCCAATGCGGAACTATGTTTGTTAGCTTTGTCATCCACTGACAGCTGTCACTTATATACTCACGCGAGGAGTGCTGAGGTTGCTGCGATGTACTTCATTTTACGACTGATGCTAAAGAAAGAGATATAAGAAGCGATTTAAATATTTGAATAGCGATTTAGTTCAAATAACTCGTTTAGGAAATTTATTACATTCCAATCTTAGAAATTTTTCACGTTCAACTTTCCAAATCCGAGTGATCGTTCCTACCAATGAACCGCATTCGGTAAAACGAAATTAGAGTTATTGTAAATCTTTTACATAATCGTACATGATTTCTTGGATTTTCGGATGTTTTTCTGTGGAGGTCTAACATTCGTACTTTGAGCTGGTACAATGTTACTGGCTCTATTTTGACGTTGCCTCTCTCTTCTAGCATTTTCATCTTGTTGTAATTGCATTGCTAGTGCAAGGCTGCATTTGGAAAATTTCGCAGTAAGTATGTTTCGTTCATTTAATAAGCAAAACACTCACTCTGCGTCAGTTCGGGCATTATTCTGAACACGTGACATCTCATACGCTAGGGTTTCGTCATCCCATCCCTCATCCTGTGCACGCAATGTGAGACGTTGTTCATCGGTTAATGTTTCATTAGCATAAACTGTACTTGCACCGACATAGTCACCTCCAATCGTGCCAGATGGCTTAAAGTTATCGTTAAGGAATGCTGATCCTCCTCCGTCAACATCTTGAAGTGTCTCCCAGACAACGTCAGCTTCTTCAGCTAATGCACCATCTGTAACAAGGGTATATAATTTATTCTCAGTACCAGTGTCACGTTTGTCTAAAGGCATACAGTCAGATATTGTGTCCCAGGTTGTCACTTAACTCACACAAGACTGACAAGTGGGAATTTCTAAACAAAGCGACATATTCACCACTTGTGAGACTTTCAGATAGGGCGAATAGCCCAGTAAGGGTCATCTGAGTACGTGATTTATCGATAAAGTCAGCTAAAATACGAGCTATTTTATGTTAATGTTCATTGATAACGTCATAGAAGTGATACATACCCTTTCTAACGAGTTCTTGTTGTTGTGCTGAGAGGTCGTCTTCTTGGACGAGATTATTAGAGCTGTTTGGTAATACGCTTGCTAGGTGATCTCCCTCTGCTATGAGTTGAGTGCAGTGATCATAGTTCTGACCGTCTTGGAGGATAACGTCAGAGTTGAGTGACTGACGATCGTAAACCCATCCATGTACGACAGGAACATCACATAATGCGAATAACGCTATTGCGCCTGCGTGTCTAGCTGAACTGGGACTGAGTGCGTATGGAGAATGAAAGTGCGGGTTTAGATCTAATCCATATCGTGTGTGCGGTAAGACAGATAAAGCGTCAGACAAACTATACGGTGTGTCTGCTGGAATAGGCTTATTGAGGAGATATTCTGCGATAATCGATGAGATGTAATCATAATCAACTGAGCTTCTAGTTTGAGGTTTAATCTGGAGCTGGCCCCGCATTATGAGGATATTAACGAGGGCTAGCAGGGAGCATGGACCATTTTCGTTCTAAGTTGTTAGTAAATCGTTATGATGATAGTGACTACATACCTGTGTTACTACCTTTACTCTATCACCGTGTGCGTTAGTCACAGGTTTGAGTGGCCACTGCTTGCTATTCGCTGTGCTCTGCTCTCTATCTTGCTCGCTATTCTGAGGTCTGTCGTCTGAGCTGGCTGTACGGTCACCCCCACCGAGATTCAAATCACGCTCTAAAGACTGTGCGTATTGATCAAAATCGTTTGATTGCGTTATGAAAGGGTTGTTTGACATTTTATTCTTGATAGTTTATCGCCAAGCGGAGATCACTTGATTTCGTATGCGTATGCAGTTTTGAGTCTATCATCCCTACGTCCATCATTTGTTAGTAGAAATGAGCGATTTTGTAAGCTACTAACGCGTTAATAGAGAATGTCGGATTTAGTACCACACGGTTAGCTTCATAATCTACTCCTTTTTCTTTTTATCTAACAATTTCAGATCCATACTTCAGAGAATGGCATAAGAACAAAAACAGCAGCTCAAACTCTGCTGACTCAGAGGTTGTAGATAAACCTGCACCAGAGGGTGTAGCACCAGATGCTAAGAAGGTATACGAACAGGAACCAATTTCTCAAGCTGAGCGTGAAACCGTCGAAAAGAGCATTAAGAAGGAGGTCAGCGATGAAAAAGATACAGGCGCTATTGCAGGTGTCGCTGCTGCAGGTGCAGCCACCGTCGCCGGTGCCGCCGGTGTTGCAGTTGCTGCACACTCCGCAGACGATAAGAAGGAAGACGAGCCAGTAAAATCTGACGAGCCAGTTACAACCGCTCAGCCAGAACCTGCAGCTGCCCCTGAGAGCACTGTCGTACCAGAAAAGGAAGACAAGTCAGAAGAGAAGATTACTGCGTTTGCCGAGGAATCACCAGCACCAACTCCAGCGAAGGAGGAACCAAAGGAAGTTCCAGTTGAGACAGCACAACCAGCAAAAGAAGCTCCTGAACTTAGTGAATTCGTACGTTCATTTTATTTGCTGTGTTGAATGATTATCTAATGAGTCATAGTCAAAAGCAGCCACTCCTGCACTTCCAAAAGGTGTTGCTAACCTCAAGGATGATGGACCTCGCAAGCCAGAGGGTATTTCAACCCCAGCTGGTGAACACGTCCCAATCTACCCAGGTGATACACCAGACACTCCAGATATTTCTGGAAAGCCAAATCCAGTCACCGTCACAGTACCACTTGAGACCGTTGAGTTGGCAGACACCAAGGACTCTCACATACCTGTCTTAGAGGAGGGTGGACACCAACACCACATTGAACAAGCTGAGAAGGCAGAAGAAGCAGCTCCTAAGGAAGAAAACAGTGATATACAATCCAAGGACAAACTTCCAAAGGAAGCACACAATGCTGCCACCTGGACAACATTGCCAGCTCCTGAGGAGGTACCAACACCACTCCGTTTGTCACAGCGCAGCCCAGACACACCATTGGCACCATCACTCGAACCATCTCCAAACGCTTCTGAAGAGCAACTGAAGCAAGCTCAATCTCAGACTGAGAAGAAGGAAGAAGCAGCACCAGCAGCTGCACCAGCTGATAAGCCAAAAGAGGACAAAATTTTACCACCAAAAACACCAGAAAAGGCTAAATTCCAGCAAGACCAAAACAGCCACTTGGAAACACCGGAACCAGCGACGACAGCTTCTTTGAGTCCAGGAAACACATCGATACACTCAGCTGCAAACTTACCAGGTGGATACCAGCAGACACCAGAGAAGTCAAAGAAGCAGGAAGAACAAGAACAGTCCTCAAGCAAGAGCCGCTGTTTGATTAGTGAGTGGATATTCCAAAGTTTGACTATGACTAACGAAAGCTACAGTGTAATTTCATTATTTAATTTGATTTCACGTTTTACGCTTTTTATAATTTTAAACCTTTATGCATGAACTACGTCTAGTTTGAGAAATCTAATCAATCGCGTCTGTTTCCAGTACGATCATTATGACAGATAGTGCAAAACAGTGAGTAGAGAGAGAAAGTAAATGAAAGTAAACTAAATATTAATAATGAAGTCATGATATAATTGTATGTACTTTATACTCATTTAGCTCGTTTTAACGACTTATAGCTCGACTATCTCCGGCGGAAAGGCTTTACCGGGGCTGAGGAAGCACTCAAGCACGATTTAACAGCTCAGGGTTTACCAGCAAAATCTGATTCACACGTACAATCATTGGAAGAGCTCGCTGCAGCTTCAGCTTCAGCTTTGAAGAAGAAAGAAGGCGAGGAAACACCTTCTGGACCATCAAAAGATGGCGTTATGAATGAACTCGTTAATATCGCATCAAATGGTCAACTTGGAAAGCAGACTGTCGATAGGTTACTCCTCACTGATCCAACTGAACGTGAACGCGGTTATCGCGATTTAGATAGATGGGTCGAAGGCAGTTTAGACGTTTACAGACCTCAATTGCGTCCTATCCTTTTCCCTATTTTCGTACACACTTATTTAGACCTCATCAGTTTGTCATTCCAGAAATCAGCAAGGGCAATGTTGCACAGACACGCACACAGTTTGATACCATACCACGGTGATATTATTGCTCACCTAGGTAGTCTTACATTGCCAGCTCACGTTAAGTCTGATCCACTCGCTATCAGATGGAGATCTCAGAAGTATATCGTTAGACTAGGCAAAGCAGCCTGGAACTTGTTATTAGGATGGCTTAGTGATGCTCTCGTTGGTGGTCCTGGTGGTAGTTCCACTGGTGGCACTGCTGAATCCAAAGGACGTGCACTCATGTTGAAGATTGTCAATGAGAGATTAAGAGTAGACGGTTAGTCTGTCATTATTATTATGTTTATTAAACTAAAATCACCTCTAGTCGTCGAAAGTGCTACGAAGATTAGTCAGGAAATGATCGAAGAATCTACCGGTTTGATTTCTGATCTTACAATTACATATCCTACCGTCCCAGGGCAAAGAATGGCCATTGCACAATCAGCTCAAAGTTTCAACAATATCATTGGAGAGTTAAAACTCGGGTTACCACCATTAGACGATGGTTTGAGAGCCGAAGTAGATCACCAAGTAGCCGTAACCGACAATTTAAACCGTGAAGAAGGTATGGAGATAGACCAACAAACTCCAGCAGTACAACCAGCACAATCGCAGCAACAATCTGAACAAGGGGCTCAATCGCAGAGTGGTGAAGCTAATACTAATCAAGAAGCGGCAGCCGCTGGCGAAATAAGAGATAGTAACAATTTACTTGCACCTACCAGGGCTGATCTTCCACCTTTACCTGTTTTTAGAACTGCAGACGTAAGAAGAGAAGTCGAGAAGGTTTTCGATAGCAGAAAAAGAATAAACCTTGGTGTTGAAATGGAGAAAAATACCAATGGAGTTGAGGAAACGATGAAAGCCAAAATAACATTACCTTCAATTTGCGCATTCACGTTGCAAGACGTTGGTGATCAATTAAATTGTACATCATTTTCACCAGATTCATCTATCTTAGCGGGTGGATTATCTGATTCAACAGTTCGATTGTGGAATCTCAAAGGTGAATCATTTATGGGTTTGAGAGAGGATTATGATAGAGAAAAGCCACCTTCTTCAATGAAAAGATTGAAATTAGATACAGGTGCGAAAGACTTGAAGTTCGTTGGTCACTCAGCTCCAGTATTTGGTTTATCATTCGATCCAAGCTTTGGTTCACCAGTTCAACCACGTCATCTTATCAGTAGTTCTGCAGATGCAACAGTCAGATTATGGAGTTTAGAAACATACTCAAATTTAGCTGTATACAGGGGTCATAGAGATCCAGTATGGGATTGTGAATGGGGGCCTTATGGTATATACTTCGCTACTGGATCTAGAGATAGAACTGCACGTTTGTGGTCTGCTGAAAGACCAAACGCATTGCGTATATTTGCAGGACATCTTGGTGATGTTGAAACTGTTAAATTCCATCCAAATTCTTTATACTTAGCAACAGGTTCAACTGATCGTACAGCAAGATTATGGGATGTACAAAGAGGTGCATGTGTGAGAATATTCATTGGTCATCAAGCACCACTTTCAACTCTCGCACTCAGTCCTGATGGAAAATATCTCGCTAGTGCATCAGATGATCTCTCAATTAGTCTTTGGGATTTAGGTAGTGGAAGACGTATAAAGAAAATGTTGGGACATACTGCACAAATCAATAGCTTAAACTTTGATGCTAACTCTAATATGCTTATTAGTGCTGCCTCCGATTGCTCAATTAGATGTTGGGATATTCTTAGTGCTAACACAGAACGTCCAGATAGTACAACTAGTGACCTACTTGAAACGTTCTACTCAAAAAATAGTCCAGCTTATGATGTAAAATTCACACCACGGAATCTTTGTTTGGCTGCACTAGATGGTGGAAATATAGCAGCAGACTAAATAATACACTTTAATAAGAGAAATAATTTGAAAAACAAAATATGCATCTTTCTTTTCTTGTTAATTTATACTATATGAAGAAAAAAATTACTTTTTAACGCGCTCTAATTTCATTTGAAGTTGATGGAGGTGGTGTGCTAGTGTGAATGTGACGTACGTTCCTGTCAACCATCAAACCGTTATCTTCCCAGTGTTTAGCGAGATGGTGACTACTACCGAATGCATACTTAAGTACTTCATTATACTCTTCAACGAAAACTAAATCGAGACCCTCCTTAACTGATTGTGGTACATTAGCGTCTACATCTGCTTTACATGCTTGAGGTATGAGTACACGTTTAACACCCGCACGTTTAGCAGCTAAAAGTTTCTCTCTAAGTCCACCAACTGCACAGATTTGTCCAACTAATGTAATTTCACCTGTCATAGCAAGATCTGGATCAACTTTCAATCCTGTAAGTAAAGAAACTAAAGCTGTTGTAATTGCTGTTCCTGCACTTGGACCATCTTTACCAATTGCACCTTCAGGCATGTGTAAATGTAAATCTCTGTCCTTAAAGACATCCTTATCTAAACCTAATTGATTGGCGTTTGATTTTATAAATGATAAAGCGATTTGTGCTGATTCTCTAATAACTTCACCAAGTTTACCTGTTAATTGGAGTGAACCTTTACCTGAATATAATCTTGATTCAATTGGCATAACTGCACCTGAACCATTACCGAGGTATCCTAAACCAGTTGATACACCAGCAGGTGGAAGTTGTGAATAAAGTCTATCCTTTTGATAAATTGCTGGACCAACATAATCTGATAAATTGTCTGGTGTAATCTTCAAACTAACAGTTGAAGGAATTTCCAATGGTTTTCTAGGTTGGGAAGAAACTCTGGTCGTTTCACCTTCTTCTGGTGTACTTTCTTTACTCCGCGACTGATCATTATTTGACACTTCCGGCGTCTTATTATCTTCTAATTGACTCTTGCTTTCATTATTCGATTTTGCACTAACTTTAGCAGGTTCAGCTGAAGAGCTGAAGAAATTTGATAGTATGTTTTTAGAAGTTTTCTGTAATGATTGTTGGGATGACGATGTTGAAGATGTAGGTTCAGTTGCTGTTGTTGATGATGATGATGTAGCTTGAACCTCGTTAGGTTTTGGAGTTTCTGAAGGTATAGTAGTAGTCTTTTCAAGATCTTGTGCTTTATCTTCAGGAAGGCTTTCTTCACCTAAGTCCTTGACAATTCCAAGGGCAGCTTTACGGTAGATCTGTTGTTGGTTGTTAGCTAATTTGATTTAATTAAGAGAAAAAAATCACTCACCTTCTCAATGTGCTTCTTGAGATTACGAACACCAGATTCTCTAGCATATGAACGAATGAGAGTTTCAATAGCCTCAGGGCTAAGTGTTACATCTGCATCCTTCAATCCAGAGCTTTCCTTAGCTTGAGGGGCGAGATATCTTTCAGCGATTGCAGCCTTTTCATCGGCTACGTATCCACTAACTTCAATAACTTCCATTCTATCAAGCAAAGGTGCTGGAACAGTATCCAAAACGTTAGCCGTAGAGACGAAGAGAACCTTGCTTAAATCAAGTGGAACGTCCAAATAATGGTCAAGGAATTGGTTGTTTTGTTCTGGATCTAACATCTCTAACAAAGCAGAGGATGGGTCACCATTGTAACCTTTACCAACTTTATCAATTTCATCAATCAGTACTAATGGATTCTCAGTTTGAACCTTCTTCAAAGCTTGAACGATCTTTCCAGGCATGGCACCAACGTAAGTACGTCTATGACCTTTGATTTCGGCAACGTCTGTTAATCCACCCACACTGAATCTAAAGAATTGTCTTCCAAGCGCTCTTGCAACACTCTTTCCAATACTTGTTTTACCAACACCAGGTGGACCAACCAAACAGATAATTTTACCCTCAACTGAACCTCTTAATTTGCCAACTGCGAGGAATTCTAAAATACGGTCTTTAACATCTTTCAAACCATAGTGATCCTCATCTAGAACCTTCGTTGCGTGTGGCAATGAGAAGTTCTCAGTTGAGTGTTGTCCCCATGGAATGGAAGTTAACCAATCGAGGTAATTTCTTGTAACTGCGAATTCAGATGATGCTTGTTCAAGTGTTGACAATTTGCTAATCTCTTCATCTATAACTTTACGAACAGGTTCTGGGATAGCAAGACTAGATGATTTGGATTTGAATTTCTCTAGCATTTTATCTTTACCATCTGATTCTAAACCAAGTTCTCTCTTTATACCCTTGAGTTGCTCCATGAGGTAGAATTCTCTTTGGCGCTTTTGAATCTTAGATTCAACATCTCTGGAAATCTTTGATTGAAGTTGAGCATTAATAAGCTCCCTCTTAAGAACAACAAGAGCTTTACCGAGTCTATCTTCAACGTTCTCAGCTTCAAGTACAGCTTGTAATTCACTGATTTCACCTTGAGAAACCGCAGCTGCGAAATCAGCAAGCTTGTCCGGTTCTTCAAATATATTTGATGCTGATTGTGATACGCTAAAGTTGGCAATTTGATCTCTAAATAATGGGTTCAATTGAGCGATATCCTTGAACACATTAATCAACTCTGACATCAAGGCTTTTGTAGTTTGGCTGTGTGGTTTGGTTGCAGGTGGGATCTTTAAATGCGTGACATCAACTAAGGAGATGTTAAATGGTTCCAAGAATGCAGTTTGAAGTGGGTGACTTTGTTCAGCTTTGCGACGCTCCTTGTGGGCTTCCTCGAGTTGTTTTTCTTCCTCTGGGCTTGCCTCTTTAACTTCCTGTGGGAGTTGGTCACGTGCGTCTTCAACTGATGGTAATCTTGGTTTTGGTGGTTTAACACCTGGAGCATAAAGTTCGTCAATTCTGATTCTTCTGTGGGGATATAAAACAGCTGTTAAGCTCTCCTCTTGGTCATTGTTATTGTTATTATTATTGTTACCAGACTCTTTATCATCATCAGATTTACTCGTTCTAGTTGGGAATGCAGAAGTAATTTGAGCAAATACACCGACGTCTTCACACTCATCCATACTATTTATAACGTCTGATTCGCTATCTGGATCTTTGTGTAAGAAAGCACCAAGGTAGGGCTGACCGCGCTGCATCATTTCCTTTATAGCTGAAACAACTTGTGGGTTCTTAATAACGACAGCTTTGTAAAATCCTATATAAAAGCGTTAATGCGATGCCTACAGAAGGATTACGTAACTCACCTGGGAATAAAGGTCTGCGATTTATCGGTAAAGCGAGAACTCTAGGGAAATAACTTGGGGGAGTGTTCTTTGTGAGTGAAGTAGATTTATTAGAGCTTGAATTGTCATCCTCGTTGTCGTTTCCGCCCGAGTTACCGCCACTTGTGGCACCAGCGTTTGAACTGCTAGCTGCATCATTAGATTTTGCGTCATCAGCTGACAATTCAGCTTTCTTCTCTAATGCGCTAGATTCTGGTGCGCCGCCTCTCCTTTGGGTTGATAGCCTAGCTCTTGGTTTGTCATTAATCCAGCGTGGACCGAGATGTGGTGTAGTGGATAGCGGACGACTATTCGGAATTGCTTTATACAATGTTGAGTGAGATCGTCTGAGTATTCTCCGAGTTGTTAATCTAAGCATTATCTTCGGAGATGATGATTGTTCAGAATGAAAGGGAGAATTCAAAGAGATAGATATCTCCGATGAATGGAAAATATATAACAAGTTTGAAATATACTAACAGTGTATATCTAGCTCTCAGGGGGTCTAGATGTCTATTAGACTGACGAAATATTATAGAGATGGAATCTCCGTAGGAGAGATGAGAGGTGGTATGCTAGCAAACAAAGGTATCTAAATAATATGTGAACTATCTTTCTCGCTGTTGATTCTTATCTTAATCTTATCTCTGCTGCAGCTACAAACGGGGAGTGAGGATATATAGGAGTAAAAATAGAAATAAATAAGATGGTATAAGCGGTACATAAAAATATTGACCATCTCTTATTTTTCCAAATTAGGGGTTTGCTCTATTCCAGTGGCACTTGAGACGCATCGCTTAGTTCTGCACTTTTACTTTAAAATCACAAGTGAGTACCTAAATTGTGATAATAAAAATACTAATGATAGCCAAAGATTGTTAGTTAATCGTTTGTATATAATTAACCATTTCTAATTACAAACCCTTCAAAATAGATGAAATATCTCGAACTCACAGACTTGGATATACTGAGCAATAGCTTATCATTTACTTCAAACGAATCAAAGGTTCGTACAAGAAGTGAGTATCTTTTTCGATTTCCTACATTCCTCATTAAACGTGCGTCAACTCCACAGTCGAAGCCTACAGTTGTAAGCAAGTAAAGAGTGACAAAAAGCTATACAAATTATTAGAAAGCACCTATAACACCCAGCCACCGAGTGATACACCATTTGGTAACATGGATTTACCTTCTACGCGTAAAACGCTCTACTTGCTTATTTCGACACTTAATCAAGCGTTCCCCGATCACGATTTCACAGACGTTAGACCGGACGAGTTTATTAGAGAGCCTTCATCGAGTTCTATAGTTAATAAACTAGGTATGATGCTGCTTCGCTTAAAGGATGGGAACTCCCGCTCATATGGCTATTACCCCACCACAACACTTGGTTCCAGTGCTGATAGTTATCAATCGATGGACGACCATCAATCACACCTTACCGCTCAATCTACTGTACGCAGGATACAATCCGGTGGTTCAATAACGATGCAAGGTTTCCAAGCTATCCTCGATGACGTGATACACGTCCAAGATTGTGATGTGTTCAGTTACTCTCCGGACGCTACTTCTGATCCACATAGTACTTTCGATGATTACGACGATGACGGTGATTCACTTATGGACGACGACGATGATACACATTTCGATTTAGATATGGAAGAACTGGATCATCAACCAAAGTCACAGATACCTTCTTACTTACTTGATCAAGATAAGAGAGAAGCTTCACCTGCTTTGTCGAATAGAAGCACCGGTCAATCGACGATCGGTGATTCAGGTTCTGGATTACTCTGGTCGACCCATTACTTTTTCTATAATAAGAAGCTCAAGAGAGTTCTCTTCTTTACCGTATGGTCGAGAAAGCTTGGTGTCTACTCTCAAGGTCCTCATCATTTACCGATATCAGACAATAATCCTTTTTGGTTATCTAGTTCTTTACCACCACCTGTGAAGCTTGAAGATGACTATGATGGTTACATGTTTTCATCCTCACTGCCGACGAAGTCGAGAAGAACGAGAACGACGACGAGGAAGACAAAAGCAAGTGCAGGTGGTGCAGGTGGTAGTAAACCCATACAAGTACCAAAGAATAAGAGAAGAGCAGCTAATGCCGGTGTTAGCAAATCTACCAAGGGACTCTCAAATGCTAAGAAGAGTAGAAAGTGAAGAAGCAATATAAGGAACAATTTTTCGCTATTATAAACACCATGTTGTCTGTAAAACTGTATTCTAATTGATAAATAAATGTTGATTTTAACTCTTATATGTGGAAGTATACAATCTATGACTTCATAGTGTTTGCTCCTCAAACTCTAACTGTCATGGACTCACAAAAGAAGCACGCAGATGAATTCTGGAAGCTATTCCACAAAGCTAAGATACACTCACCAGCGACGACGTCAGAGTTAGACGACGATGAAGTTGTTAGTGTCTACACTGGGAGTGGAATATCAACACCGAACAAGCGGAGAGAGAGGTCACCAGCGAGAGGCGAAGAGAGGGATCCTGTAAAGATATTCACCCACGATATATCGACAAATATATTCTCTAGATTATCTCAGCAAGATCTCAAGCAATGTCACAGGGTGAGCAGAAGGTGGCGCAAAACCCAAGTGATAAACTATGGTGGGTTGACTATCTATAAGCTTATATTACTAACAATACATTAGTTTGGTTTGAAATATATCGACAAACATTCTTCGATAACGAGACAAGCTCTTCTGTTCAAAACAAATGGACGAGGCGGGAGTCGAAGGAAGATTGGAAGTTACGCTACAAATCAGCAATACGTAGACCATTCGAAAGTGCAGTTCTCGAGCAAATACAAAGATCAGTGACGCCCTCACAAATGAGAGAAGCTCAGTGGGATGCAGAAGCTAACCAAGCTGGACCTACGAAGAATGAGCAAAGAGAGGCCTACAAATCGTTAGGTGGACGTAAACCAAAGAACAAAGGCGTGAGAGGTGAAAATACTGCAAAGATAAACGCAAGGGATGAATCTGGATACATTTCCACCTGACGACCATCATGTCGCTAAAATTCTGTCAGAATTGTAACAATTTATTGTATCCAAGAGTTAGTGAACGATATTTTAAATATATTTCTAATAGTTTATTAGGAGGATAGAGAAAGGAGGACGTTGTTGTTTGCATGTCGTAATTGTAACTTTGAAGAGAGCGCCGTAGAAGCGAGAGTCTACAGGAATGACTTGATGCGGCAATCAAAGGAGGAAGCAGGCGTGACGCAAGACCTTGGAAAGGATCCTACCCTTCCACGCACGAATATAGAGTGTCCAAAGTGTCTATCCTCACAATCTGTCTTCTTCCAAGACCAATCAAAACGGACCGAGACTCGAATGACGCTATTTTACGTTTGTATTAGCTGTAATCACGCTTTTAGTAATTTTTAATTTATTATTTCTAATCTATCGTTTTGACGTCAAAGATGTTCAAATGGTTATTCTACGCGTTTGCAATATATCTGACACTCGCGTTATTCTTATTTGACGATATATTCCTTGGCTATAAAGGCAAATACCGTAACCTTAAGACATATCTTCCTAGGCCACCTCAGAGGAAGTTCACACCCGAGGAGTTAGCAAATTACGACGGAACTCACGGAGATGAAATTTACCTCGCTGTAGATGGTCTCGTATTTGACGTTTCTGCTAATAAGCGTATATATGGTCCTGGGGGTATGTACCATGCAGCCACAGGCAAAGATGCAGCTAGAGCATTCGTAACAAACTGCTTCAAGGATCAAGCAACTTACGATACCCGTGGCCTCGATGAGAAGGAACTATCACAAATAAAATCCTGGCAGGCATTCTTTGACAATCATAAAAATTACAATTTAATTGGTACAGTTGAGAATCCGGCTATTGATCCATCCACCCCAATACCTGAAGATTGCGGCTTTAAATTGAAAGCCAAGACACCTAAAGGTGGTGAATTATGAGCGAGAGAATGAATAATAACGCAAAAATGTGAGAATAGTTTAAGTTGTCTAATATATGCATTTCCTTTGTTTCTTTGACTGTTGTTTTATCCTCTTGCACTTTGTCGTTCTCTATATCATCTATCTTATCTACACTTTCACCGACTACCAATTCATGTTTCACATCAGGTGGTAGCACATCTACTTTTATATTCCCAGCAAAGAAATCTGTCAATAGGGTTTCACTCAGGTCTCCAAAAAGATCATCTCTCACGCCTGGTGTTGACTTTATTTGCTTCTTGTCGAAACTATCGATGAAATCTGCAAGTGTACTGTTGGAATTACTATCAATATCGCTCAAGGCATTGAGAGTAAAGTGAGTAAATCCTTCTATTACACCAACGCCTATTTCTCTATCTGTGTGATGACTGTAGCTGTTTTGACCTTTAAGTGAACTACCTATGGCGAGAACGTCGGGTGAGTAGAGCCTATTTGCGAGTGTAGCTGCTTGACAGGTATCACTAATAAATAGCATCTTATTGTAACGCTTCTTTACACGCATGTGCTCAATCGCGTCTGCTATGTCCTGACTATTGAGCTCTTCTGTGTCTTGAAACTTGAGAAATTCGTCACCACCATGTCCGGTGAGGTATAATAACACATTCGAGTTCTCGTCACTGAGTAAACGTCGACTAGCTGGGGTATCCTCTGTATGACGTCCTGTGAGCACCCTCAGGAAGTTCTCGACAGTGACTTCATAACCTCTGTAATCAACCTCGACGCGCTCGCCGTAGAGGTCTAACCTATGATCTTTATGGGCGTATACAGAGCCTGGGTATTTATTTCGCGTGTTGCATGCGATGTCATCTGGTAGCATTAATATTATATTCGAGTCTGGTATACCCAGTTTACGTATAGCTCTATACCTGATATGCTATTAGATAGACAAAAGGTGAGATGAAAGTCTCACATTCCAAGTGCATTAGCAAGATGTCGATAATTGAACCAATACCTCGATGTAGAGACTAAAATAGCCCAATTGTTGGTATGCCCATCGCTATTCGCTAGAACTAGGGCTGATAATAGTATAATTAGAAATTTGACGATAGTCGCCTTCATCGTCGACGTCAAACTTCTTCTTTTGATACGACGAAGGATGTCAACGACAACGAATTTAAAAATTGAATTTGGGTAGCACTCTATTTATTCATATTATCTTATAATAACGCCGACTACAGTGGTGGTCTCGAGATTCTCTTCAACAACACACCAGAGTTGAACGTTAGCCTGAGCACGCAAGGAAAGCCAACGGTGAGGGATCTAATCAAGCATCTCGCTGATGAGCACATCAACGAACGTAAGGAATTATTTATTGAGGGTGATACAGTGTGAGTTTCTCCTTATATTCTTGTCTTCTCTACAACTCCCTAGGCGTCCAGGTATCCTCGTCTTGATAAATGACTGCGACTGGGAGCTTCGCGATGAGCTCGACGGTGAACTTGAACAAGGTGACGTCGTCGTCTTCATTTCAACTCTTCACGGTGGATAGAAAAACTCAAGGATGAGCGCAATTATGGCGTCAACCATGATCACGATGGTATAAATCTTGCCTGCTACGATTCCAGTGTTGTGGGCTCTCTGTATTCTTTCATATATAGACAACTCTTTTGATTGCAAGACATCACAATAGACATCCTCCGTGAGTTTTGCAACTTTATCCCAGCTATACATCTCTGCAACTCTTATGTGGTTTCTCTGCTGGCGCTTTACTGTCTCCTCTCTGGACTCTCCCTTGATAACGTTTATCGCGCGTCCGATAGCGTCGACAACGCTATCTTGGCTGACATCCCCAGCAAACTCAATCATATCTTCCGGTAGTACTTCCGGTATACCGCCCACCTTGGTGCTGACGACAAACAAACCGGTTGAGGCAGCTTCGAGGAGGACTATACCGAAGGATTCAGTCAGACTGGTATTGAGGTATATCTGCCCACGAGCCATAACGTTACGCACACTCCCTAGTGGTATATTCCCAAGCAACTCCACGCGATCTTGTAGACCATACCTCTCAATCATCCGTTCGAGCTCTGTCATCCGCGGACCGTCTCCACCTACGACAAAGTGTACATCTGGGTGTTTCGCGCATATGACTGGTGCAGCTGCGATGAGCAGGTCTATCCCTTTACGATAATACAATCTTGAGACTGTAACGATAGTAATCTTTTTCTCTGGTGGAGCCAACAATGGCTTAAAATCATCACTAATAATGGCATTTGGAATGACATATACCTTTCTATCATTCAAATGGGCCCTCAGTGTCGTGTTTTCCTTCCCAGATTGCGATACGCAAATGACAGCGTCGACATCACATAAAGCGAAACGCAGGAGTTTGTTGGTGAGTATACCAACACCGTCCCTAAACCCGAACAAAGAGTGGTCTGTAAATACGCATTTTATACCGGGTATCCAACGAGCGTGCATGAGTGCCTCATGTGCCAGACTTGATAGCGCACCGTGAGCGTGAACGATGGTGACATTCTCTGTAATGTATATTCTCCTAAGTAAAGCATGAGCTGAGAAGAAATTTGGGAGACTTGCGTTAGCTGTTGTTGGTAGAATTGGTATGGGGAGATAGTAAATCGTGACACCGTCTTCTACACGTTTACCGCGATAGTTGGGATATTCGTGGGTTATAACTATCACACGTTTACCACGAGAAGTGAGTGTTCTCGATAGATGCATTATATGCGATTCAACACCGCCAACACTCGGGAAGTAGAAGTCGCTCACCATCCTAGAGGTTTTGTAAGTAACTCTCTCTTTTCCCTCTATTTAGCTCACGCTACGCAGGTAGAGGACGACATCCGCCCCGTCTTCTTTCTTGCTGACGTCGATGGTCGGAATCGAAGAGCTCAATCCGTGCGCTGTGGGGAGTACAGTTGAATGGCGCATAAAAGAGAACAAAGGTGGGCCATCCAATGAGACTACTAACGTGGGTAAATCTTTTGTACGCTCTCGAGAAGCTGACGATTGCAGCGTAAAATGGACCAATACAAGAAACTTAAAGAAAATGGCATGCATTTCAACGATAAATTGCAGCAATCACAACAATTCCACAACCCTCACATTAACGCAAAGCTTATTAGCTGGGTCGGCGTCGACGAGTATGCATCCAATGTAGACATCTACTCTGAATACTCCCATAGGGACTCATCTGCAGCTGCTATAGCAGCCAAACAACGCGAACGTTCAACAGAGAAAGTAAACACGTCTAGCAAAAGAACGAATATTTCATTCACTAATGCAAAGGCCAATAAATCACGTAAACAATAGGGAAGTTTTACAGCTATTCTCCTTCTTCTTCAAGTATCTGTTGCCTCAATCTCTCCCTCTCTTTCATGCGCATTAGAGTTTCGCTTTCGTAGGATATCTTGCTATTTGGAACGGGAATGGTAAAGTCAAATGAAGGGGTATCACCAGAGGTGTTTTCAGACTTCCCATGTAGCCGTCCACTATCTCTAAGTTCCTGAATAGATGAAGGTTCAACACCGCCGATCCAATCAACTGATACGCCATCAAGTACGCCCCTTTTACTACTCTGAACAGCTCCAAAAGCACCAACAAGATCATCAAATTCAACGATCGCAGACGATGATTTAGGTTTCTTGCCAGAAGCTGTAAATTCCTTCTTTGGTGGTAAAACAACTTGATTTACCTTACCGAATGTACTCAGTATTGCAAAAATTGCATCCCTATTAGATTCAATAACATCGCCTGACCAATTTGGACGTTCTTTACGTGTCCATTTCAATCTAATGACTTTGTCTTGAGGTGATGATTCCTCGGGGTCTTTATCAAGGTTCAATTTACTCTCTCTTTCGAGATCCTGATTGAGTTGTTGTGTTTTGTCCATCCGCCTACGTTTACCCTCTTCGCGTACCCTTTCTAACTCAGATTGTGCATCTCTTTTCTGCTTTTGTGCCAGTTTTCGCTCTTCTAGAGCTTCTTTCTCGCGTCTATCTAAATCAGCTTGTAAATCTTGCCTTCGGGTATCAAATTTAGCAAAACGTTCTGCTTTAGCTTTCTTAGCCTTTGCTACATCCGCTAATTGAATTCTTTTCGATGGATCGAGAAGTATTTCAGCTGCTATTGTCAATTTGTGAAATTCCTCAGCTGTGGTTTCTTATCGTCAGATTGTGATAACAATAAGCGAATGAACGAACCTGCCACTGGATTGTCTGGATTCTAGTAGCATATCAGAGGGATGTTTCATTGTATATCATTAACTCACTCTATCCGGGTGTACTTTCAAACTACGTTTCCTCTATAATTTGTTAAAGAGAATATAACACTTAAGGTGATAGACCTACGTAAGCTTTACGTATCTCAGCTTCACTAGCCTCCTCTGTCACACCTAGTACAGCCAATGCGTCAATATCGTCATATTCAGTCATCGCCGTATCTTTTGAAGAAGTCCCACCAAGATGAAACTGCCATTAACGATAAAAGAAATAGAGAAACTATCAGCGAAATCTACGGTAACTTTAAATGGATGGATACGTTCAGTCAGACATCAAAAGAAGCTCTCTTTCGCGAATGTATCGGATGGTACGGCAGATATACAAGTTCTTCTCCCACCAGATTCCCATAGAGGGTACGTCAGTCACTTATATAACAACTTTAAGGCTTATATAGCTCAGCTTAACAACAGGTGCTAGTATCAGCGTAGACGGTACCGTTTGCCAACATCCTCGCAACCAAAGTCTAGAAATCAAGGCTGAATCCCTAAAACTATGGGGCGAGTGTCCAGGAGAGAACTACCCAATGCAGAAGAAAGACCACGGGAGTGAACACCTTAGAGATAACGCTCATTTACGCGTACGGAGTAGACAAATAGCCTCTGTTATCAGATTACGTGATCAACTTAGCTATAATTTCGCATCATGGTTTAAAGATTTCGGTTTCATGAATGTCCAACCACCAATTATTACAAGCAGTGATTGTGAAGGCGCAGGAGAGGTTTTTGAAGTGAGACATCCAACAAAGAGTGAAAAGTTCTTTGGTAGAGATGCCTACCTATCAGTTAGCACACAATTACATCTCGAAGCAATCTCAAGTGGTTTTAGTAGAGTTTATACGCTCTCACCAACGTTTAGAGCTGAAGGATCACAGACGAATCGTCATTTAGCTGAATTTTGGATGCTTGAAGCTGAATTGAGTTTCGTGGAGGACCTCGAAACCGTCATGCAGGTTGTCGAGAATAGCATTAAGAGTTCCGTGAAGAATTTAACGGAACATTCAGAAGGTATTCCTTCTATGTCTGTGGATAGTGATTGGCCTAGATTAACTTATACAGAAGCTATCGAAATCCTCAAGAAACGTCATGAAGATGCACCATTCCAGTATATTCCTGAATGGGGTGCTTCTCTTCAGAGTGAACATGAACGATACCTCGCTGATACCTATTATGGGCGACCACTATTTGTGACGGACTATCCAGAGAATATCAAGCCTTTTTATATGCGCGTTAACGATGATGGCAAGACTGTTTCATGTTTCGACCTTCTAGCACCCGGAATCGGTGAATTAGCAGGCGGAAGTTTGCGTGAAGAGCGTTTACAGGTTCTCGAAGACAAGATGTCAACTGCTGGACTTGACAGAGAGACTTATGAATGGTACGTTGATCTCAGACGATTTGGATCAGTTCCTCATGGTGGCTTTGGTATTGGTTATGAACGTCTGATAAGCGCACTAAGTGGTGTGTCAAACCTTAGAGATGTCGTCCTCTTCCCAAGGTGGGCTGGCAGATGTACCTTTTAATAGAATGCATAGACGTAATTTATACTTTTACAATTCGTCATGGCGAATATGCACGCGTCGAGTGTTCTCGTGACACGCAGCAGGACTACTTGCTAGTAATTTATAGGCGCACTTTTCGAGCTCCTCCACCTCTATAAGTGCGTTGTATTCACCACACACTATCTCAACCTTATTCTTATTAGCACGGAATGTAGGTGAAAATTGAACTCACATCTGCAGACCTCTCAGGACCATTCCAACATCTCTGACCCTTCGTGTATACCTGTAAATTGTAGAAGTCCTCGCTTCCTGGTCCTGCATCTTCATTCCAGCTGTGGAATTTTCTGGTAATAGATTTGAGTATACCCTTCACTTTATTTGAATACTCACCCTAAACTCGTTCCACCAGACTTGCGCCCTTGTTGTCTTTGGGTGACTTTGTCAAAAAAGCACAATTCATAGGTATATCTGTATCGTGTTAGTTGCGTAATATATAGATAAGAGAAGTTTTACTCGGCGATGTTTTGAGAAACACACTCCTTGTTTAGCTAGAAAGGTTGAGTGTTTGCTCTTTGTCAATAAGTATTACTCACTGCATTCCACTCTCCCTGCGGACCCCATCTAATACCACTTTTAAGTTCAGCCACCTCAGCATCGGTTTTTGCAAGTCCATTGCGTGCTTTTTGCAAAGCGTCGTTTGCTTTTTTGTGCTCCTTTCTGGCGTTTTGGATATCTGTGATGTGCTTTAGTAAGCAGAAACAAATTAATTATTTTCAAACCCACAAGATGCATTTCCCTGCGTTGATGGTTCTGGTATAATGCTAAACTTAACTAACCATCCGACAAATGTCTCCTTAAATGCTCTGTAATTATCAACCATGGTTGGTGGAAGATATGCCTCAATATTGAACAACATGCTGTCGATGTCATCCTTTTTATCACCACTGCTTTGATCCAAAGAAACGATCAAGTTGACTAGATCTTCATTTTGAAGTTTGGAAAGCAACTCATTTGAAGCGCTCCGCTTTTTGCGAGTGTCTATATAAGCATTATAATCCTTTACAGCAGCCAAGACACCCATATCTTGGTAATTAGGATTATAACTATTCTTCAACGATTCAAGAATATCCAACAAATGAGATAAATCAGCTTCGACTGCCTCATTCTCCTTTTTGAGATCATCTAAAGCACTTCTGGCATCTAAGAGATGTTTATAGAGTGGTGATGCGAGCTTAGCTGATAAGGCATCCTTTGATAGTGCCTCTAAACGGTCTACTTCCGCCTTTGCAGCAAGTTCCCTCTCACCAGCCTTGATAATCGCCCTAGTTTTATCTTGTTGTACAGATGAGAGTCTGTTTAATTCTTTTTTCGCGCTATCAATGTATTTACTTTTAGTGATGAGTGCTTTATCCCTTATACGCTCAGAATGTTCCAATTCAACTTTGTATTGTTTTCCACGTTGTTTGCAAGTATCTGGACAGATTCCTGCTGGTTCATCTGTCCCGTCGCAACATTCCTCTTCGCAGATCCCGTCATTAACTTTCGATAAGTGTATTTTATCAGGGAAGAAACCCTCATTGTGACAATAAAACTGAGGTGTGTGGTGATAGCTCGAACAGGCGCTAGTTCCAGGTTCGTCTGTGCCGTCTGGACAATCGCAATAATCGTCGTTTAGTGCACTATATGGTATACTGACATCTGAATTTATACACTTAAATCTACCATCAATTGGTTTATAGAGATGTTCTATAGATGGATCGACTCCTTTTATACACTCTACACTCCCTACCAAAGATAAAGCTATTAAAATACCGACCAATCTGGGTAACGTCATCGTCGTGAATCAAAAAAGAAAATACATGAACAATATTTAAATAGTTAACTTAATTTAGATCTGGCGTTGACATTTGAAAAGACGATTGTGAAGGGCTTGTATTCCCTTGCGATGGTTCAATCGAGAATGCTCTGGATATTTCAGCGAGTGCTTCTGGATCAGGATGATGATGCTGATGATGTCCTCCATGCTCATCTACTACACTGTCGTTATTTCTTTTGTTGATGAATTGCAAAGCCTGGCCATTATTATTAGCTGAATGTGATTGAGCGAATTCGACCAAGTTTGCTAGGTGGTTCTCAGTTGTAACATCAGGATTACTATGGCCATTATGACTGAATTGTATATCAAATAAGTGTGATGACCGATGGTCCAAGTCTAGAGTCGATGGTTCTCCGGTATGGAAGTGTTGTTGTTGTTGTTGCAAAGCAGCAGCGGCGGCAGCAGCAGCTTGTGCATCAGCTTCGGCAGATGACGTACCAACGCCAAGTGCTAGGAAACCATTAGATATTATTGTAGTGAAAATTCTTCGTACTCACAATTTGTGTCTTCCATCTTCACAGATGATGCCTTTTTCTTTGTACGCTTTCTAGCAGGACTATTTGAAGAAACAGTCGCTGATCTACGTTTCCCCTGGAATGGTCGAGGTGGTATCGCGGGTTTTCCGTCAGTTCTATAGATTGTAATGTTGTTAGGATCTTCAAGCAACAACCTAAGTACTGCGTAGAGTTGGTGATTAGTCCAACCTCCAATAGCTGTTGGTGGTAATCCATCAGGCCAACCGGATATATCGCAACCATGGGGTTCTAGCCAAGTGGATGGATTGGCTGTGAAACCGTTAGGCAATCTACCGTAAGCTTCACCGGATGCTTGTCCAATTCCAGCTTCTGAAATTTTTGCAAGTAAAATTCTAGATATATGAGATTGTAAGACAGCCTGTCCAGTTGTCATGACGATCCCATGGTGCTCATCTAGGTATCTTTTATCCTCGTCAACTTCAGCTTTATCACGTAATAACGCGTATTTTCCTTTTGTTGACTTTGAAACTTCGTCGCGTACTCTGGGCGCACGAGCTTTGCGTGGCGGTCTACCGTCGTCGTCTAGGCCTCTAGATTTTCGTGGCCTACCTGGACCTCTCTTGCGTGGTAGATCCTCGTCTTCTTGATAGTAATCTGAGTGTTCGTCATCGTTTGATTGTGAGCCTGTCCTCTGCTGTTGGTGCTGCTGGGCTTGATTGAGTAGATTAGAAACCTGCTCCTGATCGAACTGAGTCTGTTCTGTAGGGAAGCTATGTTCGTTCCCATTATCAACTTGTCCACTCTGGGATTGTACAAACTTGAGTGCTAGCTCAAGGTTTGCGTTTGCCTCTTCAGTGTTGAGATGGTTATCTAAACTGTTATCATAACCAAAGTATGCGTCTGAGTTATTCATTTATTATGATATAATCTCTGATATTTATTTAAAATCTCAGAATAAAAAATGGCCTTGCTATGATGCTGCAAGGTCGACGTAAAGCAGCAAGAAAATTCGAAAATCTAATTCTCGTGGGGTCACTAGCGACCTTATAACGACGATATATTTATTGTATATTAATATATTTATTCCCATAATTCATAATATAATTACCAAATTAAGTGAAATTTTGGTCATCTATCGATCAGACCGAATTTGGATAATAGCGAGAGATCCATAATCCTCAGGCTTTACTTTATACAATAGTCTTAATTACCACTTCTCATCTCTCGTTTCGAAGTTTATTTACACTTTCGACATCATCCATCATACGTTCATCTCGGATATGACTTCAATAACAACAGCAGAGGATTATATTAGAGAGCAAGAGATACTAGAAGCTGAAGCTAGAGAGCTTCTACCATTCAAGGCAGACCTATGTACCCAAGATTACGACAAGAACGAGATTGGGAAGCCATTAAGACAGGCTATCTACCTCTGTAAGACCTGTGGATTAGATAAGGGTGTATGCGTAGGCTGTTCTATTATATGCCACGGCGGTGAGTTCATAGTCTCGCGTAGAACATTATCTAACTCCTTCAGATCACGATCTCCTTGAGCTTTTCCCAAAGCGCGGATTTGTATGTGACTGTCCAACCAGCCGCTTTAGTAAGGAGTGTAGCCTCAAGAAACTCAAGGCGACATACGACTCACACCCAAATCATTACAATCACAATTTCCAGAGGAGATTCTGCGCCTGCGATCAAATATATGAACCAGCAGAATGTGACCAAGAGATGTATCAGTGTTTAAGTTGCGAGGATTGGTTCCACGAGGGTTGTTTGAACTTAAGGGACAAAAATCAAGAAGGACGTGTGAATGACGAGAACAGCGAAGACGCAGGTCCTGTTTTACGCCTCCCTAGGTCCAAGTTTGACGCGTTTGTTTGTTCAGAATGTGTTCTATCACCTGATTTAGAGCATCTGAGGAGATATGCTGGTACACCTTCATTTGTTTTGCTAGAAAGTATGAAATCTCTACCACAGGAAGGAGACGACGATGAAAGCGCAATTCCACTCAAATTCTCAAACAAAAGGGAACATTCAGAGGACGATGATTACGAAGAAAATGATGTAAAACGCGCAAAAACCGGTGAAAATGAATCACAAAGTGTACCACAAGAGGAAACAATCCAGGCATGTAAGGTTCCAGCAATAAACGAGGAATCTCAACAATTTCTTAGCAACCTCAGTCAAAATCCTCCACCTAAGCCACCTTCGGAGGCGCCACGCGCTGATATGTTCATGTTACATGGTTGGAGAGACAAATGGTGTAAATGTGAAAACTGTATGACTAAGTTATCAAAACATCCTTGGTTGTTTGCAGAAGAAGCGACATATGAACCACAAGAAGAGGAGCAAGAAGAGAAAACATTGCTACAGCTCGGAGCAGAGGCACTCAATACTCTGCCAAGAGAGAAGGCCCTGGATGGATTGAAAGCATACGAGAAAATGTCTAGTTCTGTCAAAGACTTCCTCAAACCGTTCGCAGATACCGGCAAGACAGTCGAAGCTGCTGACATTAACAACTTTTTCTCAGAGCAGCAGCAGAAGCTTAAAAATGGAGATAATCAAGCTTAGAATTATATTGTAATTTCATATGTATTTCATTCAGAGACATAGATAGATATCTGCGAGTCTTATAAACAAAGTTAAGGGTTACATGTAAACAAACAAATAAATGCTATTTCTTATAGCTAAATACACTGCTTCCTTCGTAACGGTCAGCACTATGAACGTATCACGGAAAGATATATATGACGAGCATGAGGATGAGGAAGTAGAGGAAGTGGACGATGGAGCGCGTGCGATGCTAGAGAAAATGCTTTCTTCTGGCTGGTCTAACGCTGTGGAAACCCAGGTTGAGGAAAAGGAAGACGACAAAATGGACGAGGATAAGCCAGAAGAAACCCCGGCACTTTGTAAGTTTGACTCAAATAGCTATCTACTATTATTCAACTTACATATAGCCTTCAAATTGCTGTCGAATGCACCTGTTACGAAGATAAACGTAGAGGATGCAGCTGAAGCGTCTAGCGCAGAGTACGACAAATCCGTTAGAGAGCATAATGAAAAACAGCGGCAGTTGAGGGAATCTTCGCCGTCTAATGATCTTATCAACAGCCGGAAATCACAATTTGAGAGTGTAGCTGTTGATTTTAACTGGATAAAAGAGCAATCAACTGTCCATTGGGTGAGTCTTCTTGGAAATTAAATGTATTATTCTAACAACCACTCAGAAACCCCTCAGCAGTCCGACAAAGAAAACAGCAACAGGACCACTATCAGCTGAAGTCCTAGCGCTTGCAAAGACAGACGTTAAAGACGATGAAGAGGAGAAAGATAAACAAGGTCTAGTCTCAAAACCATACGTTCCACGGATAAGCTTAGAGGCACCAAAACAGCATAATACTATTCATAAAAAAGCAAAAAAGTTGCGTACCCCACCGGCATTCTTCGCAGCAAGACCAGATGAATGTAAATACGCAGCATCAGCGGCGTATTTTTACAGTAAACCTTCATCAAGACCATTCAATCGTCCAGATGGCTCTCAAAGGAAGTATATAAGGAGTGACAAGAGAGGTATAACGGCACAATTGGAATACGCTCGTATTGCAGAGGAGGACCGTCTTGCTAAGAAGGCTGAAGCGGCTGAACAGAAACTCAAGTTGAAGAATAAGAGAAAATTTGAAGGTAGAGGTACTGGAAAAGGTGATACACTTGGCGTTAGTAGAGTTAGTACAGCTGGTGGAAATGCTGCTGCTACTGGTGCAAACGCCACGTAGATTGTTCTCTCATTGTATAGTTTAGTTATTTTTCTATAGAAACAACACAAAACAAGCAAAAGCAGAAGTTATGCAAAATACCCACTTAATGTCATTGGTTGTGAATCTGAACGTGTACAATAAGAAAGTATCCAATACTTGAGAGCCGTTGTGAGTTTAACGGTATGATTTTTGGACACGAGCACGGGCACCTGGCTGTAAAAATTTTGTGAGAAAAGATTATAATAAGATAATAAAAGACCTACACCACCGAACTTCTTTGGTTCACAACGACGTGGATCAGCGATGAGGAGGGTTCTGTCGTAAGAGACAAGGGTCTTCTTCAAGTCCAAAGCTGATGCAGCGTCAAAGTTCTTAGCGTAGAATGCAACCAAGGCCTTTGAGATAGCTTGACGGATAGCGTAGATTTGTGAGGTAACACCACCACCAGAGACTCTGACTCTGATGTCGACTGGAGCGAACTTTGATTCACCAACAACCAAAACTGGCTCGTAGACCTTGTATCTTAAGATTTCAGGTTGAACGAGTTGGATTGGTGAACCATTAACTCTGATCAAACCTTTTCCAGAGACGCAAGTTGCGACAGCAGTGGCTGTCTTCTTCTTACCGAAGGTTTGAACTTGGCCGTTTGACATTCTAAACTTTGTTAGTATATTTTATAATAGAGCGTATACCAGAGTGTAGCCGCAAGGTGAGAGCGAAAAGTTTTTATAAAGTAGAACGCGATTGAATGGCTTAGCAGGTGAGTAGAACTAGAATATTGTAATGGATTCCAACCAGGTTTGCTGCAAAATCTCTCCATCCCGTCGACTTCTCTTTACGGACTAGCCAGTTTGCGGCTAAAAGGGATATGAACGTTCTAGTCCTAGATATAAGCTTACTCTACACTCATATGCAGCTACACTTGGCTTCTTTACGCTATATTTTATTTACACACCTTTGGGTCCTAAAGGAAGCTGCCTCAGTCAAAATTCATCAAATCTCGTTCAGATTTTAAAATGAATTTATTTGAAGAGATAAGCGGAAATTAAATAACAAAGTAGTTTGTAGGAATAGCTTCTGTATTATTATATTTATATTTATCTACCCTCGCCTATCTTCTCTGGGAAGCTTTGCATCGTTGGCGAGATGAACAAACTGAGTAAATAAGGGATACTGCATACTATCTATACACATTATATAGCTATGTATGTTCTATATATGTAGTCCCAGCATCCTTTATTACGACATAACCGAGATAAACGAATCGCTCAGTTTGGTATGACATTTAATTTACATTAGATAGCATTTTAGTATTTGTAACACTTCTAGCACTTTTAGTAGCGTGACTTATCATAGGAATTTTCGTATCTTCCTTGGTAGCTCGGAGAACGGCGTCTGTATGGCGGTGAGTAGGATCTTCTACGATCGTCGTAGTAATCATCATATCCACCTCTCTTCGGTGGTGATTCACGTCCTCTCCTTGGTGGTGGCTGTCTATATCCGCCTCTCCTCGGTGGTGAGCGCTGTCTATCTTTGAGCTTTTGCATTGTCATTTTTGACATATCGACCGTAACTTTAACTTCATCTATTATACCCTTATGCATGAAATCGCAGGCGTCCTCTGCGTCTTCAACATGTTCGTAGAAAATAAAAGCGTATCCCATCGTTGTATTAATTTTTCTAGCTTTGACTAACTCAACATGAACTATTTTGCCGTAAGCATCAAATATTTCCTCCAGATGCTCAACTGCTACATTCTTCGTTAATCCACGAACAACGACGCATTTCAGACCGCGAGAGCTATCAACCGATCTGCTCCTACTACGACTTCTGCTCAGTGACCTCGATATTGAGCGCATCCTCTCATCTGACTTGCTAACTGACCGAGAACGAGAAGGTGATCGTGATCCCCAGCCTGAATTGCGAGAGCGTGAACGAGAAACTGGACGATTACCTGAGTCTATATTAGTCACATATATCTATATCTACATTATTACCCACTCAGCGGTCTTGGTGATGTTGATCGTCCTCGTTCCATCTTCAGCGTATCTAATCAAGAATATTCTTAATCTCGAACAACGATGGTCAACCCGTAAGAAATTACAGAACTATTTGACAACATCTAAACTCCTTCAAAGAGACTTAACTCACCTTGACGACGCGTCTAATCCACATGTTACACGTGCATACTACGAGCGTCTCTTTCCATTCAAGCAAATGTACCAATTCTACAATGGTGACCACAGTATGGTGTCGGTTTTATCATTCTCACTTTTCACTAACACATAGCAGTACCCACGCGTTTGTTCACGAATCGAGAATTCGCCTTCACAGTGAAAGATGATATCTACCTTCGTTATCTGTCATTCTCTACTTGGGATGAATGGAAGAAAGAAACATTAAGATTGAACCCTACACGTTTCGAAATTGGAGCTGTTTACACTGCAAGGGTGGGTTTATATGAGGGTTTCAGAGTTATTTTAACAAAGAGCTACTAGCCACGCGATAAGAAATCACTAGGTCCATCTGCATTTAAAACCAAAGAGCGTGAATTGGTTTTTGATATTGATATGACAGATTATGATGAGATTCGTACATGTGCAGCTGGGAAAGATATTTGTGAACAGTGTTGGGGTTTCGTTGTAGCGGCTATGCGCATTCTTGATACTGTACTGCGACAGGATTTCGGTTATAAGCACTTACTCTGGGTCTTCTCTGGTAGAAGAGGTATTCACTGTTGGGTCTCAGATCCAGCTGCGCGAGCATTGACAGATGAACAAAGAAAAGCATTAGTTGGTTATATTGAAGTAGTTCGAGGTAGTGCCCAGCAAGCTAAGAAGGTTCATATATCTCAAAACCTCCCAAGAGGTGCACCATGGCATCCTTCTCTCATGAGGGGTTATGAACAGCTGTACGAATGCTTCGAAAAGACAGTATTGGAAGATCAAGATGCCTTCAGGGATGATCCAGCATGGCGCACTTTGCTTAGTTTGCTCCCTGATCAAGATGTCGCGAAGAGTCTGTCAAATGAGTGGGTCAACAAACCTGGACTTAACTCTCGAGAGAAATTCAAACAAATACGTAAGCGCATGCCAAAGTCTCCTCAATGGGATACTGCATTGCGTGAAATTGTTTTGCAGTATGTATACCCACGTATAGATACGGAAGTATCTAAACATCAAAACCACTTGCTTAAGGCGCCCTTCTGTATTCACCCTGGTACAGGTAAGGTATGTGTGCCAGTGGATGTAAGCAAAGCCGAAGAATTCAATCCAAGTAAGGTGCCTACGATAGGACAACTTTTACGTGAACTTGAGCAGTTGCCGGCAACGGCAGGAAGGGATGTATCACAAGGTGAGTTCACCATAAAGCTCTAAAGCAATATAGCTAATATCCACAGATTGGGAACAAACCTCACTTGCGCCTTACATTCGAATGCTCGACAAGCAATCAGAGCAAATAATGGCAGAAACGAGGCGATTTAAGAGAGAAATGAATAACAGATCACTCGATTTCTGATAGTATTTTGTATTAAATAAATATCAAATTTTTATTTTTCCTTATTGGCTGACGAGAAGAAGGTGAACGAGTTGACACTTGATTTATAGGTGAGTTTTGTGAAAAGAGAAATTGCGGATGAATTAAGTTAATTATTTAGTCTGGTTACTTTCCCGTGTATATAAATATACCAACGAGTGTGTATATCATCAAATAAGTCGTCTTCTCATTTCCAGACAGAATGAACAGCAACGTAAATATCAACAATGGTAATAGCACTGAACAAACAACTGTAGTAGCAGAAGTCGGATGGCAATTCGTTACACAGTGAGTGTATCCATATATATGCCTACCTCACCACTCACAAGCACACTATTAAAGATACTACAACTACGTAAACGCTAAACCAGAGAATTTGCATTACTTTTACAATAAAGACTCTACTTTTATACACGGTTTCGAAGATGGCGACGAGCGCACTTGCTTTGGACAGTCTGTAGGTTGACCTTATATTCCTGTCAGCTCTCTGACAGCTCACAGGAAATCAATTCACGCGTCTCTGAGATTGGATTCGAAAACTGCAAAGTATTCGTTCACTCTCTCGACTCACAATCCTCCGCTGATGGCGGAATATTAGTCCAAGTCGTTGGAGAAATGTCAAATAGGAATGGTCCTTGGAGAAAATTCGCTCAGACTTTCTTCCTCGCGCAACAACAATCTGGGTACTTTGTTTTGAATGATATATTCAGGTATTTACGCGATGATGATGAAGTTGATGAGGAGAAACAGCACACTCCAGTCGCAGATGTAGAGAGTGACCTTAAGGAGACTACAGAGGATGAAGCTACCAACGGTATAGCTGCTCCAAAGGTCGCTTCACCTGTACCAGCGGCAATTGCATCACCAACACCTCCAGCAGATGTTCAAACTGGTGAAGCTGAGAAGGTCTCATCACCTGTGCCAGCCACAGCTACAACATCAGCTGTTCAGTCGCCAAAGCCTGCTGTAGCTTCTCCAGAGAAGTCTAACCAACCAAAGACTTGGGCAAACCTTGCCGCATCAAACTCAAAGAAATGGGGACAAGTTGCACAAGATAAGGTTTCACCTTCAATTCAATCAGCTGCGACTGCTACTTCTCCACGTACCAATAAGGCCGATGCAAGCAAACCATTGAGCCAGGCACAACAAAATGTGCAATCAGTCTCACACGCTTTATGTTTCGTCAAGAACGTTACTGATCAAGTACAAGGGAATGAATTGAGATCAATCCTACAAGCAAAGTTTGGATTAATTAGAGACGTCGATGTTGTTAGAACAAAAGCATGTGCTTTCGTACAGTTCGATAAAATAGAATCAGCAAAGAAAGCTATCATCGCTTCTCATAGTAAAGATCAAGGTGGTGAAGGTGGTATTAAAATCGGTAACCAAACTGTCATGTTAGAATCTAGAAGGGAGAAACCAAAGAATAATAAGCAAAACCAACAAAAGAAATCCAGACAATCAAATCAACAATCACAATCAAATAGAAATAAAAAGTAGCATTCTTATATCTAACCTACCAAACTACCTGTCACGCATATTTTATTATACATTACGCGGTTTTATTTATGGCTTTGATGTCTGTGTCCGGGAGTTTTTTTATTGAGGGCGTGTCTATGTTCAGTTTTTTTCACCCACGTTGGTGAAAATTTTGTTTGTTTGTGCGTTGATTTGGGTGAATCCGAAATAGAGTAGGTAGACTAAGAGTGAATCTTCTGTATTGCTTATCGGTGTCTTGTTCCTTCTCTAATATGACGTATTTGGTATATTACCCGTATCATTGTCCAAGCAATGCAGCTGTAACGTGATGATAGTCCTGCATATGAAGTATATAATAACGATTCACTACATAAAAGTGTATTTATATAAATAATAACCGATTACACCTTGATTCAGTACGACGACCGTCTCCGTAAATGAAATTTGGTAAAGAGGTGGGTTTATTATAGAATTGACACCACCAAACGTGCTTATAATGTTGGTAGATACAATCAAATCAGATTCCAGGATGGTCTCAGCAGTATCTCGATTACAAAGCCTTGAAGAAGGTAATAGTAGTCCATATATAGCACAATATAATCTCACAATTGCATTAGATTATAAACTCCATGATAAAAGGGCGTCCGAAAGACGCTGGAAGTCTATCTATCGGCATAAGGCCCAGGAAGACGAGCGGGAATGATAACGGCGTCGAAGAAGTATCGATAGAGGAATACAGATCAGCCTTCTTTTTTAAATTAGAGAGGGAGCTTGAGAAGGTGCGTTATACTTCTCCTATTCGCTTTATAGCTTAGACGTCACACACACAGATTAACGCATTTTACCTCGCGAAAGAATCCGAGCTAAAAATACGGATACAGATATTAATTGATAAGAAGAGAGTACTCGCAACTACGAACAATAAGCAATCAAATGAAGTAGCCTTAGATGAGGGTTTCCAATACTTCGAGCGTCAACTCGTCGCCCTACAAGCCTATGTTGATATTAACGCTACTGGATTTAGAAAAATTCTTAAGAAATGGGATAAAAGGTCTAAATCTAACACTAAAGAGTTATACCTCGCCAGACAAGTTGAGGTGCAACCCGTATTCAACCGCGAAGCTCTAGCCGAATTGTCGAATGTTGTAGCAACCAACTTGATTGATTTGGAGAATCTAAAGAATCAAAATCAGCAGGATCAACTTGGTGACCCTATGTCAATTGACGGCGATTTGGAAACCAACAGCGACATCGAGAATATTATCATAAAACTACTCAAGAAGGACAACACAGAGGGTTTGATTGGTTTGCTTCAGAATCACAAGGGTTTGAGGCTCACCTGGGAGAGTCTCGCTTATGCTACCTCACAAGAACAGATTGATTCACTCATAAGCCTCGCCTCAATTGAGTGGAGTTACATTGACGATATCAACAACCGTACATGTTTGCATAAAGCTGCTATTGTTGGTAATCTTCCTTTGCTTTTATTAGCCCTCGAGAATAAAGTGGAACCAACGAGGACCGACATTTATGGACGTAATAGTGTACATTATGCTGCACTAAATGGCCATGATAAGATACTCGAGCATCTCCTCAAATTGGATGTTATCGATGGGGCTACCCCTGATTTGGATGGATACACTCCATCATTATACACAATCGTAAATGGACACGATGATTGCTTGAAATTACTAGTATCGCAGTTGTCATCACCTGCAGCATCAAACTTACATCCCCTTTGCTTGGCAGCCCAGTATGGTCATGAATCCATCGTGAAAACCCTCTTGAGCTTATCGAAAGATGACATCGGTCCTAATGCTGAAGGTCTCTATCCTCAACATTTGGCAGCTAGAGGTGGTCATGCAAATATTTGTAAATTGTTGGCAACTAAAGGTGGCGAGAAACAGGGTGGTTTACACATTAAGGACAAGTATTCAGCGTGGACACCACTCATTCATGCAGCTGATAGTGGGCATATTGAATCTGTCGACGTTTTATTAGAGTTTGGCTGCGATCCAACGGCCTTAGATGAAAATGACAATAGTGCTGTATTCTATGCAGCTTGGAATGGTCATATGGATTGCGTCGATGCTTTGATGAAAGTAAAGAGATCAGAGGTACCAATAGAAAAGATAATGAAATCACCTAAATCAGACAAAAATGGTGGTGATTTGGATGAAATTCCATCACTCGCTTTACCACCACCAATGATGCCTTTACGTATATATGGTCATAACTACTTACTCAAACGTTCATTACTTAATGTAATTTTAACACCTACACCAATACGATTAAGTGAAAATGACGAAGAATTCAAGTGGTCATCACTAAAGTTAATCGTCATGCAAAAGCCAGACATGCTTAATGCACCATATCATCTCATTATACCATCACAGAAGCAAGAAATAGAAAGATCATTATCAGAGTTCTCATTTCAAATCGAGACTGAGCATAATGTCAGCTTAGATTTCTCACTTTATCCTGGGTTTGGTAGTGTTATTATGGGTAAAGCTGTAGCATTACCACAAGCATTGATGATTTCAAGAGAAAACAAACATACATTACCAATTATCGACAATCATTTAAAGACAATTGGCAGGATCACTTTTGAAACCTCGCTTATTAAACCATATGTGGGGTTACAAGAGCACAGTGCAAATGTTAACGCTTATTGGAAGTCAACGACGAGCGTGTCAGCGAATAATCAATCTCATCCGACGTTGAATAAGAGGGATTCACCTACGCTTACGCCTACTGGGCATGGTGAAGATAGCGGTAACAGTGCAACTATCATAACCTCATCTTCACTTCCTTCAGAATTTACGAGACTTTATGTGCAATCTAGCAAAGATTCGAAAGCGGTGGTTAGTAGTAGTAGGGATAGTAAAAATGGCTTGCCATTTAACGGATTGGAAGGAATACGAGGTTTACAAGTTAATGATTTCATGTTTGAGGATTTATGTAAACTTTCTAAGCAAAATCAAGTGGATGCAGAGTCACTAGGAAAGAATGCCAAACTGGCATCCATGGAGTCTATCTTCGAGGTAAGTTAGGCGTGTCGTTATCTCTACAAATTACTCACTCAACATTCCAGCAACTACCTAAGTTCTCTCATGTCCTGCTTGATGTAAAGAGAGGCGATGTTGGGGATATAAATAGTTACATCGATGATATATTGAAATTCACATACGCAACTGCATCATCATCAACTAGAAACATGGCATTCGTTACATCAGACACTGACGTCGCTGTTTGTCTACAGTGGAAACAACCACATTTCCCAGTTTTTGTGAAATTGACAAGTCAGGGATCAGTAAAAGAATCAGTGGACTTTATCAAATCAAACAACTTACTTGGGTTGTTTGTAGACCACGATCTATTAATGCGGGTACCTAAACTGGTTGATGCTGTTAAAGAAGCAGGCTCAATGATTATCGCAGATAACAATGATACTAAAACTCAATTAGTCGGTGTTGATGGGATTGCGAATGATAGTCACTTTTATTGTTATACAAGTTATACGTCGAACACAGTTATATAGTAATTTGCAGATACATTTGTACACTTAATTTTGATATCTTGTCTTTGAACATTACGGTCATGTTGATTGCGATTGACGAGCTTATCGTGGGTTTCTATTCAGCGAACTAGAGCATAAATTGATAGCCAAAAAGTCAGAATTTAAACCGCCCGTAGATATTCTAGACGTAGATGAAAATGCCTTCGTGTACGACATAATGAGACTTTACAACCTCAGCGGGAGTCTTCCTTTTAAGAATCACGTGCATCTACACTCTTTTAATAAAGAAGTACAAGATAAAGGTGTGCTTGATGGTCTCCGTGATGTACTGCTCGCATACGCAATACCTTCAATCCAGTCTGAGGTTTCTAGCAACGTGAGGATAACAGCGAGTGCATTGAGAGCTTTAGATGAAGGCGATTATAATGTGAGTATATTTTCTCTACTATGGCACTTATCTTACGACCCTTTAGTTAGCAATTGGTTTGCTAAACTCACCAGCATTCTTGCACACTTTAGTAACACTCGATAACTACAAGATCATGGATTTATTATACAACAATCCTACTAATGAAACACAATTAAAACGCTCATCCCGCGTTATTTCCTTCGTTAGATCCTCAAGGAACACGAGTGATATACTCTCAAACGAGCGCTGTGAGAGGATATACGTTAGCGCATTAGCTAGCAAGAGTATACCTGCAGCTATGAATTACATAAATGGCAGACAAAGCGGTCTCAATCGTTCAATCCTCATTGAAGAAATTCTCAAAGTGTCTCTTCTTCCAAACCCAGTTGCTAAGCTCTTAGAGGAACTTTCAAAACTCAGTTTAACGGATGGTGATGTGGAAGTCATCAGAGCGTTCGCGAATGGTACTTCTTCACTCACTTCAACAAGCGTTTCACCTTCTTCCATTGCAGCAGCTCACGATCTGCTACTCGTGAGGTATATACAAGCAGGTCAAATACCAGACGCTATAAAGCTCAATAAGGGTGCTCTCAGTGTCGTTTTGTCGCATGGGATTGGCAGTGTCAAACGCGGTCAACTTATAAGCGAAGCATGGAGCGTTTTGCCAGGAGTACAAAAGACACTCGTAGAGAGAGAAGTTGGTAAAGATGAAAAGCAAGAAGAGAGCGATGAGGAAATGGTGCAAGATCCACCACAACCTGAAACCACTCAAGTTGGATCCTGGATTGATGTCAGATTGGAACAAGAAAATAAGGTACCTGCGACACCATTCGCACCTTTGAGAAAAGCAGCCCCACCGGTACTTCCTCAAAGTCCATTATCTGGACCTCCAAAATTCTCAACTCCTACTGCGCCTACATCGACGCCCGTCAGGAATGTTCAAACTAAGCACAAGGTTGCCGAATCACCATTCGCTCAGTTGCTTGGTAAATCTATCGCAAGAGAGAAAGAAAAGAATGAACAATTAAACAAGAGCATCAATAAGAGTGCGTTCGAAATACCTAGCGTAACTGATATAGCTTCCAGGAGTTTGTCAACCCCTGCTAAGAGAACACAGAAGAATGTTCATACACCTGTTGTTCAGACCCCTGAAGCTGGAAATGAAAGTAAAGATAAGATTACCGATTTACCTGATCTGCAAGCGCTTCAGAGTGTGAGAAGGACAAGAAGTGTTATGCCATCCGTCAAGAAGGAGGACAAGAGGGATGATGACGATGATATCGAAGTCCCTGGATCATATCCATATACACCACAGCCAACGAAACAACAGCAGTCGCAACGTAATCTCCGTTCAACCACTTTGAGATCTTCAAACAGACGTACCAGCCTAAAGCGTAATTCTGATGACGTCCAGATGGATGAAAGTGACGATGATGAGATTGCCTTGCCTGGTAGTTACATACCAACACCTCAACCTGCTCGTGGACGTAAGAGTTCTGCTGGCGGACCACCAAAAAGTGCTGTAAAGCGTGCGACAAGACGCACAAGCAATGCCGGTAGTAACCCACCTGCACCTGCTGCACCATCAACTACTAGACGTCAAACTAGATCATCAAGTAGATTAAACAATTAAGATATTCTATATATTGATATTTATACATTAATACTCTCTAAACAACATCTTCTTTGCTAGATTGTATGTCGCGAATGAGATTGCATTCATTGGAATGACTTTTAGATAACCAATGGATAAACCAACCCAAAAACCTCTAATTCCTGATTGTCTATATATTAATGAACATGTTTCATTGAAGTTCACGAATCTATCTGGATGTAAAAGACCACCTACTTGCATTCTACGTCTAATAACTTCAAATGGATATGCGGATGTTTGTCCAACAGCACCTGCTATGCCACCACATAATAAATCACCCGCACTTTTAGATTTAAAAAACGACCGTATTTTTGATTTTGAGGCTTGCTCATAAACTAAGAAAGACATTCCAGCGTATGGTATAATTCCTATCATCGTCATTGAAAATCCACGGTAAAATTTCAATAAAGAGACTTTATTGAGAAGCTTTCTACTGAATTTAGCTGTTGTAGCTGTCTTTGACGGTGGTGGTTGACCTTCATAATAAATATCACGCATGACATCACTTAATCGCACTCTGCCTTTTGAGCGTGTTTTGAATGCTGTCCGTACACGTATGAGTTCTAACGGATAAGTACATATCACAGAACAAAGTCCTATATATTGTATGAGCTGGTACTGATATCAGGAGGTACGACATACCTGCGGTTGCACCCGATAAGAACTCCCTAAACGGTGTTGACTCGCCCTCATTTGGTATGAAGAACTAGAGTTTGTTAGACAAACCAGATTACTGTTTATGTACTCACATGTCTCGCTTGTTCGTATGCTGCCCATTTAATCGCTGCGTATGGAAATATCCTCGCTATTGTAGCTGAATGCCCTTGTAATAAGCCTCTCACACCATTTGCGTTATATATCGGTCGCAAAGCTCTAAATACGCCAGTCCATGTGCCTGTTAAGGTTGTGTGAGAGCATTTCTAACTATAGAACAGTACACAAACCTGCATACTTTTTAAATTCAGGGTTGCTCGCTTGAAAGAGTATCTTTACTCTATCAAATGGTGCGATTGCAGTTTTGGCCTATACGAATCAGTTTGTTTGAAGTGGCCTAGTTTAAACGTACGACGCAACCTGCTGTACCTCCAGCTACCATAGAACGCCATACATAGTCAAAACTTCGCCTATCTTGGCTACTTCTATCTGTTTTCATGAGTTGGATGTATCTAATCAAGAGGTGTGATATGGGAAATGTACAAAATGAGATAAAATGAATAACTTAGTGTCTATTTATTTGCTAGCTTGCTTCTCTAGGAGATCTTTCTGTGGCATTGTGAGTGTAGCTCTAATAGTAGGAATATACCCACGGCTTCATTAATTTTACTTGCTAAAAATGGCTGTAAACACTCGTTAAGATGTTTCCATTATAGATTACCGTAAAAACTCACAGATCCACCTTTATCCGGGTGATTTGCAAGCATAATAGTTCTGTGAGCGTGCTTTATCCTCTGGGTATTGGCGAGCTGCTCTCTTAATCCTAATATCTGAAGAGCTTCCTTCTTGTCCATCTTTGCTTGGAATCCACCGATAGCCCACTTTGATGCGACAGTTTTAGCTCTCAATCTGCTAGCAATAAACATTCCACCAGTAAGCCCTAGCGCACATAATCCAAGTGTCTCCATTCTATTCTAATTCCTCGACGTTCGTTTCAGAGAGAGCGGCGTACTTCTTCCTTGACTTTTTCATTGCATTTTTCTTTGATTTTTGTAGCTTTTCAATCCTTTTAAGTATTTTTGATTGACTGGGATTGTATATATTGTCATATTTATCCTGTAATAGCTTTCTCGCTTGGCTTCGATTACTGATGAGACTGCGAGTGGCATGACATTCTACACTCAATCCTGTTGGTTTGTGTAATAAGAATACCTTATTGGATGTTTTATTCACAGCTTGTCCACCTTTACCCTGACCTGATGGTGTAAGTTTAGATAGCTTTTTACAGCAGAAATAAAACTCACCTTTGACGAATTTCTCTAATAAGTCTTCTTCATTGAGCTTCACAAGTGATGGTTTGCTCCAGTTGATTAAATTTCTAACACTGGTCGTGATTAACCTTACTGACATGACAATATGAGCCAAAAGAGCCAATTTAGGTACTATTTAGATGTTAATCTCTGCAAATTATGTCTCTTTAACAAAAAATTGCATGTATTTTACTCATATCTGAGCTATGTTGCACGTTCTACGTATTCATATAATCATAACAATCATAATCTTCTCTATACAAGAAGACATTCACATAAAGTAAACTGAAGAGTAAACAAGGTCAGCCTTCATCTACATCGCTGAAGTAGACGTTCTTATAGCTATTTGACTTTAACGAACTGGATCCTTTGAGTGATGACTAGAATCTTCTTGACGTCCTACGTACATTCTATCATGTATTACCTCTACATTAACCAAGTAATTCACTAAATGAATACTTCTTGAAGGATTCTGATGAAGATTTTCTGCGCAAACGATCTCTGAAAAGGTGCAATGAGTCTGTCCTTTGCTTTCTAGAGGGAACGTTGCATTTGCATGTTCTAGCTACAAAGCTACTATCATAGTATCATACCATTGGTATTGTGAATAGAGCAGACGCCTTAGATGAACGCTTTAAGCATTCTTGAAACTACACCCATATTAAAATAATAGAGAGACATTGAAGTTAAACTGAGAACGCGTTATACATACTGAAGTGATAGTGTGAACAAACGAAATTATTGTAGATATTCTTAGTAGCTA